GTGGATGTTTGCGCAGGAACGCGCAACTTGGGCAACATGCAGAAATATGCATGTGCCGTCAAGTTGGCCTGAGTAGCTGTATCAGTAATTGGCAGGCAAGGCCATGCCAATCAGACCGATCAAGACTGGAGCAAAAGCAGGTGATGAAGAACCCGGTAAACCCTTGACAATACTGCTAGACAGTTACTGACATAGGTAACAACCGTATATTCCAACAGCATCCCCTTGCCCGTCCAGCAGCAATCCTGGGGACCCCAATATCCTTTAACAATGAGTCAATTTGTAACACTGTACTGGTAAACATGTCCTTGGCCTCAACAATGCTGCCTGCAATCTGGGTGCTTGATGTCTCCAGACCCCAGGGATATAACAATTATATGGTCAAGGCTCAAGACGCTGCTGGCTCCTCTGCATCTAGCTCTTGTTGTGCTATAGGCATCGACAGTTTTCCCCATGCGTTTGTGCTACACAGTCTCATGCACATTGTCCTTGTCCGAGCCTGCTAATTTGAACATCGGCCCTGCTCTCACGCCACCTCTTCTCGATGAAGGTGCCCATCACACCTGCACATCTAAGGGGAACCATTGAGACGTTCATTGTCGCAGAAGGTGGAGACAAGCTAATGTACAAAAGAGTGGCGACAATAAAATGATCAGAGCTTGAGCGACTTTGCCCACGAGTCGACGGTAGCGAGCTTGGCGTCCTTGAGAAGGAATCGGTTGTCGTCAGCCTGCTGCTTCTCGGTATCCTTGCCGTAGTAGCTGTACTGATCGACGAGCTTCATGGTGTCCGTGAGTTCGTCGGCGATGGATTCCGGAAGGTAGCTCTTGAAGATATCGGCGGGGATGTTGTTGTACGAGACCTTCTTGCCCAATGCGCTGCCGAGGTCGGACGAGAATGATGCAAAGTTGGTCCACCAGCTGACACCTTGAACCTTCTTGCCGTTGGCGGAGTCGCCCGCTTCGAAAAGGCCGGCCACCCAGTTGCCAGTGTCGGCGACAATGTCGATCATGGGAACACGCACGGCGGGGTCGATGGGCAGGTTGATGCTGTAGCTGCCATCTTCGCCCTTCTGCAGCATGGTCTCGAAGTTCTGCGCGAAGAAGGCGGCGTGGAAGTACGAGATGTTAAGCTTGTTGCCGGCCTGGGACTTTGCGTAGTCGTCGATGGCGGACTTGCTGTCAAAGTGCGGGGTGTGCAGGGTACCGTTGGAAAGCTTGTCGACGCTGTGGAGTGTGGAGAGAACGAGATGCTTGACGCCGGTGGAGAGAGATGCGTCGACAATGTTGCGACCCTGCTGGGTCTCCTTGGCGCCGTCCATCGATTCCCAAAAGTTGGTCACGGCCAAGACGCCGTACGAGCCGTCGATAGCCTTCTTGAGCGATTCGACATCGTCGAGATCAGCGCGCACGACTTCGACACCCTGCTTGGAGAGCTCCTGCGCTGCGGGCTTGGAAGTATCGCGCGTTACGCCACGGAGGGAGTACTTGGCGTTGAGCGTGGAGTTGTTGAGCACAGTACGGATGAGACTGCCGCCCTGGTTTCCGGTAGCACCAAAGACGGTGAGAAGCTTCTTGGCGGACGACATTGCGGAGTGTAGTGGTGTTCGAGATGCGCAAAAGGAGGCGGTGCGATGCGTTGAGCTGCGAGGACGAGGTGCCGATTGATTGCGTGTGCGGGAGAGCTTGAGGATAACGGACGAATGGGTGAGGCGAGGAAGAAAGGTTGTACTTATGCTTTCTCAGAAGTCGGATACTAAAGAGATCGGAAGCTGCGCACGGAGACAAGCCATCGTCATGAACGCCACGAGAAGCTCTTCGAACGGACTCTGAGTCTGCGACAGGAACGGACATAGCAACAGGGTTCTGCATGACAAGGGACGCACGGACATAACGTCGAGCGCACGCCAAGACGGTTCGACGCACTCGCGCTCTTCGCCGGGACGTCTGTCAGCGTCGAAAATAGGCGTACAGAGTCAAAGACGTTCGAGGCATTTGTGATTCGGAGAGCAGCTTGGAGATCCTCGTCTCGCTTAGCCCCGAGTGGGTCTGCATATCCGTAGAAGAAGCCTGTCGTTCGTGCAGCAAAGAGACATCCGCGGAAGGCTGCTTACGCGGGTCTGTGCAACGCAAAGGAGAAGAGGGTCGGTCGTAAGAGGTCGAAGCTCAAGCCGCGGAACGGATCACATTTTTGTTCGGATGTAAGATTGGTCTCCAAGAGAACCTTTTTTTGGCCAGGAAGTCGCCGGCGCCGAGAATCTGTCATCTCACTTTTCGACATCATCTTGGTCGTCACTTCTTGCTTTGTTCGGACATACAGGGCAACATGAGGTCATTCAGCAACGCGATCCGCAGCACCAGCAAATCGATAGCGTCCGGGTCGAACGTCCGCTCGCTCCATGTGGCCAGACCATGCTTCGCCCAGGTCTCTCCCCCACTCCCCTTCTCCTGGTCGCATCTCAAGTCTAATGACCAACGAAACCAGTCGGAGGCTAAGACCGCAAGCACCTCTGCTCTTCCAGACCATCGTGCATCGGTGCAGCAAAAGCGCGATCGTAAGCTTCGCGAGTATGAGGCCAAGATCAAGGTCAAGGCCATGCAAAAGGGCTTGTCGCCTGAAGAGTTTCAGCGTCGATCTCTCGAATTCGCCGCCGTGAAGCGAACGCAGTCGGTGGGCTCTAAGGCAACCTCAAGCACAACGGCCAAGTCCAAAGAGACTGCTTCTTTGTCCGAGGTAGAAAAGCGAGATCAGGCGATAGCGCAGTCGTTGCGCGAACGCTCCCAGGCGGAAGCAGCGAAAAAGCTCGCCTCTGGACAAGTCCACTCGACTCCTGAAGGCTCACAAGAAGGACCGATCAAGCCTCTGAGCTCGTTCCTCGATGTCGACAAGCTTCGGACGCAAGACAAGGAGACCATCACCAAGCTGTGGGCGGGCTATCACACCCTCAAGAATAAGCTTTCTGCCGTGATTCCTGCGGAAAAGTACCTCGAGATGCTCGCCAACGCCCGCAAATATCCTCAGTTCGTCCTTCCGCTGCCGCGCGAGGTGCTGGATGAAGAGGCAGATACAGCTGGCGTAGCGAAGGAAGCGTTTGAGATGCAATTCCTCGAGTGGGCCGTCGTGCCCAACGCAGCCGCCGAAGGAGCACCACCTTCTGCTACCACCCTCTTCACCCCTCTGGCAGAGTACAAGCTCAAGCAGGACTTCAGCCAGCCCGTGCTCATCCTCACCTTCTACACGGATCTGAGCCAGAGCAACGGTCTGGTGCTCATGAGAGGCGAAGTCACTGGGCTCAACGAAAAGACGGGCAAGGGAGGCCGAATCGATCAGGCGCAAGCACAGTTGCTTGCGCTTACACTGCAGCGTTTCTACCTGCCATCGACAGCGACTGGGTCAGGCGCCGAAGCCGAGAAGGACCAGTCTGCCCGCGCAAAGCTGCTGCATGACTTCCACAAGCGCCCAAAAGAGTTTGACGTGGAAGAGCTGGTCAACGTCGCTTTTCGATTGTAGATCAATGCTTGAATTGCAATGAAAGACAATCCGCAACAGCAAGAATGAGATGGCATCTGTTTGTGATAGCGAATGGATATTACGGATGCGAGCAGCTTCGCGGTTAAGCCTCGTCTTCACTAATCTCGTCATGGTCGTCGTCATTGTCGACGATAGTAGACGACTGCGCCTGCAGAGCCTCGCAAATGCTCTGCCACTCCTTCTCCACCAGCTTGTATTCGCTCTTGTCCAGCGTGCTGCGGCACCTTTCCAGCGTTTGCAATGCCTTGGTCATGTCTCTGCTAGCCAGATGTCGCAGGTAGTTCGACCATACTTCGACGTCTTTCGCATTGGTCTGGAGTAGCTTGGCAAAGATCCTTTCCACCGTTTGAAGGTACTTGGGCATGTCCAACTCTTCTTCGCTTTCCAGTTCCGTGATGTTGCCCAGCCAGCCTTGAAGCGAGCCAAACGAGGATTGAAGCAGCCATGAAACGATATCGTCGTACTTGCCAAACGGACGACTGAGCCGGATGTAACGGCATATGCACCAGTCGTGAACATCCTGACGATGCTCTTGAACGACTTCGACGCCAGCCATCGACTTGTTGTGGCTGCGCGAAAGCAAAGAAGCAGTCTCGCGGACTGCCCATCGGTACTGCTCCGAGCTGTAGCGGAAGGATGCCTTCACCTCCTTCCGAGTCGGTTCCTGTGAGCCGAATACTCCGTCGTCAAGCCAGTCGAAGAACCGCGACCACAGACTGTTCTCGGCTGACGAGATGGCGGCGTTTGCGTCGATGTTCTCGGAACACGCTTGCAGTCCTCGATGCCATTCAGCAGCGATTGCGTCGCGACTTTCTTCCATCGACTTGCTAGACGTGCGAGCCAGATTGGAGGCGACGAGAATGCGCAAACTCCAAAGCTCGTCGCTGCCCGGGAAAATCTTCTTGCCTGTTGCGTCCTTGAGCTGCTCCTTCAGCTTGGTGAGCTTCTTGTTTCTCTCCTTGTCGTCTTCGACTGCGAGTGCCGCTTCAACCTTTTTGCGCAGTGTGATGGCACGCATCTGAGCCGTCTCGATCTGCGATCCAGCAGCTTGTGCCTCCTTGATCAGCTGCGTTTGCACCGACTCGAGATATCGCAACAGGTTGGGCTCGTCGATACCGGATCGCTGCTCATCGCTGAGCATCTCGACTAAAAGCGCAGTGGTGGTGTAAAACTCTGCTTTGGCGCTGCGGGTCGACGACTTAACTGCGTTGAGGGGAGCTTCCAAGCAGAGTTCGCGCATCTTCGTGATAGCGTCGTTCACGGCGAGAGGGAGCGTGCCTGACTGTGCAAGCTTCTGATATGCAGGCGATGCCCTTGCACCACTGCCGCTTCGTTCTGTCAAGAGAGACTGCAGGAGCTGCAACACGAGCACAGTGGCTAGAGACGACGATGATGATGCCGATGCCTTCTGCAGGCCAGACGTCGTCGCGCTTCGAAGCTGCGAGGCGAGTTCGAGGAGGCCATCTGTCTCGTTGCTGAACGTGGTTCGGAGGTGACTGGCAGATGCGAGAAGTCGATGCGAGTCCATCTCCTCGGTGTTGGCGAGCTGGGCTGCGGTGCGATCTGGAGCGTCCGCATAAAAAGGTGTCTCGGGTCGGAAGGAGCGAAGCGAAGATGCCAGTGCTGCGGGTGCAAAGTGAGTCCAGCCCCATCGTTGACGGTCGGAAAGGTGCTGATAGGCTCCATCGAGAAGCCGGCGTCGGAGCGCCTGTCCGCTTTGAGGAGCGTCGAGGCTGATGGGCTCGGCGAAAGGAAAGGATTGCAGCAGCTCGACGACAGCGACGAGGAACACGAAATGAAGATGAGGTGCGAGCGAATCGAGTGCGCTCCCGATCAAAAAGAGGGGGATGTTGCCTCTCAAGATGGCTATTTGCGTTGGAGGAATAGTGGTCATCTTTCGAGGCGCAAACGTGTTGGGTTTGGTGCTGGCAGTGTCCAAGGCTTCCGGGTTTGCGTCGGGGTCCTTGTCAGGCACTTGGCCGAGCAGTATTGTCTCCTCATCTTGCAAGCCTGCCTCGTCGTTGGCGCTGCCTGCCATATTCGTAGTCGAGTCGAGATCGACGGCTGCCTGCTGCGCTTCTGCTGAGTCGTTAGAAGAGCTCAAAGCAGCTTCTTCGTCGGCGCCTTCGGTGTCCCATTGAAGCCCGAGGACGAGCCACCTTCTGCGTAGACGCTCGATGAAGACGAGTTCCATACGTATGTACTCCACCCAAAGTCGGAGCAGATCCGCCTCTCGGGATGAGAGCTTTAGCGCGGCGGGGCCGGAGGATGCAGGCGTAGTCGATCCATCAGTGATGGATGTGGAGCTGGAGTTGTCGACACGCTGACGCTTGTTCGAGTCGTCGACGTCCCCATTGATGCTACGCTTTCCGTTCGTCGATGCAGAGCTGTCGGGATCGCTCTTCTTCCACGGTAGTCGGTTGAGTCTGAGGGCGCGCTGCAGAAGCGAACGAGCAGCGGTGGTCGAAGCATTGTCATTGAGCTCGTGCGCGGCAGCTGCAAGCCAAAGAGGCACGTTGTTGGGGTGCAAAGAGAGCGCTCGGGCATAGACTCTGCCTGTGACGACGCGCATCTTTCTGCTCTTGGCAAAGGCAATGTACTGCTGCCAGGCGTCAACGTCGTACTTGAACTTGAGCACGAGTCGCTCGTAGATGGCAACGATGTGGCCGGTGTGAGCTGCTGCATTGTCGCGATAGAAGGAGCGGGGCAGGCCGATGCGATTGGCCTTGACATTTATGAGGTCGGCAAGGTTGCGTTCAAAGTCTGCATATCGGAGGAAGTCGTTCTTGTCCGGGCCTCGTCGCAAGAGACGTCCTTCGAAAGTCTGGCGCTGCGTTGTGATGGAACGAAGCTGCTCCTTGGTGAAGACTCCATTCTCGTCGAGCAGCTGGAGCTGTGGAACGGATCGCTCTAGCTGATACTGCACTCTCTCCATATCGAATCAGGTGCAGCGAGGAGCCGCAGTGTTGTCGGTGAAGATGAGCAAAGCGATGGTGTGTCTAGCAAGCAAGCAAGCAACGTCGAAAGTCAAGTTGGCCAGTTTGCCAGGGTCCTCAAGAAGACAGCTGAGAATTTCTCTCAAAAAAATTGCCCTGAAGAGCGTTGAGAGTGGAGGCGCGTTGTTTTCTCGCACGAAATGGCTAACCGATGTCAGATTGACAAAGGGCCGAAGCAGTCAGCGTTTGCGGGAGGTGTGTGCTGTGCTGTGCTGTGCTGTCACAAAAGTTGAATCCCTCGAAATAGAGCCAGCGCCGGCCCTGTTGGCGCACACGGGACAGCGGACCTGGGCTGAGCGTGTCCCGCTTCTGCCTGCGGACGGGCTGACTGGCTGGTTGACTGGCTGGCTTGGCTAGCAACATTCGTGACTGCTTAAAAGCTCGGCAAAAAGGGCTCCGCGACTCAGACTGTGCGTTGCAGCGAATCGCTCCCGCGACTTGAAATGCACCAAATCGGCTGACCTCCACGGAAGTGTGAGTGTGCTTGTCCGTCATTGCTTTGTTCCTGCTCTCACGCTATCACCACCACCACCATCATCGTCACCTCCGCTGCACGCACAATTGCTGTTGGCTCGCTCGTTCGTAAGTCTTCATCCGGATGGACGTCTCGCTGGTGGTGGAACAGCGCGGAGCACGGACGCTTCGAGGCATCGTTTCGCCATGATCAGCGTGGGCGTAAGCTCGCAAAGGCGCTTCCACATCTCATCTCACGCCGAAACGACGGGGCGAACGGGTGGCAGCAAATGAAGCAGGATCGTGTCTAGGTGGGACCGCTTCATCTAGTGCTTCAAGCCCCGCCTCGACTCGGTCTACAGCGAAACGCACCGCATGCTCTGCATGAGAGTAGGAACATAGCTGACCCTATATATGTCTTCTCCTCTTCCTCATAATCGACTTGGATCTCAACTCCAAATCTGTCCTTCCGCTGCCATCGAATCTCGGCATCCAACATCATCGCAATCCTCTCCCCTTCACGCCTCACGCTCCGGTCGAATCGACATCAATGACGTCGCCTTCGCACAATCATTTACCTCGGCTCGTCAACGATGCCTACACCGCTCCTAAAATGGATCGCACCTCTAGCTTTCCTCCGACATCTCTAGCCAAGCCAGAGATCCCGCGACGTAGTCAGCAACGACCTCGATCCCCGTCTCGGACAGAGTCTACCGCCGCTGCATCTGTCAGCGACGTCGAAGCAGCCAGCTCGAATACTTATATAGCCAGCCCTGCTGCACTGCTCACTGCCGCAGCGAGATCCGCGCATACCAACCACAGAATGCCGAACCCTCATTACGACTTCCTCATCAAGCTGTTGCTGATTGGTGACTCGGGCGTTGGAAAGTCATGCTTGTTGCTACGATTCTGCGATGATGCTTGGACGCCATCGTTCATCACCACCATTGGCATCGACTTCAAGATTCGCACCATTGAGCTGGATGGCAAGCGCATCAAATTGCAAATCTGGGACACAGCAGGACAGGAGCGATTCCGAACCATCACCACCGCCTACTACCGCGGAGCCATGGGTATCCTGCTCGTATTTGATGTGACGGACCAGAAGTCGTTCGAGAATGTCCGAACGTGGCACGCCAACATTGAGCAGCACGCAAGCGAAGGTGTCTCGAAGATTCTGATCGGCAACAAGTCGGACTGGGAGGAGAAGCGAGCCGTGACGGTGGAGCAGGGCGAAGAGCTTGCCAAGGAGCTGGGCATTCCTTACATCGAGACATCAGCCAAGGCCAACACCAACGTGGAGGAGGCTTTCTTCAACCTGGCTCGCGAGGTCAAGACGAGGCTCATCGACACGGCAGCCGTCACGCAGGCGTCGTCAGCAGCAACGGCAGGCAATGTCAATGTCAACTCGGCGCCCAAGACGGGAGGTGCTGGTGGTTGCTGCAGTTAAGCGGGCCCTCGCGTGCCAAGATCGACTCTAGCCCGGCTATCCCCCATTGTTATGTCCGCCAATAGGGTGTTCGGAGCCGAAGCATAGCACCATTGCTACTCGCTTGTCTACACTTGTACATCATCTGAATGGGTCCGTTTCGAGAATATGTGTCAAGCGTGTGATGGGACGATTTTCCAGCGAAGAAGCGCAGGGACCTTCGCGAGGAACAAGCCGAGACATTGATGAGTACGCAATTCAGTTTACCATCCTGCTTGAGTGCGTGGCCACTTTGCAAAGGCAGAGCCGACCTCAGTGCAGAGGTGTCCGTCGCAGTTCTTTCCAGTGCCGCCGCGCAGCAAACATCGTTCGACAGCGTCGACCCATCAAGCTCATTGCGTCGCATGTCCCGATCTCTTAAGGCTCAAGGCAGAGGATGGATCGCGATAGTGCCCCTCGAGACATCACACAGTGAAAGGACTGCTAGGACGTGAGGCTGAACAGCCCTGGCTTGCGCCTAGGCCCGCCTTGTTTCCAAACTCCGATTCACGGATGGCAGCGAGTCGACTCTGAGGTCGGGTCAGCCGCGTAATCCATTCTCGTCTTCTCCAGCAAGCTAAATATGACTGTAGGGTCAGCTACAACAACGGCTTTGCCAACCACTGTTGTTCAGCTCGCTCAGCTCACTTGGCGACAACAGCATCAGGTCGGAGCAGGTCTGTTGCAAGGTCGATTGCTGTCAGCTTCTCGCTTCAGTTTGTTTGTTGGTTGGACCCTTGAAAATGGCGTTGGGCGAGTCTTGATTTTCAGCGGCCGTCTTTCAGCCTCAGCCAAGACGCGTGTCTTCCGCGTCCGGAAGGAGTATCGAGAGCGGGCCAACACAGTCAGACTGAGACTTGCTCGTCGCAATGGCTGCTACCCTCGACCTGTCCAAGCTGTAGACGCCAACGCTGAATACAAGAAAGACCCGCCAGGGATGATCCGCACCATTGAGAGGGCCGTGCAATTTCGCGACGCTTAGGTTTGCGTTGCGGCTGCCTTCTCTTCGGTGGGCCAATGTGGGACGACGCCGGCTACCCGCGGTTGCACATCAGCTCACCTTTGCTGCAGGTTTCTTTGCTCAAATGGCTCTTGAGGGTGGGACAAGCACAAGCTTGAAGCAGCAAAACGACCCTGCATGATCGACAGCGTGCAGCGCCAGCTGAACATCTTGATGCTCGAGCTTCGTCTTGGAGAATTGTATCTCGAGCCAGGGCGCATTTTCAAACCCTTTTTCGGAAGGATGCGTCACGTCTGTTGTAGCCGCCCCGCCCAGACCAGACCAACACACTCTGCAGGCACAGCGGGAAGCGACGCCGCCGAGCCCATGCAGCAACTCCCATGCGGTCGTGTGTGCTTGTCTCTGGCTGCTTCTTGATCTGATCTGCATCTCGCAGCCTCTGTGCACCTCCTTCGTCCCATTCACTCCGCATAGCACGCCTCACACGACTGCTTGGCGGACGACGAAGCTTTGCTGCCACGCTTCAAGCTCTTCGGACACCTCCGGTCAGCACCCTTCAGCTACGCCCTTTACATCGTCGCTCTTTCCGATTCTTTCGGTCCTTCCGCAACATCTCCACTTGGTCTTTGGCCTGCACCGCCCATCAGTCAGCAGCATCGCTTTCATTCGCTCCTCGACTGCTGGTTCAGTCGAGCTCTTTCCGACCCCGGCGAGCCAGAAACCATTCTCCCTGTCAAGCGGCCGCACAACCTACAACTTGGAACCGCGACGTCTTCGATCCTGCGCTTGGCACTGGAGCGAAGCACAGCGCAGTCTGCAGTGTCTGCGACCCACTCTGCACCCATTGGCTCTTCACCCCATCACCGTCGGTCTCGAAAGATTCATACTTGCAGCGATAGCAAGCGACCCAAGCTGATCCAACACCGAACAGCGCGCAAACTCAGCCACGATGCCAGCACGGCTCGACGGACGAACGTCAGACCGAGATCTCACCGCTGTGCCGTCCAGCGAGGTCGACGCAAGTCACGCTCACGACGCTGAGGACGAGCTGCCAGAAGCCTACTGCGGAGGATGTGGTCGTCTGATTGACGAGGAGAGCGTCGAAGACGGCGTCATCCAATTCGCAACCAAGCTCTGGCACATCGAGTGCTTTCGATGCGCAAAGTGCAAGAATAGAGTCAGCACAGAGCGCGACGATATTCTCCTCCTCTCCGATGGCCATCCCATCTGCGGCGAGTGCAACTACTCTTGCAACATCTGCCATCTGCCCATCATGGAAGAAGCTATTATGACTGGCGACGAGTCGTATCACGCTTCCTGCTTCACATGCCGCTCCTGCCACTCCAAGATCGAGGAGCTCGTCTTTGCCAAGACCAGCCAAGGCATCTACTGCATGAAGTGTCACAACGAACGTGTCGCACGGAGTCGCAAGCACGCAGAGCACAAACGTGCAAAGGCTCGCCGCGAGAAGCAGATCCAGGAGGCACAGTCCGCAGAACCCAGCCATCGCAGCACCTTGACAACGCCGGGCACCTCCGCGACCACCTCTTCACCCTTGTTGGACCTGTCGCCTTCGATCCCATCCAAAGAGTCGTCGTCGCCTTCTCCTTCCATCCTCGCTTCTCCGGCACCCAGTGGAGCCAGCCTGTCTCCCTACATTGGTCAGAGCAGCTCATCTGCTGCCTCCCGACCCAACAATGCGGCAGGCAAGCGTCCGATGAATGCGCCGCCGCCGCCTTCGCGCGAAGCACGCAGCCCGGCCATGGGCGCACAGGCCAGGCTCGATGGCCGAAGTGCACTCCCCTCCAACGCATCGCAGGCATCCTTGTCGTCCATCACCATGGACGAGCCTCCGCGGCCGCAGAGCAGAGGCTACGAAGTCACAGCGCCCCTCTCTCCGCGAAAGAAGACGTTCGGGTCAGGTCTCGACTCTTCTCAGGGCTCGCCTGCAGCGGTTAGGACGGGGCTTCCCGCCATGGATGCAGCAAGCTCTTCGCCCAGTCCGTCTGCATCACCCCTCAAGAAGAGCTTTGCCATGGAAGTGTCGCCCTCGCGAGACTCTGAGCGAACACTACGACCCTCGAGCCGCGAGGGCCTCGGCGTCAGCCTTCGAACCTCCAGCATCAGAGCGGGAGCAGCCGCAAGAGATCCTCTCGCCGCCTCGGCCTCTTCCTCGCGACTTTCCAAGGTTTACTCCTTCTACGATCCCGACTTTCTCAACTTGGTCGAGTCCTTTGGCGACTTTGGCTCGAACGACGAGCTGCGAGCTCAGGCCCCGCCCGTGCCAGCTCTGCCGGCCTCCATCGCTTCCACCTCACGTGCTTCATCCACGTCACTCATGGACGCTCCGCCCAGCCCATCCGCGCTGTCGACGTCCAGCGCAAAGGTGACCACTTCGCCAAGCGGTTCGGCTATTGCAAAGGGAAGCTTCGATCGAGACGCTGCCGGGCAGCACGACGAAAGCCTCAATGTAGCAGATGACGTCGACAGTGAGGAGGAGGTGCTGCGAGACGTTCGCAGAAATACGGCGATGTCAACTGGCTCGCTCAAGGAGGTGTCGTCCCGGGTCCGTGCTTCGATGCAACAAGCACGAGACGGTCAAGTGAGCATGGACATTTCCTTTGTCGAGACAATGCTTCGCGACCTCGAGCAGACGCGCCAACGCATGGAGTCGCTTCAGACGCGCTACGACCGCATCCGACGGGCCAGTCAGCAGGCAGCCCACGGCTTCACCATGGCCAAGGAAGAATTCGAGCACGAAGTCAACGCCCGCCACGAGGCGGAGCTCGAGATGGCGCGGCTGCGTAGGAAGCTCGCAGATCAAGCGCTGAAGCTCGCCACGGCGGATAGCGAGAGGCGGCAGCACGAGCAGCTCGTACGACGATCGCAGGACGTCAAGGCGTCGCTCAAAGGCATGGAGCGCGATCTGGCGAAGCTGACTGTCGAACGGGACTTGACGGTGGCCGAGGTGGCCGAGCTGGTTGCGCTGCAGGACGGCGCTGTCACCTCTCCCTCTCTCGGTTCATCCTCCAATGGCGCCCGATCGTCGACCAGCACAGTCGACGCGGCCATCACCCAAAATCTCACCTCGCGCCTCGAATCAGTCAAAAGCCGCTACCGCCACGAAATCGACGAGCTGACCATCGAGCGAGACTCACTCCTCATCGAGATTGAGGAGCTCAAGCAGTCCAAGGAGCTCTTCCTCGAGGAGGCGCAGACCCTCAACGCCAAGAACGAGGAGCTCAACACGGTGCTCGCGCAGCTGAGTCGACGCGTCGAGCTGGCCGCGCACTCCAGGGATCAGCTGCCACCTTTGCCACCTTTGCCGAAGGACCTGTCGTCCACCAAGACGTCGGGTGGCGGAGGATTTGGGTTCGGATCGCGCTACAAGCAGGTGTCGAAGCACACGCCGCACAACCCGTCCATCTCGTCACACGATGCGCCGCCGAGCAGCGCAGGCTACGACACGGTCTCGCTAGACACGGCGGTGCAGCAGGTGATCAAGCCGGGTCGCGTCGAGCCAGCGCCCATCGCCAAGAAGTTCAAGTGGATGAAGCCCAAGCTGTCCGAGACGACCAAAGCCAACGTGTCTCCTGGGCAGGGTGGTGGTGTGCCGCCTGTGCCGCCGAAGGGACCTGGCTTGGGCACCAGTGTGGGAGGCACCGCTATGACGCGGGCTACGTCGCACGACGTTGTGGTCCGCGAACACCTCTTCCAGCCATTCAACGTGCTTCGTCCCACGCGCTGTTTTGCCTGTCAGAAAAACATGTGGGGGCAGTCGGAGATGCGCTGTGCGCTGTGTACGCAGGTATGTCACTCGCGATGTCTGCAGAACCTACCTGTGTCGTGCAACCAGCCGTTCTCTCTCGATGGCCAATCCGATCCTGCAGGGCCATCGATGTTCGGGCGTTCGCTGACCGAGCAGGCGGCTCAGGAAGGTCGCGATGTCCCGATCATTGTCGAAAAATGCATCCAGGCAGTGGAAGCGTTCGGAATGGACTACGAGGGCATCTACCGCAAGTCCGGCGGAACCTCGCAGCTCAAAGTCATCACCCAGCTGTTCGACCGCGGCAACGCGTTTGATCTCGAGGACACGGATCGATTCAACGACGTCTCGGCCATCACCAGTGTGCTGAAGAACTACTTCCGCGAACTGCCCACGCCGCTGCTGACGTTCGAGCTGTACGACGAGCTGATCCAGGTCGTCGAGTCCAAGCAGGAGGATGCGGCGACGAAGCAGGCGTTGATGAAGGAGCTGGTGGAGAGACTGCCCAGACAGCACTATTGTACGCTGCAGCATCTGGTGTTGCATCTGCATCATGTGCAGGATAGGAGCGCGGATAACAGGATGAATGCGAGGAATCTCGGCGTTGTCTTTGGGCCGACGCTGATGCGGTCCGCGGATCCGACGCAGGAGTTCGCCCACATGGGAGGAAAGGCGATGACCATCGAGTTCTTCATCGATCACGCGCCCGAGCTGTTCCGCTGATCTTTCCCCATCATCAGCGAGATGTGCCAGCCGGAAGCTCCTCATTTTGTCTACCTTCACGGCTGTTCCTAAGCAGCACGCCCGCAATCGCATCGCCTGAATCACAAACGAACTTCGCACAGCCACCGAGTAGGGTAACAGCGATTTGATTTCTCGCAGATGATGCTTGTGTGGTAGATCCGTTCATGTTTTGGTACTGAGACAAATGTATGATTTTTTGGGAGGGGGAGGGAAGAAGAGCGGGCACTTCTCTGGAAGTGTGTAGCGTGAGTGACTTTTTGGTTTTTGTTGATGCTGCGATGGATTGTGGTATGTAATTTGAACGAGCGGCAGCTGACGAACAGCGCTGCTCGTGAGGATGATGGTAGAAGAAGGGAAGAGAAGACGGTCGGAGGCGAGAGGACTGACGCAGGTCGCCACGGCTCAGCGCTGCCATGCCGGCTTGTTCGACATGCGGCTGCGACGAGGTGAGGCGGCACCACCCGTCGGTGGCCCTGACGCACCGCCCATCGCTGGACTCGTCGGCGAATACTGCGGGGAAGTAGGCGAGTACTGAGGAGAAGCCGGCGAGTACTGCGGCGAGGTCGGCGAGAAGGCAGGCGACGCCGGTGAGTACTGCGGCGACGTGGGAGAGTAGGCGGGCGAGGCGGGGCTGAATCCCCTCGCGCCACCGCGACCAGCCATGGCAGGCGAGGTGGGCGAGTACACCGGCGACGTCGGTGTGTATGCTGGACTGGCAGGACTGTAGTTGGGGCTCGTCGGCGAAAACTTGGGCGAAGCAGGCGAGTACTGTGGACTCGTTGCCGCGCCGTAGCGGCCCATGGGGCTCGTTGGGCTCATGCGTGGACTCGTTGGCGAGTAGCCTGCCGCAGGACTCGAGGGCGAGTAGTTGGGCGAGGCAGGGCTGTAGCTCGGCGAAGTCGGCGAGTACGACGGGCTGGTAGCACCGCCAAAGATGCGCGGCGAGGTCGGACTGTACGCTGGCGAGGTGGCCCCGAGACCGTTGCCGCCCGTCCAGGGACTCATGCCGCCCAGAGCGCCAGCTGGCGAGGTGGCGTACCCAGGCGAGGTAGGCACGTAGCCTGGCGAGACGGGCGAGAAGCCGTAGCCGCCCGGACTTTGAGCACCCAACGGCGTACGCATGGGACTCGTGCCAGAGAGCAGGTAGTCGTTGTAATTGCCCTCGTCGCCGCCAGTCTGGGCGAGAGGACTGAACATGGCCTGCTCGTGAACACGGAACGCGTCGTCCGAAGCCGGCGAGCTCGAGTCGTACGGCGTCATGGCTCCAGGCGTTTTGCCACCAGCGGCATCGAGGGATCGAGAGGCAAGCAGCGTGTCGTAGGGCAGGGCGTGGTTGACGATGGTGTCCTTGAGCATGTCCAGGTCCAAGTTCAAGTCAAAGGCACCGGTACCCATGGGCGCCATCTGTCCGAGCAGCACGTTCTGCGCGACACCCTTGCAGTCGTCGATATCACCCATAGACGCTGCCTCGATGAGCAACTCCACGGTCTCCTCGAAGGTACAGCGCATCAGCGCACCCTGGTTGGTACGGTTGATACCGTGACGAGTGATGGCCATCAAGGCACCCTGGCTCGTCATGATATCACATAGCAGCGCCAAGTGACGGTAGTTGACGTACGAACCGTCGAATTCGATGACCGCACGCGTCTCCCTGAGCAGCGAGTTGCGCGCAGCCTCGATACCGAACACGCGGAAGATCTCGACCGGATTGTTGCAGCTGGTTCGGATGGCGTCAACACCTTCGACAGCGAGCACTTCGGCAAGGTTGCTGCCGTCTGTCTCGAGGACCCACTCGGACACAGTGCGCCAATCGCCAGTGACGGGATCGACGCGTCGCGTCTTGTTGTCCTGCTGCACAATGTATACCTTCTTGATGCCCTTGATGCCCTTCAAGTCGATCTCGGCCAGCATCTGCGAGGCGAGGTTCTTGAGGAAGATCTCCTCTTCACCTTGGGCGTCCTTCTCCGTGTCGTTGTCCACAACTCGGATACGCAGGATAAGGTTCTCGGCGTTGTCTTCGGAGTGCATCACGAAGATGTCCTGCCCGAACATGGCGCTGATCTTGGAAGCGACGTCGGCCATCGTCAGGTTCTTGTCGAGCATCTGAGCACGGTCCAGCTCGAGACGCAAGAGCCAAGGCGACTGGCGCTCCAGACTCGCTTCGACCTCCTCGTCAGGGATGGCGAAGAAGGCTTCGACGAAGTCCTTGTCCTCCTCGATCACGGTGGCCGACGGGTCGGGGTCGTAGTGCACCTCGACAGCCGAGGTAACCGTCTGCAGCGTGGTATGCGCTAGCGCAGTCTGGATCACCTTGGCCGACTCTTGCGATTGGCTGTACGCCTCTGTCAGATAGACCGTCACGGATGGCGTCTTGATGTTCTCGGCACAGTTGATGATCTCCTTGAGACGCGGCACACCGAGCGTGACGTTCTTACTCGACACACCGGCGTAGTGGAAGGTGTTGAGCGTCATCTGCGTGGCCGGCTCTCCGATACTCTGCGCTGCCAGCGTGCCGCACATCTCACCAGGATTGGCGACCGAGCGAGCGAACTGGCCTTCGATCTCGCCGAGAATCCACTCCCACGCCTCCTTGTTGATGTGATGTTGCTCGATGACCATCTTGGAGCATAGGTAAGATCGCAGGTGGATCTTGAACAGCAGCGTCGCGTTGACCTGCGCCTCACGCGAGATGGGGTCGTCGCCGCGGATGACGATCAGTCGATCAAGGACGTTGCGCAATCCAACGATGACCTCGACGGGCGACAAGTCGCTTGGTTTGCGCTGGTCGATGTGGAAGATCTGCTGTGCGTTGAGAACGAGACGAGCCACGTTCATCGGCAGACGAACCTGCACCTGGTCCGACTGGAAGATCTCCGTGCGAAGCAGCTGTCGGTCGAATTGAAGTTGCGCGAACTCCTCGTCGAGAAGGTCTTGCAGCTCCTGCGACCAGTCACCGAGACCAGGACGCAGGGTACCCTTCTTGAAGCCGCCATCGTGCAGATCGACGCGGAACATGTGATGGAAATCCGCATCGTTGAGCTTCAGCGTCAAGAGCGTCTGCGTCTCGACCTGGGCACCGTCAATGCCGTCTTCGCCGTACGCGAATTGAATCACGTTGTTAGTCGAGTTGCGGACAGTGCCGTCGTAGCAGACCATCACGTCTTCGAGCGCCTTGACGAGACGACGCTGGATGTAACCCGTCTCGGCGGTCTTGACGGCCGTATCGATGAGACCTTCTCGACCCGCCATCGCGTGGAAGAAGAACTCCTGCGCGGTGAGACCTCGCAAGTAGGAGTTCTCGACGAAGCCACGACTCTCGGGAGTGAAGTCGTCCTTGGTGAAGTGGGGAAGTGAACGGTGGCGGAAACCGAAGGGAATACGCTTACCCTCGACGGACTGCTGACCGACACAAGCTGACATCTGCGAGATGTTGATGAACGAACCTTTGGATCCGGACACCACCATCTGCTTGACGTTGTTGAAGTCCGGCAAACTTGTCTCGGCGTGGTTACCGACGTCGTCTCGCGCTTGGTTGAGCACGCGGTTGACGTTGGCCTCGAACGATTCTCGGAGCGTCATACCAGCCTCGACCTTGAGCCAATCATGCCTGGCATACTTGATGTAGTCCATGACGGCAGCCTTGGCCGAGGTGATGGTCTGGTTGATGCTGTCCGTCGTCGCCTTGTCGGCCACGGTGTCACCGATACCAATTGAGAAGCCGTTGTGAAGCAGCCAGAAGTTGACAACGCGCTGCACTCCCGAGAAGAAGCGCTTGCAGACGACCGGACCCTTCTCTCGGAAGATGATGTGGATCAAACCACCTGCCGAGGCACCGACGACCTTCTTGTTGATGACTCCGTACAGGATCTCGCCGTTCTCGATGTAGACACCATCGTCGTTCAAGAAATTGTTCTTGAGACCCTTGTCCTTGTCCAAGAAGACGTTGATACCCTTCGGAATGCACATCGAAAGGATCTGCTTGCCGGACCAGTACGGCTTGGGCTTGAGGATGCACGGCATTGGCACGACACCGTCCCAGTCAGCGACCCACAGCAATACCTGCTGGACCTGGTGGTAGTCGAGCAAGCAATCTCGCAACGAGAACTTGCGGATACCGCAAAGCGTGTCCTGAACGATACCCATGACGGGCTTGTTCGCCTGAGGCGAGACAATCTGCCGCGGCACCCACGCGATCTGCGAAAGCTCGGCTCGGGTCTCCTCGCTTTGAGGGACGTGCAGGTTCATCTCGTCACCATCGAAATCGGCGTTGTACGGTGGCGTGACGGAAAGGTTGAGTCGGAACGTCGAGTAGTCCATGAGCTTGATCCTGTGAGACATCATCGACATCTTGTGCAACGACGGCTGACGGTTGAAAAGAATGTAGTCGCCGTCTTTGAGGTGACGCTCGACGATCCATCCGGGCTGCAGCGCCATGTCGCTACGCCTGTTGTACTTGAGGTCGATACGTTCGCCCGTGTCTCGGATGACGTATTTGGCACCAGGATAGTCATTCGGACCGTTGCGGACCAGCTCTGACAGCCACGCCCTGTTGTAAGGCGTGACACGCTCCGGGTATGTGAGGTTGCGGGCTATCGACTTGGGCACTCCAACTTCGTCGAGTTCGAGGAGCGGGTCACCGGTGATGACGGTACGGGCCGAGAAGTTGACACGCTTGCCCATGAGGTTTCCACGGAGACGACCCTCCTTGCCCTTCAAACGCGCGCGAATGGACTTGATCGGCCTACCACTCGACTGCATCGCTTGCGGCTGACCGGCGATATCGTTGTCCATGAACGTAGCGCAGTGGAACTGCAGCAACTGTTCGAAGTCGGCAAGAATGTGCGCCGGTGTTCCTTCCTGTTCCATCTTTTTGAGTGTGGCGTTGGCGCGGATGACATCGGCCAGCTTGTAGGTCAAGTCGTCCTCACCTCCATCTTGCACAGAGGGGCGGACGGGAGGTGGCGGGACGGGCAGCACGGTTAAGACCATCCAGTCGGGGCGCGCGTTCTCCTCCGAGAGACCAAGAACAGCAATGTCCTCGCTTGACATCTTCTTGAGGATGGTGTGTGCCTCCGACGCGGGCAGGGGTCGCTTCTCGGCCTGCGCAATGGTCGTCTCCTCGCCATCTTCGTCTTCGCCCTTACCCTTCTTCCACTGCGTGAAGAGCTTGAGACCCTCACGACGAATGTTGGGCTGTACGCGACCACAACCACCGTGACCCGGCCTAGCTTCCTGCTCGAAGTTCATCTCGTCTTCCTCCTTCGGATCGTCGGCTTCGCAGATCATCTTCTTGGAGCAGTACTCCCAGACGCGCTGGAATCGGCGCTTCTTGCTGCCGCGCGTCGCCTTGACGATCTGATCGAAGATCGGATCCGTGACGACATCCGCCTTGAGCTTGCCGCAGTGGAAGCAGACACACTCGAGAATCTTCTTAACCTTGCCGAGGTAGCCAATGTGGAAGACAGGCTTGGCCAGATCGATGTGGCCAAAGTGGCCTGGACATTCTTGGTGTCCTTCACCGCAAGTCTGGCACTTGTAGTTCCTGTCGAGCGTACCGAGACGCGGGTCAGAGAGACCGCCGATTCTGGGCTTTCCTTGCTCATCCTTGATCTCGGGCACTTCGACTTTGCACACCGAGATGGCTCGCTGTGTTTGGGTGAAGCGTGGAGGTGGAGGCAAAGGTCAGTGGGGAAGCGAGGGCAGCAATGCGAGAGGATGCAGATGAAGAATCAGGGACAAGTCCAGTTATGTCAGCGTGTTGCGTTCAAGGCACGGTTATCTGAACGCATTGCAGTGCCACCAACGATGTCGTGAGCCCTGGGCGACCCTCCCGCCGTGATGACACATCGGAAGAGATGCGGCAAGGCTACGACAGAGGTGATGGGACAGGGGCGAACAAGATACCTACGATCTCCTCGGGACTCAGGATACCAAACTGCACCTCTCGCACAGGGCGAATGGGTGCAGTGGAGTGCGCAAAGGATTGACCGGCTTGGGCGCTCATGATGATTCAAGAGTCGTTGTCGCTGGGCTGAGAAGGCGGCGATTGATGTGACTGAGTAGACCTCTGGTAGGCAGTGGTAGCTGCTTGCTTTTTAGTCGAGCAACCGAGCGACGCTGTGTGCCGGTAAGAATGTGTGTAGGACTGCGTGACAGAGTGTCACAGCAGGAGCCAAGGCCGGAGAAACGATGCGCAAAGACAGATGCTGTTCGGCGATGATCACGATCCTTGTTTCGAGGCGGTGAGACGGGAGAAGGTTGGAGGAAAGCGAGAATCAGAGCCTGATGTCAGAAGACGATTGCCGTCTCGACAAATCTGCGCTGGATGGCAGACGTTAGGAGAAGATCCACGATGTGGGTTGCCAAGAGATCAGATGCTGAGCATGAAGAAGAGAGTTGGGCTACCGGGGGAAGAGTTGGTAGACTGCGCGGCTGAAGGAGCAAAGATGCAAATTGCTCGTAGAAGAGTGCAGCTGAAGTGTGCGAAGCTTCGTCAAGGTGCTCGGTAGGCTACTTCTGGGTGACGAAGGTATGCTTTGGTGAGGCGTTGCAAAGAGGCGGGTCGGGAAGAAGAAAAGAACGAAGGCTGCAATCGTGTTGAAAACGATCAAGGATCGATGATTTCTGTCGAGATGCGATGTCGACGAGAAACAGCAAAATGCAAGGTGATTGAATAGGAGGCCAAACAAAGATGATGTGCAGGAGTCGGAGGAGATGGGTCGGAGGCGAGAAGAAGGTGGTGATGGCGGCAAGTCAAGGTGTTTTTGGCAGAGCTCGTCGATGAAGACGGCGACGACGACGACGACGAGAGGGGCAACAGGCCGAGGCGCAAGAGGGCGCGACTGGGGTTGCTCAGCTGAGGCGCGCGTTCTGGCTCACTCGACTGGCCGTGTGCCCGCTTTGAGCTGAGCTCTTTTTCTTCTTCTCGCCTTGAATACAGACTAGGCTCCCTCCTTTTGTATTGAATCCTCAGCTTTTTCAAAGTCGATCACTAATTCATTCAAATAATCTCACTTCTATGTGGCTCGGATTAATGGAGGTCTAACATTTTTCAATATTCGGCCAGAGCCAAGATGAGGGCTGCTGAGCATTGAGCATCGAGCTGAGTCGGTGCCCAACTCAGCTGCAAAGCATCGCGTCAATGCACAGCTTCTCGAGACACACAACGATATAAGCGAGGCGAGGCGGACCCTGCCCAACTCTCTATCGTGCCTCCATCCCTCCCTCCGTGCCTCCGACCATCCTTTGCAGCATCATTTACCATCTTTGGAACGATCCCATTCCCCTTCTCCTATCGGCACATCGAGAGGCCCTGCAACGCTCGGATCACATTCGCTTATCCCCATCCATAGCTGGCATCGACGACTCTTGACTCTGACACCAGGCCGGACGGACTTCAATCGTCAGCACTCAGGCTCAACATAACTTCGGTCTGGCCGTCCGCCTCCATCCGATACCATGTCGGCTCTTTGGTCAGGATGGGGCGCAGATGCCTTCACCGAGCAGGTCGAGAAGGCCACCTCGGAGCTGCTGCCCGTCGGCTCGGAGGACATTGCGCTCAACCTCGAGATCTGCGACCAGGTCCGAGCCAAGCAGGTCCCCGCGAAGCAGGCCATGCAGGTGCTCAAGCGTCGCGTCAGCCACAAGAACCCCAACGTCGTGCTGCTGGCGCTTGGTCTCACCGACATCTGCATCAAGAATGGCGGTGACCATTTCCTCCAGGAAGTCGCTTCGCGCGAGTTCATGGACAACCTCGTCTCGGTACTGCGCAATCCTGCCGGCGTCAACAACGACGTCAAAGTTAAAGCGCTCGGTCTCATCCAAAACTGGTCGCAGATCGCAGAAGCCAGGCCGGCACAGATGAGCTACATCACCGACATCTACAAGCAGCTCAAGAGCGACTCCAAGTTTGACTTTCCACCCGTTGATCCCAACGCTGCCGCATCTGCTGCTCTCGTCGAAACACTCACCGCTCCTGAATGGGTTGACGGCGATGTCTGCATGCGATGTCGTACCGGCTTCACCACTTTCAATCGCAAGCACCACTGCCGCAACTGTGGCAACGTCTTCTGTCAACAATGCTCGAGCCACAACATGGCTCTTCCCTGGTTCGGCATAGGCCAGGATGTTCGTGTCTGCGATGGTTGCTTCGCTCGCAAAGGCCCTCCCAAGAACGCTGCTAAGCTCTCACGCTCCAAGAGCGCCAGCTCGCCGTCTGCATCGTCCTCCAGCAAGCACATCCCGTCGGGTCGAGGTGGCGCCTCTTCTCACCATCGATCCGCGACGACAGGCTCCAAGTCGAAGCGCAGCGCGCGCCAGAAGGAAGAAGACGAGATTGCTCTTGCCATCAAACTGTCGCTGGAATCGTCGGGACAAGGGGCGTCGCAGAGCTCGCGGCCTGAAACCTACGGTACGCCGAGTCAACCATCTGCTGGTCCAACGAGCGCACAACGAGCTCCTGACGGACGGGTGCTGGAAGGTACGGATGCCGACGAGGACCCTGATCTCGCAGCAGCCATCGCGGCGAGCCTGCGAGAGTGGGCTCCACCGCAGCCAAGCGCCCCAGACGGCCTTGGCGAAGCAACGGCACCCGCTATGGCCTCAGCCGTGTATGGTGGCAGCTCGGTCAACTCAAATTTGCCCTTGCCACCGTCCCTCGACCTGGCACCACGCGACATCGACGACATTCTCACGTTTTCGCAGGCCGTCCAAGCACAACAGGCTCACAACCAGCGGAGCGGCATGATCGGCGCACCTGTGCCGCAGCCGACGCAGGCGTTGTACGAGAAGGCATCGTCTGCCAGGCCTCGCATGGCACGCAATCTCGAGGAAGGTCATCGACGTCACAATGTGCTTGTGTCCATGCACGACAAGCTGACCGAGGCGGTGCGTCTGTACGATCGCTTGCTCGACGCTCAAATGACACGTCCCGCCCAAGCATATGCGCCCAATGGCTACGCTCATGCCGGCTACGGCGCGCCTAGCCATCAGGGGTACGGCTACGGGTATGAGCAGCACGCGCCGATGCACGAACCCCCCTATGCAAACATGCAGGCAGGACCGTCCTCTCTCTACCCGCAAGCCACTCAGTACCACGCGGGGCCCACCGCAGAGCACACGGGCGCTCCTTCACACTGGCAGCAGCAACAGCCGCACCGACCAACCGACGAGCAGCACTATCAGCAACACCAGCATCAGCAATCGTCGTATGGAGGACCTCCATCTCACTATGCACCGCAACAGCATCAGCAACAGCAAGCTTACCAGCAGTATCAGCAACACGCTGGGTCCAGTGCGGCGGCTGAGTATTCCAATGGCGCTTACGGCGATCCCAGCCAGGCCTCTTTGCCCACGGGTGCAGCAGCTCCACCTTCGCACTATGGAACGTATGAGAACCCGAACGGATCCATGGACCAAGCCTCGCATTCCCAGGCGAATGGTGCGGCTTATGCGGCCGGACCTCAAGGTCCAGGTCCGCTTTCGGTACGAACTGACGGCATCATGGGCGGCGCACCAGTCCACGTCTCAGGACCAGGACCTGTTGAAAAGCCGGGCGTTGCGGAGGATGGTCAGGGCGACGAGTCGATTGCAACATCTCGGTCGATTTCCAGTCGCAATGGATGGAATCAAGTGCCGATTCAGGCCGTTGCGCCATCCTCGCAGCCAGACCATGCAGCCTATTCGGTAGCCCAGAACGGACAGCAACAGCAAACGCAACCGCCTTCGATCGCCCGCGTCGCATCTCACGGAACGCACCAGCCGCCACAGCAGCAGCCTACCAAAGCCGACACGAGTTACCTGCCGCTGTTCCCTGTGGCGCCTCATGCGGACAATGGCTTCGGTGCGCAGCGAAACTCGGCAGAGGGAGCGTCGCCGGTGGCCAGCCCTTATACCAACGCGCCCTCTTCGGCTGGCATGTGGCAGAGCACGGCGGGCAAGAGCCCAGCGGAAGCCAACGCCGCCGCCACGGAATCGCCCTTGATCGAGTTCTAAGCGGTGGGCGCATCTTGTACTTGTCCATGGATCATGCTTTCCAAGTCATCAACGACAAGTCCATATCATTGCTGAGGCCGAGTCAAGTTCGAGTCACTGGGTGGGTGCTTTTGAGTGTCTGTGCCTAAGCGAAGGAGATTCCGCCGGATTGCGATTTGCAAATTTGAGAGGCTCTGGTTGGCTCGGCGCGACGTGATCCGCGGAAACCATTTGTGCGTTCGCCTAGCATGGTTCGCATGCTGCCCACGCTGACTCGAGAAGGAGTCTGTGAGTTGACTTTTCGGAAACCGGACGATTCGAATGTGGAAACCAGAGATTGCAGCTTGAGGCCAGTCGATACTGTTCTGCCCTGCTGTGAGCAAGCTTGCTTGATGTGCGAGGTGGTACGAGCAACAAGGGTCCACAAGGGCGTGGAATGCACGCAGCCTATCCGGCTTAGCCAAGTCCGATTGACAGCGACAGCCACATCTTTTCTCTTATTATTAATTTATTTAGCAAAATCCAAGCGAGAGAAGAGAGAGAGAGAGACTGCTGCTGAGTAGCGTATGTACCAGAACAAGGCAGCTCGCCCCGACAGCCTCAAGACTGGACGACAGGGCGCGCTATGGAAGCGTCACCTTTTTTTCTGATTCAGCTGGTCCGAGGTCTTTCTTCTTGCAGGACCCTCTCCTCTTCTTATCACCTTCCTCTTCGATCATCACAAGTGCTCCTCCCTTCAATACATCATCATCATCATCACCTCCTTGACGGGCCTCTTCAATCTATCCGGATCCCTTTTCTCTCTCTAGTCGCTTCTACCGGCGCCCGTCTTGTCTCCCCATCGATCGCGGGTCGTCGGTGCTTTGTCGCTCTTTTACCGCCGGTCCCCGGCAAACACTCGGATCGTTGGTTTCGGGCCTCATTCAGCTGCAAGAACGCTTGGCCGAGCAGTGATCGGCTCTCCATCCTACTCACGACTTCCATCGACTCCTTACAAGGACGACGATCTAGAATCCAACTAGACCCGATCGCACCAACTGCTCAAGCGCCATCGTACAGCGCTTGTTCATCTCACAATGACGCTGTCGAAGAGCTGCGCGGGGCGGCCCGTCTGGAACGGCATCGACTGGGACGTCTGCTTTCAGCAACAGGTGCTCAACTCGTCAATACCACTGGCGCTGGTAGCACTCTCCTTTCTGTCTCTCGTCTTGCACCAGCTTCGCAGACGCCGGGCGCTGACAGCCTCGGCAGAGCATGTCGCGCATCTCGATCCAGCAGCGTCCTCCTTCTCTGCTGTCCTCCACACCCAATCTGCACACCAATCCAACGGTCATCGTCCAGTCGTGTCCCGTAGGTCGACATCATCAGGTCTCATCGGCCTGCCTCGTCGCTTGCTCAACGCGATCTTGCCCTGGAACTCGTCTCGCATCCTGCGCAGCAACAGCTTCTCTTCGATCCAGTCGGCCACACTTCCATTTGCATCCTCCAACGCAGCCTCGAAAGCGCAGACGCCAGCCGCCGCCTCGCAGGCCGCTCTCGAGGTCTTTCACACCGAGAATGCTGTCATTCTCAACGAGGTCCATCTCACTCCTGCCACCGGCCGCGACCCCAACGCCGTCGAGCAGCTTCGGCGTCTTGAGGTGCTGCGTCGTGTCATCGACGTCCTTGGCTCCGTAGCGCTAGCTGCCATCCATGCTGGCGACTGGGCCACAGGTTGGTACTCTCGCAGCTACACCATCTACTGGGCCGTTCTTTGGTTCTACCTCGCCGGCCTATCCGCCTACTCGCTTGCCTCGAAACACTCTTTCTTTTCGCACAAGGCAGCGCTCATGTCCGTCTACGTGGTCATCACCCTCTTCAATCTTCGCACGGCGCTCCTCAGCCACCACGCGCATCCTGCACTCCACTCTCGCGGTGCGGTCATTGTGACTGTCATCGAACTGGTCATCGGCTGCATCGTCCTGGCACCCTCTCTCCTGTTCCCTTTGCAGACGGTACTTCCTCGTGATCTTCGAGCCATCTACACCACCATGTCGCCCGAGACGCAGCATGGCGTGCCCGGCACTGCATTCCCGTCGCCTCGCCTCACCAGCGCCGATGGTCTCACACAGCCGCAGGCCGCCGGGGTCAACGCTGATACAGCTGTGAGCGACCTCATTCCAGCCCCAGAGGAAACCGCCTCCCTGCTTTCTCGTGCCACCTTTGGCTACGTCACGCCTGCCATTGTCAAGCACTACAAGGTCCAGTTCACGCTCGCCGCCATTCCAGATCTGCCCGTCGCGGACAAGGCTGCCGCCGTCGTCGCTTGCTTCCGCGCTTACACCTCTGCACGATCCGAAGAGCCCCAAGGTCCATCCCGTCGCTCGCCAAGCACCCAGAAGCACGGCTTGCACGCGGGTCTCGCTCCTTCCACTCGGCCCTTGTGGCGTCGCCTCTTCGGCCATTTCAAGTGGTTCCTCGCCTTGCAATTCTTCTGGGCCACCTTGGAGGCTGTGCTCGACCTCGTGCCACCCTTCTTCCTTCAAAAGATCCTTGCATTCATTGCTGCAAGAGACGAACAGCGCCGCACGGGCAACTACGAAGGCGCTGAGCCTCTCCACCTCGGCATTCTCTACGCCTTTGGCATGTTCGTGGGTCAGATCTTCGCTTCCATCTCGGCCTCGCGGGCACTCTTTATCGGCAGGCGTATCTGCATCCGCCTGCGTGCTATTCTGATCACCGAAATCGTCACAAAGACGCTCCGTCGCAAGGACATTGGAAGCACTGGCGACAGCGACGATGCAAAGAAGGACGGAGAGGACGACCAGACCGAGGACGATTCATCCGCTGCTGCCAAGAAACCCAAAGCGGGCGACGCTAAGGACGACGCAACGCCCAAGCGCGCTACCGATGGTCAAGTCGTCAACCTCATCTCGGTCGACGTCTTCAAAGTCTCCGAGATCTGTGCCTATCTCCACTTTCTCGCCCCTCGCGCGCCGCTCGTCATCGGTCTCTGCCTCGTGTACCTCATCGTGCTGCTTGGCTGGTCTGCCGTCATCGGCTTCCTTGTGCTGCTTGCTTCGCTGCCCATTCAGACGCTTGTCTCGCGCTGGTTTGTCAAATTGCAGAAGCGCCTGCTCGAGACCACCGACAAACGTCTCAACCTGGCCACCGAGGTGCTCGGCTGCATCAAGACCGTCAAATTCTTCGCCTGGGAACGCTCCTTCAACGCGCGCATGGACGAAGCTCGACAGCGCGAGCTTCAAGTGCTCGCCACCCGCTACCTCGCCTGGCTGTGCAACACCTTTACCTACATGGGCACGCCAATGCTGGTCACTTGCGCTACTTTTGGAGCCCACACCAAGATCTTCCACCAGCCGCTCACCGCCGAGAAAGCTTTCACTGCTCTCGCCCTCTTCAACACGCTTCGCAACCCGCTCGACGCGCTTCCAGATATGATTGTGCAGATCCTCAACTCGCTGGTATCCGTGCGTCGTATCGACACCTACTTGCGCGAAGAGGAAACGCAAAAGTATCAGCAACTGCTGCGCGACGAAGAGTCGAGCGACCTGGATGACGCTGAGGGCAGCAGCATTGGCGAGGTCGCCAACGGTAGCTCGATGCGATCCCGCTCGAGCAAAACGATCGGATTCGAAGATGCCAGCTTTACCTATGTCGATGACAACAGCGAAGTCGACGACGGCGCTTTCAGCCTGCGAGACATCAACCTTCGCTTCCCGGTCGGTAAGTTGAGCATTGTTGCTGGACCCGTCGGATCAGGCAAGACGACCCTTCTGTTGTCGTTGCTCGGCGAGACTCGTCAGCTCAGCGGACGCACCTTCATGCCATGCCCCGTAGCGCGTGCTACAGCAACCATCGACCCTGCCACTGGTTTGAGCGAGTCGGTGGCGTACTGCAGTCAGAGTCCCTGGCTGCTTGGCACGACGCTCAAGGAGAATGTATTGTTTGGCTCTCCCTACGATGAGCGTCGCTACCGTGCTGTCGTCAAGGCTTGCGCACTGGAGCCCGATCTCAAAATCCTCGAATACGGTGACGAAACCGAGGTGGGTGAAAAAGGCACCTCTCTGTCTGGTGGTCAGAAAGCTCGAATCGCACTCGCACGTGCACTCTACTCGTCGGCCAAGCACGTCCTCATCGACGATGCGCTCTCGGCCGTAGACAGCCACACTGCTAAGCACCTTTACCGTCACGCGCTCAAGGGCGCGCTTGCCAAGAACCGAACCATCATTTTGGTGACGCATGCCATCAGCCTTTGTCTCCCTGGCGCTGCGTTTGCCGTCGCCATGGACAATGGCAGCATTGTCGTAGCAGGTACACCGGACGTGGTCAATGCGACTGGCGTCTTTTCGGAGGAAGGCGAGGCTCTGCAATCGAGCCTCAAAGCTGGCCATGCCGCCGAGAACGATCACGAGGAAATGACCATCGAAGAGCTCGCGGCGGGCGGCAGCGACGAAGCGGAGCGCGAGGAGATGGCCAAGAAGCTCGAGAAGAAAAAGGCACACACCAACGAAGAGACTTACAGCGCCGGTGCAGTCGGCACCAAGAATTACGGCTTGTACTTGGGATCCGTGGCCACCAAGGCGCGCTTCGCCGTCCTGCTGTGGGGCTCGCTCCTGTTGTTCTTCTTTGCTGTGCGACTGCTCGATATCGGTTCTGGTGCTTGGCTCATGCGATGGGCCAAGTCGCACGACTACCGCGAAGAGACCTCCGACATGCGAGTGGCAGCCGTGCAGGTCTCGTCTCAGCAGCCGCCTCGCTACACGTACGATCAGGCGCAGACCTTCATGACGACGCCTTTGATCGACTCCCTCTGGACCAATCGACCTTCCTTGCTGGGCAGTCTTCGCCTGGACGACATCTTGCATCGATTGCCCGATCCGTTTTCGGTCTCGAACTCAGCTTCTGCTGTCACCAACGGCGCATCCGAAGACCTGCCCGTCCGACCATCTTTCATTGGAGGCGCCTTCCATGGACAACAAGTACTTGCGCTCGATTCGCAAAGCATCAACAGCACATTGCACGAAGGCAATGTCGCCACCCTTGCTCGTCGAGCAGTGACCGCACAAGACCGGCCCGGCAATAATGGGGACCTGGATACCTACTACCTCAGCATCTACCTGGCCATTTCAGTTGGTTTCATGATCATGGCGGTGCTGCGAGACGGTTACGAGTTCTACATCTCGCTTCGCGCCTCGCGTCGGATCTATCGACGACTCACGGACGCGATCTTGAACGCCAGGCCGCAGTTTTTTGACCGCACGCCGGTGGGACGCATCATGAACCGACTCTCCAAGGACGTCGAGACGGTGGATCAGGAGATGGCGGTCTGCATGCTCTTCTTGCTCGAGTGCACGCTCACCGCCACGGCGATCTTGGTGCTGATCTGCTGGGCCACGCCGATCTTCCTAGTCGTTGCGTTGCTGGTCATCTGCGTCTACACGGTGATCGGTGCGCTGTATCTGGTCAGCTCGCGCGATCTGAAGCGCATCGAGTCGGTGGAGCGATCCCCCATCTACACGGTGGTGGGAGAAGTGCTCAATGGCTGCGTCATCATTCGAGCATACGGTGATGCGGGACGATTCACCCGCCACTGCTTGCGTCTGGTGGACAAGGCGAACCGGGCTTTCTTCTTCCTGTGGTACGAGAACCGATGGCTGTCGGTGCGTGTCGACATTGCAGGAGCGTCGGTGGCCTTCTTGTCGGCCGTGTTCTTGCTGCTGCGCACCGACATCAGGGCGAGCTTGGCAGGTTTCGTGCTGGCGTACGCGATCACGTTTGTCGAGTCAGTGCTTTGGATCGTGCGCATGTACACGCAGACCGAGATCAACATGAACAGCGTCGAGCGCATCAGCGAGTACCTAGACCTGGAGCCGGAGCGTCAGACGGGACAGGAGCCTCCGGCCTACTGGCCGAGCAGCGAGGGCAAGATCAAGATCAAGAACCTGGCGGTACGATACACCCCCGAGTTCCCTCGTGTGCTCGACGGCATCGACCTCGAATTTGCACCACGGGAGAAAGTGGGCATCGTGGGACGCACGGGGTCGGGCAAGTCGACGCTGGCGCTGTGCTTCTTCCGCTTCTTGGAAGCCGAGCAGGGCTCGATCGAGATTGACGGCATCGACATTGCCTCGATCCCCATCCGCACACTGCGAGAGCGACTCACGGTGATCCCGCAGGACGCACAGCTTTTCAGTGGAACGGTGCGATCCAATCTGGACCCCTTCAATGTGTACGAAGATGGTGAGCTGTGGATGGCGCTCGAGAGGTGTCGATTGGCGTCGTTCGCTACGCCTGCAGCGTCGCGTGCCGTCAGCCGCGCTCCCAGCCGTCCTGCCTCGCCTGGCCCGGATGGGGAGGAGACTGCCGGTCAAGCCAACGAGGAAGTGGTTGCAGACGCCGAGATGTACGGCCGAACCAACATCATCACCTCGTTGGATGCGCCGGTCGAGCAAGGCGGCCGTAACTTTTCCGCAGGCCAAAAGCAACTTCTCGCCCTGGCACGTGGATTGCTCAAGCTTCGCGACTCGAGGATTCTCGTGCTGGACGAAAGCACGGCCAACCTGGACTCTGCCTCGGATGCGCAGATTCAAAAGACGATCCGACAGGAGATGGCGCCGCAGGCAACCATCATCACGATTGCACACCGGATCAAGACGATTGCGGACTACGACAAGATTGTGGTGCTGGGCCACGGCAAGGTGGTGGAGAGCGGATCGCCACTGGAGCTGATGGAGAACGAGTCGAGCGTGTTCCACTCGATGTGCGAGCAGAGCGGCGAGATGGGCGAGCTGCTTCGCATCGCAAAGGAGGCGGATGCGCAACGGTCGTCGTAGCTCACTCAGCACGAGCAGCAATGAAGCCGCCTAGTACGGCCCTCGAATATAGACCCGACTCCATCTGCTTTGCAACTGCTGGACTGCTTTGACTGTGATTGCGACTGAGAGCAGGCGGAGGAAGCGACGCAATCGAATAGGTAAAAGTCACCAGCGTCGAGGGTGTTCGGCTTGAGAACCACACAAGGACCCTGGCGGCCGCCACTCGCCAGTCGCGAGCCAAGCGCGTTCCTGCATCGCCACTCTTGTTCAAGGGTGTCTTCATTCGATCAAGGCCGAGCACGAGCCCGCTTCAGCCCCTCAGCAGTCGGACCCACACGATCCCACGCAGCAGAGCCACGCTTAGCCCGCGCGATGCTTCTGTCGGGTGATCCGCCCAAAAGGCAATTCGATCGAAGTTCGCGCTAAAGGAAACGCCGAAATGAGTATCGCAAGGGTCCAAGAGAGCCAGGGCCACAACTGGAACTGCTTCGGCGATCGCGAAGAGTGGCGCGACCCACTGTTCTATGCCCCATTGCCCCGCTTGAAAAGCACGACGGCGACAACTCGCCCACCACCTGCAACCGAAGTGCGCCGAAGCTAAGCGAACCCCACCAGCGTGCCCAGTAGTGGGTCGTGTAGTGACACACACAGCGCCCGAGTTCAGACCTTGGGCGCTTCATTCGCGTGTTGATAGGGCGCCACAAGTGGTACTACAGGGGACGAGAGGAATGGATCTTGCGGTGTTTTGCATAACTTACGCGACGATCTGCAGCATGCACCGTTCTCAGGCACCGAGCGGAGACACTCGTCCATGCAAGGCTGCAGCAGACCAAAAAGTAAACGCGATCAATTTCGGCAGGAGGCCAAGCACCGAGAGAAAAGGGGCTAACCACTGTAGGGCGCGCAGATCAATCAATCTTGGCAACTCGTCTTCCGCCCCACGTTCTCACGCCCACTCCGCGGCACTGTGACTGCGCAAGAGATTCTTGTTCACACGCTAGCAATTTGCAGAGGAATTTTGAGTTCAAGCTCCTACACTGTAAGCTATCCTCGTCTCCCTTCTCTGTTCTCAAGCTCCTCCCTCGCGCCCAAACTGCTGGAGCCGCTGCTGCTGCTGCTGGTGGTGCTGCATCTCGGTCTTTTCGAACCTTCGATTCATGTTTGCAGTTTCTCCCTGAGACCAGTGGCAATTGATCCTCGTCTTGTCTTGTCTCAGGCTGCTGATCAGCTGCTGGCTGTTCCTGCGCATCATGCCACATCGACCGACCCGAGCTCGTAGACAAAGCACCCACAGCATCCAGACTATAATCTCGCATCGTCAACAGCTTGTTCAGCCTGAATCGCCTTTGGCTCTCCGACCTGTGGACTGTAGGAACCAGCCCAGCTGCATTGTGCTGTTGACTGTACCCTTGCACGACTCTTGGTCATTGTCCCGCGCTTTTGCTTCGGCTTCCTCTTCGATCGTCTCTTGCTTCTCGACCGGCCTCTCGGACCCATCGCGCTGCGCTTCGCTTGCTGCAGTAGCGCGCTTACCCATCCTGGTTCGGCCTTTGCCATCCGCCTTGCTCCGTCAAAACAAGGGTCTCGCCCATCCTCGTGTCACACTATAAAGAGGACCCGACGCGCTTCGTCCTCATCGTCCTGGCGTCGCCTGACCCATCCTTCCTTCCTTGCATTCCTGCCACCAACATCCGCCGCACCCTCGAAATGAAGTCGACCTCTGCCTTGGTCGGCCTTGCCGCCGCCACTGCTGCTACACTCAGCAGCATTGTGACGGCTCGGAGTGAACTTCAAGTTTCCCACGAACCCATCTCGCGCCTCTTTGCTGCCGACGGAACCCCCGCCCATCCGCAGTTCCTCGCCTCACGATGGGAGACGTCGGAACTGCCGCTCGACTACCGAAAGCGGGATCTCTCAGGGGCTGGCTCCAAGCGCAGTTCCAGGGACAGGAATGCTCAGCGCCAAAAGTTCCGTGAGACCATCGACGAATTCGGCCGCAAGGTGCACTCCTGGATCGAAAACGGCAAGACTCACGATCAAGGTCTCGGCATTGTCATCAACAAGGCCACAGACAACTCGGCGGACAACGAGTGGCTCGTCAATGTCGGCTTCGGCACGCGCGCTCAGACGCTTAAGATGGTCTTTGACTCGGGAAGCTCAGACACCTGGGTCTACTCTCCCGCCTGCTGCTACGCCAACAACCACACCTTCTTCAACCCTACCAGGTCGTCCACCTACTCCAACCGCACCCTCGTCGACGGTCAGCCTACTGTTGCACCGCGTGGTACTCCCGGTCAGCCTTGGGAAGCCTTCTACGGCTCGGGCTCCAACGCCGAGGGCTACGTCGGCATCGACGACTTCACCTTTGGCCAGCAGAGGCTCAGGGTCGAGCAGCTTCCCGTAGCCTTGGTCACCGCCATCAACGGTGGCTCGCGTGCCTCTCGTGGTATGGAGGGTCTCGTCGGTCTCTCGTCCGGTGATGGCTCTAGCACCGAAGGTGGTTGGACCACACCTTTCGAAGCTATGTCTTCGCGCGGCCAGCTCAGGGAGACCTACCTCACCGCCACGCTCAAGAAGGCCAACCGCAACACGGGCAGGGGCGGTGGAGGTCGCTACGTCTTTGGCGAGATCGACGACGACGAACTCGACGGTGACATCACCTGGACCCGCGCCCTCTCTCCTTTCCTCTGGGCTGGCTTCTTCGAACAGATAACCATGGGTGACAAGCTGCTCGCCATCGCTCCTGGTACTGAGGAGCGTCCTCGCCGATTCATGATCGACACTGGCTCCGCCGTCTTCTACCTCCCCCCTCCCATCACCGCCGACATCAACAGTCAGATTGCCGGATCGTACGTCGCCGACGCGAGCAGTGGTCTCGCCTTCCCTTACCTCGTTCCTTGCGACACCGGTCTCAAGGGTTACGAGAGGAAGGCCAAGAACCCTACCTTCAACCTCCAGATCACGGGCCAGAACTTCACCATCCCCAAGGAAGACTACGTCTTTTACGCCAACGAGCCCATTCCCCCTTCGCAGATTGGTGGAAGGAGGAACATGTGCTACTCGGCCTTCCAGGACGGTCCCGACCAGATTTCCATCATCGGTCTGAGCTTCATCAAGAACCACGTCATCGTGCTCGACCAGGGTGGACCCACGCTCAACGTCACCGCTCGCCGCATCGGCATCGGTCGCCGTGACGATGTGCGATACGACTAGTCTAGCTAGGCAAAGGTACTGTAGATCAAGACGATTGTCTCGTAGATACACCCCTCTCTTTGCTTTGTCAATCTTCTGTCGTTACACGTCTGAAAAGGTCACTGGATCCAATCCATCCCTTGCTTCGATTCTCGTTTGTGTTGGCGCTTGTGGTGAATGAGTCGACTGAGTATGAGCTTGATGGTAGCGTCGAGCTTTCCTCCCTGCAATCAGCAAGGTTAAGTATGCGACAGAGAAACAAAATGGGGTTCAAAATTAGGGTCACGAAATCCACACTTGCAGGCTGCAGTTGGACAACTCTCCCGCTTCCGAAAGGGTCCCTCCTCATCGAAATGGCAACGCCCACCTGCTTGACGTCAGTCACATCGCTCTCCCATAACAATCACGATCGCTGCAGCAGGATCTTTCACTGGGGTCCGAACGGTCATACCGACAAGCAGGTCCATCTGCGATCCTGTCGACCAGAGACATCTTCTCACCCAGTCAAGTCTTCCATCATCAGACAAGATGCCGAGACTAGAGCGACGGGACATTCACACGCTTCGCTAGATCTCAATGTGCGCCTAGTTCGAATTTGCTTGCGCCGGCGACGAGTTCGACGCCAACATCGCTGCCATGTCCAGCAATCATGCCAACACAGATAGTGCAAACGGTCGATCTGCGTTCGTTACCTCTTCCACCGACTTTGCACTCCCTTTCGGCAGCTCACGACCCATAGCCGCTTCCAATCCGACCCATGCTGCGGGCAGCAGCAGTGCAGGCTTCTTCCAGACAGCTTCTTCTTCGGTGCCGATCTCGATCCCAGCCAGTCCATCCCCCTCTTTGAATTTCGCTCAGGCGGGAAGCAGCCAACATGCGCCGCTCCTCTCCCTGTCCGGTGCTTTAGGCTCGTCACCCTCCAAGCTTGCTGCCTCGGGAGCAGGCTTGGGCATTGGCAACTTGCCTTCACCTTCAGCAAGAGACCAGACCAATCCGCTCGGCCAGTCCCACTCTGCATCGATGTTCAACAACGGCCAACCGCAATCACCAACGCTGTCATTGGCGGGAGAAGGCTGGCCCATCTCGCCCTTCACGGCTTTCCCGTCCGGACCCTCGTCATCCTCCTCAGCTGGAGCGGCCACAACACCCTCTGGTCTGCTCAGACGTGCACCAGGCATGAACTCGCCCGGCTTTGCCATCGCCTCTCCAGCACGCTTTCGTCGAGCAAGCATGCTGGGTCGAGAGATCACGCCATTCCACCTGGACAAGGACGACCGCTCCGACGAAGAAGATCGATCGCACGACACGGCTACAGCTCATCAAACTGCGAGCGGCAGAAGAACTTCAAACCAGGACCCAGACGACGGCGATGACGAGATGATGCAAGTGGAGGACGATGATGCGTTGGCCTCGCGAGCACCAAGTACGCCCGTGATGGGCCCTCCGCTTTCATTCTTCAGCACACCGAGCACCCCTCCTCCGACATCGGTTTCGCATCATCACACCTCACGGCCCAGCCTTGCGTCGTCGGCGCTGGCTCGAGCGTCGGCCTCGGATTCGGGCCAGGAAAGCTCGTCGTCCGGAGGTGGGGGAGCAGCCCTGTCGCGCACGGTGCCGCGCTCTCCGTCAGCAGGACCGTCGATGGGGTCCCCACTAGGACACGGCGGAAATCGTTCGCGCTCTTCTTCCCTTCTGTCTTCCAATGTCGTTCGCAAAGCCGTGACACGGCGAGGTAACCTCCTCCCCAAAGACCGCTCCATGGCACGTGTCGCCGCCTCGCTGCAGGACGAAAGCAAGCCCGAAGACTCGGAGATAGCCTCGGAAGCCAAACTCCAGAAGCGCCTCGGCGGGGATGCGATCCTGCCGCGCACACCCCGATTTGGTCCCAGCGCCGGCGGCTCCTCCCATAGTGTAGGGACAGCAGGCAGCAGCAATCACGGCTCGATGCGTATGTCCAAGTCGCCCTTCTTCGGCGCGACGTCCGGACCGAACGCAGGCTCTTCCAGACGCAAGTACATGTGGGACGACGACGTGGACGACATCCGCGGCGTCTTTGTCGCCGATGGGCTGGATGACGGCGAGAGCTCCGACATATCGTCCGAGGAGGAGGAGATGATGATGTACTACTCGCGCAACGGGTCGCTCTCGGACGAGGAAAACGAGATGCGCAGTCGTGGATTCGAGGCTTCGAGCATCATGCAGGATGTTGTGCCGTCGTCTGGTATCTCAGCCGATACAGCCGGGGTCAATGATGCTTCCAATTCAGGTGATGGAGCAGGGAACAGCGCTGCGCTGTCGACAAGTATCGGCTCAACATCAGCAGCACCAAGCACAGGCGTCGGCTCGCTCCCCAAGCGCAAGAACAACGCGCTCTGGATGGGTTTCCGAGACAAGGGCAATGCGCACAAGTGGTCGCCTTCCGCCTCTGGGTCGACCAGTGGCGCGGGCAACGGCGTCTTCACCGGCGAACGAGCAGCCTGGCGTCGAGCAGGCGGGTCTTCCGCCATGGACCTCGACACGTCCCCTCGCGTCCTGGGTGCAGCCGGCGGTGCGCGCCTCTCGAAACGCAAGACGATGGGGGACGACCGGTACGAGCCGTACAAGCGTCGGGCAGTATCGCCGATGAACCTCGGCTCGTCGCTCGGTACCACGCCGGCCAATATCAGTCTTGCCGCTGCTGCCGTCGCTGCTAGCCAACCCGGTGGCGGATCCGGAGGAGGAGGGGGGTCGCCCCTCTTAATGCCCATTTCTTCGCCGTCAGGAATCCTTCACCCGCGCATCCATCAGCACTTTTCGGCGTATGCAGCGAGATACTCGACAAGCCCAACGATCTCCCGGCCTATCACACCGGTCAATGCGAACCCGGGTGGACCCCCGGCGATGGGCGCCTTCTCCCCTGCGGCAGGCGCCGGCAGCGGCCCGGGCTACGGCAGTGGAGCACTAGGTTTGTCCATCTCTGCGAACAACACGCAGAGTATGGAGAGTAGGATGATGGAGGAGAGGCAGGAGGAGAACGAGGCGCTCATGGACGAAAAAGTGGGGTTGATGGGTCTATCGTAATTAGCCCAGCGAATGGAGCTGTATCTGTATTTGTATTCATGTTGAGGCAAGCAACGATCTTGCCGTATAAGAGGGGCTCTACCGAACAAAATGCATGTCTCGCCCGAAGCACAACGAGTTGCCCGTCACTGCTTGGAGATGGCCCCAGCTCCACCTGCGACATCCTCTCTCCTGACGCTGAATCCGGTTTGCAGCAGCGCCTCCTTGACCTCGTCAATTGAGCACTCCTTCCTGTGGAAGATGCCCGCGGCCAATGCGGCCTCCACCGTCCCTTCTCCCTCCTTTTGCGGGCTGAACACGTCGACAAAGTGCTGAGCCGTACCGGCACCCGAGCTGGCAATGACGGGGATATCGACGCTGCGCCTCACCAGCTCGACGAGCTGCCTGTCGAAACCCTTGTTGGAGCCGTCGCGATCGATTGAGTTGAGCAGCACCTCTCCCGCGCCTAGCCTCTGCACACCGCGTGCGAGCTGGATGACATCCACATCGCGATCCTCTCGCCCGCCCTTGACGGTGCATCGGTACCACCATCGTTTGCCCTCCTCATCGCTACCTGGTGCGCCGGAGACGACGCAGGGCCCGTGCTTCGGATCCGCCTTCTCACCCTCCGCAAGGTACACCCGTCGTGGGTCGATCGAGACCACCACCGCCTGGGCGCCATACCCCTTGCTGATTGTCTCGATGCCCGTCTTGCCCGTCAAGCACTTCTTGTCGAATTTGAGGGGGTTGCTTTCGCTCCCTTGGCCGTTCTCTGCTGCCCTCGCAAACAGCTCTTCTACGGCAAAGACCGCTTCGGATCCGATCGAGACCTTGTCCGCTCCAGCGCGGAAGTATGCATCCGCGACCTCCTTCGCTGGCCTCGCTGTTCCATCCGGATCCACGGTGTCCTTGATGCCACCGCCGATAGTGAGCGGGACGAAGATCTTGGCCGCCGCAGCTTCGAGCAGGCTGAGCATGGGTTGATCCTGCAGCGCGCAGGAGCGGAACGAGGTGATGTTGAGGAATGTGATTTCGTCGGCGCCTTCGAGATAGTATCGCAAAGCGAGGTCGACGGGCTTGCCGAGGTTGCGGACCTTGCGTTTTGAGCTCGAAGCTTCAGCGTCGGTGGTGGTGGTGGGTTCGGCCTTCTCGCGCACATCGTACGACTCCCCCTTGGTGACGACGAGATCGCCATCGTCGTTGCTGCGCACGTCGAGACATGCGACAATACGCTTTGTGAGACCATCGCGTGGCGCAGGAGTGGCGACCTGCTGCGGGTCCTGAAGCAGACGCTCCTTGCTCGGGTCGATGGTGCCCGGCTGTTCGAGCCAGGCACGGAGCAGCTCGAGCCCCGCACGTCCGCTCTTCTCCGGGTGGAACTGGGTCGCGAACACATTGCCCTTCTGAATGGATGAGAGGAAAACTTCGTCGCCGTACTGTGTGGTGGTGAGCACCCAGTCGGCGTGCTTGTCGGGTTGGTAGGCGGCGCGGTACGAGTGGACGAAGTAGTAGTGGCTGCTTTCCTTGCTCGATGGATCCGGAAAGCCGTACTTGACAGCGTCCTGATCACCTCCGTCGTTCCTTGTCTTGACCACCTTAGCCTCATTCCAGCCCATCTGGGGTACGCTCTTGTCCTTGGGCGAAAAGCTACCTACGATACCGGGAACAACGCCCAACCCTTGTACGCCAGGCGCCTCGTCAGACCCCTCAAAGAGCGTTTGCAGCCCGATACAGATGCCCATGTACGGCTTGCCACTCGCAATGTACTCCTTCAAAGGCTCGGCGTACCCCTTATCGCGAATGGACTGCATCGCAGGACCAAAGGCGCCAACACCGGGGAAGAGGAGCTTGTCGGCCTTCTTGAGGTCCTCCGGAGACTGGACCCATTGGAACTCGAAGCCGAGCTTGGTGATCGAGTTGGCGAGACTGCGCACGTTGCCCGCGCCATAGTCGAGGAGGTACAGCATGGCGACACGTCTCGGAATAGGATGAGGAGATGAATGTGTGATGCGGTGTGGGTTAAAGGCGAAGATGTGAGAGGAGCGTAGGAAGATCTTCTTGAAATGTCAAAATTGAAAGCGTTGATTGACTCGAGGGTGACTCCGTGCGTTATCCGAGGCCAAAATTGATAGCCGCTTCTGACCGATCGGGAGGCAGAGTGCGGATCGGGAATGCTGACTGAGACAAACACACACACATTCCAATATGCGGCTTGGCCTTCGAACTGGCTGCGCTGCTCTCAGTCTTGAGATGACTCAGTGTGGCTGAACATCGTCTCAGGGAGCAATCCGCAAGGTTCTGACGCTTCGTCCTTCGTAGGAGCGCCTCCGACCCAGTGATTGGTGATCATCACAAAGGATAGAGAGCTCCGAGTGCGGAAAACGCGCTACGTGACCGAGGAAGAAGCGACTTTTTTTCCGCTCCTCCTCCACACAAAGCACAGACCCCTTGCACACAGCCTTTCCGCTTTCCTATCCACTCGTCCTGCCACCATCTACCTATCGCATCCTCGTCATTCGTTCGACTGCGCTTCGAGGCCAGCGACATCAAGCTCGACGTCATGCCGCCAAAGCAAGAGCCCGGCGCGGCCAGCTCAGAAAAGGACCATCGCACGCACGAACCCGCATCAATCCTGACCTCCCTGCACTTCCACGCACCTTCTGGAGGTGTGGCAAGCATCATCCAGGCCGCCTCGTCGATACTCTTCAAGTTTGCCGTCTACGTCTTCTTGCGATGGATCCCGACCTCTCTCGCCTACCCGGTCATCCCCACCTTGTATGCCGTGTACGTCCTGACATCCGTATATTGCGACTACACCATTCGCAGTGCCATCAGCGCACATCTCGCCAAGAAGGGGGCTCGTGATCTTCAGCAGCTGGCCGACAAGGTCGAGGTCACCGACTCAAAGATACAGACAAAACCCACCGCGAAGCCGGTCGAGAACAAGACCAAGGATCAGAATGGCGGCACGCCCACCAAGGCCGCATCTTCTTCCGTCTCGTATGCGGAAGTTGCCAAAGGCGCCAAGGCTGCTCCTACATCTACATCATCGTCCACTTCGACAGCTCATGCGGCTGAGAACGCCAAGCTGCGTCGTACCTCGCCACTGGACCTGCTCAAAGCGATCGTCTTTGGCACCTCGACTCGATCCACACGCCTCAACTTCTACATCGTATTGGCTCATACGCTCGCCTTTGCCATCTTCCTGGACAGCTTCCTCTCGCCCTACCTCTTTCCGTCGCACTGGGACTACAACCTCTCTTTCGCTCGCACCGGCGCTTTGGGTCCGACCTACGCCAAGATCCACATCCGCTACCCACCACCTGAGCTTGCAGGCGCACCCGAAGCATCGCCTGCCATGGCTTCACCCCTCACCAGCGCCTTGAACAGTCTCACCACCGATCCGGCCCTTCGCACCGCAGCGGAACAGCTCGAGAATCACGCTCAGCCCATCGAGCTGCTGGTCAAGTACCGACGCGCCATCAACGCTACGCAGGGCGACAACGCATTCCTTTCAGCGTCGCGAGTCTACGGCAAGCAGTACCTCGCCAACCACGACAGCCTTTGGCTCAACGGTCCCCTCATCACGCTACGTCCGGAGAATGACTGGACTGCCACGGCCTTCATCGATGAACTTTGGCCTTCGACCACGTACGAGTGGGGTCTGTCGCAATTCCAGCCCGAGCACGTGGACAACTCGGACGAGGTGCGGGTCATCGAGAAGTTTGTCGCCAACGACGACATTAGCCGACGCAACTTCTTCACCACTTGGCCTGACCCAAGGCTCAGCTCGTACATGCAGTCGCAGAGCCTGGGATCGCGAAATATCGACCTCAACAAAAGCTTGGAGGGCGAGCCAGTCGAAGAGAGCAACCCGCTCGAAGATCCGAACCACTTTACTTTCGCCTCAACTTCGTGCGTCAAGCCCGACTTCCCTTACCACCCAGCACAATTCTGGGGCTGGAACTGGATTTTGAGGCTGATTGGCATTGGCACTGAGGAGGGCGGTATCACCGAGCGCAACCGCATTCCCGGCTTTGATCTGCTCTACAAGCGGACCGTTGCTGGGCGAGAGTCGCATCCCTCGATCCGCTTCCTTTTGCAGCTCGGTGACTCGATCTACGCCGACGTGCCTCACTACGGAGGAGCTGAGACCGGCGCGTACCGCAAGCTGTACCGCAACCTCTTCGCATCCAAGAGCTTCCGCCGCTTCTTCAAGCACGTCCCCGTCATTGGGATCTACGACGACCACGAGGTGATCAACAATTGGTCGGGCAAGGACGAGAACGACGAAGAGATCGCCGCCTACCCTTCAGCCAACACGGCTTGGAAGGAGTACATTGGCGATGTCAACCCGGAGCCGCTCGAGGCGGGGGAGAACTACTATACGTTCCAGTACGGCGAATCCGCCGCCTTCTTCGTGATGGACACGCGTCGACACCGCACGCATCACACCGCAGACGACGACGAGGACAAGACGATGCTCGGCTACCGTCAGAAGGAGGATCTGTACCGATGGCTCTCTGCGGTCAACGAGACTGCCGCATTCAAATTTGTCGTCAGCTCGGTCCCCTTCAACACCTTATGGGGCGGGGAGCTCGATGTCGACGGGCAGAAAGACAGCTGGGCGGCGTACAACACGGAACGCCTCGAAATCGCCGAAGTGCTCCGATACGTTCCCAACGTGATCGTCCTCTCTGGCGACCGACACGAGTTTGCTGCCGTAAGCGTGCTAGATACGATCACCGAGTTCAGCACCAGCCCGCTGAGCATGTTCTACCTCCCCGTCCGCACGCTCTCCCAAGACCACGGCGACGGCAAGACGGGCGTCGACAAGCTGCTCAAGTATCTGCCCGACGGGAACTACAAGTGGACCGAGTTCGAGGTGGATGCGCGCGACCCGTACAAGCCTGTAGTGAGGGTTTCGGTGCAGATCGACGGCAAGGAGGCGTGGAAGACGACGTACGTGGGCAAATCGCTGCGCAAGTCGCAGGGTGGGGTGGGCGGTCTGGTGCGCAACCTCTTGGAGTCGTTGGGCTTCCGCTTTGACTTTTTCTACAAGGCATGAGACACAGCGTCGCCCGAGGCTACGCATGTCAGGTCAGTGTGTATTTGTATGATATGCCTTTCATATGTGCTTAACTTGTTCGACCATGACTTGGTACGTGTCGGATCTTATGATTCATCGTGAGCAGCTCAGGTGAGCTTGCCAGGCTCGAGGACAGACTTGGGATCTCACACTCTGGGATTTTCTGCCTCGCGACAGGCTCGACGCGTGCAAATGGACTGAGCCGTCAATTGAATTGAAATGTGCTTGGGGAAAAGGCTTGAACGAGAGCGGATGGAATTTGTATTCAGCTAGGCCAGGCCGAATCGGGCGCAGATTGAGCACGAGCAGAGTGAGAAGAAGGCGCGCCCCTTCAACACGGCACCAAGACGGAGAGAGTTGAAGCGAGCGCTCTCTCTTGCTTTCTATCCCTCGTCAACCTTCTGATCACCATTCGCATCCTCAACACTGTCACCACCTCGCAGTTTCATCGACGTATCTTCGGCTACTCGCACACTCAGCGCCGTCGGAACCCGTCTGCAATCGTTCTTTGTTGAGCCGAATTTTGGCTAGTTCCGACACTGTTGGTTCACGCGTCGGCTGCAAACAAGTCCTCGACCAACAGACATCGTCGCAGCTCGATAGCACTGTCGCAGTAGCCTCAACAACTCCAGGCGCAGTCGCACAACCTCGTTGCGGCTCTCAAACATGTCGACGCTCAACCTCACGGGTCACCCCGACCCTCAGCTGCGCACGGATCCGCTCTTGCTGCAGGCACTCGAGTCCTACGTCGAGCCCATCAAGAGCGCGCTCGCTCAGCAGGGCGTCGATGCCAGCGCCATCCCTTCGAAATCCGGGTTGCTCTCCGCGTCCGACCTCGCAGACCTCTCCTACGAATTGCAGGCCTTCCAGGAGGAGTCGCTCGGTGTCAACGCGCCTCGTCCCGCCGACCCTTCCGCATCCACGACACAAGCGCGACACCCCGTCCGCATCCCCGCAGAGCTCTTCCTTCCGACTTCATCCCAGCAGAGCACCTCGACCGTCGCGCCCGAGTCCAGCCATCTTCGTCTGCTGCTGCAGGAGGCGCTTGCATATCTCGCAACCAAGGGCAAAACCACCTGGAACTTCTCTGATCCCACCCAAAAGGCCGACAACGTTCAGCTCGTCGCACACGTCCGTCAGCAGCTGTCCCAAGCAGGAGCTTTGGAGCGCCCAATCATTGCAGCTTCGCCATCCATCACCGAGGCAGAGGCATCCTCACTCAAGCAGATGGCCGAACAGCTCGAGTGCAAGTGGTCCGATGATGTTGCGTCCGCATCTCATGTTCTCTACCCTTCCGAGGTCACACCCCCGTCCTCACCCAAGGTCGGCGAGTCTTCATCCAGCTCGGAAGAGTACTTCAGGACCATCGCATCGAGATCAGGCCGTGCTCTCATCCACGTCTGGTACCGACCCGACTCGTATGACACCTGGCTGCCTGCTGCCGACTTTGCTGATCCCGACCCGGCGCCCGAGAAGCGTCTGCCCTGGAAGTTGGGCGCCAAGTGGCTGCGTGACAGTGTTCGATTCAACGAGCTCATGAACGCAGAAGACTACGAGCAGGAAGATGCGCTCGAGGCTGCCACTGATGCTGCTGACGCGGAAGGTGTTTCTGCTGTTGCTGGCAAGGGTAAGAAGCGCGGGCTGCCTGAGGAGATCGCTGACGCTTCTTCGGCTTCGGCTGCTGCAGAGTCGATGGGCAAGCGAATCAAGCTGCTTGTCGCTGCTCGTCCCGTCGGTGCCATCCCCATCGACCTTTCGGGCGCGCAGCCTATCCCCGGCAAAAAGTACGAAAACGAGCCTGTGCCCAGCGGTGTGCTTGGCAACCTGCCGCCCGAGTCAGCCGGTCCGACCAAGCTCGAGGGCGAACAGCCCACCGTCAGGCCAGCTGGCGACGCCGATGCTACCATGGCTGATGCTGCTGTCGAGGAGCCCACCGAAGCCACTGCGGATGCCAACGCACCTGTCATCCAGCCCGATGCAGCCGCTGTCGAACAGCAGCGCATCCGTGCTGAGGAGATCGCCAAAAAGTACCTCGCTTCGCAGACGCAAGAAGTCATCATCCCATCCTACTCGACGTGGTTCGACATGTCGACCATCAACGCCATCGAGAAGCGATCGTTGCCCGAATTCTTCAACCACAAGAACCGCAGCAAGACGCCGAGCATCTACAAGGACTACCGTGACTTCATGATCAACACGTACCGCCTCAACCCGAGCGAGTACCTCACCTTCACCGCTTGCCGAAGGAACTTGGCCGGAGATGTGTGCGCTATCATGAGGGTGCATGCGTTCCTCGAGCAGTGGGGCCTCATCAACTACCAGATCGACCCCGAGACTCGACCGGCTACGCTGGGTCCCCCCTTTACGGGCCACTTCCGTGTGCTCGTCGACACGCCTCGTGGTCTGCAGCCGCTTCACCCCGGCGCTCGCGTCAACTTGACCACCTCGGCTACGGCTGACAACCCCGCTGCCGCCGCCACCGCCGGCGGTGCAGCTGGCGCCGACAAGCCCGACATGAACCTCGAGCTGCGCAAGACCATCTTCCAGTCGACCATGAAGGGCTCCAAGCCCATCGACCTCGCTGAGGCCAACTCGCTCGCCGCTCAAGCCGACGCCGCCGTGGCCGGTGGTGCCGGCGGTGCGCCCCGCTACACGTGCGACACGTGCGGCACCGACTGCACCCGTGTGCGCTACCACAGCATCAAGGCCAAGAACTACTCCCTCTGCCCCTCGTGCTACCTCGAGGGTCGCTTCCCCAGCTCCATGTACTCTGGCGACTTTGTCCGCATGGAGGACTCCATCCTCAAACAGACCGGTGGCGTCACTGGCGGCGCCTCTGGCGCACAGGACGACTGGACGGACGCCGAAACTCTCCGTCTGCTTGAAGGCCTCGAGATGTTCGACGACGACTGGTCGGCCGTTTCTAACCACGTCGGCACGCGAAGCCGCGAGCAGTGCATCACCAAGTTCATCCAGCTTCCCATCGAAGACAACTTCCTCGACGGAGCGTCGCAGGCGGATTTGGGACCGTTGCAGTACGCCCGGCGCGATCAGGTGGACAAGCTCGGCAAGCCTATCGTCCCCTTCGCTCAGGCGGACAACCCGGTGATGAGCGTGGTGGCGTTCCTGGCTAGCGCGGTCAACCCGGCGGTCGCAGCGGCGGCGGCGCAGAGCGCGCTTGGTGAGTTGACGGACAACCTGCGCAAGCGACAGGAGAAGAGTGGCGATGCTGCTGCTGCCGGCACCGAGAACGGCGATGCGACGCACACCAACGGGGACGCTATGGATGTCGATGGCGATGCTGCCAAGACGACCGATTCGGCTGTGGCCAAGAAGGGTGCGGTTCCACGCAACGCCGTCGAGCGGGCGGCAGCCATCGCGCTCGGCGCGGCCGCCGCCAAAGCGCACGTCCTCGCCTCGTTCGAAGAGCGCGAGTGTCAGCGTCTCGTCGGCCAAGTCATCGAGGCGCAACTGCGCAAGCTCGAACTCAAAATGTCGCAGTTTGAAGAGCTCGAGTCGCTGCTCGAGGCGGAACGCCGGTCGGTGGAAGCAGGACGCAGACAGCTGTACGCCGACCGGTTGGCGGTGCAGAAGCAGCTGGCGCTGGTCAATGAGTTGTTGGCCAAGGCGGCAAGGGCACCGGAGAAGGTGAGTGGACAGGAGGTGGTGCAGGCTAGTAGTGCGGCGAACGGGTTAAGCCAGCAAGGTCCCGTGGTGAGGGAGGCCAACGTTGGCGCCGGGATGCAGCCGACCGGGGGCAACTTTGCCCAGATCGGTTGAGACTAAAGAGGGAGTGTTAGCTGAGGATTTGGGTTGTGTATGATTCAATTTGATTTCTGTCTTTCTTGCTTGCTTTGGGTGTGATGCTGAGGGAGGAACTGTGATGTGAGCCGTGATCATCGAACGTGCAGGAGGGGTTATCGACGTGCGAGACTGGACAGCATCAGATCTCGGAAGGCAGTCGCTGGACTCTATCGGCGGCGTACACTTCAGTCCACTTCGACATGCCATCTTTCGACCCTGCGACCTCATGTCAAGGTGACACCTTTCGCTTCTCACCGCATCCAATCGCGCCAACATGACACCTTTGCACAGACCCAAAGTCACGAGAAGCAGAGGTAGCTTGAACGGATTGCATATATGAGTAACTGAGTCTGTAGTGTTGAACCCATCAGTGGTGTTCGTCGTGGTGCTCGTCGTGGCCGTGGTGACCGTCCCAGGGATGTTTCAAGCCCTGTGTTGCGTCAATGAGAAACCAACAGAGGAGTTGGATGAGGCGAGAGGGAGAGGAGAGCTGGTCAGTATTTGTTCTTAGTTCGTTCGTTGAGCGGGCTCTGGTTCGGCATCCTGTGCCGGTCGATCCTAACAGCGATCTTCGCTCCGAGTCTTCCTCCGCGATACATGCGCTGCCTATATACCCTGTCCAATCTCGTCCCCGTCTGCTACTCCTGGCCTATCTAGACCATTCGTCTCCTCCACGAAAGCTCCCTCGCAAGATCGAAACACTCACCAAGAGAACAGCACCATCGTTCTTAGCGCGGTAGAAGATCCAGAACCACATTGTCGCACCGAGCAGCTTAGCTCCCCAGCGGTGCTTGAACGCCGGCTGGTGCGGGGCAAACCCGGGCATGGGTCGGTACCATCTTGAGGAGGAGGCGCCGGCTGTGTTTCCCGCCATCTTTGCTCTGCGTCTGCGAGAATGGAAGGGTGCGTGGGATCCGTGTTGGACAGATATTGCGGTGTACGTGTCAGCGGGTGATTGACTCGGGTGTAAGGTGGGTGGCGCGGAAGCTTACGGTGAGGTTGATGCGGAGAAGCAATGGTGAAAGGTGAGGAAGGGAGGGGGGATGGTGGGAGCGCGATTCTGATGTCGAATTGGGCAGCCGGGCTCGGTTCCGACTCGAATTTGTAGAAATGTTTGTGAGTGAGCGGTCGCACATCGGAAGGGATTTTTTAGCCTCCTCCTCTTCCTCGTCCTTGCAGATCTCGCATTCGTCTCAAGCTTTTCTTAGGCCTTGATCTGCCGTTCAGCCAACTCAGACGCACCTCGCACGAACATCACTGTGGCAGAATGACTCGCTGAGAACATTGATGTATTGCAAACGGATCAGAACTCAAAGGCATGCTCAAGTGAAGACGTAGCCGGCTCACACGATGCGCAAGCATCATCGACGCCGTCTCGCCCAACACCCAGACCTTCCGCCCTCGATCCCCAGCAGCCAAAATCCCCCATCATCGACCTCTTCCCATTGCAAACCGTCGTCCCAAAAGGAAGAAGAACATACGAACCCCCCTCCAAGAGTTCAGAAGGAAACAAAAATAGGTTATCGCCAGATGGTACGCTTCCACGTTGGGACCACGACCAGACCGTGCTTGACTCTATGTATTTGGTAATCATCATGTGTATGAGGGGGAATTGTTCTTTTTCTTTTGAGGAGACGGTTCACGGAATGGTGGCAGGTGAAACGAAGGGCGAGCTGGTGATGGGGGTCGAGGGTGGTGCTGCGGGTGTTGGCGGGTTGGCGGATGGTTCAGGGGATCACAGTCGGACACATGCTGTCGTGGACAAATTGCAAGTCGCGAGTCGCGAGTGGGTGAGCTGCTGCTACGATGACATTGTTGAAGAGGAGGTCGGAATGGTGGTGTTGGACAGAGAAGAGAAGATGCAAGGCTCGAACGAGCTTTTTGTTGCAACAAAAAATTCTCGTTCCGCAGCCTGCAGAGATCAAAAATCTGGGGCTGTTAGAGTGAAGAAGGTGATCGAGACAGATGGACTCTGCTCTAACAAATCATAAGATCGCGCCGCGGTTCAGAGTTGGGGCGAGAAACCCCAACTTCTCTCAACTGTCATGGCTGCTGGCCGCTCACATCGTCGCTGCATCCTCCTTCCTCCTTTGCATCTGACACGACCGCTGCTCGTTGTTGTCCTATGAGTGAATCATCAGACTCATGTTTCATTCGCCGCCCTGATGTGTCAGTCTGAGTGATGGCGAAGGACAACGCGTCGTCAAAAGGGCAGGGTAGATGCTTGGAGGACGATATCGATGCCAGCCCAAAGCACGGAGCCAGCTCGGCGAAATGCTCGCCCGTCAGCAGCGGGATCTTTCCGCAAACACGGAACAGCAACACGCGAGCACAGAGCACGGACTGAGGGATGGATCGATACGAGACGAGACGCACCAAATTCCAACCGAATTTCGTCGGTCAAATGTCGGCGAGAAAGAGAGAAAATAAGAGAGCTGTGCGCGCTGCGTTGCTGTCGAGAAGAAAAATCCAACGGTCAAATTTCCAAAAAGGACAGGCACAACGCAGAGCCACCCTTTTTTGGCAGGTGGTGTGAACCAACACCATCTACTTCTCCTTCCCTCCCTTCATCCGTCCTTGGGCGCTTGTCACACTGATCACAATGTCGTCCTTCTCGCGCAACCTCCTCCGCACCGCGGGCAAGGCCAAGAGCCTTCCCGCCTACTCGCGCAACGCCATCCCCTCCTCTTCGCGCTTCGTCCAGCTCACCGCCGAGGCCTCGCGTCCCAAGCAGGACCTCCCCGAGTCGCGCTCCGAAAAGTTCACGGTCGACCTCAACGAGGACTCGTTCAAGGGCTACAAGTTCGATGTTCCCAAGCTCGAGTGGGAAACCTCCAAGGATGAGCTCGTCCACCTCTACGAGGAGATGGTCAAGATGCGAAGAATGGAGATGGCCGCCGACCAGCTGTACAAGCAGAAGCTCATCCGCGGATTCTGCCACTTGGCCATCGGTCAGGAGGCCGTCGCCGTGGGCATGGAGGCCGGCATGAAGCCTTCCGACAAGCTCATCACCGCTTACCGCTGCCACCCCTTCACCGTCCAGAAGGGTGGTTCGATCAAGAGCGTCATCGCCGAGCTGTTCGGTCGCGAGGCCGGTATCTCCAAGGGCAAGGGTGGATCCATGCACATGTTCACCCCGACCTTCTTTGGTGGTAACGGTATCGTCGGTGCTCAGGTGCCCGTGGGGGCCGGTATCGCCTTTGCTCAGCAGTACCTCAACACCAACGACGCCACCTTCGCCATGTACGGCGACGGCGCCTCCAACCAGGGTCAGGTCTTCGAGGCGTACAACATGGCCAAGCTGTGGAATCTCCCCGCTGTTTTCGTTTGCGAGAACAACAAGTACGGCATGGGCACCTCCGCGGAGCGATCGTCGATGAATACGGCCTACTACACTCGTGGTGACGTGATCCCCGGTCTTCAGGTCAACGCCATGGACGTCCTCGCCGTCGCAGCCGCTACCAAGCACGCCTCGGAATTCACCCTCGGCGGCAACGGCCCCTTGCTCATGGAACTCGTCACCTACCGCTACGGTGGTCACTCCCTCTCCGACCCGGGCACAACCTACCGCACTCGCGACGAGATCCAAACCATGCGTTCCAGCTCCGACCCCATCCAGGGCCTCAAGACGCGTCTCCTCGATTGGGGCGTCGTCGAGGAAGCCCAGCTCAAGAAGATCGACAAGGCCGCCAAGGAGGAGGTCGACCAGGCCGTCGAGGAGGCCAAGCAGAGCCCCGAACCCAAAGAATCGACCCTCTGGGACGACATCTACTACCCCGGCACCGAACCCGATTGGCAGCGCGGCCGTGACAGGACCGAGATTCACCGCTACCGTTAAGCGCCAGCTACACTCTCGTTTGTAACATCTCCTTGCTCATATTGAAAGTTGGTTTTCACCTGTGATATCAGACTGTGCTCGTTTCGGATTGAGACTAGCCGCATTTCGCTTTGCGCACCCGGCTGATTGAAGCGTAAATGCAGATCGAGCACGCTAGAACAAGACCACACCGTTCGCAGTCAGTCCCGCCTCTCAAGCACGTTTGTAGAACCACACAGTGTGAGCAGCGTCACGGAAGTCGATTGAAGCGGATGATCATTCGAGCGTGCGGTGCGCTAATAGTAAAGCTTGAGCAGATCCAGTGCGGATCTTGCGGTCTCTGCTGTGGATCCTCCGCTGGCCTTGCCGATCAGTCCGTTGAGCAGCGAGTTGAGCCTCTGCACCTGAACGCCGCTGAGTGGGCCCACTTCGCCACCCAATCCAGCAAGCTTGCCCCCCGAGGTGGTGGACAGCTCGACCCAGGTCCTCGCAAACTCAGCCATTTCGGCCTGCAGGAAAGCCTGCCCGCCCTCCGTATTCCACGGTGCGGGACTCGTCACCAGCGCAGCCTCGAGAATGTCCAGTACGAGCTCGGGCGTCCCGGTAGCTGAGAGCAGCGTCTGCCCCGCCCATCCCTGCGGCACCTCCTTCCGCTCCAACGCATACCGCAACAGGTGGTCCAGCACGCCATCCACCGGACACGCCACGTCGCTGCGCAACCGCGCAAACAGCTCCACCACCAGCGTCGAGATCGCCTTGTACCCCTCCGTCCCGTTGCCGTGTTTGCCGATCAGCGCGGTCCAGATCTGATCCACCACAGCACCGTCATTCAATTCCGCCGAAGCAATCATCGCCAACTGCTCCTCCAACAGCTCAAACGGCTCCGCAATGTGCTTGTACAGACTACTCAAATCGAGCAGCTCCTCGTTCAGCCACTCCACCGAGTCACCCAGCAACCCACTCCTCTCCTCGTCCATCTCATCCGGACTAAGCTGCTGGAGCGACTGCAAGATCCTCGCTTGAATCTGGGCCACCTCCAACGAGTCCTCCGCCTGCCCAAGAAACGTCACCACATCATTGGCCATCGACGGCGACACACTCTTGGCATTGCCCACCGCCAACGCCAGGTACTCGATCCTCTCCCGCAGATCCATGGGGAACTCCTTCGAGTGCGCCAACGCATCCAACACCTGCGCAGCTGCAAAGTACTCCCCGTGTCGCACGTATAGCTGCCACAACAAATTCCGCAGCGTGCGTTGGAACTCCACATCCCCACTCTTCGCACCCGTCGGTCGCTTCAGAAGGAAACCCTCGAGGTAGGGCGTGCGCATCGACAGAAGCTGATCTGTCATGCGTCGCTCGATCAACCACGTGTACAGCGACTCGTGGAAGAAAGGGTCCGAAGAGGACTCGGCGCGAGAGTAGGCTTCCGTTCGCGCTTTGTCCCGCGTACTGATGGTAAGACGGACGGACGCTTCGTCTGCGTCGAGGTTGTAGGCTGCATCGAGACGCTCGTCGAGTTGCTGGAGGGTTTCGAAGACCAGCTGGTAGGCTTGTTGGACGCGATCGGCGAGTTCGCGACGGGCGCGATGCTCGGGTCCGTCAGGACTGCCTTCGGCGAGGTAGGAGGCGGCGATACCGGCAGGGTCCCATTCGGCTGCACACTGGAGCGCCAACTCGATGGCTCCCGTAGCGTAACCGAGCGCGCGATAGTCTTCGCAAATGCCTCGAAGCTTTTCGACCGAGAGCTGACTGGCTCCCTTGGCGAGGAGCTTCTGGCTCATGCGCAGGTTTTCCATCTTGTCCTGCTCGGAGCGCGTCTCTTTCGCTCGACGGATGCATTCGGTTGCTTTGTACTGTCGCACGTCGTCGGCGGAGCAGAAGCTGCCGCAGCGGTCCTGCAGCAGGTTGGCTACAGCGTCGATGCTGACCTGGGCACCGATGCGAGCCTCGATGAGAGCCGTGACCAGCTCCTTGGATGCACGTTTGCCTTCGTCCGAGGTGATCAGCTGACCAAAGCGCAGATTCGCAAGAACACCCTTGGCCTCCGCCGAGCATGCGTCGATCAGGGGCTTGAGACCGTGATCGATGAGGAAGAGCATGAAGTTGGTCGCTTCCGTTGCTCTCGAAACGAGCGCTTTGAGACGGCTGAAGCTCTCCTGGTCGAGCTTGGCTGCGCGCTCCTGGTCGTAGCCGACGCCGTTGATGAAGCTGCGGTTGGCAGCAGAGGTGCCGCCGAGACCGAAGAGTTTGCCGCTCTTCTGCATGAAGTCCTGGAGCGGGACCAGGTCCTGCAGCGTCTCTTCGAGGTCTTCTTTGCGAAGTGGCAGCTTTGAGCCACTGGAGGGAGCGGCAGCTGCGCCGGCAGGGCGGTATGTGGTGAGCGCGGTGCTGGACGTGGCGGTGATGGCTGGCTTGGAACCTGGCTTAGCTGGCTCAGGGGGCATGATACCGCGATCCCAGACACGTTTGAGAATGCAGGCGATGTAAAGGGCAAGGCCATCGTGACGGGACGTTCTCGGTGTGGACAGAGCAGCAGAGACGGTCGTGTCGGCAGGCCAAGAGCCATATTGGCTGAAGAAGACGCGAGACGCTAGGGCGACCGCCTCCTCCGACACGGTCTGGGCAAGGCCGGCGGGAACTCCGCCCGACGAGCCGATCGTGACGCGGGGAGCCGCTACCTGCGAATTGTGCGCCGCGATAGCGAGGGCGGTCTCGCAGGCTTCGATCGAGCCGAAGGAGCCAAAGAATTGCATCATGGCTGCGCTGTTGACGGCAGCACCCGATTCGAGCAGGCCTCGCAGCGTGTCGACGGGCCGACGCTCCACGAGCTCGGTGAGTCCGTTGTTGTCCAGCACGAGGAAGCTGCGTGGTGGTCTCAGGCACTGCGCGTATGTTGGGCGCACCAGCTCGCCGTTCTCGGTGATCGGTGGCAGAGGACGGGAGGGAGGCGCCTCGGCAAAGACAGGTGTGCTGAAAGCGAGTTCGAGATCGATGAAGGTGGCCTTTTCGGATGGGCCAGTGGTGGTGCTGTTTGCGTTGAGCGCAGGAGTGATGCAGCAGATCTGACAGGGGAGGCTGTTGTAGTTGAAGCCCACCATAAACACATCGCCTGCGTAGAAGACCGAAGAGACTGCTCGGGTGATTTGCTGCTGCTGTGCGACTTGCTGCTGTTGTTGTTGCTGTTGTTGCAGATAATTGCCGGGGCCAGAAGTAGAAGCAACTCCAGGAGGCTGTTGCAGTGCCGGTGGAGCTCGTACGGTGATGGCGGGTTCGGAACGACCCTGGAAGTTGTCCAAGAAGATGCGGTAGCCACGATCGGTGACAGCAAGTAAAACGACATTGTATCGTGCCTCGCGTTCCACGGGACCAATCCAGACGATCGAGCCAACATCGTGCCTTGCGTGTGGTGTGCCCTGCTGCCCTGACGTGCCGATGGTCTGTCCGCGTCGTTCTGGTGCTGATGAGGAGTCCTTGGATGGTAGGCTGAAGACCTCAATCAAGTCGCCCTGTCGAAGGGTGTAGACGAGCTGGCGAACGTTGTCGACGGTGATGCTGAGAAGCTTCTTCTCGGCCTTGACGAAGGTGGGAAGGAGATTGGAAAGGCGAGGATTGGTGATGTTGCGCAAGTAGCACTTATTTGTGAACCAGCCCTCATTTCTCTGGTACACGAGTTCATAGAGGCAGTTGTCGGAGCCCGTCGCAAAGATGCGGCCGCCGTCGGTACCAGTGAGGTTGTCGAGGACCACGCCATTGGTGTTGGCGTTCATGCCGGCCTCCAGCACCTCGACTTTGGACTGGTCGCCGTTCTGCGTGTAGGACAGGCCCAAGACCTTGACGTATTTGCCCTCTCGGACCGAGGCGCCGATACTGAGCACGAGCACATGGGTGACAATGTCGGCGAAGACGCCGGCTCGGACTGGTACGACGCTCGCAGCGATGACAACTTGGTCCTCGGGGACACAGTAGAACTCGAAAGCAGCTTGGCCTTCGAGGTAGGACCACAGGTAGACCTTGTTGTCGACGGTGATGCACGCTCTACGTATGGATGGGAACAGAGACTGCGTCGCGGTCGGGCTTGCGCTCTTGATGCCTGTAAACACATCTGGTGGGATGGGAAGCGTCCTGGACTTGTCAAAGCCGACCCATGGATCGAGACGGTGCTGTTGATACGGTGCGTCGCGCTGCGGGGTCCTCTGCTTGACCTCAGGGAGTGCGATTCTACCCTGTTCGCATCGTCGGAACGTTGCCTCTGCTTCACGCAGGGACTCGAGCGAGTACGGCTCAGCAGCCATGGTGGGCCAGGATAGCGGATGCCGAAGTGAAGGTTGGTCCGTTTCCTCCTGGGCGAAAGTCCAATGAGCACAGCCCTTTCTGGCTGGAACGCTTACGCTTTTGCTGAGCTCGGGTGGACGACCGCGATGCTGAGCAAGCAATGAGATGTTTGTGTGTGGTGGGCTGAGCGGACGGGCGATGAGTGACGAAGAGAAGAAAGTTGAACGATGCGGGATCCGTCACTTTCCAAAATTCTGTTGCTGCCCTGTGCAGTCAGTCAACTCTAGCAAATCGGGCTGAGCAACTCGACTCGATCTGTGATTCACTCAACACGCCGTCTCTCAGTCGCGCGACGCGTTGAGCTGCTCAGCTGTGGGAAATTTCCCTCAAAGACCAACACCGCGAGAAGGGCTCAGCTCTCCACACATTCACAGCTTGGAAGACTCGAAGGACTGGCACCTCCAACGATCTTGCCTTTATCCATCACCATCGACCTGAACAGGACCTCGCCGAGATGTTTCGAACCGCAGCTCCTCCCACCGTGCCATCGAGCTTCGGCAACGTGTCCAGCTCGGCGCACGCGAGCACCTCCGCATCTGGCTCTGTAGCCAGTCATCCTACCAACAAGGCGCTTGCAAGATACCCGCACCGACTCAACTTCTATTCGGTGCCGCCCGTTCATGAGGTCACCATCGAGCAATTCGAGTCCTGGGCTATCGACCGTCTCAAGGTGTTGGCAGAGATCGAGTCGTCGCAGGCTCGCAATCGAACCTATGCCGAGACCAGAGACGCCGTCAATGCGACTGCGAAGCGATTGCTGCCACTCAATGCCAACACCGCCGTCAAGAGCGCCGATCTGCTCGCTGAACGTCTCAAGGACCATGTCAGCCATTTTGTGCTGCGTCTCGCTTTCTGCCGCAGCGAAGACTTGCGACGACGCTTCGTCAAGGCCGAGTCGCTCCTGTTCCGACTTCGCTTTGAGACAGACGATGCAACGGAACGAGAGATCTTCATGCGCTCTCTCAATCTCGACTGGAATCCTGTCTCTGGCGAAGAGAAGAGGATGTATCGTGAACAGCTCGTAGCCACGCACCCCAAGATGGCGTCGACCTTCGAAAGCGAAACCTTCTTCAAAGTCGACTGGACGCGCGTCACGGATCTCGTCGAGAAGCGCAAGGTGTTCATGCGTGCAGGTCAAGCATGGGTCCCCATCAAGGAGCAGTCCAGTCTCGTCCTGGCCGAGTTCCAGTCGCGATTGCTCCGCGATCTTGAGATGACCGCCCGAGCTCTGCCACGCTTGGACGAAGATGATCGTCTGTTGCCGGTCCTCTCCCACCTCAGCATGGGCTTTCTCGCTGGCATCTCGACCGACTACTCCGGCTCTAGCATCACCGCGGATGGAAGCACCACCGTCACCGCGGGCATGGTCGACGCGTTGGTCAAGACACACGCTCCCATGTGCATGAAGAACCTGCATCACACCTTGACAGCCACGGGCCATCTCAAGCACTACGGCCGACTGCAGTACAACCTCTTCCTCAAAGAGCTGGGCCTGCCGGTCGAAGAAGCGCTCGTCTTCTGGAGACGAAGCTTCAAGAGCATGACCGACGACAAGTTCAACAAGGAGTACCGCTACAACATCCGTCACGGCTACGGTCTCGAAGGTCGACGCATGAACTACCCTGCCAAGAGCTGCGCTCGCATCTTGACCCAAGATCAGCCAGGTCCTCAAGATTCGCATGGTTGCCCCTTCCGTCACTTCTCGACGACAAACCTGTCATCGGCTATGGTGCAGCACTACGGTCTCAACCAGTCGGAGCAGTCTGAGATCCTGGCCTCGGTCAAGCAGGGCCACTACCACGTGGCTTGCACACGCATCTTTGAGATCACCCATCAGCGACAGGGTGTCAAGAAAGGCACGGGTCTCGATGGCCGCGGCGAGACGGTCACGCATCCCAATAGGTACTTTGAGAGCAGTTGGAAGCTCGCACAGGCCGACGGCAATGGAGAGAGCGGAGAGGGCAGCCAGAGGAACTCGCCTGATCATGACATGGACGCCAGCGCTACATCGCAAGAACCAGAACAGACGGTGGTGGCCGCAACGACGGAGACAGCGCCAGCAGCTGATGGTATGGACGAGTCGTAGCGCCTTCGAACGTCTGATCTCTCCCATGCATGCCTCCTCCTCTCGCTTTGTCTCTCTCGCATCTCATGTAAAGCACTCCTTCCCGTTCGCGACCGCCAATACCATCCATGCATTCTCCCAAAAGCCTTGTTCGGTTTCGTTTCTGCTTGAGGCTGCGGACGCAAGCTATGCCGAAAAGACATCTGCAAGAAGCTCCGGTAGGTGACACACCAACATCAGAAGTGATGACCAAAAAGAGAAAGGTTTGAGGTGATCCCAGATGCGCAGCTTTCAAGCAACTCCAAATTGAAGTAGATGCTCCCTATCCGCCTTGGAACCCACCGGATACGTGCAGCTGAGGATCAGCGTGTGAAGTGCTCGGGTGACCGACTCCTTCGAGCCCGAAGGCTGTTGACTCCCAATTCAATGGGTCGCCACGCTGGCTTACTTGCTGAGCAGGCATCCATTGCTAGACGCGTGCTGGATCAGCAGCTCCTCAACCATCCGATAGAAAGGCTAACATTTGTGGGGCGCGCTTCGGCTGAGACCTCATTCCAGAGGTGCACCCATTACAGGTGAAAGGCAACAGCCACGCCAAATGTAGTCAAACGGCAAAATGGGAGGCTGCGGGTTAGAAGGGTCGTCGACGAAAATTCAAAAAACCTATAACAATGTGAGATCTGCCCTTCGCGGTCCGGCCAAGGCGGCTCGAAGAAAATGACTCGGGGCCGTGATGCTGTTTGAGAAGAAAAATTGCAAATTCAGAGGGCAGCAAGCAGCAAGCAGCAGCAGCAGAGAGGAAGGCTTTGCAGATCCAGAGCAAAGGCGGAGCTCCAGCAGCAGCGAGCAGCGGCCCTGTGCGTTTTGATTGAAGTGCTCGACATGGCCGTCTGATCCACCTTTCCTTCTTGGATTTCCATCTCTCGGCATCGATTGATCACCATCCTTGGTTTCCTCTCCAGGGAAATCTTGTGACACAACGAAACACTCATCATGGCTGCGATGCCAAAACCCTCCGACTCCAAGACGGGCGGCAAGGCCACCGTCTTGCTCGGTTCCCAGTGGGGCGACGAGGGCAAGGGCAAGCTCGCCGATGTTCTCAGCGGTCAGATGGACGTCTGCGCTCGTTGCGCCGGTGGTAACAACGCCGGCCACACCATCGTCGCCGACGTCAACGGCGTCAAGACCAAGTTCGACTTCCACCTTCTCCCCTCGGGTCTCGTTAACCCGCGCTGCGCCGGCTTCATCGGTTCCGGTGTGGTGGTGCACGTCCCCTCGTTCTTCGCCGAGCTCGACACGATCGAGAAGAAGGGCCTCAACTGCGACGGTCGTCTGTTCATCTCGGACCGTGCTCACCTCGTCTTTGACTTCCACCAGGTCGTCGACGGTCTCAAGGAGGTCGAGCTCGGCGGAAGCAGCATCGGCACCACCAAGAAGGGCATTGGGCCGGCCTACTCGTCCAAGGCTTCGCGATCGGGTCTGCGGGTGCACCACCTCTACGACCCGGAGCTGTTCGCCTCCAAGTTCCGCAAGCTCGTCGAGGGTCGTTTCAAGCGATACGGCCACTTTGAGTACGATACCGAGGGCGAGATCGCCCGCTACCGTGCTTTCGCCGAGCGACTGCGACCTCACATCGTCGACGGTGTCACCTTCATCCACACTGCGCTCGCACAGAACCGCAAGGTGCTGGTTGAGGGTGCCAACGCGCTCTTCCTCGACATTGACTTCGGAACCTACCCCTTCGTCACCAGCTCGTCCACTTCGATCGGCGGTGTGCTCACCGGTCTCGGCATCCCGCCTACTGCCATTGGCAACGTCATCGGTGTCATGAAGGCGTACACTACCCGTGTCGGCATGGGACCCTTCCCCACCGAGCTTCACGAGGAGATTGGCCACCACCTGCAAGAAGTTGGTGCCGAGTACGGTGTGACCACGGGCCGTCGACGTCGTTGTGGCTGGCTCGACTTGGTCATGATGCGCTACTCGTGTCTGATCAACGGCTACACCAGCCTCAACTTGACCAAGCTCGATGTGCTGGATCAGCTCAAGGAGCTCAAGATCGCCGTTGGATACGTCATCGATGGCAAGGAGCTGCCTAGCTTCCCCGCCGACCTCGAGGTGCTGGCCAAGGTCGAGGTGCAGTACAAGACATTGCCAGGATGGCAGGAGGACATCTCGAAAGCGACCACTTGGGAGGAGCTGCCGCAGAACTGCCGCAACTACGTCGATTTCATCGAACAGTTCCTCGGCGTCAAGATCGAGTGGATCGGCGTGGGACCTGCTCGCGAGTCGATGATCCACCGTGCGTGATAGTCTCGCCTGTACGCACTTGTCTGCGTTGTTTTCATAGAAATCCAAAGATCCTTGTTGTTCATACGATGCTCTGAAGCTGTCCGATGATCGTACTGCGTTGAGACAGTGTCTGTTGACACTGCAAGCTGGCTCGGAGGATCGAGTCTCTAATGACTCGGACATCTCCGACAATGCGCAGCAGTCAAAGATGCTCGACTTAGATGGCCGTTCGGTCGACCTTCTCCTGACTGGCCAAGAACAAGAAAGCGACTGAAAAAGGAGGACGAGAAAAGGAGCGGAAAAGTCAGCATCCGTGCTCACTCGAAGTCTAACATAATAGGAAAGACTTGCACGATTTCGGCCGGCTTGCTCGAGCGAGAAGGCGTGCTGAAGCCGGAAAACTTTATCGATCGGTCAGAACCGGAAATGAGCCGCAAGCAGCGACCTTGCAAGTTTCCGCGCCTGGTCGAAGCTCCCGCTGATGCTCGCTCAGCTTGAAGACCGAGAATCTCACCGAGCGGCGTCTCTTGACCGTCCAGCTGACTTTACAGCAGGTCTTTTGATCACACGTTACAATGCGTCGAAGTCAGCACGGCAGCTCTAATGCCTCGTGACCGTGGTTGAGCTTTCACCGAATCTTGTGACCGCTGGCTGCACCGTCGGATGACCCACTCAAACGAGCGAGCAAGAAGGCACGCCGGATGGATGACCTGGAGTGGCGCCTTATTGTGTGCGGTGAGCTGGTCGGTCTTTTTCTTGCTGCGAGGTGACTCGAAGGCGGTCTCGGTCCAGCCTCGCGGATTCTCCACCGAGCAAAAAAAATTAGCCTTTCACGCAGTGAGCCGTGCTGCCATTGTGGAAGCGAACCTTCGGCCGAATGCTTTTAAAGAAGATCGAGGAGATTGGACCCTTGATGAAGATGAAACTGAGGAATGTGATTGGACGGATTAGAGTTGCGCGGCCTGAGATGCAGGAGCAGCTCTTTTTGATCCTTCTTCTTTCGCGTCGACATTAGAGGCGTGGACGGAAGGAATTTCAAAAAAACAGAATTCGAGGCAGCAGAGAGCGGTCTGATCTGAAAAGTCGTCAGCTTTGCGAGGCTGCCTCTCTACATTGCCGGCGCACCAAATGGATCACATCTGATTGGATCATTGATCAGGCTTGAAGAGTGGGGGGCGCGAGCAACGAGCAAGCCACTGACCACACAAGCTCAAAGCCATGCACTCTCTCCGCTCCGAGACCGCCGTTCAACCAATGGCAGACGTCTGCTTTGTCCCTTTTTTCGCTTTCAGAGACCGGCTTTTTCGACGAGATGACCGCCTGCCACCGAGCTAGCTTCTGGCAGGCAGAGTGAAAGCACCCGACTGAGCTCCGGCTTGCGTTGCTTGTTCGAATGCCCACCGCTGACTGACCATTCTGTCGGCCCGTATTGTGATCATGCTTTTTCTTCTCCAGTCTGTGACCCCGCGCCAAGAAGATTGAACTGCTCCCATCGACTTTTTTTTCTTGTTCTCGGACGCGCTCCGTTGGTATCCACCTCTACACCATCACAATCTCATCCGCACTTCTTTGCCGCCATCACACCCAGCGACAAACACTTCGTCAATTCACAAACACACGATCAGCATTGGAATTCAGGTCCTAAGCCAACCTGTCTACATCTGCAACCTTCATTCACCAAAGCCAACCCAAAATTGCCTCAGTTCTAGGCATCTCAAGTCTTTCGACACTCTTTCTCCGCACACGACTAAGGATTCCTCCAGGTGAGTAGCTCGAGCCACAACCTTCGACCATCAGATTGGATGCGGACCACAGAACTGGAGCATGGTGCCCAACAGGGAGGCAGCAGCAGACATAGGCATCATCATCGCCATCGTCTAGCTGGCGATCCTATGGCATGGACGACGATGTTTCTGTTAGGGTCCGCGATGATGCTGCGCGCGAGGTCTCGGCTGCGTCAACTTTAGATTTGGCCCCGCAAGGGACTTTTTTTCTAGATTGATCAAAAAGAGACCCGAGGGCACACGGCAGCGGCGACCACCTTTCTTCTCGCTTGGATTTTCGACCTTTTTTCTCTGGCTCTTGAAAGGGCTCAGCTCGGTTGGACGGGCTTTCAAAGAGCGATGGAAGATGTCCAATTTGGCAGGCACGCGCTCGCTTCGTTGATTTTTCTGCTTTGATAATCTATCAAAGTCGGAACCGCTGCCTGCTGCCTGCTGCCTGCTGCCGCCTTGACCGGCAAATTTTCTTTCCGCGAGCTCGCGAGCTGGTCAGAGGAAAATTTCTGTTCTGGCGTAGCCAACCTGTCAATGTCGGCGACTGACCGGCAGCAGACGTTGGCGTTGGAGACCAAGCGAAGTGGGGTTGTGTCTCGCTCATTGTGCGAACCTCAGCCGCGCTCAGTGAGCAAGCACCCTTGCTTACCGTCAGATCGGAATCCAAAAGTGCCACACCAGCTTAGCCTCAGCAAGCTGCGAAAAATAGCGATTCGCCGCCGCCGCCCAAGCTGCTTCTGTCTCTGCTTGTTCAGGGGTCGAGACCGCTGTATAGACTGCTAGCTGCTGCTGCAACGAGGGCCAGTCTGTGCGCCCACGCTGTCGTTGATCTATTCATGCCTTGCATACGGATCAAATTGCACGTCTGGGATTGGTCGGCTCTGTTGAAAGGCGGTCAAATTGCCCGAGTCAGATTTTGCTTTTGCCTTTGCCTTATTGGCTCTCCGCTTGCTCCGTCGCGGTCCGCAGCCCTTCTCGCCACTCTCACGCTGCTCCTGCTGCCACTAACTTAGTGCATCCCTGACTGACCCACGTCTCATATACGATTGTCCCCACCTTCTTCTCTTCCCGTCTATCCCACACACACAAATCATCATTCCAATCATCCCTGCGACACACCAACCCATCATTCACCACCGTTACGAATCCGCAGGTCGAGTTCCGTTCCTTTCAAGCAAGCCTTTCCTCTTTCGCATTCCGTATTCTATCGGGAGTCTGTAGCAAGAGTCATCCACGAATACCCCTCGACAATCAGCATACCAGGGCAAGCATCTCCGCACTTGTTCACATCGCATCCATAGACAGTCTATTGAAGCCCTAAGCCAGCTTCGTTCAGCTCTCGTCCACCTCCGATCTTTCCCCTTCCGCTAACACCACCTCGTCTCGAGTGGCCTGTTATGGCTCCCGTCGCCACCTCCAACCAAAACACCCGCCAGGTTCGCTTCGTTGAGGCACAGAAGCTCCACGCCGAGCTCAACGCCGAGCAGGCTGCCATCCACCACGAGGAGGCCATCACTTCCGACAACTTCGACGAGAGCGGCTACGATGAGGTGAAGCGCTCCGACGCCTTCTGGGCCGGCTCTCTGCCCGCCGCCCAGGGTCTCTACGACCCCGACAACGAGAAGGATGCCTGTGGTGTCGGTTTCATGTGCCAGATCAAGGGCAAGCCCACGCACAAGATTGTTTCTGATGCGCGCTTCCTCCTCTGCAACATGACCCACCGTGGTGCCGTCGGTGCCGACGCTCGTGACGGTGACGGTGCCGGTGCCATGACTGGTATCCCAGACGCCTTCTTCCGCCGCGAGTGCGAGCGCGACCTCAACGTCAAGCTCCCCGCTCAGGGCCAGTACGCCGTCGGTAACTTGTTCTTCAACCCCAAGGACGACAAGGCCCGCGCCGAGCACATCCAGACCTTCACCAGCATCGCCGAGAAGCTTCACCTTCGCGTTCTCGGGTGGCGTGATGTCCCCGTCGACAACTCGATCCTCGGCCCCGCTTCCAAGAGCAAGGAGCCCAAGATCATGCAGCCCTTCGTCGTCCTCAAGGACCACTACGGCTCTGGCGATGCCCCTGCCGAGACCTCCAAGGCCTTCGACGATCAGTACTTTGGCCGTCAGCTCTACGTTCTCCGCAAGCACGCCACCCACACCATCGGTCTTCAGAACTGGTTCTACATCTGCTCGCTCAGCCCCACCAACATTATCTACAAGGGTCAGCTCAGCCCCGTCCAGGTGTACAACTACTACTACGATCTCAACAACGTCCACTACGCCTCTCACTTTGCCCTCGTCCACTCGCGTTTCTCCACCAACACCTTCCCCTCGTGGGACCGTGCTCAGCCTATGCGATGGGCCGCTCACAACGGTGAGATCAACACTATCCGCGGCAACAAGAATTGGATGCGCGCTCGTGAGGGTCTCCTCAAGTCCGAGACTTTCGGCGACGAGCTCGACCTCCTCTACCCCATCATTGAGGGTGGTGGATCCGACTCGGCTGCTTTCGACAACGTTCTCGAGCTGCTCGTCATCAACAACGTGCTTACCCTTCCTCAAGCCGTCATGATGATGATCCCCGAGGCCTGGCAGGGCGACAGCTCCCACATGGAGCCCGAGAAGGTTGCCTTCTACCAGTGGGCCGCCTGTCTCATGGAGCCTTGGGACGGTCCCGCGCTCTTCACCTTCGCCGACGGTCGCTACTGTGGTGCCAACTTGGACCGCAACGGTCTCCGACCTTGCCGTTACTACATCACGGACGACGACATTATGATCTGCGCCTCCGAGGTCGGTACCGTCACCATCGACCCCAAGACCGTCATCGCCAAGGGTCGTCTCCAGCCCGGTAAGATGTTGCTCGTCGACACCGTCGAGGGTCGCGTCGTCGAGGACCGCGAGCTCAAGCTCACCACCTCGCAGCGTGCCGACTTTGCCGCTTGGCTCGAGAACCAGCTGCTGCGCTTGCCCGAGATCGTCGACACCGTTCGTCGCAACACTAGCAACGCCATCGCTCCCGTTCTCGACCAGGAGCGCCTTAGCACCGACCCCAAGCTGCTTGCTTTCGGTTACACCGCCGAGCAGATCAACCTGCTCATGCTTCCCATGATTGCCGACGGAAAGGAGGCTCTGGGTTCCATGGGCAATGATGCTCCGCTCGCCTGTATCTCGACCGCTCCTCGTGTCATCTACGACTACTTCCGCCAGCTCTTCGCCCAGGTCACCAACCCTCCCATCGACCCCATCCGAGAGTCGGTCGTCATGTCGCTCGAGCAGTACGTCGGTCCCGAGGGCAACCTGCTCGAGATGAAGCCCGAGCAGTGCCACCGTCTGCTCCTCCCTTCGCCCATCCTCAGCATCGACGAGCTCAACGCCATCAAGCAGATCGACTCGGTGCACGGCGACTGGACTGCCAAGACCATCGACATCACCTACGACAAGGGTGAGGGCATCATCGGCTACGAGAGCACTCTCGACCGCATCTGCTCCGAGACCTCGCAGGCCATCCGCGACGGCTACCGTGTCGTTGTCCTCTCCGACCGAGCTGTCAGCGCCGACCGCGTCGCCATCTCGTCCCTCGTTGCTTGCGGTGGTGTTCACCACCACCTCATCCGCAACAAGGAGCGAAGCCGCATCGCCCTCATGATCGAGTCCGCCGAGGCTCGTGAGGTGCACCACATGTGTGTGCTCCTCGGTTACGGTGCCGATGCCATCTGCCCCTGGCTCGCCATGGAGGCCATCCTTAAGGTCGCTCGCGAGGGCCTCGTCAAGGCTGATCTCTCGGCCGGCCAGCTCATCGACAACTGGACCCACGCCGTCGACAACGGTATTCTCAAGGTCATGTCCAAGATGGGTATCTCCACCCTCGCCTCGTACAAGGGTGCGCAGATCTTCGAGGCCCTTGGTCTTGCCAGCGACGTCGTCGACCGCTGCTTCGCCGGCACTGCCTCGCGTGTCTCTGGTTCCGACTTTACCCTGCTCGCCATGGACGCTCTCGAGTTCCACGACCGCGGCTACCCTTCGCGTGACACCGTCTCCATCCCCGGTCTTCCCGAGTCCGGCGAGTACCACTACCGTGACGGTGGTGAGGCGCACATCAACGACCCTATGGCTATCGCCCACCTCCAGGATGCCGCTCGCGAGCGCAACCAGTCTGCCTGGGACGCCTACTCCAAGGCCTCGCACAACGCCGTCAAGGCCACCTCGCTTCGCGGCATGCTCGACTTTGACTACACCAAGTCGCGCGCCATCCCCGTTGACCAGGTCGAGCCTTGGACCGAGATCGTGCAGCGCTTCTGCACGGGTGCCATGTCGTACGGATCCATCTCGATGGAGGCGCACTCGGCGCTCGCCATTGCCATGAACCGTCTCGGCGGCAAGTCCAACACCGGTGAAGGTGGTGAGGATGCTGAGCGATCGATCCCTCTCCCCAACGGTGACTCGCTCCGTTCCAAGATCAAGCAGATCGCCTCGGGTCGTTTCGGTGTTACCAGCAACTACCTTGCCGACTCGGACGAGCTGCAGATCAAGATGGCGCAGGGTGCCAAGCCTGGTGAGGGAGGAGAGTTGCCTGGTCACAAGGTCTCTCCCTCCATCGCCCGCACGCGTCACTCTACCGCTGGTGTCGGTCTCATCTCTCCCCCTCCTCACCACGACATCTACTCGATTGAGGATCTCAAGCAGCTGATTTACGATCTCAAGTGCGCCAACCCGCGCGCGCGCGTCAGTGTCAAGCTCGTCTCCGAGGTCGGCGTCGGTATCGTCGCCTCTGGTGTCGCCAAGGCCAAGGCTGACCACATCCTGATCTCGGGCCACGACGGTGGTACCGGTGCCTCGCGATGGACTGGTATCAAGTACGCCGGTCTGCCTTGGGAGCTCGGTCTCGCCGAGACCCACCAGACGCTCGTGCTCAACGACCTCCGTGGTCGCGTTACCGTGCAAACCGACGGTCAAATTCGTACCGGTCGTGACGTCGCCATCGCCTGTCTCCTCGGCGCCGAGGAGTTTGGCTTTGCGACCACTCCTTTGATCGCCCTAGGCTGCATCATGATGGTAAGACCCCGATTTTCACCGTGTTTCCGTTGACGACGATGCCTCTTGACGTCGTCGACATCGTTTGAGATGGTGTCAGTATGCTGACGATCGCGTCTTGCCCCCCTTTTTCTTTTTGTTTTTTTTTTTGTTTTCTTTTCTTTTTTTCAGAGGAAATGCCGTAAGTATTCTCCGCGCGACCTAACATATTCCCATCGCCGTCGTAACCATACTGACATCATCTCATCTCTTCTCACCCTCTCTCCATCGCTTCTCTTGCTTTAACGATGCTAGATCTGAACACGTGTCCCGTAGGAATCGCTACGCAGGATCCCGAGCTCCGCGAGAAGTTCGCCGGCCAGCCCGAGGCCGTTATCAACTTCTTTTACTATCTCGCCGAGGAGCTTCGATCGGTGATGGCCAAGCTCGGTCTCCGTACCATCAACGAGATGGTCGGCCGATCTGACCTTCTCAAGGTGGACGACAGCCTCCGTACGCCCAAGACCAAGAACCTCGATCTCAGCGCCCTGCTGAAGCCCGCACACGAGATGCGTCCTGGAGCGGCTACGTACAAGGTCCGTCAACAGGACCACAAGCTCTACGTCCGTCTTGACAACAAGTTCATCGATGAGGCCGAGCCTGCCCTCACCCAGGGTCTGCCCGTCCAGATCGAATGTGACGTTGTCAACACGGACCGAGCCCTTGGTACCACGCTCTCGTACCGTGTCTCGAAGCTGTACGGTGAGGAGGGTCTGCCGCGTGACACCATCCACATCAACGCCAAGGGTTCGGCTGGTCAATCGCTCGCTGCCTTCCTGGCTCCCGGTATCACCATCGAACTCGAGGGAGACTGCAACGACTACGCTGGGTTCGTACAACTTCTCCCTACCTTTCCCCGGCCTTCCGTGATTCAGCTTCACTAACACGTTTCCCTTTTATTCCACTTTGCAGCAAGGGCATGTCCGGAGGACGTCTCATCGTTTACCCTCCCAAGGAATCTTCCTTCAAGGCTGAAGAAAACGTCATCGTCGGCAACACCACCCTCTTCGGTGCCATCACAGGGCACGCCTACTTCAGGGGATTGGGTGCAGAGCGTTTCGCCGTCCGCAACTCTGGTGCCCATGCCGTCGTCGAAGGCGTCGGCGACCACGCATGCGAGTACATGACCGGTAGGTGACAAAACTCCCCATCCTGACCTTTGGAGACGTCTGCTGACCACCAAACTTGCTTTTCGATCTTCACAGGAGGTCGAGTTGTTGTTCTCGGACCCACTGGACGCAATTTCGCTGCCGTAAGTGTCACGGTCTCCATCCTTGAGTGGCAAAAGAAACATCTTCTGACCTTTGTTCTTTCCCCCCTTATGATTGTGTCTCGATGATTACAGGGCATGAGCGGAGGTATCGCCTACGTGCTGGACATGAACCGCGACTTCCACACCAAGTGCAACACCGAGATGGTGGAGCTTGGCCCTGTCAAGGATCCCAAGGAGATTGCCGAGCTGCGCAACCTGATCGAAAATCACCGCCACTACACTCACTCCACCGTGGCCGACCACGTCCTCCACGAGTTCCACCACATTCTGCCCCGCTTCGTGCGCGTCATGCCCCTTGACTACAAGCGCGTGCTCGAGGAGGAGGCCGCCAAGGCCGCTGCCGACAAGAAGCGATCGAGCCACGTCGACCTGCTCGGCACGCTCTCTCGCCACGGCTCTCAGGTCGAGATCTTGGTTCAAGAGGACAACCCGAAGGACAACGCTGCCGACAAGGTTCGCGAGATCCCCGCTGCCAAGCCTGTTGAGCCCAACGTGGTTGATGTCGAGGACTCCATGGTCGACGACGAGACCGCCAAGGCTCGTCTCAGCAAGCTCGACAAGACGCGCGGCTTCATGAAGTACAAGCGTCTCGGTGAGAAGTACCGCAACCCCACCAAGCGTGTCAAGGATTTCAAGGAGCTCTCGGTCCGTCTCAGCGATGCCGAGCTTAAGTACCAGACGGCTCGTTGCATGGATTGCGGTGTTCCCTTCTGCCAGGCCGACACTGGTTGCCCCATCTCGAACATCATTCCCAAGTGGAACGATCTCGTGTTCAAGGGTCAATGGGAGGATGCGCTCAACCGTCTCCTCATGACCAACAACTTCCCCGAGTTCACCGGTCGTGTCTGCCCCGCTCCTTGTGAGGGCGCCTGTGTGCTCGGCATCACCGAGCAGCCCGTCGGCATCAAGTCGATCGAGTGCGCCATCATCGACAAGGGCTTCGACGAGGGCTGGATGGTTCCTCGTCCTCCCAAGGTCCGCACTGGCAAGACGGTCGCCGTCATCGGCTCCGGTCCCGCCGGTATGGCTGCCGCTGACCAGCTCAACCGCGCTGGTCACTCCGTCACCGTCTACGAGCGCGCTGACCGCATCGGTGGTCTGCTCATGTACGGTATCCCCAACATGAAGCTCGACAAGGGTGTTGTTCAGCGTCGTGTCGACCTCATGGCCGCTGAGGGTGTCAACTTCATCACCAGCACCGAGGTTGGTCGTGACGTTGACCCCAAGCAGCTGCACGCTCAGAACGATGCCGTCATCTACGCTGTCGGTGCCACCTGGCCTCGTGATCTCAAGATCACCGGCCGCGAGGCCGACGGTGTTCACTTCGCCATGGACTTCCTCTCGCCCAACACCAAGTCGCTGCTCGACTCTGGCCTGCAGGACGGCCACTACCTCAGCGCCAAGGACAAGGACGTCATCGTCATTGGCGGTGGTGACACGGGTAACGACTGTCTCGGCACCTCGCTCCGTCACGGCGCCAAGAGCATCGTCAACTTTGAGCTGCTGCCTCAACCCCCCAACGAGCGAGCCAAGGGCAACCCCTGGCCTCAGTTCCCTCGCGTCTTCAAGGTGGACTACGGTCACACCGAGGTGGCGGCACAGTGGGGTTCGGACCCGCGCGAGTACTGCATCTCCACCACCTCGTTCGAGAAGGATGCCGAGGGCAAGCTCGTGGCGCTCAACACGATCAAGGTCAACTGGGAGCTCGACGCGTCTGGCAAGTGGCAGATGAACAAGATTCCTGGTTCCGAGAAGCGATGGCCATGCGATCTGTGCTTGCTCTCGCTCGGTTTCCTTGGACCCGAGAACGACGCCATCTCGGCGTTGGGTCTCGAGCAGGATGGACGAAGCAACATCAAGGCGGACGACCAGAAGGGCAAGTCGCCGTACAAGACCAACGTCGAGCGCGTCTACACTGCGGGCGATTGCCGACGTGGTCAGTCGCTCATCGTGTGGGGCATCCAGGAGGGTCGTGCGTGCGCTGCTCAGGTTGACAGAGACCTGATGGGCAACACCCGCCTCCCCTGGGCCGGCTCCATCAAGAAGCGCGAGTTCCTCCCCATCACTGGCGAGAAGGCAAAGGTCGCTGCTACCGCCTAAGCTTTCGTCGCTCGTGTGTGGGCATAGGAGCCAGCGCTTCTTTCCCCCATCACTGTACATAACACGGTATCACAGCAAAAGGCACCGCTGGACACGCTCGGCTCTATGGCTTTACGAGTCAGGCGTCGATAGCTGTGCCAGGCTGCAGATCCGTCTCATCCCCCCTTTCCCCCGGTTCCGTGTGTTTTTACGAAGTGCATTTCTCAATTCAAGGCTTGACTCTCACAATGTGTGCGTGCGCAATCTGCTCGTGGAGTGAGTGGAATGTGTGAGCGAGGCACTTGGTTGGCCAGGCCAGGGAAGCGTGCTCGTCTGTGTTTGTCGGCGAGCCTGTGTGTACACGCTGGCTGTGCCAAAGCCGGTACAGCTTGTCAGCCACGCGCAGAGAGCGTTGTGAGTGAGCAAGAGTGTCTCGTGTCCGTCAAACCCGCAGGAGCAGGCGCAGCCAAGCACCGTGTGCGTCTGCAAAAAGCCGCGAGCGGGTCCTGCCACACGCAGCGCACCGTGGCAGCTGGCGGACGTCGATGTGGGCCAGCGAGCGCTGCGAGCAAAGCGCGCAGGAGCGCTCCCAGGGCTCCATGAGGCAGGTAATCCGCTGGCCGCAAAGCCACCTTCTTGTGCTCCATAAGCCAGGCTGCTCGCTGGTAGAAGGCAACATTTCTCGGCTCAATGTGTGTGCTGTCTTCTTGCCAGGCCTCAGGAATCATCATCATGATTGCCTTGGGCAGGATGATCACGGAGCCGTTACCAGCCTTTCGGATCATAATCATGATGGTCTCAGGGAGGATCAGGACGTTTGTTGATGATGAGAAGCTCGAGAGGTTGTCAAAACCAGCCGAGACGGTTTCACTGCCCTTGATGGGTAGATGATGTTAAGCTCGTCCCCGAAGCGTTTTGAGGAGACCCTCTCGAGCGCGTATCCAGGTCCTGTTGCCTCCAAAGGTGGTGTTGAGGCAGTCCATCACATAGGCTGAGCACGACCCCACGAGGGGAAGGTGTTGGTGGAGAAGCGCAAGTGGCCAAGGGCAAAGTGGGAGGTGTAGTGAACGTTGTTGAGATTGCAGTAGGAGTTGTACACCTGCACAGGGCTCAGCTGACCCTTGCAGATGATGTTGGTTGGGCTCAGCGAGCAGATGTAGTACCATTTCTGCTGCCACCTGGCCCAGAGACCTCAGAATCATCGGTCGCCTAACCCTAACCTCATCACGGTGCAAAGAGCATCGTCAACTTCAAGCTCCTCCCACAGCCAACCAAGGAGCAAGCTAAGGGTAAGCCCTGACATCCCTCTCGCGCAGGCAGACGGAGGGTGCGTCACAGGCAGCGGGTGCGGTTGGTAGGGGCAACGAACGCCACCAAGCAGCGAGATGTTTGCCAAAGCGACCGTTCGTCCATCAAAAAGGTTGGTCCGGCCCTGACCACGGGCCTGCTGGTCCAGATACATTGCAGAGAAACTTGCTAGCGGCTGCAAAGAGACTCAAGCACAGTCCACTCATTGAAATTTGCATCCATGGTCTCGAGCTTCCAGATTGCGATTTGCAAAGTGCTGAGCAGGGAGTCGGGATCAAGATTATCTCTGCGTCTGGCATGCAAGCCGCTCGACGCAGGTCAAGTTGCGAGACTTTGCCTGGTAAGATATGGTGGAACTCGAGCAAAGCTCTAAGCGGGCGAGCTTGGACTTTTTTCGGTGATCGACACGCTGCTTTGCGTTTAGCGGGGCTCGCGCAAGCTCGAAGGCGGCAACGGAGGCGGCAACGGCATCAAGGCTCACAGCGAAGCCAAAAACGCAGACTAGCGAGCAGGGCTGTCCGCGACTCACAAATGGGCGGTCCCGCGTACACCGGTAGCGAATGGCAGGCTCAACGAACGTCACTCAGCAGCGGAAGCTCACATTTTTGCGAGAGGCGAGCGCTTTGTCCGCTATCGGCATCGACTTGGCAAACAGAGCGCTTGTGAGACCCTCGTCATCGCCAGGTCAAATTCGGGAGCAACCAGCGATGCGATTGCCTCTCGGAATCCGATATCGCGTGTGTTGCGCGCAGGCTCCGGGGAAGACTTGGCGGAGGAAGCCCTTATCTTTGCTCGCCCCGCTGCCGTTTTCCCGCCAGGCCTCACCTGTCAACGGCTCTGCCCCTCACGAGTCACAGCGATGCAGTCTCAAACCGAAACCCCGGGATCGAGCCGTCTAAGTTCTTCGCTTGTAGCTTCAAGGACTGCACCGTCCTCACTTTACCTGGGAGGCCGATGCCGTCGCCACCGTCACACGCCTCTCACGCGATCCGCAAATGATACTGTCTGCGTAAATGACATCCGTTCACGGAATCACACCGCAGATCAAGATGCGAGCGTCTAGCTGGCCGTGATCCGCTCTGAGGTCACAATGGCGACCGATACTCACTGTATGTGCCGGACCTCGCTCACGCGCAATCAAGCATGAACGTATCGTCAATCATCAATGTGACATTTTCCCTGACGTACTATAGACAGTGGTATGAGAGAATCTACAATTTATACGCCGTACTTGCCCGGGAGCAAGACGGCAAAGAAGGGCAGAACAGCGCCGGCGTTGACGACACCGGCGATCCAGAACTTGGTACCCAAGGTCCTCCTGGCCCTGTTACCGGGAACTGCCAAGAAGATGCCGAGATACAGCAGACCACCGAGGTTACCCGCAGCACCGACGATACCGGACACAGTGCCGATAGCGGAGGGGCAGATGATAGCGGGGATACCGTAGTTGGCGCCGTTGGCGAGGAAACCCGTGGTACCGATGAGGAAGATGAACCAAAGCACACCGGAGAGGGTGGGGTTGCGGTTGCAGTAGATGCCGAGACCGATCATGGCGATACCCTGAGAGAAGGCGGTGGCGAGCAGCCAGATGACTCGACCGCGAAGACCGTACTTCGAGTACAGAATGTCCGAGACGACACCGCCGAGGGGTCGAGCGTACAGGTTGAGCAGACCGTACATGGAGGCGGCGTAGGCAGCGTCGATGGCAGAGAAGGTGCCGGACTGGAAGAGGGTGACGAGGAGACCGGGGAGGGCAGCATCCATAGCGGTCTCGAGACCGAAGGTGAGGAGGTAGCACATGAAGCACATCCACACGCGCGGGTCGACGAGGATCACCATGAGGCGCTTGAACGTCATCGGCTCGGACTGGGCGGTGTCGACGGCCTCGACGTGCTTGGCGGCCTCGGCGGGGGTGACTTCGCGGAAGTTGGCGCCTTTAGCGGGCCCCTTCTCGCGGTCGCCAGCAGCACGCTCGTACTCGGCACGCTCCGAGGCGTCGAGCTCGATCTTCTCTCCCTGTGCAATGGCCACTGCGGTACCTTGGAACTGGTGACGTTGAGACCACTTGCCGGCGGGGTGGTCCTTGCCGAAGAGCAGGATCATACCGGCAACGAGCAGCAGCGCGGGAACGGGCAGGGTGGGGAAGCACACACGCCAAGCCATGCGTGGCGTCAACCCAGCGTGGACGTAACGCTCGAACAGACCGATCATAGCAGCAACGGTGACACCACCACCCATGTTACCCCAGCCACCCGAGAAGGCGTTCGCGGTGCCGACGACCGATTTGTCGTAGAACGTCGAGCACCATGCTTGGCAGGTGACGAAGGTGGCGCCGAGGATGGAGATGAAGAAGCGGACAGTGTACAGGCCGCCTGCGGACTGGACGACGGCGGCGAGGCCAGAGGGAATGGCACCGATGACGAGGAGAGCAGCCATGACCTTTCGGGGTCCGTAGCGATCGCACGCGGGACCGGCAATGAGACGCACCACGGCGGTACCACCGAGCGCGGCCATGTTGGAGTGGGTGACTTGAACAGCCGACAGACGCAGATCCGCCCTCACAGCCTCGGGCATCAGCGGCGCAAAGGCGAACCAACTGAGGAAGGCGACGAAGAAGCCGAGCGTGGCGAGCCAGAACGCAGTCGAGTACGAATCCCAGATGCGGAAGATGGGGAAGGTGTGCGACTTGCCGTTGAGCGGGTTGATCACGGCAGGGTTCCAGAGAGAGGACCATCGGAACTTGTGGTAGCCGTAGTCCTTCATGTCCTTCTCCTTCTTCTCATCTTCGGTCATGTACTCTTCGGAGGTGATGTTGCCGCCGGTGGTCGTACCGGGACGCAGCATCGAGGCCATGCCCGGGTGCTGGTCGTCGGCGATGGCCTCGCGGATCTCGATGTCATGCTTCGAGTCGCTTGAGGTGGTTGGGCTGTCAGAGCCCGTTTGTGAAGAGACTTGGGGAGCCATTTTTGGTGACGGAGGAGCTTGCGTTTGTACGGCGCAAGAAGGCTCGGAGGGGGATGAGGGGAGGTGTTGGGTGAGGAAAGATGACAACGCAGGCCGAAGTGGGATTGTCTACTATATAGATCACTCGAGAACTTCAGAGCGTGCGAGTACAGAAGTGTCACAGGCACAAGAGGCGGACAAAGTGTGAGCGCTTCGCAAAGAACACGCCATTCGCGTGTGACAGGAGATCGTTTCCGGTTGAGGGGCTCCGACTGGCCACGATCTTCCTGCCATGTAAAGCCGTCTGCCAAGATGATAGATTCAGATAAGATGAGAATCCACCCTTTAGGCCTTCAAGCGACGCACAAACCCCGACGGGAAGGTGGCAAGCTCAAACCAATGAGAATCAAGGAAGGTCCAGAACAAGAGCCGGGAAAGCGATGACCTCTGATGCGAATTCAGAAGAAGAAGACGTCGAGCCGCTGCACGAGGCAGGAATGCTGTGAGATAAGGCGGCCACCCTTGCAGCTCGTTATCTACTGCCATGCGATTCGAATCCAAGCCACTTGGCAGAAACCAGCCGCTGAAAGCTTGAATCCCCTATTCTTTGCTCCAGGCCCAGTTCCCGCTCTTTCGAGTCCGTCTCCGCATCGCCGCTTCTACGAGGAGATTGCATTCCAGGCCTTGTGCATATCAATGCGACTCAGCACGGAGCTCGATTCGATTGATTAGATCGCGAGACGGAGAAACCTTGAGTGAATCCAAAGATCGCCAGCAGATGGTCTCGACCAATCAGGTGCTGCCGAAGAGAAGCGGACAAGGAGAAGTCTCGGTCCGGAGCATACATTTTCAACTACGCACACGCTACAGACTCAGAGACTTCAAGCGAGAAGATCAGGGCACCTATCACTTGCTCATGGCTGCAGAGGCTTCTGACGTGTGCGTAAGCCATAGAGACGAAAAATGTCAACCCGCCGAAGCTTGAAGACGCTCTCAGGCCCCTTACAGGTCAGACAAGACGAAGACAAAAGCTGCTTGCTCTGCACGAGTGACGCTGCGCTCGCGAGCAGGCGCGCGCAGAACAAAAGGCTCATGTTTCTCAACCGGCTGCACGCTACTGCACGTTCACGGAGGAGACGGAGATCGTGATTGCAAAGGGGCATGAATGTTTCGATGCCGGGCAGTGCGTGGCGAGCAAACTTGAGCGGGAACAGTGAGAAAGCCGCCTTATCTTGCGGGTCGGCATGCTAGCGCAAACAGACAGCAGAGCGAATGAGAGCAGTTCCATTAGGGGAGGGTCAGCTTATCATGGGCACCGATTTTGAATATGAAAGCCAGTCTGTTTGGCTCCGCTGTACTGGACATGCCAAGCCAGGTCGGCAGGCGAGTTTTGCTTATCTCTGCGAGCGCATACCGAGCTGCAGCCGTCTCTTATCAGTGAGAAAGTTTTGGCAGAGGCGCTCCTTGACTCGTGGAAAATCGCCTGAGGAGGATTTCCGCTAATTCGACGCAGACGAAATCTGGGTCTGATCTGATTCGCTCGCTTCGAAGGGGTTGTGCCTCACCAAGCTGGACTTGGCAGCCGTCATCAGTCCAATCAACAGATGCTTGACACGAAGATGGCATGCAAGTGTCTTGTGCGAGCAACCAATGCTCATCTTATCATTCGCTGCACGGTCCCAGCTTTCTCCGCTTCTTGCCGCTTCAGCGAATCCCCGCCTTCCACCAGATGAGAGCCCGCAAATGGCTTCGTCTTGATCGAAATCGCTTCGCGGTGCAAGAAGCGATTCAGCTCGGGAAGTTGTCTGTGTCAGTGCACGCCTAGCCAGAGACCCTTGAGCAGATAGTGCCCGTGTAGCCGCTCTTGCGGCTCTTGCCTCCGGCTTTGACTTTGTCCTCCCTGTGTACATCTGTTGAGACGTAGCCACCGAACCTTCCTTCCTTCCTAGCGTCTCCTTCATCCTCGACACTCATCCCGGACCACATCCTCTCTTCCCATATCCATCCTAGCAGGCATCACTCACAATGGCGCCGGTACCCACAGAACCAACAGCCTTCGAGTCCTCAGGGCCAGCGAGCTCGGCTTCGGGCTCCACAAGGGCAACCACGCCAGAGGAGCTTGCTCTCACACCAAAGACAAGAAAGAAGGCATGTGTCGTCGGCCTCGGAATGGTCGGCATCGCCTTCATCGAGAAGCTGCTCAAGTACGATCTCCAGAACGGTCGTGACGAGTGGGAAATCACCGTCTTTGGAGAAGAGCCTCACATTGCATACAACCGCGTCGGCTTGACGCAGTACTTCACCAACCGCTCGATTGAGTCGCTCTACCTCAACGAGCTCAAGTGGTACTCTTCACACGCCAAGGACAAGCTCACATACCACACATCCGACGGCGTCACTTCCATCGATGCCGAGAAGAAGGTCGTTCGAACCGAGAAGGGCAAAGAATTCCACTACGACGAGTGCGTCCTTGCCACCGGCTCGGATGCCTCGCTCCCTCCATACATTACCAAGGACAAGTTCTGGAACACAAAAGGCACTTTCCTCTACCGCACCATCAAGGATCTCGACGACATGATTGCCTACGCCGTCGATGCGCCAAAGACGCTTGGGCGTCGCATCCGGAAGGCAGGTGTGATCGGCGGCGGTCTTCTGGGTCTCGAGGCCGCGAAAGCGCTTTTGGATCTCGAGGAGATTGACCAGGTCGTACTCGTCGAGCGAAACCGCTGGGTCCTGTCGCGACAGCTTGATCAAGAAGGAGGCACCTTGGTGCTTCAAAAGGTGCGAGATCTCGGCGTCGAGGTCTTGCTTCAGGGCCGTGTTCGTGACCTTATCTGGAACAGCGAGGGCCGTCTTACCGGAATGATGATGTACGGCAAGGAGGGCGAGGAGGATGAGCCATTCGACATTGACATGCTTGTCTTCGCCGTCGGCATCACTCCCAGAGACGAGCTTGCGAAAGGCACGCCTGGTCTGGTCACCCGAAAGAAAGGCGGCGGATTTACTGTCGACTCCTCGCTTCAGACCTCCATTCCCAACGTCTACGCCATCGGCGAGTGCGCCTCCTTCGAGGAGCAGACCTTCGGTCTTATCGCTCCTGGTATCGAGATGGCCGAAGTTCTGGCGTTCAACCTCACGGAGGGTCCTCATCACGCCATGCGCAAGATGAAGTCGCCCGACGTGTCCACCAAGCTCAAGCTGATGGGCGTTGATGTCGCTTCGTTCGGTGACTTCTTTGCCGACCAGGGCAAGATCAGCAAGCCTCTTCCTGGCAGCAAAGGTGCGTCGAGACGCGGAAAGAAGGACGACTCTGCTCCCGGAATGACCCCTGAAGAGATCAAGAACTCGGTCAAGGCGCTCACCTACCGCGACCCCTTCTCGGACGTATACAAGAAGTACATCTTCACTAACGACGGCAAGCACCTCCTCGGCGGCATGATGGTAGGCGACGTCAAGGACTATGTCAAGCTCGTAGCGCTCTGTAACAAGGCTGCGCCTATCGAGAAGCCTCCCGCTGAGCTCATCATCGGTGCCAAGAAGGAGGGCGAAGAGGAGGGGGACGATCTTCCCGACGAAGCACAGATCTGCAGTTGCCACAATGTCACGAAAGGCGACCTGATCAAGTGCGTCAAGGACGGCTCTGTGCGCTCGATCGGCGAGATGAAGTCCGAGACCAAGTGCGGTACTGGTTGCGGTGGCTGCATGCCGCTCAGCACAAGTATCCTCAACAAAGCGCTCAAGGACGCTGGTGTCGAGGTCTCGAACCACCTCTGCAGCCACTTTGCCTACACCCGTCAGGAGCTGTACCAGATCATCAAGTTCAAGAAGCTCAAGGATTTCACCACCACCATGAAGACGGTCGGCAAGAAGAACGACAGTCTCGGATGCGAGGTCTGCCGTCCCGCCGTCGGCTCGATCCTGTCGTCGCTCTACAACGACTGGATCATGAACCCTTCGCTGCGTCAGACGCAGGACACCAACGATCGCTACTTGGCCAACATGCAACGTGACGGCACCTACTCCGTCGTGCCTCGTCTGCCCGCAGGTGAGGTGACTCCTGCTGGTCTCAAGGTGATCGGTGAGGTCGCGCAGGAGTACGGCTTGTATACCAAGATCACTGGCGGTCAGCGTATCGACATGTTCGGTGCCAAGAAGCAAGATCTCCCCGCTATCTGGGAGAAGCTCGTCGACGCCGGCTTCGAGTCTGGTCACGCCTACGGCAAGGCTCTGCGTACCGTCAAGTCCTGTGTCGGCAGCACGTGGTGCCGATACGGTGTCGGCGACTCGGTCGGCCTGGCTCACGAGCTCGAGTCGAGGTACAAGGGTCTTCGAGCGCCACACAAGTTCAAGGGTGGTGTCTCAGGCTGTGTCCGTGAATGCGCCGAAGCCCAAGGCAAGGACTTTGGTCTGATTGCTACCACTAAGGGCTGGAACGTCTTTGTCGGCGGTAACGGCGGTGCTAAACCTCGTCACGCCGAGATCATTGCCGAAGACGTGACTCGTCGTCAGGCGATCAAGATCCTCGATCGCTTCATTCTCTTCTACATCCGATCCGCCGACAAGCTCGAGCGCACCGCGCGATGGATCGAGAAGTTCCCCGGCGGACTCAAGGGTCTCAAAGAAGTCATTGTCGACGACAAGCTCGGTATCTGCGAGGACCTCGAGAAGGAGATGGAGGTGCTCGTCGGCACGTACCACTGCGAGTGGACCAAGGTGATCCGCGATCCTGAACGCAAGAAAGCCTTCCGTCAATTCGTCAACACCAACGACACTCAGACCGTGTCCGAGATGCTGGACGAGCGCGATCAGCAACGACCCGCCGACTGGCCCGTCGAAGACGGCCCGCTCCACTTCAGCATCCTCGACGTGGCCAAGGAGGCCAAGTGGGAGTGGCGACCCATCTGCAAGTACAGCGACCTGGATCCGCAGAAGGACTCTCCGTCTTCCGCTACCGTCAAGTACGGAGACACTCAGATTGCCGTCTGGAACATCCCCAACCGCGGTGTTCGCGCTGCTCAGAACATGTGCCCTCACAGGCGCGCTTTCGTTCTCGCAGACGGTCTTGTGGGTGAAGACGACAAGGGTCGCGAGTACGTCTCTTGTCCACTGCACAAGCGCAACTACATTCTCTCGGCCAACGCCGACGAGGAGGGTGGCAAGTGCAACGACGGCGACTTTTCGATCATGACCTTCGAAGCCAAGATGGACGAGGAGAAGGATCTCGTCTACCTCAAGCTGCCGCCTACTGAGGCGCTGGATGCGGTGCTCTCGACGACCAAGTGGATGCTCAGGCGCGCCACCGAGGAGTCGGACGCCCTCGCTGGCGGCCAGTCTCACTCGGTCGAGATCACCGGTCCGGACATGGACAAGATCGACAACGAGAAGGCTGCGACCAAGAGGCAGGGCTCGCCACTCGCTCAGCCTGCCAAGGCTTCGTGCGGAGACCAGTCCAAGCTCGACTGGTAGATAATTTTCTAGTCTCACCTACTGATTGTTTGTAAATACGCATCTATCGCAACGTTAAGGAAATCTCGTTCCACATCGATCGCAGTGCGAATGCTGCCAAGAGCGGCTAGATAGACTCTGTGAGATCATCGTGACGCGGTAGAGGGCCGTTGAGACAGGCGCACTCAGGGCAGCGTCTCAGGCATCGACCGCCGACTTTTGCATGCTCGGACCGTAAGGCGATGGACAGAGCTGCTTTCCCACGCTCTTCAGCCACCAATCAGACTCGACGCTTTGGCGATCGATGATACTTGCTGCAAGGAAATCCAAGCGCCCTTGCAACTTGCAAGCGACCAATGGGCGTCCAGTCTGCTCGTAGAGGCTGGTGCTATTGAGTGCGCATCCAGTAAAGCTCTTATCAGCTGGCCTGCATGTACGGCGACCCCGTCCGAGTTTCTGGATTTTTTGGCGAATCTGGGTCCGGTTTTCTCTTATCTTTCGCGTCGACTCGCTAGCAAATTTCGACAGCTCCCATCGAACTTCAACGCTCGACGTCAGCCAAGGCTATTCGAGCTTGCCGAGAGGCACCGAGAAGCATGCGATGTGTGGGATGAGGGTTCGCACCCTAGATCACCGAGTTGTCGGGCTCCAGGTGGCGAGGACAGAGCGTAGGTCTGGGGTGCGAGGCCGCACTGCATGCCGGCTTGGAAATGTACGCTTATCAGGCCTCTGTCCAGGCCTGCAAGCTATCTATGTGCTCGCAACCCCGAGCATCCAATCACATTGTGCTGATGAGACGCATCAAAAGGCGAGGTCATCTAATCGCAAGCATTGCATTGTAATTCCGGCTTCTCGTAGACCTCGCAAGGATCGAGTTCGGAGAACCTCGTGCAACGCTTAGGCCGGTGAGGTCATGAGCCTGCGGGCTCGAGGGGCGGCAACGAATGACTTTGCAAGCAACCGCGAGAAGTGAGGCGCCGTGATCCTGTGAGTTTCGTCTGACACAAGCTTCCAGTGCTCCTTACGCCCTTGCCACTTGTAGCACTGTACAGCATTCTCCAAATCAGCTCGCTTTGTCCAAGACGGCCTTGCGTTCCCCGCAATCCCTTGCGCTGTCGCTTCTAGCACTTTTCGAACTCATTTGCAATCCTCGTTCCCTTTCTCCGTTCCGACACCAAGCTGGCAGCTCTGTCCTTCCCTACCACCACACTGCGGCAAATCACAATGATGGCGTCGACAACATCAAGCTCACCATCGTCCAAGACACCCTCAGAGAGGGGCGACGACATCAAAGCATTCTCTTCTTCCTCGCAAGGCTCGTCAGGATCCTCATCGGCAACCACACCAGAGCCATCAAGCCCCACGGTCTCTGCAAAGGACGCTGTCGATCCGTTCCAGCCTCGCGAAGCCTACGATGACTCCGTTCTGCCCGCCATTCCGGCTTCGGAAAGCATCAAGCCGCTTTCGAGCGACTCGAACACACCCGACCACTGGATCGCACGAGACGAGCGCATGATCCGCCTCACGGGCAAGCACCCCTATAACTGCGAAGCTCCCCTCTCCGAGCTCTTCAACAAGGGCTTCCTGACACCACAGAACCTCTTCTACGTCCGTTCGCACGGTGATACGCCACGCATCACACGAGAACAGGCGGACAACTGGAAGCTCAAGATCCACGGCTTGGTGGAGAACGAGATGGAGCTCAGCATCAAAGACCTCAAAGAAAAGTTCCCGACCGTCACGCTGCCGATCACACTGGTCTGCGCAGGCAACAGACGAAAGGAGCAGAACATGGTTGCCAAGGGTCTTGGTTTCAACTGGGGCGCTGCGGGTGTTTCGACGGGTCTGTTCACGGGTGTCTATCTCGCAGACATTCTCGAGTACTGCAAGCCCAAGAATCCGCTTCTGTCCTCGTTCCCATCGTACGACGTCGCTGTGCCGGGACGAGCGAGGCACGTGGTGTTCGAGGGCGCCGACGAATTGCCCAAGGGCAAGTATGGCACTTCGCAGCGACTCAACTGGGCGCTAGACAGGTCGAAGGGCATGCTCATCGCCTGGGGTCTCAACGGCGAGGATCTTTCTCCTGATCACGGCTTCCCTCTGCGCCTCGTCGTGCCCGGTCAAATCGGTGGTAGGATGGTCAAGTGGCTCGAGCGCATCGAAGTTTCCGACCGTGAGTCCCAACACCACCTTCATTTCCACGACAACAAGGTGCTTCCAACCGAGGTCACCGCCGACCAGGCTCGCAGCGAGATGCACTGGTGGTACGACCCCAAGTACATCATCAACGACCTCAATGTCAATGCTGCCATCTGCTCGCCGGATCACGATCAAACCATCGAGGTAGCCGACCTTGCCACGACGGAAGCGCAGTCGCAACCGCAGCTGCTGCCGATCGAAGGATATGCGTATACCGGCGGTGGACGCCGCATTGCGCGCGTCGAGATCTCGCTCGACGACGGCCACAGCTGGAAGTGCGCATCGATCCACTACCCTGAAGACCTCTACCGCATGTATCCCATCCAAGGCCATCCGTACTTTGGTACGCTCGACCTGAGCTCTACCGAGATGAGCTTCGCCTGGTGCTTCTGGCGCCTCGACGTCGATGTTCAGGCGGACATCGTCGCGAAGGACGTCAAGGTCATCAGCGTGCGAGCGCTGGATGAGGGACTGGCGACGATGCCCAGGGATATGTACTGGAACGCTACATCGATGATGAACTCGTGGTGGTTCCGCGTTGCCGTGCACCGTGACGGCAACAAGATTCGGTTCGAGCACCCGACGCTCGCCGGTAATGCGGCAGGCGGTTGGATGCAGCGGATGAACGAGACGGGTCTGAACTGTCGTTATCCCACGTTCGGCGGTGCGAAGAAGGCAGACGGTGGTGACGAGGAGCCGAAGGGAGACAAGCCGACCGTGGAAGCCGCGCGAGAGGAGCAGAAGATGATCATGATCGACTCGGCGAAGGCTGATACGGTGGTCACTGCTGCTGACCTGGCTGCTCATGGTGACGGCGAGGGTCCCGAGCCATGGTTCGTCGTGCATGGTCACGTCTACGATGGCACTGGATTCCTCAAAGACCACCCTGGTGGAGATCAATCCATCCGTCTCGTTGCAGGCGAAGACGCGACCGAAGACTTCATGGCGATCCACTCGATGGACGCCAAAAAGATGCTTCGCGACTATCACCTTGGTCGACTCGAGGTCAAAGATGGGGGCTCTGCAGCAGTCGTCGCTGAACCCGAGGCGATCGACCTCGACAAGCCTTATCTGGAACCCAAGAAATGGCGCGCAACCAAGCTTGTCAGCAAGAAGATCATCTCTCCCGATGCACGAATCTTCCGCTTTGCCCTGGGTGGCCCGGACCAAGAGCTCGGACTCCCGGTGGGTCAGCATGTCTTCGTCCGCGTTCGATCGAAAGAACCCAAAACAGGCGAGATCGAAACGGTCCAACGAGCGTACACGCCGTACAGCGGCAACACGCAGCGTGGCTTCCTCGACATCCTCATCAAAGTCTACTTCCCAACCGAAGCCTCCGCCGATGCGCCCCCTGCTTATGCGGGAGGTAAGATGACGATGCTGCTCGAGACGATCGATGTCGAGTCTCCCTCTTCCGACCTCACCATTGAGCTCAAAGGACCGCTTGGGTCGTTCACCTACCTGGGCGAGCGTCAGATCCGATGGAAGCCGGCGAACCAGATTCGTCGCGTTCGCAAGCTGGCCATGATTGCCGGTGGCTCGGGCATCACGCCCATCTGGTCCACGCTCAAGGCCATTGCTGACGAAGCTCTGGCCTCTCCTTCGCTTGAAGAAGATCCGATCCAGATCTGGGTGGTCTACGGCAACCGTTCCGAGCAGGACATTCTCATTCGCGAGGAGCTCGAGAAGCTGAGAGTGGCGTTGAAGGGCAATCTCCACGTGTGGCACGTTCTCAGCAAATCTGCCGACGAAGCGTGGAGTATGGGTCGAGGACACATCAGCACAGATGTGATGAAGGAGCACCTGCCCCCTCCGCCAGCGAGGACGGAGGGCGAGGAGCTCGAGGATACGTTGGCTCTGGTGTGCGGACCGCCGCCGCTCGAGCAGGCGGTTTCAAAGGGGCTGAAGGAGCTAGGATGGGATCTGGACAGGACGGTTGTGTTTTTCTAGAATCTTTGTTCACTTGCATTGTCTATCGTTGTCAGTATCATATCGTTTGCATGGCTCAGTGCGAGTGCGGACTAGCCTGATCGTGAGTGATGCTTCGCACAAGCGCTGCAGCAGGCCGAGCAAGCCGTGACGATCCGTCAAATAGTGCGAGCGTTTCGTCGGCCACTGTTAGACCCTGCATGGGAGGACGAACTTGAGAAGCATTCTCTCACGCTGAAGGCGCAAAACAAAAATTCCCACGCTCTTCGACTTTCTCGCGCCAAAATTACGTGCTTCCAAGTCGGTACAAGAAGACTTGTCTTTGGAGTCACGAGACTGTGCTTTCAATACAAATGTGAATTCAAATTACATTCTGTGAACTCGAAATCAGCACCACTCGCTGCCTGCTCGGCGTGCAGGAAAGGAATTTGAGGCAGCAAATGGCGACCTCGAGGGTCAACTGCATCACGGAGCTGTCAGATATTCCAGCGTAGCCCACCAACCAGGCCAAGGTCACACACAGGGTGGCAGAGCGGAAGAAATTCGCAGTCCGTTGGCAGGCGGCTGGCAGCCTCGTTGAAGTTTCTCAAGACCTCGAGTCGAGCGAGCGAGCGCCACGAAAGCCTTGTCCTGAGTTGAGCCAGTTTCACCTTCACTCTTCCCCTTACGACATCCTCAAGATCCGTATCAGGTCACAATGTCCCACTGCAAGGTAAATATCATGCCGACTTGATAGAGCCTCACGAGGCTGTGGCCCGGCTATGGCACCACCACACCAGCATTTGGAAGGAGCAGGATGCAGCTACAGACGATGGTGTAGTGGAAAGATAGGGTGCCGGAGATGACAGTTCATCTGGAGGACGAGAAGATTCTCGTGGAGCAGCATTTCCAGCAACGTAGAGCCTGGACAGAAGGCGAGCAAGGAGGATCAGCATTCGCATTCGTAGCCGGGCAACAACACACAGCACTCGCCTCTTCGACCAGCTTTTGGACATCCAGTCGTCAGATTAGCCCTTCAGCACGACCGATCAGCCGACATGTGACGCCATTCGATGGGTTGGCATCGACGACAGAAGGAGAGCACAGCTTGGACGGAAGGCTCGGTGTTGGAGCGGATCACAAGTCTCGTCTTCGGAGACTTCAAGGAAGGCATCTCTAAGGGTTGGTCGTTTGTCCGGGCAGAGGTCACTCCTCGCTCAGCTGTCACCATCTGAAAGGTGCTGCGACGTCTTCGTTCCTTGTCAACGATCCGCTCTGCATGATCCTCTCGACCAGATGTCAGCTTGATACTCTCTAGCTCAGCATCGATGCCACCTCTCCCGACATTCGCGCGTTGATCATAGTACGAAGGCCTGCTGTCAACACTGGATGGCCATTGGATGGAAACGAAGAGAGAAAAGAGGCTCCAGAATGCTTTTAGGTCGATGTACAGCTTTGCTGATGCAGCCTGGCGTTCGCCTGCTTTTCGCTTCCCTTTCTCCTTTTCTCTCGCACACTTTCGACACTGCTCCTCGACTCTACCTCGTCGCTGCTTTGTTCCGATCGTTGTCGCACTCTACAGTTCGAGCACCCACGACACGGTTCGCTGGGATTCCTTCCCCGCAAGCGTGCTGCCCGTCACCGCGGAAAGGTTAAGGCGTAAGTATTTCAAGCATCGTTGTCCCTTGCACAAGCTCTCACCCAGGCGCTGACCTTGTCCCCCCACCACTGCTCCTTCGTCGACACACAGCTTCCCCAAGGATGACCCCAAGAAGCCCGTCCACCTCACTGCCATGATCGGCTACAAGGCCGGCATGACCCACATTGTCCGCGATCTTGACCGACCCGGTTCCAAGATGCACAAGAAGGAGATCGTCGAGGCCGTCACCGTCATCGAGACTCCTCCCATGGTCGCTGTTGGTGTTGTTGGCTACGTCGAGACCCCCCGTGGTCTGCGATCGCTCACCACCGTCTGGGCTGAGCACCTTTCGGACGAGGTCAAGCGTCGCTTCTACAAGAACTGGTACCGCAGCAAGAAGAAGGCCTTCACCAAGTACGCCAAGAGGCACTCGGAGAACAACGGCGCTTCCATCTCGCGCGAGCTCGAGCGCATCAAGAAGTACTGCACCGTTGTCCGTGTGCTCGCCCACACCCAGGTGCGCAAGACCGGCCTCAAGCAGAAGAAGTCGCACCTTATGGAGGTGCAGATCAACGGTGGCTCCGTCTCGGACAAGGTCGACTTTGCCAAGGAGCACTTTGAGAAGACCTTCGATGTCAAGTCGGTCTTTGAGCAGAACGAGATCATTGACGTGATCGCCGTTACCAAGGGTCACGGTTACGAGGGTGTTACCGCTCGTTGGGGTACCAAGAAGCTGCCACGCAAGACGCACCGTGGTCTGCGTAAGATCGCCTGTATCGGTGCTTGGCACCCGGCCAACGTCATGTTCACTGTGGCTCGTTCGGGTCAGGATGGATACCACCACCGTACCGAGATCGGAAAGAAGATCTACCGCATCGCCAACGGCGAGGACAAGACCTCGGGTGCTACCGACTTTGACACCACCGAGAAGGCCATCACTCCCCTCGGTGGCTTCCCTCACTACGGCCAGGTCAAGAACGACTTTGTCATGATCAAGGGCTCGTGCCCCGGTGTCAAGAAGCGTGTCCTTACCCTGCGCAAGTCGCTCCAGGTGCACACCTCGCGTCGTGCGCTCGAGAACGTCTCGCTCAAGTGGATCTCGACCTCGTCGACCATGGGTAAGGGTGTCTTCCAGACCCCCGCCGAGAAGGACGCCTTCCTCGGCCAGCGCAAGATCAAGGCCCCCGTCGCCTAAGCGTTGCGTCGTCACTTCATTCTGTATTTCATCATCCTCGCATCCCCCCTTCCCCCTTTTTCTTACATCTGCATCTGTCGTGCAAACCCCAAAAAATCTACATGATTACCTGGCTATCTTTCGAGTATGAGCTGTGACAAGCGTGACCAATGTTGAGTTGAGTATGCAGCTCACAGCCTCTGAAGTCGGGTGGCCGATGGTGCGGCCGACGTGAGGACAGGCTCGAGGTCAAGCATTCGGCGAGGTCGAAATGGAGCGTTGTTAGACCGCGATAGTTCGGACCCGGATGGGAAAATGGACGGAAATGGCCGGACGAAAAACAGGGCGCGCTTGACCCTTTCTTTCCAGGCTTTCAAGGCGAGATTCTCCGATCGGCAAGCCTTGGAGCCAACCAGCCAGCCACGGCTCGCGTGGATTACAAATGGCAGCGAGCGCCGTTGGCTCGAACACACACACACACACACGGAACGCTGCCCCGCACAAGCACACTTGATCGCACCAACGCGCTCATCGTTAACCCCTTACCATTTCATCACCTCTCGATACACACAAAAGATGCGCGTCATGCTCCCAGCCCTTCAGCAGCCCTTGCGGCTTTCCATGGCCGCTCGCAACCCGCAACTGCGCATGATCGCCGGTGGCTCGCGCGCCTTCCAGACTACGACTACCAAGACCGTCGCTGCTTCCAGCCAAGGACGTGAGTATCGCAGCATGATGCAATAGGGGTCGACGCAGGATGTAGCAGGTGGAAGGGACAATGTGCAGCTCGAGGATGGTAGAGACTATGGGTTGAAGTTGCGTGCAGCGGATGCAGGACGAGTGGTCTCGACATGCAACAAGTGAATGATCTGGCGCAGGATGACAGCAGTCCTGTCGTCCTTCCAACAGCGGCGTTCACCTTGAGGAACCCTCGGAGCACAACAATGATGGCGCAGTCAGGATGACAGACAGGTCATCGGGCTAGAGCGTGTTCGACAAGACCTTCTGGTGCATCTGTGCTATCGAGGAGGGACGCCGGAAGCTGGCTTTTTGAAACGCCTTGACAGGACGCTAAACGATTCTGAAGGACGATGGAGAATCTCTAGGATATCATCGGAGAGATGGGAAGGCTTCAAGATTTCATAGGGAGATGGATAGAATCAGGAGGGGGCTTTCCCTCTGCTATGCTACCCAAGCGCAACGCATCCAGTCTTGAAGGTCTCATAGACAGAACTAGTCACGCTGACCACCCCTCATCTTCCTTCATCCACCATCACAGCCTACGTCAAGGGCACCGTCAACGACCCGACGACGTTCCCCGAGCCGAATGCTGCGCACGGTTCGAACCACTGGGCTTTCGAGCGCGCGCTCTCGGTCGCCCTCGTTCCCCTCGTTGCTGTCGGCTTCGCCAAGCACGGCTCCTCCGCGATCCTTGACGGCGCCCTTGCGCTGACACTGGTGGTGCACTCACACATCGGCTTTGACTGCATCCTGGCCGACTACCTGCACAAGCGCAAGTTCCCCATCGCCGGCCCGCTCTCCACCTGGGGCCTCCGCGCTGCCACCCTCGCCACGCTGTATGGCTTGTACGAGTTCAACACGAGTAAGTTCAGGCCCGGCGCGATATGGGATGAATGCAAGATCGATGTACTGACGATAATTTTGTGACGCTGCGATCGAACAGACGACGTCGGACTCACCGAGCTCATTGCCAAGGTGTGGACTGCTTAGGTTGCGAAGGACGATTGAATCTTCGTTTGTGCCGTGTTAGCAATCCATCAGTAGTTTCGTTTGACAGCTTTGTGCCGTACAGCCGCTTCAGAACGAAGGGCTACTCCGCCGTTCCACTAGCTCTGAGCATTGTAGGCAGCACTGAGGGTCATTGCAGCCGCCATCAGTGCAGTTGAGAAGAGCAACACCATCATCGACCGGTGAAGATGATTTTTCGAGCAAACATGTGAGACCGCATCTATGATGGACCGAAAAAAATCTCGGACCCTGAACTCCACACGAGCTGAACCTCGAAAAATTTCAGAGACGCTCGACTTTTCTTCCAGATTTCGTGGTCTTGAGCTCTGTTCACCATCACCTCGAAGCTGCACAACCACCATCACAAGCATATCTTAGCCAGACGCCATCGATCGTATCGCCCCTCTGGATCACAGAGCAGAGCTGAGCATTGCATCTGCCTGACTGGCCCGACTACTCTCTTCACCTACCTTTCAACACATCGCACCCGTCCCCCTCGCTCGACATCCCGCACAATGGTGAAACGTCGCCGCAAGACGCGCACCCATCTCAAAGGGCCCAACAACAGCGCATCTACCTCAACCTCTGCGCCTAAATCCTTCATCATCCGCACAGGCAAGGTGCCGCGCTCGGTATCCACGCTCGTCTCGGACACGCGTCGGGTGATGGAGCCCAACACGGCGACCCGGCTTCGCGAACGCACATCCAACAAGCTCAAGGACTTCATCTCGATGGCGGGTCCCATCGGGGTGACTCACCTTGTAATCTTTGGTCAGACGGATGCCGGGGTCAACCTTCGCATCCTTCGTGCGCCGCGTGGTCCCACCCTCACGTTTCGGGTCAACAAGTATGCCCTGGCGAAAGACGTCCAAGCGGCGAGTCGACGGGCGTCCCCACCGGGGAGCGAGTATGTTACACCCCCGCTGTTGGTGCTCAACAACTTCGGTGGTGAGGAGCGAGGGGTCAAGTTGATGGTGGCGACCTTTCAGAACATGTTCCCGCCCATCCAGGTGCAGAGTATGAAACTGTCCCAGGCACGACGTATCGTGTTGCTCAACTACAACTCTGCGACGGGCACGATTGATTGGAGGCACTACCTCATCTCTGTTCGTCCCGTTGGCGTTTCGAAATCGGTGCGTCGCGTGGTCGAAGGCTCCCGTTCCACTCGAGGCGCAGGAAAGCTACCCGACCTGTCCTCCACCCAAGACATCTCTGACTACGTCCTCAACCGAACCACATCGGTCAACGGAGAATTCGAAACCGACGCCTCGGAAGCCGAGTCGGAAGCGGAAGACACCGCCGATCCGCGCAACGCCGTTCGGCTCCACGACCGCTACATCGGTCGAGGCAATTCCGCCAACACCCAGAAAGCCATCCGTCTGCGCGAGATCGGCCCCCGGATGGAACTCAAGCTGGTCAAGATCGAGGAGGGGTGCAATGAAGGAGCGGTGTTGTTCCACGATTATATCAAGAAGACGAGTCAGGAACAGACGGCCTTGCATCGGGAACACGTGGAGAAGAAGCGACTGCAGGAACAGAGGAGGGCGGAACAGGAGGAGAACGTCGAGAGGAAGAAGGCTGAGAAGGTCGAGATGAAGAAGGTGAGCAGGAGGAATGCCGGGTTGGCGAGTGAGAGCGAGGAGGAAGAGGGGATGAGTGCGGATGATGAAGAGGAAGAAGAGGAGGACGAGTTTGCGTATGAGGACCAGTTTGCGCCTGCGGAGGAGGAGGAGGAGGTGTTTGAGGACGAGTCGGCGGATGAGAGCGTCGCCTCCGAGGAGGACGAGGAGGAGGGTGGCCAACCATGGAAGCCATCCCGCACAAACGGCGGAGTGGACAACCCCCCAGGCGTAGACCCTTATTCGGACGAATCCGACCTCGACCCCATCCCCGTCGGCGGCATGCAGCACGACTACAACAGCGCCGATGACTGGCCCGAGTACTCTGACGACGAGGCCCCACCTCCATCGAAAAAGCCTGCTGCTCTCGGCAAACCCTCATCCACAGTCAAATCCAGTCGTGGCGCACCGCAGAAGAAGAGGGGTCGTCGATGAATCCTCACAAACACCTTTCAATCTCACCTTTGTCTCACATCTCACCCTCATCCCGTTCGCAATGTGTCTGATATGAGTGGTTTCGCTTGCCCTACGCGGCATCCTCCAACCCCTCCACGGTCTTCAACAACTCCGTCAACTGCCTATACAACTTCAGAATGACCAACTGATCAATAGGATTCATACCCTCTTCCACCTTCCCCCCCTTCCCCGCGCCCAAACTCTGAGCCATCCTGCTCACGCGTCCCAACGCTCGTCGCAGATCCTTGAGTTCCAACTTGATCGCGTACAGCGCGATCCTCTTGGCATTGCTCGCACTCGGCTTGTAGCTTCCGATCGTAACATCCAACCCACCAAAAAAACTATGCACGCTTCCCCCGGCGGAAGCGGCGAAGCCTTCCCTCAAAATCCGTACTGCCCGCGCGTAGATCTGCAATGCAGTAGACACGAGTAGGGAGGCGGAAATTTCGGTGCTTGGATCGCTCTGGCAGGTAGGACAGTCGGTGGAACATGCGCACTGGGCGGTGATCGCTTGCGACGCAGTGAGCGTGAGTTGGATCGTGTCGTTAGCAGTGGCGGCGTGCGGATCCGTTTCTCGGAGAACCTGCTTGACGCTGAGTAGGGCGACCGACATATCGCACAGACAGGTGCACCCGCGACCGGACGGGTTGGGCACACAGTGCACTTTGCTCGGGTGATGCGCGTGGAGCGCTGCATGATGCTTACGTTCCGCGTCGAGCGAGGGGAGCTTGTTGCCGTTGACGGCGGCGGATGTGGAGAGAGGGCCCATTTCAATGGGTGAGCTGCTGACGGATGGCGATGCAGCTGGTGGGTCTGTGGCGTGACCCGAACAGCAGCTTTTGGCGGGCTCAATCGAGTCCAGTAATGGTTTCACGGGTGGCGTTTCGATCTGCGCAGTCTTGCCCGCACAGCAGGAAGCTGGGTTCTTTCGCTCTGTGGGCGGCGCTTCTGCAGCAGCTTTGCCGGAGCAGCATGACTTTTGTTCCTCCGTGCTCGAGTCGACCTTGACTTCAACGGGAGAGAGAGAGCTTGATTTTGCTGATTTCGAAGAGCAGCAGCTGCTGACAGCTTGATTTTCGACTGGACTTGCGGAGGTGTCTGACAGACTATGGCCGGGAAGAGTCGACCATCCCAGCCCTGTTTCGGTGGCTGCAACCGCATGCTGAATCTGACCCTGGCCCATACCAGCGTCGGCACCTCTGGGCCACATTTGATCTGTACTGAACGTCGGTCGGCGTGCCTTCTTCGAGGCGGACGCAGTGGGTGCGGAAGGTGGGCCAGGGTGTCCAGCTGAACCGTTCGTTGCCGTGACGTGAGAGGGCAGTGCTGAAACTGTGGGGAATGACATCGAGGTCGGCTCGGTTGCAGGTGTCGCTGAAACACTGGCGTTCGCAGAGCCGGCGCCAGAGTCAACGCCGTTGATGCCGAGGTCCCACCAGCTAAAGTCGGCGGGCACGGCAAAGCTGAGACCCGGCTGCAAGATGGCACTGCTCGTGGCCCATTCTTGCACAGAAGAGGCGGTCAAGTGGTCTACGGGCGCTGATGGCTCCGTATGCGTGGCCTCAAAAGGTGTGCCCTGTCCATATGCGCTGCCATACGCCGGTGTGCTGGAGCTTGAAGCGAGTAGCTGCATTTGCTGTTGCTGTTGGAACAGCTCGGCGGGCGAGATTTCGAGTGTGTCGAGCGACTGCAGGAATGCAGCTACGGACAAGTCGTCGAGAGAAGGCAGCTTGTCTGCTGAAGCAGAAGTGCTCGTCTGCGCTTGTGTTGCGTTTGGCTGAGCAGATGGGGCGAAAGAGGCCGATAGAGTTGAGTGAGGCGTCAACACGTCGGATGGAGTGCTGACAAAGGCAGCTTGTTGTTGGGACCATACCGCCGGCGTCGATGCTGCTATAGAGTTGGCGGGAGTGAAGTGGTGGCCAGTCGACGACTGCATAGGGCTTGCGTATAGATCGAGCGAAAGCAAGGCTGTTGCGTCGGCCGGACTGCCGTCGTGCAGCATGTTGTGATGATGTGGTGCCGGTCCGATGACGGATGAGGCATACGGAGACTGCTCGTCCTCAGTCTTGACTCGGGACAGACCGATCGAGTGATTGCGCTTTGCTTTGCCTTTGCCTGTGGTGATGGACGGACTCGATAGCGGAGCATCCTGCCCATCTTCCGTCTTGCGCTTCTTCGGTCGACCGATGGGGGCTCTTGCTGAGTAGACGCACTGAATGTCATCGCTGCTGCACCTCTCGCATCCGCCATTCTCGGGCAGAGTACCACTGCACTTGAGCTTTCGATTGCGACACGCTTCGCACGCCGTCCGAATGATCAATCCGAGCTTAGCGGCCTCGCCTTGGGTATATAGCTCGCCATCAGGGCCGAGGATGTGATTCGCCTTGCTGCTGTTCGAGCTGGATGTGGCGATGACGCTGACTGGAGGCAGGTGGAAGGAATCATCGAGCATTTTTGGTTTTGTGGCAGAAGCAACTGGAGCAGCTTTGGACGGTGACCGCGCCGTCAACAGTCTACGCTCGACATGCGCCGATGAGCCTAGCTGTTTGAAGGAGGTCTTGGCGCCAGTGGATGACTCAGGATGAGAAGGTGTCCCTGGTGTGTCGCTGCTGGACGATGCCGAAGAGGTGCGGCTGGAAAGGCTGGGCGTCTGCTTGGTCGACGGCACTACACTTCGGTCGGTGGCTGCATCCGAAGCATGGGAGTGTGTGTTCGAGGACCTTCTGCCGGCAAAAGCTTCGACGGCAGTGGAAGAAGATGATGAGCGTGGCAAGTCTCGTCGGCGGTCAATCAAGCCATTCGGTTGGGCCGAAGTTCTCAAAGCCGAAACGGACAGCGCTTTGTCACCCGATCGGGTGGCTTCCGAAGTCGGGATCGGATGAGATCCTCCAACGTCTGCCATGGTGATCCGACAGAGCGCAGGACCGTTCGGACCGTCGTACTGTATTGGCGGTATCGCTTAGCGGAAACAATGGGAGAGCGAGGATCCTCGGAGCCTTTTGCAACGCAGTGCCAAACCAGCGCTTGACCTTTCGCTCGATTCGAAGCAGAGGCAAAACCAACTGAGCGCAGGGTCCTTTACAACGGTACTTGTTCCTGATCGTAAACGACTCTTGATGATGAGAGACAAATCGACAGTCAACGATACAGTCGTTGAACGAGTGGCGAGTCGAATGGGAGATGGTGGACTGGCATGTCGCAAGAGCAGCTCAATTTCGCTCCCTATGCTCGGAGCCTTTTCTTGCAGCATCTTGGCAAAGGGTCCACCAACCCGGACCGTCATTTTTTTCCAAAGAAGCCGAATAAAACGAACTCTAACACACTCCAGCTTGCCAAATAACTCTTGTGAGCAGTAACTTCGCGAATCGGAAGTCAGAAGTCGCGATGAAGTTCAGGGTCGTCTTCGCAACCATCTAGATCTTCTTCTACCTGGCTAGCGCAGCGGAGAACCGCTCCGATCTATTCGCGTACATCGGCGCAGCCACCATGCCGCCGAAGAAGAAGTCGGCACGCAGCGCTGCGGCAGCTGAGCCGCCAGCACCAGAAGCCCCAGCCACTTCGGCGCTGCAAGACGCCATGACTTCGATCAACTCCCTCTTCCCCCTCACAACACCCTTCCCGGATCCAGCCAACGACGACACACTCATACCGGCTGCAGACATAATGCTCGAGCAAGAACTGCTTCGCAATCCGGACAACTTTCGCTCGTGGTCCTCGTACATCGACCACATCATCGACACCAACATTGTCAAGCGACCTCCACCAGACGTTTCTCTCAGCACACATCAAGCCGCACTCCTCGGGCCTCTCGCGAGCAGCACTCAGCGCATTGCATTGCGGCGTATAACAAGCATCTACGAGCGCGCGTTAGCTCAATTTCCCACACGGTATTCGCTCTGGCGGGACTACTTGCAGAACCGCTCCCGCTTCGTACTCGGCGAGCCAAAAGGTGGCCTCGAGGCAAAGCGCAAGCGTGACCTGCAAGCTGCTCGCGAGAAGCTCGACTTTGGTCCCACACTCATCGATTCGCCCGATGACGAGGACTTTGGCCGCTCTTACACTGGTGGTCTCGACGGCACTGTCGGCTGGCAGGAATGGAAGAGCCTCGCTGCGCTGTACGAACGAGCGCTCATGTGGCTTCCAACCATGCCACGGCTTTGGCTCAGCTACCTGTCCATGTTCATCCATCCACAGTGCCCGTCCACCCTCTCGTATACACACGCACGTCGCACCTTTGACCGTGCGCTACGGACCTTGCCCGGCTCCCTCCATCTAAGGATATGGAAGGTGTACCTCAAATGGGCCGAACGTCGAGGCGGCGAGACGTGCCTCAGAGTATGGCGACGTTATCTTCGAGTCGACCCCACGCTGACAGAGCGATATGTATCGACCCTTCTCGCCCAGAAGGAGGACACCGAGGGAGATGCGGAGGACGAGGCGGAAGATGAGCAAGGGGGAGAGTCGTCACAGGGCAGCAAGAGTAGGTCTGGCTCCAAGGCGCTGGAGGCTTCCAAGCTTTTGCTCAAACTTGCTCGAGGCGCCGCAGACGGGTCGTATACCAGTCCGGAAGGCAAGAGCGCTTATCAGCTCTTCATCGAATGGCTAGAGCTGACCGAAAAGTACCCAGAGGAGATTGGTCTGGACTCAGAAGAAGAGAAGGAGGCGCTGTTAGAAAGCATCGGTACATCAGCCAACGGCAGGCAGGCTCACTCGCAAGTTGCGAGACGAGGCAAGAACAAAGCCGCAGCGACCTCCGACAATGCTCCGTCAGGCAAGCAATCCGGAACGGATTCACTCGATCCTTCTCGCCTCAACGTGACAAAGATCATCAAGGAGGATGGACTGGACAAGTTTGCGGACCAGTCGGGACGACTCTGGACCGGCTTGGCGACATACTGGATCAAGCGCGGCGAGTTCGAAGTAGCGCGCGACACGTTCGAAGCAGGCATGAAGGCCGTCAAAACCGTCCGCGACTTTACGCAGATCTTCGACGCTTACGCCGAGACCAGCGAAAATGTGATCGCCTTCATGATGGACGAGCTTGCCGAAGAGGCAGAGGACGACGACGACGAGGAAGAAGAGCCTAGAAAGAACAAAGAAGCGGATCTCGACCGCCGCATGCAAGAGTTCGAAGAGCTCATGGAGCGCCGGCCCTTCCTGGTCAACGACGTCCTGCTGCGACGCAACCCGGATGACGTGCAAGAGTGGGAGAAGCGCGTGCTTCTGTACGGCGACAACGACGACAAGATCGTCGAGACGTACCGCGAAGCCATTCAAAAGATCAATCCGCGCAAGGCCACCGCCAACTTCCACCAGATGTTCCTCAACTTTGCCCAGTTCTACGAATACGGCGGGTCAGCAGGGCTGGCCAAGCTCTCGGGCGAAGCCGACGAGGGCGAGGATGCCGCCGAAGAAGCTGCAGAGACAGATCTCGAGTCAGCGCGCAAGATCTTCGAAAAGGCGATCACCATCCCGTTCCGCCGAGTCGACGATCTCGCCGAGATTTGGTGCGAATGGGCCGAGATGGAGCTTCGGCATTCCAACTACGACGAAGCGATCCGCACCATGGCTCGCAGCGTGGCCCCTCCGCGTAACACCAAAGGCGTCCAGTACCACGACGACACGCTTCCACCACAGACACGTCTGTTCAAGTCGCTCAAGCTGTGGAGCTTCTACGTCGATCTCGAGGAGTCGCTGGGAGACGTCGAAAGCACCAAGCGTGTCTACGAAAAGGTGCTCGAGCTCAAGATTGCCAATGCGCAGATTATCATCAACTACGCCGCCTTCCTGGAAGACAACAAGTACTTCGAGGAGAGCTTCAAGGTGTACGAACGCGGTGTCGAGCTGTTCACCTACCCGGTCGCCTTCGAGATCTGGAACGTCTACCTCAGCAAGTTTGTCAAGCGCTACGGCGGCGCCAAGCTGGAACGGGCACGAGATCTGTTCGAGCAAGCGTTGGACAAGTGCCCCGCACGCTTCTGCAAGGCGCTGATGCTCATGTACGGCAAGCTGGAGGAGGAGCACGGTCTCGCCAAGAGAGCCATGAAGATCTACGACCGCGCTACCCGAGCCGTGTCGACGGACGACCGATACGACATGTTTGTCTTCTACCTCGCGAAAGCGGCGGCCAACTTCGGTCTCGCAGCTACACGACCGATCTACGAGCGGGCGATCGAGTCACTGCCAGACCGGCAGACGGCGGACATGTGTCTTCGCTTTGCGGAGCTGGAACGCAAGCTGGGCGAGGTGGACCGAGCGCGCGTCATCTATGCGCATGCTTCGCAGTTCTGCGACCCGCGCACGCACACCGACTTCTGGAAGCAGTGGAACCAGTTCGAGATCGAAACCGGGTCCGAAGATACGTTCCGAGAGATGCTGCGGATCAAGCGCTCGGTGCAGGCGCAGTTCAACACGGACGTGTCGTACATTGCCGCTTCGGCAGTCGCGTCTGCGCAACGCAACCAGGCTCAAGCTCAAAGCAATGGCGTCGCCGATGTGGACGGCAGCAATGCCGATGCAAGCGATCCGATGGCGAGGGTCGAAGCTGCTTCCAGGTCGACGGGTGCGAGGCCGACAGCATTTGTTGCCGCCAGCACTGCAGCCAGCGGTGCTCGTGTCGCTGATGCGAATGGCGACGGAAGTGCAATTAAGAACGAGGAGGTAGTGGGTGGCGATGATGAGGACGACGACGACCTTTTGTAATCGATATCGCGTAGTAGCCAGGGAAAGCAATCTTCTGGACGAGGACGACGTCTCCGCGGATATGAGCGGATCGGCTGTCGACGTGTCTTGGTTGGTCTCTCGACTTCGCTGTGCTTCTCCCCCACAAAAAAGGCGGCTTCGATGTCAGTCCCAGAGAGAGAGAGGCTTCTGCAGCTGCAGCAGCCGCGTTGTTGGAAGCGAGTTGAAAAGCGGAAAAGTCTAATTTTGGTGGACCTGACTGGCTTGAGCGAGATGAGCACGCAAAGGGACCACCACACCACCAGACTCGCGTTGAGCTGCAGCTCGTGCCCTTTTGACTGTCCGACTGCCGAATGCAGTCCGAAAAGTTGACAGGCGCGGCTCAAATGAAAGCTTGAATTCGTATCATCATCCTCCTCCTCCTCCTCCTCCTCATCTTCCTTTGACGCCTTACCACCTCGCCATCCATCTCACGACTTAACCCACACATTCTGTACCTAAGTGGCAACCGTCAGTCGCTCTCCAACACCCTTGGACTTCATCTGCTGCGTCGGCTCCGAACAATTTGACTCCTCCCTTTGTGCTACACAGCCCCCACGGCACGGTTCCCACATTGGCCGTCTCTTATCGACATTCCAGAGCCTGCTGTTACATTCACCCACCGCTCGTTCGCTATTCTTGCGCGACACTTTCGGCCCAACTCATAGGTCCCAAGACCCATCAGCAAGTCCTCTGTCTTCGCAGCGTGGGCCCAAGCGCATCTTTTCTCTCGAACATTCGACATTTGGAGACCAGTCTGTACGACTTCGCGTTCTACACACCTCTCTCTTCGCCATCACGAACGCGCTCATACTGCGCCTTGCATTCGCAGTCCCATATGCAGACAGTCACATCAAATCGTCGTCTCTGACGCGAGCGTCTTCACCTCGATACGTCCGCGCTCATTCGGCTTCGCGGTCGAAGGCCGTGGCAGCGGCTCGCTATCATGAAGCTCCCACATCTGCCGAGATCTCGGCAACGGCCACGTAAAGGTCACAGCTTTATGGAGGGGAACAGCACAATGGCACACGGAAATGCTTTCTTCTTCCAGATGATCATCCTCGCGCTGATAGTTGTCATTCTCGACGCGTTCTCCGGTGTTTCTGCAGCTAGTATAGTCGACGAACCCAACATCAGCAGCACCTCCAGCAACTCGCATCGGGACCTCATCCGGCCAACAAGACATCACCAGCTCGCACAGGCTGGATCTCGCTTTCGCAGCATCCCATCTACGCGTCCAGCCTCAGCTTCCGATCTTGTCCTCGCCAACACTGTCGTTCTCACAACGGTGGAAGGCGGCCTCTTTGCGCTCAACCGCGAGACCGGCAAACAGCTCTGGTCGCTCTCACCACACTCCAGCCACGAATCCGACTCGCTCCTTCGTCCGCTTGTGACAGCTCTGTACGGCAAAGAGCAAAAGTCGTTTGCCGACATTGCGCAAGGTGGTCGCTCTTTCGCATCGCCTTTCAGTGACGCCTCGCCTCTACTCGAGACGGGAGGCATCTACATCGTCGAGCCATCCTCGGCCGGCGACATCTACGTGCTCTCCTCTGCTGGTGGAAAGGCGGACTCTGCCTCTGTCGCCAGCGGCGATCCTGGCAGTGTCCAATTGGACAAGCTGCCGTTGACACTACCGCAGCTCGTTGAGCTCAGTCCCTTCTCTTTCGCCGGCGACGATACGCGCGTCTTCGTGGGACAGAAGCAAACTACGCTCGTCGAGCTCAATATCCAGACAGGCGAGCTAGGCGCCGTCTTTGGAGGTCGGCAGGCAGGTGTTTGGTGCGGCGCGCAAGCACATGATCTGGACCCAGCTCGCGTCAGTCCACAACAAAGCGACGGCTACCCAAGCGCAGAGTCATGCATCGACGACGAGCCAAACTTGTCAGGCTCCTCATCCAAATCGACCTCTCAGCTCGCGTACATCGGTAGAACCGACTATACCCTGAGCATCCACTCTCGCAGTTCCCCAGAGGCTTTGCAGACGCTGCATTTCAGCACCTTTGCACCTAACGCAGGCGATCGAGATGTGCAAGCCCTTTGGACACAAGCGGATCATCCGGACCAGCGCGCCATTCTTGGTATGCCCGAAGATGGCAGCGTCGTCTGCTTCAATCTCACAGAAGCCGACCTTGCCTCGAACGACTATGCCTCTGACGACGACGCATCTCGAACGCTATGGTCCGCCGAGCTGCGTGCAAGCGTAGCAGGCGTCTTTGATGTCGTCTACCCGGCACCGCATCTACAGAACACCAAGTCACTCAGTCGGCCAATTTTGGTCTCCCATCCTCCTGTTCCTCTGCAGCGCGTCTTTCCTCAGATCAGCGATCGACAAGCGGAAGAGGACGAATCGTATAGCTACCAAGATGGACTAGCGCCACGTCGCCGCTCCGCCTATCTGGGCATAGCAGGGGATAGTCTCTACGCCATGAGCTCTCATCGATTCCCACTCGTCGCATTTGCATCCAAGGCTGCTGCTGGTCTCACGGACGGGACCAATTCGCAAGCTGCCAGCGACAGCTGGATGCCTAGCCTGCCCGCATCGCAGAAGGGCTGGGCGGACGAGGGCCAACGCAAGTGTGCATCGTTCGGCTGCTGGCTCGGAAGCTATTCGCTGCAAGTCGACTCGAGCGCCGAAGGCAGGCTCCGCGACTCGCTCCTCGGATCACACCCTACCCTCGAAATTGACGGTGGCTCGCCAAGGCTAGGCATTGGAGACCGTCCTGCCTTCGGAGATTCTTCATCACCAGGGAACGATTCAGAAGGCTCGCCTCGAGACGGGTCCCCATCGGCGTCTGCTAAGCCCTCGCAGAGCCCGAAAGGGCGGAAGAAGCCTTCGCCGAAGTCGCGAAGGCCGGGAACTCGGGGTGACGCCGACGAGACATCGTCAGACTCCAGTCACGCTTCAGACTCTTCACCAGACCAGTCCGCGGGCAAATCAGGTGCTGCCGAACGAAGCTGGAAATCGCGCATGGCAATCCTACTGCTTCAGGTGATCCTGGTCCTCGTCATCGCTGTGCTCGCAGGCGCGACCTACCTCGGCCTGCAGGAACAAAAGATTCGCACCGAGAAGCAGGCAGCCGAGATCGCAAAAGGCGTCGTCTGGATACCCGTGCTCAAAGAAGACGAGGCCGGCTTTGGTGGAGAGGCCAACGCCGAAAAGATGCGCGCCGAGGAGGAGCGTCAGCTGCAACAGGCTATCGCCTTGTCGAATCAAGATGCGGCGACGGCTGCTTCTTCGTCTGTCGGCACATCTGGCTCCAAACCATCACCAGCAAACGACGACGAGGACGACGATGGCGAAGATGGTCAAGAAGGGTCCAACTCCGCTTCCAAAAAGAAGTCCAACAACAACAAGCGCAGACGCAGAGGCAAGCGCGCCGGGGCTGCTGCCGCTGCTAAGGCCGCCAAGGCTAACGGCAAAGAAGGCAGTCCTGAAGCGTCAGAGGCGGGTAATGAGAAAGCGGAGGATGACGACGAGGCGGACCATGAAAAGCAGGAGGCAAGCGTCAAGGCCCAAGAAGAGCCAGAAGAAGACTTCGTCCTCACAACATCGTCAAGGCAGGCCAACGGCGCGAACATCCAGAACGAAGTCGACGTATCCACATCAACGAACGTGTCCGACTCTTCTTCATCGAACGAGAACGAGCCGCAGACGCCACGGAAACGCGATGTGTCTCCTGAGGGCAAGCCTAAAAAGCCGAAAGGGGTGCGAACTGCAAGCTCAGCGCTGGCTGCGAGCGATAGTCTGCAACGCGCACAGCAGCTCATGTCACCTCAGCTCCGCTCACCATTGCTCAACTCAGGCTGGGGCGGATTCGAGGAGGAAGATGCCGCCTCGGTCGGCAGAGCTGCTGCCCAAATTGCAGCTAGCGGTCAGAGTCAATCGGGTGGATCAGCCTCGACCAACGGCGTTAGCACGTCTTCGCTCAGCATCTCGGATGAGGTGCTCGGATACGGCTCGTCAGGCACCGTCGTCTTCCGAGGCACCTTCCAAGGCCGTGCCGTCGCCGTCAAGCGCCTGCTACGCGACTTTGTCCACGTCGCCTCGAAAGAAGTCTCGCTGCTCGAGTCAGCCGACAATCATCCAAACGTCATTCGCTACTTCTACAAGGAGCTGACGCCCAGCTTCCTGTTCATCGCGCTGGAGCTGTGCCCCGCCAGTCTTGCCGAGGTCGTGGAACGTCCTGCCGACTATCGCGACTTGAGCAATCTGCTCGAGCCCAAGCGTGCCCTGCACCAGATCACCTCTGGACTGCGACATCTGCACTCGCTATCGATCGTGCACCGCGACATCAAGCCGCAAAACATCCTGGTGGCTACATCGGCCAACGGCAAGCACCTCAAAATGCTCCTCTCCGACTTTGGTCTGTCGAAGCGACTAGACGGCATGGCACAGACGAGCTTCTCGCAGACCGTCAACAACCCTGGCGGCACTGTGGGCTGGCGTGCCCCTGAGATTCTCCGAGGCGATGTCAATCTCGACGCTGGGTCCGAATCCGAGTCGTCGATGGGCAACAATCCAAGAGCCACCACGAGTCGCGAGGAAAAGTCACGTCTCACACGAGCGGTCGACGTTTTTGCGCTCGGTTGTCTTGCCTATTACGTGCTATCGAACGGGGACCATCCCTTCGGCTCGCGCTTCGAGCGAGAGATGAACATCATCCGCAAGCGGATCGACCTTGCTCGACTCGACGGTCTGGGCGAAGAGGGTCACGAAGCGCAGGATCTGGTGCTCAAGATGATCTCTCACGATCCGCGTCAGCGCCCCTCTGCAGCCGAAGTGCTGACCCACCCGTACTTTTGGGACCCGAACAAGCGGCTCAACTTCCTGCAAGACGCCTCGGACCGTTTCGAGATCATGGACAAGGATCCGCCCACTCCGGCGCTCGTGCTGCTCGAATCCAAGGCGCGCAACGTGCTTGGTACCGACTGGCACCGCCGCTGCGACAAGATGTTCCTCGAGAATCTCGGCAAATTCCGCAAGTACGATCCCGCGTCTGTGCAGGATCTGCTCCGGGCCATGCGCAACAAGAAGCATCACTACCAGGATCTGCCGCCGACGTTGAAGAAGATTCTGGGAAGCTTACCGGATGGCTACCTCAACTACTTTACGAGGCGCTTTCCGGAGCTGTTCCTGCACGTGTACAACACAATCGTGGATCAGCCACTGATCAGGACGGAGCCGGTGTTTAGGGAGTACTTCCATTGCGCCGAGCCCGATCATTAGCGATGGCCGGCCACACACCATCAGCTGCATCTCAATTCTCACACACCCGATTCGGCAGGGCAAGTCTCCAGCATAGCAAAGCTGGTCGAGTCGAACACCTGTATTTGTATCGTATCATTATTCGCCATTCGTAAGCGCATCTTGCAATTGTATCCTGTCACTACTTCGCAAGGACGTGCCGGCCTGCAGGTGCATCCTGCTCCCGGTAAGAGGTGATGCTTGAGCGTAGCGGTACGGCGGCGATATGAGAAATCCGGAAATCGGAGGCGATTTGCTGCCGCTTTTTGGAGATTTTTTGAGCAAACCAGAAGATTTTCATTCCAGCTGCACCCTGACTTGCTTGCTTGCTCGCCATCATCACTGCCACGCTCGACATCCCACCACTTTCAGCGACGGATTACCGGCTCGCTCGCATCGCTGCACTCGACGACAAGAGATTCAATTGATCGATCCCGCAAGCATACGTGCTCTGGTCTCTTATGACATACTCCCAGCACACGACTCGAAGCATCGCACTACCATCCCTCACCATGGCTCCGACAGCCTCCTCCTCCTCTGCCCCCAACGCGGGCGACTCCAAGTCCCGTCTCCTCCGCTTCACAGGCCACCGCAACTTTCGTCAACGTCTCATCCTCTCTCTCGTCTCGCAGCGACCCGTGCGCATCGACTCAATCCGACCCGACTCGTCTAGCCCTGGTATCCGCGATTTCGAAGCCAACTTCCTCCGTCTCCTCGAAAAGGTCACCAATGGGTCGCACGTCGAAATTTCCTACACCGGTACATCGATCCTGCTCAAACCTGGAGTGATCGCCGGAGGCAAAGTGGTGCACGACTGCTCGCTCACCCGCGGTATCGGCTATTGGTTGGAATGGATGGTAGTCCTGGCGCCATTTGCGAAGAAGGAGTTGCATCTGACGCTGCGCGGCGTCACCAACATGGATGGCGATCTGGGCGTGGATACGATTCGAACGGTGACATTGCCGCATCTGACGCTTTTCCTGCCGTTGGACTCGCTCAGCACGCTAGCTAGCTCGTTGGAGCTGCGCATCGCCAAACGTGGTTCCGCACCGTTGGGTGGTGGAGAGGTGCATTTCAGATGTCCGGTGGTAAAGCACTTGAGCACGGTCAACTTTGTTGCGCCGGGAAGGGTGAAGAAGATTCGGGGCATTGCGACTTCGACGAGGGTGAGCCCGCAGATGGCCAACCGACTTATTGACGCCGCCCGTGCTGTGTTGGGTCGGTACATCCCGGATCTGTATCTCTTTGCGGATGTCTATCGTGGGGAGGATTCGGGCAAGTCGCCAGGATTCGCGATTACGTTGCTCGCAACGTCGACCACTGGTGCGATCCATTCGGCGGAAGCGGCGAGTAAGGCGACCGACCCAGGTCTGCCAGAGGACCTCGCACAGTCAGCGGCGAGGATGCTGCTTGAGGAGATCGCAAGTAGCGGTTGTGTCGATAGGAGTCACCAGCCACTGGTGCTCCTGCTCATGGCACTCAGCCCGCAGGACGTCGCCAAATGCACCATGGCTAGCCCCACGGCGAACGCCGTGCAGATGATGCGGGATCTCAAGGAGGCTCTCGGGGTGAGTTTCAAGATCACCCCCGCCTCCGATGCAACCACAGCGCTCGTAGATGGCGCAGAGGATGACGATGCAGAAGAGGAGGACGAGCAGAAGAAGATGCTGCAGAAGCTGGCGAATCCGGAGCTGTTCGCTTATAGCTGTGTCGGTGTCAACTTTGGTGGGTTCAAGAAGGTCGGCTAGACAATGTTCACAGGTTGGCCTTCCGCGCTCTTGCCAGTATACCCTTTCCCATCGCAATGCAGCGACTTCTGTCTCCATGCAATGCCCCTTGTGTGATCAAAAGAGTGAGCCAGAAGCCAAGCCATAGCAACCGCAGAGAGTTGGCCAAGTCGCAGAATGGGCCAAAAAAGAAGTCTCCCAACGTGGGGCTCGAACCCACGACATTCAGATGACCCGAGAATAAGTCTCGGAAACCCTTGTAAGTAAGAGTCTGACGCTCTACCGACTGAGCTAGCCGGGATAGAACTGTTAGGCTCCCGAGCCGTGCTTTGTGTATATGAACTTAGATTTTTGGCCTCCCATCTCCGACCCAGAAGCTTCTGGGATTTAGTGCTTGCTTTGGGCTCGCATATCAGATGTCAGGGTCTACTTTGTCGACCATCTTCCCCAACATTTGCACGCGAGCAGGTGGTCGACGCTTTCTCTCCACCGCGGTCCAGCCTGCGAGACCACCAGAGCCACCCCATCGGAGGGTGCAACTTGCTAGCTGTTCGTTCGGACGAGCACAGGGTCAAGCATCCGCAGTGTGGGCTGCTCGTGCCATTGCTAGCGCCATCAGTGCGGCCACACCAGCACGGGGCGCTAACCCGATCGCGTCGTCTTCGGCCAGCGGCGGCATTCGACTGCGATCTCCATTCCGGTGTTCCTCGCTCAGTACAGCATCATCCCGTCGCTCACTTGGGCTCGCCGCCATGTCGGACGTGCTTGTCTACTCTGGACCGGGAGTCTCGACCTCGGCCCTGCACCACACGCTCAAGACGCTACGCACGCTGCTCACCACGTACGATGTCAAGACGGCGGATGCCAAGACGCTGGCTCTCGATCCGTGGCAGAAGGGTGCAGCGCTCGTGGTCATTCCTGGCGGTCGAGATCTGCCGTACGTCTCCGAGCTCGCCCGGCCGTACTCTCGCGATACAAATGCCTCCTCATCGTCTGGCAGCAGGACAGCGTCCGCGCAAGTGCGCGCCTACGTCGAGTCGGGCGGCAGCTTCCTTGGGATCTGTGCAGGCGCATACTACGCTTCCGCGCACTGCACCTTTGAGCGCGGCACGAGCATGGAGGTGGACGGCGAGCGACCGTTTCTTCGGTTCTTCCCTGGGACCTGTCAGGGGACGGTATATCCCGGATTCGTGTACGAGTCCGACAAAGGAGCACGAATTGTGGACATCGAGCGTACGAGAGAGAGCGACCAATGGAGGTGCCACTACAACGGGGGCGGAGCGTTCATGGACGCCGATCGGTTTGCGGGGGACGGCGTCGAGGTGCTCGCTCGCTACGCGCAGGTGCAGCCGGACGAGCTGCGTCTGGACATCGACTTGAACAGCGGAGAGGCGAAGCAGAGACGGCCGGACTACGGTGGGGAGGCTGCGGTGGTGCTTTCGTCAGTTGGGCTTGGCAAGGCGTTGCTGTTCGGAACGCACCCGGAGTTCCCACTGTTGCCCACATCAACGCCCGTACTCTTGGCGGAGAACGGTCAGACACAGGCGCAGGATGACAAGGATCGCGACGAGCACGATAGACAGCTCCGCGTGCACGAACAGCGTCGGCTGCAGTGGATGCACGAACTGTTCTCGCAGCGATTGGGGCTGCGTTCGGAGCTGCCTCAGTGGGCTGCTCCAACGAAGCTGTCTGAAGCAGCTCGTGCGGCGGGAGCAGCGAGTACAGCTGTCGAGACGGAAGAGCCTAAGCTGCAGCCCATTCTTCTTGCATCGATCGGCGAAGGGTCGGATCAGGTCACTAACGATATCGTGCAGAAGCTCGCTGCGGAAGCGTCCAGCTCAGCATCGCATATCGAAGGGTTCGGGTCGAGCTCTGCCTTGAAAGGCGCCATCGTGGCCAGCGTCAAGGACTCGAACGACACGATGCACTTTGCTTCCGCAGACGCAAACGCCATTCGGGAGGCTCAGGGGTTGTGCTCTTCCGCCGACTACGCTGCTTTCTCCAAGCCCATCGTTCCCGCGCCTGCCGCCGATGGAAGCGCTGAGGACTCGAACTCAGACAAGGAAGTCGACTTGGACTCGGTGCCCAAGTACGTGCTCGTCTGCAAGCAAGATCGACCCTCCTCTGACGTCCTTCCCTACTGGAACATCGCCGAGTACGAAAAGCATCTATTGCACTTCCGACAGATCAACTCTCAAAGAGAGAGCGACAAGGAACCCGGTCATTGGTCAACATGGCGTGCGCCGTATGACCCGTTCAACCCTTTCGGTTCCTCCGCCAGCACGACACCCACCGATCTCCGATTCGGCACGCCCATGCTATACACGCAGATGGTGACGTCCACCCAAACCATGCTGGACAAGAACTTCCGTCTACTTTCCGCCCTGCCTGTCGGAACAACCTTCTTTGCGACGCAGCAGATGTCCGGTCGAGGGCGGGGTGGCAACCGGTGGATCTCGCCTAAGGGCTGTTTGCAGTTCTCCACCGTCTTCCGTGTTCCCGTCTCGATGGCTTCCAAAACCGTCTTCCTTCAATACCTTTCTGCGCTTGCTGTCGTCGAGGGCATTCGTATTGCTTTAGGCGACAGTGCAGCGGGTCGTGCAGTGGCGGACAAAGTACGCATCAAGTGGCCGAACGACATTTACGCCGAGATCCCTCCCGCGTCGGACGGACGGGCGAAGACGGCGACCTTCGAACTCAACGGCAAACGATATGCCAAGCTGGGCGGTATCTTGGTCAACTCGCAATTCAGCGGCGGGAGCGAGTTCGTGCTGATCTCTGGGTGTGGTGTCAACTGTCTCAACCCTCGTCCGACGACGTCGGTCTCGGACCTCATTGCGATTCACAACGACACCAACGAGGGGGAGAAGCTGGATGAGATTACGCAGGAAAAGCTGGCAGGTGCGATATTGTCCACGTTCGACTCGATCTGGCGCACCTTCATGCAGAATGGAGGCAACTTTGCGCCGTTTGTGCCGAGGTATAGACAGGCTTGGCTGCACAGCGATCAGGAAACGACGCTGACCGAGGATGCGCTCAGGAGCGGTGAAGGAGGCGGAGAGGAGAGTGTTAGAATCGTAGGTATCTCATCCGACTTCGGTCTGTTGCAGGCCGTCCCTAGGACGAGCAACGTGCATGCGAAGGATGGAAGGGCTTGGGGAGACACAAAGGATGCAAACGCGAGTGGGATCATCCAGCTCCAGCCGGATGGGAACTCGTTTGATATGCTGCAGAATTTGGTCAAGCGCAAGGTGTAGCGGTGTTCACGTATGCTCAGTGTCTCAGCAATAGGAGCTGTAGACGACAATTTCTAGCCGTTGGTCGAACTGTTGGGATCTCATGATGCCTAGGTGAGGAGCAGAGACGTTGTGGTGAGCCGCTATGAAATTGTGCTCAACGTCTAGCACCGCCTGGAAGGCCGCGGCATGCCGTGGAAGCAGCCTTGGCGACGTGGAGGATCTGCACTGTTGCGGTGCGTGAAACCGTGGATTTTTCGAAATGCGCTCGTCTGTGTGTTGCTTTTGACGTGTGGCAAGGCTCGTGCGCTAAAATTGGCTGCATCTTGAAAAAGGGTGTTGGTTGGCTCACGACATCATCCATCATCTCATCCTACATCGCGCAGTTGGCGCACCTACTCAGCACATACCACGCACCCATCCTTCGCCCACCGCATCTCACAACCATGTCGGCCGCCGCGGTAGTAGAAGACGCGCTCGAGCCCACGCTGCAAAACATTCTCGACCAGAAAACGCTCAAATGGCTCTTTGTCGGAGGCAAGGGTGGTGTCGGTAAAACCACCACCTCTTGCTCTCTCGCCATCCAGCTCTCCAAAGTTCGCGAGTCGGTGCTGCTCATCTCGACGGACCCGGCACACAACCTCTCGGATGCCTTCGGTCAGAAGTTTGGCAAGGAAGCAACCAAGGTCAATGGGTTCGACAACCTCTCTGCGATGGAGATCGATCCGAACTCGTCGATTCAGGAGATGATTGAGCAGTCGGACAGCTCTGGAGGGGCGATGGGGTCGATGATGCAGGATTTGGCGTTTGCCATTCCGGGTGTGGATGAGGCGATGGGATTCGCGGAGATCATGAAGCATGTCAAATCGATGGAGTATTCGGTCATTGTCTTCGACACTGCGCCGACGGGGCATACGTTGCGATTCCTCTCCTTCCCAAGCGTGCTCGAAAAGGCTCTGGCGAAGTTCTCCACCCTGGGCAGGAGCCTGGGGCCGATGTTGGGTCAATTCCAATCGATGCTCGGCGGCGGCGGCGCAAACCAGGAAGACATGTTCGCCAAACTCGAAAGCATGCGCGAAGTCATCACCGAGGTCAACACCCAATTCAAAGACCCCGAGAAAACGACGTTCGTCTGCGTCTGCATCGCCGAATTCCTCTCCCTCTACGAAACCGAACGCCTCATCCAGGAACTCACCCAGTACGAGATCGATACCCACGCCATCGTTTGCAATCAGTTGCTGTATCCGAAGAAGGACAGCAACTGCCAACATTGCAGAGTGCGGAAGCAGATGCAGGACAAGTATGTGGGCGAGATGATGGAGTTGTATGCGGACGATTTTCATATTGTCAAGATGCCATTGTTGACGGAGGAGGTGAGGGGAACGGAGAAGTTGAAGGATTTCAGCAAGTTTTTGATCAGCCCGTATAGCCCGCCGTCCGAGTAAGGGTGCAGTTGGGGTTGGGCGCGGTGTTCTTCCGTATCAGTCGCAATGTAGACGATGTTGTTACTCTCATCTTGGCTGGCAGAAGACTCATGTCGTGTACGAGAACATGACGGTACGCAGTCGTAATGTAGAGCATGACTTGTATCACTCTGACGTTCTCGAGTCGCATACTTCTGAGATTGAGTTCGAGTCCAGGAGCACTCCAAGCACTCGACACAGGTTAAGCTTCGAAGCTGGGGGTGCAGGAGGGGCCGGCTGGAAATTTCTCAAAGCTGTTAGGCTCAGCGTCAAGTCAACCCGCACGGATCTTGTCCTTTCGCATGAAGAATGAGAAAAAGAGCTCCACACATCGGAGAATTTTCGAGCCTCTGGATCTCAGGCCAGATTAAAAGGGCCCATTTTTAGCTCTGTCTCAGTTAGTCATGCAGGGAAACGACGGTCTTCTCCGCAGTGAGCTTGGTTGCAACTAGCCTGAGCTCGTACGCCTGTTACCTCGTGCTTCCGGTCAGCACAGCGCACAAGCTCAGGCTCGAGGGGACACAGCTGCGGACGATCCGATGGGATGGTCGTATCGGATAGAGGAGCCGACAAGGGTACCACGGCAAGAATGGGCTCGCTTGGAACGGGACAGCCGAGAAAGGGATGACTTTGCAGGTCGCGTCACTGCCATATGCCAGCATCAGCACCGCCGCTGTGGAGCAGCGCGGCAAGAGCGAGCCCCTAGCTACCTCTTCGCATTGTTACGATCACATTCACACGCCCAGGCTTCGGATGCCTAGCCGACGGTAGACTCAGCTCTGCGCCAAGCCCACCGTCCGAGGGTCGAGATCGGCTCGATGCAGCATGATCGACTCGGTGGAGCGAGAAGAAAGAATGCCGCAGGCCCTAACCAGAATTCGCATTCTGCACTGCATGCCCACAGAGGGGCCGAGGTGCAGCTCCCCTTTTTCATTTTCTGCGTGGTGGAGCCGCTTCCACACCTCAAGCTGCAGTCATGGTCGGAAAGCGTGGGAGAAAGACATGCGCCCTCGTACCCCACTTCCTGTTGCTGGTGGAGCCGACCATGGCACGAATCATTGCGGCCTCCGTGGTGACACGAGCCATCTTCTTCTCGCGTGTCCCTCCCTTGCAGCAGCCAATGAGGTGGAGAAACATCATGGAAAAAAAAAGAGCAAAAGAAAAGAAAAAAGTCAGCATTTTTCGGAAAGTCGAGAAAGCACGAGGCAGCACACCGCTTTGTGAAAAAGCTGCTGTCTCGGCCAGGAGCCATTTTCTTAGCTGCTTCTCAAAACCCCTTTTTCACCCTCCGATCACGGCCAAAAGTGTTGGTGAGCGTTACTTCTGAAAGCATTCTTCCTTTGCATCTTCCTCCTCCTCCTTCTCGCCCTTCCTCCGACATCAGCAGCTACCTTCGATCGCCCTCTCACACTCGACGTCCGGTTTGATAGCGTATTCAAGGTCCTTCTGCCTTTCTCTTCACGCATCGACGCCCAAGGTCCTGGTTTCTTCGCTTCTTTCGACTCGCTCGCTCAATCTGCATTCCGCTTGACATTCGTTCCTCGGCACCTTCTTGCATTCGCCATCTATACCTGAACACCCGATAACCACACTGCATCGGATCGAACGGATCGCTCGTCGCTTGTTCTGCTTCTCAAGCTCATCTGCCACCCAGCACAGCTTCCGCCACGTCCGCCCTCCCAGCCTCGCAGTCCAAGCCTCATACTGCCAGCTTGTCTCGAATTCTGCATCGGTTACTGCTTTCATTCGGCTTCAAACATACCTCGAGTCCTCGTCATTCACCGGATATAAACATCTTACGAAACGCACGCCACGTGACAACGGCAGCCCTCTGAGAGTCGGATAACTTGATCCGGTCTGCCTAACGCACCCAAGCAACTGGTCAAACCAACCAGTCAGGCTCCACTCGCAGGAGTCCTCTAGCACGATTCCTTCCGGACCTCTTGCATGTCGAAGCTCTGTACTCACCTCGGCTGTGGTTCAGGCTTCCGCGTACCTCTCCTGAGCCAAGATGGATCTCTACTCGACCTCGTTTACCATCCCACGCTCGATCGGTGCGAGCTCGTTCGCTTCCGATTCCTCCAATCAAAATGTGAATGCCACCGCATCATCGTCGTCGGGAGTGGGCCTCGATGCACTTCGAGCAGGTGCACGCCCCGCCCCTCCCGCCTCGGCTGCTCCTGAGCCTCCGGCATCCTCCTTGCCCGGTCGATTCACCTCAATGCGCTCACGCTTTCCTCCTAGCGTCAAGGCATTCATGCCCAGTGCTTTCGGCGGCAAGCGCACAAATGATCGCATCGTCGAAGCGGTAGGTGCTGAAAAGGCCGACGGCGACGCTGCTGCTGCTGCGGCAGCTTCCTCGTCTCAGTCTGCCCCGTCAAGTACCGAGACGGAAGGCCCTGCGCCGCTAGCGCCCATCGGAGAACGAGGCAATGCACGACCTTCCAGGGTGGCTGGCTCAAACTTGGTCGACGACAATGCAGGTAGCCAGCACCGAGACAGCAGGTCCACGGTCGGCACACGTTCCAGCTTCGACATCTCCTCCGCGGCGTCCTTCACCGCTGACAGCACGGCAGCCAGCAGTGCCATCGGTGCCAACCCGTCAAGCACGACACACTCGGCTTCAAATTCCATCTCGCTCAATCACCCGCAGCACGAGCGTGGCATGACGCAGTCGCAGAGCAGCAAAGACCTGCAAGAGGCCATACAGAAGCTCAGCTCCGACGTCATGGCCAATCACCAATGCCTCGTCTCCTTTGCACCAGTCCCGCAGCCTGATGAATCACGCATGCCTCCAACGCCTCTCTCGCATCCTTTCCCCCGTCAGAGCTCCTTCTCCTCTCTGCAAAGCCTCGACCAGCTGCCTCTGCCCAACACCAACGGCTCCGGCGGCTCCGGCTACCCTTACCAGCAGTACCACCCTCAGCCCATTGGTACGCCGGACACGCACTCGTCTGCCTACTTCGCCGGTCGATCCGGTGGGGAAGCGCTCGGCTCTGGTTTCCCTGGTCTCAACGCAAGCTCGCTGTCGCTCTCGTCGCTCAATCCGCAGTCTGGCAGTCACATCGCACAGGAGGTTGGGCTGTCCTCGGCTCAGCCCCTGCGATCGCCGCATCCCAATGCAGCAGGCGTACCACGAGCTAGCCTCAGCGGTGCAAGCAAGCCACCGCAGTACAATTTCCATCTCAGTGGTGGCTACCAGCAAGTCATGAACGCACGTGGGACGATCCTGCGAGAGAATCCGTTCAAGACCACGTCGTCCATCAAGGTCTCCCGTGCTGATGTGTTCGACATCGCCCCCGGCCAGTCGCCGCCTGGCAAGGAGAGCATCAAGGAAGACGTCCGACGCAAGCTCGATGACGTTCAGACGGCTACGGGTGCGACCATCACGCTCAAGAACGCCGAAGTACGTGGCGCCGATCTCGGATACGGTCTCGAGACCGAGCGCATTGTTGAAGTGCTCGTATCCGGACCCTTCGAGAGCGTCGAGCTGGCGCGCGTCAAGGTGCTTGTCATCTTTGACGAGATCGCAGGACTCAAGCCCGAGACGTGCGAGATCGACTACAAGCTGCACAACATCATCGGCGGTCGCAAGCGATGCGTCCTGCAAAAGATTGAGGAAGAGACCGGCACCAGCATCTACCTGCCCAGCTCCTTCCTCGGCACCTTTGGCTCCAATCTCGCCACTCGCAGCGACGCAAGCGGTGTCGCTGCTCACCAGAATCAGATCCACATCACGGGCGAGTTCTTTGGCGTTCAGCGTGCTCGCGACATGCTGTTCCAGGTCTCGATGCATAAGAGCAAAGGTATCATCTCGCGCGATGCCGCCATCTTGCCTCGCAAGCTCGATTGGATGCTCACCGAGCGACTCGAGGAGCTGCGATCCATCATGATCGACAACGGCACCTTTGTTGCTTTCCCACTGCTCGGCAGCCAATCGAGCGTCATTTCTGTGTTTGGCGACCACCGCGTCAACATCGAGCGTACCATCCGATCGATCATGCAGCTCGCGTGTTCGTTCTATGTGGCCTCGCTCTGGCTGCTGCCGGTGGGCTTCGACGTCTACATGCCTTCGCAGGCCAACCTCAACCCGACCCAAGTTGCCCCCGTGCTCAAGCACGTCAGCAATGCTTCTGGCGCCGAAGTCGTCTTCAAGAGCAACTGCTTCGAGATCCATGGTCTTGAGTCCGAGGTGCGCACCGCTGTCTCCGCGCTGCTCGAGCTGGATCTGATGAAGAGCTTCAACTTTGAGGTGCGCTTCCAGATCGAGCTGGCCAACGAGCACCGCGAATTCATCTCGGGCAAAAAGAACGGCAAGGTCAACAAGGTCATGAAGCAGTGCGGCGTCCGCATCAAGTTCGAGACCTTCAACGACTACAACTTCTTGATCGATGTCTCTGGCAACGACCGCAACGGTGTCTTGCAGGGCCTTGGCTTGCTGCAGGAGGAGCTGCCCGCCGAAATGTCATTCCACGTGCCCGAGGCTTACCACAAGCGCATCATTGGTGTCGGTGGCAAGAACATTCAGCGCATCATGAAGAAGTTCGGCGTGTACGTCAAGTTCAGCAACGCCGAAGAGTTCGCTGCGTTGGGAGGCTACCTCGACAACGAAGACAACGTCATTGCTCGCACGCCGGCCAAGAATGCGGTCAATCTCGAGAACCTCAAGCTCTCGGTTATGGAGCTAGTCAACCCGAAGGATAAGGACTACATTAGCGAGACGGTCACCATCTCGCGCCGATACCACCGCACGCTGCTGGGCGAGAAGGCGATCTTCATCCACGACATTGAGAGCAAGACGAGCTCGAGTGTTCGCTTCCCTGCGCGGGAGTCGGCGTCCGATCTGGTGACCATCTTTGGCCCGGAGTCGCAGATCCACATCGCTGCGCAGATGCTGCTCGATCACGTCCCCTTCGAGGCCGAGTTCCGTGCACCCAACTCGACAGAGCTCGCAGAGGCTATTCAGAGTGACGAGTTCACTGCGCTGGCCGAGCAGCTCAAGCGAGATCTCAGCATCACTGTCTCGCCTGTCATCGAGCAGCGACGCCCCGGAGGTGAGGCGGTCTTTAAGCTGCGACTCAACAGGAGCAACACGGATTTCTTGCCCACCGCCAAGGATGCCATCGAGGACTTCCTGATCAACCGCAACGCCAACATCTACGCCGCACCATCTCGAGCTCGCTCCGACTCGTTCGCCTCGGCCTTCCCACACTTTGCCAACAAGCTCATCTCGACGGCTGCGGCGGCCGAGTCGACCGAGTCGTTCCATCAAACAGCTGCAGCCAATGCAGCCGCCGAGCAAGCGCGTGCGAACGAGCGCAGAGTTCGTGCTGCGGCTTCGACGCCCGATATCAAGGCGCTCTTTGATTCGCCTGGCCAGCACCTTGGACCAGGATTCCCGACTGGCAATGGTGCCATCGCGGCTACAGCGGCCAACTCGCCGATGATCACCTCTTCGCTCTACGCTTCGCCGTACGGCAACGGGCGTGGATTTGGCAGCGATGTATGGGGCGCGCCTACGCGTGCCTTCACGACGAGCACCACGAGCAGCAACGCGCCGAGCTTTGTTGGGCTGCCGCCGCCTGGCGTGGGCCCGCAAGGCGCGGGGCTGCCCAGCCCTGCAATCACTGGTGCTATCGGTGCTGGTGTGCCAACGACGCCAGGAGGCATTCAGTTCCCTTCGCAGCCCTCCTTGCACCATCAGCAGAGCGGTCCTCGACTGTCGGACGAGATGCACATGAACCGCGGCTTGGAGGGCATGTCGATGGATGACCGAGTCAAGGCGCTCCGCAAGCCGCGTTCGTTTGCGCATCGAGCCCAGAGCCTCGATATCGGAGCCATGGCGGCCCAGCAGGCTTCGCAGCACGCTAGTGGTAGTATGAGCGTTGGGCCATCGACTCCATTTGGGCTCGGTCCGATCGGAACGGGTGCGCCGAGCATGACGGGTCACTTCCCTGGTATGGGAGGCTCGCAATCGAGTTTCACCTCGGGTGCACCTCATCACCTCTATGGCCCTCCCACACCGCAGGGCAGCCTGCCTCAGCAACAGAAACAACTTCACCAACAGCAGCAAGGATACGGCATGCCTCATCAGCCTCAACACCTCCATGCATCATCTGCTAGCATTTCGCGCCTCCCACCTGGCCGCAACACGCAGAACCTCGATCCCACCACCATGGACGAAGTGAGCCGCGTTCTCGCCCAACTCGCTTTCGACCGCCCCTAGTTCTCTCTTAATCTGGATCCCGGCATCGGTCACCGTTTCTTTCTTCCCAGCACGGAGCATAACTTGTACATGATTCCCCTGTCTACATCGATACACCCCCACATACCTCTTGCGGTCTCGCATATGCACATTTATATCATCAGTACTACCCGCCTCGATCGAGCTGTCTTGCTTTCGGTTGGGGCACCCCTTCATTCTTCGAAATCGATACGATCATACCATTGCCATTCGTCGCTCTTTGTGAGCGTTGTGGCGTTGAGCCGTTCGCGTTGAGCCATGATGTTGATCCGGACAAGGGAAGGCAGAGATTGATGGTCGGCTGAAGGACGGACTTTTCGCACCGAGTTGCGGTGTTAGACCCTGGATTGAGGGCAGGCAAAATTTTATCGGACCCGAATTGGGCGCTTCAGGGTCGCTTTGGCAGAGGGAAGAACCTCGAAAATTTCTATGGATTGCACCTTTCTTCGCGGTAACCTCCACCATCCTCATCGGCCCAAGCAAGCTGTTGGTGGGACCATCGACGGACGACATCCAGCAGCGATCGCTCTTTGTAGCATAGCGGCAGCAAGGCACTGCTTCCGTAGCATCTAGGCAAAAGCGCAGGAAGCCTTTGAATAGGTCTCTGGAAGCCAATCCGACTGGCTGAGTCGCCAGCCTCATTCTCGACCTCTTAGCGCTTTTACGACCACGTAGCTTGCAAAGTCGCTCATCAGCACGACAAGTACGCTTTGAGCCCTCCGTCACTGCGTCTCATTCCCTTCTGCTCCCCTCTATACCCACCCGCACACACCATACACGATGGACGACGACCGCGAGACCGTGCGTCTGTGGCGAGTCAACAAGACGATCCACGAGCTCGTCCGTGATCGTGGCTACCTCGTCTCTGACGACGAGATCAACGTTGATCTCGAGACTTTCAAAGCGGAATATGCGCCCACCGGTGGCTCTGTCGACCGCACCAAGCTCAACTTCTTCACCGAGCACAGCGAGCACGAGAACCAACGTCTCTTCGTCTTCTACTCGATGGAGCGCAACGTTGGCGTCAAGACGATGCGTCAATTCATCAGCATCATGGAAGAACGTGATATTCAGAGAGGCATCATCATCTGGCCCGAAAAAATGACCAGTGCAGCACGCAAAGTCATCGATGCCATGAGAGGTACTTTCCATCTGGAGGACTTCGAAGAGGCCTTTTTGCTGGTTAATATCACGCACCATCATTTGGTGCCTAAGCACGAACCGTTGTATCCACAGGAGAAGAAGGATTTGCTCCAGAGGTACAGGTTGAAGGAAACGCAGTTGCCGAGGATCCAACAGGCAGATCCGGTGGCGAGGTACTTCGGTCTGCAAAGAGGTCAGGTGGTCAAGATTATCCGACCCAGCGAGACTAGTGGCCGATACTGCTCGTATAGGATCTGCATGTGATCACGGACGCTCAAGACGTCGTCCATCGCAAAGCTTGGTTCGGGCCTTGCCAATTACCATTCCCACACAACCTGCCGTTCTTCGCCGCCACCTCAAAACAAAAGTTGTAATAGTATCCTTCTCCTCTGCATCGTTTGCTGTGCTCTGACGTGCCTGTGCCCGGCACCCTGCGCTTGTGATTGTGGCTACATGTTTTGAGTGCTGTCCACCACATCCAGTTGAGCAAGAGTTAGGCCAGAGAGCTCCACAGTGGTGTTGGGCAGCGCGTGAATTGGGCTCGCGTGCCGGCGTGTGCGGCGGGATTTTGCAGAAAAAGTGTTGTTCTCGCTCCTGACGACTTGTCACTGACCTGCACATCGGTCGTCACCTCAACATCCTCCTGTCCATCTTGTTGGCACAACAGCAGCGTATGGTACCAGTGCAGCCTACTCGTAGCCTCATCTTTCCCTCCAACTGACCATCCTGCTCGCTGGAGCAGCAAACAGCAACAATGCCGAACGTGGAGAAGCCCACCGATCAAGCATCCTCCACCTCGACCGCCTACCCTCCAGCAGCCATCGCCACCACCAAAGTCCCTTCTTCAGATACACAAGCCGAGCAGGAATACTATCCGCCCCCAACATCAAGCTACTACTTTGGCGCACCAGACGCTAGCCGCGCATTTGGTGAGCCCCAAACGGGCACGCCTGGGCTACATCTGCCGAAGGAGATCGTACGGTGCGTTGATCGAGCCCTTTTTCCCTAGAGACACCTCGACCTGTCGCTGCCCGAGTGACGTCTTTCTTTCCTACCCTTCCAACTGCCGTGCCGCCCCGCCGTCGTCCGGCCCGGTTCGTCTCTCCTACGCTCGAGCTGGGGACGCTACAAGGCTCCACCTTCGCGAGGTAGACGCTTCGCGCCAGTTCTGTCCCAGCTATAGACGCTTCGAGCTTCCTCCACCTGAACTGCCCCTCTGTCTCAGCTGTCCCTTCGCAATCCAGCCTCGTCTCTTCTCTCGTCGAGCCTTTCTCGATACCTTACAAGGACATCCTCTCGCTGACTGTCTTTATTTGCATCACCACAGGATCGAACGAGACTATTCGCTCGGCGAACTACCCCAATACCACCCCTCTTTCCCACTCGAGCTCGAGACGCGGCTCAGTCCAACAACGTTTAGCGAAATCGTCAACGATATCAACAGCTTGCTCGTCGAGGCGCACAATTCGACGCGGGTGTGGGTGGATAACGTTGTTGCGATAGGCACGTTCTACCTCTCCACTCTGGTGCTCGGGACGCATTACAGACGCGTAAGTCACCCCCAACCCCTTCTCTTCGTAAGAGTCTTATGAGGAAATGACGTGCTGATACGATATGGGATGTGGGGGAAACAGACAATGAAGAAGCTCGACGAGCTGGTCGAGAGAGTGAACAGGGAGACGATGCACCCAGCAGGATTGAATCTCGTCCACCCGCACAGGACCGCATTCCTCTTTTTGGAGGTGGAATACTTTTAGACCCACGCACACACTGTTGCTTGCCATGCACAGCGCACAATATACCCCGGGATTCTCGCAGCAGAGCAGCGTGACTATGCGACTGGCAGTCTTTCGAGCAACGTGTGTGTGAGTGTCGGCGGCGGGCGGCAACGGTGTCAAACGGAGGGAGGGGTCGGCGTCTTCCACGGAGGAGACCCTGAGTTTTCTTTTTCGCAGGGTCCAAAAGCTTTTCGCCCACCGTTCTTCCTGGCGCACCACCATGCCCAAAAGGGGGCGCCCGCCTAGAGCTCACCCATTACGGTCACCCGCATCACGACGGAGCCAGGGCCACGATGGCTTCCACGCCCTCCACCGCCACCCAAGCTCCGGAAGAGGAACCGTTCACGTTCGTCCGTTCGCGCCGCCGTCCGGCTCCCACCCCAGCGCACCCAGGCAAGAGCGTGAGCAGCAGCACCGGTCTCACCGGCCCCTCGACTGGCTTCAATTACTCTTCCCCATCCACTTCCTCCTCCGGATCCGGTTTGAGAAGGAACGCAAAGAGGAACGGCAAAAGCGAGCAGCAGCTGGTCGAGGAGCAGATGGTGAGGGCGCGTCATGCGGTGGACACGTTTGTTCGGTATCTTGGGAGCGAGCTTTGCCGCGAAAGCAAGGGCAAGGGCAGGGAGGGAAGGGAAGGGAGGAGGAGCTATGCCGAGGAGCTTGCGGAGAGTGTGAGGGATGTTTGGGCTGCCGCATCGGTCCCGGAAGCCAACACGTCTGGCTCGATCGCAACATCCTCGAACACTGGCGAGCTAGAGACAACACCCGCACCAGCAGCATCAGCGCCACCATCAACATCGTCAGCATCGTCAGCAGCAGCAGTAGCACCGTCAGCACAAGACGCAGAATCAATCGAGGGCAGACCAGCTCGACCGCAGCGCATCGTATGCCTGGGTCTTGGCTCCCCGCTCACCTCACGCAGCGCGCAGATTCAGCTCGCGCTTCTGGTTGTTTTGCGCGACTACCTGCTGATGCTCAACACTGGCCTCGACGACGAGCACAGGTGCGGGGCAGAGGTGCAAGGGGAGACGAAGTGGAAGGGTGGGATGGAGTGTGTTGCGTACGATCCGGTGTTCACTGTGCATGATGTGGGATTGCTTAAACTGTACGGGGTGGCTGTCGCACCCTCTACAACTGTTCCCGGCGCCTCCGACTCTATCTCGGAAAGCGACGCCGCCCCACCCTCAGACTCCCGCACCGCTCCTCGTTCGAAAGATCCCCACAGTACACCCCCACCGAGCGAGGCAAAAAGCATCGAATCCTACTACACCAACATCCGCACTCCCACGCTGCTCTACATGCCCCACTGCGATCGGGAGCTGTACGAAGAAGTGCTCGTGCTCAACTACCCAGACGACAACGCAGACGCAGGCAGGCAAGTTGTGCTCCTCAGCAACCTCCTCACCAACTACACGCTACACAATTCCTCCCTCGAGACGAGCTATCCGACCCTTGCCAGGCTGGTGAATCGGTTTCAGGTGAGGGAGCTGCCCAACTGGGAGTCGGGGAAGAAAGCTTCCCCACTCAAACGGGACACAGTGGCGCATGAAGGAACGGAGAAAGGGGAGAGGGAGGAGCAGGACCAAGCGGTGCTACTGGCCGAATTCGCCCGTCTGTGGGACCGAAATGCTTTGCGAGATTTGGGCTTTCACTGGCTCTGAATCGCTCACTCTCCCACAACTCACATTGCCACCTAGCAGTCACTGTCTTGCGGTCCGAGCGACGACTGTGCACTTCGATTGCGTCTCGTAACAAGCGGCGCGCATCACCTCTGCGCAGCGCTGCTGCTGCTCCCGCTAGCATCAATCTCCTGACTCGCGCTGCCCCGGGCAAGCGCCTCCAACCCACTCAAGGGGTCCACCCGGTTGGGGCGCGTCGGAATCACGCTCTCCCGAAGATCGTACAGCTGGATCGACTCGAGGTACGTCGGATAGTCGATCTCCATGATGAACTGCTTGCTGCGCGTGGTCGAGTCGGCTTGCGATTCGTCGTCCTCGGAAGGGGGTTGTGCCGTTGCTGTCTCGCGCCAGGACCATCGTATCAGAGCGATTGCGAGAGACGGATCAAGACAGATTGAAAGATTAAAAGGATGGCAAGAGGAGAGTCAGAAAGGGTTCCCCCTGAAATGTAGGGAGGTTGCGACTTACCCAGTATAGCATTGCCCTCGCGATCCGTGGTGAGGCTCGCCTTGTTCTCCTTGATCAGAAAGCTGACGTGGAAGAAGTTCTCGATGGTGTTGACGAAGCTGTGCGGGTCGACTGCGAACCTGAACAAACACACGCCCTGGGGACCCTGCTGTTTGAGCAGTTGAGACACTTTGATGATGGCGCTGGTGCTTTCTCTGCCGGCGCTTTGCTGGAGATCCTGCTGACCGAGTGCGCGCGGAGCCTGTCTTTCCGCCGGTGCGTCTTCCACCCGTCTCGGTCCTAAGGACTTGCGTGTCTTTGGGACGGTGTCGAGGGGGCCGAGGAGGAAATCCATTGTCACCGCCCGTCTCGATACGCTTGCTGCTAATCTCCCCAATTTTGCCCAATCCCACTCGTTGACATTGCCCTCCGCTTCGTCGTCCTCGTCATCGCTATCGCCTCGCGCGGTGCGACGCTGCGCCGCCGCTTCACCCCCCACATACCGCGCGATGCGCGAAACAAACTCGTGCGTGTCAAACGCATCCGCGTTGAGCTTCATCTTCTTGGCCATGCGCGCCCCCATCTCGGACATACTCGTCAAGGTCTTGGTGTCGAGCACACTTTCGCTGGGCGCCACCACGCGTTCGTGCAACTCGTCCACTTGGGAGATGAGATCGACGAGGTCCGCCGGTTTGAGGGACGAGTCGCGCTTGGACTCTTCGGCGCGCGCGATGAGCGCCCGGTAGTCGGACCGGACGCGACGACGGTCGTCTGCATCCTGGCGCGGATTGTAGGTGAAGGCGGACGTGTCGGGTGGTGGAGGGCGCTTGCGCGGCGAGGAGGGGCCCGCTTGGGAGGAGGGGTCGGGTGTGCGTTGCGTTGCAGAAGGCATGATTCGCGGTGTTGAAGATGGAGTGGTGCGTCGGAGGTGGTAGGTGTAGGGCTAGGTGCTGCTCGCGGGTGCGATTGAGTGGATCGGTGCTGCTTAAAAGATTGCGACTGCTCTATGGGGAGCGGCTGTTTGAGATGTCGTCAATGGGGAGAAGAGCGCAGAACTCAGCACCGACGGGATGGACGATGGAGGAAAGGGTGAGAGGTGTGGATCCGCGGAGGCTCCGACAAAAGTGTTGGATTAGGGTTCTGAAGCGTCGTGTGTGGAGAGAGAGGCCTGCAGCGGCGCGCCGTGCCGTTGCCTTGAGAAAGATCAAATTTCTGGCGCGTGTGAGACGCGCGCTTGCTGCGTGGCGCAAATGAGAGGGACTTCCTACGCTCATCTTTTGCTTCCCACGGTCCTCTCACAGAGTCAAACACTTCAAAGCTTGATTAATCGGATGCTGTCCGAGCCCTCAGCGCAGAGACCAGAAATGACGCGAGCAGATAGTATGTACAAGTATCGTGTCATTGCAATCAATGGAACCAGGGAGGCGAGCCAAAGAATGCTAGCGGAGCCCAGCTTATTCTACAACCGAATCGTTCGTCTGGCGCTCGCTAGCAATGTACGTGGAATCCAAACGCTCAGCAGCACCCGCCATTCGACTGCGCCGCGACGTTCTGGCCTGCGCCCACCTTGAGCGTGCTCTTGCCACCTGCCTGGTTGTTGACGGTGCTGGATCCCATGCGGTCCTTGATCTGCTTGGCCATGGTCAAGAAGGCCTGCTCGACGTTGGTCGCCGACTTGGCCGACGTCTCGAGGAACGGAATCTGCAGCTGATCCGCAAACTCCTTGGCCGTCGCATACTCGACCACCTTCTTGTTGGTCAGATCCGACTTGTTGCCCACCAGCAGCTTGTTGACACCTTCGCAGGCGTATCGATCAATCTCTTGGAGCCATTGCTTGACGTTGCTGAACGTGTCGTTGTCTGTGACGTCGTAGACGACAATGATACCGTGCGCGCCACGGTAGTAAGACGAGGTGATGGTTCGGAAACGCTCCTGTCCCGCGGTGTCCCACTGTGGATGCAAAAGGAAGTGACGGATGATGTCAGTCCGAGCTCGGCTTCAATACGACGCTACACGGTCGGGTCGTCTGTGGAATCTTTGCGGGGCCCGCCGCCGTCTGTCGCTGTGCCGGCCTATTCATCGAATCTGTTCCGAGCATCCATGATTCGAAATGCCCGGTCGAGATTGACTGTTGCGGTCCACACGGTATCCGAATGCTCGTCCCTCGCGCTGGATCGCGCATTCCGCTGTCTGCGCTTGACGCTACCACAGGTGTGAGGATCTTCGAGCGAAGCGCAGCTCCAGCGCAGAGGCAAAAGATCGCCCTTTCCACAAGCAAAGCACCTGTGACCGCATCGTTCCAATACTCACGATCTGGAGCTTGACGGTCTTGCCCTCGAGCTCGATGGTGCGGATCTTGAAGTCGACGCCGATGGCTGTGAAAGCAGAAAAAATGATCAACATGGCCATGGTGTCAGTAAGGCTGTGCAAGCTTACGAGGTGTCGGCGATTGTCATGTAATGTACTGTGGAACTGGATACCTACTCGAAATATACGACTCAGTGTAGGTGTCGTCGGCGAATCGAAGAAGGAGACATGACTTTCCGACACCCGAGTCACCAATGAGCAGGAGCTTGAAGAGGTAGTCGTAGTCGGCAGAGAGGCCAGCCATTTTGAGCGCTTAGGTGCCGGTGCAGGGAGATGTGTGGTTGTTGTCGTACAGCTGCACAGTTTGCGTGGTGCAGTAAGAGGACAGTCGCGGATGATCCGGTGGTTGATGCGATGATTGAGGGTGGGCGACGACGAGATGATGGTAGTGGAGGTGAAAGGGCGTGTGCGTGTGTGTGTGTGTGTGATTCCAGAGCGCGATACGAGGCCGAGGTGTCGAAATTCACATCTCGGGAAAGCACAGCCAAAATCATCACGGCGAGACTCAGGGCTTAAGGCCCGAGCATGCGCAGCAGCTGCGCGTGTGAGAGAGTCGACTGTGTGTTGCTTGAGCCCGCTCAGCCAGGATCACACCGCGACAAGGCATTCTGAGGGGCTTTGTGACAGCACAGCAAATTGCAGAATTTTAAAGGAGTTGCAGGTGCGATCTCACAGCTGTGGTAACAAGTCGGTGTCGAGATCGGGCTTCGCGAAAGTGGAGATAGAGCTCGATCTGCGTTCGTGGAAGACGGTCCGGAGATGACGAAATTTCCTAGGTCGAGCAGCCACGAAATTCGAGATTTCTCGGAGAGCCGAGTGGAAATTGATTAGGGCCATCAGTGGCGATCCAAGCGAATCGACGGCTGGCATCGCGTGGTGGCAGCAGTGACAGGCTGCTTCATCTGTTTGTGTGGATGAAAGTGGTTTCGGGAACTGCCGCTTATTTCGGCGAGATTCCGATGAAGCCTTCTTTTACCGACGCTGATGGGACTCAGCTCATTGTTCGAGGTGGATGGTAGGCTTCGCTCTCTACAATCACATTTCACTCTGTCTCCCTCTCAGGCTTTGACAGCTCGGCTGCTCCCGCAAGCGCTCATCCGACAGGCTCGTTCAGCTGTCCTTGCGTTTGTCACGCATCCTTGTCGGCACCCCACCATCCATTTCTGTCATTGACATTGCTGCCGCTCGTCCAGCCGCTCTGTCATCTGGTCGACCCTTTCCGTTACAGCAGATCGGCTGTTACTTCGACCCCGAGGCTCTCGTCCGCGCAAGCCCTTTTCGGCATCAATCAGCAACGCTCTTGCGCCTTTGCCTGAGCAAACGTTGATACCATCGGTTGTCTGACTTCGGACCCTGCTTTAGGCTCCTCTCAACGCCTATAAGATCAGGCTCTGCCTCAGCCCTTACACCTGTCGGACGACCTTCTCTACCCCAACACTTCGACATCAACTTCTTTCTTCTCGACCTCGATCGGAACGGATCAGTAGCATACAACATGACCATCCCTCTCAACAACGGCGCCGGCCCCAGCCGCCTTTCCGCCTCCCCCAGAAAGACCTTCTACCCCGTCTGGCCAGAGACACACGATGAGGCAGAGTACTTCGAAGTGCCCCCAGATCATTTCTTGGCCCAGCAGCGAGGCGCCAACAAAGCTCAGCCAGCCAGCACGTCACAGCAAACCCTCGCGCGACGAGTTTCTTCGTCGTCCTCATCCACCTTCAGCGAAGCATCCATGCCCATCGCTGGTCTCAGCAATGTATCAGAAGCAGACGCTTTGTCATCGCCATTCTCATCACCACAGCCGCTGTCAGAGCTAGCGACAGCAGTTCGTGCTGGTATTCCTGCATTGCCGTCATCGCTCGGCCACATCGTCCAACCCCTCGACCGTCTTGCAGATGCAGTACCACGCCCAGCCGGCTTCTCCACCGTCGACGAGCACATTCCAGATACATCTACGCTTGCTGCTGCCGATTTTGACGTCGACGTTCGTTCCGGTTTCCTGCCACCCGAGGCGCCCGTCCGGCGTCTCGGTGGGGTGCATGCTGAGCAGTGGGAGAATGCGCTCGACGAAGCAAAACGCATCCCCCTTATGCAGGGCGGCGGTGGTGCCACCATCACCCAACACCAACGCCTTCTCGCCCGTCGCTGGCGTCGCGCGCTTCGTGAGATGCCAGTACTGCCTCTGTCCGAAGAGCTCGCCAACGACATTCGCTTCGCACGTCGAGGCCATGTCGTCCTCTCCTTCCTCGCTCATTTCTACATCCACAGCCAACCGCCTAAAGCCTCCGACGCTGCGATTCCGCAACGCAGCTGGCTTAACGTCTTCTCGCGCAAGTCGGTCGAGGAGCTCCAAGATGAGCAGGACCTCGTCGACGAGCTCGCCGGCAAGTATCTGCGCCGCGTGCCCGCCGCCATCGCCGTCCCCTGGGTTCAGCTCTCGCAGAAGCTCGACTTGCCGCCCGTTCTCACTTACGCCACCACCGTCTTGTGGAATTGGGAATACGTCGACGCCTCCCGCGGCCTCGAACCGGACAACATGCGAATCGTCGAGACCTTCACAGCAACGCCGTCCGAGCACCACTTCTTCTTCACTTCGCTGCTCATCGAAGCGCGGGGCGTCGAGGCGCTCGAGCTCATGCGTGTCAGTTTGGACGAGGCGTTCGTGGCGGATCGCGTTGCACGCAGGCGTATCGCTGGGTACCTCAACAGGCTAGCAGTCGTGCTCAAGGATCTGACCAAGCTCCTGCACGATGTGCGCAACGGATGCGACCCAAAGATCTTCTACTGGGGGATTCGGCCTTGGTTCGTTGGCAGCGATACGGTGGACAAGGGCGAGCAAGTGGGATGGCACTTCGAAGGTGTGGACGCGGAAGGTGTCAAGCGTGTCTTTTCTGGGCCGTCGGCGGGTCAGAGCTCGATGATCCACGCAATCGATGTCTTCTTGGACGTCGACCACACTCGCAGGAAGGAGAGACTTAACCGTCCCGCTGCGACTGCAACGAGCGATGCGAGGGGCGCAGATGCCACGTTTATGGAGCGCATGTCGCTCTACATGCCCGGACACCACCGAGCGTTCCTGTCGCACCTGCGCAACGTTTCGTTCGACGACGACGTGGACGAGGAGGACGACCTCAGTGACATGTCTGCCTCTGTTGCGTCGGACAGCGATGGTGAGGAGGAGGCACAGCCGCGAGAGCTCCCGCATCCCATCCGCAGCCTGGCGCTCAAATCCAAGACCGAGGAGCACGACGAGGGTCTCCCCGCTGCCTACGACAACGCACTTAAGGAGCTCAAAGCCCTGCGTGACGAGCACATGAAGGTGGCCTACCTCTACATTGTCGCCCAAGCGCGTGGTTCTCCACCCGACGCCTATGCGCCCCTTCCTCGTGGATTCACCGGTCAGCTCGAAGTCGACCGACGTTTGGTGGCCAAAGCCAAGGCGAAAGCGCACGCCGATGCCGAGGCCGAAGCGGCTGCGCTGCTCGATCCCAACTCGAAGGACAACGGCGGCGGCGCAAAGGGAACAGGTGGCACTGACCTCGTGAGTTTCCTCCGCGACTGCCGTGTCAACACCATCGACGCGCTCATCCTCGCCAAGGAGGTTGCCACGTCCACTGCGGCGAGTGTTACGACTGCCGTCAGCGGTGTCGCCACCTCGTCGACGGCCAACGCTGCGGGAAGTTCATCAGGTCAGTCCACCACCCCTTCTGCCTCGCAAACCGTTGACCCGACCGTGACTGACGAATACAACGCCGCGTCTGCTACCGATACCGATGCAACACTGCAGATCTGGGCCGTTGACATCTCGGCCCACCCAACTCTTCTCACGGACGAATCTCTTCGCGAGATTGTGGAGACCCTCCTTCCGGGGGCACACAACGCCGCTGACCGAGCAAAAGTGCTCAAGTATTACCGGCAGCCAGACCGCGTGCGGTCGCTCGTTGCGCGTCTCCTGCCGCGTCTGCTCCTTGCTACGCGATTCAACATCGATCCTGCCACTGTGCGATTCGGAGTCACGCCGCAGGGTCGGCCATTCGTCTCAGCGCCCAGCGTCGGGCTGGACTTCAACATCTCGCATGACGGAGATTGGGTTGTCCTTGCCTTTTCCACCGCCGGCATTCGGGTAGGCATCGACGCGATGGGCGTTGAGCTGCCGCGCTATGAGCAGAGCATAAGGAGTTTCGTAGAGACCATGGATATGGCGCTCACCGCGCGCGAAACGGCGTGGGTGCTGAATTGTCCGGAACAGCAGGGTTTGAAAAGGTTGTTCAGTCTGTGGACGCACAAAGAGGCGTACACGAAGAATCTCGGCTTGGGGCTGGGGTTCGATTTCAAGCGCGTCGAGTTGGAGGGTGGGGCGATGCGGGTGGATGGTGAGACGGTGGAGAAGTATGGGTGGGTGGATGTGATGCTGGATGGAGAGGTGGAGAGTCAGGTGGTGGTATGTCATGGTCCGTATGAGGAGAAGCAGGTGAGGGGGAGGCAGATGACCGCAGAGCAGGCGGAGGGACGGGGGATCTTGCGCAGGATGACGCTCCAGGGGCTGCTGGACGAGGCTAAGACGGTCTTTGCCGCTTTGTAGAGATCACGCCGCACTCGTCACACGGATAGAATGGTCACTTCGTCTTTCGTCACATCCTTTGCCGCACGTGCGGTCCGTCAGACTGTGTGGTTGGGCCACGAATTGGCTCCTGAGAGCGCCTGGAGTGGCTCGAATGTCATTGCATTGACTGACTGTGGTTCAATGTGAGACCAGCGTCTCAGCCAACACCAGCACCTCCTGCAGCACCGTCACCCCTTGCCCCTTCTCCTCCTTCCTCTCGCCCCTCTCATCCACCACCTCGTCGCTCCAGCCCAAAAGCAGCACTCTCACTGCGCCAAACCGCACCACTTCCGCCAGCCCATCATCCAGGAGATAACTCAGTCTTGCTTGCACCGTCTGCTCTGCCTTCGTCCCCTCCTCGGTGGATCGGAAGAACGTCGACCCACTGCGCAGGGCGTGCATCTCCAGCGTCACGGGCGGAAGTGGCACGAGGGACGATCCCAAATGCTGCACCCCTAGCGTCGGCAAGAAGGACGCGGGGATCTCGACATGTCCCGTTGGCCGTGTAAGCGCCTGAGCATGCGTCTCGATGTGCACCTTGTACTGCGATTCCACTTTCTCCCATGCTACGGTTGGCTCTGGCAACGCTGCCCTCTCCTCCTTCTCCCCCTCGCCTTGCTGTGAGGTCTTCTCGTCCACCACAGTCGCCTCCGCCAACCCCACCTTGGGCGGCAGAGGTGGAGCAGGAGACCCACTCCGACCAGCACCTTCAGAATCGGTCGACGTACGCGGTCGCAACGACAACGAGCTATTGCGCACGAGGTTCGAGAGGTTCGTCTGCAACCGCACTTTGGTGAGTGCCGATGAGACGGGCGTGGAGGTTCGGCTGGGTGTGGGTGTTTTGCGTGGCGTCGAGGGTCGGTCGTCCCCCAGCGCCGCTGGGAGAGGAGGTGGAGCGGTGTGGGAAGGGAGCGGGGGCGGGGGCGAGATCACGCAGTGCTGAAGGGCGAGTGAGAGCGTGCGTCGGACGGAGAGACGTTCGATTGCTGCGGTGGGGGTAGGTTTGGCGCGAGGCGAGGCGATCTCGGATAGAGGCGTGTCGTCGTCGTCTTCGTCTGCGGTGGGTTGTGATGGTGGGCCGGTGTCGGGTGTGTGTGGTGGAAGGAGGTGAGAGGAGACGTCGCAGATGGTGAGGTCGATGTCCAGACCGATGGCTTCACCGACGCGGACGGTGCGCAGAGCATCGATCGCAGAAGGTTGCAGCGTAAGCTGCGTTCGCAGTTGCGGGACGAGCTTCGTCGTGCTGCTGGAGACGGTGACAGGTGGAGCGGCGACGCGCCGTCGAACGAGTTGTGACGTTTGCAATCGACCCGGTTCACCAAGTGACATTCGCCAGCTAATGTCCAAATGGCCCAATGCATCACCTTTGATCGAATGGCCGTCGGGTGATACGCCGAGGTCGATCCCGCCCTTCGTCACTTCGTCTGTCAACGAGGTCGCTTGGGAGGGCGTGAGGGTGAAGAGGTACTGTCGAATGTCTCCATCGCCCAGCAGCTCGTTTGTCCCCTTGTACAGCCACATGTCCGCGCCCTTCCCTTTCCCTGCACGATCGTCTTCTGTTTCGCCCCCGCTGTTCAAAGTCGGCCTGTCGACACTGGTCCACCTCCACCCGGGCGCACTCTTCAACGCCATCCCAGTAAACACCAAACTCGCTCCGTTCCCGGCCACATTCTGAACCTGGACTTCCAGCTCGACCCTCTTCCTCACCGCTGCCTCCGGATGGTAAAGCGAACTGGCGTGTCTTGGCTGATGCACCTTCGTTCTGACGCTGATCGGAGATCTGTCCACCGCAAACTTGTAGAACTTTCGAAAACTTCTCTCTGTCCACACTTCCACTCCGTCCTGCTGCGAGACAGACTTGTAGCCGACGGTGCAGACGAGGACGTGTGGGCCGAGGTCTTTGATGTCGTATCCGAGGGACGTTTCGAGTGCTTGTCCCTGGTCGAGCTCCCATATTGGCCGACCTTGATCATCTTCGATGGTGGGGTCGGGCTCATATCGGGTGGGGTTGGGGAGTATGACGTGTGCGAGCTGGTGCCAGCGGCCTGAGTCGGTCGAGGCGCCTGCGTTGGGGTCTGAGGCGCCGACCTGCATCTCGACGCGCAGGCTTGGCTCGCGCACCGCCGTCGCGGATTCATTCCGCACACAAAGGTATGTGCGGAATGTCTCACCGAGGTAGAGCGTACCGAATGAGTTCGGCAGCACGAGTAGGGGGCTGATGGGGAAGCTGTCCGCCGCCGAGGACGAGGATACTCCCTCCCACCGATTCGAGAGCAGATCGTGCGACAGGCCATCCTGGATGCCTTGCCCTACAGCCTCGATGAGTGGATTGCGAGAGTTGTCCTCAGATGCTTCGTAGTACGGCTTCTCGCTAACCACTAGGGAGGGGGCGGACGCACGCATCACTTTGAGCGAGAGCAGGTGTGGACCGGCATTTTGGGCGGGTGTGGGTGATGCCGGGGGTGGACCTTGTGTGGAGGACGGAGGCGGCGCGCGGGACAAGCCTGAGGCGGCCGCCGCCGGCGCTGCGAGGGACGCCATCGGGTCGATAGATGGTGGTCTCGTCCGTCCAAGTGGCTTGAACTGTTGCTAGAAGCGTTGTCGCGAAGTAGATGATGGGGTCAGAAGAACTCGAGAAGCAACCCAGAGAAAGGGTCCAAGGGCGGACCGTGCAGCAACCGGATTTTTCGAACATGTTGGATCGCATCCGTTCTCGCCGTGCGCGAATTTTTCTCACACCATCACCACAGCGACGCTTCCGCGAGTCAATGGGCGCATCCACCCACGCTTGTTGCTGTCATCGAACGTCTATTGCTCTTGTGTCTATGTAGGGAACGTATCACAGCTCCTCGTCATCCTCTCCGAGCGCAGCGAACATCCTCACGTGGTAATCGGCCAACATGAGCATGCCCACCAGCACCGCCGCGATCACCGTCAAACTCACCACCTGTTCCAACGTCAACCCTTCCCAAGCGAGAACAACGCTCTCCGGCATCCAGCTGCCCACTCTCTCCACCATCCCTTCGGGCTTCACCAGCTTCCTCCGCTCCCTCAGCCTCTCGAGCTTGTGCCCGTGCGCGTCTTCGAGCTCGATCTTGAGCTTGTGCACCACACCCGCTCGCGTATCCTTGTGCTCTACATAGAGCGTTTGAAGTTCCGCATCGAACCTCGTCTCGCAGTCAGAAGTGGTGATGCTGAACCGTCGGTTCTTGTAGTGATACCCTGGAAGGAAGATCTCTGTCACCGTCGAAGTGGTTGAGGAGTTCTTCCACTGTACCTCGAAGAAGAGCGATTCGACATCGAACGACGTATACACCTGTTCTCCGGCCACCTTGACGGCGTACGGTCGGATGATGGATTCCAAGCACCGACCGCCGCGGTAGAGCTCGTCGTCTTCGTGCGAGGCGTTGCGGAAGTCAGAGCGCAGTGTGGGGTGATCGGGCAAGTCACCATTGGTGAAGCTGAAATCTTCGAAATTCCACCCGTCCCCGTAGGCGACGCGGTTGGCGGGGTTGTAGTTCCACAGTGTGAATCCGAGCCCGAGCTGCTCCATGGCGTTGATCAGCGCGTCGAGCAGTTGGGACTGCTTCGTATAGTCCCCTGTGCGGTATGCGGTGCGGGCATTGATGTCGAACGGCAGACCCACTTCGCCGATGATGATCGGCACGGACCCAAGCGAGGCCAGAGCAAGCTCTTTGATCTTTGACATCTGCACCAGGTAGTTCTTTCGCAAGCCTTGTACACCGAAATAGAGCGCTTTGGGTAGAAACATCCCCCGGCTGAGACCTTGGACGTTGACACTCATCCACGCGTGCGCTCGGGAGAAGACCACGTTGAGGTCGTAAAAGTGCGGCGCGTAGACGAACCTCGCCTCGCCACCAGGTCGGGGCGTGTCGATGAGGGTTTTGGTGGCGTACTTCTGATTGTAGGCCGCTTGTTTGTACTCCGCGGCGAGATTGGGGTCTTCGATGACGCGGGCGGGGATCCACGGTGGGACAAACTCGTTCGGCACCGGCTCGACGAATGTGAATGCTTTGGAACGGTTGACGCGGTCCGAGAAGCGCTTGAGGAAGGGTGCGAAGCAGTCGCGGTACCATTCGATGCGTTGGCCTTCCCGACCTTGACGGTGGTCCTTCTCGAAGTAATCGTATTGTAGGACGACAGGGACTTGTTTGGATTCGTCCCATTCCCAGACTCCGTGTGCTCGCCAGATGCACATCCCTTGATCCTTGTCTGCGTTCGACACGCCATTGGATGTACGAGACGAGGGCAGCCAGCAAGACTTGCCCTTGGGATCGATCGTAGCCCTGTGCGAAACTCGGGTCGGGAATGGCCACGACTTGACGTAGAACTTGACGTTCTGCTTGTAGCCGCTCCCGAGGGCAAGCGCTTGAATCAACGACGGGTAGTGTCCGATATGCAAATCCGTGTCGTAGTTCCAAGCGTGAAAGTCGTGCAGGTTGATAAGTCCCCGATGCGGCTCGTTCATGGGTTCGAAGCCCAGGCATGCTTCCAATGGTAGCAATCGATCTGCTAGTGCACCAAAGGCCTCGATGTAGGAGTTCTGCAGAAAGGTCTGCAGACCCACTTGCTTGTCTCCATCCTTGATCGTCGTCTTTGGTGCCAAAGCGTCGCCTGCCCAAAACAGCGTCGCCATGGTTGCCGGTGCCAACTTTTGATATCCGGATGGCCAGAGGAACGCGCCGCTCTCCTCCCTCTTCTTCCCTGGGGTAGCTTCTCGCTTCTGCTTCTCGTCCACACAGTGGATGTACGCAGCGCCCGTCTCTGTGAACGCCTCGATGTCCAACCCCGCCACCTCGAACGTCCACCCTGGCGCACCAGATCCGCCGCTGAAGCGCGACCACACATCCTGGTGCACGCACACAAAGCACTTCAACCCGTACTCCGCCATACACGTCACCAGCTTCTCCAGATAGTCTACGTAGTCCGTATCGACATCGTCCTTCCCTGGACCCTTGTGGGAGATCGACTCCCAGGTCACGAGCAATCGAATGAGCGGCAACCCCCACGCGCGGAGCCGGGCGAAATGCAGCGGTGCTTCCTCGAGAGGGAAAGGTCGTCCGACAAACGACACGGTGCGATGCGTCTCGTAAAATTCTTCGTGCAGGTGTGAGAGTCCGTTCGGCGATGTCGGCAGTTTGGAAGATCCAGCAATGTTGACGCCGTGCAGGTTGATGGTTCGACCGAGGGAATCTACGAATCGTCCGTTTTCTATGCGCAGGCCGGATGGACCGAGGGCGGCATCCGACAGATCGGTGGCCGCGTATTTGGTCTCCATCGCGCTCTATGGTGGCCTTGGCCTCAGGTCTATGGGATGTGGTGTAGGTTGCGGTGGAACGAAGAAGAGAAGGTTGGTGTTGGTCTGTGTTGCTCTCGGACAAACGCTTGGCAGCCAGCACGAGCCACGTTCTCGGTTTTCTTCTTAAATTCACAGATTTTTGGGATCTTTTTCAAATAATTTATTTTTTTGCCTCCACTTTGCCGTCTCCCGAGGCAGCTTACCCCGCACGATGTTCCCGCTCCTCGTCCTACTTTCTCCTCAACGTCTGTACTCCCACCTCACGCCTTAAGACCATCAGTATTGTTATAGCCCCCAGAATAGATGACATAGATAGTCCCAGACATGGTCAAGTCCCTGCTGTCAAAGTTCCTGCCGCTGGCAGAGGACCCGTTCCCACCGACCCATAAAGCAGGCTCCGAGTTCGAAGGCTTCTTTATCCGGCTCGAATCGCATTCGGGTCGTTCGCAGACGTCTTCCTCCTCACCTGCTGGATCATCATCGACTCGCAAAGCCCCAAAGAAGAGCCCGGCGTCGAAAGCATCGCCATCGCGAATTCCACGTCTGACGCCAAAGTCGCGCAAGGCAGAAGCGTCCACCTCGACCTCTCCGTTGAGTCGGCGAAGGGTTCGTTCGTCGTCCACCTCCTCTTCCTCTTCGTCCTCCTCGGCGGCCGGTCCAGCTTCGCCGACTCCGCCATCACGCAAAGCCTCTCGCGAACAACCTCGACGATTCGCAGACGATCGGATATCACCAAAGTCGCTCTTTCCCGAGATCGAGCCCGTATTCGCCTCTCCCGAGTCGTATCTTCCACGTCCAACCCCTCCGTCCTCCGCATCGAAGGTTCGCAATCTCACCTCGACTCTCCCCACTTCATCCCCAGGGGACCTGATTCTCGTCGTGTGCGAGCTGCAATCCGCTCCTGTCGACCAGCGCATCTGCATCTACCTCCGCTGGATCGTACACGGTGAAGAGCCCGCCTTGCATCGCGAGCTCCACTCGAGCAATGGAGCAGAGAGACTGCCCAAGAACGCCCGTCGCAAGGGGGAGTCTTTTGAGATCGTCCACCACATCCCTGCATGGCAGGTGAAGCTGGGTGCGAAAGTGGGAAGCTTTGCAGTGCAACCGTTTCGCATCGGCCTGCCGGAGTTGGGGTTTGTGGATGTCAAGCCGGATGGGAATGTCGTGGCTGATATCACGTTGCCGAATCCAGCAAGAGGGATGGGGACGAGGGTGAGATTGAGATCGACCAAATTTGCGCCCTGGCAGGAAGCGTCGAAGCTGCCAATGGGTAGTAGGGGTCCCGAAGGGTGGATCCAGCATTTGGGACCGATACTCCCGTTGCATTGGTACGTGCATTCGTCGAGCGCTCCGGCAATGTTCTCGCTCGAACATGTGGCGGAGAACAACGGCGAGGTCGAGCTGGACAATGCGGTCGCGGCAGGGAGGGGGTTGCTGCACGTGGAGAAGAATTGGGGCCAGGCGTTTCCGAGTGGGTGGATGTGGGCTCATGGTGCGTCGGCGTTGGCTGATCCGAGCTTCGATTCGACGTCGAAGGAGCGGCCGTTCGTCAGGTTGAGTCTGGCAGGAGGGTCGATTCTGGGGTTGACAGCGTTCCTCGTAGGGGTTCACATCAAGGACACGGGGAGCGAGGTGAATTGGACTTTCACCCCGCCGTTCGCGGTCGGTCCAAAGGTCTCCTTTCCCTCATCGAAGGGAGAGGAGAGAGTGCATATTGGGCCGGGGCTGCGCATGACCCGCAACTTTGGAGCGAAACAATTCAGGATCGATGTGTGGGACCTCTCCCGCTGGGCTAGCATCTACATCACGGGCGACGAGGAGACGTTCGCAACCCAAATTCCAGGACCTCGCAGGGGCGGATGGACGCCAGGCTACTGTCATCACAGCTACAGATGCAGGGCGTCCATCACGCTGTACAAGAGGAGCGCGGGCAGGTTGGCGATGCTCCCGATGAAGGCGGTGCTGAACCCTTTGGGGACGCTGAGGTCAGGGAAGCGGTTCCTTGGCGGCGCTGACGAGAGCAGTGATGGCTGGAGCAGACTGGGCTGGCAAAAGGTGACGGAGGCGCGGCTGGACGATAGGGTGGCGCTGGAGTTTGGCGGTGACTTTGCTCAATGAGTGTGGTCCGGAGCCGATGCTTTGGTCAGCGTCATGCAGAACACAGACGATAGATGAGATCGCACCACGCATCCCTGAGATCAGCAGAAACGATTGTATGTCACGATTAGGAACGGTACAAATATACCCAGACGATCTCAATGGGCAGCGGGATTAGCGTACGAAACGGTCTTAGGACGACCTCCGCCTGTCGACGGCCGATAGGGCGACTTGGGCGGCCGCTTGGGTGGTGTCACACCGCTCGTCGAGTTCCTCCTCTTGACCCTCTTGCTGATCCACATTTCGGCCTCGCTGTCGGTCGTCTTGTCCACCTTGATCATCTCGAGCTGGCCATTGGACGACATATTGCCTTTCTCCGTATCAAGCGCCGATTCGTTGACGGAGGCGCGCGACCAATCTGTGTCATCGGACCCGGTCGACTTGCGTCGGAATCGATCGTTCACAGGAATAGCGACGACCGAGATGGTAGTCACGTTAGGTTCGTCGTGATGCGGTTGAGAAGGGGCTGGGCTGGAGGCAGTGGCGGGTCGGCTGCGCTCAAAAGGCGAGAGTGTGCGTCGAATGTCGAGCTGGCGCGCTTCGGCCTTGATGCGGTCGACGGCAGAAGCGGTGTTTGGGCGATGAGGCGACTTGGCCGAAGAGACCACCTTCGTAGCCTTAGCCCTAGAGACAGACAGGCTGCGCGGCGTTGAAGAGTCTTGTGGCATTCGTTCGATTGCCTCTTGACCTACAAAGGCAGGCGATGCGCTGTCTTTCAAGTTGCCCTGGGAAAGCGAGGCCAACAAGACTCTCCTTTTCTCGTATTGCAGCTTGGAGTCGCTGCGTCGATGCTCTCGACGTGCCATAGGAGGATCAGACTTGACGTCCAGCAGAGATTTCCCTCTATCATCCCCACCGTCGTCGATCTTCTCTATGTGTTCTGCAGACGAAAATGGCATCAGAGGGAAGATTGTGTGCTTCGATGGGCTATCCGCGAAGCTCGGAGGGATGCTGGTCTGCACGCTACTGAACGACTCGTCCTGAGCGAGAGCATGGATACCTCTAGGCCTGAAAACGGGCTCAGTCTCCAGGTTAAGCGTTGCTGGATGCTGCATCGTGCTGAACGGCATTTCGAGCTTGTCGAGGCTCGCCTCTCCTCGCTCGGTTCTGTATGAGTGGTCAGGCGGGTCGATAGGAGCGGCTTTGCGTCGCTTATGGCGACGATAAAGTAGGATCGCAAAGAGCGCGGTAATGAAGCCCAAAATGGCGGCACCAGCTCCGATACCGGCGTACTCTGACGTGTGGTCGGTCAAGGACGACGAGTCCGAGTCCGTAATGCCAGACGCATTGGCGGTGGAATCTGGATCTACAGAAGTGGTGCTCGGAGTGCAAGCATCAGGGCTGTCTGCGGAAGGGAAGCTAGCCCCGTCAAAGTAGATCGGTGCCGGATTAGCATCACCTGTTTTGCCGTCAGAGATGGGATCGACAGACAGAGTCGCGGTGTGGTTCGTGCAGGCGAACCCCTCGAGGTGGAAGGTCTTCTTCTGCAGTGCTTCTTTATCGCCGTTGGGAGCCGATGCAGCGGCCTCTGCGGCAGTGATAACCAGCGCATATGTCTTGCCATCCTCAAGAGTCAGCTTGGCGCTGGCTCCGGCGGCCTTGTAGAGCATGCCGATCGCGAGAGAGTCGCCGGGAAAGGTGAAAGTGAGCTGCGCGTCCGGCTTGCTCGACATGACAGCCGAGCCATTGCGAGCCGCATCGTCCTGGACAACGACCCAAGACGACTTCTCCTGGTCGACGTAGGGCGAAGTGCCGGGCGAAAAGGCGATGCCAGGGTCTGTATCATCGATACGCGTCCGCGCAGAAGCTGACTCTTCGACTTGTAGGCTGATGTCCCTCGCCACGATCGTGGGCATACTCTTGGTCTGGCCTGCGCGACGGATCTCCATATTGTTTGGTAAGGCTCTAGCTTTGGCTCGTTGATCGAAGGGGAAGCAGATATGCTGTTGGAGGTATGAGGAAAGGAAATGGCGATAGCGAGCACTCTCGGTATCCGTGCAGTCTGGACCGGCTCAGCGTGCAGATCTTGACCCGCAAAGGTGGCTCATCGGCTTCGCGAGGGCTCCTCCAGAGTCGCGTTCCCGCACTCCTCGTTGTCTTTATAACTTCGGCTTCATTTGAGGTGTCAGGTGGGAGCGTAGAGCACTCTTGCTGCAGCACTTCACATTGTATTGCTAATGAAAGGCTCGGCGTGATGATAACTCCGGCTGTGGAGCAACCGAAGGCACGGGAACGAAGCGGTTCCCACGCCTACTGCGGTCTCTACGCCAGGTCAGGTAAGGCGATTTCGGTACACTGCTCCGCGATGTCGGCTCAGGCCCGTATGTTGTGCTGCTGTGCGAACGTGTGACAGACGGGCGTAGCCGAAAGGAACGGCGAAGATCCGCAAGCAGCGATCGTATCACCCGACGCCTCTGACTCAGCTCGTCGGCGTCTGTCCGACATGGTACGTGACTTGCGAGAGATGAAATGTTTGGGCCCATATGAGGTGATGAGCCACGTTGACAGTGATATCGTCCCCACTCACGGCCTCCAGCGCAACAGTCTGGAGGCGTCTCGATTTGCCCTTCATCGACGCTCGAACCGAACCCACCATGATACATTGTCGCTGGCTGCAACCGGGCTCAGACGGAGCAAGTGCCGACCGTCGGCTTTTCCATTTGTGGCCGACCGAGGACGGCTGTGCCTCTGCGATCCCACCTTGCGAGGGACCTACCGACCCAACAGCACGTTGGATAGCGACGCAAGCCTGACGTCCCGCCTTTCCTCCGGCCTAACAGCCTTGGCCCGAAATTCCGCTCAGCTGCAACACGAAAAAAGTTCACTCGAGCCGAGCTCTAAAAATTTGGAAGATTCGCCTCCACCGTCGGGCGAAAAAAAGTTGCGAGGACCCTTTCGCCTCCTCCGCTCCTTGAGCCACTACCTTCATCCCATCCCTCAACCACCACACGGGACTCACATCCAACCTGCGCATCTTCCCGCCCCCTCCCATTGCCCACAATGCGTCAACGACGAGCCAAGATCTATCGCAAGATGCTGCACGCCTACCAGCTGCAGTTCTCCTTCCGCGAGCCCTACCAGTTGCTCATCGATGACACGTTCTCCCTCGCTCTGTCGCGGTACAAGATCTCGGACCCGGTGCAGCAGTTCGGCAATGTGTTGCAGAGCAAGAAGATCAAGCCGCTGATCACGCAGTGCTGCATGCAAGCGCTGTATGCGTTGGGCAAGGAGCACCAGTCGACTGTCGACATGGCCAAGGCCTGGGAGCGAAGGATGTGCAACCACCGGGAGGCAATCGACCCCCAGGAGTGCGTCAAGCAGTGCGTAGGCAAGGAGAACAAGCACAGGTACATCGTCGCGAGCGAACAGGGCGAGTTGCGACGCGATCTGAGATTGGCCGTCGCCGGAGTGCCGATGATGCACTTCACCCAGGCAGTCATGGTGCTCGAACCCATGTCGCCACTCACCAAGAGCCGGATCGAGGAGAAGGAGGACACGAAGCTCAGCCTGCCCGCGAGCGAAGCGGGGCTGTTGAAGAACCAGCCGAGCGTCGAGGTGGACATTGTGGGTGAGGCGGCGGACGAGGAGAAGGTGGAAGGGGAGACCGGCACGGAGGCAGCCGAGGGCTCGGGGAGGAGGAGGAAGAGGAAGGCGCCCAACCCGTTGTCCGTCCGCAAGCCCAAGAATCCTCGACTTACGATGGAGGAGAAGTTGCAGAAGGAGCAGGAGTACAAGAAGCAGAAGCAGAGGAATGCTGCAAAGGCGAGAATGGAGGCGAGCAAGCTGGACGGGACGAAGGCTGCTAGTGCGGAGGAAAAGGGAGGCAGCGGCGGGAGGAAGCGTAGAGGTTCTAGGGCCAACAAGGATGGCAGTGCCGAGGGCGAGACTGCTGCTCCGAAAGCGGTGCCGGTGGCGAAGCCGAAGAAAGCGGTAGAGCCGAAGGAGGTGCCAAAGAAGGTTCAGGTTCCAGCTGCAGACACGAATGGCGAGCCCAAGAAGAAGAAGGTCCGCTCAAAGCCCCGTCCCGAGGCTGCAAACGGTGATTCTGCTGAGAGCTCAGCTTGAGCTTCTCGGTTATTCCGCCTCCCTCACACTCAATCGCAATCATCATAGCACTTCACACGCACCTCGTCAAGCAATGCAACATCTTCCCATTGTCTCTTCTCACGCTGTCACAGTCCGAAGGGCGACCGTCGCTGCTGGCCCGACTGCAGGCGCCAAGCGCTCCGACAGAGCCGACAACTGTCTCGCCAACCGCGCCCTGGTCTGCTTCTGCTGCTCCAGCTGCACCTCTGGTTGCTTGTGATAAGGCAGCCATGGTCGACCGCCCTTGCTCTGCGATTCCTCCTTGTCCGCGGATCCGGACGGCTTCCTTGCGAGCGGCGTGAGATCGACAACGCTAGACAGAGCCAGCGTCGTGAGCGCAGAGGTGTAGAGCTGCTTCGCCTCTGCACGGACGGATCCACCAGCGCTGCTGTTGACTTTGCGAGTCGGACGCGGTGCAGCACGCTGGACGGGTTCGCCGACGTTCTTGGTGTCGCTCTCGTCGCCGCCCTCCTTCGCATCGGCTGCACGCTGCGAACGCCGCACGAGCGCCGGCAGAGCCTCCATCTGCTGCAGCAGCGCGCTGCCTTTGAGCACGGCGTTTTCGTTGCGCAAATGCTTGAGCGCGCCTTTGAGCGCTTCCAGCTGATCCACCAGATACGACGTTTCCAGGCTGCTGTAGCTGGCGCCCGCCTCCAAGGCCCCGTCTGGCAATGCACGGCCCACGCCGCCTGCCTGTGCATCGCCGTTCGCAGCCAACGCATTGACGCCGTCAGCAGGAGCAGCAGCCACTTGTGCCTTGAGCCGGTCGTGATCCTTCTGCAGCGCCTCGATCTCGCTCTGCAACGCATCGTTGGCGTCCTGGTACGCCTTGGCTTGACGCTGCGTCTCGGCGAGCGTAGCACGCACATCGCTGTGCTCGTCCACCTGCGCCTTGGATTTTTCGAGTTGCTTTTGAAGGCGTTCGATCTTGATCGAGCCCTCCTGCAGCGCTTGATCGCGTGCTTTGACTTGACGCAGCAGGTCGCGCGCGTCTTCGCTGAGCTTCGCCACCTGTCGATCGAGTTCCGGGTTTTGCGCCGCTTGCGTCTTGATGTCCTCGGCGCGTGCCAGCCAGGGTCCGGGACCATCGATACGGATGACGTTGTCCTGCTCGACAATGGCGGTGAGCACGGTTTGGATGGTGGTGGAGAGATGCGAAGTAGACGAGAGTGGGCCGGACCACAGACTGGCATCCGTCTTGCCGAGCCCTTCCTGCGTCGCCTCTTCCACCATCTCAGTCACCTTGGCGATCTCGAAGACCGTTTTGGACGATCGCGCCTCGGCGACGTATGCCGAGATCGACTCGGACAGCTGTGTGGCGAACGTCACCAGCTGCGACGTGAGCCTGCCCAGCGGCGGTAGATTCATAATGGCCTCCATGCGCACCGCCTCGTCGTTCTCGGCCAAGCTCAAGAGCCGGCGCAACACCTTGCGTGTCAGCACCTTTGTATTGCGGATGCGATTGATGAGTTCCTGCATGGGATCGAACAGGTCGTCCTCGATGTTCTTGTTGCCCATCTCCCACTCGACATCGTCGTCGGCGTACAGCTGGGCAAGCTGCTGCTTGGCATACCCGAGCGCCGCGATGAGCGTTTCGAGGTCGTGGTCGATCAGATTCGCCGATCCTACTTCTTTGGCGGCCAGATCGCTGTCGTTCTCGTCGCCACCCAGAGCCATGTTGAAGTCCTCGAATTGTTTGACGAAGCGCCCAAATTCGAGGCCACACTCTTGCTCCTTGAGCTCTTCGCGTCGCAGCGCTGCAATAAACGAGTCGATCTTGCGCTCGATGGCCATGTTCTCGCGATACATGCGCCCGCCGCGGAGGAAAACTTCCGTCGGCGCGAGACGCAGCACCGCCGCGATCTGTCGAGACAGCGCGCTGAAGTGAGCGATCGAATGACGCATCTGGCACACGCTGACCATGATCTCGGGTACGATGCCTGACAGGCTCTCCTGAATGTCGTGATTGGTCTCGACGATCGACTTGATCAAGTCCGACTTGATAGCCATGCGGCGGAAGAAGAGCAGGCAGTTGACCGCGTCTGCATCTGCTTCAAAGTAGGCGCTCGGCAAGTAGGAGCGCACCATCTCGAGATGCGAGGTCGCTTGCGATGCTTGCAGTCGTCCCAGCTCAAGGTCGATTGTCTTGGCCTGACTCTTGAGCGCGCTCGACTGAAGCTTGAGGTTGAGGTTGAGCATGGCCTGATCTGCGAGATCCTTGCGTCCTGCGCCGGCCCCACCTCCGTACTCGGCTTGCTCAGCCTTGGCCGCCTCCAACTCGCTCTGCAAGTTCGAGACGAGATCGCGGAACTGCGCGAAGGTGTTCTGATAATCGACCGCGTTGTTCTCGAGCCCCTCATTGCGCGCTTGTAGGTCGCGGATACGCGATTCGCCTTGATCGATCTCCTCACGCAGCTCCTTCTCGTTGATGGTGTGCTGCTCCTCGAGCTCGTTGTTGATCTCGGCCATCGTCTCGTGCTCTTCTATCTCGTCTCGAAGCTTCTTGACCAGGTCACTCAGCTGCAAGTTGCGCTCGGTGAGCTGCTCGACGAGGTCTTGTGCGCCGAGGGCATCGTCGAGCTGCAGCTTGAGATCCTCGATCATCGACTCGGCATTCTCGAGTTCGGGCAGCAACGAATCGTTGGTCGAGTTGAGCTCGATAAGCTCGGCGTTTTCGCGCTCGAGCTCGATGATCTTGCGACGGTGCTCGCCTTCGGTCTCGTTGGAGCGGTCCCGAAGATCACGAAGCACGCGACGGAGCTGATCGTTCTCGCGCTGCAGCAATTCTGAGGCGGCAGAGTAGTTGGCCTCGCCTCCCTTTTCGCCTTCAGCATCTCCACGGGCATCGCCTTCCTGGTTTCCATCTCCAGCGCCGGCAGCCGCGCGACGCCTCAAGAGATTCGGATTCATATCCTTCTCCAAGGCTCGAATCTTGGCATTGGCGGCCTCAAGCGACAGGAGGTGCTCCTCCGCCTCGAGAGCAGCTGTCTCTGCCTTCTCTTCCGCCATCTCGCGATCGAGCGTCAAAGACTCGAGCTCGTCGTTGACGCGCGAGAGCTGGCGCTCAAAGTCATCCTTCTGCATGGCCCAGTCCTTTTCGAGCTTCTTCTGGTCCTTGAGCTCAGCCTGCAGCTCTTGCACCTTGGCTGTGAGTTTGGGTGCCGCGGCGATCGACTGCTCGGCCTCCTCCTTTTGTCTCTCGAGCTCTGAGATACGACTGCGCTCGTCATCGCGCTTCTTTTCGAGAACGCGCACCTTGGCACGCAGCTCTTCGACTTCCTTCTGCAGTGCGCCAAATTCGGCTGAAGACCGAAGATTCGCGGTGCTGGGAGAGGGCTCGACGAGGCTCATGAAGTCGCGTGTTGACTTGTTGAGCGATTTGGTGGATCGGAGCGCCGAGTCTGCGACTGTGTCGGCAGAGATCGTCTGGTCCGCTTCGTCGGCTAAGTCGTCGTCCTCTGCAGGTTCTTGTGGAGCAGCATCCGAAAGACGGCCTGCACTAAGAAGATCTTGATCATAGGTGGCTTCGTCTTCGTCGTACACGTCGTCCAGATCGAGCAGCTGATGTGATGCGCTCGTGCGGCCCGAGCTGACTGCGCTTCCTCCTGAGCTCCTCGGACCCAGTCGTGAAGGCGCAAGGGAGCTTCCTGCACGAGAGACCGCACTGGCGGAGCTTCCGGCGCGCGTGGTCGGAGCAGATGCTGCTGCTGCCGAGCGCGCGGCAGCAACGCGGGACGCCGAGGTTACACTCGGGCTTGAGGTAGCAGTGCGGGCACCGCCGGCTAACATGGAGGGTCGACTGGTAGCAACGGGCCGAAGACCTGCTCTGGCAGCTGATGGGGTTTGTGGTTTCGCTGAGGTTGTCGAAGATGATGCAGTGGCGGTCGGACGTGCCGCTGTCCGAGTGATGCTTGCACTCGTTGCTGCTGGTGTCCTTGTGCTGGGAGTGGCAGAGGATGCGGAAGCGGCAGTCGATCTGACGGTCCGCCCAGGCGCGGCTGGCGTGGCTGGCGAGGCGGTTCTGCTTGCAAGGGTGCTGGCCGCTGCCGAGCGTGCTGCGCCCGAAGCGATGGATGGACGACCAGCGACAGCTGGTTTCACGGGTGATCGCACCCCGGCGGCAGGTTTGACAGGCGAGGCGGTGCGTGATGATATGCTGGCCGAAGTTGGCGGTCGTGATGCTGATACTGAAGAGACGCTGCTACCGACGCTGGTGGCGCTCGTCCTCCTAATCACGGAAGGAGGCGCACCTGGCGCCAAGCTGGCTCGCGGTGCTGGTGCTCTGGCTGGTGTCGAAGCTGTGCCTTTCGTCGGGCTGAGACGGGACGCGGCGGCGGCGGCAGAAGGGGTGGATGCGACTCCCGGACGCGTCGCTCGTGCGGCCGGTGCTGGTTGTGGTACGAGCTCGTCGTCTATGCTATGCATCTCTTCCTCTGGTGATAGTACGTGGACTTGGCTCGGACGGACGAAGACGCCGTAGCCATCTTCACACTCGAAGTAGCGCTTGCCTTGAACAGAGCCGTTGTTCTTGCCGTTCTGGTCATCGAGCTCGACACCGACCCAAACCCCGGCTGCGAAAGAGGTCTGGCCGACGAAGAGAACTTCACCATAGCCTAGATTGCCACATCTGACACGCGAGTGTAGATGGAGCGGCTGCGACGCCGCGCTCGGGGTCGCCATCGTGCTTCAACGAAGAGCGAGGGGATCGGCTGAGCTATGTGGAAAGGCTGTCGGTGCTGTGCATAGCGGCGCGAATCTTACTTGTTGCGGCCAACGATAGCACGTGTAAGCGAGCCTCAGGTAGTTGCTGACTCCGAGGTAGGTCGTGGATGTCTCGATGATGCTCTTGATGTTGTCAAGATGAAAGGGACGAATGCAGCTTCATCTCAGGGTTCACTTTCAGTGGAAGCGCGTGTGTCCTGAGTGGAAGTGTTGGTCTGTGTGACTGTGATTTAAGGAGGAAAAAAGCGGCAGCAGAGCAGTTCAGACTCGAGGCGCCTCTTTACACGCGTCTTGTTCCCTTCTGCCTGCAATGCTAACAAGAGCAAGGCGGCGTTCTCACGTCATGACTCCGTAGTTTCGAGTGTGCAGCACAGCCAGCAGCGAATGGCGGCGACTGCAGCTCCTCACTCTCATGGCAGAACGAAACGCAATTTCGGAAGCAGAGCCCATGATGATGATCAAAGTTTCGATTACGTGTACGAACCAGGTCGAGCAGATGAACAAGAATGGCACTCTAACCAATGATGAGCTTGTTCTCGCCGTCGTTGAAGTCGTACTCGGGCACCTCGAGGTTGAGAGGAGCAGGACCCTTGCGGGCACGACCCGAGATGTCGTAGTGCGAACCGTGGCAAGGGCAGTACCAGCCACCAAAGTCACCCGCCTCACCGATGGGCACACAACCCAGGTGAGTGCAGACACCCAGCATGACGAGCCACTCTGGTCGCTTGGCACGGTCCGAGTCCTTCTCCGGGTCACGCAGCTTGGAGATATCGACGGCGTTGGCCTCGTCAATCTCCTCCTTGGTGCGGTGACGAACGAACACGGGCTTGCCACGCCACTTGATGATGGCGTTCTTGCCCTCTGGAATCGAGTTCATGTCCACCTCGACCTTGGCGAGCGCAAGCACATCTGACGAGGCACCCATCGAAGCGAGGAAATCAGAAACGGTGGCCTTGGCACCCGAAGCGGCGATCAGACCCATGGAGCCGACCATGAAATACGAGAAGGCCTTGTTGCTGTCGGGCGTCTTGGTGCGGTAGCCCGAGAAGTCGGGAACCTGGTCAGGCTGGGTGGCCTGGAGGCTTCGCGACGAGGACGAGAAGTAGCGAGGCTGGCCGACGGTGGGGAGGGCTGAAGTTAACGAACGCAAGACGGTGAAGGATGGGAAGGGGTCAAAGATCAGCAATGTGTCCGGAGTGCGAATGATGTCGAGTCGGGATTGCTGGCTGCAGGGAAGCTATTTCTTCGAAGTAGGAGCTCGCTTTCTCCTTGCGAGAACGGACGAAGGGTCGTCGACGGCAGTTGAGGGCCGGCGCGTACGATAGTGCGCAAACAAGCCTGTTTGGACGTCTTTCCGACTCTGTGTCGGAAAACAATCCGCGACCTCCCTGCAAGACCAGAAAGCGACGGTGACAATCCTGCTGTTGTGGATGAATGTGCTGTGACTACTTACCATTGACGCCAGATCGCGAGCTGAGGACGCCGTTCGAGTTGCGAAGTTGGGATGCCCATTTGGGAACCTGGTGGGGATCAGATCGGAGGGAAGGGCCGTGTCCGTGAGCGTGAGGGTCGGCAGGGGCGCGCACGGCAAAGTTGATGCCAGCTGCAACCGGAGTGCCGCTGTAAGCGGTAGTCGCGGTAGGACTGCAAGCGTGTGACGGATACGCACAAGTAGCATCGCAGGCAGCGGAACGGATGTCGGATTGTAGTCGATATTGCATCGATCGGCGTGCGACGGCAGATATGCAAGAAGGAGGTGTGCGAGGTGATCGAGAAAGTCATGAACGAGAAGGTCGAAAGGAGAGAAAACGAGGTCAGCTTTCAGCATCATCTTTAGTCGTTTCGTAGGAGGAGAAGAGGACACGGATGCATGAGACACGACTGTCGTAGTTTCATCAGGCATGACGCCAACGGTTCGGCGCGTGTCTGCCAGACCGAGCTCGCATGATGCTTCTGTCGTCGATCATGCTATCCATGTCCTCCTGTGTCGATTGTCGATGTGGCTGCTGGGAGCGAAAGCGGCCTGGAATGTGCTTGAACCACGTTCAGATGCGGTACGTACGGAAGGTTGACGGCCTTGCGGAAGGCGCCACGAGCGACGGGAGCAGCCATGATGATGTGTGAGGGTGGTGACGGTCCCAATGGTATGTGGTGAGGAGGTGCAGAAGGAAGGATCGAGTGTTGGCGACGATCAACATTCAACGGCTTCCGATAACTTAGCGACCAATTTGCTCTGGCTGCCTGCTCGCGCTGTTTCTGTCCGTGTCTCTGGCGAGAAGAAATCCACGCCGTGAGAGCAGCTGCTTGCTTGGTCTCCAATTTCAAACCCAAGGCCCGGACTGGATAGGGTGATCACAGCCAAAGCCTCCTCCCTCATCAATTTCCTGACAAATGCCTGCAATTTCAATGATGCTCACTTTCTCGCGCGATATGGAACGGATTGCTCGTGTCGAATCGGCACCGGTGAGGCCCGGGTCGGCACGCAGCAGGTGCAAGTCCATCAGATAATGCTGACAAATATTGATCGCAGGCAAGCTACCTTCTTCTGACTGTCGGTCCTGTGCACCTCGACGAAGAATGTGAAGACGATGGCGGGGCGGCAGAAAGCCGACATGATGAAGCCAAGAAGGTGGACCGGGCCCACACTGTTCGACTGGGCTCAGCAACACCACGTGAGAAGATCAGACTGTCCAGAAGAGCTGGCGGTCTTAGCTCAGAAGGTGTCCCTTTCCGAGTCATCTGACCCGAAGGTGCAACCCTCTTTGCAGCAGCTTACGAGAGCCCATCAGATCGCTCTCGAATCGGGTTGTACGATGTTCCTGACGAGCTCGAGCAGGTGTATCGTTGTAACAGTCAGCCCGCATGCGATCAGATGTCGAGGACGATAGACAATGTAGGCACGCACACTTGTGCTGGTCGGCAATGAGGCGAAGCATTCTCCCTTGTCAACTCGGAAGGGACAGCAGCGCTGCAGTATCAAGCGGATTTGTGACCAGCAGACAGCGAGGTCCGACCATGCAGAACCATTTTCTTGGCTCTCCTGCCTGCAACCCAGAAGCGAGAGAAGGATTGGACGGCTGTGGCGGGTCACCGACGAAACGCTCGGAAGGGGTTCAGAGCGGCCCATTTTCGGCAATTGAACATGGCAAGGCAGCACGAGGCGAAATCTGATTCGACCGCTGCTTAACCGGTCTCTCTCCAGTTTTGGTCTTTCTGCGGTTGTCGAAGAGCGGGGTGGGCTGGAGCTGCAGCCTGCGCTATTGTGGGCAGCGATACGCACAGATTACGTGAAAGGTGCCGAAGGGCCTGCTCCTCGCCTCCTCCATTTTTGCAGAAATTGGAAGAAAGCAGAGCCAAGCCAAGCAAAAGCCTTCTTTTTTTCGGACTGTCAGACAACTTGCCTTTGATGCGCTCTGCACGGTGGCGCCATCTGACTCGTTGCTCGCCCGCCCTTCCAGGCTTCGGCTAACCTAAACTAAGCTCGCAGCGCCGCTTTCTTCCTGGCAAAGCTCGACCTAGACATTCACTGACTCATAAGCTCGCAGGATTCACCTTGTTTCTTTCTCGACACCACACCATACCCCTTCCACACATACCCAACACGCACACCATGTCCGCCGAGAACCCCACCATTCTGCCCGCTACCAACGGCAACGGCGCCGCCGCCGCCGCGCCACCCCGCGCTAACGGCTCCGCTCCCAAGAGCGATGCTAACCTCGGCACGTTCGGTGTCAAGTCCGGTCTCGCGCAGATGCTCAAGGGCGGTGTCATCATGGACGTCGTCAACGCCGAGCAGGCTCGTATCGCCGAGGATGCCGGTGCGTGCGCCGTCATGGCTCTCGAGAAGATCCCCGCCGACATCCGTGTCGAGGGTGGCGTCGCCCGCATGTCGGACCCTGCCATGATCAAGGAGATTCAGGAGACCACCACCGTGCCATGCATGGCCAAGGTCCGCATCGGCCACTTTGTCGAGGCTCAGATCCTCCAGGCTATCGGTGTCGACTACATTGATGAGTCCGAGGTGCTCACCCCCGCCGACGACCAGCACCACATCAACAAGCACAACTTCAAGGTCCCCTTCGTTTGCGGTGCCAAGAACCTCGGCGAGGCGCTTCGTCGTATCTCGGAGGGCGCTGCCATGATCCGAACCAAGGGTGAGGCCGGTACCGGCAACGTCGTCGAGGCTGTGCGTCACCAGCGCACCATCCAGGGCGAGATCAAGCGCGTCTCGTCCATGAGTGACGAGGAGCTCTATGTCTACGCCAAGGACATCCAGGCTCCCTACCACCTGCTCAAGGAGACCGCTCGCTTGAAGCGTCTCCCCGTCGTCAACTTTGCTGCCGGCGGTATTGCTACCCCTGCTGACGCTGCTCTCATGATGCAGCTCGGAAGCGACGGTGTCTTTGTTGGCTCTGGTATCTTTAAGGGCAACAACCCTGCCGAGCGTGCACGTGCCATTGTTGCGGCTGTCACCCACTACAACGACCCCGCCAAGCTCGCTGCTGTTTCCGAGAACCTTGGTGAGGCCATGGTCGGTCTCAACATCACCAAAGACATGAGGGGCGGCCGCATGGCTGAGCGCGGCTGGTAATTGCCTCGCATCATAGAATCTTCCGTCGTTCCTAGCCTTTCATGGCCGTCCAGCGTTCATCACGCAGCATTGTTTCGTCCCCCCATCGCAAAAACAGGCTGGCTATGTCTGCCGTGCCTACCTTCCCCTTCAACGGTTTCCTCTTGTAGTATTAGCACGTGCTTCATGCACACATAATCTTCCACTCTCATCAGCATCCTTCTCGCTTCTCGAGTGTACAGCTGTGTGGAGCTTCGACTGCGTTCTCAATGCGGTCCGCAGCGATGTGAGCGAAGGCAGAGGAGTTGCCCAATTCTTTGTCCGCTGTGTTATGTCGCAGAATGAAATGCCCGGGAGAAGGAAGACGAATCGGCTTCTGTGACAGAGAGCGATCGGGGATAAGGTCGGAGCTCTTGATCCGAAAGCATCTCTGGGCTGCTTACTCTTCGCTGCACGGCAGAAGCGGCAAATCGAATTGCCTGCAGGTCGATCTCAGAGCTGTGGTGCTGACCCACACCGGGCCGTAGGTTGTGCGCGAGGGACCCTTGGGCTGCCGAAACCCACTCGCTTAGGCTTCTTTCTCGTACTCGAGGAGAACACATCATACTCTTGCTGACACCTTCTTGCTTCTCCGTGGTCTGTTGACGCGAACAAAGCGCTGCGCCGAGAAGCACTCCTATGTACGCTCTCAGCTATGGATCCATTCGCCAGCTTGCTGCGTTCCTATACAAACAGATCGACAACGATGCCGGCCACGAGATCCCGGTTCTCAAGCCTCGCACTGCATGTGGGAGCGATGTTTTGGAAATGTCGGCAGCGATCCAAAGCAAATCGAGCACTTCGCACATTTGACTTGGTGCGTCACAGAGCAAGTGCCCTCATGCAGCAAAAATCGAACAATTTAATTTCGTTCTTTCTGTTCGAAGCAGGCTGGCTTGGCCCTCGTCCGCATCTGAGCAGGTGCCTTGGAAATTCGTCCAAAAAGCGCGCGCGTCTGCCGTCGAAGCTGCTGCTGCTGCTGCTGCAGTCATGATCCGCACTGCAGCAGGCAAAACAGGCGCTCGCCGCTTGCCGTCCGTGCTCGCTCCGCAAAGGGGACGGATGTATCAGAGCGTCACGGTGCGATCTGCCGGCTGCTGCTGCTGCTTCCATTTCCATTTCTCCTAAACATCCAACCCAAGATCGCCGCTCTGTAGCGCTGATATGCTCGCTCCCTCGCTTCGCTTTCGGCACGCTCCTGTGTGTGTGTGTGTGTTTGTCGAGCCGTCCCTTGAACCGCTCCCTCGCCGGCTGCCTGTTGCCGCTTCCTCAAATCTGCTGTGCACTGACTGACTATCTCGCTCGACTTTTCCGCTTCCGCATCGCCTATCTCAAATACCGACCTTTCCTCCTTCTCGACACCATCTCCCACCCACCCCTCGACCTTATCCTCCTCCTACCATCGTCTTCGAAGTTTGTTGTCAAGATGAAGTTCAGCATCCTCCCCGTCGCCCTTCTCGCCGCCTTCGCCGCTACTGGCGCCGTGGCCCAGGACAGCTCTTCCGCGTCCAGCTCGGAGTCGACGTCCAGCTCGGCGTCCTCGTCCGTGTCTTCGAGCAGCGCTGCTCCCACTTCCATGTCGTCCAGCTCGTCCAGCGGCAGCAGCGGTGGCTCCGGCGGTGGAGCCATGAGCGTTTGCACCCCTCTCGGCGGTGACGCCCGCAACCCCCCTGCTGCTTGCCCTTACAGCTCCACCTCGATCCCCCCTTACGACCGTGAGTATTTATAGCGAACAATCTTGGCGGACAGAAGCAGACTTGGGAGACTCAAGGGTACCAGCACAGAGACTGGACGCGCAGAGAGATGCAGACGATGATACCGTCCATTCGGTGCACGGGAAGGAGAAGAGCAGGTGGAAGATAGCGCGCGGAGCTAATGGGGTCAAGCACGACCAGGATTGAGAGTGAGAGAGGGCATGCTGTACTGACCTCCTGCCATCTCTGTGCTCTTCTTCTCTGCTTGACACCCATCGATCGAATGAATCGACCCAACCTGTCCAATTCGCACTCCAGTCAACTCGTTGATCTCGTACTTCATCTACGGCTACACCCGTGGTCCCGAGGCCAAGTCGCCCGATGAGGTCGCCAGCGAGATGGCCGGCTCGGTTCTGCAGTACTACCCCACCCTCACCACTCCCGAGTCGGTTTTGGCCGAGTCGTTCGCTGTCGCCATCTCGGCCACCATCCAGGCTGTCGCTGACGGCAAGCTCACCGCGGCGGATCTGCACTCGCCCAACGCTGCCGTGCCTGCCAACTTGATCCAGTGGGGTGTTGCCGCTGCCGCCATTGTTGCTGCCGGTGCCTTTGCTCTCTAAACGATTCGACTCGATTCGATAGCGCTCCCTCGATCATGCAGATTCAAACTAGCAGCAGGACATGGCTGCCGGGCCTAGCATGACGGGGTCGAGATCGCTCAAGACGTGCAGAACGTCTCACGGTGCAACACACGCCTCATGGAATCTTCTCAAACACACGAACGACGCTCGCTTTTCGATGCCCCTTTATCACCGCCACCTCGACGCTTGCCCGTTGGTTCAAGCTACTCCTTCTGTTCTTAATCGGTCCGATCTTTGCAATCTTCACATTAGAAACGCTTTCCTATGTGTGACGGCCGCATGCTCTCTCCAGCATTTCCTCGCAGACGTGTTCCGTCCGGACACGGAGATGCCGAAGATGCCTGCACCGCTGAAGCAGACTGCGGCCAAGGTTAAGATTGCGTGGCAATTTGTGACTTTAGAGAAGGTAGGGAGAATTAAGGCGGAAGGGCGTCGTTGGCGACGCGGCCTGTCTACCGTACTCACCGACGACACCTCGATCTGCCTCATCAAGATTTGGCTCAAATCAAAGCTTGTGCCGCACATGCATTCGTCTTTCTCTTCCTCTCGCCTCGATACGTCCATGCGGATGTGCCGACTAAGCTTTGGTTCGTCACAGCCGCGCTTTCTCAGTCAGCTCCTTCCCCGACCGTGTCTCTTGCTTGTCTCTTCTTCAGTCCTTTCCCTCTCTGATAGCCCTTCTGCCTCGCCTTTGCCGCCACGAGAGACCCTCCGAGTCCACGTCAAGCCGCGGTCCATTGACGGTGGCGGAAGCGCAGCTGGTTGGGCTCAGCAAGAATCGAAAGCGTCTCGTCCTCGAGTCTCATCGCTGCTGCACAATCAATTTTGACGCGACGAGGCCTTTACGCGAAAGCTGGTGTCGTTGCTGCGCCGTTCTTCGACAAATGAACTGCTGAGCGGAAAACGCTGCTCAGCTCTGCCTTTGTCCTCTTTCGCATCTCCCGACAGAGCTGCCGCTGTTCAAAGCTTTGTTAGAAGGCAGCATCGGTCCGCTCAGCCAGCCGTCCAGGGCCAAGAGGACCGTGCATCCATTTTCGATTGGCCAATGCAAGGTGGGCGGCTGAGCTGGGCTGAGTCTGCAGATGCTCAGCACGATGAAGTAGCCGCGCTCTCCCTCTCACCCGCTCTTTCCTCACTTCATAAGTAAGCTGCTGCTGCGCCGGCGACCTTCTCTTGTCTCTCCTTCCTTCCTTTCTCCCATCACCGCCTCTTCGCTTCATGTCCCTGGCTCGCATCAATGTAATCCGCACCTCCATCCTCAAATCCTTTCCCCAAATCGACACGAATCGCTTGCTCTCGGTAGTCGATCTTGACGATCAGCAATGAACATGGCTGCGACGCCGCCTAAAGCTTCCCCATCGTCGGCGTCGTCGCCAATCAAGCATACGCACACCGCCTGCTTTCCGACGTCGTCGCGCCTCATGACCGATCGTACCAGCTCTTCCCCAAACCGCGAATCTGCTCCGGTCGATGACGCCTACCGCAGCCTCGGCTCCGTTCCTGGGTGCGAGACCAACACGCTCCCAATACACTTGTCGGTCGCCCATTTCCTCTGGTGGGTGTTGCCCTGTCACAAGCCCAGCAGACCCCGCAGACTCAACAGAGACGCGCACGATGCGCAAGAGGATCCTGGGTGTGCCACATCCGGAGCAAAGTCGTGCTCGCATCCGCAGAGCGCAACGTCGTACTCTTCCGCCACGTCAAATCTCCCAAACACCGGAAGCGCATTCGAGAAGTGCTTCTTCGAGCTGCGATACTTCCTAGCGTGGGATTCTTGCAATTTCTGCATCAGTGTCGACGAGCAATACCAGAGCTATGTCGACAAGAAGCTCCGCGATTTCAGGTTTTACGAGGACGCTTTCGGTCGTTATCAAGAGCGCTCTGTGCCCAAGTATTCTGCATTCACGACGTGCGAGCATGGTCATCAGACTCCCACCAACTCGGTCGACCACCCTGTCGCGAAGAAGTGCTCCGGTCATCCGGCAAGCAAGAAACATCTCTGTCCGCCGGCCAAAACGACCCCTCTTATTGCTAACAGCGGGAGTCACAGCACTTCTGCCAAACCGACCGGACCCCAGACTGCTAAGCAGACCTCCAGTGCAGTCGCACCATCGACGGCTTCAGCGGTCCACCCAGCTGCCACTGCTCCATCCAATTCTGCCCCTACGTCCACCTCCGCAGCCGTTCTTCCGGCAACAGCTGCAAAGACCACCCCGTCAGCGACAGCCCAGACAGCAGCCGCAAAACCGAAAGCCGACTCGGCTCGGCGTCAGCAGAAGAAGCCGGAGCAGGTGCAGTCCTCTACTCTGCTCTCCGACTGTCGACGTTTCCCTGGCTTCGCCGAGTCCAATGCCGAGAAGCGCACCTACATGTCTCACGACGCTACGCTGGCCGAAGTGATGCGCGGACTCAATCGCGCCGTGCTTGCTTTTGGCGTCGCTTCTCCCGAATCTGTGGTGTTCGCCGAGCTCGCTGGCATGGTTGCGCTGCTCAACTACGCGGCTGCCTTCTACATCGACTTTGCAGACCGCATCGAGAGCTACATGCAGCACCGATTTGGCAATCTCTTTGTGGATCATTACTTCCGCACCGTCTATTGCAATCGTGCAAGCTACATCGAGAAGGAGGAATTCAGCAGTGAAGGCTGTCCACAGGCGAAAAGCGATCCGGAGGCGCGCAAGACGAGGAGGCATACGATCGAGACGTCCTTCACCAAAATGGTGCCCGACGTGACCGAGCTACGTGACGGCGTGCAGACGGTGCTGTTCACGTTTACGTGGATCAACTACATAGCGTACAGGGGCTACGACGCGGCCATGACTGCTACTCTGCACAGCGTCATCCCGCTGCTCCAGACGATCATCGTTCGATGTGCACGTCAGATGTACCTGATGCAGCGAGCTCTCACGGCCGCACAGTCCATCTCTGCCATCAGCAAGGTCCAGGCACCCAAGGCACTCGACCTGCAGTGGGACCTTCTTGACCTCAGCGCAGCGCTTCAGAACCTGTCTGGTGGCGATCTGGCGCTGTTTACTTCGGATCGTTACGAGCGAGGAGCTGAATACTTCCGCAAGAAGAGAAGCAAGAAGCGCGAAAGGGGATGCATCGAGAAGGTGGTTTCTTGCCCTTACTCGGCACATCTTTACACATCAGCTGTGGCCGATATTGCCCTTCGCACCTTACTACAGATGCACAAAGCCATCCACACGGGCACCTTCTCCAAGCCGCCCATCAAGCATAGCGAAAAGTGTAACGACCGATGCACCTGCACCAGCTTTGAGGACAGCATCACCCCAATCATCGACGGCTTGTACAAGCGTTTGACTCTGATCGAGCGCAAGCAGTACGATTGGAAGCCGCTCATGGTCCAAGGGAAGAGGGTGAAGAAGGCCAAGAGGAAGAGCGACACTGCGACTGCGAGCGGAGTGGCCATCAAGGGGCAAGGTCAGAAGACCAAGAACGACAATGTGGACAAAGAGATGATGCTGAGGGACATCCTCAGCAAGCGCATCGACGAGTTCGACACGCCCAACACGATGCTGAAAGGTCCGAGCGACTATGCCTACTTTACGGATGCGCCGCTGTTGTCGAAGGGCAGCGTTTCAGGCAGTGCAGCAAACAAGAAGGCAAGCTCCACCACGCAGACCACCACCTCCACGTCAGCGGACAACGTCGTCACGACGACCAAGACGGTCAAGAGCGGCTCCACCACCATCACCTCCAGGACGTCCGACACGGGCGGGTCCGTGAGCCTCTCCATTGCGTCGAGCGCACTGCCCGAGTCGATGCAGCAGAAGCTGCTGTCCGAGCTGAGGAAGAAGCCCGCATCGTTTTCGGGAAGCCAAGCCGAGTGGATCGCGACGATGGCCGGACCCTTCGCATCGACCACCGAGCCGGACTTTACGAAGAATCCGGCTTATCAGGCGTTCCGGATGGCGCTGGGAGAGCTGCCAGTGTCGGCGGACGTACCGTCGTGCCTCACCGAGGCGGAGAAGGAGGCGTGGCTCGAGGGCAGCTTTGAGGGTCTGTTTGAAGCATTGTACGACCCTCCCGGGCTGGAGGAGGATTATCACAGTTGGGCTGCCGGCAGTGGGTTTGATGGGATTGATGATTGACGCGAGGCAAACACAAGGGTGACAACGAAGGGTGAAATGCGATGCAATGCGATTGACGAACTGCGAGAATGAATGCTGACCGTGAACTTGAGCCAGCAGATGACGATCTGAGTCAGCCAGTGTGTCTCGCGCGACTGGACGGCGTCTCCAGCTCCGCCTCCTCCAGTCGATCGTGCCAGTCCCACATCTTCTGTGTGAACCATCGTAGCCAATCGACATTTTTGGCACCGCCTCTTCCGATCGGCCTACCCTCTGTCTCCTCCGCTTCTTGCTGCGACGTGCGAGAGCGCCAGAGCAGCACCGCCATGGGCAGCTGTATGGCCGTTAGGAGGACGCCGAGCAGATTGACCATCGCTAGGTAGAGCACGTCGGCGAGCGTTGTCCCGAGGAGAGCCACTGCCAGTGTTGCGAAGGCGCTGTGTGCGGCGTGTGCGGTACCAGTGTGAGTGTGTGTGCTGGCGAAAGGTGTGGATTGAGGTGGTGAGGTCTTGCCAAAGGGTGTGGCGAGTGTGGGCGATAGGATGGGTGATGCGGTGTAGGAGGGCAGCGGCGTCAGTGGTAGGGCTGGGCGCGGTTCCGAGCTGCTCGCGATGCAGCTGGGATCAGGCGTCGGGGTGTAGGGCGGTGGCAGGACAGACATTGTGCTCCCGCTCTCGTTCAGAGGTGATAGACACAGCAGATAATGGCGATGCTGAAGCTGCTGATGTCAACACTGGTGGTGATGGTGCTGGTGGTGATGGCGATGATGCTGGGGACAGTGGCAGCGATGACAATGCTGGTCGTCGGAGCAAATGGAGGGCGCTGAGCAGGCCACTAGGAGAGGTTGACAAGTATCACAGTCATCAATTCAGCCCAGAGTGACTGTACGGGCCGCCCTCCAGCTACGGTACACAGTGTGACCGAAGAGGAGAGGGGGAGAGATAAGATAAGCGCCCCTTCTCCTTGCCCTCCTCCCTGTGTCTGCCTCATCACCCTTTCCCCCCTTGCCCGTTCCTATCTCGCTCTAAGCCTTCTACATATCGCTAACAATCTCACAGCATCTCGTATCGATGGCAAAGGAAAGTGTGCCACTTCGATTGATTCTAGCAAGGTGGGAGTTGGGGATGAGGCAAGAAAAAGGAGCGCGCATTTCGACATGCGCAAGACCCTGCATGCGTTGCCTCGGGCCATCTCGACCACCGCGTCCGCAGGGTCCTTATCGTCACGCCTTTGCATCACGGTGCCTGCATCACACCGCGACACTGCGCTTCACCCGGTCAACTGCAGATCACCAACCCGACCTCGTTTCACAATGCATGCTCACTATCGCACAACAAGATAGGTCACATCACACTTGTGCGACTTGAGCATCGCGAGCGTCGCACCATGCTGTGAGGCAAAATATCCACTTTACAACCCTACACAGCCTGAGCAGCAGCAGCCGCACCCATAACAGGCAGCGCAAACCAACTTGCCAACTCGGCAAACCCATCACCACCCTCTCCACTCTCTCTCGCACCCTCCATCAGCGCCACCGCCCTCTCCGCTTGTCTCCGTCTCGCGTCCCTCACGCCACCCTGATGTTGGGCGCACGTCGGGCACTCGGCCTCCTCCTCTCCCAAACACCTCTGATGATAACTGTGCTTGCACATGAAGTGCACACTGGGCAGATCCAATTGCCCACCACAAGCGGTGCAGCGGGTCATTTGGAACACCCTCGGCGTGTTGGGATCGGTGAGCTCCGAGATCTCACCCAGCGTGTCGGTCGTCGACGCGGTGTACTCGGCGATGGCGGCCGTGTCCGCGTCGGTGGACGTGAGGGTGGTGCTAATGGAGGAGACGAGGAACGGTCGAATAATCCCGACTGGTGTGTGTGGCGTCGAAGAGAGAAGTTGGACCAGTTCAAGTGTCGACATGAGTCCTCGCTCGCGTACGGTTGTTAGGATCGATAGCAGATCGTTCGTGTGTCGTTCCAATAGTGTTGGTGAGGAGACGAGGAAGCGCAGAACCAGGTCGTACAGCTCCGGCCGGAGTACACCGTACCGTAACAGGGCAGCAACCACCTTGCCACTATGAGAGGCAGAAGAAGCGTCGGAGAGCGATGCATCCATATGCAGCCGAACCACCTCCTCGTACATGCCCATGCGCTCGTACAGCAGGATGAGGCCGTCGTTAAAGCTCTCCATGGAGCAGAGCATCACTGCGTGGCTCATGTCGTATGGTAGTGTGGCGTGCTGTTGCAGCAACCGCAGGGCTCGTTGTCTTTCCTCCCCGCCTTCGCTGCTGGTCGAGGAGGGGAATGTGAGGTACAGCTCGAGTAGCGTGTTCCAGATCGACTTCTGATCGAGGACATCCTGATCTTCGTACCCGTCGCCGTTCGCGTCCAGCCCGAGCTCGGCCAGTGCTTGTGCTACGTCGTCCACCTCCTCTTCCCCTTGAGCGTCGTACGCTGGCGCACCCTTTTCTTGCGCGGGGGAGAGCAGCTTGTCGACGGGCGGCTCGGCGTGCATGTCCACCACCTGACCCCAACGAGCCAGCGCGACCGTCTCGAGGAAGTGCGTGAAGTGTCGTGGATGCTGAATGAAGTGTGCGAAGTAGGTGCGGGGTGAGGGCACGGTGTAGGGGTGCGTCTTGTTCGCCTCCTCGGCGTCTGTCTCGGGCAGCGAGGTGTCTGCGTCCGCTTCAGGCTTGACGCTACTTGATGGTCGCGTGCCTTCGAGGGAGTATGGCTCTGCGGTGGCGGTCGAGTTGCGCTGTGCGGGTGTGTTGTTACCCGTCGTCCCTGCACGTGAGCCTGACTGTTGCAACTTGCCAAACCCTCCCACCTGGAGATAACTGAGATAGGCGGCAGCGGCCGACTTCTGCGGCTGCTTCTTCGACGACTCGCCTTCCTGCATGCGCAGTGCCTTCTGTGCCGCGTCCGGGTCGGGACGGAATGCGCCCGAGCACAGCTCGATCAGCAGCTCAGTCGTCTCGTCCGGCAGCTCGGCGAGCAGCGTCTTGGCGTACTGGCTCATGGTCGAAATGGCATCTTCCGGTTCGAGCCCGCGCACGTAGAGCAATGCATCGCTGTAGTCTTTCGCGTCCTCGATCTGAATGCGCAGATATTCGCGGTGCTCGCCGTAGCGCTTGGCGAGGTACGCGGCGTGCCCGAAGTACCCGGCTTGGCGACAGACGCGCATGGCCGTTTCGAGGTCGAATGGCAGCTCGTCCCTGTCTTCCGCAGCTCCCTCGTCAGCGACTTCGTCGTCATAAGGTGACGCCTTCGCATGAGGCCGCTTGATGAACTTGTCCAGCGACGCAACGTCTTTCAATTTGGTGTAGCAATTCAGCAGCAGCGTGGTGTGGTCCGAGCTCGCCAGGTTCTGCGCGTGCAGCTCCTGCAGGTACGTCGTCAGGTTGGTGATGCGTTGCGCGTCGAGGAACCGGCGGATCACGAACGAGGGTTGAGTGTGCCCGATGGTCTTTACGTATTGCGCCATGGCGCCATCGTAGTCGCCCTTGTTGTACAGGTGGTCGCCGTAGCGCTGGTAGATGTCGCCCATCAGCGCCTCGGTGCGGGCGAGTACGTCAGGATTCGCTGCGCGCTGCATCTGCGAGCGGGCGAGGTTGACCGCAAGCAGGAAAAGGCTTTTGCGGTAGAGAACGTCGAGCTTGGCTCGCAGCGGCTTTTCCTCTAGACGTGTAAGCTCGCCCATGTCGCTGAGAATGAGGATTTCGCCGGCGGGACCGACCCAAGCTGAACGGACGCCGGACTCGAATGTGCCGCTGAAGGCGACGAGCTTGTTGTCCAGATCGAAGATTGTGATCTTGGCAATCTCGGTGGGCGCCAAGGAGCCTTTGCGTGATGTCGGCGTTGACGAGGGCGAGTCACGGTTGCCGATCAGATTCCGTGAAGACGATGATGTTGACGAAGATGGAGTGAAGGGAGGGGAGACGATGATGACCTGCGAAGATGATAGATGGATGGAGGCCTTGGGCCCCTCGTAGGCGAGACAGGCTTCTCGACCTTCTTGCCCGATCACATAGATGGCTTCGTCGCGTGCGATCACCATCTTACCTGCGGAGCCCAAGCCACTCTGCGCCGATGCTGTTTGTGACCCTGACACCAGAGCACTGTTTGCCGCAAACGATGAGCCGGCGGGTCGAGCCGGGATGATGGCAGCACAACCGAGCGCACCACCCACATCGTCGAGCACAGCTGGACTCCCGCCTGCGCCTTTCCCGACGACGACGTATCGCAACACGCGCGAGAGAGTGACGATGAAGAGATGAACGGCCGACGGTGGAGTTGCTGCCTCTGTCTGCGCAGCATTGGCAGGGGCATCTCTTGGCCGCGCAGCTGCACCTTTGCGCCCTTTCGAGCCATGTAACGCTCTTGGCTCGTATGCTGGCACTGTCCTCGATGCAGGGTTGCCAGCTTTGTTGCTGGCTGCAGTGCTGCTTGTGCTGAGCGAAGCGGCTTCCGAGAAGCCCAAGGCAGTGACAGGCTCGTGAGTGCCCGAGTCGGAGCTTGTGGGTTGAAAGACGACCTTGAACTTGGGCAGTGCAACCGCCGGCGCTGGTCTACCGAGAGACGTGTTGGAAGCAACCCCAGCACTACCTGCCGCCGCCATCAATGCAGACTCCAGACCACGAATCAGCAGGACCGTGCCGTCCGCTAGAGCGACGGAGAGGTAGGAAAGCGAAGGCGTGTGTGAGAGAGCCGCAATAGGATGAGGCCGGCTGCCGTGCTGCACCTTGCCTTCTGCGAGCAGACGCGGCATCCAGGTCTGCTTTTGTGTTGCAGATGATGTGCCGTTCGAGTCGGTTGCAGAAGCGGGATTGCGTCCGTTACGGAGATCCCATATCCTTAGTATTGGGAAGCGAGAGCTGTCCTCCTCTCCCAAAGATACGACCCTGCCGCGGGCATCGCATGAAAGGTGCGTTACTCTGCCTGCAACGCCAGCGGACGAGAAGGCATCCCACGACGTCAGCTCTTGAAGCGTCTCTGGATCGAGTACCTTAATTTTGCCCTGAATGGTGCCGACGAGGGTGCATGGCTGTCTGCGCGCCTTGGATGCTTTGGCAGCTTTGTCTGCGGACGTGGAGGCCTCAGCATCAAACTGCACGGCAGTCGAGGATGAGGATGCATCGGTAGTGTTGCTGAGAGCCGCTGGTGGAGGACGGATGGGACATTGTGCCACAGCAGCCACCTCGTTTGGATTCCGCAAGGCGGAAGGCGCCTTCGCAAAGTCGTCGACATCACGAACGGGGGACGAGTCGAAGAAGGAGAACTGCCTCCATGCTGGACCGGCTGCTGCGGTCGCTGCGGCTGCAGCAGCTGCTGTGCCGATCTCCCTCTCTGGTGTCGCTGCTTTGGCCGGCATTGCTTCTGGAGCAGCGACGCTATGATGCGCCAGGGGCTGAAGGGAATGCTAGGATGGATGTCGTGAGGATGCGGTGTGTGGGAAGCGTGATCTGTGCATTCGGCAAGGTCGAAGCGTGGGGCTTCTCGAATCGGTCACTCTAACATCTTACGAAATTTCCAACGCACCAGCCAGACCACGCGGATGATCCGAATGGCTTTCCGATGCACGCTGAGTGACGTTATCGGACGTGCCGCCGTGGATCTTGACAGGCGAAGAGGCACTGAGACAGGGAGGCTTTGATGGACCCTGAAGCTGCTGTTGCTGCCCTTGACAACTCAGCATCTTCCCTTATGGCCACCATCTCGATCGCTCCTCAAGGGAAGTGGACTTTGGCATCAACTTGGTCGGCACCATGTATGTGTCAAGAGCATCGAGCCGGGCACGCTGTGCTCCTATCTCGAGGCCATCACTACTCCAGTATCGGACCTCGTCAGCCCTCGTAGCAAGGCCGCTTTCTTCCCTGCACAGTTCGAGTCGACTGTCGACAGCTGTCGCCTCGTCGCCATTTCACGCCATTAGGAGCTCCTATCACATCTCTGATGCAGCAACCCTCCGTTCAGGCCTCCGATGGTCTTCCTCCGCAGCGCTGGCTTCCACATCGCCCGAAGCAGCCAAGGTGGCAGAGGCTGCTGTGACCGAAACCGAGAATGACCCTTTTCGCAAGATTGGCTACCTCTACTTCGACACGGTCTTCCCCATCCGACTGGGATTCTGGGACATTCGATACATGCTCGCTTCGCTTGAGAAGCGTTCCGTGCTCGACCGCGTCAAGGCCAGCTTGCCCCCTGACGAGAGCGTGGGCTACGGATTCAAAGTCATCGGCGCAGAAGAGCGAATGAAGGACGGTGGTGCCTTTGTCACCTTCTCCTACCGCGAAGATCCCAACGAGAAGAGCGAAGAGTCGCTCAACAACATCGAGAAGCGGCTCAAGTCGGGCGTGCGTCGTGTCTTCAACCCCGTCCTCTTCTTCCTTGGCACGCCAGGCGTGCACGTCGTCCGCGGCAAACCCTTCCGCGAGGACATGAACATCTTCCCTGCCACACGTATCTTTGTCAAACTCGAAGGTGGCGATGCCTCGGAAGAGCAGCTCTGGCAGACCCTCCGTCCGTACGGCCGCATCGTATCGATTGTCAAGGAGAAGCCATCGGAAGCGCTCGTCACCTTCTCGCGCATCCGTGGGGCCACGAGCGCACGCAACTGCGCTCACGGCCTTGAATTGCCCAACGGAGCGCGCTTCATCATCACCTTCCGCAGCAAGCTCCGCAGCAAACAGGCGTGGGAGTGGATCTCGAACCACCCTCGCCTCGTGTTCCCGCTCGTCGCCTTCCTCATCGGTGGTATTTCATATATCGTCTTTGACCCCGTGCGCGAGTTCATGGTGGAGAGCAAGGTGCACAACACGTTCTCGCTCGACGAGTACCGCGCCTACACGTGGCTAAAGCGCAACACCGTGGGCTTGTTCCGGGATACGGACGGCAGTTCCAAGGGCGATGTGGATGACTGGTGGGAGCGTCGTCAGTCGGCAGAGACGATTCAGGAATGGATCCGCGAAAAGCCGTCGACATTCATCACCATCTCGGGTCCGCGTGGATCTGGCAAGTCTGGTCTCGTGAACAAGGCGATCACGCGCGATGTGCAGCACTTGGTCATCGACTGCGATGCCATCGCAAAGACGGCCAAAAACGACTCGCTGCTCATCGACGCACTCGCTACCGAGACGGGCTACTGGCCCGTATTCAGCTGGTTGAGCAGCATCAACAGCATGATCGATCTCGCTGCGGTGGGTCTCATTGGGTCCAAGGCTGGATTCGCGACTCCGACAGATGCGCAGCTCAAGCAGATGCTCGGTGTCGCGACCAACGCGCTCAACCACATCAACGAGCAGACGCAAAAGCGCATCGCCAAAGCCGAAAAGGCTCGTCTAGCGGCGGAGAAGAAGAACAAGCCCACCGCTACACCTCCCACCCCCGCGCTCTCTCCGGGTCAAAATGACGCATCGAACGAGAAGGAGACGCTGGAAGAAAAAGCCTCCGCTCTGGCACACAACACGCTCGAGTCGGTGAAAAGCCTCGTTACGGGCGAAGACGCCAGCGACCACAAGAAGAAGTCGTTCGACTCGCCTGTGGTCGTCATCAAGCAGTTCCACCACAAGGGCATCAAGCAAGCCATTTTGCACCAGGTTCTGGCCGAGTGGGCGGCGGAGCTGGTGACGAACGGCATCGCGCACGTGGTGTTTGTGTCGGACAATCCGGTGGGGATGGGCAAGGAGCTAGCTAAGGCGTTGCCCAATGTGCCTTTCCAGGGCATCGCACTGGCGGATGCCGAGGAGGACAAGGCGCGCAGCTACGTGTACAACAAGCTGCGCGGGATGGGTCGACTGCCCACCCTTCCATCCAACGGCACTGCGAGTGCTGGTCCGATCCGGGGCTCCACCGCCACACCTGTTCGAGCGACAGCGGCGGAATTGGCAACGTCGGACTTCGACCCCATCCCTCGTCCCCCTTCGGAACCGCAGTATGCCGCCACGCTGGACAACGACACCGCTGTCTGGGTGGACAAGCTCGGTGGTCGACTCACCGACCTTGAGACTCTCGTGCAAAAAGTCTCTCTCGGACAAACAGTCGAATCTGCAGTGCACGACATCATTTCACGTTCCGTGGTAGAGCTGCGCAAGAACGCATTTGGCGACGACGCGTCCGAAGCCTCCTCCCTGCCATGGACGCGGTCGCAAGCGTGGACGGTGATCACCAAGCTAGCCCGCTCAGGGGAGGTGAGCTACTACGGCCTGCTGCACAACGAGTTCAAGGGGAATGAGGGGGCGATCAAAGCGTTGGAGCAGGCCGAGATCGTGGCTGTGAGACACCACGATGGGCGTCCGAGTGCGATTCGTGCTGGTCGACCGGTCATGCAGGAAGCGATCACGCGGTTGGTCGGCGATAAGGTGTTCAACGACACCCAAACGCTGCTCGCCAACACCGGCTCGATCGAGTCGGCGGAGAAGAGCATTCGGACGATCGAAAGCGAGATTGGGGAGATCAGCAAGATGTGTGAGGGGTCGCCGTTCAAGGTTGCTTCCGGGGCGGGAAGCACCAGCGGCGCAGTCCTCCCGCCACAGGGCGGGGAGAAGAATGGTGGTGGATGGGGCATCTTCGGTGGTAACGGAGGGGGTAGCCAGGCGATCAGCACCAGCGAAGCGGCCAAAGCAAGGACCGAATTCCTCATGTCCAAGATGGCCGAGTTGCAGACCAAGATCTCGAAGCTCGATGCGCAGAATACGGCCATCAAGGCGAGGTTGGCTAGTCATACCGAGTAGAACAGGCTTGTACAGTAGCCTCTGTGTTGGAGCTATATACCACTTCTCAACCTGCTGATGGTGTGACTTGCACGTGGTGGCCAGCTGAACCCGGTCGAGAGAGTGTGCTGAGCGAGGCGAAGCTTGACGTCAACCTCCACAGCGAAAGGCGGTCACGTCAGATCCAGCACGCGGAACGGAAGAACATCAGTCAGAATTCCGGTTTCTCGGCTACAGCCTCGCTGCTTGGTCGAATTAGAGCTCGCTCTCGAGATGAATCATCTGTGTGCAGGGCGTGCTGCTGCTTGGCGAGCGAGTCGTCGATGAAGTCACACGCTCACACGCTCATGTCAGAAGACAGACTTCGGGTCGACACGAGGCGAGTGTTCCTCGGGTTGTGTCTGCTTTCTGCCATTTGACGTTCTGTTGCTTCGACTGACTAAGACGTGCTTGACTGCTTTCTTCCGATTGAGGCTTGCTCCGAGGTGTATAAGACCCAGCTACCCATCGTCGACCCTGGCCTCCAACGTCCACACACATCCTCTTGCTACGACGAACAGCAACATCAACGTCCATATCCAAAATGACTCGTGCCGAAGCAGCTCCTCACTCTGTCGTAGGTGTCCTCCTGCATCCCCGCCTCCTTATGCTCGCTTCCAGCCCTACTGACACCTATGCCACCTCTCGTTGATATTGACTGCAGGCCGAGGCTCAAGGCGACCGCGCCTCGCACTCGCTGCCCGGCTCCTCCGCAGGCCCTAACAAGGCCGGCGGCGCCCCCTCCGGTGCTGCCGCTCTGGGCTCCGAGATCGGTGCCGAGCGCGATGCTCGACGCGAGATTCTCCAGGCCCAACGCGAGGGCGACGACATCGCTGGCCCCACCGACGCCTCTGCCAACGCCTCCTCCCTCGGCTTTGGCCAGCTCAACGGTGCCGAACAGGGCATCTCCACACCTGGCCAGGAGAAGCGCGATCAGATGCAACAGGAGCGCAACCAGGAGGTGCACAAGGCCCAGCCGGATCTGCGCAAGATCGCCGCCAACAGCGCCGGTAGTGCCAGCCACACCAGCGGCGGAGAGGCCAGGAGCTCCGGCGGCAAAGATGCGAATGAGCTGTTGGAGACCGTGAGCAGGTCGACTGGTACCGAGAGCGGAACTGGCGCTGCCAAGGTCGGTGAGATCGAGATCGGAAGGGATGCGTCTACTGCCAACACTGCTTGAAGCCGCACCGTACTGAAGCGCTAATCGAAAACTAAGTCCCATTCGATACCTGTGTGCGAGCGCCTATCGAGCGAGAGAGGATGGAGCGAGGCGGACGGCACGCTTCTTTCTTGCCGCCTTGGAACTTGCCCCGAACTCCATGCCGACCCTCGAAGGTGGGGGGCCTGATTCGCGACGACCCGTGACTCGGGACTGCAGCTGCTGGCTCTGCCTGTTGAAGAGCAGTTTCTGACGCTGGATAAAAGCCCATATTGAGAAGATGGCCAAGCTCGCAATCACCGCAATCATCTCAAAGTAGTCTCTCGCCTCTTGCCTTGCCGACTTGCCGCACGCTTCATGGCCGAGAAGGACTTTTGGCTCGACGGCGACATCGGTTGTGCTGGCGGTGCTGGCGGCGTCGAGTGCGGCTTGGATCGCTTTAGGGTCGTTGAGGTCTGAGACGGGGCTGCATGCGACGCGGCGGCGGTTGTTGTACGGTCGACAGTAGGGCAGATGGATGACGTCTTGCGGGCAGGGTCCGCATTCGCCAATGGGTGCGCAGACGTGGGTCGTTTGTTCTGCCGCTGGGCTCTTGTGTCCGTCAGAGGAAGCCGAAGACGAAGAAGCCGGGGAAGTGTCGGTCGACTTCGGGCCTGGAGCTGCTTCTTTGGCTTTTTGTGCCGCCTCGTTCGCTTTTTGATCTGCCTCCTTGGCCCTTTCCGCAGACCACAAAGGCCACTCTCCTTGGTATCCTTTCACCTTCGTACCTTCATTCTTGCCGTCGCCGAGGACGAATTTGGCTCCGGGCAGCTCGGTGTCTGGTCTCCATGTGCGGCGATTCGTTGTCGATGAGGAAGTGTCGGCAGAAGCGGCGAGCGTGCTGAGGAAAAACAGGGACAGCGTGAGTGCCAGCTTGGATGGTCTGTGTCGGGCTGAGCGCCTCATCCTGCTGTGTGAGGAGTAGAGCGTGATGACGATGGTGGTGGTGATGGAAGAACGGAGATGGACAGGGTCCACGTCAAGATCGACGTGTTGGTCTGAAATGCGAAATTTTGGCTGACGGGGCTCGTGCGTTGTCCTTGTGATAGCACACACACCACCTTCTTGTCTAGCGGTCCCTTTCTACGGTCATCACCTTCCGCTGACACACCGAGAAGAGTCCGGGATGACCACGTCAAGGCGCTAGACTACGCCATCGCTCAGAAGGCTGTCGCTGATCCGACGCTGTCGACTGGCCGGGGCCCCTTGCCTACCATGTCTGCGACCTCAGCAATCACCTCTGCGACCGCGGGCCCTTCCACGAGCAAGGACGCTGAGCCTTCCAAGAAGGCGGTCAAACGTCGCAACTCAACCAGCAAGCCATCTGGATCCCGCGAGCCTACTCGTCAAGAGTCCTTTGGTGGCGCCGTCATCCGTGCGCTCTTTGGCACTCTCGCCTTCCTCTTTAAACGACCTGTCCGTCTCTTCCGACCGGTCAAGCTCTCGTCATGGACGATTCTCGAAGCTATGGCCAAGCGAGAAGGTCGCACACTCAGTCTCAGATACCTGCGTACGCTGCTTCGTAGAGAGAATTCCAACTTCATCCCGCATCTGCTGCTGCCTCCACTCTTGTTCAACACTGCCATCGGGTTCACGCTATTCGAAGCATACAGCATCACAGAGAGTCGGCTCTTGGCCAAGGCAAAGCGGAAGAAGCTGGAGAAAGTAGGGCAATCGGAAGAAGGCGAGGTGGTCGATGATGAAGCCAAGCCCAAGTGGACGCCGCTGTGGATCGTTACGGCGTCAGGGGCGGTCGCGGGGGCAGCGCAGTGCTTTCTCTCTGCGCCATTGGACAACGTGCGATACATCATTCAGAGGTCCAATGCGCGCCATCACAGCGGTCACGCACACCCGATCACGACCATCTCCTGGCGAGCCATCCTCCGGGCTGCCATCCTGCCCTTTGCCCCCGCCATCGCCCGCGACAAGCTCGTGCAGGACGTGCAAAACGAGACCATCGAACGGTCCAAGCGTGCGCCAAAGCCGACACTGCGCGCCCGCCTCATCGCTCTCATAGAGCCTGCAACCACGTCGATAAGGAACGCCAGAAACGGAAATGCGAGCGTTGCAGAGACATTCACAATGTCGCCAGAGAAGCGTCAGGAGTGGGAGAAGCGTCTCAAGAGATGGCGTGGCGGCGTTCACGGCTCCGGATTGGCACTGTCGCTCATTCGTGACAGCGTCGGATTCGGCAGCTTCTTCTTCATCTTTGAGGTGTCAAGGAGAGGAGCCTTCTTTGCATCAACGGCGGTGGACCGGGTCAGCGCCTGGTTCAACGCGGGTGGACTTGGCATCGTACGCCCCAGAGGTCCAGCCGTCGATCAGCCGCAGCAGCAGGACGAAGGGTCAAACGTTGTCGGGAGACGAAAGTCCGATGATAGGTCCGAGAGTAGCGACGAGATGCACATCGAGGACGCAGGCCAGATCGGACGGTGGATCCGAGATGGCCAGAGATCGGCAAACGACGCCGACGTCAGCTACAACCAGTCACGCACGGTTGAGGGCAGAATCGTCGCCGTCATCATTCTGCTGATTGGAGGCGCCGTAGGTGCGTTGTCGTACGAACTGGTTGGCCGACCCTTCGAGCTGATGCGAGTGGTCATCTTCGAAGGGCGGAAGCAGTGGGAACAAGGCAAGCGCGAACCAGGCTATCGGTCCCATTCCAAATCGACTCGTGCCGCATCAAGGAGGACACACAGTCAGCCAGACTCTGGTGCGACCGGCTTCAGCACGGTAGGGCGACCCGTGGTTAAGGGTGCCAGGGTCAGCGCAGCAGACAGGGCGAAGCAGCTTGGCGGAAGAGCGTTTCAAAGACGCCCGGACTTTCTCGTCCTGCGTGCGGCGAACAAGTCGGGAAACCAGATGTCGAGAATCTTCGAACGGGCTATGCTTCCGCGGCCACCACACCCTCTGCGCCTCGTTGCTGCTAGATCACGTTCACCAGCAACGGACACCCTTGTCAAGCCCATGCTCACAAGCACGCGAGCGCTGCAGGCGAGAAAAGCGCAACAGTCGTCAGCCCCCTCACCATCGCCGCTGAAGGAGGAAACGCCTTCTTCAACGGAAAGCACAGAGTGCGCGACTTCAACGACGCGCGCGAAAGGGCGGTCGAGGCGGCCACAACCCAGCCTCGCAACGCGACCTGGCTTCCTCACCCTGCTCATCGAGCACGCGCAATCCACGGCCAAGCTCGACCGGCTCCACGCAGGTGGGCTAGACCCATCGAAGGCATCGATCCCTCTCCTCCTGCTGCATACCTACTTCGTTGCGCCCTTCCTGCCCGAGATCCCCAAACCGGTGCTGGACAACGAGATTGTTCGTGCCGCTGCTGGTGTGGATAAGCAGCTCCGTCCCTCTTCCAATACCGCTACTCCGACCATCAGCATCCCGGACAAGATTAGCACAGTCGCCCAACGCACGCTGCTCATGTCGCTTGCGTCGCGTCGCAGGGCAGCCGACTCCCCCGAGGCCAAGATGAAGAAGAACTGGACTCTGAACAACCCAGTAAGCTCCAGTCTAGTCACAGGGAACGGCAAGGCTGGGCCATCTGCGCACACGGCGAGGAGAGCGGGTGGATTTGGCGCTAGCGACAAGGCGACGCTGGCCAAGGGAGGCAGGTATTGGGGCAGCGGAAGGGTCGTTTGGGCATTGAAGAGACTAGCCTCGCCCTATGGCGTTGCTTTCTTGGTATTCGCTTGGCTAGGAGGCGATCTGAACTAGAACGTACACTCCCGGCACTGTAGAGGTAGCATACATACACCGACTAGCATTTCGCAGAGCATGATGGCGCCGAAATGGCGACGTGATAATTTTTTAAATTGTTAGAGCGTGTCCGGGGCAGATCGCTCCACGAAACGCCTTTTTTGACAGCTTTGCGAGCATTTCTTCCTGCACCCTTGCCTACACCATCTACATCGCAGCAAGATGAGTCGTCACGGGCCCGAGCTGCTCGCTCGTACAATGCTGCGCAGCACACTAGCAGTCACACGGCCCTCACCTCGAGCTCGAGCCGTCGCAGCTGCATCATCGCAATGGAGGGCCTCCTCTTCGTCCTCCAGCAACCCCGTTCCCTCGACCTCGACCGATCCCTCCCCCACCTCTACCAACGACCACCGTTCGATCGGCAAATCGCAATCCCTCTTTCTCACACACGACTCTTCGCCGGGAACACCTTTCATTCTGCCACACGGCATGCGGTTGGCGCGCAAAGTCGAGCGTGTCGTACGCGACCTCTACGACGTCTACGGCTACGACGAGGTGCAATCGCCTCAACTGTACAAGACCTCCCTCTGGAAGCGTAGTGGACACTGGGACAACTATCGGGATGACATGTTTGCTGCTGAGGGGTACAAGGAGCGTCTTACCCGCACCACTTCCCCTCCTCAGGCGAGCAGTGTGGAGGGGCGGTCGGCGTGTTGTTCGATTGGGGAAGGCAAGGAGGACGAGTCGTTCGGGTTGAAACCGATGAACTGTCCAGGGCACTGTTTGATCTTTGCCTCCCAGGAGCGGTCGTATCGCGATCTGCCCATTCGGTACGCCGAGTTCTCGCCGTTGCATCGCAACGAGGCCTCGGGCGCACTGACCGGGTTGACGAGGGTCAGACGGTTTCATCAGGATGACGCACATGTGTTCTGCACACCCGACCAGGTAGCGGAGGAGATCGAGAGCATGTTGGCCATGCTCACGAGTGCATACGATACCTTTGGGTTCAGCTCCTTTGAACTGGTCCTTTCGACTCGTCCGGAAGAATCGTTTATTGGGGAGGTCGAAGAGTGGGATCGGGCGGAAACGGCGTTGAAAGCGGCCCTCGACGCCAGTGGTCGAGCGTGGGAACTCAACGCGGGCGATGGCGCATTTTACGGGCCCAAGATCGACATTCGTCTCGTAGACGGTCAAGGGAGACGACATCAAACGGCGACGATTCAGTTGGATTTTCAATTGCCACGACGCTTCGATCTGTCGTACGCCGATCCCTCTTCCAAAGAGGGTCGGGGTGTACCGGTGATGATCCACCGCGCCATCCTGGGTAGTGTAGAGAGGTTCATGGCGATTCTCATCGAGCAAACGGCCGGTTGGTGGCCGTTCTGGCTCTCACCTCGTCAAGCCATCGTCATTCCTGCCCAGACGAACAATCCCCAACTCACACAATACGCAGAAGGCCTCACAAAGTACCTCTCTCTGGGGATCCACCCGTCCACCTCGCCCGCCGTGTCGTCCGAACGACACCTCCAAAGATTCTACGTCGATCGGGAACACAACGCGCAAAACGAAAAACTCGGCAAGCTCGTCCGCAAAGCCCAGCTGGCGCGGTACAACTACATTCTCGTGGTCGGCGAGAGGGAGATGGAGACCAACACGGTCAATGTCCGGAGGCGGGACGATAAGAGTGCGCCGGCGAGGTTGAAGGAGTTAGCCGCCAAGGGGGGATGGAGTGGCGAAGGCCAGGCCAAAGGGGGTCAGTACGACATTAAAGAGTTGCGTGAGCTCTTTTGCAAATTGGATCGTGGGCATAGTTGGTAACACACAAGTTGACAGCAATCATCCAGAAAAGCATTTACAATTGGTCGTTTCGACTACTAGACACCCTTCTTGTGCTCGAAAGCGTGCTCGACCTCGTGGTCGACATGAATAAAGGCCCTTTCGACCATGGGGAGACTCTCCAAGTTGTCCTGCAGCGCCTGGCTCAGATCGTGGCTCTTCCACAGCGGCGTCTCGGGATGCATGACGATATCGATCTCGACAATGTACCTCGGACCGGAGCTGTAGGCGCGTACGCTCTCGATCGCCTGGATTTCGTCGCTGAACAGGGCGGCGTTGTACGTGACGAGCTGCAAAAAGTCGGTTGGGGCCGCGGCGCCAGCGAGGGTCTTGAACTCGCCAAACGCAGTGCGGGTCCAGGAAATGATGATGGCGGTCGAGATGACCAACGCTCCGGCAGGATCGATCCAGCCCGCGATGGTAGCACCCGCTGCAGAGGTGAAGATACCAAAGCCATTGATGAAGAGGTCGTTGCGGTGATCCTGGTAGAGCACCTCGACTTGGGAGCTGTACTTGCGCAGACCGAAGCAGTAGACCGCCAGCACGGCTTTGGTGGTGAAGGCGACACCGACAGCGATGAGCGCCGGGATGTGCAGCTTCCTGTCCCCATCGCCGGTAGCCAGCTCCTGGATCGATTCGACCACCAAGATCGCCGAGACCATACCCATGAGAGCGGCATAGGTGATGTTGCCAATGGGCTCGAATCGCGATCCGCCAATGGGCCACTTGCGATCGTCCACCTTCTCGCTCTTGCGGTGCAGCCAGTTGAGCACCAGGTTGGCAAACGGATCGAACACCGAGTCGGCAGCGGTGGCAAACAGCGAGAGCGAGAGCGAGCTGACGGCGGCGTACATCTGCAGCGCTGCGAGCGCAAAGTTGGCAATGATGGAGCCGTAGACGGCGATCTTGACCTTGAGCGCAGAGGCTTCCTGCGCCTGCTTGTCCTCGTCCGCGTGGGCCGAGATGGGCTTGAGCAGACGCTCGATGTGCTCGTTCTGCGCTTCGTAGAAGTTGCGAATCTGACGCTCGCTACGCTTGTTCTTGCCCTTGCCCGAGTGGCGACGACGAATCTCGGACTCTTCGACCAGGCGCGATCGAAGGAGGAGCGGGTCGGTCTCTTCTGTGCCGGGCGTCATGGGCCCCAGACCGGCGAAGCCCAAGGAGCTGGCGCGCGAGCGAGAAGGGCCAGCGGCGGCAACAGCCTCGGCAGGTACATCCAGATTGGCTTCAGCATCGCCTTGCGCGGCCGGCAAAGGCGCGGTTGCGGGCGAAGGCGAAGAGGAGCGACCATGGTGCTTGTGAGCATGGTGGAAAGCGGCGCTGCCCTGAGCACGAGCGTAGGCAGAGGAGGTGCTGGGACCGATGTTGACGTCGACCGTAATGTCTTTGCCCATGTTGTTCTGGTACTTTTGCAGATGGGGCGGAAGAGGAGATGAAGGCGCCGTAGTCGGGCGACGCGAAGAGTAGCGAGTTGCTGCGAGGGTAGGCGCAGTGAGCTCGATGTCCTGTTCGCCGGTGGGGGAGAGTGGGGGAGAGAGGCCGGGTTGATGATCGGGGCCATCGTTGGAAGACGAGGTAGTGCCCAGCTTCTGCTGCGCCACGGACATGGCGGATGAGATGATGTGCGACATGTTGTCGTCGTCCAATCGAGGGGAGATGGTGGTGAGGAGAAGGAAGGCTTGTGTACTCGGAACGGATGATGAGGCAAACAAATCTGTCAGGGTGCGGTTGTGTACCGCGGCGCGCGTTTGACACTTGACACAGCCTCTCCGCCTCACCGCAGGCTGCTGCTTTGCTGCTATCAGATCGCCTTATCGGCTATGAAAAAATTGGTCTGGGGTCCTGCGCCGCACGGTCCGGGCGGCGAGCGGCTCAATTGTTCGCCGGCGTTTTGCAAAAATCGACTTTTCTTCTGCCCTTTTTCTTGGCATTGCTTTTCGAGGGCAACGTGATCAACCTCGCATGCTCCTCAGCCAATCGCATCGAACGCAGATGACAGTCACATTGCCAGATACGACTTGGCGCAGGCCTTTCTTGCGACAAAGCCGACCAAGGTCGCTTCCGTCGGAGAGCTGCTCTCAGGGTCCGCTCGCAAACAAGGTCAGATCTGATTGTCATGTCCTCAACATTGCGTGCTTGGCAGTGAATGACATTGAAAAGTTGTATGAGTGCACAACGGCGTGACCTCGACATCTTCCAATCAAGCCGCTACGAAGTGCAGTGCATTAGTGGATGAATACATCCAATCGTGTCAGCTGGCTGTACGTTTCGCTGCTCATGCGGAAGCGCAGCATACCCGCCCACATCATCAACGCCCGCGCCTGCGCGCGGTACTCGTCCATCGCGCTCGTGCCGCTCCTGTGGATGCTCTCCTTGAGCTCCTGATGCAGCTTGTACAGGATCGTCATGGTCATCAGCACAATCTCGGAAAAGTTGCGTGCAATGTTCTCGTCCACCTCTTTGAACTCTTCCGCCTTGCGCGTGATGGCCACCACGTCCTTTCTCGACTCGGCATCCAGAGGCAGGATGCGCAGCGCTTCGATGGTCTGTAACGCCTGCAGGTTGTGGCCTTCGCTGTGCAGGCCCACCGCCTTCTTGAGCTCCAGCAGTCGACGGCAGGTATCGCGGTTCTTGCCCGAATAGCCGAACTGCTTCTCGTACGTGTCGAGGATGGCAGTGGCGAGCGTGACCAGGTTGCTGGCCGCTGAGAACGAGGCACCGGAAGAAAGACCCGTCGACTTCCATTCTGCGGCGCTGCTGGGTTCGGTGAGTCGCGCACCGAGCTCCTTGTTGAGTACAGCCACCACGGTGTCGTGCTGACCCGCCAGATTGTACAACAGGATGGCCGACTCGGTGCGGTGCGCCATGTCGCACTGCGTCGCAGCCACCTGCACAATCGTGGAGAGGAATTCGCGCTCGTTCTTGATCTTGATCAGAGGCAGGTTCCTCTCGATTAGACCGGGCGTCTTAGCGCCGTTGGTTCGCACATCGCCCAGCAGCTCCTGGAACTCGGTCGGGTGGGCTTCGAGCACCAACGCGCGGATCAGGTCGTGGCAGCGTCGCACCTGCTCGGATCCTACTGGCTCGGCCACATCCGCGTGCAAGCAGATCAGGTACAGATACTGCAGTGCATCTCGGCGCGATGTCTGCGAGAAGGTACGCACGTAGCGTTGCACCAGCTTGGCAAAGTCGATCGAGGCGATGCTGCCGCCCTGTCCGTCCGACTCGGCCACCAGATATTCGACCTGCGACGAGACTGCCTGCGAAGGAACCCGCAGCAAGCCATAGTAGGCAAGGACCACGGCGAAGTGGATCGCATCCACCTGATGAGCCGAGCGCGAAAACAGGAAGCCGACTGCCTTTTCGAACTGGCCGCACAGCAGCAGCAGGCGGAAGTAGAACAGCGGTCGGTTGCCCTTGGGGTCAAAGTACGACTCGCCAAACTTCTCCACCTTGGCGCCCAGATCTGCCAGCGTGAAGCGATCGCGCACCGAGTCTTGAGCATCGGCATCCTCATCGTAGGTCTCACGGACCATGCTGAGCTGCAGCCACAGCCAGTTCTGGATGCTTGAGGTGAGAAGCGTGGGGAACTTCTTCGACACGTCGATCCTGCCGATGAGCTTGTACAGACCAAGCTTGTACGGATCGTGCACCTCGGGCAGCGTGCGGAAGCGAGAGTTGTATTCTGCGATGAAGCGGTCCTTGAGCAGACGCGGCAGACGGCGGTCGGGCGAGTCCACCCAGGCTTTGAGGTAGGCGAGGAAGGAGGGGTCGGTAGAGCGGATGCGGTTCTCGTTTTCAGACGCGCATTCGAGCGCTTCTCGGGCCTTGCCGATGCGGAGCAGGAAGTAAAGCTCGGCCCAGATGGGCACATTGGTGGATGCATCAAGCTCTTTGGCCAAGTCGGATCTCCACTGGTTGGTGGAGCTGAGATGCTGAACACGAAGGAAGGCGCTGACTGTGGAACGAACGGTGGGTGCACCGCCGCGCTGTGCTAGGACGGGATTGGCGGCGATGACCTGCTCCATGTGCTCCTCGAACTCGTTCTCCAGGAAAGCTTTTGAGCCATCGATGAGCTCCTTGCGGAGATCGATGCCATCCACGCCGTTCCAGCCTTTGAGGTCGACATAAGCAGGGGCGTATTGTCGCTCCTTGATGGGCTTGGCACTGAACTCGCCATTGCGGACATTCTGTTCTCGTACCATGGAAGCGAGCGCCTTCCAGCTCTCTTGCAGTTCTTTGTTCTTTGCATCCTCGCCGAGGCCAGAGATGGCATCGATGAAGGCGTGCGCCAACGCCAGGCTGTAGCCTTCGAGACGAGACGAATTGAGTCTGGAGACGACCATCTGATAGCGAGCCATCTTGCCGTGCATCTGCGAGGTAGCGTTGGAGCCGGCGGGCAAAGTGTGTGCTGAAGTAGATGCGCCGAAACCAGAACGGGAAGCATCGAGATCGACGTCACGACCTGCTGTTGGCGTGCTTGATGGCTGATGTTGTCCAAGCTCTTCAAGGATCTTGCGCTTCTGCCTCTCCCAGTCGCGGTGCATAGTGCGATCCAGGTTGCGATGGAAGTCCTGGAGCGTCTCGCGTCTGCCTTGTTCGATGGCGCTGATGATGACTTGCTGATGCTCGTGTGTGAGGTAGCTCTCTACATCCGTGTCGTAGATAGGCTGAAGAGGTTCGAAGGTGCTTGCGATGTTGGCCGAGTTGATGGTATCAGCGAGTTGCGCTGCATCGATACCGCCATTGGCGAGAAAGTAGTGAGCGCGAGCATCTCCGGGCTGGGCGGAACCGGATCGGAGGCCTTTGGAGACGAGTTTGCGACTCTGGTTCTCGATCTGATCGAGGCCAAGCTGGATCTGAGGGAGATCAGAGCGACCAAGATGATTTGTGAGTTTTCTTGATTGCTGAAGGAGCTCGGACAGCGACTGCGGCGCAGCGTCCATAGGATAGTCGTTCATCTTTGCGGATCGACTGCGCGTTTTGCGACGCTGCTGCGTGTCAGCCAAGTGTGGAGAGGGAGTGCGTGACTGTCGCAAGTGAAGCTGAAGCTGAAGCCGAGGCAGTGGACGGTGAAGCTTGTTGCTGTCTTGTCAAGCAGCACGATGATCGTCACGCAACTGCGGAATGGGAGGAAGAGGTTGATGAGAAGAAAGATGGTCGAACAACACCGACACCTCACCTCACCGCTTTGACCTTGATTTCTTTCGCGTCGACGAGAGATCGGGGCTAAGATCCACTTTGAAGGTGTTAGAGTGTGTGAACTATGAAAGGGTCTTCGGCTCGGCTGCATGCACGGATCGTGCATAACTTGTCGGCTTGTCTGGCCGCGGGAAGCCATTCGGGATTTCTCCAACTCCGCTCCTTGTATCTCGAAACCATGATCTACAATCTTCTCGTCTACGCCCCTTCCACGAGCCACTACCACCTTCTACTTTCAATTCTGCCATCACTGAGCGAACAGCGACGTCGCTTTTCCTGTGTACGAACGAGCTCGCATCTCGCCAAGAAGTCTATCTATGGATCTCGTCTACCTCTGAAGACTTCGCTCCATTCCATCAGGCCCGACTGCGCTCTTCCGAGATCTGCTTCCAGCCCAAGCCAAGGCCGAGATGGCGGTCACCAAAATGCTGAGAGGCGCTGTGCTGCTGCTTCTGGTAGCAATGGCGACCGTCGCAGCACAGTACCCAGAGAAAGGCACCCCGACGTTGGCACCCTCACCCACCACGGTCGTCTCTACCGTGATCGCCACGCCGACAGAAACAGCAGAGCCTCTTCCCATCCCGGATGCAGAGCAAGCAGAACGAGACTCTTCCATCGCCATTTTCCTCGTGCTCACGCTCCTCATCCTCTCCTTCTTGACATCCTACTACCTCAAAGTCAAACGCATCACCGCAGTGCATGAGACCATCGTCGGTCTCTTTGCCGGCATGTTTGTCGGCGTCTGTCTCCGTATCGGTCCCGGAGAAGATGTCCAGGCGATGCTCAGCTTCAGCAACAGCATCATGCTCAACGTGCTGCTGCCCCCCATCATCCTTGCTTCCGGCTACGACCTTCGACAGGAGAACTTCTTCCGCAATTTCGGCACCATTCTCGTCTTTGCGTTTGCCGGCACCGTCATCAGTGCCGTCGTCATTGGTGTCATCGTCTATCTGTGGTCGCTCCTTCAGCTCGAGTCCATCTCGCTCACGCTGCTCGAATGTCTCATCTTTGGCTCTACTCTGAGTGCAACTGATCCAGTCACCATCCTCGCCATCTTCAACACGTACAAGGTGGACCCCAAGCTATACTCGATCATCTTTGGCGAGAGCATTCTCAACGACGCCGTGTCCATCGTCATGTTCGATGTGCTCTCCACCTTCCGCGGCAAGGAAATCTACGTCTCGTCCGTGTTCCACGGTATCGGCCTCTTCTTGGTCGTCTTCACCGTCTCGATGTTCCTCGGCGTCTGCTTCGGTCTGGCGTGTTCGCTCATGCTCAAGCACTCGCGCCTCGGCTCGTTCCCGCAGCTCGAAAGCTGCCTCGTGGTACTCATCGCCTACATGAGCTACTTCTTCAGCAACGGCGTCACCATGAGCGGTATCGTCTCGCTCCTCTTCTGCGGTATCACGCTCAAGCACTATGCCTACCACAACATGTCACATCGCACCCAGCGGACCACACGCTACACCTTCCAGACGCTGGCCAATCTCTCGGAGAACTTCATCTTCATCTATCTCGGCCTGAGTCTTTTCACGCAGGACTATCTCGTGTACAAGCCGCTGCTCATCATTGTCACTGTTCTGGCCGTCGTCATCTCGCGGTATTGTGCAGTATTCCCCATCGCCGGCGCGGTCAATGCGTTCAAACGCACTCGCAACAATCGACGTGCAAGGGCGACCGGAGGTGGCGGCGTGCCCCGTGGCAGTGGCGAGGAGGAGCTGCCGCGACAGTATCAGATCATGCTCTTCTGGGCTGGTCTGCGAGGTGCGGTCGGCTTCGCGCTCTCGGCTGGTATCGAGGGCGATAATTCGATTCCACTGCAGACGACGGTATTGGTCACAGTGGTGCTGACCGTGATCGTGTTTGGTGGTACGACCGCGCAGATGCTCGAGATCCTGGGTATCCGCACTGGAGTGCAGGACGACGAGGGCGAATCGGACGACGACGAGGACCAGGACGATGTGATGCGGCTGCGAGGTATGGCGAGGAGGACATACATGGACTCGGGGAGCTACCGGGATGCCTCTGAGCGCGCGGGACTGACACGGCAAGGCAAGCGATACCCCTCCGGACTCAAGGGAGACTACCGCGATGGCAGCGATCCTCCCACCCCGCGCGACTCGCTCAGTGCGCCGCACAGCCGACAACACAGCCTCAGCAGTTCGGTGTACGCTCGCAACAACAGCAGCGGTGCCGTCACAAAAGGCGGCATCAATCGAGGCGGCTTTGCGGATGACTTGGAAGAGGAGGACGATCCGCCCTACTTTTCCTCAGAGAACCTTCCTTCGGGCTCGTCCACGCCTGGTATCGGCACTGGCGATCTCTCGCCCCTCAGTCCGATGGGTAGCGGATTCCAGACCCCGAGCTTGGCGCATGGCCGTTCTGCGTCAACACCCTACGCTGGTACGCAACCCAGCTTGAGCGAGATCCGCCGAGCTGTGCAGGAGGCCTCTTCTGCCGACGGAACGACGTCTTCGCCCGCCAAACAGCTTCTCGACCGCGCCGGGCTGGTCATGAAGGACGGTCAATGGTTCCAAGCCATCGACCAGAAGTATCTGCTTCCGCTGTTCAGCAACTCGGTCGCCTCGCGAAAGCATGAAGAGCGCAAAACAGCGCGTCTCGCAGCGAGGGACGCCGCCGCGCTCGACCCTCTCAGCGCCGACGCCAGTGTCGGCGGCGCTAGAAGGAGCTTCTTCTCGGTGGAGGAGGACGGAGATGCGGACTTGTATCCGGCGGAGAGGGACGCGGTGGTGGTTGACGAGGACGATGATGACGCAACGACGCCTGTGATCGATGCCACTTCGACGTTTGCCAGTGCGCGCTCGAGGAGCGGGGCGAGCACGCCGACGAGGAGATCGTTCTTTACGGGCGATGGGGATATCAGTCAAGGTTGATGGTTCGTCGTCGCTACTTGTACAGTAATGCTATCTGTCGTTGCGAAACATCTTCGTGATCGTGATCGTTGAACTGTGCCGTCGAGTCGTTCTGGCGGACCGAGATTAGCGCGAGCGTCGTCCGGTTCGCGAATCCGAGATGTGAGATTGAAAGGTGGTCTGCGAAAGACGCGTTTTTCTGGCACATTCGACTGAGCGCAGGGCAAGAATTCTGTGGCTGGGATGCCCACGTTTTGCCCTCATTCCGATCACGAACATCTCGATATCACACTTCGTTGCCTGGCAGCTTCTTCACCATGACTGTATATGGAGTATCAGTTTCTCCGTTCTGCGAATGAGTGGCTTGAGTTGCGAAGTCGAGGAGCGGAGGGAGTGGGTTCGAGATCGATAGCCTTAGGCGGCGAGGCGCAGCGAAAATAGCGTCGTCCGATGAGATCTTCACGCATTTGGACGCACTAACCGAAAAACAGGCAGCAGAGCGGCAGTGCGAGGGAAAAAATCTCCACTTTGTGACTGTTGGGCGGTCAGCCCGTGCGCATTTCCCTTCCAGAGATATCCGACATCCGCCGTCGCCGCCGCCGCGCCCTTTCAAACTCCTCTTTCGCTTCTGACTCTTATCATCTCTCTCTGATCCACACCATTCTTCCTGGCTGCCAACCGTGACACCTCCGTCTTCACTGTCAAGAACACCACATAACACACTTGTCTGCACTCCAGATCAGGGGTACCAATACACTCCCACGCAAAGCGTCAACCTCTCACACCTGCCCATCATGCCGCCAATGGACGCCAAGGCGCCGTCGCAAAAACCGGCCGATCCCATCCTCTTCTCCTTCCCCACCTCGGACGACCTCTCTCGCAATCTCGCCGATTTCGTCATCAAAGCCCAGAACGATGCCATCGCACGACGAAACAAGTTTACGCTCGCCACCTCGGGCGGGTCGTTGCCCAAGATGTTGGCCAAGTACCTCGTCTCCCGTTCCGACGACGCGGCGTTGAGGTGGGACAAGTGGGAGGTGTTTTTCTGCGATGAACGACTTGTGCCGTTGGATCACGAGGATAGCAACTACGCCCTGTGTCATCAGGAGTTTTTCTCCAAAGTGCCGTTGAAGAGGGAACAGATCCATACCATCGATGAAAGCCTCATGGACGATCCGGAGGAGTTGAGCGATGCGTACGAGAAACAGCTCGTTGCGGCCTTCGCGGGGAAGGAAGCGGTGAGAAACCCCGTGTTCGATCTCATCCTGCTCGGGATGGGCCCCGATGGTCACACCTGCTCCCTGTTCCCGGGACACGAACTGCTGACCGAACAGGACAGGTGGGTCGCCCCCATCGAGGACAGCCCCAAACCCCCCGCCAAGCGCATCACTTTCACCTACCCCGTGCTCAATCACGCTCATCGATTGGCTTTCGTCCTGGCCGGAGAGGGCAAACAGGAGATGCTCAGCAAGGTCCTCGATCAGCCAGAACTGGGTCTCCCCGCTAGCAGGGTGAGGCCCAGCCCACCAGGTGATATCTACTTCTTCACTGACGACGCTGCCAGCAAGACGACCAAGTACGGAAGGTCCGAGTTCAAGTTGTAGCGTTCCCCTCCCAAGCAATGTCAAAACATGAGTTCCTTGTCAATCCTTTCGTGTGTGACACTCTCGTTTCACGCTGTCGTGTGACATTGTCTGTTGGCCACGGGGTTGTCTTCGCTGTGTGACGGGTCGCCTCGCTGTGTGACGGGTCGACTCGCTGTGTGACGGGTCGACTCGCTGTGTGACTATTCGATGTGCCTCGCTGTGTGACTATTCGATGTGTGACGTCTCGCTTTCGCCGTGCGACACGCTCCACAGTGGGGTGACGTTGCACCATCCGTCGTCAAAATCGCTCTATGATCCATTGCCGTCTACGGTGTGCCGAAAAAACTAACAACAGCCAAACCACCTCTCGTTGCCCTTGCCACTCGCAAGCCGGATGGTGCGTCGCATGACCTCCTCCTCCCTCCTTTCCCTCTCGTTCCTCTCCTCGTGCGTCTCTTGCTCGGTCAACTGCGCCACCTGCCAAGCCTGGTGCGCCACCACGCGCGACACGATGTGCGCGAAGAGCCGGTCGACGTTCTGACCTGTCCGGGCGGACGTTTCGAAGAGCGTAAAGCCCTGTTCCAGCCCATGAGCGGTGGCACCGGTCGTGGGGGGAGGTGCGGGTTCCACGGGGATGGAGATGGTGGACGGGGTGCGGGGGGGCAAGGTGGAGGTTGGCGTGGGCGGTGCGTGCGGTGCTGCTGGTGAGGAGGGGGAGGCGGGTGCTGCTGAGGAAGGATTGAACAGGTCGTTGATGCTCTTTGGCGGTCGGATGGTCAGGGTGGACGAAGCCATGGAGGTGCGTTTGCTATCGGCTGTGGGGGTGCGAGATGGGGTCAGGTGCGCGCTGCTGCTCTGTTTGGGTTGATCTTCAGCGGCGAGGTGCGTGCTGCTGCTCTCCCCCGCGAGGGTGCTAGTGAGCGACGGGCTGGCGCTGAGAACCGTGCTCCCCCTCGGAGTGTGATACACGGAAGGGGCGTTGGTGCTCAGCGTCGAGTCCATTCGCCGTCGTTCGCCGCCTTTGCTGCCGCTCTGAACGCTGCGTGGAGGAGTATCTTGCATCCCACCGGTCCGACTTTTGGACGATGAAGGGAAGGCGAACCCTCTGGACCTTCCCTCTGTTCCGCTATCCGACTCCTCGCTGTCGCTCTGGAACACCTCGATGCTGCGGATCGACTGACGCTTCGCATGCCCCCTCCCCGCTTGGCTCGGTTGAGGTTTCGACTTGCGCCTCCAACTCGAGAGAAACCCAGATCCCGAATCCTGCTTGCTGGATGCGGCGGTGGGCGAGCTGCTCAGCTGCGGCGCTTGGGAGAGCGTGTTGAACGGTGTTGCGTAGAGCGTCTTGACCGTTCCTCCGTTCGGTGCCGGGTCGTTTGCGTCTTTGCTCGCTGGCGTGGGTGATGTGTCCGCCGCCTCCCCACTCGGCGTGCTGTCCGTCCCGTTCGGATCGGGTCTCGATAATACCTCCCCTGGATCCGCGGGCTCGCCCGCCCCCTCGCCACCCAGCCCCACATCCGCCTGCCCCACTCCTCTCGCCACACACGAATCGAGCACCTCCCACACCGCCTCTCGATCCACATCTGCCAGATCGACCTTGTTCGCCGCGCAAATCCAGCAGAAGCTCCCCTTTTCCTCCTCCCCCAACCCATCCCCCTTGTCCAAAAACACCTTGACCCAGTCCCTCACCCTCTCCTTTCCACCTTCGCTGCTCGCATCAAACGCAACAACTACGGCGTCTGCGCCACGATAAAACGCGCTTCCCAAGCTCTGAAATCTCTCCTGACCGGCCGTGTCCCAGATCTGCAGTGTCGCTTTCTCGCCGTCTGGATTGAGCGGGTCAACGGGCAGGGTGCGCGTGATGAAGTCCGCTCCGATCGTTGCGCGGTATGAGGGGAAGAACTGGTTCGTCAGGAAGCGATGCCGCAACGAGGTCTTGCCCGAACCTGTGTCGCCGATCAGGACGACCTTGATTGCGCGATTCGGAGTGAGCGCGTGGAGCGAGGTCGCAGGGGAAGAGGGCCCGATCGCCGAAGGGGCCAGGGTGGACATCGCCGCGATCGCAGAAGATTGGAGCGTCGAGGTTGTCTCGTGGTTCGAGTGGAGACGGCGCAAGATTGCAGAGCGAGAGGTGGTGGAGTGTGGGGCTGGCGGATGACGAGTCGGTGTGGTTGATGGAGAGCGGCGATCACCCCGGGTGGCAATCTTGGACGGCATGGTGGGAGGTCGAGACTGCTGATGAGCACGGCCGTCTATCGTGTGCGCTGCACTGTCCGTATTTGTGTCCTTGATGGTCGAGATCGTCCGTGCCTGCTGCGATGTCGTAGTCGCCAGTCTATACAGTCGTAGTTTCTGCTTGTCTATGCTTTCAAGCAGCAGCTATAACGCTCCTGCTCGTCACTTGCGGCGCATGACTGCAAGTGCTCTAGGGAATGACGATGGTGCGCACAGGTCAAGATGCACAGCGGCGATCCAAACGCCAAGACGCTCAGGTGGAGGAATCGAGCCCAAAATTAAACCTCTCCTGCAGCTCGCTCTTTTTACGCGAACCACAACACGCGACTTGTCCCTCCCCGCAATCACAGAACACGCCATGCTTCGGTTCAGATCACACTGGGTCTTGCGATAGTGACACTACCTTGCGACTTCCCGAAGGGGTATGTGGACATTGCGAGTAACAAATGAGAGTGTGTGTGCAGCGTAGCGATAGCTTGGCGTGCGAGCTTGGGTCTATAGAGAAATGAGTGTGGATGTGAATGGCGGTGGGTGACGAGCAAGCGACCATAGCCTCGCGGGCTACTGCTGTTGGACCATCTCCGGCGCCTTCTCTGTCTGCGCATCTCCTTCAACTTGAGCCTTACCATTGGCCTTCTCCTGCGCCTTGGCCTTGGCCAGATCCTTCTCCGTGAAGCCCCACATCTTTGGCCTCCGGCTCTTATCCCCGCCGGTGACGACGCTGCAGAGGAAATCAAAGAAGCGCTGACCATACTCCTTGGGCGGGACCGAGCTGATCATGTGTCGATTCTGCCTCAGGCCCTTCCACCACGTCTCGCCGCGCTTGATCGACGTGTACGGCGTGAACAGATCAATGACACCAAGATAGTAGATCATGTGTCCCGGCTGATTGTGCTCGTCCGTCGATCGGAATCCGCCCTCGTCCTGGTAGAAGAGGAAGTGGCGGCGTTCGCTCACATCGCGGTCCGGCAGCTTGGTCACCTGCTGCGAGTTGAGCGCCTTCGGATCAGACCGACGCACGGCCTGTCGCAGTGCAGAGGCGTCCTGCTCGTTACCAGGCTTCTTCACCTGCGTAGGCTGACGCTTGAGCTCCTTGGTCTCGGGCTGGAAGACGCGCAGGTTGTCCTGACGCAGGTTGTCGATGTTGCCGCGGCGCATGTCGTGCAGGCCGATGAGCAGCGAGTAGTCCATGATGTTGAGTCGCTGCATGAGGGCAACATCACTGCGCAGTTGCGCTTCGAAGAGCGCTCGCTTCTCCGGGCCCAGCTCGATCTCGCGCCCGCGCCTGAGCCAGTTGAGGTCCTTGAGCACCGCGCCGGATTTCGCCGCTGCTTTCTCCTCCGGGTAATCGCGGCCGATCGACGATCCCTTCAGATCGTACGTCTCGTGGATGTCACGGTGCGGTGGGAACAGGTTGTTCATGATGACGAAGTGGATTTTCCGACCGTGCGGCAGCTTGACACGGTGCAATCCGTAGAAGCGGCTCAGCAACGTGTGCGGGTTGGCCTTGACGTGCTCGTGGTAGTCCTTGAGAATGCGCAGCAAGAACTTGTGCTCCGAGTGTCGGATGGTCTTGATGATGAAGCGGTAGTCGCGCGAGAAGTAGAAGAACGATCCACTCTTGCCTGGCGAGCCCAGCTCGCTCAGGATGTACTTGGACGTGAGCGACAGCAGATAGTCGGCGGCATCCAGGTGGAAGTGCTCGCGCAGCTCACGGAACACCCACGGTGCGTAGTCCTTGAACTTGAAATCGTACTTGGCGTGCGGCGTCAGCTCTCGTCCGATGATATCGAATGTGAACTTGTGCTTGGCGGTAAAGTCGGCGTCGCACAGCGAACGCTTCATCTTGGCCTGACACCTCGAGACACCGATGCGGATACCCGTGAGCATGTTGTACATGAGCACGTAGTTGGCGTGGCCTTCTCCGATGAGATTGCCCACCAGCACCTTGGGCACGGCATCTTCATCGCGCTCGCGTACGCGGTCGGTGCGCTCCTTGTCTTTGGCGTTGACATTGAGCCAGTCGCGGCCCGTCTTCGAACGCTTCAGAGCACCCACCACACCGTCCGTGCCAGCTGCAGCACCGATGGCGGTGTGGTCCTTGTCCCCTGATGAGCCTTCGGCTGCTGCGTCGCGTGCCTTTTGCTCCTTGTAGCGACGGTCCCTGCGCAGCTGCTCGGCATGCTTGGCGGCTTCTTCGTCGAAAGCGGCATCACCGGTGCGGAGGGCGTGCGTCGAGCCTTCGGCTGTCGGTGAGTTGAGCGCGTCAGCGAGCCAAGGTTGGCCCGGGTATGGCGAGGTGGACTCGCGGTCACGACTGGATCTGCGCACCGACTGGGTGGTGCTGCCAGCCGACTGCGAGCGTCGCCCTTGCATCGCAGAGCCGGTAGTGTTGCGACGTGACATGTGCTGGCGAGGAGGAATGCCATTGGGTGGCACTGGCTGGTCTCCGTTCGCGTGCGAGCCCACTGCAAGCAGGGATGACCCCGCCTCGGCGCCCTTCTGAGCATCGTGGTGGTAAGGCGAAGCGTCGTGAGTGAGTCGAATCGTAGGCGTTGCCGGGGTGCCCTCGTAGCCGCTGGTCAAGTGAGACGACGCCGAGCCGTTGGAGGCCATCCTTTGTTGAGGGACGGACGCATCGTCATCTCCTACTTCCGAAGCGGTACGGTAAGCAGTGCTGGCGGTGGATGCGGTGGAAGCATTGCGGCGTTCCTTGAGCTTGGCAGGTGGACAATACGCGCTACTGCTCGCTGCTTGCTGCTGCTTTTGCGGCAATGACGCAGCGTTGACATCAGCGCCGTTGATGGACGTGGGCTCGTCTACGGGACTTTGTGCGACCGGTGCTCCAGCTCCCATCAAAGTCGCCGCGTCCGATGTGTTGGCGCGGCGAGCGACGGGTGGCTTAGATGGCAGCGAGATGGGGGCGGGAGCGGGCGCAGCTACCTGTTCCAGTGCTTTCGACGAGGATGGCACTGCGCCATTGCCAGGGTAAGTGGGAACGTGAGCTGGCGATCCGTTTGCAACGTGGCTCATGAGGCCATTGCGCGAGTCGTGGCCACTGACGTAGTCGGCCTCAAGAGGCGGTGAGGGTGGCAGCTCGCTGAGGAACGGGTGATGCCGTGTTGGGGCAGTGAAGCTTGACTGCGACTTGGATGCTGCATCCTGACGAGCGATAGGCTCAACTAATGCGGGCGAGGCACCGCCCGAGCGATGGGAAGAGACGGCACTCTGCTGTGAAGTGCGACCAGGACTCAGCTCCTGGATATCGGGCAGCTGCTTTTCGACAGGGCCTGGCGACTCGACGGTGGCTGGCTGTTGAACAGGGTGATGGTTGCCGTGCGCGCGTTTGCTTACGAGCTGTGGTAGCCTCAGGATACGGTGACCTGCTGATGAGGATGTTGATGTGTGACCATTTGCGCCAGACAGTGAAGCGTCGTGAGCGGCGTCGTTGACGGTCGCAGAAGGGGAGACGAAGGGCGATGCATAGGGGTTGGACCTTGAGATGGTGATATCATAGACCTCGCCGGTGCTGTCGTTGACGCGGATCTGCTGTTCGTCGTGCTCGAGAGCTAGACGAATGGAGTTGAGCGTATCTGCTTCAGAGGAGTGTATCAACATGTTCGCTCATGTCTCGGCCGCCGCCGTATGAGGAAGTGTCTGGGTTCTTGTCTTGTGCCGAGTCCTGAACGTGTTTGCGGCAGAAGAGTTGCGGATGACGGACGCTTGGCGCAGTAGGTCAGACCGGCTGAGTGTCTCGGCCTCGATCGTATGAGCAGATTATGACGCAGATACGGTAAGGATCAGCTGGAAGGAGAAAGCAAGATGCTGAGCAAGACCAAACCGGCTGTTGATGTTCTCGTGGCCGAAGATGAGAGTCGAGATGGACCGTGAGCTCGAAGATGCCGATGAGTTGGGTCGATGCGACGGTGGAGGTGTCACAGCGACTCTGTTGTTGTGATCGTAGCCAGGAATGATGAGCTAGCGAGTGATGAGGGTGTTGGATGACGAGGTGGACGATGGATGGCAAGCGAAGTGAATGACGATGCTTGCCAAGCTGCGGGATAACGAGTGCCAAGGCTCCACTCGCCAACTCACCCAAGCTTACAGACGCAGGCGGGCAAGCACAGCAAGATTTCAGCTCGAACTTCACATTCAAAAAAGGTTGAAATTGACGCCGTGCCGTGCTGTGCTGTGCTGTGCTGGGTGTGCGTGGATGCTGTTGTGAATATCTTTCGAGGCAGCAGCTGGCGGCGGTCGGTCTTCGACTTAAACAAGAATTCAAAATTCTCTTGCACTGCTTTCTCGCCTCTCTTTTGCTGGCTGGATGAAAGGAGCAGAGACTGATGCTTCCCCACGCTGCTGCGAAGCCTCTCTATGGCAGCAGCGTCAAGGGTGCTGGTCCACATTCAAGCCCGCAACCTCTTTGTCGAGGCTCATGATTGGCAAGCGAGGCCGTTCTGCTGTGACGGAGAGTCACCCTGAACGATCGTGAGCTGAAAGCAAAGCAGCATGATCCCATGGCAGCGGCGGCAACGCCGTGTGGCAAAAAAAAGCATGAGCCTGTCGTCTTGTGTGTCGATCTTCAAGGAGGCGTGCAGCCGAACAGGGGGATCACGTCTGCAGCCCAAGGAGCGGCTCGGGATCGACAGCGACTCAATGTGGGACAATGAGAGCTCATTCTGCCCCTTCAGCCCGAAAGAAAGCGGTCTGACGGTAGGAGCGTAAGAAGACAGGGGCCTCAGGCATGAAGCGGTGGCAGCGGCGGCACCTCTGGTCCCAAGCGAAAGTGTTGTTCTGTCCAGCAAAGAGCCGACTTTCAACGGCCTCTTGGAAAGAGTGCGTGAATTGGTTGCAACGCAGCACAGTTTGCCGAGCTCTGGAGCCCCCCTTTCAAACGTTTCGCTGCCACCACGCAGCAGCTTCGCCTTTTTTAGGCTGCAGATTCGCGCATCGCTGGTTTCAGTGTTGGTGTTGAAAAGGCGTCACACGATCTTCGTACATGGCTCGACATTGTCCACCGATCTGAGAGGGACCGAGCTGAGGCTTCCGTCTGCATGACATACGCAGCTCATGTGGGGCCGCAAAGACCCTATTTCGATTGTCTCACCTTTGTTGTCGATCCTGAGATGACGATCTGCCATTCGCGTGCGTCATTGTGGGTAATGATGGGGATGTGGGTTTGACCATTGAAGTCGAAGACATCGACAAAGACTAGGCATCCTCGAGCTGGTCGATCCCCTCCTCATCCTCTTCGTTCTCTTCGTCTTCGTCGTCATCGCCGGCCTCGCCATTCCCTTCTTCCTCCTCTTCGCTGAACGCATCGTCCGAGGCATCCTCCTCGTCATCCAACGACAGCATCAGTGCTCTTGTCGAGGGGTTCTTTGTCCAATCTCGCCCTGATTCCAGAATCAGACCGCGCAGAATGCCCTTGACGAGCTCCTTCTTAGACCTTGCCTCATTGATCTCGCGCTGCATCTGCTGAACCCTCTGTACGATGGCGAGATCCTGTGAAGCGTCCGGGTCTTGCTGTCCTCCCGCAGGATGGAGTTGTCGATTGCGGATATCGGCTTTGACGCCCTTGATGTTTTCGAGGAGCTTCATCGTCTCCAATCGTTGCTCTCGGATGCGCTTCTTGACCTGGACCCTTTGGTTTTTGATCGTCCTGATCTCGTTGAACACCTTGAGGAACTCCAATGCCTGGTCGTCCCTCTTGTTGAGCAGCTCGCGTGTTGACGCGTAGCTCTGCGCCTCCTCGTCCCCCTTTCGGTCCCTCGGCCGTGGGGACGTCGTCGAAAGCACTTTCTGAATCGTCGCACTCGACTCGAGCGCTCTGGTCGTCTCGACCTTGAGTCGATTCTCTCCTTCGAGCTGCCTCAGCCGCGACTTCTTCTCTGCGATTTGCCGCTCTAACGCCGACGCGCTCGTAGGCATCTTCATGGGCGAGTCCGCCAGCTCGTTCTCGTACGCTTCCCAGAAATCGAGCTCTTTCGCTTTACGTTGCAGCGTAGATCGCCGACTGTCTGTTTCGTAGTAGATCGCACGCTCGAGCGGAGAGAGCTGCAGGGCGGAGGAGGAGGCGCCGTCGTTGGATGCAGAAGGACCCGCAATGAGCCCGCGCAGCTCTTGGCGCCGGAGATTGAGCGCCGCTAGCCCGCCTCGTGGAGCATCTGCTGAGGGCTCGGATGCTGCAGTGTTTGAGTTGATATGCTTGTCGAGAGTGGCCAGAAGCCCGTCGAGCGGTGACAGCGCCGTCATGATGCGCTCTATGTTATTCCTCGAGGCGATGAGGAGCTGTCGAAGGGGGCGGTCGCGATCGAAAGGAAGTCGGCCTGAATTGTTGGCGGTGCCCTTCAGTTCTGACTGTGCGTGGCGCTTGATGAGGAGACGGTCCAAGCGGTGAGCTGCGTGTGAGCGATATGCGATGATGAGGTTCCGAGTTGATCACGATCGAAATGTCGAGAAGGTTGATGCAGGATGGCAAGCTTCGGACCCTGTCCAGGCCACTTTTCCAACGCGTCCGCCGCGCAAAGACGTGTCGCCGAATTTTCTGTTCATGTTGCCAAAGGGGTCTAACATAAGCGCAGCAAAATCCACGTCACTTCTGCTTCGCACCTCCTCTGTCGGTCATTGACAGCCAGTGGCCACTGTGTAGCCTCTTTGACGGTGCCAAGGGCGAGTCGCTTGCGTCAGAACTGGCTTTGTCAGTGTGGCTTCGACGAGGACCTATGGGCATGAAGAGGTTCCGAGGATTGTCAGTGACATTTGTGATATGAAAGCAGGGTAAAAATGAGGTTGAGAAATGCCGATAGAAATGCAGGACTTGAGTCGCAGCAAAACGAGGTCTAACACAACCAAATCGGAAAAACATCGCTCCACGATCATGCCGCCATCGCTACAGTCTCTCGTACCCTGTTCAGACTGCCAGCGCAATTCATCGAGAGGGACAAGTGCTCGCAAAGAAACGGCAGCGCTGCTGAACATGCACTCGAGCATCTCGTGCGAGAAGTTGAAAGCGGCTGCGGACCCGCAAAGGGTAAGTCGATGTTGACCCGTACCCTGGTCTTGGATAGGTGTTTTTGCACGCGCTGTCGCGACTTTGTGATTTTTTAGGCTAGCGTACCAACTCTAAAAGAAAACAGGCAACGTGACATGTTGGACTGTCTATCCATCCGCAGTTGCCGCCTGCTTCTCTTGATCCAACGGGCCGCCTTCTTCCGGCAAACATCGCTTCTGTTCTCGCGAAGACGGACCCTTGGCGTGTTTACATGCCTCCACGAAAGGAAGATGCTCGAGCGGTTAACAATGGCGGTGTGAGTGTGCAAAGGAAAGTTCTGCATCACCAACACGGATGACCGCATGCTGGTGCGGAGTGGCTTCGACCTCGGCTAGTGGATTTTCATCTCGCTTAAGCGCGAAGCATGGTGGATCGAAAGACCGTTTTTGTCAAGAAACGATGATCCACCCTTCCTGACTCGAGCATTTCCGAGATGAAATCGGCAGAGGGAAACACACGCTCGCAGCCTGGTAGCCTAGCGAAGCAATTGACACGACAAGCCAGATCCGACGGCTTGCTCGGTTGGTTGTGCGAAAATCGTGCTAAGCGCTTTCGCGAGCCGTGGCTGAGACGTCACTAGTCTCCTATACCAAGCGCCATGCTGCAGTAGAATCGGTGGCTGAAACCGCAAAGCAGAGCTAACATGACAAGGCGCGCAACGAAATGGTAAGTTACGAGGATCTCCGGCCATTTCGGCCTGCCGCCTGCCCACCATTTGCCGTGCAAAGACAGGGGGGAGAGAAAGGCAAACGGCCACCGCCTCGCCCTTCTGCGAGCCAGCGATTCGGAGTCGAATCATGAGGCCCTAAATGCTGTAGATGGGAGCACACGGCGACCGAGAGAAACCGAATGGTAACAGGTGGCCATGGCTCGCCCTGCCAAATCGGGATTTTTGGTCTGCCTTTTATTTGGATTTGAGTTTCAAGACCCGACTTGGCGCTCCGCCGCTTCCTTTACTCTCCGACTCTCTCTGGCCTTCGCCGCCCGAGACCTCTGTCTTGATCCTGGTCGCCTCGTCATGACGCCAGCTTCAGTGAACACGACTGCTTAAGGCAGCTCTCGCCCCCATCCGGTGCCTCGTATTTGTTCCACTCCCTGCACGTTGCTCATTCCGCCCTGCGCTGGGCTGAGATGCGATCGTCGTCACAAAGAAAACGGGTCGGACGTCGTTGTCGCTGTACTCCGCGAGAGTATTGCCATCTCACGCCGAGCTGATGATTTAATGTCCACCACTGCGTTGACCGACGGGCCTCGGTGTTGGCTGTCATCATGTGCCCATAGAAAGGGATCGCCGTCGCAGGGTTTGGACAGTCGGGCGCCTAGATCTCGGAGGGCGAGCCTACGGAAGGCAGGGAAGACTCTGCACTCGAAAGCCGTGACAGCTCGCTCCATTGTCCTCGGAGTCAGGAAACGTCTGTACAGCAGCGGAGTGTAGAATTTCCTTTTGTCTGAGAGGTCGAGGTCTTGAAAGACAGCGAGGGCTAGAAGCTGACTTTCTGACTTTGATCCGCCTTCTCTCCACTTGTCTTGAACAATGGGAGTCTCGCCTGCCAAGGCTCGGCCTCACAATGCAGCTGAGTAGGGACGCGAGCTCGCTTGGAGACCCTCTTCTCACATGGCCGGCGATCCCCCTCTCTCACTGAGTTTCAATCTCTAAATGCACCCCACTGCTGGAACAGCACTGCTACCGCCCTTCCGGGTCCGGCGAATCGCCTGCTGCTGCTGGGACAAAAAAAAGGGTGAGACTGGCGGCGGCTCACAAGTGACTGTGCAGTAGCATCGCATGTGGCTGACACCTGTTGTTTTCGCACCCTCGATCGTCTGGAATCGCAACCGAGCCTCGTTCCGGTCAGCACCCTATCGACAGCGCGTGTGACCACCTTGCCGAAGTCGCCAACCCGAGTCGACCATTCGGTCAGGGCAGAACCGATCCTGCCCTGATCCGGTCGATGGCCTTGTGCGAAATGGATGAGGATGGGCGAACGTGACCGGTTCGAGATCGGCGGACTCCAGCGTCGAGGAATGCTGGCAGCCCAGATTGAGACGGCGCTCGAAAGACTGCCGCCGATACAGTATGTGAGGGGAGGCGGCAGGGTCGAAGGCGCTTGCCATTTGCTTGTACAGACGGCGACTGAGTCGAGGTGGACAGCCGCTCCGTTTGCGGTAAGGAGACATGCCAATCCTAGATCCGCCCCGCCGTGCACATTGTCCGAACAAGCAAGCCACAAACGCAGACCCTGCTGCAAAGCCACCTCGCAAAGCCACCTTACCTGCAAAGCTTTGTGAGCATCCTGAGCATCCGCAACCACTTCCATATAACAAAGCCCCTCTCCTCGTCTCTGACATCACTCTCGACCCCTCAACGCTTCTTGACCTTTGCTCCTCACCATCACCACCAAGCTGTTCCCACAACGATTATCATCACCTTGATTGTCACCTCGCCTTTGCGACACATACTACCAACATGGTCGCCATCCTCCGCACCCTCGTCGCGCTCGCGACACTAGCCTCGCTAGCGCTCTCTGTGCCCGTCCACACCTCGCGCAGTTCCAAGATCACCTTCATCGTCACCAACCGATGCAAGCACTCTTTCGCCCCCATCTTCCTCCCCGCCCTCCCCGGTAAGCCGAGCTGGTCGACACTAAAGCACGGCAAGACCGAACGTTACTCGTTCTTCTCCGACGACTACCGCGGCAAAGTCTTCTCGCCGCTTCGTCAAGCCAACACCACCACGGGCGAGGGGGCTACCCAGGGCGAGCTCGACCTCTACTCGGGAGACTACGACATCTCGGTCGCCAACGGCTTCAACGTGGGCATGTACATGCAGCTCCTGGGCCAGCAGGAGGAGGGCTACTGCCAAGCCGCCATCTGCGGCAGCAAAACTTGCAAAGACGCCTACCACAAGGAGAGTGGCCTCATGACTGCGTCCAGGAAAGGCGATGACACTGTCAAGCCCAACCACAGCTGCCCACCAACCTTCAGCACATGGAACATCCAGTTCTGCTGACTATAGCCGCGTTCATCATCGTCCAATGTCCCCCCTCCTCGATACCCTCGCTTCATAGAAGCCACACCCACATGAGTAGCCACACATAGCCAACTCGATGTTGTATTTTAAGTCACACCCCTTGCATACACAATTGAACCATCTCTAATCGCCATCATGTTTGCCTCGTCGTCGTCTTCACCGTGTCTGAGTACGGTCGAGCTTAGATGGTTGATGCATCGCGAAAGTCTTCCTCCTCACCATCCCAGTCGAGCATCGACTTGTCCGCGCCGAGCATATCGAGCATGCTCCCGATGTTCCACTTGCGCTCCATCCCCCTTTCGCCAGCCGTCGACGATGCCTCCTGGGTCCCCAACGCACTCTCCCGCTGTCTCGGCGTGGAGGCTGATCCAACGACCGACTGCGATCGACGCAGCAGCTCGGACACCTCTGGCAGCGACGTCTCCGAAAGTCCACCCTGGCTGTCTTCTCCCTTTGCCTCGCGTTGCAGGTCTTCGATCGAGCGCAGTGCTGCAGCCTCCTCCTCAGCGCCCGGCGAGATGTTGCGCGATCTGCGCGCGAGCAACGGTGGACTACACGAACCTGCCTTTCGTTTCTGCAAAGACGAGGAAGGCGATTCAAGACCGTAGTCACCCCGCGATCTCCCGCTCAAACCGGACCAATCTCCACCATCGGCACCCGTCATCTTCCACAGATCCTGAGCGGCAAGCTGGCCTGCTTCCCGCCATCGCGCTATGTCCTGCGGTAGAGTGGTCAGCGCGTTCTCTCGAAGACACTTGTTAGCCTGCTGAAGGAGAAGGAGTCTCGCTTCGAGTGCTTGACGCTGCTTTCGAATGGTCGTGGATGAGGTAGAGGTGGGGTCGACCTCCGAGCGCTCAGGTGAGTGCTGCGTCGATGATGAGGAGGGGGCGTTCGAAGACATGCTGCTTTGGGTGTGCTGTCGCTTGAGGGGCGATCGGAAGGGCTTGCTTATACCCGAGCATGAGGTGGCTGGTCGCTTGCGAGGAGAAGGTGGTCGTTTGTCTGATGTGCTGGTGGAGATATCGGATACGCTGCTGGCGGTGTCGCCACGGCTGGGAGCGTCTTCGGGCCATGGTGATGATAGAGATCGTGAGCTGGATGAGGAAGACATCTTATTCGCTGTGCTGGGCAGTCTGGCGATGTGACTGTGCCCGAGAAGGGAGAAAGCTGAGTCACTCGAGAGCTGCGGCTGTCACAGCGAGCTCCCGAAGAGATGGACTGCGATTGCTCCGCTGTTGGTGATGGCGACCACAAGCTGATCTAGCGTAGTACTTTGTAGCTGCTTCTGTGCGCGGTATGGTCGTTGGAGACGTTTATTGGCAAGGTGAAGAAGTGCTACTCGTTCTGCGTGAGATGCCGTGCCGTGCCGCTTTCATCTTGTCACATCACCGCAGTCGAAGCAGGCAGAACGCTAGAACAGGCGTGCTTTCAGGATTACGACAAAAGCGTGGAAAGTGCTGACATCAACGAGGCGGATCAGCCGACGAGGTAAGTTGCAGTGTTAGGAAGCGCAGTGTCGAAGGTGTCGGCAGTCCCGCGTGATCTGGTGGAGCGCGAGTCGGAAGGTGCCGGCGAACCCACCCTGAAGCCGTGACTGCTCCTCCGACTCAGCCCTGCTGCATTGCTGCGCTCTATCTGCTACCAAGAGGATGGTCGTGGTCGTCGGAATCGCCTCGAAGCCGTCACTGTTGCTGATCCGAGTCTGTGCGTAGCAGCATGAGCGGGCACATGAGCTCAAGGTGGAGGACAGGCGCCTTTTTGAGCGTGTTCTTCTTGGCTTGCCGTCGATGCCAAACCCTGCAGATCCTTGCATTCAGGGCCTCTCAGCGCGAAGCGACCCGATTTCATAGCCAAGCCAAAAAACGTGCCTCTGCAGGCTCAAAGCAACACCAGCGCGGCTTTCATCAAAACTTCTCGCACATCATCCCAATCCACAGCGCACCTTCTCACCTCTCACCGCCGAACCGACCCCGACTCGATCATCCGCGACGGGCGCGTTGTCGTTCTCTACAATTCGAGCCACGCTGGCAAGCGCAACACGGATGCACCACTCTGTTGAGCTATCACAATGAGTTCGTCGGACCACCAAACACATGCGAGTACAGCAGCAGACGAGTCGGTTCAGCCTGCCGCCTCGACTTCCGCTGCTGCATCGTCACACGGGAAAGATCTCAATGCAGGGATAGGAGCAGCGGAAGCACCGACCGCGATAGAGGTTCCGGTCGGGAACGTGTGGGATGATAGAGCGCGTGAAAGACAACAGGTCGTACTCAGCCCTGCTTCACCCTCGTCAATACCGACGTCCATGTCCATCCCCGAGATCAAGGCAGCGCTTGCTTCCGAGCGTGATCAGGTCAGAGCAGCAGCACCTGTCGGAGGGTCACAAGGTCCCACAGCAGCCGACGCGGAGCCGGTGATCTTGGGTATCGCAGTCGTCGACTTCAACCACCTCGTCGGGCCACAAGTAGAATACACGTATCCAAAGGAGCTGCAAGAGGACGAAGACCTTGTCAAGTCGCTTCCCTTTCTCGCATTGCCCGACGGAAGCCATCTATCAGACGAAGACTTTTGCTACTTCCACCTGCATTGCCCTAAACTGTCCCAGTCGACCATCTTTGGCATCTCCTGCAACCGTCAAATCGCCGCAGACGCGCTCCTCAAGAAAGGCGCCGAAGTGACAAGGAGCACTGTGCAGAAGGCGATCGTAGTGCTGGCGAAGGAGCCCGTCTTTGGTCCAATACGAGAGAAGCTCGGCATCGTCACTCGCGCCTTTTTTGCGCAAGGCGATCTGGCCGATGTCGACATCCTCGTCGACTTCCACTCCACCCTCGAGATGGGCCTGCAGAGCGGTGGCATGTCGAACGATCGCGAGACAGTCATGTACATGGGCACGTCGCTGCGTGAGCTCGTCCACAAATGGCGCTTCAAGACGCTCATGCTGGTAAAGCTTCTGCTGTTACAGCGTAGAGTCATGTTCTTCGGCTACCCCGTCGAGCAGCTCTGCAACTATCAGTATTCGCTCGTCTCGCTCATACCTGGTCTGCTGCTCAACTTGCAGGACGCCGGTGACCCAAATCTGCACACAAGAGCGGGTCAAGTAGAAAAGGCAGACAGTCTGCGCTCTTCGGATCGCAAGAGCTTGCTCAAGTTTCTCGGAATGCCTCTCGACATCTTCGGCCAGGACGCCTTCTTTCAGCCTTACTGTCCATTGCAGCAGATCGACCTGCTCAAGTCGCGCACCTGGCTCGTCGGCACCAGCAACAGCATCTTCAAGCAGCAGCGCGACTGCAAGATCGATGTCGTCGTCGACCTCGAGCAAGCGCATCTCGAGTTTCAGGATCCCAAGTTGCACCAGATGGTCAACCTCACGCCCGAAGATCGCAAGTGGATGGACGAGGTCATCTCCTCTGTGGTCGATACATGGAATCCAGCTGATCCAACACGCCCCACTTCGATGGGCTTCCATGGCAGCGATGACTACCTGCGCATCCGCTTTGAGGACTACATCTGCGCCATGCTCTCTTCCACCAAGTACGGCGATTTCCTGGCGAAGAGCGATCCTGAGCAAGTAGCAATCCAGGCGCCAGATGCATCGACCGTCAACTGCTTCGGTGCCGAATTCCTCACAGCACTGCGAACCACCGAAGCTTTCAAGCGCTGGAACTCAATCACGGACCCCATGCTTTTCGACATTGTCGATCACAAACATCCCTGCGAAGGCAAGACGTCAGCCATCGAAGATGTTGGCTTGCGGCTTTCTGCTGGGCTACACGATCTGCGGCTCGAAGAGAACCTGGCGCCGACGCGCGAAGCCATCGGCAGCGCATTGCAAGCTGGCGGCGCCAACCTCTATCGCTTTGCCAACAACATCGGCAAAGACTTCGCCAAGTTTCGTGCGGATCGCGCAGCTGCAATGCAATCTGCAGGTAGTGAAGGCGCCACCACGCCGAGCAACGCGGGCGGCATCGGAGGTCTCACCTCAGGTTTCGGATTCTTTGGCACCAATCCAACATCGAAACCGAATGCACAGGCAAGCGCATCAGTGCCAGCAACAGAGCGGGCATCAGGATCCATTACGGGCGAGGCAATCGACGCAGACGGACAATACACTGGTCGATCCGGTCGTGTGGCAAGTGGCCCCCAAAGCAACGCTGGCGCATTCGATGCCAACGAGGCTCTCAATGCAGCAGGGCAGGCGGCGGCGCAGGCGGGTACACAGGTACGAGCAGCACTTGGCAACTTTGGCTCATTCCTCTCTGCGCGGCAGAAGTCGTGGGCTGCCAGCCGCGCCAACGGCAACAGCAACAGTACCCCGCAATAGATTGATCGATCTGTCGCTCAAAACATGAATACCCCTCTTTGCGTTCAGATCAACTAACAGTCACGAAAGTGCGATGCAAGTTCGACACAAGCGAGCCAACGAGAGAATGCAGAATGTGAGCGTGTTCAAAAGGGCGAAGCTAGATATACAGAACCAGAAACAAGAAGCGAAAGAACCAGACGAGACGAGAGGTTACCCCGTCTATGCCTTGTGACGCTGGTATTGAGCGACGAGCATGGCGTGGTCACGCTCGTACGGCTCGAGCGTGAGCTGCTCCCTGGGCTTAAACTTCATGCCTTTCAACTTGTTGACCTCGGCGGCGAAGACGGCCTCGGCGGGTGCTGTCGAGTCGATACAGCTGGCCTTGATCGAGATGAGCGCGTGGCCCTCGTTCTTGAGGAACGACTCGGCGTTGTGGGCGACGATTCGGGCCTGGTCTGGCTGGGCGACGTCGGCAAAGATGACATCGACGGTGCCGACGAGCATGCGGTACTTGTGCGGGTGTCGTGCGTCCTCGACGATGGGGATCACGTTGGTGCGCTTCTTGGCCATGTTGATCAGATCACGACCGGAGCGGTGCGAGAACTCGACGGCGTAGACAATGCCTTCGGGACCAACCAGGTCGGCGACGTGCGAGACCGAGGTTCCGCTCGCAGCACCGAGGTAGAGCACCTTCTTGCCAGGCGCAATGTGGATGTTGTCCAGACCACCGAGCACACCTGCGGCGATCTTCGATCGGAAAGGGTTCCAGACACGGTACTCGGTCTTGGCGGTCGTGCCGTCCGCGCCGGCGCCAGGCGTCTCGACCGAAATGCGCTTCTCGCCGTAGACCGACTCGCCGGGGGCGATGTTCTTGGTGACGAGCAGCATCTCCTTGCCCTCGGCAACGAAGATACCAGGGTGACGATGGGGCTTGACGACGACGTTGGAGCCACCGCGCGCACCGGGCTTTCCACCGCCTCGGGCACCACCGCGACCACCTCGGCCGCCGGGAGCTCCGCGACCACGGGGAGCACCTCGTCCACCGCCAAATCCGCCACCACGGCCAACGGGAGCACCACGACCACCGCCGAAGCCGCCACGTCCACCACCACGACCTCCACGGTCACCACCAAAGCCACCGCGTCCACCGCCGCGACCTCCGCGGTCGCCGCCGAAACCACCTCGTCCGCCACCACGTCCACCGCCGAAGCCGCCACGACCTCCGCGATCGCCTGTTGATTTAAGATGAGCATGAGATGAGAAGAACAGAGTCAATACTTGGAGTCATATCAATGAACCACCAGCGACGCTGATCCAGGAGCAGGCGTCGTTGTTGAACCGTGATGACACCTACCGAAAGCCATGTTAAAATATGCAAGTTGCTAAGTGTCTATTGCAGACTTGAAAAGTAGGGAGAAGCAGAAGGCCGTATGATCTGCTTTATCGACTCGGGATACCGTCCTCTGTTGCTGCTGAGGTTGCCGTTGAGCCTTGAAGTGCTTGACGACAAGAGGGAAGGACGAGCGGAAGGATGATGTGATGAGCTCAAGAAGGTAGGATGGCGAAGACGAGCTGAACCTCGAGAGCTGTGTGAGCTGAGCTGCAGGCTTCCACTTTTTTTTCCTTCCTTCCTCCATCCCGCTAAAGCTCAGTCAGTCCACTGAAGAAAAATTCTCGGATTTCGAAATCTTTTTCTCGTGCGTCTGTGCAACGCAAAAAGCAGTCTCGAGTCCAAATTTCGCTCTCGGCTCCGCGGATCTCAGATTGGCTGTCCTGGCTCTGATAGATCGGTGATTCGATGGTGCAGCTCCGGCGCGCGACGCGCTAAGCAGGCCTTTATGAGCAGTGCGCACTTTCAAGCTGCGAGCGAGCAGGAGCAAAAAGTGGGACCAACACTTGTCGATCTCGACTTCATTGTGCGCCTCATCCACCTTCATCATCTCGCTTCACCATCGCCTATCACGATCATCACCAGCTGCCTCGCTCTATCATCCCTTGCGCGCCTCATCGTCGACCGTGACCCACAAATACTTCTCGACCCCGACCTCTCCGTTCGCGGACACACCTATCATCACCTGGCCACTTCTTGAGCTCTCACTCACGTCCGCAAGCTCGCGCAAGCAAAAGACATCATGCCGAGGGAGCTCATCACACTTCAGGCCGGACAATGTGGCAACCAAATCGGGTCTCACTTCTGGGAGCATCTGTGCCGCGAACACGGCATCGCAAAGGACGGCACATTGGAAGAGTACGCCGCCGAGGAGCAGGGCGGCGATCGCAAGGATGTCTTCTTCTATCAAGCAGACGACGAGCATTACATCCCAAGAGCCATTCTCGTAGATCTGGAGCCAAGAGTCATCAACAACATTCTCTCGGGGCCATATAAGAACCTGTACAACCCGGAAAACATCTACAGCAGCAAGACTGGAGGAGGAGCCGGTAACAACTGGGCGCAAGGCTACGCGGCGGGCGAGAAGATTGCAGACGAACTCATCGAGATGGTCGATCGAGAAGCGGACGGAAGTGACAGTCTCGAGGGCTTCATGCTGATGCACTCGATCGCGGGTGGTACGGGCTCCGGTCTTGGCTCTTTCCTCCTCGAAAGATTGAACGACGCCTACCCAAAGAAGCTCATCCAAACCTACAGTGTCTTTCCCAACTCGGAAGAGACCTCGGATGTTGTTGTGCAGCCATACAACTCGCTGCTCTCGATGAAGCGCCTCACCAACAACGCCGACAGCGTCATCGTCCTCGACAACGCGGCACTGAGCAGAATCGCGGCAGACCGCCTTCACCTTCAGAACCCAAGTTACAGTCAGACCAACCAGCTCGTGGCCACCGTCATGGGCGCGTCGACCACCACACTACGCTTCCCCGGCTACATGAACAACGATCTCGTCGGCATGATTGCTTCGCTCATCCCTACGCCAAGAGCGCACTTCCTCATGACGTCGTACACCCCCTTCACATCCGACAATGTCGAGCGAGGCAAAGCCACCATGAAGACCACCGTGCTTGATGTCATGCGCCGTCTGCTCCAGCCCAAGAACCGCATGGTCAGCACGCTCGGCGCTTCCAAGTCCAGCTGCTACATTTCCATCCTCAACATCATCCAAGGCGAAGTCGATCCACGGGACGTGCACAAGTCGTTGCTGCGTATTCGCGAACGCCATCTGGCCAGCTTCATCCCGTGGGGCCCCGCCTCGATCCAGGTCGCGCTGTCGAAGCGAAGCCCGTACGTGCCCAGCTCGCATCGCGTCAGCGGCCTCATGCTCGCCAATCACACCGGCATCGCGAGTCTGTTCAGGAGGATGGTGGATCAGTACGACAGGTTGAGGAAGAGGAGCGCCTTCCTGGAGATGTACAAGCGCGAGCCCATGTTTGCCAACGACCTGTCCGAGTTCGACGAGGCGAGGGAGACCGTGGCCGAGCTGATGGCCGAGTACAAGGCGGCGGAGAGCCCGGATTACATTACGGGTCAGCCAGACGATCTTTGATGCCGCTTCGATGTGCGCGCAGTGGCCTTGCCTCGGGCCGCTCTCACTCCTGTCACCCTGTCACTTCCTTCGTATTGTACTTGTACCAATCTATCAGATATCCATCGTTCATGAGCTCGTTCAAGACCCTTGACATTTTTTGAGAGCTGGTCCAAATGACTTGTGATGCGCCGCCTTGGTCTTGCTGCCTGTCTTTCTACGCGACCTCAAAAACGCGCCTGCAGACCTTCTCAAATTGGACCGAAATCCGAGCCATCCGTTCCACATCAACCATCACATCCCTTCTTTCACCTGCACCCCGCATCGCCCTCGCATCTCGCTATCTTCGTCAGCAACTAAGCAGACAGACCACTGCAGCTAATCGTAGGACTCTGGTCAATATCAAGCTTTCGACGTGGGCTTCGAGAACTGATTCAAGGACCACAGCTGTTTTCGGTGCGACGAAGAAGCAATCATGGCTCCCTCGGCAAAGAGCGGTACCAATGCTGCAGGCAGCAGCTCCAATGCCAACAACACAAGCTCCCTTGGCATCGGACTCTCCTCATCGTCAGCAGGCAACGCCGGCGGCAGCATCGGTCTTGGACCTCTTGCAGGCGTACCGGCTTCCGTCTACCCAACCGACACAATCAGAGATGTCGCCGAGTCCGTCGGCATCAATGGCATGAAGGAGAGCGTCGCTGCTGCACTCGCCGCCGACGTCGAGTACCGCATCCGTGAGATCGTCCAAGACGCTACCAAGTACATGCGACATTCAAAACGAGATCAGCTCAAGACGACCGACATCGACGCCGCGCTCCGTGCACGCAACATCGAACCCATCTACGGCTTCCTTCCTTCCTCGTCCGGGCGGTCTGGGGCGAACAGCACATCGAGGTATACAGCTGGACCCACTTTCCGCCGCGTCCAGACCGCTTCTGGAGTGCCGCTGCACTACGTCGAGGACGAAGAGATCGACTTTGACAAGATCTTGGAAGCAGGCCCCAAGATCGGCATCGGGCGTGGAGTCGGCTGGGGTGCGCACTGGCTGGCCATCGAAGGTGTGCAACCTGCGGTGCCTCAGAATCCCTCGCCGATCGCAATTGCAGAGGCGAAGGGCATCTCGGGCTTCATGGGTCCCACTTCGACGCAGCCCATCGCAGCTGCGCCCGCAGCGAAGGCAGTCACTGTTGCAGGAGGCGACGGTCAAGCGATCGCCAAGCCTCTCGTCAAGCATATTCTTTCGCGCGAGCTTCAGCTGTATTACGAGAGGCTCACAAAGTCGATCGTCAGCCCGCCGCCAGAAGCGGACGAGGATCTGGACGACGAGGTGGAAGAGCAGCCGGCACCAAAAGCACCCGTGGCAACTATCCCCATTGCACAAGACCAAGATGTCAACATGGACTCTGCGGGCTCGCCAAAGGATCAGATCGTCACACCGCCAAGACCGACCGTCGCCCTTGCCAAGCCGCTCAAGGCCTTCGCGCAGAAGGGATCCGGCAACCACGTTCGAGACGCCGCTCTAGCCAGTCTCCGCGGCGATCCTGGTCTGCATCAGCTCGTTCCGTACCTCATCCAGTTTGTGGGCAGCAAGGTCATCGAGATCTTGCGCTCTCCCTCGCAAGACGACGCAGCCGATGCAGAGTCAGCAGCGACCGCGGTGCGCGAGAGTCGACAGATCAGCACCGCAGACAATCACATGCTCAGCGTCCTCCTCAGCACCATGCACGCCATCCTAGCCAATCCGCACATCTTCGTCGAGCCATACCTTCATCAGATGATGCCGTCCATCCTGTCCATCCTGCTCACCTCGTCCCTGGCGGAGCCGGAGCTCTTGCGTCAGCTGCAAAGCTCAAGCGACGTCCATACGCCACTGGTCACGGCCGGGTCATCATCCTACTCGCTTCGTGCCCATGCCTCTGCCTTGCTCACCCACATCGTCGACACGTTCGGCGCCTCGTACCCGACACTCAAGCCTCGTATGGTCGCGACCCTGCTCAAAGCGCTCATGACGGGTGTTGTGCCGGGGAGCAGCGATCAGGATTCGGCACGACGCGCCGAAGCTGCTGCTCGCGAACCGCGCGCGAGCCCGGGGACGAAGCTCGGTGCGCTCATGGCACTCCGTCGATTAGGCAAGGCGAGCTTCCGCACGCTCCTCTCGACTTCATCTCAACTCAACGCCAAGCTGGGCGACAGCGCCGACGCGCCCGCTTCATCCAGCTCGCCCCTCCGCCTGCTGGGCGAGTGGATGCAATCGTGGGAGTCCGGCTCGTTGCACACTGCGGAAACGTCGACGCAAGCCCCTGAGTTGCGAGCATTGCAGATGAAGCCCCTCATCAACGAGGTGGCGGGCGCACTGGATGCGTTGCTCCCACCCTTCGTCGCGCCGAACGCCGAGCTGCAGGGCTCGAAGGAGGAGAGAGAGCAGAGACTCGAGGAGACGTATGGTGCGTATTGGATCGAGAAGGTGGTCAGCGTGGATGCGAGGGCGAGGGCCGCACTGGAGACCGAGTTGGGGATGCGAGGGGCTGGTAAAGAGGCCACTAAGCAGGAGGTGTGAGTTCATGTACTTGTATGCAATGTGATCATGTCATGTTCACAAGATCGGCATCGTGTGGGTCCGTTTCGCTGAGATGGCGAACAGATGAGTGGAACAATGCGAATCGCAGCACGCAGCTGGATGAGTGGGATGTGACAATAGAGAGAGGTGGGTCCGGCCACGAAGTCACACGCCTTGCAGCCAGCACAAAGGGCAAGCGGGCCCTTCCCTGAGAAGTCACAATTCGGGCTGCAGCGCCAGTCAATTTTGTGCTGAGCTTGACGCAGTCACTCAGCCTGGCCCGCGCACACAGCCGAAATTCGACTGCAAAGGCGCGCGAGATAGGCAGCACAAGAGGGCATAAATAGGGTCCCTCCCACCGACTCCTCCTTCCCTCTTCTCTTCATCCCTCTCAGGAACGTCTCAGGAAGTCTCGAGAGAACCACAGGACGCCAAGGATAGGCAGTCGGTTAGAGGTGAGGCGGAGAGGGGTCCGGCCAGAGGTTCGCCTTCACCTTGGTCGTAACGCGGGGTCTAGTGTTCCCCTAAGGTAAAGTCCCTATCGAGGGCATCGTTGCGCCGCTGAGCGCTGTTTGGGCCGGGCCCATGTTAAAGTCCCTGACGAGGGCAACGTAGCGTCGCCGCACGCAGAACAAGACGTACCCGCGAAGGGTCGTCGAACGCAGAACAAGGCGTACCCGCGAAGGGTCGTCGAACGCAAGACACGGACGTACCCGCGAAGGGTCGTCGAACGCAGAACAAGACGTACCCGCGAAGGGTCGTCGAACGCAATGTGGTCGGCTGGACGCCGCCACGCATCGCAGTCCCCCGGAGCGTCTCCGGGTGTCGACGAACAAGTTGGCGTGCCCGGTTCGGGGCGTCAGAACGTATCGCGGTGGGGTCGGCCCTCATCACGACGTAGATATATCGGTCTCCGCGAGAGGAGCCGTAGCGTGGACCTGGACTGGCCACGTCTGAAATCCGCACGTCAGGGACGTGTGGTCGGGATGTTCCATGAGGGACTCCTGATCTGAAAACCGCCAAGGTGGCGGTTCAAATCAAGGTGACGTTACCCTCGCAAGTCACGATCTTCCTCAAGGCACTCTTCCTTCTCGATCGCTCCTCGTTGGATCAAGGCACCCTGGTCGGCTCGACGCGCGGTGCGTCCGATCTTTTTGCGAATCTGGTTTCTACGATGGGCGAATGCTCCTTACGAAGGACTGGCCCCCTGTCTCGATCAAGATCGACTTGCAGCAGGTACATCCCACTTGGCAGGGACGAATCCTGTTTCTGAGAAGGCGCTGTCTTGCTCCTCCGCGCCCGTCTCCACCGAGGCGAGTCGAGCAGGTGGCGTTCTTCTCAACGTTGCCGAATGTCATGAAAGTCAAAACCATCTCCTTGTGTGTGTGCGCGTGGTCCCTGGCTTAGCGATCGTCCTTGAGCATGGATGCCCACTGTCGCGAGTTGACCTTGAACTTCCTTCGTAGCAATCTCCGCCGACGTGGTACGAGGTTTCGGCAGCAGTGTGACCCTACAGGCCTCGTCGTAGCCTCAGATATGCCCACACACGTCACAGGCAGTGCGCGTAGAAGCATTGTCCGGAAAGGTATTGTACATAGGTAGGATTGCATGTTTCTGATGATCGCAGCGTCACACACGCCTTCAGCGTTTCGCTTGCGAAGCAGCCTCTCTCCTTGTCGCGTCTTCGAGCAGCTGTGTATCGACGGCGGCGGCAGGGATGTGAACGTATCGGACGACGGAGCCGCGGATGAATGCCGACTTGACCGCCATCATATGAGGGTGTTTGGCTTCATCGAGGACGCGGATGTTGTCAATCTTGAAGTTCAGGAACCTGTGGAATGGACGATCGAGCGTGAAAGGGGTCCATCGTAGTAGAGTCGACGGCGATCGGATGGGCGGACGGTGCGAGGGTCGGATGGGTGGGATACGATTCAGGAGGCGAGCTTGATTGTCATGGTCAGCACAATTGGTCCTAGGCAGCTCGGTACGCTAGCTCTGCGGAGGTGTTGTCACTCACTGGTCGACACTCTTGAGTGTGCCTTGGATGGCAAGATCGTTCTTGAGCTCGATGGTCACCTGTTGCCCAGTGAGGGTCTTGAATGCCGAGAAGATGAGCTGTCATCATCCAAGTTGAAAGAGAACAACGCATCGGAGATGGTCAGTCTACTGTGCCTATGAGCGCCGAGCGTCAACTGCGGCGTATGCATAGCTTGTGCTTACCATCTTGACGGTCTCGTGCTGATGTGTGCGGGTATGTGACAGGAGAGATGGTGACTTCGAATCGTGAACGGCGCAGATGCACAGCAAGCTCCACTCAGCTCACGTGATTTGACCCAAATTGGCTAGGCCCAGGCTCAGTCTTCGCCAATTTGGACCCTAATTTCTTCTTGCGCACACTCCAATCTTGACTCGACTTCGCCTGACAACCACCATCATCCAGAACCACAAGATGTCGACCGAGCAGATCACGCAAGGTGTCGCCGACGCCTCTCTTGTGGTCGCTGAAGCTACCGAGCAGGTAGTGACTCCTTGGTCTGTGACCGGCGCTACTGTGGACGGTCAGCAGGTCGCCATCGACTACGACAAGCTCGTCAAGGAGTTCGGCACCCGCAAGATTGATCAAGAGCTGCTCGCACGCTTCGAGAAGCTGACCGGCTGGAAGCCGCATCCCCTTCTGCGACGCGGCAGCTTCTTCTCGCATCGTGAGCTCGACAAGATCCTCGATCGATACGAGCAGGGGAAGCCATTCTACCTCTACACCGGACGAGGACCAAGTTCCGACTCGATGCACTTGGGGCACTTGATCCCCTTCCTCTTCACAAAATGGCTCCAGGATGTCTTCGACTGCCCATTGGTCATTCAGCTCACCGACGACGAAAAATTCCTCTTCAAGCCTGCGCTTAAGATCGAGCAGGTCAAGGACTTTGCCTTCAAGAATGCGCGTGACATCATCGCGTGTGGCTTCAAGCTTGAAAAGACGTTCATCTTCTCCAACCTCGACTACGTCGGCGGTGCCTTTTACGCCAACATCGTCCGCATCTCGCGCATGATCACCATCAACCAGTCCAAAGGTACCTTCGGCTTCAACGACAGCGACAGCGTCGGCAAGGCGCACTTCGTCTCGATCCAGGCTGCACCATCGTTCTCCAACTCGTTCCCACAGATCTTTGGCGAGAAGCACGACATCCCGTCCTTGATCCCATGCGCCATCGACCAGGACCCATACTTCCGTCAGACACGAGACGTTGCATCGCGCCTCAAATACCCCAAGCCATGCTTGATCCACTCGAAGTTCTTCCCGGCATTGCAAGGCAGTCAGACCAAGATGAGCGCATCTAGCGAGACCAGCAGCATCTTCATGCAAGACACGCCCAATCAGATCAAGAACAAGATCAACAAGCACGCCTTTTCGGGAGGGCAGGAGACGGCGGAGGAGCAGCGCAGATTGGGAGGCAACCCGGATGTCGATGTGGCATACCAGTACCTCACCTTCTTCCTGGACGACGACGCAGAGATCGAGCAGATCGCCAAGGACTACCGCTCGGGTGCGCTGTTGACGGGAGAGCTCAAGAAGAAGTGCATAACCGTGCTGCAGAAGGTGGTCAGCAACTTCCAGGAAAACAAAGCCAAGGTGTCGGACGATCTGGTTCGCGAGTTCATGAACAAGGACAGGAAGATCGACCCCACCATGCCGGCGGCAGGATCGACGGCGAGCAAGCAGGAGGAGCTTTCGAAGGAGACAGTGGTGGCTTCGACCGCGGCATGAAGGACAATGGTACAGATGTAGTTTTTGAGAGCAGTGCTGCACGTCAATGCGACGTTGATACCATTGCAGTAGGCCGTGCTCGAGGACTTTTGTCACGGGTTCCGATCAGCTCGCCCGATTCAGACTCAAGACATGATCTCGGGGAGGCCATGTCCTTGCGTGAAAGTTGAGCAGTGCCAGGCTAGTATGGTGCTCAAAAGTCCGACTCGAAAGAGGGTCGCGGAAGTGTCACAGAATCGACTGAGGACATTTCTGTTTAAGTGTGAGACCGACGCTTTACACATTTGTGACCTAGTCCTCGGCCTGCTTCTTCTCTGGCGAGAGGCGCGCCTGGGAAGTGGATCGCCGTCGTTACCGCGCTTCTCACCCTCTCTGCACTTCGAGCTCGGATGTGCGTCCGGTTCACCGGTGCATAGCATGCGTCTCGTTTGGATTCTTCCGACTGCGCGGAGGCCGAGTCTCCACAGTGCACGAGCCAAGCCAAGAATGCTGCGTGGGCGTCACTGACAGCGCTCTGGCTCGGGAGGTGATCACTCAGAAGCCGCGGCGGCTGGTCCATGATCGTGTGGCGTCCTCATTGCCATGCAACAGTTGCACATGTCTCACTGTGCATCTGACAAACTTGGGCCGTGCGAAGCTTCGGCAGCGACCGGGAGCAATGGGTTCGTCAAGTCGATCCCACGGCGAGATGAGGTCTTCAAATATCCATCTGATGTCGTTGCGAAGAGTGGTGAACAGCTTGGAAAATGGGCGTTGTCGATTGGATCCGAGATAAGAGATACGGATCAGCGGAGCGCGAAAACAAAAAGGCAGGAGCAGCGGGTCCCACCAGGGCCAAGCGAGATCATCGACGAGGGGGGCCTGCTTTCTGGCTCTCGCACGGCCTTTTGGTCCAAGCCTTGCCGTCAGGCTGCAGCGTGGTGACCTTCTTAAGCGAGCATGCAAAGGAGAGAGGGAGAAAGCGCAGGGCTCAAACGCTCGCAGCCAAGGAGAGAAGCTCTATTTCGAGACGCACCAGAATCTTGTGAAAATCCTCGTCTCCACTGTCTGCTGTGGTGAGTCAAGTCGGGCACGCGACAGTGGGTCTTGCAGTGGACCGTTCAAGGCATGCTCGAGCACAATGCGAACGGTCATCTGGAGGTGCACTGACTTGCGGTACAATACAAACAATCAACGCCACAAGTCGCAGGCATGGACGTCCTGAAGAGGTCGTGTGGCTGCGCTATTCAAGAGGGCTTTCTGGTTGCAGGAAAAGGAAAGTTGCATGCATACACTCTGCAGCAGGTGAGACATGACCCACCGGACTGCAGCGACTCATCAGAAAGCACAGGCAGCTGACCCCCGGGGCCCAGACCAAATGGACAGAGGCTTTCTGTCGTCGGTCATTTGTAATTGCCGATCTAGCGCCGTTGCCAGTGTGACGAGGATGTTCAATCTGTGGCTGTCGGAAGAACAAGACAAGGGCGTGAGAGTTTGTGTGCGTGCGAGTGTGTTTGCTAGGAATTGGTAGAAGGGCGGCCAAGATTGAAATTGGGCGCCAGAAAGTGCGTGTGTCACGCTCGGTTCTTTTTCGGGTCTTGAATGCATGAAAAATTAAGCAGCAACAGGCCATGGCCGCTCGGATATCTCGCTTTTCAAGCACAGCAACTACACACACACACGACTCGGTCAGGCAAGCAGCACCAGCAGCAACAGGACTAGGAGGAGGATCGACGCAGCGGGCTGCAGTCGTATTGCAGTTTCATATCATCCTCAGCCCGTTCGGGCCAAAATCAACATCACGGTCCGGTCAGCTGGTCTTCTTTGATGCATGCTGCTGCACCTCGCTCGACCGAGCGGTCACCTTTGGACAACCATCCACCTCGAGCGTTTCATCTCCTGCCCTAGTTTCCGTTAACGTCATTGTGTCGTGTGGAAGGTCTTGTGAAATGTAGGGTCGAGACAATGGCACCACCACGCGATCAAGGAGGGAGGGATGGCGGTCGACGGGTTTTGCAGTGAAAGAAAGCCAGGCTGGTCTCGACCAGGGAGCAGCGGCTTGGAGACTGGTGGACGTCCGTCCGTTCTGTCCGAAAATGTTTCACACTCGCCTGAGGCCGCACTGATCAAGATCTGTGTTGCTTTTGCTGATTGTCGAGCGGAGACCCACAGACCCACACAAGCTTCATGCCTCACTGCGCGTCACTCTCATCTTTTTCCCTTTTTCTGTAAAACCCTGTCTCTGATTCGGCTCGTTTCGACTCGCCGTCCGCATCACCGGCCTAACTCTTTGGCTGCTCTCCCGCCCTCTCTCCCTCTCTCGCTCCTGTGAGTGAGTTGACAGTTGAAATCACCGACAGACAGCGAGCCCTATCTTGGCTACAGCTATCTCGTCCATCAGTTCGACTGTTGCTCGCTTGCCGGTCACTCTCTGAGCCGCTGTACACTACTGCTTGCGCTTGGATCTCGTGTCCTCGTCCGCTTGGCCTTTCTTTTTGTTGCTGCAGGTCAACGGCTGTAGTCTGTTCCGCTCGATTCCGGGTCATCGATTTGGATTCAACACCCTCTCCGCCCACTTGGCCTCGGTCGGCTTACTGTGTGCCTCTCCCTCACGACCCGACCTCCTCCTCCTCCTCACCTCACCTTCCAACACCACACCTATTCCCTTACACACCTCGTCGTCATCGCCAACAGCATTGTCGATACCCCATCACAGTACCATCAGATCGGCATCGCACCCGCTCTCTTAATCACCATCGATCTCTAGCTTGTACGCATCAGTCAGGTCACCCACCGCCAAGACCGACTTCAGATCTCGATACGATTCACTGCAGCTGTACAACAGACAGCCTTCCCATCTTCATCACCACAGCCCTTCCCGCGCGCCCATTGGCTGTCGAACTCGACGTCTGATACCAGCAGCCAGACCTGCATACCCGGATCCCTCCCGTTTCGATAATCGTCCGCGTCGTCTATCTGGCGCGTCCCTCTTCACGACTGCATCACTCGCGGTCGCGCATTCTCCAAGCACTCTCTCTGGAAGCCTCGCAGTTCTGCGCAGAAGCTGTGCAGACCCACCCGAAGTCTAGCCACTGTCAACAACGACGATCTCCGCAGTAAGCTCGGCGGAAGCTTGTTTGATCTGCGCAATCAATCTCGGCCAACGGGACGTCAATTGCAAAGAAGCACCTTTGTGCCGCGCACTGGGCTTGCTACGCTACGCTCTTATTCCTCGAGGCCAACTGAGCCGATCCTTCGGACCGTTCGAATGCAGATCAGCTTCAAGCGGTCTGTAGAAACATACTCGAAGAGCTAGATTCTGATCATCTGACAGCCAGTCTGCTTTCAGCAAGCCAGCATGACGTCTGCAGGGTAAGTGTTTGATTTCCCTCTCTCCTCCTCCCATGGCTTTGTTTCCGCCCCTTTGCAGTGTCGCGCGACTCCCGACGCCGGACGCTCCTGTCTCTTGCCCGCCTTCATCAGCCGGCATGTGGCTTGCGTCGGAAGGCGTCCGATGGGGAGGTTGAGTCAGACTGCTGCCAGTTTCGCGCTGCGGATTTGTCAGTTGAGCCGCGGAAATGAAGGCGCATCGGCCTTCTCTCCGAAGCTGCTCTGCTGCGAGCTTGGAGCTGGGCAGAGGAGAGCGCAGGCAGTGTCGGTGCTTGGACGAATCCGAGTTGAGCTTATTGTAAGCCTCGCTCGATTCTTGGCGCACCGCCACTACGCACGCGTTCTTTGGCTGCGCACCGAGTTCATCTCAAGGGCGTCCGTCACGAGGCCCACAAAGTCTATTGGCTCGAGTACTTTCGCTTTCAACCGTCGGGCGTGCAGCGCAAGCTAGCAGTGGGTCGCGGCCTCTTGCCACCATATTGCATCCTTTTCGCCGCGCTCTTTGCAGAATAGCACGCTGACGTCTCTCATCCCGACCTTTGATATCCATTTCATTCTTCGACCACCACACCTTGCATCCTCACGTTGCCCATTTGCCTCGCATTTCAGCCCCAGCACCCACGACGACAAGAGCTTTAGCAACGTCATCACCTCCACGTGCACCCCCGGCCCATCGCCCGTCAACACACCAGGCGCCCTCTCCGCATTGCCTGTCCCAATGGCAGGCGGCCCACATCACCACACACCAGGGATGCCTTCCAACTCGATCTCGATAGCTGGTGCCTCGCAAGATCAGAGCACTCCAGGCAGTTTCGGTCCCTCGTCCGTCAACGCGTCCTCGGACATGGGCTCCGTCATGACCGAAGACGAAGAGGATTTGGAAGATTACGGTAAGGGTGGCTACCATCCCGTTCACGTCGGAGATACCTTCTCAGACGGTCGATATCTCATCGTCCGCAAGCTCGGATGGGGTCACTTCTCGACGGTCTGGCTCGCAAAAGACAACAAGATGAAGAGGCACGTTGCTTTGAAAGTAGTCAAGAGCGCACCTCACTACACAGAGACCGCATTGGACGAGATCAAGTTGCTCCAGCGTCTCGTCTCGGCCAACCCCAACCACCCCGGCAGGAGACATTGCGTCTCGCTTCTCGACCACTTCCGTCACAAAGGCCCCAACGGCTCGCATGTTTGCATGGTCTTCGAGGTGCTCGGCGAGAACCTGCTCGGCCTCATCAAGCGGTATCAGCACCGCGGTGTGCCGCCACACATTGTCAAGCAGATTGCCAAGCAGGTGCTTCTTGGACTCGATTACATGCACCAGGAGTGCGGCATCATTCATACCGACCTTAAGCCCGAAAATGTGCTCATTTGCATCGAGGACGTCGAGGCGGTGGTCGAGGCCGAGTTGCGCTCCAACCCGGCGGCAGTCCCCACCAAGTTGGTCGGTGTGCCACCGAGTCAAGGCCGAGGCGGGACGCAAACACCGAAACGAGACGGCATCTTCATCACGGGCTCTCAGCCGTTGCCAAGTCCCAGCAGCAGTCTCGGTTCGAGTCCTATGTTTGACAAGTGGGCGTTTGGCATGTCCAAGATCGACAAGCCGAGCGTCAGCGACAGCGAGAACGGCTTCCGCAGCGGCGCCAGCAGCGAGGCGGCGGGGTCCAAGGGTGGATCGCTGGCCAACAGCAAGGAGAGGGAACAGTCGACCGAGATGATCGGCCACGGCATCGCGCAGCTCAGCACACAAGGGTCGAGCAGCTTGCCTGCCGACTCGTTCGGAAGCCGAATGTCGACTGGCGCGCCACAGCAGAAGGGTCCATCGCTGCTTTCGCTCGGTGCGCCCCGCGTGCCGCAGGTATCGGAATCGTCGACACTGGCACCGCAGCCCGAAGAGGCCGCAGAGCCAACAGACTCGCCCTCGCCCATGTCGATGGACTCGCCCAGTCCGACCGACAAGCCAGACTCGACGCTCATGGACCAGGACATGCACCCACCCGCACCGGCAGCAGGCGATCCCAACACGCTCCCGCCCCCCCCGCCGTACGACCCGAGCTCGCTGGAGCGCATCACAGTCAAGATCGCCGATCTCGGCAACGCGTGTTGGGTCGACCACCACTTTACCAACGACATCCAGACACGCCAGTATCGATGTCCCGAAGTCATCCTGGGCGCCAAGTGGGGTCCGAGCGCCGATATGTGGTCGGCGAGCTGCATGTTCTTCGAGCTGTTGACGGGCGACTACCTTTTCGACCCTGCGGCAGGTACCAAGTACAACAAAGACGACGACCACGTGGCACAGATCATCGAGCTCCTGGGCGACTTCCCCAAGAGCCTTGCGTTCGCCGGCAAGTACAGCGCAGACATCTTCAACCGCCGGGGTGAGCTGCGACACATTCACAAGCTGCGCTTCTGGCCGCTGATCTCGGTGCTGCAGGAGAAGTATCTGATGCCGTATGCCGAGGCAAACGAGCTGCAGAGCTTCTTGATGCCCATGATGCGATTGCACCCGGAGAAGCGAGCGGGTGCGCGGGAGTTGTTGGAGCACACGTGGCTGGAAGGGATTGTGGTGCAGGGCGAGATCGAGCAGGCGATGCGACAGGCGGGAATTGATGTTGAGGCTTTGACTGCCGGTAGTCCGAGTGGTCGCACCTTGCCGCCCGGGTTGACGCCGAGCGAGGCGGATGCGCTGAAGCCTGTGGGGTCGGTGTCGAGCAGCCCTGCAACGATGACGTTGAACATGCAGGGGCTGGAGGATGCCAAGCGGCGGGCGGCGCAGCATCAGGCGGAAAACGGCGGTTCGACGCATACCAGCGCGGCATCGTCCGCTCTGCCTACACCGTCCCACACCAGCACCAGGGACCCCGTGTCGGCGCTGCAGGCGGACAACCTGGAACGGTCGAGCTCAGCGGATGCGGCAGGCGAATCGCACATGACCGTCAAAGGCGGTGGTGACGATAGCGGCATCCGTCAGGTCTCGACGCCCAAGCTGTCCGCTCAACAGCAGCAAGGCGGCAACTCGAGCAATCGTGGGGCTGGCAGCCCCTCCCCGCAAGGCCTGCCCCGACCCGTGGCAACCACCGTGCAGTAGAGATCCAGCAAGTCCACCCCACATTTTCTGTTTCGTCCTTGTTGTTTTCTTGTCAAAGAACTTTTCCTGATCTTCGGTGTGTTTGTGTGATTCGAGGAGGGCGAGCGTGGACTGCATTTGTGTAAGGAGGAAGATAGATCCGCTCTGAAAGGTGAAACGGGTGCACGGCCGGACGAGATGACAATCACAGCGGCGCCATCACATGCAGGGGGCGAGAGATCGGGCGCTGCCAAGATCACGCCTCGATTCCGACCTGCACTCATTGACACGTCTTGCTCATAACACGCCGAGGCTCGTGATGGGCTGTACATTTTTGGAGATTGCGAGAAAGTGCTACTTCATGAGGGCAGTGGTCTAGGGCTTGATGTACTTGGAGAGCATGAGGAGTGCGCCTAACAAGAAGACCAATGCGTGGAAGGCAGGGTGATTGACTGGGCACGCCATGGTGGCAGCTCTGTGTGCGTTGGGTCCGAATTCGGATGTCGCAGGGCCGAGTTGGACCGGTCAGATGGGAGGAGCTTGAAAGCGATATAGAGGTGAGAAGTCAGCGCGAAGAGGGTGCTGCCGTTGCAAACGGTTGTTGCTTGAGGAGAGATTCGGGTGTTGCACTCGTGGAAGCGCCATCTCACTCGCGCTCGAAAGCTTATTTGGTTCTTTGCCTTATATGATGTGGCTTGAAGCTGTTTGATGCATCCTGCGCCCCGCGCGGAGCCGCTTGAGTGGCAAAGGCGATTACCAATGGCGAGTGACCCGAACAAAGCGAGGAAGCTGATTCGCTAGACCAAGCCCACCGAGCCGGTGAAGGCGATGGCGCAACGAGCTCCGTACAAGCCTAGCCGAACACAGTCATCTTCCGTACAAGTTGCGTGCGCGCTAACCGGAACAACTCCGACGTTGACTTCTACCGAAGTATCGCGTCCGAGTCTGAGCCATCTGTGACCGAGCGGGGTCGTGTACCGTGGTATCGTGAAATGTCCAGCAGCGCAGGGTGCTTTGAATCTTCGTGACAGACTTTTTTCGCGGTTGGAGCCGGCGGGGGCGGCAAATTGTCTCACGCCACCGCGGACCGGGAATTGTAAATAGCGTTTTTGAAGTGCGTCTTTTGCCGAGGTAGCCGCCCCTAGTCCGCCTTCCGCCACCTTGCCGCTCTCGCACGCGATCGTCGACACGCGTAGTCGTGCCCCCCACGCCCATGACTCACAGTCACTTGGATGGCGTTATTCCATGCATAGGTGGTCAATATACGACAGGCCCGCAGGCACCTCAAACATGAAGATCCGTTTCATCCGAGCAGGACCCTCAACTGGACCCTCATCTGAAGCACCTCCAAGATCAACGCCACCACCTTGACCACTTCAAATCTTTGCTCTCTGATTGGACCGTTCTGCAGCCACCTTCAGCGACGACGACGCCATCACCCCATCCAACTCACATTTTGCCTCTCGGAGTGACACGTTCTGCAGCTCCTCCCGTCAGAGACGACGCCATCACCCCATTCACTTCAAATCTTTCGTCTCTGGTTGGTCTGTTCAGCCGAGGCGTACCAGAAACGTTCTAAAGAAGCGCCCCTCCGTTTCATTCGCCGGTTCGACAGGTCGGCGTTTGAGTGAGATCGCACTACTCGACGCAGCTGTCAGGACCCTTCGGACCCCCGAGTCGCCATCTTCTCATCCAGCTACATTCGTGCTACTGTACCTTCCTTCTCGCTAATCCCAACAAGACTGAGAATGCGTCTCATCCGAGCTCGCTTGAATATGGTGTCATCCCGAGGTACGAGACTGTGTGGTCGTCGTGCTGCGTTCCGGATGTGATGCAAGCCAAGATCTTAGCACGTTGATGGGAGCAGCAGTACTCGGAGGTGCTTAAACCACTTCGAATGGCTCTCAAGCAAGCAGCACGTACGGTCCAAACATCTTACCCGAAGAACCGGAGGGCAAAAAGGTATATATTTGTCCTCCCACTGCTGCAAACTCCTTCTTTCGAATCACATCCCCTCCTCTTCCTTTCCCAACGCTACTAGCCTTCAAGATGAAGCTCTTGACGCTCATCCCTGCTCTGTCGGTCTTGCTCACCGGGGCGGCTGCCTTCCCTTCCTATGCCGACCTGAGCAAAGTCGACTACTCTGCTTTCCTCGAAAAGGCCGCCCAGATCAAGGGAGGCAAGGAGCTCATCAAGCGAGCCACCAACGACAGCAACGCTACTGGCTTCGAGCAACGAACCTTCCACGCTCTCATTGATCCCGCCAGCTTCAAGTTCGATGCCAAAGCGCAGTACATCGACCTGACTTCGGACGAGCACAAGTTCATCCCTCCGGGACCCAACGATATCCGCGGTCCCTGTCCTGGTCTCAACCTGCTGGCCAACCATGGTTACCTCAACCGCAACGGTGTGACCAACCTGGCCCAGGGAATCGATGCCATCGGCAAAGTGTTCGGTGTTGAAGCCGACCTTGGCCTCGCCCTGAACGCCTATGCTGTGGTGTTCAACGGCAACATCCTCGATCTCACCTGGTCGATCGGTGGTCCCTACCAGTCTCAAGGCCTTGGCAAGGTGACGGACATCCTCCTCGGTCCTCCCGGCGGTATCAACGCCCACAACATCTATGAGGGAGACGCCTCCATCGTTCGTCAGGACTACTACCAGCCCGGTGCCAACCACGACAATGTCCAGGTGCACCTGCCTTACTTCCAGGACCTGCTCGATCTGGGCAACAACGACCAGACCGAGGACAAGGACGTCTACACGGCCGAGCTGATGCTGCAGCACAAGTCGAACCGCTGGCACCAGTCGGTGGCGGTCAACCCGCTGTTCTTCAACTCGGCCTTCGGTGGTCTTGTGGTGACGACGGCTGCTGAGCGCTTCGTTGCTGAATTTGCTGCCAACAACACGGCCGATGCCAACGGCTACAACCGTCTCTACCTGGACGAGAAGAACCTGCTTGCCTTCTTCTCCGTCGAGCGAACCGATTCGGGCCTCAAGTACACGCCTGGTCACGAGCACCTGATTCCTGGTTGGACGCGTCGACCTCTGGCGGCCACGTTCGGTCTCGACGATATTGTTCTCACCCTTCTCCACGCCGCCGCTATCGACCCGTCCCTGCTCAGCGTCGGAGGTAACGCCGGTCAGGTCAACACCTTCACCGGTGTCGATGTCGGCAACCTCACCGGTGGCGTGTACAACTTCGAGACCCTCTCCAAGGACCCCCAGGCGCTTGCCTGCTACCTGTACCAGATCGGCATCGAACAGCTCGTACCGACCCAGATCAACCTGCTCTACAAGGTCGCTGGTACCGCGCTCGACTTTGTCGCCAAGAACCTCAAGGGACCCTGGCAACGACTCGCCACCGCCGGCAACAACCCTTGCAACAGCTTCAACTCGAACATCGCCGCAGCATACAACCAGTACCCGGGTGCCAAGATCGAGACGACCAACGGTGGAAGTGGCATCCTGCCCAAGGTGCTTGGTGGCCTCGGGCTCAGGAAGCGCCGTGTCGGTGCGTTCAAGTAATGTCGGTCACCCGACCCACTATAGCGATCGATTCAACTCGAACTCGCTTTTCCCAACAATGGATGCTTCGGATGTAGGCCTTGTGTCGCAGACGATACAAGCCCGTCGGCATGCTACATAGGATGTAACGCATACACAGGCGATGCAGCTCAATGTTCTTGCACACATGAAATGAACAAGGCCGATGAACCCTGTCGAGAACTGGACGTGATCAAGCCTAATCTTGCGTGATCGGTGCTTCCCAGAATATCATCTGAGAAGTGCACATCTCTCCCGATTCACGTCCTCCTAACTCGCACAGACTAGTGTGGGACATGCGAAGTGGCATGATAAATTGACCGTACTAATACAACAAACAGGCATCACGAGAATAGATGCCGTACCATAACATGAGACCAAAGAGTGGAGCGATAACTAGTAGTCGTTGACGAGTGGCATCGAGGAGGCGTTTTCGAAGGTCCAGCCTGCCGCAAAATCGTGTTCTGCTTCCAACCTGCCGCGGCTTGCCTTGCCTGAGAAGTCCTCGCTGGATCGCTTGCGGGCCTCTCGGCTGGGGACAAAGTGGGGTGGCGGACGAAGAATTGTGCCTCTGGATGCGGCGCGCGAGGAGGAGCGGGGGAGGGTTGCGGAGCGATACGGCGTTTTGGCAGCGGGCGCAAAGGGGGACGTGGTGAGGTCGTGAATGATCGAGCTGTACGAGCCGCTGCTGTGCCGCCTCGAGTCGTCGACGACGAGCGTGGAGGTGGCGCGGTGTGCGCGCGACAGCTCGAGCGCCGGCTTGCTCCGTGGCACCGGCAACGATTGTGATCGCGAGCTCGATGCTGACGACGATGCCGCTGGTGATGACGACGGAAGAGTGCCTAGCGATACCCAGCTGGAGGTGGTGGGTTTGTTGCCGGCGTCGAGGTCGGAGAGCTTCGCGCTGAGCTTGTCGGCCTGCAGCGAGGGGCTGGCGTCCAGATCCATCGGCGGAGACATGAGACCAGGTGAGGTGCAGCTACTCTCGACTTCGTCGTCGGAAGAATCCGCCTCGGTGCGCGACCAGAGCGAGCTCGCATCATCTTCGGTCAGGTCAGACCCAACAGAGAGCGAGGGACTGGCCGGACTTGCAACGTCCTCCTCCTCGTCGTCCGTTGAAGCCTCGACATCGTCCGATACGGGTGGGAGGGTCGTCTTCTCAATCCTAGCCGGCGCCGGCTCGTCCAGCCTCACCTTGGCCTCGACTGCATCATCCGACGTTGAGGATGGAGACGAAGATTGAGGTGTCTGCGTGTAGTACTCCTCGAAGCGATAGCCTGCGGGACCCCGGCGTCGGCGCCCGATGGGTCGCCCTTGCTTGTTGTAGATCTGGTGCACAGGGTAGGCGTAGGTGCCGTTCCAGTAGAGCCCGTGCTCGTCCCAGCCGAGCTCTTCGGTCTTTACTGGTACGAAGAGGACTGACTTTTCGTACTGCTGTTCCGGAAGGGAGATGCTGTACTGTGGGGCAGTGTCGGGAGGTGTGATGAGGATCGTTGGGATGACGGGCTTGGGCAAGGAGGCGGTGATGGTGCTCAGCACTGGCTTGGTCATAGGAAGCGGCTGCGAGGGCATCGCGACAGCTGCTGCGGACGCCATGATGTCGGAATGATAGCTTGGCTGAATAGACAAGGTGCGAGGGTGGTAGGGCAAGGAAGCCCTGCTACAGCAGATTGGGTGCGACGAGATACAACGTCGACCTTGGATCTGCGGCTTTTTATGCTGATGGCATACGATCCGGTGCTGTGATGCGGGTGCTGGACAGTAGAGCTCGGTTCGCCGTGGTGTGCTATCGAGGTCGAAAGGTGAAGAACGGGACCCCTGCAGATGATGTGAAGATAGGAGCCGTATAGAGCTCGAAGATGAAGAGGAGCACAAAGGGTATCGATATGAAGTCGGCGGATAGACAGAAAGGGCGCGACGGGAGAGAGACACGAGATGAAAGTTGCGGTAAAGATTGCAGAAGGAGCAGGCAAGGCAAGTGAACCGTGGGTTGCGGATGCGTTGTCAAGGTAGGTTGATACAGAGGTGTTGTTGAGAGGTTGTTGCGATGGTAGGAGAGGTATCGTAGGATGGGCGGAAGAGAAGTTTGAGTAGGAAGAACGATGAAGGGGACGCCACTGCTGGAGGAAGGAGGGCTATCGGTATTATAGTGTGGTGGGGATGCTGCATGCGAGGGCGTGCAGGAGGATGATGGGCGGCTGTCTAAGCCGTACAATGCGCTGCTTCTGACAGGGTGCAGTGACAACGCTGTGCAACCTGAGCTTAAGGCAGGAGGGGAGGGTGCGGTGTACCGCAGGAGAGGACAGGCGAGGTAGCGATGATCCCGGCACTATCCAACAGGGAGCACCCTGGTTGCTCTGGCTTTGCATTGCATTGCAGCAGGAACCGCCTGCCCTCCTCACACATGCTCAAGCTCAGGCGGACCCTCAAAATCCGCCATTGCTCGGGAGCAGCCTTGCATGGCAGCGTCGACGCTATTGTGTGCGCTACTCTGCGCTACTGTAAGGCTAGTTGACATCGAATGGCAGCCTATTCATCAGTTAGCGGATCGGTCTCGTGCACCCATCGGATTCGCCAGCGGGATCCGCTTGATGACGAGCGTCGAAATGGGTCGTGATGATGGCCTCATTGGCATGGACGCACGCGAGCAGGCCATCGGTACGTCAGCAGAGAGACGGTGAGCGAGTCCGGCGGGCGATATCGAGCGATGCGGCCAAGGCCCTGTGCTCAACTGGCTCTCCACCTCTTTTCTCCGATACGAGCCAGAAGAAAAAGGTATCTGTTCGCCATCGAACTCTGGCTCGCTTGCTTGTCAAAGCAAAAGTCTCAGCATCGACTGAGCCCATTTGCTTATTTATTTATTTTTATTCTATTTTATTTGGAGCGATCTCCTCGGCTAGGATGCCCGACGTGGTGTTTGATGCAGAGGAGCAGATTCGATGATGACTTTGTACTTGACCGTCTGAGTCTAAGCGAAGTCCATCAGCTGAAGTGTCTTTTTTCGTCCTCCGCCATCGCCTAGCCATCCAAAGAGACCATCGCGGTTGGACTATAGTAGGCTGTCGGCTGCGCCGCATCGCCGAGACTAAGCTCATTCCGTGAACGGAGGGGGCGAAAGAGATTCTAAAGTTGGCCTTGTTTTAGCACACACTCGTGCAGCAGACCCTTGACCCACTCTTTTGGCTGCACGGACACCACCCCCGATTGTGCAGTGGCTGCAGCTGCAAAGCAACGTCCTTTTGAACGGAGTGCATCCGACGCCGTGCAGTGCTCGGCGCGGAGGGACCGTTAGATGATCGTAATTCATGCTGTGATGACGAACCTCCAACAAAGGCTTGGTGCGCGCAACAAGTTTGACACGGTTCGCTTCCGAATTCGAGGGCCAAGGTGGCTTGAGTTCAGAACCAAAGCCTGGTCGGGTGTTGGCGCTCGCCTCCGGTTCCTTGACCAAACAAATGGTCTCGACAAAAAGTAATGCTCCGCTCATTCTGAGGTCGGAGTCTGATTCGAGTGCCGTCTCGTGGCGCTTTCTTCTTTTCACATTTCCTCTGAATCACACAATATGTGATCTTATCGGGCAAGCCATACGCCCACCGCGTTCGCTGGCAGTGCATCTACGCCACAAAGGGCATAGCCACATTCATTGACTGTGCAGCACAATACGAACGAGCGCAGAGGGTGGTCATTTGACCAGGGTGAGCAGGAGCAAGGTCGGAAGCATCAAAGGGAAAAGTCGCTTGGATTCTCGCCAAAGAATTCTCAGATGGGCTCGATGGTCGTCAGAGTCCCTCGCTTGCCTTACCACGAGACTATCCGAGCCCATCAACATCTTGCCTTCCTTTCTACTCCACTCGAATGCTCGCGTCTGCAGCCGAAAAGCTGCTCAAAGCTCGACTGCGCCTCCCACGCTTCGGTGGTGCTCCCCGGCCCCAGACTGGCTCTGCGACGTGCGTCTCCAAGGGCGGTCCCCGACTCGAAGCACGCTCAACAATGCTCACGACGCTTCGACATCAGTACAGGGCGGCACAACCAACAGTTCGCCCCGAAGCTGCTCGTCCAGTTGCTGTCCTTGATATGCAAGAAGATCAGTGAGATGATGCTGACTTGCTGCCGCGGTTTCGACCACAGGCGCTGGACCAAACGCCGCCGCAGGCACGAATTATCAGCCTCACCTTAATTCGTTCACATAATACTGTAGGTCTGAGTTGGACGGCCGATGGCCCCGGACGGAGCGGCTTACGTTCGTGAAAGGAAACGGGGAAGCGGCACATGATTTGGGGACGGTCGCTGTCGTCACGGCTAGGCAGAGTCGAGGGTCGGGGTCTTTGGTCGCAGAAGGCCTGTATGCGTCTCGAAGATTGTCAGGCGGTCTGGCTACGAGGCTTTGATTCCAAATGCCAAGCAAAGAACTTTGGCTTCTCGCATCTAGAGCCTCATCACGGCTTCGCTGGCCAGCACCAGAACGCTGAGCAACGCTCGACGATAGAGAACCTCGCCTAACTCGTCGCGATCTACTGTTGTCATATTTCTGGTGACGATCTATCAACCCGCCCTGCGTTTCCGCTGTCACCTTTTTTCTTGGGCACCTCGCCCCGGCGACTGGGTTCCCTTTTTCCAAATTTGGCTGCAGACCAGCGTCATCCCGCCGTGTCCGATGTCGCAGGAACCGCGCAAAATTCTCCGATCGCTGTTCCAATGGTTCGCCGTCAGACTCGAGCCTGTTTCTCCTCACTTCACATGGCACGAACTTTTCCCGCACCCAACCAAGATTTGAGGCTGAACTTGGTCTTAGCGAAGACCAAGATAGCGGATGACGACGACGAGTCTCCTCACTTGTCCGAAAGACCGCGCTAGATACGGAACCGAACCACAGGCGAACCTCGCCTTCTCGTTCAGCTGACCTGATTTCTGCCGCGAACGCCATCACCGAGCTCGAGCTGCTTGACTCGAGCGCCATCGCAGGAGCCCGTTCCATACAGCTCGAGACCAAAATGTTTGCCCGCAAGTGGCGCTCTGCTCACCATAGATTCAGCATCCGCTAGCCCCATCGAAACCCGGACGCGAATCCGGACCAAAGCCTCGACTATCTCAGTCCATGGCGGACCTTGAACGTTAGAGTGCACTTCACATGGCCTGTTTGGCTGCAACGGCAACCTTTCACGGGTCGGGGTATGTCAAGTTAACAGAGCTCCTCCGACCATCCTTCTCGGGCGTCTGTCGCGTTCATGGCCTTTGCGCGCAAAGTATCGACTCAGCTGTCCCCACTCGGGCTGTCTCATGTTGACTGCTTTCGATGTCGTTTGCGACGGAACCTTTGCGTCTTGTTCAACTCCACTCCGCAAATAGGCCCCACTAAGCGAACCGCGCTTGCTGCTCGCTACCGACGCTCAGCATCCGAGTCGCCCTCATCGTCTCTATGGCTCGTCCACACGCTGGTCGTCCGAGCAATGACGCTATGCTAAATTGATCCAAGAGCCACCACTCTGCGGGGGAACACGTGAAAGACCTAAGCCAAGACAGTGGGAGTCCGGGGTGACAGCACCGACCCCACTCGTTTACGGTACACCTCCAACAAAGCTTCGTCCGTCGGGTCATCCTTGTCGGGGCAACCTGCTTGATCCGTTGCCGAAGCTCGAGTGCTGTCATCGCTTTGAGCATCCGAGCGCGAAGGCGAAGAAGTGAGCGAGGTTTGCGCCAATCGGCTGGCTAGAATCGTACGAGAACTGATGCGACGTCGGAGCGGGCTCGATACTGCCGGTGCATGGGCTAGTAGCCTCCTGCGCGCCTCTTCGACGTCCTTGAGCTTTTCCTCTGGCACTGTGATCGACAAGCAACCGGACGGGAAGCAAATCAGCATGCTGCTCTGCCCAACGTGCTGCTCATGTCGAGATGGGATGCTTGTGTCTTGGAATGTCTTCGTAAGGAGAGCGGCGCGTGGCCGGGAGAGAAGAGATGTAGAGGCTCACAAGTGTTACTGTTGGGCAGAGAGGACTACTCACGCTCCCGAATGATGCTGGCGGATGAAGGCATCTGTTTGGGCGCCATCAACGAGCGTCGTCGCTATGAATGGCAAGAAACCAAAGAGAGATATCAGGTCAGCGTGCTGTTTCTTCTCCTCATCACATCATGGTTGCGCGGCACTTACTGTAGCAAAGATGGCCTGCTTAGCGACCTCAACGAGGTACGGGCTCTCTTCCGCCTTCTGTCCCTGCTCCAGACACGCCACGACCCACTTGATGCCCACCACATGTGGCTTGGGATCCTCCAGCGCTCTGTACGAGTGAAGCGTGCTCGGTCGACCGCTTTTGTACACGATGTGCGTCAACTTCCTCTCTCCAAACCTCACCATCACCTTGGCACCGGCGTTCTTGAGCATGTCGATCCAGCACGCGGACGCGTCTTCGCCGTCTTGATCGCGCACGTCGACCAGCACGGTCAGTCCGCGCAGGAAGCGTGCTTTGCGCGGCGCGGGGGCAGAGGCGTCGGTGACGACGAGGCCCGAGGAAACGTTGCCGACGGAACGGTCGCCGTCGACGTCGTCGCGCTTGGCGGGCACGTACGTGTAGAGCGAGCGACGTCGCGCCGCTTTGGCTGCTTTGCGGGCCTCGGCGAGCTCAGCTTCGGTCGGCTCGGCGGTTGGTGCTGTTGCTTGCGATGACGAGGACAACGAGGAAGGGGCGTGCGAAGAGGACGAGCGAGCGCCGATGATCCTGGCGCTTGCCCCAGCAGATGACCTTACAGGTTCCGGCTCTCGCCTCTGCGTAGTCGATGGTCTTGCAGGCTCCGCCTCCCTCCTCACCGCAGGAGGAGGCATACCACTCGACAAGGCCGGAGTCATCGATCTCCGCTTTGCTGCCTTAAGCTCTGCTTGTCTCTTCGCTTCGGCCACCCGTGCCTGCTCTTCCTCCTGCGCAGCCTCCTCCTCGACCCTCGAGTCGCTCGATGCGACTTCCAAGCTCGACGTGCGCGAGCTCATCATCACGGGTTGCGCCGTTGGTCGACCACCAAGCTCGCTGTAGCCTGGCAACCTCGGCGCGCCAAACGACATCATCGACTTGGACGACACCAGCGATCCGTTGGACGAGGCTCGAAACTCGGAGCTCGACTCGCGCGACTTGGCCAGCGCGGATACACGACCAGAGGGGCGCTTGAAGACGCTGCTGTCGCTGCTCTGGTCTGCTACGGACGAACGAATGCTGAAGGACGACTCGCTGCCGGAAACGGGGGGTTTGCGGAAGATCTGCGTGCGACTCGAGGTCATTCCGAACGGTCGGGCGCCACCACCAAGCTCACGTTTGAGAGTCGAATCGGTGTGGCTACTGTCGTCTTTCTTCTTGATCATGGCGGCCATGCTGGAAGGTGGTTCGCGGGTCTTGGCCTTGAGCTTGGCGAGCGAGGCTTCGAGACTGGCGAGTGCGTCGGATGTTTCTGTGGACAGCTTGTGCTTCACGTCGATCGTCGTTGTCGAGCGAGGCAGGCTCTGTGTCCTGCTGCTCGCGGAAGAGGACTCGGAAGCAACTGAGCCCGACGAAGAAGGTAACTTCTCCCGCTTCGACGGCGCTTCTTGCCTCCTTGGTCCAGGACCCTTGACAAGCCTAATCTCGTCTGCCGTGTTGTCTGCCGTGTTGTCCGCAGACATATCCCAGTCATCGTCGTCTTCCTCATCAACCGCCGAGTTGTGTCGGAAGATGCCGCGCTGCGCTTTGCCTGGCGAAGGCTTGAGCTCGAGCAGGTTGATGGGTTTGCGGTCGGGTCGATCTGGTGACGAGATGATGAATGCGGATTTGGCCTGGAAGCGCTTGACGGGCGAATGTCGCTGCTCCCCGAGCATGGCCAGACTGTTGGTTTTGCGAGCTTCGGTGAAAGGATTGCGCTCCGTGTTGGAGCCGAGCTTGACGTCGGAGGTGCCGAAGAGGAGGCGGTCGCTCGAAGGTACGCTTGCAAGAGGGTGGGCCGATGCTGAGGCATCCTCTGCCTTGACTGGGCGAGTGCTGGTTACATCCGATGGTGCTGCCGAAGACGACGTGCGGAGCGAAGGTGTTGGACCGTGTAGCCTCGATCCTCGCGGAAGAGCCGTCTGTGGTTTGACCGGACTGGCACCGACACGGAGCTCTTCCGTCTGCGCCGTGGGAGAGTTCTCCTTACGGCTGGCCCGAAGCGTGTTCTCCCCAGCTTCACCGCTTCTAGCGAGGGTAGCCGACGTCTTCGACCGCGGCAGACCCACACTTGCCGATGGCGAAGTAGACGATTCCCTCGGCGGTGCGATCCTCCTGCGCCTCGTCGGCACTTCCGGGTTACTGTTCTCCAGCTCGAACTCAAAGTCGTCGAAGCGGCCCTTCTTGGGACTCTCCATACATGCGGTCAGGCTCGTGTTTGGTGAATCGGGGTCAAAGGACTCGACTTGCATCGCTTGGCTGGCTCGCGCCTTGCGGGGCGAGAGGCTCGGTGCTTGTGACGAGGATGACGGCGCAGCGGCTGGGCGCGTTGAGAAGAGCCGTGTTGATGACGATCTCTCCCCAAAGTCTACAGCATCCGGGATGCGCGCCATGGACCGTGTTGTACGCATGAACGTCTGCGCTCTGCGCTTTTGTGGTGATGTTGTCGACATGATGACTGCGAATGGAACGGAGGGCCCGTTGCTCGGGTGTCTTGAGCCGGCTCTTTCCTGATGCTGAGCGTCACCAGTTGATTCTTAGATGTTGCGGCCCATCTGCCTTTTGTAACCTCCCTGAAAGATTATGGAGCGGTGAGTATCGATACCGTTAGATGAAGCAAGTGATGTGCAAAGTTGAACGGGGTGATGTGTCTGTACCAGTGTGGGGAGGTGTGCGTGTGCGAGAGAGGCACGCTAAAGTTGGCAGCTCGATAAATACACACGCAGCGCTCTGGGCTGAGGTGCCGCCAAAATCCAACTTTCCCGCCTAATTCGACACGCGTGACTGAGGTGTTGTTCTCCAGTGTCACTTTCCGCGAGGGTCCATCACGTGACTGTGGGCCATCGGTGCCACAAAGCTTTGGCAATCCATCCCAACCTTGCTCAACGACGGGCACATCACGGGTATGGCTCCTGAGAGCCCCCTTGAACAAGTTGGGTTGGTCACAGTTAACCGCATGCTGCCAGCCTTGTGATCGTATCGTCTTGCACATCTAGCGGAGCAGTTGAAAATTGCCAGAATGTTAGACCTTCCATATGCCGGCTGCGTGCTCTTCCGGCGATTTTGACAACCCCGAAATCCGGAAAATTGGCCGAGCTCGTCAAGCATCCTTGCAAGGGCCTCGGTTCATTCTTCTTCTCAAAAGCCCTTGAGAGGCAACGCAGTCTATGTCATGGCCGTATTTGACAGGCTGTCCTGGCTCTGAGAGCGCTGCAGAGGAAGGAGGAAGGAGGCAGCGGACAAAAGCGCAATGCATGCAGGGTCCAGGACGACTCTCGTACGTGATCCGGTCTGCAGGTGCAATTTTGCCGAAATGTGAAATCCATCCGGCTTCGCAATGGTCATGGAGAAAGCTTGCATGCTTGAGATGTTGGGAGCTCTGGGTAGGAGGACCCGCAGGGGACGAACAGGACCGAGATCCGGCTGCGTCTGACCGTGGATGGTTGAATGGATGGATGGATGAGCCAAGTGCATGCAGATCAGGTCGGATCGGCGCTCAATTGCGGACATCCATCCGATCTAGGAATTTTGCGCTTCAGTTGACGCCGTCCTCTTCTTCGCTCTGCTTTCACCACTGGCAAAGCAGTCCACATTGTTCAGTCTGAAAGCATTAGCATGTTGCTGTTGAGGCTTTGGTCATCCTTTTGAGACGAGACAAGGATTGACAGCACGGCCAGGGGTGTACCTCCAAAGTCCTTCCCGAGTCTTAATTCGGCCGCAACGCTGACCTTGAAATTCCTTTGCCAAAAAATCAGGAAAATCATTCTTTAGCATGGCGCCGGCCGAATGGAGAGTGACGCTGGCTGGCGGATGGACTCCCTCCTCCTAGCCGCCCTGAACAAAGCGCGGGCAACATCGTGAATGCTTCCTGCGGATGGATGGAACCACTTGCATGCAACCCTTCCCTTTCTTGTTTCCGTATCGCTCTCGCCATCCACCCAGAGGCGGACAAGACTGCGTCCATTCAGTTCGGTGCAAGTTGCGTTCAGTCCAGGACGCCAGCTTTGTCGAGCTGCATCCATCCCACACTCCTCGTCATCACGGAGGAGCTGCTTCGCCTTGGATTCAAAGCTTTCCCTAGACAGCCTGCTTCGTTTGGTACCATCCGCCTCCTACCACCTCTCGAGAGCTCGCGCCTTCTGGATCAGCTCCGCTTCGACAGCGTACATCAGCAAATTCTCCGTCAGCATCCGGCACTGTCGTCCGGCTTCCATCCCCGCATCCACCCGCCCCACGCCTATACCAGCAAGGGAACAGCATCCGGCTCTCGACTAGCGCACTGAAAGCCAGCCCCGACGTCTCGAACCAGCACGATTGGGTCGAGCGTCGCACCCCACCACAAGCGCGCCTATCATGGCTCACATCGCCCGAGAGCTCAGCTCGGCTACTAGTGCCAATGCTCCACCACATCGACCCATCCGCGCAGATACGCTTGACCTCAAGCAGAAGCTCGCCGTAGCACTGGGTCAGAACGGTGCTCGCTACTGGCAGACCCTCGTGCAGTTCCTCAAGGGCGGTATTGACCGTTCCGAGTTCGAAGCGCTTGCTCATAAGGCGCTCAAGACCGAGCACAGTAAGTTTGCCGCCGCGTGCTGCAGCCAAATCCACTGTCGAGATATTTCATCATGCTGACCTCTGGCCATTTTTATTATCGTCCTCACAATCTAATTCGCATGTGATCGCTTGCAGTCCATCTTCACAACGCTCTCATCCTCGGCATCCTCTACAACGCCAGTGCGGATGTACCCGGCCCATCCAGCCGTGCCACCAGGCGCATCACCCGCATCCTTCCCGACGGCACCACCATCACCGAAGAGGAAGAGGAGGAGCCAAGTCGCAAGCGCCTCCGCAACCTCGTCGCCGGTCTCCCACGAAAGGAACGTCTGCGTCTCAAGAACCTCGAAAAGGCCGGCAAGCTCGGTGCCAATGCGGTTGGCGGCGCCGCCAGCCTCGGCTGGGCCGGCTCGGCAGCTGACATGCTCGAGAAGAAGCGCAAGGACGAAGAAAAGCGCAAGGTCGCCGAGGACCGTCGCAAGGTAAGACTGCACAAGAGTGCGATTGGCGCCAAGGACTGGAAGGGTCAAGCCATCCAAGCCACCCAGCAGATCGCCGCCGTGCGTGGAAAGCTCTCTTTCTGTAAGTGTCCCCATTTCTTCCTCATACTGCTCATTGCCCTGGGGTATCCGTTGCGAACCGCGTCCTGAGCCACATTCCTCTTGCCACACCCCCTAGCCGCCCAACAAGCCGTCATGCGTGCCATGCAGGCTCCATTGTGCGTCGAGTCCAAGCATCTGCCCGATCTGGACGGCATCAAGGATCGAATGACGCTGCTCGCTGTAGAGAACGGCATGCCGGGAGGTGTTCAGCCTCAAGCCGCTGCCATGGTGCTCTCGGCGCTTCAGAGTCACCTGCAGAACGTCGCCAGCAGCATCATCACGAAGATCCGTGCCAACAGGACGGATGGCATCCGCACCAACGAGCCTCTTCGTCCCGCCGCTGAATACAATATCAGCCTCGAGGCGTCTTCCTACATGCCGGACCCACTCCGTGCCTCGCCGGCGCTCGATGCGATGGACGTCGACGACAGCGCCAATAACTCGGTGCACGGCAGTCCCGCTCGACACGTACGCTCCGTCCCCTCGGACGCTTCTTCGCGCACCAGCACGTCTGGCATCGGCACCTCGTTTGCCGACTCGTCGGTCCTTTCTCTTGCTAGCACTGCTCCGACAAGCCTGACAGGCCCGACGTCGCCCTCAATCCGCGACGGCGACAGCAGCGGCAACTTACAAGACACCTCCTTCGGCAACAGCAGCACCAGCGCTGACGCCGACGACGGCGCTGCTGGCGGCAGCTCCAACCGACTCAAGCGATCGCGCGATACGATGGAGTCTGGCTCTGAGCGTTCCGACGCCGCTTCCACACGGCTCACCGTCTCCGACCTGTCATTCCTCATCGAGGTCGCGCCGCACACGGTGGTTGAGCCGCTGGGCCAGGGCACCCGCGAGCGCATGCTCGCACCCGAATGGAGCGACGACACTGTCGACGATGACGGACCTCACGTCTCACCGGAACGTCAGCTGGCCCGAGCCGCCCGTCTCGCAGCCACCACCCACCTCAGCGATGCCACCACCGGAGGCGCCGAAACGCCCGTCCGCAACCGCTTCATCATCGACCAGTCCGCCCCGCTCAAGCTGCTCGACCGCCGCAGCCTCGCCGAGAACGAGGGCAAACTCCGTCCGACGAAAGGTGGTCTCTCGGTCCCTGAGACGGTGCTGGCCGATGTCAACGGCAGGAAGAACTCGCTGGGCCAGCAACAGCATAGGCACAAGGACGACATTTGGGATGTGGTCGATCCCGTGGCGCTGTTCGGCACACTTTGTGAGTGAGGTTGGAAAGCATGGTGGATTATGCGGGAATACATTGCTTTGCACTGGACGAGACTGCGTGTGGAGTGAGAGCGGTGAGCACGCGTGAGATCGTCGTGCGGTCCGGCCTTGTGGTTGCGAGCCGTGAGACTGGACCAACATGAGATGAGACAGCACAGAGAGGAGACGGTGATCACAGGCAGACCACTTCTGGGTCAGTCACATCCTGTGATCGTTCAGCACAGCACACAAGCCAAGATCAAGGATGAACCCAACTTGAGCATGAGAGAACTTGAACGACGATACAATGCGACACCCACTCTACACCTCAACGGCACCATTGACCATGACCGACGACTCCATGGAATCCAGCGTCTCACCGTCCGCCCTCCTCATCGTCTCTGGCAGGGCATCCCCCCTGATAGGGTCCGCCTCCCTATCGCTCGCCCTTGCCGCAGCACGTTCCAATGTCAGCTGCAGACTCTCGTCCCTCTCCCCGTCCTCACCGTACTGCGTCTCGCCGAACACATCACCCCGTGCAGCCGGATCCTTGCGCACAAACCCGGTCAACAACGACTGCTTGGCCACCACCGCAGCGGCAGCCTTGGCGCTCTCCTTCTCGTACGGCTCGATGCGCTCGAAGAACGACGTCGACTTGTGCATCTGCTTGTCCTTGGGCGCGGCGGTGACGTTGGACGAGGTGCGCGCGAACGGGTTGAGCGACTTGGCGCTCTTCGATGGCATGATGAGGGTTCGTCCTGCGGGAGCGGGCTCGTAGTCGTCCGTAGAGGGAGACTTGCGCTTTCCGGAGGAGCGGGAGTAGTGGTTCTCCTTGTCCACCGAGACGGGGTCGTCGAGGATCATGCTTTCGGGATCGCCGGTGGGGGCGGGGGAGCGGGTGGTGTAGGTGGAGCCCACGATCGAGGAGGACGAGGGCGCAGATGGAAGGCTGTCGAATCGGTGCTCGGCTGCTCGTAGGCCGCTTGAGACCCGAGGCGGCGTGGGGAGGAAGTCTTCGCCCAGCGCAGCAGACGCTCGCTTGCGGATGCTCGCATGCGACTCCCTGCCACCACTGCTTCCAGCTCGAGTCATGATCTCCACCAGCGCCGGATTCGAGTAACTCGGCCCACCTCGCACGCTCGGATCACACCATCGTCGACTCTCCTCCTCCACCCTCTCCGCTCGGCCCTCCAACCCCTCCTTCAACGCCACCATCCTCTCCGCCAAACTGGACAAATGGAAGAACGCCGCGATCTTGAGCGCCGCCTCCAGCGTCCTCGTCGAATGCAACGCCCTCGCAGCATCCAGTGCCCTCCCATGCTTGTCCGCCTTGCACGCAAGCTGGATCAGCTGCAGCAGCGCTTTATCCGAACTCATCTCGAGCGTCATCGCGTCCATCTCCGGAGTGTCGTCGCTGTCGAGGCCGGCGTTCTTGACGTCCCGTGCGGCGGTGGCGAGCATGCTCTCGCGCAAACTCTTCTCCTCGAGCGGACCCGTACCGCCTTCGCGATGAACGAGGGGGAGTTGTAGTTCGAGCTCCTGGATGAGATGGCGGGTGCCGTCGACTTCCGGATGCGTGCGCCCGCCTTTGAGCGCCAGCACCATGAGCTTGGACGAGGTGAGTGCGATGGGCCAGTAGCCGAGCGTGCTGGCTGCGCGGAGGGCCGCGTCGGAGGCGTCGGCGGAGGCCGTGTCCCGGATGCGCTTCGTGTCGAGGCTGGGTACCCAGCGGCCTTGGCGGGGGCGGTGAGCGCGATCGAGGACGTAGAGGACGCCGGTGGTGTCGTAGAACGCGGGCTGGTGCTGCTCGTTGTAGCCCACCCAGCGAAGGTGGGCGTCCTTGGTGAGCGGAAGGATGTCGTCTTGGATGACGTCGAAGTTGGACAGGTCGATGAGCTTGTAGCCGAGATCTTGGAAGCCGCCGGACGGCAGACCTGCCCTGCGGTAGACGACGAGTGCCGTCTTGGCGCCCACAGCCAGGGTGACGACAGGATGCCCGATGGCCCACAGGTAAAGCTGCATGCCGCTAGCAGACAGGAAGCGCAGGTAGCCCTTGGACGTCGCCACCACAGCGATACCTACTCCAGACCGGCTGGGATCTTGATCCTCCCAGCCATCCTCCGAGATCGTGCGCAACCCGCTACCACCCAGTCCCACCGCATCCACATCCTCACCTTGATCCAAGTTGAACGTCCATTCCGACGAAAGGTTGTTGCTCGCCGCGGTGAACGGCTTGAAAAACACGCTGCTCGACTGCTCGGGCAGCTGCTTGGACGCGAACAGAATGCCCTGCTTGGCGAGCGCCGCCATGCTGATGCTGTTCATGTCCGAGAAGCGGAAGTTGCGCCGAGCCGAGGTGTCGAAGGACTCGAATGTGATGGTCTGGTGCGAGTCCTGCTCGACGGCGACGACCGAGCCGAGCAGGTTGTAGGCGAGGTAGCGGCGCTGACCACGGAAGGGCGTCGAGGTGGGCTGGAAGGCGTCCTGTGCGCGTGTAGCAGCTACCATGAAGCCGCCAGGGCCCGCAACACCACCGTTCTCGCCTCGGGGGTAGGAGCGGGAGGACGGACCACCGTACCTGCGAGAGCGTGATTCGTCGTCGACCACGAAGTCGTCCATCCCATCTGCGTCATCGCCGCGGCGCGATTCGGGGGCCGCGTCGTCGTCCTCATCGTCCGATAGACCAGTGCCTGCAAAGATGTCATCGATCTGGCCGCGGGATCCGCGAGCAGCCTTGGACACATCAAAGGTCACTTCCTCGAATGGGCTCGGGCGGGTGGTGCCCACCACATCCGACCATCGCGCCAAGGAGCCCTCGTTGTCGGTCCAAGCGAGCGCGTCCTTGCTCGGATGCCAACTGATCGCGTTGACAAGGGCGTCGGCTTTCTTGGCCCGGATAGCCTGTCTGCTCTCGGCGTCCCACACCGTGACCTGACCCTCGGTGGTGGCAGATGCAAGGTAGCGGCCGTTGGGCGAGAAGGCGAGCGCAGTGACGCTGCCACTTGGCACGGGCACAGGACCGGCAGCGCTGGCGTAGAAACTGCCCGTTCGCGACCAAGCAGACGAGTCGTTGGCAGCGCTGACGATGACGAGCTCGTGCGCCTTGGAAGGCATAACAAAGTATGTGCCCGATGGATGCCAGCACGCCTGGACCGCCTCGTCGCTCTCGGCGCGTGTGGCGGGCAGGATGCCCTCGATCGACTTGATAAATTTGGGCTCAACATCGCTGAGGTCGGTGACGCGAGCAATGCCATCGGTAGAGCAGGTGACGAGGAGGGGTGCCACGGGACTCCATGAGGCTGAGCGGAGGCCGCGGTTGTGCCCATCGAGAAGCTGGATGCGTCGCGGGTCCTCGACGTCAATGATCTTGACAATGAGCTCGTCGGAGCAGACTGCGACGCGAGGAGCCTTGCCGCTCTTGACGGAGCGTTCCAAAGCTACGCATCGCAGAGGCAGAGATTCGCGACGCAGCAGAGATTGGAGGACTGTGGGCGACGCCGCGTTGCCTTCCGAGTCGATGGGGTGGTGTCGGTAGAGGCGAACGGAGCCGTCTTCGGAAGCAGTGACGAGGAAGCGATCGTCGGCGTCGAGCCAAGTGACGGGCTCTGTAGCATCCTCGATAAGGTGTGGCTCTACGCCTGGCAGAGGTAAGGTGGGCAAGATGCGGACGAGGAAATCATCTCCACCTGTGAACAGTCGGCTGCAAAATGTCAGGGCAAGGACGGAATGAGGTCAGCATCGCTTCGCCATTTAACGAGACCGGGACGCATAAGGGATGAGCTTACTCTACACCGGCAGACTTGGGCGCGTGGATACACTTTGTCGGTCCCGAGTGGACGATCTGGACGTGCAGGTCATCCGACTGCGTCGACTGCATTGTGGCGGTCCACGCTGCGAGAGGGAGTGGCGGCGGGGACTGCGTGTGTGGGAGTGACGATAGAGAACGTCCCTTGCCCCGATTCGAATGCGTGTGATGTGACTGAGCGAACAGGGTCGAGGTGGTGATGGCGAGGAGACAGAAGCAAGCGAGCCAAGAAGTTGCGAGCGGAAGGCGAAGTTGGTCGAGACTTCTCAGCCAAAGTGTTGCTCTGCGAAAGAAGCTCGCGACGCGTCTTCTGCTGCCATCGCGCAAAGCACACTTTAGCCGCGAAAATTCAGACTGTTAGACTGTGCATCGCTTCCAGGCGAAGAATGATATCGACCCGATTCATATTTCACACAGATCGCCGATGGCCTGCCAAGTAGCGCCTCCTCTCATCAACCGTGTTCACCATCATCCTCAACGCCAAAGCAAGCAGACTTCGACCTCAGTGTAGCTGCTCAGTGAAACTCTTTTGATCACGAACGCGACATCCAGATATGCGAGACAATGCAAAGGGTCACATCAAATTGAACGGAACGCTAAGATACGAGTACATGCTGGTGGAAGGGGGGAAAGACGAATGCAAGAAGGGAGCGCAACCTTTAGTCGAGCTCCTCGACGGTGGGACCATCGTCGCCACCGGGAGCAGCACCACCGGGAGCGGCACCGGGCATGCCACCGCCGGGCATGCCACCCGGAGCACCGCCAGCTGCCGAGTAGATCTTGGTCATGATGGGGTTGACCTGCTCCTCGATCTCCTTCTGCTTGTCCTTGAGCTCGTCGGTCGAGGCGGTGGTGTTGCTGTCCAACCACTCGATACCCTCCTTGACAATCTTCTCGAGCGCCTCCTTGTCGGCGGCCTCGAGCTTGTCCTTGAGCTGGGGCTCGCTGGTGGTGTTGCGCACGTTGTAGATGTACGACTCGAGACCATTCTTGGCCTGGGTGCGCTCGAGCGCCTGCTTGTCCTCCTCGGCGAACTGCTCGGCCTGCTTGAGCATCTCCTCGATCTGCTCAGACGAGAGACGTCCCTTGTCGTTGCGGATGGTGATCTTCTCCGACTTGCCGGTACCCTTCTCGGCAGCCGAGACGTTGAGAATGGCGTTGGCATCGACGTCGAAGGTGACCTCGATCTGAGGAACACCACGGGGCGCAGGGGGGATACCGGAGAGTTCGAACTTGCCGAGCAGGTTGTTGTCCTTGGTGCGGGCACGCTCACCCTCGAACACCTGGATCAACACACCGGGCTGGTTGTCGGCGTAGGTCGAGAAGACCTCGGACTTCTTGGTGGGGACGGTGGTGTTCCTCTTGATCAGAGGAGTGAAGACACCACCGGCGGTCTCGATACCCATCGACAGAGGGGCAACGTCGAGCAGGAGCAAGTCCTGGGTCTTCTCCGAGGTGTCACCCGAGAGAATGGCGGCCTGGACGGCAGCACCGTAGGCGACGGCCTCATCGGGGTTGATCGACTTGTTGAGCTCGCGGCCGTTGAAGAAGTCGGTGAGGAGCTTCTGGACCTTGGGGATACGAGTGGAGCCACCGACGAGGACGATCTCGTGGACGGATCCCTTGTCGATCTTGGAGTCGCGGAGGACCTTCTCGACGGGCTCGATGGTGTGCGAGAAGAGGTCACCGCAGAGCTCCTCGAAACGGGCACGGGTGATCGAGGTGTAGAAGTCGATACCCTCGAAGAGCGAGTCGATCTCGATGGTGGTCTGGGCGGCCGACGAAAGAGTGCGCTTAGCACGCTCACAGGCGGTGCGGAGACGACGAAGGGCACGAGCGTTGCTGGTGAGGTCCTTCTTGTTCTTGCGCTTGAACTCCTGGACGAAGTGGTTGACGAGACGGTTGTCGAAGTCCTCACCACCCAAGTGAGTGTCACCGGCGGTGGCCTTGACCTCGAAGATGCCCTCCTCGATGGTGAGGAGCGAAACATCGAAGGTACCTCCGCCAAGATCGAAGATGAGAACGTTCTTCTCGCCCTCAGTCTTCTTGTCGAGACCGTAAGCGATGGCGGCAGCGGTGGGCTCGTTGATGATGCGCATCACGTTGAGACCCGAGATGATGCCGGCGTCCTTGGTGGCCTGACGCTGCGAGTCGTTGAAGTAGGCGGGAACAGTGACGACGGCGTCCTTGACGGTGCCACCGAGATAGGCCTCGGCGGTCTCGCGCATCTTGAGCAGAATCATGGACGAGACCTCCTCGGGGGTGAAGGTCTTCTTCTCGCCCTTGTACTCGATACGGACCTGGGGCTTGCCACCCACGGAGGTGACCTCGAAAGGCCAGTGCTTCATGTCGGACTGCACCTCGGCGTCGTCGAACTTGCGGCCGATGAGACGCTTGGCGTCAAAGACGGTGTTGTGGGGGTTCATGGCGACCTGGTTCTTGGCGGCATCACCGATGAGACGCTCCGAGTCGGTGAAGGCGACGTATGAGGGGGTGGTACGGTTACCCTGGTCGTTGGCGATGACCTCTACACGGTCGTTCTGCCAGACGGCGACGCACGAGTAAGTGGTGCCAAGATCGATACCGATAGCCTTGGTCATGGTGGCGAATCTACTGATGAGCCTTTTGGGAGTGGAGGGGAAAGTTACTGAGAGGTGCCGAAGCTGATGTGTCTGTTGCTGATGTGGAAGACTAGTTGCGGGAAAGGGGTATGTGCAACTGTGAGCGCTGTTCAGACAGGATTGTTGGTGGTAGCGAAGAGGAGGGTGCGTAGGAAGAATCGAGCTCTTATGTATCATCTAGCGGGTGGACTCAGCAATCCTCAATGTTGGCCACTCGTTCCGCACCTTCCACCCGCACAGACGCTTCTCAATCGTGGACAAGAAGAATTGACTTGGCTTTGTGCGTCAGCGCAGAGCTGCGAAAACATAATTGCAGTTGCAATCCAGTCAATGTCAAACTCGCATGGTGACGTTAAGCGGCAGCTGAGGCCCAAGGCTGACGCAGGAGGAAGGTGGCGGAACGGGTTGGAATCGATCTTCTCGACGAGTCCACACTGCGCTAGAGCCTCGAAACAAATTCCATTTTCCATTTCTTCGCGACCGACTGGGCAGGACAGAGCGTCGACTTTTGCTTTCCTCAACTTCCACCACGCGTTCGCCTTTTTCTGGCGGCTTCGCGCATCTTCCGACGTTCTCTTTCGCTTCTGCAGAAAATGGATCCATCGCAGAGATCTAACCACATCACCCGATCTAATCTGACCTGATGTGTGTGCTCTGTTGCGATGTAACAGTATGTCATTTCCCTGCTCCACACACACGACACCACCGAAAAGGGTTGCCAGTGACGTCTCAGCTCAGCCTTAAGTTCTTCTCATCCAGCTCAACCGAGAACCGAAGTGTCTGTCTGGCTCGACTCAGCCACGAAGTTGACTTGGTGCCTTCCGAATCTCATCTGCACGCGTTTTTGACAAGGTACTCGCATCAGTCTCGGAACGTCTCAGCAGCCGACGTCTTGACCGAGGCTTCTTCTTCTGGTTCCTCTTCTCGGTCGTCGACTCCAGAGTTCTTTGCAAACAACCTAGTTGCCTCTACACGAGCAGAGGATGTCAGAAGCATCAGCGGCTGGCCCTGCTGCTTCATCAACACTGCCTCCCATTCAAAATCTACGACTCCAGTCACAAGCTCCAGAAGCGTCCTCAAGCTCGACATCGTCTTCGAATTCCGGCCGTGGACGCAATCGTGGAAACGGTCGTGGTCGCGGACGAGCCAAGAACATTGATGGCTCGTCTCGTGGCAACGGCTCCAATGCCAACATTACAAACGTTGGCGTAGAAAGCGGCCCTTCTCCCGCTCCTGCAGGCTCGACACACGATGCATCGAAAACACAATCGAGAAGGAAAGGCAGGCGAGGCGGCGGCGACAAGTCGAACAAGCCCAATGGGACAGGTGGCGAGTCTGCCTCAGCCGACAACGACCCCTCATCAGCCGCCGTGCCCCCTCGTCTAGCAACACGGCGTCAGCATTTCGGCGGCAAGCTCACGGGTGGAGCTAGCGCCACATCAGACATCGCTCAGAACGGATCCAAGCCATCACAGAACGGTCGAACAAAAAAGCCCGTGGTCAAAGTCCCAGCCACCGCCGAGCCTGTCGAATACGCCGACCTGCGCTCTCGTTTGCTCGCCGAGCTCTCCTCGGGAGAGTACGACTGCGTCATCTGCTACAGCACCGTCACCACACGGCAAGCAACATGGTCCTGCTCGCAATGCTACTCTGTGTTGCACTTGCCATGCGTCCGCAAATGGGCCGAAAGCAGCGTCAAGAAAGCCGAAGAGCACAACGCCATGCAAGAGGATCCCGAGATTCGCAATCGTCGTGGCACATGGCGATGTCCAGGCTGTCAGTACGCGCGGGAGGATGTACCCAAGATCTACTGGTGCTGGTGTGGTCGCACACAAGATCCACCTGGAGGACGGGGCGCCAGTCCTCACGGCTGTGGTCAGCGATGCAGCCGCGGTAAGTGCAGTCACGGCTGCGCTGATGCCTGTCATCCCGGCCCGTGCCCGCCTTGTGCTGTGACGGTCTCGCAGCAATGCTTCTGCGGCGCCAAGACCATCCCCATGCGCTGCTCTCAAACCTCGGCCAAGGAAGCTCGTTTCTCGGCTCTTCACCACCGTGGCACTTCGTGCGGAGATGCTTGTGGCAAGAAGCTCGATTGCGGTGTGCACTCCTGTCAGGAGGTCTGTCATCCAGGCGATTGCCAGCCGTGCTCTGTCCAAGTCGAAGCACGCTGCTACTGCGGCAAGCACGCCAAGGCGATGCGTTGCGGCGACGGCAACCCTCAGGAAAGCTTCGACGACAGCGGCTCGACTTCTTTCGAGGGACGCTACGCATGCGAGGACCAATGTGAACGCACGTTCGATTGCGGCGTGCACTCGTGCTCCAAAGCGTGCCATGCTCGCAACGCTGTTCGGCCCATGTGCCCTTCTTCGCCTCAACTGGTCACGACGTGTCCATGTGGCGCTCAACCAGTGACCTCTCGAACCTCCTGCCAGGACCCCATCCCTACCTGCGGCAACATCTGTTCCAAGATGTCCAACTGCGGCCATCCTTGTCCGTCCGTCTGCCATCTCGGGCCCTGTCCACCGTGCCGAGTGCCCGTCTCGACGCCTTGTCGTTGTGGCGAGACCAAGCAGACCCGCACCTGTCACGAGCGCCAGCAGGAAGAACTCGAAGGAGGTCAAGAGGTGCTTTGTGCCACCGTTTGCCAATCCTTGCGCCACTGCGGCAAGCATCAGTGCAATCGACAGTGCTGTCCGCTCTACTTTCAAGCAAAGAACAAGTCCAAGAAACGGCCGACGCTGGCCGAGATGCAAGCGATGGACCCCGCTGGGCTTCACGAGTGCTCCATTCCGTGCTCCAAGCCGCTGGCCTGTGGGCTCCACGACTGTCCCATGACATGCCACCGAGGCGCATGCCCACCTTGTCTCCAGGCCAGCTTCGAAGAGCTCATCTGCCACTGCGGTCGAACCGTGCTGGAGCCGCCGGTGCCCTGTGGCACTCAAGTGCGCTGCAACTTCCCATGCGTGCGTCCACCGCCTAGCTGCGGCCATCCAAAGATGCCGCACGACTGTCACGAGGAAGAGCCTTGCCCTCCTTGCGTCTACCTCACCGACAAGGTCTGCCATTGCCAGAAGCACATCGTCAAGAATGTACCGTGCAGCCGATCGAGGGTCTCCTGCGGTCAGCCCTGCGACGCCCTTCTCAACTGTGGCTTCCACAGATGTCAGGGCATTTGCCACGTTGCTGGTCGAGAGTGCGCTCCTTGTGCGCAGATCTGTGGCAAGCCGCGACGACTTTGTCAGCATCCTTGTCAGGAGAAGTGCCATGCGCCATCCTCCTGTCCCGAGGTCGAGCCCTGCGAGGCTGTCATCACGCTTCAATGCCCCTGCGGCAACTTGCAGTCCCGCACAAAGTGCGGCGTCTCGATCCACGCACCCAACAAGGAGAAAACGCTCAAGTGCAATGACTCGTGCATGATCGCGCAGAGGAACGCCAAGCTCGCTGAAGCCCTGGGCCTCAACCCTTCCGAGAAAGCCGCTCCGGCTGCGTACGAGCACGAGACGCTTGCCTACTACGCCGTAACGAGCAACCGCAAGTTTTGCGATGAGGTTGAGGCGGCTCTGAGCGACTTTATTCGGTCGCCACGAGCAGGCATGATCCTGCCACCGGCCAACAAGTTCCAGCGCAAGTTCACACACGAGCTCGCAGCCGTCTACAAGCTGGCAAGCGAGAGTGTGGATGCAGAGCCCCGACGCAGTGTCAGCATTCGACGCAAGCAGGACAGCCGCATTCCCAAGCCGTTGCTTACCGAGGCCTTCGCTGCCGCGCGAGCATCGCTTATGGCTTCGCAACAGCAGCAACAGCCGACGCAGGGCAAGCCGATCGGTCTCGCCCAGCTGCAACGTCCGAGCGCAGAAGCGCCGAAGCCGCTCAACGCCATCTTCCTGCCTGGCGTCTTTGGCCATGATCAAGACTCGCTGCGATCGCTCCTGCAGCCCGTGCTTCGCACCATCAATTTTGCCGTCACGTGGAAAGGAGACGAAGATGTGATCATCACGTCATCCGACTCGCCGACGCGACTGATCATGATGAAGACGGAGCTCAAGTCGCTCGTACGCAGCGAGCAGTTTGCACGCGACGTCATCCTGTGCACGGTTGACGCGAGCAAGAACGTGGTGCGCAGGGAAGACGAGCCGATCCTCAATGGAAGCGGCCGCACCGGTGGCGCCACAGGTGCTGCGTGGGGCTCAGCCATGAAACGAGGAGGAGCCGCTTCGAGCGGACACGGCTCGGCAGGTGTCGCCAAGGCAAGCTTGGGTCTGGTGGGAGATCGAGGTTGGGCTGCGGTGGCTTCGGGGTCTGGACGTAACTCGCCCGCTCTCACTAGCGAACCTGTGTGGGGTCAACCAATGGTGACCCAGCCCAGTAGCAGCCGAGCAACGACGGGCCCGATCGCTGGAATCGTTCCCAATCCGAACGCTCCTCGACGTGCTGCTGCCGAAGGCCAAACCCACGCTGCTGTTGCGAGCTCTGCACCCGCTGCAGAGCCCTTCAACACAACCGAAGCTAAAGGACCGGTCCCCGAAAGCTGGGAAGACGAGAACTAGATGAGCATTCATGGATACCACTTGCAATAGATGATGTTCGACTCGCAGGCGAATCTTCTCCACACCTAACCCACCGAATGTGTATGAACACAATGGTGTGCCGACCAAACTGGGACATGTGGAGAGAGCTGATTGGCATGCGGGACCATTGATGTTGATGCGGCAAGTCGGCGCTGGCGTGTTTATGGTTCCGAAGAGGCAGCCGATTTTCACGCTTTAAATTTGTTGGTGGACGAAGCGCGCTGTCAAAATAATCTGGCTTCAGGACAGCAGCGGCAGCGGCGGAAAGGCTTCCTCGTGAACGCGCCATGCAGGGTGCTCTCTGAGAGGCTATTTCGAGAGCCGGCATGGTGTTGCTTTCTTCCCGTATCAGTTCCGCAGCTTCCGACCTTTCCACATCATCTTATCCCTGCCCGTCCAGCTGGGCTAAGCGTAGACATCTCTACGATGGCGCATCACGAGCGCACCTCGACGCCAGCGGCGCACCCGCCGCAACAGCGACCGCGCCGGTTGTCTACCATCGAATTTCATTCTCCACCTCCCTCGCCGACCTACTATCCGGAGCACGAGCCGCAGCCGCCCGTGCTGCCCAAGCGATCGCAGCGCTACCTTGCGCTGCTGCTCAAACCCATCGTGTTGCCGGCACTCGCTATTGCGTTGCCCGCATGGCCGCTCCTCGCCGCGGCATGTGCAATCCCTGTCATCGGCGTCATGGCCATCCCTATCCTGCTGCTCATCTCGGTGCTGCTGCTTTACGCCGTCGCGTGGATCTGCTACCTCTTCCTCGCTCAGAAGGATCTCCCCGCCACCTGGACAAATGCACACCGCTGGTCGCCACGTAACATCTGCCCGTTTGTCCCCATCAACCCGATCCGATGCGCCAAAGTCGACCTCGCCGCATTCCGCTACGTCGTCACAGCCTTTCGTATTCTTTTCCCGGCCATCTTCGACTGGTCCTACCGTCGCATGATGGTCATTGGCACGACGAAAGGCTCGCGTGTGGTCAAAGAGGGCATCCTCTACGGCAGTCCATCGCGCGGCAAACGACTCGACGTCTACCTCCCCGCCGACTCGCCTTCTGAAGCTGGCGACGCTCCCCGCACCGCAGGCTCGAACGGCGTACCCGTCATCGTGGTCATCCCATCGATGCTCGGACCCCTGACAGTGACGTCGAAGCGCAGACTCTATCTCCAGCTCGCCCTCCGCCTGCGCAGAATGGGCTACTGCGTCGTCGTAGCTGACATCACCTACTACCCTGAATCGCGCATCAAGTCGTCCATCATCGATCTCCGGCTCGTCCTCCGCTGGACTGCCAAGAACTGCCAGAGGTACGGCGGCGATCCAAGCAAGGTCTATGTGCTAGGACACGGCCTAAGTGCGCATTTGATCATGCTGACCATCTCGCAGGAGGCGGTGGTGCTCAGTCGCGAGGGCCACCTGGACCGGGCCTATGAGCGCGAGAGGCATGTGCTTCGGGCCAAACACGGTCATTCTTCGCACGAGGACGAAGAAGAAGAGGAGTGGCTGAAGAGTGGTGAGGTGAGGACGACCAGGCGGAGGAGCATTGCGGCGGGTGCGGCGCCGGATGCGTTGGACGAGGAGAACGACGAGCCGGTGCGACTGGGTGTGGTGTCGGCTCGCGCCGAGCGTCGTGGCAGCACTGGCTCGGTCGGAGCACATCATGCAGACCACGGAGAGGGGTGGGTCGATGAGAGCGAGGACGCCACAACCGTCCCAGGCCACGTGATGGGCGCATCGCACCGCTTCAACACACCCTTCCAGAGCGCAGGCGCCACCTCGACATCACGCAAAACCGAAGAAGCCGAATCCATCCTCTCCTCCTCTGCGTATCGCAAAGCCGAGGAGGAGGTCGGCAACGGTCTTCGACGCGTCGAGATCTACGAACCCGAAATCGAGCTGCCCGCCCTCGCCGGCGTCATCCTCCTCTCGGGCATCAGCGACGTGATCAAAGGGTTCCGATCCGAATCGGAACGCGGGCTAGAACACCTCAGCTACCTCCGACGCGCCACGGGACCGAGCCACTTCAACTGCCTCATCCATTCACCGGCGCATCTGCTCTATGCCGCGAAGAACATCGTCGATACCAGACTGCTGCCGCCCAAGTTTCTGTTGGTCCACGGAGGAAAGGACCAGGTGGTCCCGGTGGAACAAAGCACCCTGCTCAAGACGCTGTTGGTAGGGATCGGGGTGGAACAGGTCAGGTTGAGAGCGTATAGGAATTTGGGACATGCAGAGTCGATCGCCTGTCTCTTCTTGGGCATGGCGCGCTCAAATACGAGGTATACGCGGCAAATCTCGGAGGACATCTCGTCGTTCGTCGGGCAGTAAAGGGAGTGTTTGTCACCTTTCTGGATTCATCTTTGTTCAGCAGCACAATCATTTGCACACCATACCGCAGACCTCACACACGCAACACAGGTTTTGATTGCTGGACGACTTTGCTTCTGCATCCCGCTGGAAAATCGAGGACAGGAAGGGGACAGGAAGCTTTGAGCCTCGCGATGGGTGCACTCGACAACGCGATAGGTGCTCTGTGCCGAGCTTTGATTGGTGGCCATTTGACGCTCCGCTAAGCGTCGGCGAGCTCGTCAACCTCGTCCGAATAGTCGTCGTCGTCTTCGTATGCGCCCACCTGTGCCAAGGTGGTCCTGGTCAGCGGCGAACCATAGTCAAGGTCGACAGTGTCGGCGCCACGGGCCGCGGTGCTGCGATCGGTTGAGCGTTCTCGCTCTCTCTCCCACTGCTCTCTGAAGTGTCGAGCCTCTTGTTCTGTGGAGGTCGTGGAAGGATGCGGCGTGTCGGCGTGACGTGTCCTCGGGAAAGGAGCAACGGAGTGGTGCTCGACCTCTCTCGTGTCTTGGTCGGAAGCGACACCTCTGATTGCTCTGTCCCCGAGCCTGGAGAATTCGCGGCGCGAATGCTCAGAGCCCGAGATGGGACCTAGCAGCTCCGCACTTTGACCGTAGTGTCTCTCCTCACGAGGAGGAGTCGTTGAACCCGCAATCTGCGACGTGCGCCTGTCCCTAGACGGGCGGTAGCAGTCGGGAGCTCCGCGCCTGCCGCGTTCGTTCCGATCGATATCGCTTTCCGAGACCCGCCTTCTCTCCAAATAAAGGTAGGATTCTTCCGCCAGTCTGCAAAGCCTTTCGAAGGGCTTGGTAGCGTAGTTTCGATGGGAGTCCTTCGACAAACACTTCAGCCGGGCGTGCCACCCCTGAAATTCGCCCATCTCCAGATGTGGTGTTGTGCCCGGATCCTCGCGCACTAGTCTCATGTTCAGCCTCTGCATGCTAGTTTTGCCCAGCGAGATGCCCTGTTTCATGAACTTCGTCGGCACGATCAGGAAGCGAGATCCCTGATCGGTAAATCGGCGTTTACGAACGCCGAATTCGGAGTCTTCCATGTGCAAGAGCCAGGAGAGGTCGAGCTCGAGCCATCCGGACGACGTGGGAGTATCAGCGATTCTGGCGAAACCGTTGTGTATCAGAGTAGCAGCGACGCTTTCTGCCACCAGAGATTCTGACACGGAATCGTCGGGCGCGAGGAGGAGTGGCATCTTTTCGTTGAGAGGAGCTGGCCTTGCATCAGCGTTACCGAGCCATGCCCAGATGTGAAACGGTTCTCGATGTCCGCCTGGGGGCGGTTGCTCTGTAAGCGAGGCCAAGTGTTCGATGTAGGCATGCTCGAGTTCTCGGGTCGGCTGTCCAAGAGATTCGAGATGTGGAACTGTTGAAGCCTCCTCGAGATGCACGTCGCTAGCGTGCTTCTTCGCCATGTGCCTCTGGACGCACTCAAAAGAGGGCGCACGCTGCCTTTTGAAGATCAGTTGGTCGGTCCTTGGTTTGTTGACGAAGTCATGGCCTGTTGGTAAAGAGGAATTGACTTTCGAAGTAGTGGCAAGCGGAACCGCCGAAGATTGTTGTTCAAAAGGCGTCGCATGAGCTGTAACATGGCGAGCATTTGGCGAAAGAGACGGGGAAGGAGAGGGAAGTGGGAGAATACGGATGGGGGTTGCGGGTGCAGAGAATCGCGCAGGTAGTGAAGGAGGAATCAAAAGAGGTGCGGATGCGACTTCTTGAGTAGCTGACCGCTGCAAGGAATCACTTTGAGCGCCCGCAGGCGACATCCGATTCACATCAGCAAGCCGAGTCGCAACGGCGCTGCAGCGCTGGATGATGGGCAGGGTGGAGGTAGTGACTGGATTGTCTGTGACAGAGTGCTGGTGAGCAGCGCGAACAGCTCTGAGACCATTCAGACGTGCCGTGCTGAGCTTTGCCAGCGGTGTGTAGGAGTCGATGGAGGTGGATCGATGCGCGTCATGACTTGTCATGGTATTCGTCGTATCACAATTAGTAACGGAGTTCGAGCTCTCTTGCCCTATAGGATCGGTCGAAGCTGCTAGGTCTTGCCGTGTGACAGCAGGCTGGGCGGCCAGGACGTCTGTCAAGCGCGAGCTGGCTGTCTCTCCAGCCAACACTTGCTGCATGGTGGTGAACAGAGGTGCAACAATGCGATTCTGGAACGTGTCGATCTGAGCCGTCTGCTGATCAATTTGGTGGTTGATGTGTTCGATGAGCTGGTTGTAGGCGCTCGTGATACGACCCTCGAACTGGGATATGCTGTGATTCATAGCGCCCAAACGTTGCATCAGCTCGGCATTGTCTGCTCGAAGCGTCGCGACGTGGGTTTCAAGGTTGTCTATCCGAGCAGCTTGCGTGTTGATCGTCATATGTAAAGCGTCGTTCGGACCAGAACAGGGACCTGACGCCTCGTGTTCAGAGCTCGGAGGTGCCTGGGTGCGAGCCTGGTCGCCTTCCGGTATCTGAATTGGTGCACATGTCGTCTGCCTGTGTTCGGCGTGCGATGGATGCCCCTGAGAGCCGTACATTTGAGCCAAGGCCGAAAAAGCTTGCTGGAATTGAGGCGTTGCGGCGAAAGAGGCTGGCGTCAAGGTGGGTGGCCTTTTGCCGGGAGGGCCATCCATCTTCTCACGAAGGTCACGATGAGATAAGTCGTCACCGGATGGACAAGGTGGTCGAAGTCAGATGTGTGACGACGAGTGGAGGAATGAAGAGGAGTCGAGCTCAGTTCAATCTAACCTTCTTTTACTTTCCGCGTTTCGAAGACGAAAGTAGACAGCGGCAAAGGGAAAGTGCGTGCGATTGATTCACAGAATACTGCGGATGAGCAGAGGACTTACAGCAAGAATGTGACGCCTTGAGTGCAAGACGTGAAGAAGCGCTTGGACCCACGGCCACATGCATGAGGTTTGACGCGAAGCGATCAAGCGAGAAGTGCAAAGTTGCTTGCCCTTTGTTCTCGGATCTCCACCCGCGTCACTATGAAGTCTCGAGCGTGCATACACTCTCATCAAAGATTCGACGTGGGCTACCAAACGGAAGCCCACTTCGCTTTTCGCAGCCGACACGGTCTATGAGCCTCTTTGAACGCAGAGAGAGTATTGCACAGCAAATGAATGAGGCGGAGCCGCGCTGTGTACACTAAGGGCACAATATGAGCTTCGTGAAAGGTGGCTTCAAGCATCATGTTTCCTTACTCCGGAGAGTGATCACCAATAGGCATTGGTGATCTGAAGGTTCGACCACACGATTCGTGCTTTCTGCCGAGCCCAGTTCAGTGGACGCTTCTCATTCCGCTACTCGTCAGCCAGCTCGTCCACTTCTTCCTCTTCGGGCGCTTCAAACGCCGGCGAGCCAGTATCGGTCAGGGGCGAACCGCTGTCGAGCATCGTGCCGAGCCTGTCGGCAAGCGTTGGCCGCTCGGGGGCACCGATCGTCGTTTGCGGTGGTTTCTCGCGCTCTGTTTCCCATCGGGCTCTCAACATTTGCGCCTCATCGCGTGTGACAGGGGCCGGATGCGGTGTGTCCCTGCGATGGGTTCTCTGAGACGGGGCAGCTGATCCGGTCTCGGCCACTCCTCCTCTTTGTCCGGAAGAGGCCTCAGTGCTTGCGTTCGTATTGGCTTCAGATGGCCTGCGTGGCCATCTTGGTGCCTCCGAAGAAGTACTTGTCCCAGCCATCGTCCCAATGCGTCCATGGTCGCGAGGAGGAGTCTTCGGTGCGGTGACGTGCGACTTGCGACTGTCTTGCCAGAAGTCGATCCCGTCGCGCGATCCAGTTCGATAAGGCTCAGCGCTTTTTGAGACGCCATTTCGGAATTGCACCCGAACAGCCTCTCCAGCTAGCGTGCAAAGCCTCTCGAAGGGCTTTGGAGAATGCAGATGACGATCGACGCCACGCAACTCCATTAGGCTGCGGTAAGGCTGATGAGTACCGGCTGCACACAGATGAGGTCTTGACCCCTTGGGTCCCGGCACAATTTCGAGCTGCAGCCTGCGCATTTCGCCGCTGCCCAACGAGATTCCGGTCGGCATGTGTTTGGTCGGCACGATCAAGAACCGCACATGGGTGACATCACACCTCTTTCCCTGTCCGGCTTTGGCGCATTGCCTGTCATAGAGCCATGAGAGGTCGAGCTCGAGCCATTGACTTGAGCCTCCAGAATCCAGTATATTAGCGCGTTTGCCTCGGATCAAGTCGCTGGCAAGGCTCTCCGCGATCAGAGATTCTACCACCAAGTCGTTCGGCGCGATGAGGACAGACGCCGCATCGCTCAGATCCGAGATCGACTTCTTCACGGGACCGAGCCATGCCCAAATAAAGTAGGGCTGGTCGTGCCCGCCTCTCGGTGGCGAGTCCTTGAGGGAGGCTAGCCAATCAATTCGACTCTGTCCTGGGGCCCGTTCGATTCGTCCTTGATGTTGGCGCGTTGAGGAGCCCTCATGATCCCGCAGACGGCAAGAAAACTGATCAGAATTTTCGGATGACAGCGAATAATCTAGCTGGTCCCGAGCCTGCGAACGTGTGTCGGATGTCACCAGCTTGTTCGTGCTTGGAACATGCTCTTGAGGCTCTCGAGCGAGAGAGGCGAAGGTTTTTGGCTGCTTTCTCGATGCATCAAAGACCTGAATTCCTTCAGCCGGAACTCCATGCTCCGAAATGGCAACATTAGCTTGTTCTGTTGATTTCGGCTTCGCTGGCGGCGGACAGACCGTCTTGGCCCTAGCTCGCTGTATCTGCAGCTGCTGCAGCTCCAGTAGTTGCTCTCCAATCAATTCGAGGGTCACTTCCGACCTACTTGTGCTCGCGATCTCCGTCTCGGCTTTCTTGGTGACGCCTTCCTGGTGCTGAGGCCCGCAAGCAGGCACGTTCTTCGCTGTGCTTTTGTTTGAGATATGTTGCGACGATGCAGGTTTCGCATTGAGTGCCGGCCCGGACAATTCCAGCTCGCCCAAGATGGATCTTGGCGAAGATAGTTCGTTCGATGTCTGCGCTTCCTGCAGGGGCTGTCCCGCTCTTTGTGCACTGTTAGGTCTCGCGGATGAGGAAGCATCTCGAGATGTGGTTAGATTTGCAGAGAGGCTGGGCCCGGTCTCTTTGTCCGCATGCTCAGATGAGGATGCCGATGTTTTGCTCGAAGAGCCCGAATGCTTTTGGAGCTGATTCGACTGTGCCGTAACCTGGCTTGTCTGCGCTGTGTCAGTGCTCTGTGCTTTCCTTGATTGTACCGGAGCTTTCGACTGCGTTGTTGGGACTGACGTTGCTGACGGTGTGCTTGGTGTACGTCGGGGGTCTTGTGTGACACATCTTGCTCGAGCTAAGTCAATATTCGAAGCGACACTGCCAGGCACCGCGCCTGTTGCAAAAGTCTTGGTACGCGCAGCTGTGTGCCATGCAGGAAAGGAGGACGCAGTGTCGGCGGCTGTCGTCGAAGGAGCATCAGGACTTTGACCTGCCCGCTCATTTACCGTCGACGTCGAAGCAGCTGTCCCCCTGAGCCGTTCGTTTCTAATGAGCTTCTTTGCCATCTGCACTCCCACACATTCGATCGAAGGAGTACGCTTCCTCTTGAGGCCTGGATCGGCTGCATCTGCACCATCAGCTACATCATGTGCTGAAGGCGTCGTAGGTTTGTCCTGTGAGATGGCCGCAAGCGCAAGAGACGAGCTTTGAAACGTAAGAGACGTCGTTGGAGCCGAGCTATGCCGAGAACTCGGCGACAGAGATGGAGACGGCGAGGGAAGAGGATGAATCCGATTGAGTGCGATGAGTTCGCGAGCTTCCAGGGATTGTGCTGGGAGGACCGATGGCTCAGCAATCGCTTTCGATTGGTCATTCGGCTGTCTCGTGGAATCGGCTTCCGGGGCTGGAGACGCATCGTGCGTCACACGAGCTGACTGCGATGTTGCCTGGCCACGAGACTCGCTAATGGGCACGGCAGTGGTTGTGGTGAGGTTCTGAGCCTCGGAGCCCTGTTCAGCCGCTCGAGCGACGGAAGGCCCAGCCAATTGTGCCATGTGGACTTCTGCCAGCGGTGTGTCGGAATCAGCGGACTGTGATCGACTTGGGCCAGGGATTGAGGTCGTATCCTTCATGACGCAGTCAGAGACGGCGTGCTTGGAAGTCTGCTGCTGCATAGACTCTGTCGGGATTAGCACGACAGTCTGTTCAGAAGCTGGCTGTGAAGACGGAACGGCCGCGGATCGCGAGCCGATTGCCTCCATCATGAGCGTTTGGTGCATGCTGGCGAAGAGAGGTGCAACGAAGCGAGTCTGGAACGCGTCAATCTTGGCTGTTTGCTGTCCGAGTTGGTAGTTGACGCGTTCGTCGAGCTGAGTGTGAGCGCTGGCGACGCGACTCTCGAATTGGGACAAGGTGTGGCGGATACGTCCAAGATGTTGTGTGAGCTCTGTTCTGAGCCCTCCAACGACCCTTTCGAGAGTTGCAATGTGGCTGGCTTGCCTGCTGATTGTCCTCTGCAGTTCGTGATGGGAAGCATTGCAGGTCGCGACATCGCGTCCAATGGCCGATAGCGCCTCTTGCGTGGACCGCAAAGATGCTCGAGTTTGAGTCTGCTCGCTTTCGAGTCGCTGAATTGATGTGTCTGTCCTTTGGCCAGTCTCGACACTTGCTGGACCGCTGAACGCTTCGTAGACTTGGGCGAAAGATGGGAATGCCTGCTGGATCTGAGCCGTCGCTGCGATTGATGGCGGCGTCGGCGACGGAGCGCCTGAGCCAGGTATACCTTCCATCCTGAGATGCAGGGTCGCTTGAGATGGGTCGAGTTCAAACGAAGGTGGCGCTCGAGTGGAGACGTGTAACGACAGGTGGATGAGCGAAAGAGAGTTACCTGCGTCGAAGACTCGCCCTCTTGTATCCTTTTGATGTCGGCTAACTCAGCTAGCCGGCGACACAAGGAGCGAGCATGTGCTGGAAGGTGAATGCGTGAGATGACTGACGGCGATTGTCGAGGTCAAGTGACGAGTGGGAAGATCTGCACGGGCAAAGGAGAGCTTTAATTTTCTGCAGGTTGCTCTTGGGTGTCGTGTCTGCGTTAGTGTGCGCTCGGCTCAGTCAAGCCGCGTGATGACCGCTGTCATACAGTAAGACAAATTTCCGAGGCACAGATGACTTAGCCCCTGCGAGGACGAGTCGCCATTGTTCTATGCCGCAACCGAAGCTTGGACCCACACACAGCGAGACAATGGATCGACGCAAGTGAATTTGAACTGAGGCACAATTTTCACTCGAAATCACCCTTCCCTTTGTCTGAGTTGGCCCAAACAAAAGATTCAAGGACGCAGCAACCTCACGCTTGCGCAGCAGTCACACGCCCACCGCCCACATTAGTCTGCGCAGTCGACTCAGCCTTGAACCTGTCTGATTGCAGTGCAGATGCATGAGGCCAGAGGGCGCTCTTTCACAGTCCGCAATGCCTAGAGCTGCTGAAATGATGGCTACGGAAATGGAGTTTGAGGCAGACGGATGTCAGGGCTATATCACCTGATCTGCAAATGGTTGCGTCGCACCTCATCCTGGATCTGCTGGCGAAAGAGTAAATTCTCGTTCTTCTTCGGTTTGCGCGTCGCGGCGAATTCGGCGAGGCGACAGAGTCGTTCGAAAGGCCTGTCTGACGCGGCTGCGTTGAGGATGTTCACCTGAAAGCCGTGCAGAAGAACGCCCTCTTCTCGTTTGCCGTCGGCGCCGAGATAGGTTTGATGAGACCCCTTTGTTACTCGAAGCCTTTGATCTTCGAGCACGTCTTTGGCTAGAATGATGCCCTTCTTCATCTCCCGGTGGGGCACGATCAGGAAGCGGACGCGCTTTGACTCGAAGCAGACGAGGCTGCCGTCATCTCGAAGTGTCTGCGAGGCAGCATCAAACGGCCAAGACAGGTCGATGAGGATCCATCGGTCGTCCTTCTTCTTCCAGCCTTCTTTCCAGCCGTCCCTTGCCTTGAACATTCGGTCGGCGAGCGATTCGGAAATGAGCGACTGCGTCATGTGCTTGTTCGCCGTGACGACCAGCGCCGACATCTTTTCCATCTTTCCGAGCCGTGCAAAGATGAAGTAGGGATCTCGCCATTGCCCTTGAGGCGGCTGGGCTCGAAGGCTTCGTAGGTACTCCAGGCGCGTGTTGAAAACATTTTCGCCGCTGCGCTGAGCTTCTGCGCCTGGACCGACTGGCGGAGGAGAAAGATGAATGTCCAATGACCCATACGTAAGTCTCGGATCTGATGAATGCGAGCTGCTGGTATTGTTTGGGTTGAGAAGTGAGCGACCATCCTCGCTTTGGCCAGACGAAGTGGCCTGGATGCTCAATGTCGACAAGGACAATAGGTCGAAAGAGGAGGCGCAAGGATTCAGAGGCGTAGAGACGTGTGTGACACTCGAGGTCGGCAGAGTCGAGCTGCAGAGATAGCCCACTGCCTCGCTGGGGTCTTGCTGCGACGTGGAAGAGGACGGACGAGTGGGCAACAGACCATCGTGGCGATCAGGTACGCTTGTTCCACCGTCTGCGGATCCGACAGTATCCCTCTCTTCGCGTCCTACGACGCTTTCTGCGCGTTGCGACAACGACGTCTGTTTGGCTGCCGAGTACTGGTATCGAAGTGAGCCGAAGAGCCAATTTGACTGCTCCGAAGGACTTTTCGCTGCTGCGCTGGCCGAGCCAAATTCGGCAGACATAGTTGCCGCTAAGCGCATCGATGAGGAAAGGATGGTTACGAACGTTGCCAGCTCTCGATTGCCGCGCTCTTATACCAGAGGGGCATGCATAACTTGCGCTCAACGACTCAGCCCCAGATCAGAGGAGACGCCCCGCCACAGCAGCAATGAAGTTGAGCTGCTCCCGGGACGCCAGTCGTTATGCAACATGACTCAAGCGGAGAAGTCATACGCCAAATAAAGCAGGCCAAATGAGGCCGCAAAAAGGCTCAACCTCCACCTGGCAGCCTCAACCTTTCCACCATCACGGCGTGCGAACATCCTTGACTCACACTCATCACCTTCGCTGCATCTTTTGGTTCTCACGCCTCCATCGGCACTCCGACCCTCTGCCACTACCATCACATCGCCGACGGAAGCATTCCGCTGGCAGCGTCAGCGCAAGAGTCACCTTCGAACTCCACGTCGGACTAGCCGAGTCCGCACTCGAAGCAGTCACGCGCCTCCCGTGATCCTGCACAGCCTCCCTCGGCCACAGTCACAGCGCCATGCCTGCGTCCAAACCCAACGAGCTCGATCCGGAGCACCCGAACCCGTGCTATCCTAGAGCGTGCGCGATCCAGTCGTGTCTGCAGAAGTCCGGCTTCGACCAGGCCAAGTGCGAGTATCTCATCGACGATCTCTACCGCTGCTGCGCCAAATTCTACCAGCAGCGCGGCAAGGATGCCGAGGCGGATAGCTGTCCCATTCCCTCGGTGGTAGACAGGAGGATACGAAAGATGGAGCAGGAGGGGAAAGGTGGGGCGGGCGGGTCGTTGCTTGAAACCAAGATGCGCTGAGGCAACAGGTGCTCTTGCCAAAGGCCAACGGAACCATCAATTGCTCTCACCGTCTGTGCTTTGAGTTAGTCGCTGTCAGAAATGCGCTGACAGGCGTGGGAAGTTCGTCCGCCGAGCGCAGCGTGCTGAGGGCTTTGAGGCGATCAGAGAATGCTCACGTTGAATTTTTATAAACATGTTACATTCGCTTTGTGTCCAAGTCAATCGAACATACATTCAGGGGCCGCCAACTCGACTCGGCTCGAGCTTCTTCTCGTCTCGCGCATTGCTCCACCCATCTCATCAACTCACCACTCCCTCTTTCTCTCATCACAGCAAGATGGCGGACGAAGAGCAGCCACCGCAGTCTCCACAGCAGCCCGAGGCTGCACTCGCCGAGCTCGACCAGCCTGGCATCACAGAAGCATCCGAGCTCGCTAACGAAGAGAGCGAAGCCGACGATGCCCCGTCAGCACCAGAAGAGGGAGCGGAAGACATCGACGCCATCCCACCCACCGATCCTGATCATCTCACAGAAGTCGTTCGTGGCGAAGATACCGCAGCGGCAGCACGCACAGCAGCGATCTTCGACGAGGATGACGACGAAGATGAGGGTGACATGCCGAGCTTCCGCAAGCGCGAGGCGCGTGATGCGAGCAACGCCGACGACCCCGACGCCGCCATTATCCGAAAGAAGAAGAAGAAGCGAATGCACAGTCCTGATGAGCCCGCCGCAAGACGCGAGGTAGGCGAGGGCGAGATGGAGCAAGAGGAGGAAGAGGACCCGTATGCCAACATGACCGAGGCCGAGGTGCGAAGAGCGAGGACGGACAGGATGATCGACGAGGCGCTGAGGGCGGGCAAAAAGAAGGCGCCGCGCAAGAGGGCCGGTGAGGACGATCTGGATCTGCTCGCTGACGAAGAGGTCGCTGGTCTGAGACGGGAGATGGTCGCAGCTGCGGACGACGACGAGGAGGCGAATCGTCTCAAGAAGCCGGCGACGAACAAGTTGAAGTTGCTGCCCAAGGTGGTTGCTACGTTGCAGAAGTACGTTCCAGCGCCCTTTCACTTCGCTAGCTTCCACCACTTCACGACCATACTGACGCAACAATACCTCACTTTGACTCTTCGCTCCGCTGCTCCCCACAGGAACCACCTGCAGCAGTCGATCCTGGACAACAATCTGCTCGAAGGCGTCAAGCGCTGGCTCGAGCCTCTGCCGGACAAATCGCTGCCCGCGCTCAACATCCAGCACCAATTCTTCCAGATCCTGGAGCGCATGACCATCGACACGATCTCGCTCAAGATGAGTGGTCTCGGCAAGGTGGTTGTCTTCTACAGCATGTGTTCGCGCGTCGAGCCCAAGATCAAGCGTTCTGCCGAGTATCTCATTGGTAAGTCCACCTCATCCCTCCCTTCCCCTTCCTGCATTGTGGCGTTGAATGCTGACCAGCCTCTCGTTACTTTGTGATTGCAGAGGTGTGGTCGCGCCCGGTGCTCAAGCGCTCCTCGTCGTACCGCGACCGTCACGTCGCCTCGGCAGAATGGAACCGGGATCTGCTCTCGCAGCGCGCCAACGTGCCAATCCAGGGGGTGGTCGATACCGGCAGACGCAACGTCGGCATCCCACAGGCTGTCACGTCCGGCTTCAGAGTCGCACCTCAGTCCACCGCAGGTCAGCGCAGCGACTCGAACCACGACGCTAGGATGGCCAACCACAAGAGGCTCAACCAGTTCAAGAGCCGATTGAAGGAGGCCAAGCGCTAAGAAAGGACTTCAATCTCATCTTCGTTTTCAGCGATCCTACACACGCTCGTCGCACGACCGAAACGTTCCATGAGAATCATCATTCATTCCACTCATCATCGCGGCTCAACTCAACCTGCTGACGAGATAGCTCATGAGACTCTCCTGTTCATCCCCCGCGACGCGCAGGAGCATCTCGACAAAGCACCTGTGCTCGTCCTTCCTCTCCCTCTCCATCCGCTCCAGTCCCTCTTGGTTGAGCATCCACAGCTTGACGTCTGTGTCCGCGTACGCCGTAGTATTGCGCTCCTTCTTGCTGAGGAAGGTGAGCTCGCCCGCGATGGTGCCGGCGAGCATGGCCTCGTTGATCTCGTACTGTTCTTGCGGAAAGTCGTACCGTGCCTTGATGATGCCCGATTCGATGAGGTAGACCGCGTCGGCGGGGTCGCCGCGTGACCAGAGAACTTCTCCACGGGTCTTGCGGAGGAGCGTGAAGTAGGGGACCAGCGCGGCGAAGAACGCTTCTTCCTCCGAGGGGGTCGGGTGCGTCGACGCGAGATACGCGCGGAAGGTGATCATCAACAAGGGATACGGTTGGGCATGCGGCACCTTGGTCAGCGGCTTGTCGTCGAGCGTTTGGAGCGTGTCCGAGTGCGGAGTTCGTTCGTTCTGCACCGCCGTCTTGGCCGCCTCGTGCAGGTGGTGGCGTCGGGGCGAGTTCTCGAATGAGTGGTCGAGAACGAAGGCGGGCTTGCGGTTCTGGTCCGGGACAGTCAGCCCTCCTGAGACGGCCATCGAGGCGGCACCGAAGGCTTTGGCGCCCATGAGAGAGGACGCATACATGCCGCGCAGATACTCGTTCTCTGTCCATTCCAGAGCCTCGTTGAGGTTGGCAAACACTTCGAGGTTTTCAGAGCGGTCGGCCCAGAGGTCGACACTGCGCAGCGCGACGCCGACGTCAGATTCGGGGTTGAGACCGCAGAATACGAGCAACACGCCTTTGGCCTCCAACAACCGGTTGATGCGCAGGAACGCCTCCGCCGCAGAGAAGTCGACACCGCTTACGAGCGTGTAGTCGACGATGAGGAAGCGGATCGGGTTCTGGTTCCACGCCGCGATATCGAGCGCCCTGCGGATCAGATCCTCGACAGAATTGATCGTTCCAAAGAACAGGAATCCTTGGAGTTTGATGATCTGCGTCTGGGTCCCCACCTCGTCCAGGAAGTGACGCTGGATCATGTGTCGACGCACGGTGCTGCGCGCAACACTGCCGTCAAAGATCGCACGCACCGTCTTGCGGCGCGATGTCTGCACGACAAAGAAGCAGCACGCGATGATGATGCCTGCTAGGATACCAATGACGAAGTCCCAGTAGGTCATGACAATGACAATGACCCAGATTGTGAGGTACTCCCAGCCGTTGACACGGCCGACCGTGTCATAGAGCGCTTCTTTCGCCAGATCGATGCCGAGCACAAAGATCAGCGCGCCGACGATCATAATGGGCAGGTAGCTGATGGTACCGGGGCCGGCAATCATGATGATGGCCGTGCCACCGGCAAGCATGAGACCGCTGAGACGACTGCCGCCTCCAACGCGGTAGAACAGCACACTGTTGACGTAGCACAGGTAGTTGGGCACCGTGCCGATCAATCCGGCGAACAGGTTCGAGATGCCGTGCGCGACGAGCTCGCGGTCCGTGTCGACGTTGTCCTCGTTGATGCTGACGCCGAGAGCGGGTACGTTGAGGGGCACGTGCAGGATGCCGAAGAAAACAAGAGCGAGCTGGGTCGGCATGGTGGCCCATAGCGCGCGCCAGGAGGTCTGACCAAAGTCAAAGTAGGTGTAGAAGCGGTAGAACGGAGCTTTGCTCGCCGCTTCGCCAATGTCGAACACCCAGCCGTCGTCGCGGAGCTGCTGAATGGGGATGCCAAGGATCCCGGAGGTGACGATGTAGAAGACGACGGGGATCATGAGGAAGTAGCCAGGGAAGATGAGCGGATGGTGCAGGCGCGTCGTGATGATGCGCAGCAGAACCGCCAGCAGGAGAGGTGGCAGCCACAGCGCGACCATGTGGCCCGACTGGAAGAAGAAGCGCAGCGTCTCGAGGTTGTACTGGAAGCCGTCTTCGGACTGCAGTCGACCGCACACCTCGAGGCCGGTCTCGATCAAGAAGATACCCACTCCACCGATGCAGCCGACCAAGATGTGACGAGGGAAGAAGCCGATCAGCACGCCCAATCGGAGCGCACCGAGAAGCAAGAAGGCCAATCCGGTGAGAACGGACGAAAGCGCAAACGACACCATGGTCGTCGCGATGACCGCCTTGGGGTTCTCGTCTCCCAGCTCCTCGATGATGATGCGCACCAAGATATGGAAGAAGGGCACCACCTCGATCATCATGCTTCCGTTGCCGCCTTTGAAGATCGATCCGCCGAGCGTGTAGATCAGCTGCGAGAGGATGCACGTCACGAAGAACATCGAAACACCGTCTCCGCCAAAGTTGGCAAAGATCGGGTAGGCGGCGGGGAACATGATCATGCCGTACGATACGCCGTCGAGCACATTCATGAGCATTCCGAGAATGACGGCGGGGATGAGGCGGATGGGCTCCACGCTGGCTTCGGCTGCAGATTTCCAGGTGACCCCGCGTGCGGATGTGACCAGGTCGCGGGCGTGTTGGGCAGGATTGAACTTTTTTGTCGGAATCTCGCCTTGACCGGGTCTCCAGCTTGCGGGGATGACGGACCAGAACGGCGAGAGCATCTTAAATGGTTCTGGTCGATGATGCGAGGGTCTGCGTCCGTTGCCTTGGACGCCATGCTCCGCTTCGTAGACGGACTGCTCGGCTTGAGCCAGAGCGCCGTATCCGATGGCAGCGCGTTGCTGATCTGACACGCTGGTGGAGCTGACCTGACTGAAGGACGAGTGTCCTGTGGCCTCGGAAGAGGGTCGATCGCGGGATTGCGAGCGGTCTGTCGGTGCCGAGAGATGCTGCGACGATCGTCTGCCTGTGGAACGTGATCGGCTGCGAGACGTGGGTCGTGCAGCTCGGTCCGCGGCAGCAACGGCAGCGCCGAGGCTCTTGTCTTCTGCCTCCTCTTCGGCCGCTAAGTTCTGCGGAGTCGCGACAGCGTGAGTCAATCCAAGCACCGGCGTGGGACGCGGAGTAGCGTGGCTGCCATCGTCTTCGGCGGCGGTGGCCGTCTTGCTGCTCTCTGGACTCGCGGCCTGGGATGCAGCCATCGCGCGGGTCAAGTTGCTTGGTCCGGCCTGGTTGACTCCATAAGAAGCGATCGGCGAAGTAGTGGGACTCAGCTCTTTGCCAGCTACGGTGCGCGGAGGAGGGAAGAGCTGCAAGTTGGGCGACGTCGACTCTTCGTCTTCGCCAATGTCGTAGATGCGCGAGCCACCATTGCTTCCTGTCCCCTCGTCGTCCGACATGATCATCCCTGCTAATTGCGCCGTCTCATCTCGAATGGAGGAGGAGGTCGCTGTGAAAGAGCCTGGGACCAAGGAAGTGCCGAGACTGCTCGTGTCCTGCGCCTGCTGGAATCGATAGCTGCGTCCTTCCAGGTGACTGAAAGCGGACGAATTGATGCTACGACGATTCCAGGCCTGGCCCTGGCGCTCGATATCGTAGCCCGAGTCGCTGCCGTCCTCCATGTTACCTCCTCGCTGGCTCCCAGGTGGATGGTAGGTGGCGACTCTAGAGCGGTCGTTCTTGGGTCCAGGAGGGAAGGACGAGTTGGGAGAGTCGAAGGTGACAGATCTAGGAAACTTGCTGTTGGCGTTGTTGCGCTTGCGCTGAGCTGAGAAAGAGGAATCGGGGCTGGTGGGGTCGACCGCATTGCTAGGTCGACGGGTGTCGTACTCTATTCGAGCGTCGCTGCCGGTTTGACTGTTGGAGACGCCTCGGAAGGGGTTGATCAGGCGACCGATGCTGAACGACTCGCGACGTGGTGCAGGAGAGTCGCCCTTAGGAAGAAGAGCCGAGCCCTCGTCGGCTGTGTTGCGAGGTGTGCCTGTGGATCATGAGCGAAGGATGTGGCGAGATCAGTCCAACGACGATGGAAGAAGGGAAAGGGTTTGGTAGAAGCATGTGATCAAAAAAAAAACGCAGATGGGGATCAGACAAGGTCAATCTCGAAGTCCTCTTGGCTTGGGCGGGCTGGTCCGTGGACCACAGTCACAGCGGCCAGCTCGTATGCAATACATACCTGACGACATGCTTGCCAGTGGCACGATCGAGTCTATGCGCTGCTTGTTCTATCGCCACAGATGCGAGCTGAGTCACGTCCCTTCCGTCGGTCCGCGCCGAGCTCTCGGGTTCTTCCGATGTTGCTCGTCTTGTGATGCAGTGGCACTGACAGGGTGATTGGGAGGGTGCCGCGTGACTGCTTCCGAAGTTTGACTTGCCGGAGCACCTAAGTGAAGGGCGATGTGACGAAGGAAGGAGGAGCGGGAGGAAGATGGCGTGACTGCCGACGACCCTTTCGGTGGATCCGAGATTGAGCAAAGAAGAACGAGAATCGGCGACAACCTTGAGCTTAATCCGGGTCAGCTGGCCTCTCCGCCCTTTGCTTCGTTTGAGACTTGTCCGCTTTGCCTCAAGCGCTGTCTGTCTGCTTCCGCGTGCGTGTGTGTTTGCGAGAAAGTGTTGAGAGCAAGAAGGTTCATGCAGAGCAAATCCTAACTTCGCATTGTGTGAGTGGAACCGGGTCGCGAGCCAGAGATTGGGTGCGGCAGCAGCGCCTCGCTCAGATCAACTGCCAAAATTCCCGGAAGGATTCGAGATCTGCACGAAGCTGCAGCTCGACCGCCTCAGCTTTTCCTTGAGCAGACGCACACGCACCATTCACAAATTGAAATTCGCAATCCGCCTTTCGTACTGAACATCCTGCAGCGATAATGCCTCACAAGCACTCCGATCTCGACCTTCTCCTTCGTCTGATGCGCATCATTCGCGGTCAGTGTGCGCAATGGGAATGCCCGCGATGCAAATATAAGGGCGGCGATGGCCGAAGTTGGGCAGGCGTGAGCTCAAGCTCAGTCGCAAACGCTGCCACCCCACCGACCAACCAGAGACTCGAGAGATAAGGTGCAAGAATTTAACCGAGGCGAGCTCAAGGCTCTTGCCGGTCAATTACCCAGGTTGGTTGCTACGAGCTTTCCTCCTCGCCCTTCAAGGCGGTCGTCCGTCGAGACTACACTGATGAAGCTTGCTCAGGCCGTCACCACACACGAGCGCCAGCCTAGCAGAAGTATGATGGCATGAACGTTATCATTACGAATACATAAGAGCTCGACGCATCCGCCTAACCATAGATGCGGATGACACCGTCGGCGCCGGCCGAAGCAAAGTACGGCGCAGTGGGGTGATACTTGACGGCCAAAACACCCTCGCTCGCCTTGTTGCGATGCGAGCTGATCTCCTGCCTGCACACGGCCGTCGACTTGTCGCCCTCACCAGCCGTGGCCCCCTCCTTGCCCGCCAGCGAGCCACCGGCAATGTCCCAGAAGCGCACGCTGCAGTCGTGACCGCCCGAGACGAGCGTCAGTCCCGACGCATCAATGTCGAGCGACGTCACCGCGTCCAGGTGCGCCACCATCGAGAGCGTGCACGCGCCCGTGTCGAGATCAAACATACGGATGTAGCCGTCTTCGTGAGCGGTGATGAGCATCGGCAACGTCGGGTGGGTCACGAGCTTGTTGATTTGCGTCTCGGCCGTGCCGTCGAAGGTCTCGTCGCTCTTGAGCTGGCGCATTTGGCGGCCCGAGTCGAGGTCGAAGAGCTTGACCACCGAGTTGGAGTACGACACCGCAACCAGGCGCAAGTCCGAGTGACACGCCTCCACGCAGGTGGGCACGGGGAGTGCGCCGCCTTTCTCGAGATTCTCGCGCTCCTTCGCCGTGTCGGCCGATGGTTCGCTGCCAAAGTAGTCCCAACTAAGTTGGAGCTCGGCAGGAGATGCACTCGAGGTCGCCTCTCCGTTGCTCGCAGTGGGCGAAGCACTGCTTCCACGCACGCTCCAGACCTTGACGGTGCCGTCCGCGGAAGCGCTGACCAGCCGACCCTCCTCATCGGAGCGATCCGGAAGCAATGCGAGGTCCCACACCGCCTGCGAGTGTCCCACGAGGCAGCCGAGCTCCATCGACTTCTCGAAGGGCGGATACGCTTCCACGTCCTGGTCTGGCAGCTGCCAGACGCGGATCGAAGAGTCCAAGCTGCCACTGTAGAAGCGACGCTTGTTCGGTGACACCGCGAGACAGGTCACCGCAGCAGAGTGGCCGCGGAAGGTGACCAGCGGCTGGCTGTCCGTGCCCGACTTGGACGCCGGCTGGCTCAGCGTGCCCACGTCGAGATTCCAGAACTTGATCGTGTTGTCGTCCGAAGCCGAAAGCAGCGTCATCTCGTTTTGCAGGAATGTCACCGCTCGTACTGCATCGAGGTGACTGCGAAGCACCTTCTTGGACTTCCACAGCAAGCTGTCTGCGGCAGTGTCGGCGGCATCCTTAGCCGCTTCCTCGTCTTCTGTAGCCAGGCTGATGTTGGCCAGGTCTTCCTCTTGCGTTCGCTCCGAGCCGCTCGCTTTACCGCTGCGGTTCATCAGCTGGTTCACCTTTTCCGATGTGATGGCCAGCTGCTGCTGCGCTTCAGAGATGAGGGAGGCTTCCTCGCCGGCTTGACCTTGCCCTTGTGATTCACGAAGCTCGCGACTCTGGATGCCCGCCTCCTTGAGCTTCTGCCAGTCTCGACCACCTGGCTTGAAGATGGCGGTCACTTGCTCCTGCTCGTCGACCTCTTGATCGGTCATGCTCCCGCCCGAGGTACCCCGCGAGTCGGTCGATTGCGTCGATCGCGAAGAATCCGAAGAGTTGGAACTGCCGGGAGCCTCGTCTTGTTCCTGAGCATCGGCAGGCTCGCTCGAGGTGGCCAGAGAGGACGGCTCTGGCTCGATGAAAGTGGCGCTGAGAGGGTTTCTCAATGGAACAGCACTGGAAGCGCCAGAGCTCGGTTGCTGCTGTTGTTCTTCAGCGTTGTCCTCTCGCTGCCCTGGCTCAGCCTGAAAATCCTGGCCGGAGACTTCCTCGGTCTCGTTGCCCTCCTCAACCACCGCCTCCGAGGCGAACAGAGGTGAACGACCGGGTCGACCGGTCTTGGAGCTCGGCACGCCGAGCGCAGTAGCAGCCGAAGCGCGACTGATCGACCCTGCCATGGCAGCATGCGACTCGGTCGGCGCTGCCAGCGTTGGAGGAACACTCTCAAGCATCGTCTTTCTCGGGCGCAACGAGTTCTGCATGTTAGCACCGTTGGCCGACGAGCCCGAAGCGATGCCTCGGTCTGGAAGCGGATTGAGCGTGGTCGCAGAGGTGAGGTATGAGATCTCCTGCAGGCATTGCTTGAGGTACTCGCGGCTCTTTGCGCGTGACTTGGGATCCTTTGCACTGGAGGTAGATCGCGAAGGAAGACCGCCAGCCAGTGCACTGGCATTGAGAGAGCTGCCGCCCGCAGCAGCGATGGCGGATGCGGTTGGAGCAGACTCTGCGAAGGGAGCCGGCGAGCTGCGGCCGCTGCTCATGGTAGTGCCCTTCTCCAGACTGTGCAACAATGGGTTCTTGACCTGAGGTGCGGTGGAAGACTGCGGAGACTGTGCGGAACCACTTGAAGACAGGTACTTGGTGCGCTCCTGTCGCAGCGCATACTCGAGCATCTTGACTCTCCTCATGAGATCCGTCTTGAGGTTCTCGACGCCTCTGCGCTCTCCTTCGAGCAGAGCGATGCGTGCACGCATCTCGGCTCGCTCGATCTCCCACTCGTTGCGGTCCTTCTCGTATCTGCGCCATTCGCCCTGCAAATGATGAAGGATGCCGGCGAGTGTGTACTCAGAGTTGGAATTCGAGTTGCCCGTCTCCTGCGACTGGACACCGTTGGCCATGTTGCCGTGCATTTGGTTGGAGTTGTTGTTCATGCCGAAGCCGAGACCAGCGCCCATATTGCCGCCATTGGCGTTGGCGTTGTTGTTGCCCATCGACATGTTGCCAGCGTTGCTGAGGAACATGTCGCGTACGGATCAAGTGCGAGTCACCTAGAAGGAAGCTGGGGTCACGCGGATCATGCGAGTGTTGTGCAGAAGTTGGTGATGTCGGTGAGATCGAAAACGATCCTAGTCGCCCTCAAAGGTGCGGGGCGTCTGTAAGGGTTGCGATCGGTGCGCTCGTTGATTATCAAAGCCAAGAGTAGCTCGTAAAGCCGTGAGGTGCGTGAATGCAGTTGAAGGTAGGAGGAGGACGAAACAGAAGCGCAACGAAGAAGCGTTGTGTTGATGTTGCAGCGGCGTGTGACTTCTTCCTTGCTGTGTGATGCGGCGACGCAAAGCCGAGTTGGTCAGGGAATTGGCTTGAGCGAGCGCCTGTCGTCGCTGTTTTTAGCCATCTTGGTATTTCACGCAGTCGCCCCTCTCTGCTCAACAGCACCAACCTGCCAGCAATTTCAGATCCTCTTTTCAAGCTGCTGCAACGCTCGCTCATGTTGCTGCATCCTGAATACTCGATTTGAAATCCAGGCTAATTTGTATTCGATTCCGGACACCCAGCAGCCTGCTGCTTCGCGTCCAACTTCTTCCAGTTGTAAGCACTCATATCCTTTCCTGAAGCCTAATGGTGACGACGCGGCCGTTTGACGGCGACAACAAGAACGCTCAGGATGTTTCACGGTTCGCACCTACGAGCCCACGCAGCCAGACCCGTGTTATGCGAGAACAACTTGCTTCGATGCGAAGGACCTATACAACAATGGATATGTACGAGAAGTCGTCTGTCAAAGCGAGGCCGAGGCCTCGGGCTTAGCTTCAACAGGACCACGAAACTCCAATTGGCTGAGCAAGTGGGGCCAGATGTCCGCCAAACCGGGATGCGCACTCGGCCTCGAGAAGATGTTCTTCATCACCTCGGTCCCCTTGACCTCGGACCAGTGCTTAAGGAGGAAGTCGGTCTCCATCTTGCGAATCGCAGGGAATTGCGAGTTGAATCCCGAGAAAGCTTCCCAGACGATGTTGCCGACCGTGAGGTTGTTGGCCAGCTCCTCTTGGGCGCGCTTCTTGAGATCGGGGATTTGCAGCTTGTCGGCCAGGCGGTACATGGACTTGGCAGAGCAGGGGGCTGGCACGTTGGCGTTCGCCGAGCAGAACTCGTCGACGACCTGCTGGCGCAGCGTGTGGGCCCGACGTCGGTCCGTGGCAAAGCTGCCGCCCGTGCCAGACATGCTGTCGTCGCGTGTGGACGACATCTCTACTCCAGACCCAGCGCGAGACAAGGGTGCCCCGTTGGTCTCTTCAGAGTCGAGCGGGGCTCGCCCGGTTGACTCCCGTTCTTTGTCCAGCGACCCTGCTTGTTCGTCCGGGACAGCTGTCGATGGCGTATAAAAATGCGAGTGCAAGGGCGCAAAGGCGATCGTGTCGGTGTAGAGATAGTACAGCAAAGCCTTGTATGTCGCATAAGCCGCGTCGCGAACCACGACTTTGCGCCTCTTCTTGCCACTGTGTGCGCTGCTTCCGACCGCATCCTCCGACTTGCGTCGCTGCGGCAAAATCCGGCCAGTGGAGCTACTCTGCGCCTGAAGAGGCTGGAACGATCGCAGCTGTGCGGTCATAGAAGGGGACGCGAACGCCGAGACATCCTGCCTGAGCTCGCGCGGAGAGTGCTGAGGGGTCTGGAAAGCGGACATGCCCTGCACCCGTGTCGTCTCTTCGCCGCTGTCGGTGCGTGCGTCGTGGTCATTGCTTTGCCTGCTGCGTGACTGCGGTGGGGTGGTTTGCTGGAGTGATACGGAGCCAGGCGCGTTGGCCGGTGCAGCAGGCGGAACCGGTTGCTGGGTCAGCGAAAGACCTCGAATCTGTGGCACGTCCGAGCTGGTCTCGCGCATGCGTCGCGATGAGGACGAGTCTGCGCCGCTGAACGCCGGCTTGAGGACACCGGTTGCTGAGCCGGCGATGGTACTACGGGTCAGGTTTCCCTCGCTGTTTCTGTGTTGATCGTGGAAATTGGATCTGCCCATCTCGTAGACTTCGTCCACATCCATCTCTTCGTCCGAGTCCTCGAGACCTAGGTCATCATCGTCATCATCAGTCAAAGACGGATAAGCGCCGCTCGCAAGGCCGAGTTGATCTTGACCAACCCCGCGCGAGGTCGCCGATGCTAGAGGTAGATCATCATCTGCTTCGTCGTCTGATCCAGTGGTCGCGTCAGCCTCGGCGAAGCCGCTGTCGAACATGTCGCGGAAGTATTCGCATCGAGAAGCGAGAATCTTCTTGATGGCGTAGATTCTGCGTTCGCGGGTGACGAACGCGCCCGTCTTAGGATGGCGGTGCTTGCGGCGAATCACAAAGACGACGTCGCTGTGATCCGGATCGTCGAGCAGTGATCCCATGGCCTCGATCAAAGCTGGCGGAACCGTGACGCCGCGGGTCAGAGGTCGCGGAGGTTCGGCGCTGGCGGTAATGGTGACCGAGACGAGGAAAGCATTGGCCTGCTGCACCTCACTGTTGCCGTAGAAGACCGTGTCGCGCGAGGCAAACTGCGCCCAGCCCCAGTTGGACGTCTTGTGGCTGAAAGCATGGTTGCACGCTTCCTTGGTGGCAAGCACGGTGCCTTTGTTGAGTGTGAGGATCTTGAAAGTGAAGCGGAAGAGTCCCTGGCGTGTCCAGCCATCTTCAGAAGCGACCAACGGTTTGTCTGACAGAGAGCTCTGTGATCGAGCTGCTCCGCTGCTGGTGGCGCGGAAAGTGTCCCAGGGGGACCTGTTCTGATTCTTCTCTTCGGGAGTGGGCTCAGCGTTGAGGTAGAGCGAGCAGAAGTTCTGCAAGCCCGACTGAGCATAGAAGAGGACCGTCCATCTTCCTTCGCCGAACTGGACGGACTTGATGACTTTCGACTTGGCATCGGAGCTGGACGAGTCGAAATGCTGCTTGAGGTCGTGGAGCGGCCACTCGAAGGTAATGCTGTGGGTCTCCATTGGGTTGTTCTTGTCGGCGGGCGGAGATAGCTCTCCCGAGCGACGTCGTGCTGGTGACTGGCTCATGTGCTGGTGTTGATTTGTATGCTCGCAATGGCAGAGAAGAGGATCTGGCAGTAGGAGGTATGCGGAAGTGACCCAGCTTGCTATCCGCAGCTCTTGATCCGCACCGCCTTCTGTTTAGGACATGGGAGCAAGTGAGGGCGCGTCGAGGCTGCGCCGATGCTCTCTTATATGGCTGTGTGAAGCTGTTGTGGGTTGAACGAGCACACACCTTGCGCAGCTGATGAAAGGGGGATGTGATGGGTGCTGGAAGCCGAAAGCACACAATAAGCAAGCGTGGGGTCAATGCGCAGGACCTTTGCATGTGTCACTTTCCCACACGCCCCACTGAGCCGAGATGCAGGCTGACAGGGACAAATTAGGCTCGCAATCGGGCCGATTCTCCTCAAGCTGAGAGGCGGATCGCGTGATGCAGACAATTCAGCGCGTTTTCGAAGCGCAACTCCACGATCTTCTCATCATCAACTCCACCGACCCTCTTGCAGCTGCAATACGGATACCAAGATGGCGGACGTAGCGCTAGACTATGGCTCTGCGGAGATCGACTCGAGCGCTGTGCCTATGCATGACGATGCCATGGAAGACGTTTCCGGCCCCACACAGCCCACATCACGATTCTACGCCCTTCCCACGGACCAAGCCGTTGAAGCAGGCGCACAGCGTGGGCCCGCCCCTTCCTCCGGCGCCGAGCCTTCTCTCGACGACGCAGCTCTGGTAGGCGACGAAACACCATCCTCCATTCCGGACCCTCCCCCCGTCGAAAGCGGATCCGACATCCGCCTCGAGACGCTCCTCATTGAGGGCTCGCCCATCACGCAGCTCTCCACCTCTCGTCTTTTTGCCTATCTCACTCACTTCGGTGCTCAGCCTCTCGGTCTCGAATGGATCGACGATCAGTCGTGCAAGGTTGTCTTTCCGGATGAGCGATCCGCACGTTTGGGGCTGGAGTACCTCGTCCCCTCCACGCCCGCCGATGCGATGCAAGACGATATGCCGCTGCCGAACATCGAAACCCTCCTCGAGTACGACCCCGACTCGTGGCATTCCGAGTACATCACTTCGCTCGTCACTCCTCGTCGGGCGCATCGAGTCCCCGCCAAGCTCTACACGCACGTCGAGCGCCAAGCTGCCCTCACCGAACGCAGTCACAAGGAGGAAGCATCGACCCTGCCAGACGATGTACCCGAGATCTACCGCGAGATGGAGGAGGCTGATCGGTCAGCGAAGCAACCACGCGAGGTGCGCGACCTGCTGAAGCTCCGGGGATCATTGTGGTTGCGACACGCAGTCACGGACATCGACAGGAAGGAGAACCGCGCATCAACAAAGAGTCAGTGGTATAAGAGGCATGGATACGAGGCGGGTAGAGAGATCGTACCCAAGCTCCTGCAGGTGGGCGAGGCGAAGGAGGCTGTGGAGCTCTTCCCGGACTACAAGCCGACCGAGGGCGATGGAAGGAGACGCGAGTTGAACGAGCTGGATGCAGAGCTGGACAGACACGTTGCGTCAAGGGATGAAGAGCCGGAGCGCAGGGCGGGCGAGATGATGGCGGATGCGGTGCAGGCAAGATCTCGAGGGAGACGCAATGATGGCGATCTGATGGATCGATTCTCATCAAGGGACGGTGGAAGGAGGAGGGGACGCAGAGACGACGGAGAACGATGGGGCCATGACGCTTATGATGCGCTTTCGACGGAGGATCCGGAGCGATCCGGTCGCAGGAATCGAGACCGCCGTCCGCGTCGCTCCGATATGGAGGCCATGGATGCAGAGCTGGAAGATCACCGCCGCTCACGTCACCGTGATCACCAGAGAGAGCTCTCTCCTGGCCGTCGCGAAGATTCGGATCGAGTCCGAGTCAAGGGGAGGGGCAGGATGAAGGCACCTGGGTTTGACGATCGCTGGGGTGGCGACGAGGGCAAGGGTAGCCTGGCGAAGCGAATGGGCGGCGGAAATGACTTGCTAGGCAGACTGGGCGGAGGCGGACGTCTCGCCGATCGTTTCTCATAGGCTGTCCTTGTAGCCCGATCTCAGAGCAAGGATCGCAATGCACTCTTCACACTGCTGCAAAGAATCGGGAGACAATGCAATTGGATTGAACACAAACGAACCATGCTATGAATCGAACCTATCAATGCGAACTAAAATTCCAGCGGATCATGCGTAGTGGCCTCGGCAAATGCACCGTCCGTCTTTGTCGGGCTGCCGTTCACGTGGAGCTGTGGCGGGGGCGACATGCTGCCCGCACCGCTGCTGTGGCCGGTACTGCCCGAAGTGGCGACACGCGAGCGAACAGCAAAGTTGCGCAGATCGCTACCAGGCGTAGGCGGTCCACGTGGTTGACGGATGAGGTTCGAGTGAGTTGGCGATGTGTTGCCGTTGGCGTTGGCGTCGAACGGCGAGGCAAAGAGGTTCTGGAGGCCTGCAGCACCTCCAGTGTTGCTGCTCATGTTTTGGGATCGACGACCCGAGGTGGACGCATAGCCATCGCGAAGGTTGGTGTTGGAGTTGCGCGCTGCGAGGTTGCCGTTGTTGAGGTACTTGTTCGAGGCGCTGTAGCCGGTAGAGCCGTCACGATCCCGCAGCATGTCCGGAGCCGACTTTTTGGGCCGGAGTCCCGTGCGACCTGTGGTGGCAGCACTGCCAGGGCCCAAGAATCCACTCGCCCCTGCAGTGTCAATGCCAAGAGATCGCTGTCCGCGGCCAATGGTGGAGGCTTGGCTACGAAGAGGTCGAGATTGCGGGCTGACGTCGTTCTTAGTGACGATCACGTAACGCTCATCGCCCTCACCCATTGAGTAGTGGAAGAGGCCAAGCCTTTGTGCGACCAAGTGGACGGTGCGGCGCTCGAGAGGGGTCAGGCTGCGAGAGAAGGAAAGCTCGTCACGCATACGGTCGTCCTTGAACAGCAGAACGCGAGAATAGATCTCGAGTGAGGCTGCATCGTTGAGATCGAGCTCTTCCTTCTTACCGCCGCTGCTAGCGCCTGGGTTGCTTACGAACGACGACAATGGACCGGCGGTCCTCTCGGCAGTGGCGACGGCGAGTCGCTGTGACGAGGGCACCTTCCTGAGCGAGTCGGCAGTGAGTGGAGCAGAAACACCATTGAAGCTGCCCTGCTGCGCGGCGGGGTCAGCGGCATAAGTATCCGAGGACATCTGCCCATTGCCATTGTAACCGGGCATGAGGTAAGCGTTGGCGCCATATTCATCGTTCTGACGACGTCGCTCCTTCTCGAGCTGCATGCTCTGCATCCTCTTGATGGCCTTTTCTTTCTCGATGCGCTCCTTCTCGCCAGCCTGAAGCACCTTCTTGTACTCGACACGGAGCTTGCGTCCACTGACATCGAAGCCATTGAGAGCAGCGACGACAGCGTCAGCTTCCTCTGCACTTTGGAAGTTGGCGAAAGCGAGGCCGCGGAAGACGCCTTGATCAAAGTGATAGTTGAAAGCGTAGGGCATGGGAATGCCGAGATCTTCAATGATCTGAAGCAGCTGCTCGCGCTTGACGCTAAAGGGAATGTTCTTGACGACGATGGCAGTAGGGATGACATCGTCATCACCGCCACTAGCTGTGGGGTCTACCTGCTGATAGGACTGAAGCGAGCCTGCGTTCTTTGGAGGTGAAGTGCCGGACGATAAGCCGAGCAGGGAAGGGTCCTGCGTGCTCCACTGCGAGGGGATGGCAGCACGGCTCGAGGTCTTGCGGACACCGTTGCTGTTGGAGCCAAAGTGACCCGAGCCGATTCCAGAGCTGCCTACGCTGCCGGGAGCGATGTTGTGGCCGAAGCTCCCAAAGGCGCTGTTAGCAGCATGACCAGCGGCAGAACCCATGGAGCTGGTGAAGGTCTGACCAGCGGAAGAAGGATTGGAGCTGGTGGCATTGGGAGAAGAGGGAAAGAAGCGCTCGAAGCGGGAGGCGGCACTTGGACCAAAGGAGCCGGAGGCCTGAGCATTGGCGGGGTGTGAGGCCCCAACGCTGGAGCTATTGTAGCCAGGTTGGCCGGGGAGATCGGAAGTCAGAACGGTCGGCGAGCGAAAGGAGGCGGCGTGAGTCTGGCGTGTCGGACTGGTGTTGGTATGATGCTGCTGCTGTTGGTAGTACTGCTGTTGCTGCTGCAGCTGCTGCTTCCTAGGGTCCTGCTGCGGATCGTTGAGGTTGATGCCACGGAAGGCGTTGTGGATCGAGTCTGTCGACATCATGATCTTGGGATGACGCTGACTGGAGATGGTGCCAGTACGATATCAAAGACTGAAGCAAGAGCTGTGTCCTCAGAGCTCGGCGAGAATGGGTTGCTGTTCTGAAGTGAGCTTTCGCAGGAGGCCGTATTGACAAGGAGTCCAAGAAAAAAGTGCAAAGACGAGTAGAGCTGGGAGCCTTTATTGATCCGATGCACAAGGTCAAGGATGAAAGAAGCTGGCAGCTGTGTCGTGAAGCTGCGAGTGGTATTGAAGATGAAAGGCCGGTGCGCTGGGATTTCGTCAACTGGGCGTTAATGGTCGTCAGAGAATCCGATCGCAATGAGGCCAATGAAGAAGAGGCGGAAAGTAGGACGAAGACCAACGAAGGGAAGACAGAGGAAGGTGCGAGTGGAAGCGAAGGGAAGAAGAGCTGATCAGGTACGGCGAAGATCACTCACACGTCAGGGTCGTCAGCGTGCGTGTGCGTGAGCGTGAGCGTAAAAAATGTGCGTCCTGAAGCCGCCGCTGCGACAAGAACAGGGGCTTTCACTCTCAGGGGTTTGGTCTGAGCGTGGCTCGCGAAACTCCGCTGCTTGTCTCAGAGATGCACACACACCGTTGCCTCATCACAGCAACGACGTTCTCTGCCTGTACGCCCACCAACAAGCACAGCAAGCATGCGTGTGACCGGACAACAACGCCGCATCATGTGCTCAAGTCACACTCGGTGCACAGCTGTGTGATTCGTTCGACTGTCGGATGATGATTCCCATCTCGCCTCGCCTTCAGCACGCACACACGCATGCCATTTCTGATTTATTTTTATAAATAATTTTTTGTTTGGATCGACACGCCGCTGTGCGAAGTGACGAGGATTTGTGGATTGACAGCCAACAAACCTCCTGTCTCGAGAGGGTTGGACCCTGTCGAAGCGTGTGCCGTTGCAGAAGAAGTCCTAGCTGCTGCAACGAGCCCCTCGGATGTCTTGGACCACCTGTCAACCATCCTCAAGGCTGCACCGTCGACACGAGCGAGTCGTCCAGACACCCGCTCTGCTGCAGGTGGGCCATGACGCCGCCCACCAAGTGAAGCGATCCCGACACCAAGCAGTCTACACCGCCACCCTTTTGTGCCAGCTCTACCACATGATTGTGCATCGCCTGGATACTAGGTGTGATGCGTACTTCCGTCGAAGATCCGGGCACAAGCTCCTTCCATGTCTCTGCCAGCTGGTTCTGCACCGTCAGGTTGACCAGATCTTTGTCGTCCAGTAGCTTGGATGTCAGCTCCGATGACCAGCCGCCTCCTTCAAACGTGATGTTGGTCGTGAAGATGACTTCGTCAAAGTAGTCCTTGGCTAGCGCATACCTCGACTCGCCGGTTGAAGATGAATTCTGGCCGCCGAGGCTCTTCTCCACGGTGTCCAGGACGGACGAGAGCAGCTCGTGCGCACTACGGCCGTTAGTGCAGTTGAACACAAAGATGCGCTTGTTGGCTCGTCCAGTGGATTGACGCTGCTGACGTGCCGTGAACCAGCCGAGGCAGACGCTCAGCGAGTCGGTGGTATGTGCGCCGTCCAAGTACCAAGTCAGTCCCAGACCGGACCGAGCGGTCGGCACCGTCTGGCATCGCCCTGGCCACCTTGCATCCTCCAGACCCTTCCTTTGCCATGGCGTAAGCGAGCTGGTGCCGTTGTCCGCCGAAGCCGATGCCCGATGCGAGGTCTCCTTGAACATGGCACGGCCCGCCTCCGAGTCAAGATATGCATTGACCAGCTCCAAAGCGACGCTTGCGTTCGTCCGCTGATGAGCGCCTGGAAGGCCAAGGGTCACAGCATTTCTGTTATTTGTCCCCAGCGCAGTCTCTTCTGATCGCAGAGCAGGGTGTACATCGACGATCTGCAGATCGCTCACGCCGACCTCGGTTGCTATCCTCTTGACCTCATCCAACGCTTTGCCTGGTTGTTGCGCCCAGCAAACAGCCGGAGCCTGGGGCTTGAAGATGCCTGCCTTCTGCACTGCGATCTCTTCCACCGTGTTGCCAAGAATTGCCGTGTGGTCCAGTCCGAGCTGAGTGATACCAGCAACGACACACTTGGGGACAATGTTAGTCGAATCGTACTTTCCACCGATGCCGACTTCGAGAATGACCGGCTGCACACCTTCTGATAGGAAGATGTGGAACGCAAGAAGCGTCAGGAAGCGGAAGTAGACGGGTCGCAGTGGGGTCAGGTCGAACTTGCGATCAGGATTCTCTGACAACCGGTCCCACACCTCCCAAAAGTACTTGGTGAAGAGCTCGTGCGATACCGGCTGACCGTTGATACGGATGCGCTCGCGGACGCTCGTCATGTGCGGTGATGTGTACAGTCCGACCTTTGGCTTCGAAGATGATTCCGCCGGTGTCAGTTGTCGGAGCAGCGAATCGACGAACGCAGACGTGCTGCCTTTGCCTTTAGTCCCCGTGACGTGGATCACATTGAGCCGGTTGAGATCGGATGTGCTGTAGCCGATGCGTTCCAAGTATTCCACCATCTCTGGGATGGCAAAGTCGAGCAGCCGCCCTCCCGACTTGCGAAGTGCTTCGATGGTGGCAGCATTACTCTGTAGCGAGTTCAGCGCATCTATTGCGTCATCATAGGTGCGAAGAGCTGGTGCGAAACCGACACTGCTGCTTCCGCTAGCCACTTGCGCGGAGGTCGTCATAGCTGCGATAGCTGATGCAGGCCGGGGATGATGTGACCGGGGCGTTTCGAAGAGCCCTCGAATTGTGGTGGTGCTGATGGCTCTAGGCGAGGGATAAGAGCCGGTCGTGATCCAAGCTCGGCTGCGGAGCGTAGGGAGGAAAGGTGTGCGGAATGACAAAGACCCTTTCATGGACCGAGTGACGCTATCAGCGCCTTGACGATTTTGAATGCGCTGATCGTGATCACGAACAAAGCTTCTCAAGATGATCCAAGCGTTGGCCTCTTCAGCAAAATCAGATCTTCTCATCACAGTCGAATTGATAAATCGAAATTTGTCTAATTTGCGGGCGTAACACGATGAAAAATTTCCAGTGTGGGGTAACGTGCAGCTGCAGAGTTGAAACCCTGCTTTTGAGCATGCGGGGAAGCGTTGCTTTCCAATGTGTTACCACCGGTAAGCAGCTTGATCTTGGCCCGTTCGCCTACAAACTCAGGTACGATATCGCCTCACCTTGACAGCCTTCCTGCCTCCATCATCTCTCGACATTCCGACTGAGCAACACGCAATACCCTTGGAAGCAGACTCATCTGATACCACTTCGACAACCTTGCAAGCACACATAGCTCCAACAACGCAATGGTTGATTCGGACAGCAAGGCCGGGCCCAAGCCTGCCTCGCCAGAGAACAACTCTCAGGACCAGGACCGTACGCACGCCGAAGACGAATCCAACCGCCAACGCATCGCTTCCATCGCCAGCCGCTTTGGCGGCTTCGCAGCGCAAGCATCCACACAAGCTGCCTCCAAGGGTGCCGAGGTAGCAGCTGAAGCGGGCGAGCAGGTCGCAAAGACGGTCAACACCACTCGACATGCTGCTGCCACGCAGGCCGCGGGGCTCTTCCAAGCCATGGCTCTCACCACCAAGAATGTCTCCTCAGACAAGAACCAAGGCGATGGCTCATCTGGCAAGGCGTGGTACGAGTACGAGTCTCCCCTGCACGCGCGACGTCGGATCGCAGAATACGAGTCCCCACTGCAGGCTCGACGCAGGCTGGCAGCTATTGCGTCTCAGCTGGGCCTGGCCACCTCCTCCGCCAAGCAGGCGCCTAGCTTGTTGAGCGGTCTCACTTCTGCTCCGCGCCACCACCCTACCTCGTCAAGCTCGAACTCATCGGAGAAATGGGACACAGCGACGCTACCTGACTACCGTGAACTTCCAGCGGAAGGCGGTTGGCCTGGCTGCGCCTGGGACGTCTGGGGACGCGGTGACCAGCTTGGCACCATCAACCTCCTTACCGAGTCAGTCGTACTCCGGGCCGCCAAGGAGAACATCAAGACAGGCCGTACCGTCTCGCTCAACTGGCCGGTTCATCTGCCCGCTGAGCCCTTCTTCCGCCGAAAAGCGCTGACTCATCGGCCATTTGGCAAGGGTGGACCCGGATACACCGAGCCGCGCGATGCCTTCATCGCTGGTGTCAAAGCCAAGCAGCCCGACGTGCTGGTTCGGGATGATCCCGACTCCAAGGTCCCCGTGAGCGACGAGATGCTTGAGCTCAACACCCAGTCTGGCTCTCAGTGGGATTCTTGCCGCCATTTCGGGCATCTCCCTCTCAACGTTTTCTACGGCGGTGCATCTCGGGCTAGCATCCAGGACACGTTTGACGACACCTCCCCGCAACCCGCCGATCCTCAGTCCTGGAATACTGAGGAAGCGCAAAAAAGGAACGCGCTTGGAATTCAGCACCTGGCCCAGCACGGCATTTGCGGCCGCGGCGTGCTACTCGACGTTTTCGAGTACCTCTCCCACCACGGCACCGGCGATGTGGAACGCAACTATCAGTGGTCTTCCTGGTCAGGCTACGGCGGTGGCAAAGGGTACGATCCCCGCACAGGGTTCCGCATCACCGTCGCCGACCTAGTCGCCACAGCCAAGCACCAGCACGTCCAACTTCGTCACGGAGACATTCTGCTTATTCGCTCCGGCTTCACCGCGCGCTACTACTCGCTCTCACCCCAAGAACGCGCCGACTGGTCCAGCCCAGAAGGAGGCATGCCGTTTGCAGGCGTCGAACAGGGCGAGGAGATGAAGGAGTTTATGTGGAACAACCACTTTGCCGCCGTCGCCGGCGATAGCCCGGCCTTTGAAGCGCGGCCGATGAAGGAGGGAGAGTGCATGTTGCACGAGACCTTCCTCGCCATGTGGGGAATGCCCATTGGCGAACTCTTCGATCTGGAAGGGCTAGCAGAGACCTGCAGGGAGCTCAAGCGGTACGAGTTCTACTTTTCCAGTTGGCCACTGAACCTGTTCGGTGGCGTGGCGAGCTGCGCCAATGCGGCCGCAACATTCTAGCGTCACTTTTCTCTGTACTCTCATTTGTCATCTTACTCAGTCTGCACGGTCCGGGAAAGCATGAATGTGTGTGAAGAGGTAATTCGTTGGTGAAGTGCATCTATGGTCGCGCCGCCTGCTTGTTCTTGCCCAAAATGATCCGCTTGTACTCGGCGACATCGCCGTGGAACTTCTCCACCTTGCCGTCGTCCACCACCCACAGCTGTTCCATGCAGTTGTTAATGAACGTTTCGTCGTGCGAGATGCAGATCACACCGCCATTGAATTTCTTGATGGCTTCGCACAGCGCATCGAGACCCTCAGTATCCAAGTGATTGGTCGGCTCATCGAGGAGCAGCACATGCGGGCGCATCATACTGATATGCGCAAAAGCGACACGCGATTTCTGACCTCCGGACAGCGTCGCGATCTTCTGCAGACCCGTCATGCCCTTGATACCGAACGCGCCGAGATGCGAGCGGTACTCCTGCTCCGTCTGACCAGGGTATTTGGACGCGAGGAAGGTGACAGGGTTGGCGTTCAGGTCGAGCTGATCAATGTGGTGTTGCGAGAAGAAGCCGACGCGAAGACGGCCGTTTCTCTTTTGGTCGCCTTGAATGGGTGTGATCTCGCCCATGAGCAGCTTCATCAGCGTCGATTTACCTGCTCCGTTGGGACCCACCACAGCGACACGGCTCTGCTGCGTGATATCGAAGTCGACGTTCTTGAGCAGCAGCTTCTCCGGTCGGTAGCCGAAGGTGACGTTGCTGATCTGCAGTAGGGGCAGCGGCAGCTTCTCTGTGTCCGGCAAACGGAAGTGCACCACGTCGTCGTCCTCCGGCGGTTCGATGTTGGGCAGCTTCTCGAGCTGTTTGATCTTGCTCTGCGCCTGTGCGGCACGATTGGCATTGACACGCCATCGATCGATGAACGCCTGCAGATGCGCACGCTGCATTTGAACAGCTTCGTACTCGCGCTGCTGGTTGCGTCGTCGCTCTTCTCGGGTCTGGTAGAACTGGTCGAAATTGCCCGTGTAGTAGTCGAGCCTCTCGCTGTGCATGTGGATGATGTCGGTGGCGACACGGTTGAGGAACGCTCGGTCGTGCGATACAACCAAGAGAGTGCCTTCGTAGTCGTTGACGAAGTAGTCTTCAAGCCATGCGAGCGCGTTGAGATCCAAATGATTCGACGGCTCATCAAGCATGAGCAGGTCGGGCTTGCAGAAGAGCGCACGTGCGAGCGCCAGACGCATCCTCCAACCACCAGAGAAGGTCTTGGTTGCTCGCTGTTGATCTTCCGTCTTGAAGCCGAGACCGTTGAGCAGCGAGGCAGCTCGAGCGGGACCGGTCTCAGCCTCCATTTCGACAAGCTTGGCTTGCACTTCGCCGAGACGGGTGGAGAGCTCCTCTCGCTTGATCTCACGCTGTCGAGTGGGCATGTCGACGGCCGAACCGCGTGAGAGACCCGCTGCTGCATCGTCTCCATTCGCCTCGGCAGCAGCAGCCGCATTGGCGGCAGCCACGGCGGCCGCAGCAGAGTCTTCGAGCTTCTGAAGCTCTGCGTTGATCTCGGCCTCCTCCTGCATGAGCTTCTCTCGCCACACGTCTGCCTTGAGCACGCTTTCGATCGCAGAGGTGTCGTCCCCGACAATCTCCTGCTCAACATAGAGGATGGAGATCTGCATGGGGATGGGCACCTCTCGCAGCGCCATGTTGCGCAGTAGCGTCGACTTACCCACACCGTTGCGGCCGATGACACCTGCTCTGCGACCGGCTTTGATGGTGAGTGTGGCATTGGAGAGGATGCGGTTGCTGCCAAAGTTGACGTCAATGTTGGGCAGATGAATGTCCTTGTTCTTGCCCTTGTTGCCGATGCTCTCGATCGGGTTGACTTTGAGGAAGAGCTCTTCGTAGCTCGCCTGTTGCTTGGACTGCTGCACCAGCTTGCTCGATTCGTACAGGTCGCGCTGGGCACGCTTGGCGAGCTTGGCACGCGTCTTCGCTTCCTGCTTCTCGAGCTTCTTGACATCGACGGTGGAGCGGTTCTGCTTGGTGGTGCCGAGAGCAATGTCGACACCGCCGGCCGAGTCGAAGCCGGAAGTGCGGGACATTTCGGTGTTGCGCATGTCGACGACCTTGTCGAGACGGGTGAGGCCAGAGCCATTGGCAGCGTCGGCGTCTTCAGGGAGCTTGGACTGGATGAGCTCGAGCAGCTTTGGTAGCAGAGCGCTGACCTGCTTGGAAGAAGAAGGATCCGAGATGCAGGCGGACTCGAGCATGGGCTTGACGATCATCTCGAAGAGATCCTCGGTGGGGTCATCGGCGGCATCTTCGATGTAGCCATCGAGGTAGTCAACCACGGGATCGTCGAGCTGAGGTAGCGCTTGGCGGATCAGTGTTGCTGCAGCCATCTTGTGCGAGTGCTGAAGAGTATACTGACGTCGTGGCGGAGAAGTGAGGATAGAAACGAGACCCTGGCTAACCTTCAAGAAGAAAAGTATCAGCATCCTTGAGCTGCTCAGCACGCTCTCTCGGAATTTTACAGAGCGAGCGTGTTAAGCTGTAGTGCTTGCTGACCTGTCTTGACTAAGCCACCTTGGAAACCCGGCTCGGCACGGGCCCTTCGAAAAGGCGAAAGAGGTGTCGTTATGACGTGAATTGCCTCTGATTTTTGCGCAGGAAATCCTCCACTTTTGGAGTTGCTCATCACGGCAGGCTGCGGATCGAAGACCCTCAAGAAGACGCTCGGATCGAATCAGGAACGACGCTTCATTGTCTTCATCCTCGACCCTATCATCCACTCCCTTCAGACATCGTCTATCGCACAAGATGTTCATCCGTCCCGCCCTCTCGTCATCGCTTGGCCAGGCCGCTCGCTCGAGCCTTCGCTCTCAGGCACCCGCCGCGCGTTCCTACGCTACCGAGGCTGGCAAGCCCTCGGGAGGCTCGAACCTCCCTCTGATCCTCGGTCTCGGCGGTATTGCTGGTCTCGGCGCATGGTACAGCCTCGGTGGCTTCGATGACCCCAAGGCGGCCAAGAGCAAGATCCAGGAGAAGGGCAAGGAGGCCGCCGACAAGGCTAAGGGTGCGGTCGACCAAGCCAAGGGCGCTGTGGACTCGGCCAAGGGCGCCGTCGGCAGTGGTGCTCTCAACAAGGACAAGTTCCTCGAGTTCACCCTCAAAGAGATCAAGCCTTACAACCATGACTCGGCGACGCTCGTCTTTGAGCTGCCCGACGGACAGAAGCCCGGTATGAGCACTGCCTCGGCTGTCGTTGTCAAGGCCGTCGGCGACGCCGTCAAGGACGATCAGGGCAAGGACGTGATTCGACCCTACACTCCCATCACCTCGCCCGACACCGCCGGTCACATGGACTTCCTGATCAAGAAGTACCCTGGCGGTAAGATGACCACGCACATGCACTCGATGAAGCCCGGTGACAAGCTCGGCATCAAGGGCCCCATCGCCAAGTTCCCCTACAAGGCCAACGAGTTTGAGTCGATCGGAATGATCGCCGGTGGCTCCGGCATCACGCCCATGTGGCAGGTGATGCAGGACATTGCCAACGACCCGTCGGACAAGACCAAGGTTACGCTCATTTACACTAACAAGACGGAACAGGACATCCTGCTGCGCGAAGAGTTCGACAAGCTCGCCAAGGACGGCCGTTTCAACATCGTCTACGGCCTCGACAAGCTGCCCAAGGGCTTCAAGGGCTTCGAGGGCTACCTGACCGAGGACCTGGCCACCAAGCACCTGCCCAAGGCCGAGCTCGCCAACAAGACCAAGATCTTTGTTTGCGGCCCTCCCCCTCAGGTTGAGGCCATCAGCGGAGGAAAGGGGCCCAAGGGCAGCCAGGGTGAGCTCAAGGGTCTTCTTGCCAAGCTTGGCTACCAGGCCGAACAGGTGTACAAATTCTAGATGCCGTTCTCTTTTCACACTGTACAATCGCGAAAAAGCATCCCTTTGGTAGCTCTGTCGATCGGAGGGGCTGGCCATTAGCACACCTGTAATCCACAAGTCCACCCTCGAACAATGTAGATCTGTGTTTATACAAAGAGTTTCCAGCGTGAGCATACGTGATATGGCAACGAGCTAGCGATCGGGTCTCTCCAAATTGGATCGATCTTCGATCCCATTAGCCGTGCGCGGCCGCCGATCTCACATCTTGGAAAAATCGCCAATTCGCGTCTTTGAGTCAGAAAGGGGTCTGGTGCATGAAGCTGAGACAAAACATCTCCTCTTGAAGCTGTCAAACTTCCGCAACCGCCTTCATGAGCCGCTACATTCTTCGAAGAGCCACATTTCTTCACCCCTATGAGAACGCGTAGAGGAGGCGATAAGATAGCAAAAGGTGGAGCCCGCATGAGAATTGCAAACGATGATTGCCGAGAAGGATGAGGAGCGGTCGTGTGGTAGTGCGGCGAATTTCAGCGTGGATCAAGGTTCGGAGATCCAATTGTGCAGCACAAAGTAGAATCTACCAACATCATGCGCTGATCCGGTTTCGCGCCGCTTGCCGTCGTCACAAGGTCGTTACCGCACTAGAGTCTATCTCGAGGCCGTCGCTCATGCCAAGAGCCAAGGCTGAGGTTCTGTCTATCGGCAGGTCTCGCTCTCCTTCCAGCATTGCATTGCCCCAAGTGTTTGTCCTCATTCTGCAAAAAGCTTGTTGCTCTCGATGCAACTCAATGTGGCAAGGTGCGTGGTCTGAGCCTAAGGCCTCTGTAAGGGGGTGGCGCAGTACGCCAAGCTGCAACGATGATTGAGTGAGGGCAAGGCAGTTCAGTGAGTTGTGAATTCACCTGAGTGCTTGAGCGAGAGGGCCTACCCGTGTGGGAAGCGCTGGCCTTTGCCGAGAAGAAAGACAGGTTATGAACGGCGCTGCACTTGCCTTGCAGCTGTCACTGCTGCCAAGCCGTAGCTTGGAGCTGTAGAGTTTTTCATGACATCTCTGCCTTTCCTGCAGTATGCAATGTCGATCCGCTACTGGGCTCACTCATTCCTCTTCCCCCTCAGCCGGCCTGGCCCTTGCCGCCAGTCCCATCAAAGTAGACGTTGCTCTCCACGCTGCTCCCTTGCCTGTGATTTCCAGGCTGTATGCCGGTCTAGGTGTGCTCTCAGGCGGAGTCTCCCGCTCTCCACGCCGATATATACGCTGAGCCTGTATGCAATCAACTCCGCTTCCTCTCCCTCCTCCGTCTCAGCTGCACTAGTATTGCTGGTCTGGTCTCCATCCTTTCCTGCTGACCACCACCATCTTTGGTCTTTCCGATCCTTCCTTCCTTTGACAACCCTTCGCACCATCGCATTCATCCCTCCCAGTCGATCAGCTACCGAGCGCGAGCAGAACTCGGTCGAGGCGTCCTCTCCATATCCCCGAATCTCTTTCAACACAACTCGCAACCATGCCGGGCATCACCAAGCGACCCGACTTCTCGAGCCCTGAGTTCCGCGGCAGCCCGCAATACGCTGGTGCTTCCGCGATGTTCCCCGCGGCAGCCAAAGAAGTCTCTGTCCCTGGCGTCACTCGTCGTCCTGACTTCTCCGACCCGCAGTACCGTGGCAGTCCCCAATACACCGGCGCATCCGCCATGTTCCCCGCCGCCGTCAAGGAGGTCTCCACCCCCGGCGTCACCAAACGTCCCGACTTCTCGGACCCTCAGTTCCGCGGTTCGCCTCAGTACACCGGAGCGTCTGCTCTCACCCACATGAAGCAGCACTCTCCCACGAAGAAGACCGTCCGACTGGCCGAGAACCCGCACGTGTCGGCCTTCCTCTCGCCCAAATCGCGCATGTTCACCGGTGGCCACGGCTACCCTGGCGTTCCTGCCCGCGGTCAATCCACTGGTGCCTACAGTACATCCTCCGCTCCTGCCGCCGAGTTCTCGGTGAGCGGAAAGCAGCTGACGCCCGACGAGGTGGCACAGAAGATCGCATCGATGCTCAAGCCGGGTCCTCCTTTCTTCAGTCGTGTGTCAAACGCGGATCTGATCGACTTCATCTCGGACTCGAGCATCATGAACTGCGACGCGTTGCGCAAGCAGGCCGAAGTGCTGGAGGCGAAGAAGATCGCCAACCGCGCAACTGCAGCCTTCGTTCCCAGCGGCACAGTCGTCCGCCGTCGCGCGGAGGAGGAGCGCTGGACAGGTGTCGGTACGGTCTGGTCCTCGCTCGACGGCTTGCCTGCCGGCGCATCGTTCGGCCGCATCCCCGGCCAGGAGACCATGTCCGCCCAAGCTTCCGGCACCGAAGATGACGGTCTGTGGAACGCCATCACCCTCTCCTGCGATATCGACTGCACCAACGTCACGCTCGCCAAGAGCGTCGTCGTCCCCACCCAGGTGCTGCAGCACAACAATTTCTTCAACGGCAACTCGCAGAGTCTGTTCGACGAGATCGGCGCCGGTGCCAAGTACAAGTTCGACGAGCTGCTCGGTAAGAAGTCGTCCAGCCACAAACAGTCTGCGTCTTCCTCGACTACTGGCAGCAAGATCACCCCCAACTACCTCTCGCTCTCCGCTTACACGGACCCCAATGCCGCTTTCAACGCGACGTCGTTCGAGCTCAAATGGCCCAGCTGGATGCCGTGGGGCAAGAAGACGGCTCCTGTCGAAGGTGCGCCTGCCACAACGCCCGCTGCGGGCGGTCAGAAGCGTGTCTGGGTGCCCTCTTCCACCAAAGTCTCCATCCACGCCTCTTGGTGGGGTTACAACCTCTACCTGCCCCAACCCGTCCTCGATAAGCTGGACGGCGACGTCGATGAGGCCGAAAAAGTGGCCAACTTGATCAACAAGTGCCTCACCTACATCCTCAACAACGTCCCTGCCGGTCTGCCTGCTTCTTTCGCTGCGGTGGTCGTCATTTTGAAGGCGATCGCCCCTACCACCGGGTATATTAGTACGTTTATCGGTTGGAGCTGGGACACTATCAAGAGCTTCAACAAGGGGCAGGGAGTGGTGTTGAGTGCGACGTGGATTTTGCCTGTTGCGCTGATTCCTAGGGCTTGGGATGCGCCTGCTTCGCCGAACGGTAGTGCGCCTGCTACGCCGAGCACGCCTGCTGTGCCCCTGCCTGCGACGCCCGCGGCTCCGGCTGATTCGACGACGCCTGCTGCTGGTGGCGGGTCGACCACCACCCCGGCTACGGGTGGTACTGGTTCCACCACCACGCCTGCCACGGGAGGTACTGGCTCGACCACCACTCCCGCCCCCACCACCGGCAACGGCTCCACGACCACCCCCACCACCACCACTCCCACCGCCGTCAGCGGAACAGGCATGCCAATGACAGCACAGGACGTGGTCAACGATCCAGAAAACAACCCGCTTCCCGATCCCAACATCCCACCCGTCGCAGCGCCCGGTGCCACCCTGCCTCCCGCCAACCCCTCTACCGTCAACCTGGACCTCTCCGCCCCACCCACCAACGACACAGCGAACGCGTCCTACCCCGGCGACGCCCGTGGCCGTGGCGGAGATCAGAGCACTGCCGCTCCCATGGGCAACACCCCCATCCCCGCAGGCCAGGTTCCGATCGACGCCGAATCCTAAAGCTACTGTGCCCACACGAACACTTTCTGATCTGACAAACTGTAATACGACCCACTATGAAGCCTCAACTTTCTCGCAAGAAACGATGTGTGGATGAAATGCGATGCGAATTGCAATGGAGTACAAATTGAACGACTTAGCGGTCCCAACCAGGGACGACTTTTTTAGCGGCCTTGTTGGCCGTGATTGGCACTGCAGCCGGTTTGGGAGAGGCGTGCGCGATGCGCGGGGATGAAGCTGCCGAATTGGCGCCGGCGCCGTTGGGCGTCTTGGCACCCGAGAGGGCCTTGTGCTGCGGGGCTTGTTGCTTGGTCTTGACCGATGCCTGTGCGGCTGCTGGCTTTTGAACGTCTGCGACGGTGCGGGTGCCGTTGACCTGCGCTGTGGGGGGGCTAGACTTGGCCGAGGCCGCCTCCTTTGGTTGCGCACTTGCAGCTGCTTGCTCTGCCTCACCCGGCAACTCCCGCCGATAGAACAGCAGATACGCAAGCCCATCATGCCCATAATCCCGGTTGACCGAGCTCGCGTTGCGCACAATGTGCTCCGTCGGAACAGTGTGGTACATCGTATCGTCAATGTGCAGCCACGAGTGACCATCCGGGCGCAGCACATCCACCGTATAGTGCCCACCGCTAGCGTAGCGGCCGTGATGGTACACAATGCCAAAGAGACGGTAGCGCGGGCGAGGCTGCGAGCGCATCGCAGGGCTCAGCACTTCGGGGGCGATCTCGAGCGTGGTTCCGTACGAAAGCGGTTTCTGGCTTTTCTGGACACCGCCGATCTCGTCGTAGATGAAGCGCTTGAGGTGGATGATGAGCACGGGCGGGAGGGACTCGATGAAGAACTGCTTGGTGGCATCGACAAAGGCAGAGCGCGAGGGCGACCACACGTCATGGATGATGTCGGGCTCGGTGAGCTGCAGAAGCGCGTCTTCGATCGACTGGACGTGCGCAGGCTGAATGTCGAGCTGGAGAGGCTGGTAGGGTTCGAGCATGACGCTGTCCTTGGCTCCGGGGGTTTTGAGCACGCTGCGAAGCTTGCCGCCGAAGATGCGGGTGATGGGCGACTCGGAGGTGGAGGTGGTGCGTGTGAAGGCGGTCTTGCCCTTTTGTCCCACTTCCATCCAGCCTTCTTCGGATGGACTGCCGGGACGCATGACTTCGCGCTCGACAATGTCGTCCTCGTCGAAGGCCGCATCCAGTCCCAGACCGACAGGCTCGCCCGAGGCATTAGCCTCCTTGTTGACGCGAACACCCAGACGCCTGAGGTCATCGTCGGAAACACCGTTGAGCTTCTTCTCCTCCTCCGACATCTTGGAGAGGATACCGTTGGGTCCGCCGGCCGACTGAGCCAGCTTGATGGCGGATCGGCGCTGTGCTGCAATGAGCTCCTCGTGGAGCGTGTCGAGGAAGAAGCCGAGGAACTCCTCGGCATCCTCCTGGTGACCGCGGCGCATCTGGTCGAAGCGCTTGTTGAGACGCATGGCATCGTAGACAAACTCGGGAACGAAGGGCTCGGAGGCAGCAGCGATGGAAGCGTCGTGGCCGAGGTGGGGCGAGTCGAGCGAGTGGGAGGAGTCGACGGGAAGGAACTCGCGCAGAAACTGGATCACGGCTTCCATGAGCGGCGTAGCGTTGCCAAAGTCGGCGGGCACTTCTCGTCCGATGAGGCTAAAGAGATTGTAGAAGGGAGCGCAGTAGACGAGTGTTTGCAGGATGGCGTTGGCGAAGCAAAAGTTGCCCTTGTTGACGAGACCTCGAGGGTGGGTGACGGGAGCGTCGAAGCGAGTGTGAGCATCGGCCAGCAGTCGCTCGAGGCTCATGACGGCAGGTCTGCTTTGAGCAGCGCCCGATTTTCGACCGGCTTTCTTGCCGTTGGTGGCCTTTGGAGAGCGTGCTGCCGAGGGGGAGCCGATGTCGGAAGCGGTGGAGGCATGCTCGTTGCCAACGTTGACGCTGACGCCGATGGGACCCTTGGAGTGGAGACCGGTGCGACCGAGGGTGTCGGCCCACGACTTGGGCGTCCCCCACGCGGGTTTGGGAGCCGAGAGTTGAGGAGTTCCGATGGCGGACGAGGATTGCGAGTCGGGAGCGGCGATGCTGGTCGCTTCTGTGAGCGAGGAGGCAGCCAGGTCGGGATGCTCAGATGTGAGAGGGGAAGAGGGATGCGTCGAGATGGTGGAGGGTGCCGGAGGGCTTTCCGAGGTGCGTGATGCTAGTGAGAGTGGTTGTTGCTTTGGCAGAGAGTCGAAGAGGGAGGCCCAGTTTGGAAATTGGGAGGCAGGCCGACATCGGTAGGAGAGGGTGAGAGCAGGCGCTGAGGACGGAGATGGAGGGCGGAAGGCGGCGCCGTATTCGGGAGCGTCGTGGATGGTTTGCAAGAAGGGATCGATCTGATTGGTTCTTGAGGAGGATGCGGCTGTTGGAGCGTCTTGATGGGATGCTGCGCTTCTCTTTTGCCTTGCGCGGGGCGATAGCTGACCTGCTTGCCGCAACATGACGCCGCTTTCGGATGGGTTGGGTGAAGCCTGCGCTGAAGAGCTTGCGGGCGCCTCGCCATTGTCAACGAAGGATTCCGAGACGAAAGAGGGAGGGTGGACGCTCGAAGTGGCTTGTAAAGATGATGCTGCTGGTCTGGATGATGATGCTATGTTCGAAGAAGGTGTAGATGGTGGTTGTGGATCGAGATCTTGCGACTTGGCTGGTGCCTGTCCGGAAGAAGATTTTGACGAGGAGGCCTTAGTGTCATGTGAGATCGGTGTCGATGCTGCCGAGCCGTGAGAGGCCACTCTGGCCTCTGCCATCGAAGGAGCCATGCTATTGATGATTTGTGCGAAGTCTACAGCTCGATTGAGACTGTGTTGGTGGAATGCCGAAGGATTCGATCTTGGCTCAGGCAAGGTCGAAAAAGTGCAAGCGATTGGTGTAGTTTCTTGATGCCGTTGTATGCGCGATCGAATGGATGCAAGCGCCTCGAGCCAGAACGTTGTTCAGTTGCAACGGTTCGCGAAAGGGTCCCGTCGATGTCGAAAGGGATTACAAGGAGTGTGATGGTCGAGTCGGGCTGAGTGTGAGCAAGTTGAGAAGGAAAGAGACAAAGCTGCGAAGGTGTGACTGCGTGCTCTGTTTGCTGTGGAATTGGTCATCGAGCTTTGCTGCTGCTGCTGCTGCTGCTGCTGCGATGTGCAGGCGAGATCATTTCAATTGCACCGTCTGCAGACCTAAATTGATTTTCTTGACTTTTCTCCACCTTTTTGCTCATCGTCACACTTGACCGCCAGATCGATAGAAACCCGAGCCAGCTCGCGTGAGGTAGGTTGTCGATGGATCTAACATCTTTAAATAAATGCGTACCATATGAAGTGCGGCTGTTGTCCCTTTAAGGATGGGTCGCATGCAGCCGAGATGAGGGCTGTGACGTTCTCAGAGGGCTCGAGTTATCTGCGCCTGTGACCGCAGAGGATGAGGGTGACCATGTCCGCAGGGCGCTGAATAGCCACGTAGATTGCCTTGCAGAGGGCTGAAAGCTTTGGTGGCCCCGAGGCTAAATTTTTGAAAAAGTCGCAGCAACCTGTCAAAAAGTCAAAAGTCACACGCACGACAAGCAACGATGCACCATTCCACCTCTCCTTGATCACCTCCGCATACTTCTCTCGGCTGCACCACCACCATCCTCGCATTCAACAGTCCGCATACTTGCATTGTTCCACAGCATATCAAAACCCGGCGCGATTCTCCCTTCGTCCCCACATCCCAGCTCTGCTCGGCACGCCTCGGCAAGCTACGGTCCTTTGCGGTCTTTCTCCAACAGCTACGTCTGCTTGCTCCACCCCTTTTCGCCGTCGCCGCATCCAAGACTACTCGGCATACAAGCAAAGCCATCATGTTTCAGTCTCGCTGACGTGGACCCCATCAGATCTGGCTACCCGGCCTCACAATCCAAGCGCGACCTCCACCTCGCACACCACCCGGCTATAAAGCCCAGGCGTTACTCCCATCATGACACAGTTGGATGGTCTTGCAGACAGCCTAGCTGCCACCTCTTTGAGGCCGGCGGACGCCGCCACGGTCTCAGCAAGTCATAAGACACCGCTCAAGCCAGCCAAGGCTTCCTTTGCATCCGCTCTCCTATCTGGGCAAACGATCGCTCCTCCTACATCTAACAAAGATGCTTTATCTGATGCAGCATCACCAGATCTGGCATTCATAGCAGGGGTCGCTTCTGGCAGCGCAGATCCTGCTACTGAGTCAACATCGATATCGTCGTCCTCCGAGCTGGTCCCAGTCGACGACACCATCCTACAAGCCATCCGCAAACGAGACGATCGCATCTTTTTCAGCCAGTACGAGAATCAAATGGCCGCCTTCGTGCAAGACGCTTCCCGCGACAGCCTCGAGCTCGGCGCAATGAACACCTACCAGCGTCTGCTTGTTCATCGATGTGCAGACCAATTCGGCCTCCACCATCAGCTCGATCGTGCAACCCACTGCATCACTCTCACCAAGACATCGTCGACCTCGCATCCTTCGGCCCTCCTCTCGGCCCGAGCCCGCGAGCACCTCGCTGAGCAAGGTTGTATCGATCCAGCCAACATGCATCCTGCTGTAGCTGATTTCGCCGGCTCATCCGACTCGTCGCCCTCCAGATCCTCGACCGGCTCGCCAGCTCCTGCACCAGCTGGTCTCCAGTCGAGCGCATCGTCCGCGCCCAAATCCGGGTTCAAGATTATGCGTCGTGATCCCTCCAGCAACCGTCAGTCACCATTGCGCTCCCTCGATCACGGCGACAGCGACTCGGACAAAGCAAAGGCACGCAAAGATATGACGCTCGAGGAAAGAGAGGCTTCCTACAAGGCCGCCCGTGCACGCATCTTTGGTGACGTCGCCACGAGCGGCGCTTCCTCTCCTACCTCGGCGACACCACCGCTCGACGCAAGCAAAGAGAACGACTCGACGACAGAGGCAGCATCATCGACGCTGGACAGCAATGGATCGTCTTCCGTCTCAGCCGCTTCAAGTCCCATTGCCTCGGTCTCGGGTGCACCCACAGCCCCTCGCGTGAAGAAAGTGCCATCGTCCAGCTCCTCTGTGACAAGCCAAGACGGATCCTCTCAACGCAATCGAGGAAGCGCCAAGAGCAGGGCAGGCTCTGCCAACGACAGCAACAACGATGACATGGACTTCAGCCGCGCGATGCCAATCGCGTCTTCGTCTGCATTCGGACGACAGCAGCAGTCGAGCCCTTTGGGTTTGCCAGGACACACCGCTCAAGGTTACTTTCCTCCGGCGCACGCTCCGCATTCGAACCCCAATTTGAGGTCAACCGCACCGGCGTTCCAGCCCTCAGTCAGCCATGCCCCGTCATATCCACAGGGTGGCATGGGTCAGCCAATGCAGTGGAACGGGCAAGGATCTTCTCAATCACTGTGGCCTCAACCGGGTCAGGGTGGAGAGAACGACGGCTTTCCAGCACTGGGCGGCTCGAGACAAGATGGGATGAACAGCGCATTTAGAGGTACACAGCAATCCAGCGCTTGGGACTGGTCTCGAGCCGGTCCGTCGGCTGCAATGCGAGTCGGTCAGGAGCAAAACATGCACGGCGTCAACGCTTGGGCGCAGCATCAGTCTCAGCAGCAATACCAACAGCCGCTCTTCATGCTCAATCAGCAGCAGCAGATCCCACAAGGCTTCAACCCCTACGCACCGACCGCACCTGCATTCTCGCCGCAGTATACCCAGCTTGGGCAGCAACCCTTTGCGCCCAGCGCGCGGAGCGCCAACAGCAGTCGCGCCAGTTCGCAACGTGGAGGCGGCACAAGGAGCAACAGCCGAGGTGGGGCGAGGGATGACGCGATGAGCGTCAGCTCCATCTCATCCACTACATCTTCTCGCTCCGCCAGCTTTAGCGGCGTGAGCGGGTCAGGCAGTGTGAGCACCAGTCAGCCGGCTAACGGCGGAGGGGGTGGCAAGAAGAAGGCGCCAGTGTCGCATCCCTCGTTGCCTGCGAGGCCGGCGTGGTTGTCCCCGCCGCGGGCGTCGGGTGCCGAGGACAAAGATGGACAGTAAATGGCATCACTTCTGCAGACACTTTGTATGATTTGGTGTTACAGCAGCGCCTAAGGCAATCGTTCGTCACCGTTCTTTTCCAAGTTGTGAGGCGCTTGTGAACGAATGTGATTTTGTCTTCTTGAATATCGAGCATGAAAGCATGTTGTGCTGTTGTAGACTGAGCATCACCGTCTAGTCGAGGGTCATATACTTCTCGACGCAGTCCTTCCAATCCTCCTCGGCGACCTTGATGCATCCCTTGGCGCCGTCCACCCTCGCCTTCTGCACGTCATCGAATGCGGACCACCACCAACCGTGAACCACGGCATCGGGATCTTTTCCCTCGGTGTTCACCCGCCCACCTGGCCTACCTAGCGTCCAGGGCTTGTCCAAGATGTAGTGCACGTTGGTCGCCACCTCGTCATCCCAGATGTTCGGGTGGACGATGCGGAGCTTTTTCAGCGCGTTGTACTTGTACGGCAGATACCTGATGTTTCGTTGCCTTGGGTTGGAGGGTTGTGGGGAGAAGAAGTCGGCTAGGAAGTCTTGATCCGGAAAACGATATTCTGGGATACGGGGGTCGGTGTTGATCGCCTCGACCATCTCATCCATCGTCGCCTGGGACGGGGTCAGCAGGACAAGGCCGGAGTTGATGAGTCTGGCAGGTCGGGGCGTCGACTCGTCCGGCTGCACAATGGTCGAGGATGATGCGGCTTCGGGTAGACATTGGGGAGTGAACCCACAGTTGGCAGGAATCCACTCTTCCGGGTAGGTAGCAATCCGATTCGGGTTGCAAGTGCACGCCCACGAGGCTCCAATCCACTCCCCCTCCGTACCAAACACAAACGGATCCGAAAAGAGGTCGTCCATGTTGTGGCGCACCAGCATGTCGGAATCCACCAGCGCGACTCGGGAGAATTCGGTGAGGGAGAACGCTCGGAGTTTCGTCCACACCTCGTTGAATCGTGTGTAGGCCAGACCGGTCGCGATCGAGGTTGGGTAGATCGGGTCGATGTCCCTAATGATGAGTCGACCAGAAGGGAGCATGGAGGAGAGGATGGAGCGGGCACGAGGAGAGAGCTTGGCGGTTGCCATGATGACCAGCGGGTGCGCGGATGCGTGTTGCACGAGCAGCGAGTGTGCGAAGACCATGAGCCCGGGCAGCAGGTGTTCCGACGTGAGCAGCGTTGCCCACGCGCACCGCGGTGCAGAGCTGTCGTCGCCAATCGACATAGTGAGATGGAGCAGCGTCTAGTAGGTGGATCCGGGAGGAAGGTGGTCGTGAAGACGGACGGAGGTCAGATGGAAAGGAGAGGGCAACCGGGCGAAGTTCGGGGTCAAAAGTCGATGTCGTTCCTACCCATCCCATCAAGGGTCCTCTTCTTCATTTCGCCCTTCCGAGATGGACTACGCAATTATGCACATCTGATGCACGGCACAGACGAATTTCCTAGCCACGTTCATCAGCGATCTGCAGCACTGACATGATCCACTTCTTCCGCGGACTTTTTCATCGCAGAGGCATCCTCAGCCTAGTAGGGCACCTTTTCGCGCCTTGGCCGGCTTAGTCGGTCGTTGTTCCTCGGGCGATCATGTCAGCGATCCAAGATGCTGTAAATCCAACGATGGACTTGCAAAAATGGAGGGGACAAAAAGCAATGCCTCCTAGCCGACTCGAACGACTGACCTCTTCATTACTAGTGAAGTGCTCTACCGCTGAGCTAAGGAGGCAATTGTTGAAGGGGAGCCGATGAGTTGCATACATATATCGCCCACCCTTTCCTGCAACTTCGCAGAACACAAGGCACAGCATGTCATCCCAGACAGGCTTCTCACGAAGAAGAGGCGGTTTGAGATCCGAGAAATATGTGAGACCGTTATAAAGCTCGCTCTGGATCTTCCGTTTGCCGACAGAAGGTCGAAGCTGTGGACCCTCTTTCCTCATCTTCGCATCACCATCTGGCCCTCATCCTGAATCATAGCCCTCTTACTGGACACATCAGCTTACAAGCCACTTTCGCACTCAACCAGGGCCAAACATCTTTTGAATATCGCTGGTCTGCACGCATAGCATCCACGAACTATCGCACTCGGACAGCATTGCCCACGATCGATTCCCTGCAAACAGGCTCGCGCTAGCTCCCGCACAGCTCATCATCGCTTTCATTGTCTCCTTCGCCAGGTCTACATCCACGGGGGCAACCACACACAATTGGTAGCAAGTCATGCAGAATCCTTACTCAATACAGCCCTCGGCATCAGGCTCGACAACGCCGCCGTATCCACCCGCATCCTCGTCCTCCCGAGCAGCCCCACCCACGACGGTCGACGCGGCGGGGGTCAACGGCGTGATCACAGGCGCAAATCCCGATACCAACATCATGTTCTGCGTAGTCTGTGCTTCGAATCAGAACCGATCCATGGCGGCGCATTCCCTTCTGGCCCAATCCGGATTCAACGTCACCTCGGCCGGCACGGGGTCAGCGGTCCGACTGCCAGGACCCAAGATCAACCTGCCCAACATCTACCCCTTTGGCACGGCGTACACCGACATTATCGACGATCTCAACTCCAAAGATCCCCGCCTGTACTGGGCGAACGGGCTGATGACGATGCTCAACAGGAATAAGGATGTCAAGCGCGCACCAGAACGGTGGCAGGAGACCAAATATGCAGCCGACATCGTCATCACCTGCGAAGAACGCTGCTTCGACGCGGTGTGCGAGGACCTTTTCGGGAGAGGCGGCGAGCTCAACAGGCCAGTACACGTGATCAATGTCGAGATCAAGGATAATCACGAAGAGGCGGTCGCTGCGGGCAAGGCGATATTGGATCTGGCAAATGCGATCGCGGGCGCGGGCGATGTAGATGCCGAGATGGACGGGATTCTCGAGCATCACCAGCAGACGTACCCGCATGCGATTTTGCATACTGTTGCGTACTACTGATGCAAGCAATCACAACGTGACAAAAACACAGACAGATTTACGCGCGCCGAAGAGAGAATGCCACGATGCCGGGATGCTATGAGCGAGACGATAGGAACATGAAAGGGGGGTGTGAATGTAGACAGGGGTAACTTGGATGACCAGCGCGAGAATGCTGTTGAGTTGGATGCGAGGCTGGTCCTTGCTGCTGACAGGCTTGACATGGGGCCGCTGAAGTCGATGCGAATGCGGCCCACGACGTCTCTACTGCGTGCAGAAGGATGCTGATGCTTGCTCCTCAGAGCAAGACGCACTTCTTCTTTGCGCCTCCTGCACCGCCACCTCTCCTTCCCCACCCCTTCTTCCGACACGCCTCCCTAATCGCGCTATCGAAGACCTCCTTCACTCCCTCCCTCGTCTTTGCCGAGCACTCAACGTATTTCGCCGCTCCGATCTCGTTCGCTACCTCTTGTCCCTGCGCCGGTGTCACCGGTTTGCTCCCTTGCGCCTGCAGCATGGCCAGACTATTCCTATCCTTCCGCAAATCCGTCTTGAGTCCCACCAACAAAATGGGCACTCCTTCGCAGAAATGGTTGATCTCTGGAAACCACTTGTCCTGTACATTCGCCAGACTCGTCGGAAAGTCCACGGCGAAGCAGATGAGGATCACGTCGCTTTCCGGGTAGCTGAGCGGTCGAAGGCGATCGTACTCTTCCTGACCCGCAGTGTCCCACAGCGCCAGCTCGATGGTTTTGCCCTCGAACTGGATTATGGGCACGTAGTTTTCGAAGACGGTGGGAACGTATTCTTCGGGGAACTTGTTCTGGGAGTAGACGATCAGGAGACATGTTTTGCCGCACCCGCCATCACCGACGACGACAAGCTTCTTTTTTAGATCGATCTGTGGGCGACCGGGGATCTGCTGGATCTGACCTTGACCGGGCGGCGCATCGGATAGTGTCGAGCCGCTGTTGTAGCCGTTCATTGTGACCGAGGGAGGGCTAGGTGAGCGTGAGTCCGCAATGTCGAGTGCGTGCGTGTGTGGGTGGGTATGCGTTCGGACGATGATCGATGCCGGGAGGATGCGAGCGTGCAAGATGGTATAGGGACGAGATGTGAGTGGTGTGCTTCTGGATGCTGGTTGATCGAGACGTGATGCTGCGTGGTTGTCAAGAGGAAGGATGTGCTTCTTGGTTGCTGTACTTCGGGACCTGAGGTGCAGAAATAACACTTTCTCAGCTGCACAGCAGATCTCTATCTCAGCTCGTCCCGCTGTCTCTCGTGAGAGGCTGGTGTTGCTCTCTGCTGAAACAGAGCTGCAGTCAGACTCAACGCGCTGCAGCTTCTAAGAAAGGCGAGTCAGTTTCACGTGATGGAGACAGCAAGTCTAACACCTTCGGGCAATTGCACGGGATAGTGTTGGTGTGGAGGCCAAAAGTGGGTTTAGAGCTTGTCCTGCGCAGTCACCTGTCAACCACCTCCTCATCCTTCGAACTTTCGCCCTCTCGAGCCTCGTCTCGTCACAGCTTCATTTGCCCCACAAGCTTCTTCCGCGATGAAGTGAGCGCAGCAAAGTGTCCGAGGCAACTTCACCGTCAAGAGCAGCGCTCAAACCTGTCGTGATTGCTGCGCTCACGGACCCCAACGATGCTGCTCAGTGCATAAAAGCAAGGCCCTCTTCTGAGTCTCAATCTGCTTCTTCCAGGTCACATCGGCAAAACGGTCTCATTCAGTGTCTCTGATCATGGAAGCCGTCTTCATCAAATGTGCCAAGCCGGCCATCTACCACGAGCTGCAGCAATGCCTTCAGCCCTTCGTCTACTGGCACGTCACCGAGTCCGTTCAAGAAGGATACAACCCCGAGGCCATCGGCGAGCTACAGGAGGAGGTCGAGGTCGAAGCGCTCGTACTTGAGCGTGGCTCAACTGCACGCGATCATGCTCTTGGCTACTTTATCTCTCTGTTCCACCACTACTTGGCCCGACAGTCCGGTGCCGCCAACATCGATGCGGCCATCGACGCACTCCACGCCGACCTCGACAAGGAGACCCCTGTTGCACCTTTCAACGACTTCCACCTCGACACAGCGGATATTTACGCCTACATCGAGGAAGAGAGGCAGAACGCTGGTATCATCGCTGACGATCCGGACTGGCACCAACGACCCAAAGTCACCGCGAGTCAGCAGTGGAACGCTCTTTTCAAAAAGTCGCTCGAACAGACCCGCGTAGCCTACGTGCAGGCTTGCGAGCGTTTCGAGCATCGCTTCAAGCTCGGATCGGAAGCTGATCTCGAGCTGGTCCAGCTGCTACCCGACGACAAGCTCGCCGATCTCGCTTCCGAGTTCAGGGCCAAGCCTCGCCACGTTCCGGCTCCGCCTTCCGCTCCGGCTGGCAAGGAGAGCTTCTGGGCCAAACGCATTGGCAGCGAGCACACTGCCACCTCGAAGCATGTGCCAGAGTTCGAACCAGCCCACCTTGTTCAAGCTGGCCAGCAATTCAGGTCAGCCTGCATCGATGCTGTGAGAGCACACACAGCCACTTCCCACGCAGCGCCATCCGGCAAGGACGTCGACGTAATCCTTTCCCAAGCGCTGAATCTGGAGACGAACCCAACAAAGCTCGTCGAGCGCGCATCGCAGCAGTGGACATCGTGCACCCCCAAATCAGCTTCTCCAGACGAAGAAGCCATCATCCGCCGGGCCAAGGACTCGCTCAGCTCAGCACTCCGCATCCTCGCCAGGCGGGATGGTCAGCGCAACATCGATCTGCGCATCGACGCACTCAACCTCCGCGGTCACATCAATCGCCGACTTGCAGAGCTCAAACCACAGCACGAGGCGAATTATCTCAGCCGTGCGGTGACAGATTGGTCGGCGAGCGCAGAGCTGGATGCGGGGCAGAGAGACATCATTGAGGTGCTCGCGGAGACAGAGTTGCGCATGGAGTCGTTCGCTAAGAGCATTGCTGCATCAGAGGATCGGGAGATGAGCGTGGACAATGGCACACCTGATCGCGGGAAGCAGCCCGCGTCGCCTGTCTCTCCGCAGGCATCTGGAAAGCCGACGTCACCACGTAAATCCAAGGCCGAACGAGCCTCGTGCTCATCCGTCGCATCCACCACGCCCTCCGACGCGACCACCACCAGTCCGCCCGCCAAGACACGCGAACCGACCATCCTCTCCTCGCCCTTCTTCCGCACAGACCTGGTCACAGGGCTGATGGTGGACACGCTTCTAGCGCTGTCGTTCCCGCACCGTGCTTTCCGTGAAACCCTGCGCCTTCCCTCGGCAGCCTCACTGGCCGCAGCGGCGCAGGACCACGTGCCCATGCTCGAACGCCTCGCTCGCGCACACCAGCAAACAACCAAGTCATTGACCCCCGAGAACAAGGCGCAGCTCACAGAGGCGGTCAAGGCTGTGTCCGCGGTGCTTGCATTGCCCGACGTGCAGGGTGGAGCGGGTGCAGAGGGTCTGTTGCGACGAACAAGTTTGCGGTTGGTCCTCGGCACCATGTGGTTGTTGCAAGGAAGCACGGTCAAGGCGGGGACCGAGCTCGGCCTGGTTTCCGATGCGCTGCGCCCAGACACCCGTGCCAAGGCGGGGAAGGGGAAGGCGAAGTTCACGCCAAACGCGGAGGCCGGCGGAGAACAGGTCAGCGATGGAGCAGCGATACGTCAGATGCAAAGCCGCGTGCAGGGAACAGCGCTGTTTCTGCTAGCCAAAACGTGCTGGTTGGCAAACAAGGTGCAGGAGGCGATCAAGTTTTTCCGGTGGTTTGTCAAGTGGTATTCGGAGCAGCAGGCGGAGCGCGTGGCCGATGCGCGCGAGCGCGTGGCCGATGCGCGCGAGCGCGAGTCGGACATCGATTCTGGTCTGGGAGAGGGCGAGGAGGCGACAACGATCGAGCTGGAGGAGCTCGACATGGCGTGGTGGGACAAGGTCGTGGTCGTCACCAAGACCTGAGTTCCCCGGCGTCTCACAAATTTCACATTGTCACAGTCACCCGAATAAAACGACTCGGAACGACTCTATTGCATCGAAGTGATCATCCTTCGTCCTCACGGTCGCGCTTCCGTTTGCCCTCGTTCTTGACCGGCTTGTGCATGGCCGCCGGATGTCTCGCCAGTGCTTGCGGTACACTGCTCAACTTGCTCTTGGTCAACTCCTGCTTGAGGTCCCAGAACAAATCGCTATCTGCCTGATCGAGGAATGTGATCGCGGTACCCTTCTTGCCCGCCCTACCCGTGCGGCCGATGCGATGGATGTACGCCTCGATGTTGTTGGGCATGGCAAAGTTGACCACCAGTCCAACGTTGGGGACGTCGATACCGCGACCTGCCAGGTCGGTGGCGACGAGGATTTGGGTGGTGCCATCGCGCAGTTGGGCCAGGGCTTCTTCGCGGAGTTCCTGCGTCTTGCCAGAGTGCAGGGTGGAGATGTAGAAGCCTTGACGCGCGAGGTAGGTCGAGAGCTGATCGGCGGCTTTCTTCTGGTTGACAAAGACGATGATGGGGACGAGGTGCGAGGAGCGTTGGAGGATGGCGGTGAGGCGGGAACGACGCGCTTCGTCCGAAGGTTGGAATTCGACGAGCTGTTCGACGGTCGCGACTGCTTGGCCGGCGTCGCCGATCGTGATTGTGGCAGGACGACGCAAGTACACCCTCGCCATACGTTCGACCGACGGCGGCATGGTTGCTGAATACAACATCGTCACTCGATACCTCCCCACCGTGGCATCGCTCGACAGCGGGTCCTCCGCCACCGCAGAATCCGGCTTGAGATTCGACACGGGCAGCGAATCAAGGATGAAGTTGACCTGCGGCTCGAAACCCATATCCACCATCTTGTCCGCCTCGTCCATCACGACGTACGTGCACTGGCTCAGCACCAGCACGTGGCGCTCGATGCAGTCCTTCAACCGACCAGGGGTCGCGATGATGATCTCGGCGCCGTCGCGCAGCGCATACGCCTGGTCGTTCATATCGCGTCCACCGACGATCGATACGCAACCCAGCCCAAGGCGGCCAGCAAACTTGTTGGTTTCCGTCTCGATCTGTTGTGCAAGCTCGCGCGTGGGGACCAGGATGAGCGCCTGCGGACCCAGCGCCTTGGTGTGCTCATTGAGCTTGGGCAGCTTCGAGATGTACGCGAGCAAGGGGATGAGGAACGAGGCGGTCTTTCCGGAACCTGTCTCCGCAATGCCGATCAGGTCTCGATTCTGCAGGCCGATCGGGATGGCTTGTCGCTGGATAGGCGAGGGCTCCTTGTAGCCGACCTCTTCGATGGTGGAAAGAATGGACTTGGGGATGGTGGACTCGCGCCACGATCGGAGCGGACGAGGAATGTTACCGCCGCGAGCAGAGATGCCAAAGTCTTCGCGGAAGATGCGCCAGTCGCGCTCTTTCATCTGCTCGAGCGTCTTTTCGGTCCAGTGCTTGTCGTCGAAGCGGCGATCGAGCGGGTCGTAGCGGGTCGAGGCGGTCGAGGCGGAAGCAGAGCCGCCGTTGGTCTCGGACTGAATCTGCACGGCAAGGGACTCGACGGCGGTGTCATCTTCTTCGCCCCAGTCGAAGACGAACTTCTTGTCATTGGGCTTGCGTTTTGGCTTCTTCTTGTCGTCCTTGAGACCGAGGTATCGACGTCGGATGGCGGATTGTTCGGATTCGTTCAGCGATGCGCTTCCTTCACCCGCCTCTCCGTTCGCTGCAGCTTGGCTGGAGGCTCCGTTTGGTGCGTGTGAGTCGCCGTTGCGATGTCTTCCCTCATCTCGTCCATTTGCGACAGGCCTCCTTCTGTGGTCGCCCGCTCGAGGATCCGCATTGCCATAATCCAGATCTCCGTTGGTGTGATGGCGTCGATCGGCTTCTCTCCCTGTCGAGTATGCGGGCTGCCTCGAAGACGAGGCGACCGAGCGAGCCTGCTTCTCAAGCTCTATCCGGCATTTCTGCTCCTCCTCCTGCTTTTGCGTCCGTTGTCTCTCTTCTTCCTCCTTCTCTCGCTGCGCTTTGGCTGCTCGCTCGGCTTTCGATAGGAAGCGTGGCTTGAGCGCCGACTCCTGCTTTTGCTTCTCGAGGATTTCCGCCACCGAGAGGGGCTGCTTCGACATGTTTGCGATCGCTTCCGCCTGAACAGCTCGTCGCACGTAGCCCAAGATGGTGAGAAGAGTAAGCAGTCGGGAGTGAAGCTGAGCCAAAAGTGGTGAGGAGAGGGTCCAGCTGAGACTTCCGTGTTCCGCTCAGTCCGGGAATTTTGGGCTCGAGGTGTTAGAGTGATTCGATTTGCTTTCGAGCAGCGTGCGAACCGGCTTCCGGAAGCGTTTCGTGGCCGAGAGCAGCTGATTGACAGCAGCCCACCTGAGTGGCGCGCATTCACACCAACAGCCAAGCTAAGGTTGAGACCCTGCCCAAGACTTGTCTTGGCCTTCCCCCGCACTCGTGCCAGCCGCTTGCCGCCTCGCTTGGCTTGCTCGCAACTTCTCACCTCTGCCCGCATTGACCAGCCTCTTCCCTTACCACCACCTCCCCGCATCCCGAGACGAATCATGTCGCAGATCAAGCTCACCAAGCCCACCGTGCCCTTCTCGGAGGCGCCCTGGATTCAGGGCTTGCCCTCCTCGATCTTCACTTCGCCCTCGCACGTGCAGCTGCGCGAGTGGGCGCGCAATTTCACGGACGAGGTCATCGTCAAAATCGGCGCCAAGTACGTCGAAGCCGGCCGCATCACCGATGACGAGGCTTATCAGCGTTGTGCCAAGGACGGTGTTCTCTTTGCCTTCGCCACAGGTGTCCATGTCGATCCCAAGATCGCCAAGATTGCGGAGCGCGCGGGCGTGTCCCTGCCAGCCGGGATCAAGATGGACGAGTGGAGCAACATCCACGACTACATTATCTGGGACGAACTCAACCGCGCCGCTAGCGCTGTGATGATGGGTCTTCTGGGTGGCTTGACCTACGGAACGGGTCCCCTTATGCACTTTTGTAGCGACGAGCAGAAGGAGCGCTGGCTGCCCGAGATCTTCTCGGGCAAGAAGCGAATTTGTCTCGCCATCACCGAGCCCCTCGCAGGAAGCAATGTCGCCAACCTCAGCACCGAGGCCAAGCTCATCGAGGAGAACGGCAAGAAATACTACCTCGTCAACGGAAGCAAGAAGTGGATCACCAACGGCATCTACTCGGACTACTTCACCACTGCTGTCCGCACGTCCGGAAAGGCAGGCGACTCCTCGGGCATCTCGCTGCTCCTGATCCCCAAGGGTCCCGGCGTGACCACCAAGCAGATGAAGATGCTTCCCGGCGGCGCCTCCGGCACCACCATTGTTGAGTTCGACGACGTCAAGGTGCCCGTCGAGAACCTGATCGGCAAAGAGGGCGACGGCCTTCGGCTCGTCTTCTTTAACTTCAATCATGAGAGGATGACCATCGCGTTCACGGCCCTTCGTCTTTCCAGGGTGTGTCTCGAGGATGCCATTGCCCATACTCGTCGTCGCGAGGTGTTTGGCAAGAAGCTGATCGAGCAGCCGGTGGTGCGCTACAAGATCGGCCACATGGCGCGCGAAGTGGAAGCCCTGCAGGCGTGGGTGGAAAGCATTGTTTTCCAACAAATGAACCTGACCATCCCACAATCGAATTTGTTGACCGGCGGAACCTGCGCGTTGCTCAAGGCGCATGCGGGGATCGTCCTGGACCACGTTGTTAGGGAGTCGCTCCATCTGTTGGGAGGAATGGGACTGACCGTCGGCGGAACCGGAGAGAGAATCGAACGCATCTACAGGGAGGTCAAGGGCATGACCATCCCAGGTGGAAGCGAAGACGTCATGCTCGACCTGGGCGTCAGACAGCAGTTGAAGCTCGTCGGTCCTCAGAGCAAGTTCTGAACCGGCTGGCTAGATGTAGAGCCGAGAAATTGTCAGTTTTCATGTGTCAGAATGTTTCTGCGTCTGTGGCTTTGAGGGAAGAGTGCCTGCCTCAAGCTGTGCTGAAGCGTCTCAGTGCTTGTCGGAGGATGACGGTGGTGTTGTTCTCAGACGAAGCTGACCAAAGGTTTGATTGCTGTGAATGACAAGACGTCTATGCGACGGCCTCAGCCTCTGTTGTCTCTTCTATCCTGACCCGCTTCGCATCTCGCTCTTCTTCAGCAGCAGCACCGTCGTCTTCCTGCGCCCGCTTGACCCCTTCGCCTTCCTCCTTCTCTTCGCCTTGTACCTCAAGCTTATCCGACTCTGACTCCTCCTGCTCCAGCTTGGCCAAGTACTCCTTGCGCATCTCTAACGCCTGCTTCTCACCAAACACCCTCAGCGCATGCAGAATAAATCCGGCCGTGCTGCTCGTCGTCATCTCCGGATGTGTCCTGCCCGGCAGCACCTGGTACTTCCTCAACCAAGGCTCCGTGACACTGATGTTAATAAACTCCTCGTCCTGCCTCATCTTTGCGCTCGCCTCTGCCAAGGGTTGCAAATAGGGGCTGTGGACCACGACACTTGCCGATCCGCCGAGGTGCGGTTTGAGTCGTCGCAGAATGCTCATTGGATCGTAATGGCATGCGATGAGAACCGCGTCGAAGTCGCCGGCGAAGAAGTCGGTGCGAATGCGGTCGATCTCTCGGAACCCAGCTTGACGCTTGCGATCCCTCGCCTTGTCTTTGACGGACCGCGTGGTGATGGTGGCAGAAGTGATGTCTTGGTTGGAAAAGACGGGTGCATAGTCCGGCTCGGTGGCTGCCCAATTGATCACCTTGAGCACGTGTCGCGTTGTCGAAGGTGGCAGGTTGAAGTAAGGGACGATGTCGAGAGAAGGTGGAGATTCGGCATCGTTGATCGCCATGACCATGCCGTCGCCTCCAAGCCTCTCCAGAATCGACCCCACCAGCAGACCAGACACACCGTCAACAACGAGGTACCGTCCCCCCGGTCGAACACTTCCAAAACTCAACACCTGCGAGAGCGCATCCTTGCGAATGTACCGAATCTTCTCTGGCGACTTGTCAAACCAAAAGTCGCACACGTTGCCAAAGTCCGGTTGGAGCGGCGTAAAGAGCTTGAGATGCTTCTGCTCCTTCCGCGCGACGTACTTGGCTTGCGAATAGACGGTTCGATTGGCGAACGACTCGGAGCTGGCTAGCTGCTGCTCGATGATCTCGCGACCCGAGATGCCTTGGTTTTTGAGCTGTTGGATGTCGACGTAGGTGAGCTTCTGCGCGGATCCGTCGTCGTTGATGTGCTCGTTGGTTGCGGTGGTTTCGACGGTTTCCGAGGCTTCCGTCTCGAGATCGCCTAGCGTGCGGTTGATCACCAGCTTGAGCGATCCTCCGGCTGCAGCTGGGGCTCTGCTCTTCTCCGCGCCTTTGCCGTTCTGACTCGGTGCTTGGTCCTGTTGCGTGCTCGCTGTCGAGTCCGGCTGGATCTCATAGGTGAACCCGTACGGCATGCCGATGAGGTCGTCCGCCTTGAAACTGCCAAACTTGCCCAGACTGACCTGCTTGCCCGGCATGATCTCAGCGGCTTTGGTGCGACCGGATGGCATCTTGAGAATCACAGTCGATCCAGAGGCGATGTAGTGCAGACGTTTGCGAAGCTGTTCGGAGGTGAGGCGTTGAGGCACATGGGGCTGGCGAGGTTGCTGCTGCTTGCCTCGGTTCGGCTTTGTGGTGGGAGTGCTTGGGCCCGCCTCGGCCGCTTCAGCCGGAGCTGGCACTGCGGCCGGAGCTGAGCTTGTCGCAGACTCGGACATGATGCTTCTCGTTGCTTTCGGCCCTCTGCTTATGGGTGTGGTGTGATTGATAGATGGAACGCAAGGAAGGAGGCATGAACGACAAACGTCAAAAAGGCAAATCTTCTCAAAAATTAATTCCTAAAGTGTGAGATCGCCAGGTTGAGGCTCGCCTCCACTCGTTCCCTCGCGTTGATGATCTGCGCCGTTCTGCCGGCAACGGGAGCATGCACAGACCGGTCTTGCAAGTCTTTTACTTGTTACCATCATCAGAGACATACCCTTGAGCCCTTCACCACTCACGCACATACACATACGCAGAACCTCAAAGGATACACCAATATGGAAGTCGAACCATCACAGCCCACCGTGCCATACGACCGCGAGGCCGTATACACCGCACTGACGCAGTTCGACGAGTCAGACGCCGAATTCCAAGCGGGCATCCAAACCATCATTGGGCCCATGCAATCGTCAGGTGTCGCGCCGGAACAGATCGAAGAGACGAAGCGCAGAGCCAAGGTGTTCTTCTGGTCGCAAAAGACGGGCAACCAGGTGGACTATGCGGACTACAAGGCGTGGTTGGCGACGCAGTCCTCGATACCGGCGGCGAGTGGGGCGGTGGGCGGGGCAGCAGTGGCAGCACAGGCCGAGACGGCGGACAAGGAGGACAAGGAGCCGTATCCCGCATCGTTCGACGCGATCGTCGAGCTCATCACGACGGGCAAGACAGATCAGATTCCGGGCATCAGAGACATTCCACTCAAGATCAACGAAGAGCCTCCAACGCAGGCCAGCATGGACAGACCACTCAAGCCGTGGGAGAAGACCGGCGCTTCGACGGAAGATCCGACACAAGCAGTCACAACGACACAACCAGAAAGCATGCAGCAGTCATAGCCACGACACTGGTTCATGCTGCAATGAAAGAATGGTATGGCAATTGCAAATGTGTAGCAGCCAGAAAGCTGTGGCGGAGGCGTCAATTCTTGGGCTTGCGTGTGAAGAAGCTGTTCAAGCTCTGCTGACCCTTCTTGGCCGGTGTAGGTGTGGCGCCTCCAGAAGGCTTGCGCAGCGTCGAGTTGTTGGATGCCGGCGTCGCCTTGGCGGGCGCGGAAGGAGCCGGGCTTGCACTCGCAGAGGTCGATGTGGATCTCGAATCTGCCGTTTCCTTTGACGCTGCTGCTTGTTGCTGTTTCGCCGCTGCAGTTCCACGCTTCGACCCGACCACCACGGGCGCATCCGACTCGTCCGACGAATACGACTCGTACTCGTCGACCGTCTTGGTGACTGTGTATCCGCGTTCGTCTTTGCTGCGCACCTTTTTGCTGCCGATCTTGCGCTTCTTGCGCACGCGACGCTTGGGTGCGGCTGTGCCGTTCATGGTGTCTGTGACGGTCGAGTCGGCCATCTCGACGTCGGGTTCGAGGTCCTTGCCTTGGCCCGTCTTAGTGTCATCTTTGGCGCCGCTGGGCTCGACAATCTGCACACCGTCGTCGTCGTCATCCGTGTCCATCATCGCCTCGAGCTCTTTGCGCTGAGCAGCCTGTTGCGACTTGGTCTGCGATCTGGCATCCGCACGCTTGCCCGTGCCTCTCGGCGCCGCGCCTCGAATTGGATCCGTCATCTGAATGTCGTCGTCACTGTCATCGTCCGCATAGCCGAGCTTCGCGGGCTTGTCGTCGTCATCATCATCGTCATCGTCGACGAGAATGGGCTTGCGTCGGCTGTTGTCGTCATCATCCTCGTCGTCACTTCCCAACAATGCTTTCCTCGCTGATGGGCGTTTGGTAGAGCTGGGCGCCTCTCTCTTGACAGCAGCGGTTGCTTTCGAGTCGGACTGGTTCGACTTTGCTTTACTCCAGTCCAGGCCGCTCTTCTTGCTGCCAGCCGAGGCCGAAGGCGCTGTTGTCGATGCCTTTGCCATCGTCGAGGGCTTGACGTCTGGCTCCTGTTTGACTTGACTCTTGGTCGCACTGCTATTTGTCGACTTGGTATCCTTGCTCGCACCGAGAGCAGGCGCACTTGCAGCTCCCAGACTCGGGATCGCCTTGGACGGATCGTAGTTGTCCTTGATCGATGGGTTGAGGATCACGCCTAACTCGACTCCACGATTGGTCTGCTGCCAAGTGTCAACGTATTTCTGCTGTTGATGCAAGTCGTGCTGGACTGCTGTGAGCTGCGCGGCATCACGGAGACGGCCTGGCGATATTGAGTAGATGTGGCAGGAGGTGACTTCTTCCATGGCTGAGCGTGCTTCGTCCAGCTGCTCAACCGGCACAAGACGGATGACCTGGCGCGCAACATCAGCTTGAGTCTGGCGGCGTGTCACTCGGGAGTCGAGGAAGCTGCGAGCGGGCGCCGTAGAAGAGCCGGGCGTCGAGGAGGATCCAACAAGCTTGTCATCATCCTGGTCACCTTCTCCCTGAAATGCTACGTTGCCAGCGGGCTTTTCCTCGACAGGCGCTGTCGGCCGACCGATGAGGATGTATGTGGCGTCAATGTCCGACTTGTCCTTCTGCGACTCAAAGTAGGTGGAGAGCGCCTTCTTGGCTTCGTCGACATGAATGCGCAGCTCGCGGCTAAGCAGGCGATAGGTCACGAGCTTCTTGTCTCGCTGCAACCATGTCTTCAGCAGTGACGAAGGATCCGCCATGATTGCCGAGGACGCTTGATGTCCTTGTGTGAGGGTTGAACGTGGTGTCCAAAGCGAAGGCCTGCAAGGTAGTGAAGGATCGACGTTAAGCATCTTTGATTTGTATGAGGCTGACTTCGCGCTATTTTACGCGTTGAGCTGCTGCAGCTTCTCCGTAGCGCGTCCCAAACCAACACTCTGGACAGCGCATTTTTCGAACATGTGAGATCGCTCGGCTGGCCTCAAAACTTCTTGAATCGATCACGCACGCACGAGCACAACTTTGTTTCACTCTCTCCACACCAACACCAAGACAAGGTCAAGAAGGTTGCTTTCCTTCGATCACGCAAGATGAGCGACAGCAAAGACAAGGCCGCAGCGCCTGCGCCTGCGCCCGCAGCAGCCGCAACAGACAGCAAGGTCAACGAGATCGCCTCCGGCATGTCGGGCCTCATGTCGGGCAAGGACGCAAAGCCCAGCGGGGACGCTTCCGCAAGCACCAAGGAGGACAACGTCGAATCAAATCTGCGCGAATCATCACACGATGTCCAGGTGACGCTGGCCGATCAGCAGGCGGACCCCAACTCGCCGCTCTACTCGGCCAAGAGCTTCGAGGCGCTCGGTCTGCACGAGAACCTTCTCAAGGGCATCTACGCCATGAAGTATCAGAAGCCATCCAAGATCCAAGAGAGAGCGCTGCCATTGCTGCTGCAGAACCCACCCAAGAACATGATCGGCCAATCGCAATCAGGAACGGGAAAGACGGCCGCCTTCATCCTCACCATGCTGTCACGGATCGACTACGACCTCAAGAAGCCACAAGCCATCGTACTGGCACCATCAAGAGAGCTCGCGCGTCAGATCATGGATGTCGTGCTCACCATGTCCAAGTTCACCAACGTCACCACCTGCCTCTGCTTGCCCGACGAGGTGAAGCGAGGCGAGAAGATTCAGGCCCAGCTCATCGTTGGTACACCAGGCAAGACATTCGACATGATCAAGAGCAAAGGTATCGAGACGGCGTCCATCAAGGTGTTCGTGCTCGACGAGGCGGACAACATGCTCGACCAGCAGTCATTGGGTGAGCAGTCGATCCGAGTCAAGAACACGATGCCCAAGTCGTGTCAGCTGGTGCTGTTTTCGGCCACCTTCCCTCCCACAGTGTACGACTTTGCAGTGCGCATCGCACCGGGCGCCAACGAGATCCGGCTCAAGCAAGAGGAGCTGTCCGTAGAGGGCATTAAGCAGTTCTACATGGACTGCAAGGACGAAAACCACAAGTATGAAGTGCTCGTCGAGCTCTACAACCTGCTCACCATTGGTCAGAGTATCATCTTCTGCGCCAAACGCGAGACGGCCGACCGCATTGCACAAAAGATGACGCAAGAAGGCCACAAGGTCGATTCGCTGCACGGCCGACTCGAAACGGCGGACCGTGATCGCACTATCGACGCGTTCCGTGACGGCAAGAGCAAGGTGCTCATCTCGACCAACGTCATCGCACGTGGTATCGACATCCAACAGGTGACGCTGGTGATCAACTACGACATGCCGCTGACGCAGACGGGCGAAGCGGATGCCGAGACGTACCTGCACCGTATCGGTCGAACGGGTCGATTCGGGCGCAAGGGTGTGTCGATCAACTTTGTGCACGACCAGCAGAGTTGGAGCTACATGGACCAGATCGAGAAGGCGCTCAAGTGTCAGATCACGCGCGTGGCCACCAACGATCTGGAGGAGATGGAGTACACGATCAAGGAGGCGCTCAAGCAGATTGGCAAGTGATGTGCATAGTGCACGCCTGTAGCTGTCCGCAAACCACAATCCAACAGACATACCCTGCCACCGTCAACGTCTGTGTGTGTGTGGTTGCGCAAATACGAGGGTTGGCCATGGTCCCAATTTAGGTTTCAAGATGTTAGAGTTGAAGGTGAGCCTTTCAGTATTGCCGCCCGCTTGAATTCACGGAGTTAATTTGTATTCGACTTGGGGCTGAAGCGTGGGCTGAATTGAAAGTGCGGGTGGCGGCGGCCATTCAGTTTGAAAACCCTCAGCGCTGGTCGGCTTCGTTCTTGCCGGCAATTCGAGGGCGAAGGAGCGGCTGGAAGATCGATTTGCTTCCATTCGGCTTTCGTCCGGGCAGCAGCAGCCTATCACACAGTCACGCACGCAATCACCATTCAACAAGGGTTCCGGGTCAACGCTTCCTTTTTCGTTTCTTCTCACCATCATCCTCTTTGCATTCGCCCTCACTCTCGCTCAACTCAGCATCACACCTCGTATTTATATGAGCCTGGCCCGATCCTCGTTGCGTTCGGCTTCGTTCACATCCGTTCAATCATCTCCACTCGTTGCAAGCACCAGCAGCAAGTTCTTCAGGAAACAGGCTCGAGCTTGCTTCTCTACCCACTCTCGCAACACCCGCAACCACTCCGCATCCTCGTCTCGCATCTTCCGAGCTACAGGCCCCTTCGCAGCGCTCTCTGCCGTCTCGATTCGCCACTCTTCCTCCAACGCAGCTTCAAGCACCTCTGACAACATGACGGAACACGTAAACGGCAACGGTGCCTCCTCGTCTTCGGGCAGCAAGGTCCACAAGGTCGTCATCATCGGCTCCGGTCCCGCCGGTCACACTGCTGCCATCTACTTGGCACGAGCCAACCTCGAGCCCGTTCTGTTCGAGGGCATGCTTGCCAACGGTCTCGCACCCGGCGGACAGCTCACCACCACCACCGACGTCGAGAACTTCCCCGGTTTCCCAGACGGCATTCGCGGTCCCGAGATCATGGACAAGTTCCGTGCGCAATCCGTCCGATTCGGCACCGAGATCCACACCGAGACCATCTCCAAGGTGGACCTCTCGTCGCGACCCTTCAAGTTCTGGCGCGAATACGCCGAGGACCAGGCTCCCGAACTCACTGAGACGCTCATCATCGCCACCGGTGCCAGTGCAAAGCGCATGCACCTCCCTGGCGAGGACACTTACTGGCAGAGCGGTATCTCGGCGTGTGCCGTCTGCGACGGTGCGGTGCCCATCTTCCGCAACAAGCCCCTTGTGGTGGTAGGTGGCGGTGACAGTGCGGCCGAGGAGGCCATGTACCTCACCAAGTACGCTTCGCACGTCAACGTGCTCGTACGTCGAGACGAGCTCCGAGCGTCCAAGATCATGGCCAAGCGATTGTTGGCGCACCCCAAGGTGACGGTGCACTTCAACACCATCCCCACCGAGGCGAAAGGTGACGGCGAGCTGCTCAAGGCGGTGCGAGTCAAGGACGCCAAGACGGGCGAGGAGCGCGACATGGACGCCAACGGTCTCTTCTACGCCATTGGCCACTTGCCCGCCACCTCGCTCGTCAAGGGCCAGGTCGATTGCGACAACGACGGATACATTCTCACCACGCCAGGCACCGCTCAGACCTCGGTCAAGGGTGTCTTTGCCGCTGGTGACGTTGCCGACAAGAAGTACAGGCAGGCGATCACCAGTGCAGGTACCGGATGCATTGCTGCGCTCGAGGCGGAGCGCTTGCTGGCCGAGGAGGAGGTGCTCGACCCCGTCGATGCTGCTGCGGCTAACCACTACACCGGTACGGACAAGGAGTAGGCGCAGAGCAGCCCCAATTCAGTGTTGTAGACTGCTGGGTTTCTAGAGAAGAAGGATTGTCTCTCAGTGGCCTCTGTGACCACTCCACAGCGCGCCTCACGGTTCGCCTTCTCTAGCAGTGCAATTATTCACATCGTCTTTCAGTCATCGTAATACAATTCCGTTTCAACCTAATGCTGCCTCTTCGTGTCCCGAGTTCGCATCGTATGTATGCCCGTGGGTCAATCGAAGAAGCACACAGCGCTAAGCGCATCGTATCGAGGCAAGGCCACCATTGATGATCACGTGACGCGTTCCTGAGGTGGGTCGTTGGCGTCTGAGAAGCAATTTTGTGGAAGTCGAACGTCGACTGCGCTTTTGCTGCTGTTGGCCTGACCGCGAGACCTATCACTCCTCTCATCTCGACTTCATTGCGATCCTTTCAAGAGCTGCTTGCTCGACGTCTTCCACTACCAACAAGACGCGTTTCAGGTCTCAGCATCAGCACTCAAGCGACATCGTCCCCTTCCACAGCAGCAGGCAAACTTCGATCGCAGCCTCTCTTGCAAGCACGCAAGCTTCTCGAAGCGTTCACCCGAGGAGCGTGATCTCGAGCACACGTCAGCGGCGAAGGGCATCACTCCACGCAAGCTATTCGCAACCTCGCTCAGGTCTGCCCGTTCGCTAATTGGCGGTATATCCAGCTGACACGTCCGAACAGACTTTGTCGAGACCCTCCATTGTGCGGTGCACGGCCCTCTCGATACGACGTCTCTGCGATCGCTTATAAGTCGTCAGGAAAGCTGCATCCTCTTCTACCAACAATCAACACAACACCATAGCATCAACCGGCGATTATGGCATTCTTCTCATCCGCCTCAACACCGAGCACCTTCGGCGCGCGCCCCGCCGCCACGCCTGGCCAGATCAACACCTCGGCCGCCACCAAAACCACGGGCGACCAGGACCAGGAAGTGACGCCTGGTGCCACCGACACCATCTCCTGCCTCGCCTTTTCGCCCACTGCCGACTTCCTCGCGGTCGGCAGCTGGGACAACAACGTGCGCATCTACCAGATCAACAAGACGTCGCCTACGCCCGTGCAGCCGTGGCAGCAGTATTCGCACGAGGGACCCGTGCTCGATCTGTGCTGGTCCACCGATGGCGCCAAGATCTTCTCCTCGGGCGCGGACAAGGTGGCGCGCATGTTTGATATGAACACGAACCAGCCGGTGGTGGTTGCGCAGCACGGGGATGTGGTGCGCAGCGTGCGGTGGTTGAACGTGGCTGGAGGAGTGCTGTTGACGGCCGGGTGGGATAAGCAATTGAAGATCTGGAAGGTGGACAACCCGGGTCAGCCTGCGGTTCACAGCTTGAACTTGCCCGAAAAGTGCTATGTGATGGACAACGTGCAGAATGTGGTCGTGGTGGCGATGGCGGAGCGGATGGTGTTGGGCTTCCGTTTGGAGGAGAATGGATCGATCACGCCGCTCACCGAGCAGCAGAGTCCGCTCAAGTACCAGACGCGTTCGATGGCCGTACTCCCCGATGGCGACGGTTACGCCCTCGGCGGCGTCGAAGGCCGTGTGGGAGTCCAATACTTCCACGATCCCCCAGACAAGGACAACAAGGTCAAGAAGTTTGCGTTCAAATGCCACCGTCGCGCCAACACGGACCACCCCGAGGTGCCGCGCAACGAGTCGCACCTCTACCCTGTCAACTGCATCGCGTTCAACGTCCACGGCACGTTTGCCACGGGCGGCGCGGACGGGAGCATCAACTTCTGGTGCAAACAGTCCCGGACAAGGCTCAAGACGCTCGAAACAAAGGGTCCGGCGAACGCGCCCAAGGAGCTCCTCAAGACGAATCCGGGCAAACACCCCATCACCGCCATCGGGTTCAATCGGGATGCCACCATCTTTGCGTACGCGGTGGGGTACGATTGGCACAAGGGCTACCAGGGTGCCGGACAGGTGGAACCTAAGGTCTTCATTCAGCCGGTCAACTACGAGGATGTCAAGAAGAGGCCTCCCAAGGCCTGAGGCGCGGTTACGCTGGTAACTGAATTTATTCCTAATCTTTCGGTGTGATGATTGCGATTGTGTGATGAGGATGCGATTCCGTTGACTTTATGGCTCTAGCCATGCACGATAAGATCGAAGATCCCCTTGATCCTTCCGACTCCCTCGCCATACGCCATGCCGACCAAACCTCTTACGAAGCCCCAACTCTTCTCGGGCCGGACCATGGGATAATCCAGTCTGCCGGGGATACCCGTCCTGACCCACGCGAACATCCTATCCCTCGTCACCGCCTTGGCCTGCGTCACGCCCAACAGCCCTTCCCTGCCGGCGAACCTGCCATAGCCACTCTTCTTGACCCCTCCAAACGGCAGGCCCTGATTAAGATAGCTCACCCCAAAGTCATTGATGTTGACCATCCCTGCGTGAAGCCGCTCGCTGATGTACGTGCACTGCGAGAGAGTTGAGCCGAAGATGCTGCTTCCCAGGCCGTAGCGGGTGGAGTTGGCGATGGTGATGGCCGCATCGAGCGAGTTGCTGGCAAAGGGGAGGATGAGGAAGATGGGTGCGAACAGCTCTTCCTGTGCGATCGCCATGTCGGATGTCACGTTGGTGAGGAGGGTGGGGGTGAAGTAGTGCCCTTTGGTCCATCGAGGGTGGTGAAATCGTTTGCCGCCAACGAGGAGCTTGGCACCATTCTTGACGGCATCGTTGATGAGTTCTTCCAGACGATCGAAACGGGCATCCGTGATCATGGCTCCCATATCCACCTGCTCCCCTTTGGCGGTAGAAGAAGTGCCAAAGGGTGCATCATCCATGAAGCTACCCAACTTCAACCCTCTTACCCTCTCCTCCACCATCGCCACCAACCTCCCGACAATCGTCTCATCAACGATAAATCGCTCAATCCCAATGCAGTTCTGCCCGGCACCCTGGAAGCAACTGCGCATGAATGTCGAGCCGAAAAACTTGAGATCGGCATCCTTGAGCACAATCGCCGGATCCTTGCCTCCCAACTCCAGCACCACGGGTGTCAACTCCTTCGTCGCAGCCTGGGCGACCATCCTTCCCACCTGCTCGCTTCCGATAAACGTAATGTGCGCGATCTCGGCACTCTGCGTCAACGCCTCGGCTGCGTCCGGCCAGCACGTCACAATCTGCACCAATTCCGGATCACCACCGCTTACCTCCAAACATTTCCTGATGCAATCGACGAAATAAGTCGCGGACCAAGCAACCAGTTCGCTTGCCTTGACGACGATCGCATTGCCCGCAAACACACTCGCGATAATCGGCCCCATCACGTTGTGGGCTGAATAGTTCCAGCTGACGCAAGCGACGGTGACGCCCATGGGTTCGTGTCGAACCTGACAGATCTTGTGCATGAGCAAGAGGTTGTTTGGGCGTGTTTCGGTCTTGAGCACTTTTTCGCCATTTTTGATCGTCCAATCGAGCTTGGAGCAGGTGGTGAGGAGTTCGCCGAAAGCGGCGTCGATGGCGGTTTTGCCGGTGTCGCGAGCGGCGACACGAGCGATGGTCTCCGCGTCGGTGACCACCCATTTCTGCATCGTACGCAGAAACTTTCGTCGTTGCCCCCAGGTGGAAGTTGCCCACTTGGTCTGCGCAGCTTTGGCCGCCGAAATCTTGGACGCGATGGTGATCGGCGTGTCCGCATCAATCTCGTCGATGAGGTAGCCGGTCGCAGGGTCGTAGCAGATGATCTTGAATGGTTTGGCTGGGTCCCGGATGTGCGGTTTGTCGAGAATGGTCGAGGTCCATCCTGGTTGCGCCTGGGGGGGAGGAGGGATGCTGATCGATACACCCTGTTCCGCAAGGTAGGCAGCGAGTGCCGATCCGATGCGGGAGATGATGAACACGATGAAGCCGGTGAAGATGAGGCTGGAGGGGGAGCGAATGGCAGAGGAACGGAGGACGGGGAAGAGCTGAAAGAGGTAGAGGTCGGTTTGGAGGACGAAGAGCTGCAGCTGGACGCGGAGGTACTCGATCCAGAGGGTAAGGTCGGCCGTGGAAGCCGGCAGCGTCGGCAGTGATGAGGTCACCATCTTGAGATGAAAAGTCGTTCGCCTGAGGATGGTGGTCGCAAAGAGGGAAGGAGGGGCATCCAGCTCTGTGTTGGAGGGGTGTGCGTGCTTCTTTCGCGTGCGGTTCGCCGTTTCTTCCCGGTGTTCTTCTCGGTGTGCGCGACGGAAAAATAGTGGGTGTTAGAGCCTTCCTTCTGGTGAATGTGAGGTAAATTCTGAAAGGGTAACCTTGATCGGGCAGATGGAGGTCCAGATGCACCCCACACCCCACACGACACCATCAGCAGCTTTCGGAAGGTCAAGTCGAGTTTGGACCCCTCTGCCAAGACATGCCAATGGCAAGCCTCTAGTTGCTGACCTTGAAAGGCGAGGGAAGCCAGCGGACAAAGGCGTGTGCTAACATGCTCGAGTCCTTGGCAGGCGCGCAGATCCGCCATGCTCGGATCTCTCCTGGGCCTCTTTTCGACTACACTCTCAAAGCTTGAAAACGTCTCACGCTAGAAGCTTTGACCTGCTCTCGGCATTCATTGTCATGAAGGCTGATAAGGTTCCGAAGGGTCGTCGCAAAAGAGAGCGAGCTGATGGGTGTCAAGGCTGCGATGTCCCGAGAGGGGGGTTGCTACTTGCTCGCCGGTGGAGCAGACTCAAGACTCAAGAGGGTGGGAGAGGGGATCAGCCAGCAGAATTCAGGATTGCAGAGCGGTCACATCCAAATTTTGGACGGAGTGGACGGCGGCGAGGCTCGGTTGTCAATTTGGGCGAGGCAGAGTCGGGCAACGCCTACGTCACCGCCCTGGCCAGTATGGTTGCCGGTCGAGCTCGATACTTCAACACAATCCTCTTCGCCCTCTTCTTACAACACGGCTCAGACACACATCTTTGTGCGACAGGCCTACTGTGTTTGCTGTCGATCTCTTGTGCTTGGCTCTACAAAAGTGTGGGGTTGCAATCTGAGCTTCAAGGCTGGACGGGATCGGCCTCATGTGATCCAACGGCCAATTCACCACCGAGCTCGAAAAAAGGGCATCACGATCTCCGCGCCGTGTCACCCGCCATTTGACTTGCGTTATGGTCTTTGAGCGACGCTCAGCGCATCTCATTGTTGTCGACAGTGGCTGTGATTGTTATGCGACGCACCGCGTGCATCCAACCGAGGGCGGTCCAAGGTGGAAGGGAACCTACGGTCCGTCCTTCTAGCTCGAGGTGGCTTAGCAGCGTTGACCTCGCTTGGCGCGAACTAGAATTCTTGGCGCTCCTCGTGCTCCACAAGCCGCCTCCCAAATGTCATCTCTGTCCCCCACTTTCTTGCTTACCACCTTCTCACCCCTCCTCCAGCATCCGCGTCCTCGGTCCCATCTCGCGAGAACAAGCTTGCAGGCTTCTCACACGGACTTCTCCTTCCGCTGGACCGAGCAGCCACACGCACACACCTTCCAGCGAATGTTGAAAAAGAGCTCCATCTGCATGGCTTCGACCTCGCGATCTGATCAGCTATAAGATCATGGACTCTGCCATCTTCACTTCATAACAAGCATCATCGCACGCCCTGCTCTGCCTAGGATCCTCCATCAAACCAGCAAGCGGATCCTGTCAATATACCCCTGGCCCCACTCTTAGAACTCAAGCTCCGGTCTCGTGCCACTTTATATACCCTCTCCAAGATCTCTCTTTCGACTGCAACCTTGACCACGCATCCGCCAGCTCTTCACGATGACTTCGATCGCACGTCGCATCGTCAGCGGCCAGAAGGCGCGCTTCCAGGATCCCGTCCTCGACCTCGACCTAGACCTCACATACGTCACAGATCATCTCATCATCATGGGCTTCCCAGCCTCCGGCGTGGCATCTCTCTACCGCAACAAGCGCTCTGACGTACGTCGCTTCCTAGACAAGCGCCACGACGACCTGTACCGCGTCTACAACTTCTGTCCCGTCACCGAGAACTCGTACGACGCCGACGAGTTCTACGGCCGGGTTTCGCGCTACCCTTTCCCAGATCATCACGTTCCGCCGCTCAGCTTGATCCCGCTCTTCGTCGCGGACATCACCGAGTACCTCGAGTCTGATCCCGATGCGACGGCGGTGATCCACTGCAAGGCGGGCAAAGGTCGCTCCGGCACCATGACGTGCTGCTATCTTGTCTCGCTTCCCTACCTACCGACGCCGCCGACCAGTCTCAAGAACTACAGCAAGATGAAGCGTCCGCCGGCTCAGGCTACATCCGCGACTCCACCTCTAGCTACCATCGCCTCCGCAGATGGGCGACCGAACGACACTCAAGCTTCAGCCTCGACGCAAACGCAGGGACACCTACTTCCCCCATCCAACAGCCTTCAGATCCCCTCGTCAGCCCACTCCGCCATCTCATCCGCAGACTCGTCCTTCGACCAACCACCCGTCAACGGCACCCTTCGTCGTCGTCCCTCGCTCACGCCAGACCAGAGCATCATCCGCAACGACGACCACAACCCCGAAAACGAGATGGCGCAGATCTCCTCGCGTCTTCAAACGATCTTTGACCTGCACACCTCTCGTCGTATGAAGCCGCAGTCGACCAAGCAGGCGTCGCGTCAACCGACGGGCCTGGCTCCCAGTGCGCGCTCCACGCCTGCTAGTTCCAGTTCAACCTCGCTGCACGCGCTAGGCGCTGGTCCAGCCGGTCGCAGCTGTGACGCTTTCTCTTCGACAGGCCTGAGCCGGGCTACTTCAGCCAGTAGCTCCTCGGTGGCACTCAACGCCAATACGGAGGATCACTCTGACACGCGTCGGCCGAAGATGGGCGTTTCGATCCCGTCCCAACGTCGGTGGGTGGGTTACTGGACGCGCATGCTGGCGGGCCGAGATGCGCGGTTGTCCATGACATCCGTTCAACGACAGCCACGTCGGCAGATCCGCATCGTGCGCATCAGCATCGATCGTCGCGGCTCCTCTTCCGCTGGCAAGACGCAGGGGTGGGTAGAGGGACTCGTCCCGCACTCCGACTCGCTTTCCGTCCAACTGGTCCGGTACGACGATGCGCTCGTAGACCGATTGGAGGGGTGGGAGCGACACGCGCGAAGACGAGCCAAGGCGTTCGGCAAACACGACCCCTCCGGTCTAGCAGGCGATCTCGATGTGGAGGAGCAAAAGCAGAGGGCGCACCTGAAAACGTTGCGTCGCCAAGCGAGTCAGACCCAGTGTTGGGATGGACGGAAGTTTGGTGGCGAACATGAGGGTAAGATCGGCAATTGGGGGGTATGTGTCAAAGCTGAGGCGGAACGAGCTAGGACGTTCGAGTGGCACGATGACGGGCGGCAGCTTAATCATTTTGCGCTGTGGAGCGAGAGCAGAGCTCGGACTGCCAACGAGAATGGGTGGAGATACACCTTCGAACCCCCTCCCTCGGAAAGGAAGCAGTCGGCCGATTCGGGCTACCACTCGCAGCAATCGGACGACACCACTCCCCCTTCGTCCACCTCGTACCTCCCCCAGGGCGTGGACGTGGGCGACGTGCTCGACGCCGATCGCGAGGTGTGCGTCAAGGTGCTCGTAGGAAGGACGGGGAGCAAGCACGCCAAGTTGCCGGATATCGCCAGTGCAGGATGGTGCTGGTTCATCCCGAGCTTTGAGGATCCACTGGCGGATGGTGGCGTCAAGGTCGGGAGTAGGACAGTGGTGAGATTCGGGAAGGACGAGATCGATTTCAGGAAGGAGCCGCTAGGACTGGTTGGGGTGGAGGTCGAGTGGGAGTGGGTCAGCGTTGGGGTTGAGGAGTAGCATTAGATGGGAAAGCATTCTTTTATACACGCATACACTTCAATTCTCATACAGTCGTTTCAAGCATCCTCCGTATCTGACTGTGGTGTGGAAGGGAGAGGCCACAAAGTGCGACAGGGAACGTGGACGATGGTGAGCGACAATGCGCCTGAGTCGAGGTAGCGAAGAATTCGAATTTGTTAGACCGTGTTTGCTGAAGCTGAGTCGATTTGTTGGTGGAGGCTTGGAAGTGACTGCGCATCGCTCGAGCCACATGCTCGAAAGGCGCAGTAGAGCTTCCCCACCCACATCTCCAATCTTCCTTCTTTCCTTCTAACTCACACCGCTGCGACCCTGCCAGGTCCACATATCATCATGGCGTCCTCCTCATCCGCCTCTGCGGGACCATCCTCCTCGATGGCCTATACCAACTTCGAGCTCAACAACTCGATCCTCCCGCTCTCCTCCTCGACCCTCGATTCGATCTTCGCCTACGACACCGAAGAGCAACGCTCCATCCTCCGCGCGCAACCGTGGAAGACGGACCCGCACTTCTTCACAAAGGTCCGCATCTCGGCCGTCGCTTTGCTCAAGATGGTGATGCACGCGCGCTCGGGCGGGATCTACGAAATCATGGGTCTCATGCAGGGCAAGATCGATGTGGCCAACCGAACGCTCTATGTGATGGACAGCTTTGCCCTTCCGGTCGAGGGGACGGAAACCCGCGTCAACGCGCAGAACGAAGCTTACGAGTACATGGTGCAGTATCTGGACGGTTCCAAGTCCGTGGGAAGGCTGGAGAACGTTGTTGGCTGGTACCACTCGCATCCGGGATATGGGTGCTGGTTGAGCGGTATCGACGTCAACACCCAACGCACGAACCAGACGTTCCAGGACCCCTTTGTGGCGATTGTCATCGACCCCAATCGCACCGTCTCCTCCGGCAAAGTCGATATTGGCGCCTTTCGAACCTTCCCAGAAGGCTACACCGCCCCGACAAACCCGGGTTTGGGGGAGACGAGCATCCCCCAATCCAAGATCGAAGACTTTGGCGTCCACGCAAGCCAGTACTACCCGCTCGAGGTAGAACACTTCAAATCCTCCCTCGACGGCAAGCTGTTGGAGCTGCTGTGGAACAAGTATTGGCAAAACACCCTGTCCCAATCTCCCCTGGTGGTGGGGAGGCGGTATACGACGGAACAGGTGCGCGATTTGGGCGAGAAGCTCGAACGCGCCCACGCCGGCGTGCAGGGTCGACACAGTTCGAGCAGCATCCCCTTCGCCCCCACGCCCGTCCCCAAGCCAGACAGCGCAGAAGAGGGGAAGGAAAAGGAAAAGGGCAAAGCAGCGGAAGATCCGGCAGACTTGATAGCAGACATGCAAAAGCGATCAACCACCTCGACTCTCGCCCGAGCCGCAAACGACGCCGCCAAGATCAGCAGCCAGGCCAATCACGGGTTGATGGCTATGCAGCTCAAAAAGGCACTCTTCAACGGCGTGTAGTCTTCATCACATGCAATACCACACACCCGGGATGCATCACACGCGGGATGAAGAGGGTACAAAAGCTACTTGTTACTGAAATTTTATGTGAAGACAGGACGCATGGGGTTGAGGTGGTGAGTGTCTGCGGTGCGATAATGAGCGAATAGGGTGGAAGCGATGGAGGGGGGAATGACATGTAGGTATCCAAGAATATGTACGACAATCAGAACGTCTCCTCGTACGCATTGGTAACTTCCCTGAGCACCGGACGGGTATCTTGACGTCCTCCAGCCTTTCCATCCACCAGCTCCTCCTCCAACCCCTCCTCTTCGTCAAGATCATCCTCCTCTTCGGGATAATCATACGTCTCGTCGGCATCGACGTTGGGGCTGGGTTCGGCGTCAAAGTGCGCCTGAGCGTGGTTGCTCGTCGCCGGCGTGTTGGCCCTCGACGACGAAACAGGCGATTGCTCGGGTCGCTCAATCTCCTTGCGCTCGTACAGATCGATGCGAAGCACATTGAGATCTTGCGCTTCGTCCACGCCCACCACGCCCTCGGGGAACGTCTTGTGCGCCCAGTCGATCACATACGTGCTGGCGCGCATGAACTTCTTGTGCGCATACTTTTTGTGGAAGAACTGATGCGTGATGGGACGCAGGCAGTAGTCGAGCATGATCTCGGCCGTACCGAGCAGTTCCTGTTCCGAGTAGGTCGAGTAGTGCACCAGCGTAGGCGTCCATTCGCCGCGCTCGAGCACCTCGCGAGCGAGCCAGACCGAGGCCGCAGCAACAAGCGAAGGAGGGTGCTCCATCAATCGATAGTCGAGCAGCGAAATCTCCATAAAGTACTTGGCCACGGTGCGCGTCTGGATGTCGTAGTTGTCCGCCTTGCTGATGCGACGCAGGAAGTTCATCGGGTTGGCATACGACATGCTGAAATCGAGCACCTTGAGCACGTACCGCTCCGCCCGCAAGATCTCCACGTCCGTGTACCCGCCATCGGCCAGGTAGTAGAAGTTCTGGATGGAAGGGCACATCACCTCCTCGTACTTAGACGCGATGAACATGGCCGTGACACCGACGAGCTGGAGCTTGGAGAGCGAGATGGTGCGGCGCGAGAGGAAACGGTCGATGATGTTGACCGCGAGGTAGAGCGTCTCGGGCAGCAGACGGAACTTGGCGTGGATGTCGACGAGCCAGTCGACGAGGATGGCGCGCACGTCCCAGTTGATCTCGTTCTGCTGCGACATGTAGTCGCCCGTGGGCATGTTGATGATCTCGAGCTCCTTCATGTACTCAAAGATGTCGTTGACGTACTCTGCGACCATGAGCGGGTCTTCGGCGTCTTCGGCGTCGAGGTCCTCCCAGCCTTCGTCCTTGGCAGGCTTGTGAGCCTGCTCGGTCTTGAGACGCTTGGCCTGAGGAGCTTCCATCTTGTCGTCGGTGTCCTGCACCTCGTTGAGCTGGCTCTTGGAGGATCGCGACGCGACAACGGCGGCGGGCGCAGTGGTGGTGGCGACGGCGGCATCACGACGAAGACCGGTCTGCGAGCTGGCCGAGGTGGTGCGGACCATGGAGCCCTTGCGGGCCGCAGCGACAGCAGAAGTGGCGGGGACGGCAGAGGTGGTGGAGGTCGATCTGGACGTTGCCGAGGGGATAGCGGATGATGCGGAAGTGGTGGTACCGACGACGCGTCGAGAGGCACGGAAGGGGCGGTCGGCATCCGCAGCAGCAGCGGTGGTGGTAGTGGAAGCGGTGGTGGGTCGGGTACGGACGACGCGACGAGCAGCGCCGTTGGTGGCGGCGGCGGTGGAGGCCGAAGTGCCGACGACGGATCGCGACGAAGCAGAGGTAGCGGAGGTGGTGGCGCGAGGCTTGATAGCATCCTTGAGCGCAGCTTTGCCCTTGTCGTCGGCGCCGGTCATGGTGGTGCGAGCGCGGTTGGCGTTAGTGAGGTCACCGAGCGCGGCCCTCTTCCGAGTTCCGAGAACTCCAGAAGCGGCAGAAGCGACCTTGGTGGCCGCAGACACGGTGGAGGCAGGCTTGGATGGACCAGCATCGGCAGCACCCCCTTCGAGACCATAGCGAGCGGTTCTGGAGGAGACGCCAGAGACGCCAGCGTTCTCCTTGGCTTGAGTACCATTGACCGAGGCGGTGCTGCGTGTCCGCAATGGGATGCGACGGGATGCCTATGGATGAGAGCAGCAAGCGTGACGGCGACGGTCAGAAACGCTCGAACTGCAGGAGCTTTGGGATCGGGAGTAGGAAGAACTTACGAGGTTCTGCGACATGGCGGCTATGATGGATGTGAAGGATCAAGAAGGGTGGTCGGGCTGGTGATCGCGTGAGACACGAACGAGAAAAGCACCGGGCGTCGCGACGATGGCGACGAGGTGGATGGCGTAGAGGGAGCGGTTCGGGTTAGCTTGCGAACATGGAGATGCGGATGTAGAGAACTCGAGATCAACGCGACGTGATGCTGGACGGAGCTGAAGGCGATGCTTGGATGGACGAGCTGGGAGAGACGCGACTCGATTGAGACGAGCTGGGTTGAATGCACGGCGACGAAGAGGGAACAGATGGTGATGACGATGCTGGAGAGAGGAGCCAGAGATGCGATGTAGACGAGCGCGAAGAGTGGAGAGAATGGAGGAATGCAAGAGCAGATGGGATGGGGTGAGGGAGGAAGGAAGAGTGGAGACGAGGACGAGAGAGAGAAAGGGAAGCTTGCTTGCTCGCTAGCTGGGCTCGTCTGAGCGCTGCCCGAGAGAGGAGGAAGGGGTAAAAAACGAGGCAGCAGAGAGGCAGAAAGCGCGAACTGAATTCAACACGGCAGACTGCGACTACCAAGCCACGACGGGTCAAGCAATTCAAAAGGAGCCATCGTGACTGGCGACTGGCGTTCGTGCTGAATTCATCCTAGAAATTCCATAATTATGGAAAAGCTGGAGAATGACTAAGGCTGCAGTTGCGATTTTTGGTCAACGCGCTGCGTGTCGCAAAGCCGCGAGCATCGAATGAACGCCTCGCCTCGCCTGTCTGTCTATCGCGAGCTGCAACCGCTGAATTAAATTCCATCGAAATTCCAGCGTAAAATCGCTTGAATTTCCAAGTCATTTTTCTCCAGAGAGTGCCTGCCCAGCGCGAGAGACTAAGATTCAACTTCCACCGAGCCTGCCTGGCGCTGGCGTCTTCTTTCCCGAGTCTGTTAGACTTTAGATCGAGGCTCGCCTTGCCAGAAGCAACACCACGGCCTTGATCATGCTGATGATGACCGAAGGACCCATGCTCGAAGAGGCGCGACATCCGGACGCCAGCTGAAAGACTCAGAACTCGTCTGTGGTCCGTTGAGTGGGATAGTAGGCGCGTCCGATATCGGCTCTAGCGCGAATGACCACGAGAAAGCACTGTTGAATCCAGCCCCGGTGATGAGGAGCTCCCAGCAATACCCTTGGGCAGAATCACTAGAAGCCAGCTCGGAAGGCTGCAAGCCTTGGTGAGTACTCGCTGGATTACCAGAAGAGCCCATTCAAGATGCACCTTTGGAGCCGCGACGGAACATGAACGGGGCGGATTCGAGAAGGAAAGGAGATCGCGGAACCAAGCCATCTGATCCGAGCCGAGCAAGGGAAGGAGAGGATCAAAGCCCTGCAAAATGACTTACCTGTGTGAGGGCCGTGAAGGGATGGGTGCTAGATTTGAAGCTGTTCCTTGACGAGGTATTAGGCGCTGATGTGCGTTGCTTGATTGGCGCCTGGTGTAGATGTCGGATAGGCTAGTGCTGGTCGGTTTGCTGGATAGGGTTAGCAACGTGGTGATGTGCTAGCGTGGGCTGGCTTGAGTAAGAGGCTGTATACAACTGTAATGGCTGGTAAGATGTCTTGAAAGTTGCAGCGAGTGATAGCTTGGTATCGTTGGCTGGTTGCTTGTGTGCTTCAAGACGGTTGAACACGCAACGACGATGGATCGAGGATCAGCGTGTCAGGTGCAACGTGTCTAGAGGTGTGAGTTAGTGTAGGGAAGGCGAGGTTGATGATGAGTGGAATGGATGAGGTGAGGTGAGGTGAGGAAGGTGAAGGGTGAGGATGGTGAAAAGCAAAAGAGAGAGCGCAGAGCGGAGTCTTGTCGCAAAGTCATCTGAGACACGCTCGCTAGCCCAGCTGTTGTGGGTCCACCAACCAGTGGAAATTGCGATTTGGCGTTGGTGTGCGCAGAGGCGTGGACTGCATATGCTTTGTTGGTCGATTCTACTCATTTTGGCTTTGAACAGGCATCCTCGGTCACGAACGTCATTCAAAGTCGGACTGCAGTCTGAATTGTAGGTCGGTGGCCTGCTCAGATAGGCTCGTTGGTCCTCTTCTACTGTCTTGTAACACGGAGGGCGACAAGGATCACGTCGCCTTGCCTATGTGTCCAGGGTGTCCCAAGGATCGCGAAGGCGCTTCTAGCCCGACGTGAAGCGTGCCGGGGTTGATATTGTAGCTCGTGTCGTATTCATGACTTTGCCTAGGCGTGCATATGATTTTGTAAAGGAGCGATTGCCGACCCACAGCCGAATTACATGGCCCGCTCCGACTTGAAGCCTCTTGTCGTCAGTCTTGCTTGGAGTGAATATAAAGACAGCATTGCTTTCGTAGAGATGGCAAGCGAGAGTCTGATCTGACGCTTATTCTTGTCACGTCCGGTCATGCTCGAACCGCAGCACGCTTTGATTTCCAGGCCGTCGTGTCGCGATATCGGGCATCTCGATTGACGATTGTTGTTGCTTGCACGGTCAGCTCAGGTGCGGAGGATAGCTCGCCATGTGTATGCACGGTCTGACCATACCGTTCGAAGTCCATTTGGCCGCTCGCCGTGTATGGTCCAGCCACCAGGGTGCCGCTGTCTCTCGCTAGCGCTTTTCTACTACCATTCGCAGGCCCATGCTGAGAGTGCAAGCGCTCTGAGGCTCGTGCTCACCACTCCTATCCGCACGTTCGTCGAAATGCTGTCCTGCTGGACCATTCGTGGCTCTGGCTGCGCAACATCACCCTCCTGTGTTGGACCTCGAAACTTGGAAAGCATGAAATGAAAAAAGAAGCGTTGCAACTCGCATCCAAAAAACATGCACCGAAAATGCAAACTCACCGCTCGACCTCGGGAATTTGGGTCGAGAAATCAAGAAGAAAGTCGACACCGAAAAAATAACTCCACATCCAACCCACACGCGACGCGGGGTGGACATCACGTGCCGTCGGCATGCTTTTCTCGAGGACAGCGCTCCCGCAGCGAAATGCCTGCACCGAAGCATCAAAGACTCTGCTCAGCACATTGAACAGACGGGGGAAGTCTCATTCGATCAATAGACCTGGAAGGGCAGCAGACAGCGGAACAACACGCACAGACGCGGCATGCGACAGGCAAAGCGTACGCTTCCAGGTATGCCCCGCTGGAGCACTGAAAATGCCAAAGGCGCGGAGCAGTCTCGCTTGCATCGAGGATGAGAAAGCAGCCTCCAATCGCCGAGTTTGTCAGCTTGGATCGCTGCTTAGCTCTCGGGCGGATACAAGAAGCGCCCTGTCTGGACATGCAAGCCAACGCTCGCCGTAGCCTAAGAAGACCCTTCTTACCCGTCAGAGAAGCTCGCGTGACCCGCGGGTCTCGCGTTGAGTGCACTCGCGAAAATATTCTCGCGCCGACCAACCAACACTTTTATGCCCTCTTCATCTGCAGGTCCTTCGATGTGCGGCAATCATGCTGGAGGGTCATTCGCTGCTCACCTGGCCCTCAGCACACTACGCTCCGGACGAGCAGAAAGCCTCAATCATTCAAAACGACTTCGAGCGAGAGTGGCGTATTGCACACCTCAAGACGTCCCGCTCCGCATACCCACCAAAAATCAACTCAGCTGTTCGACCGCGCTTATTTCGGACTCCACACCCTGAAAATCCCTCCTCCAACTCAGCCAACACTCTCACCTTCGCTCCACTCTTTCCTCTCGTCCCAATCATCAACGCCACCATCGGACGTTCGTGACACCATCGCGAGAGGTGTCAACACAGCGCAGGATCTCCTCACCGGACCTCAACACACCCGCAGGATTGCTTGGACCGAGCGGCTATCATCACCACCACCCTTCACCTCTAATGACTTTCCGCACCTTGTGAAGAGCCCGCGACCGGGACCTAGTGCGGCTCGCGTAGGGCTGTATGACCTCCGCACTGTGACTGCGCCAAGATCTTGCTGCAACAATCACATGCTCGAAGGAACGACCCTTGTACGCCCGCGCGCCTGACGAGGTCCGAGCGCTCCGACTCAGGAAGTGGATCCCCTCACGCGGATAGCCGATTCCTTCGCCATCATGCAACCACTCTCCCATCTCAACCCGCTCCTCGATGCCAAGTCGCTCAACATCCTTCCCTTCAAGCGACCAGGCATCGACAAATGTGTCAGCGCCAACATGCCATCACCCAGCGTTCCAAGCAAGCGACGCACACCACCCTCCTCCTCAACCTTCGCACAGCCACAAGCATCCACCAGCACAGCCGCAGGACCATCATCTTCCAGATCCGCATCCGCATCGACCTCGGTAGCGACCGCCTCAAATAGACCGCTCAAGAAGAAGGTTGCCTCGTCCAACGACGATAGCGTCGCCGCACGTCTGCAGCCAAAGCTCTCGCAGTCCTCGTGGCGCAGGACCAAATCGTATCAGCACGTCGATCTCAGCGGGCCAACTCGCCGCACTGTGCTCGAATGGCTGCCTCGCGAAGTCGTTTTCATGGTTCTCCACCTGCTTTCGTTCCGCGACATACAAAGCCTGCTCCGCGCCGACAAGCGGATACGACCGCTGATTCATGCAAAAACCTTTTGTCCATGGCGGAAGCTCCTCGCCTCCTTTCTGCACTGCGAGCGGCTCTATGACGAAACGATCGCGCTCGAGGAAGAGTCCATGTTTGACGGCAACGATAATGATAGCAACCACGGTGACGACGACGCAGAGACGACTCGAGATGCTGCACAGGCCGACGCTCGACCAAATGGAGGCAATGCTGCACAGGCGACGAATGCAAACCAGGTGCAGATCGAGCAAAACTTCATACAGGCATACAAAGATCTCGTCGGCTGCTTACAGCTCAAAGCAGCTCCCATCGACCTCCTCGAACTCGTACCGTGCCTCACAAGGTTGTGGCACGACCACGTCTCGTTCCCTCTCATCCGCAAATGGTGCCGTGACTTTGTCGTTGGCCGTGTCACCGCAGACCACCTCTTCGCCGATGTCGACCACGTCATCGCTGTCGAGGTGCTCTGCAGTGTCCGTCTTTATCTGGCCGTCGTGCGCATATCGCGTGCCTTCTCGCAGAACACGCCCCCCATTCAGTCCGTCCGCGTCCTCGACTACGATTGCCGCACCGCCATCAACACCTTCTTCCAACCGGACCGCATACTGCCAGCACCCGGCTCAACCCTCACCTTTCAACTCACACATGAGCAAGATAGATTCGTGCGCCGAGACGTGCGTCCGGGAGAGCTTGTGAAAGTTCAGGCATTCGCAGGCACAGGCAAGACAAGATCGCTCCTCGCATATGCTGAACGCCGCCCCAACAAGCGCTTTCTCTACATCGCCTTCAATAAGGCGGCAGCCGAAGAAGCGCGGCGTCGCTTCCCTGACCATGTTCAGTGCCGCACGATGCATTCGGTGGCTCTCTGCCAGGTCGTGCGTACCGCTGGCCAAGAGATTGGTGATCTCCGAGCACGAGACGTGGTACAGCTGCTAGGCGAGAGCCTCCCCGAAGGACAGCTGATCCGTGCCCAAGCCATGGCGACGCAGACTGGTCGCGACCATCGCCTCACTCCTACTGCCGTCGCCACCTATGTGCTTGCCACCCTTCAACGCTTTTTCTACTCGGACGACGCTACCATCATTCCCGACCGCCACGTGCCGAGCAAAGTAGCTACCGACACCGACCTCAAGATTCGAGCCGTGGCAAGATGCGCGCAGGAGCTGTGGGACTTCATTCGAGAAGGCTCCCCAGATCGCAACGGCAAGTCGGTCAAATGTCCGCACGATGCCTACGTCAAGCTGCTGCAGCTGCAAGCACCCCATCACTCGGAGAATTTCTTCAGGGCTTTCGACGTTCTTTTGCTCGACGAAGCGCAGGACTTGTCAGCAGCACAGGTGTCGATCCTGCTGCGGGCCAAGAAGCACTGCGGCATTCTCATCGTCGGTGACGTCTTTCAGAAGATTTACGGCTTTCGCGGCGGCACCGCCAAGGCATTCAACGAGCGTCTCTATCCGTCTTCGGCTCATTTCCAGCTCACCAAGAGTTTTCGCTTCGGAGACGCCGTTGCCAAGATCGCTACAGAGATGCTCGGTCTTCGCAAGCCTGCGCCTTGGGAGCGCGCAGCCGCCAAGCCTGTCCTCACTGGCGCGCTCGGCATGGCGGATCGCGTCTATGCCGAGGCCAATGTGTTCCGCTACCAGCTCGAGCCGCCACCATCGATGGAGCCGACTCCACCTACACAGCAACAGGAAGGGCGTCCTAACGGAATATCGACAGACGCGGAGGCTTCACAGGGTGCAAATTCAACGAACGGTGCAGCAACACTGGCTGGCGAGCTTCAGGACCAGATGGGAGAGGGGCGACAAGCGGTGGCTCAGCAAGTCGGCTCTGTCGGTCGCATTGGTCGCAGCGACGAGATCATTCGCCACACGCGCATCTTTCGCACCAATCGAAAGCTCTGTCTGACCGCCCTCGCCTTGTCTGCTTCGCTTCCGCAACCACACAAGATCTTCCTCAAGACGAGTCAGTCGTTGCAGCCCGACGCGGTCGTGACGTTGCTCCGCGATGCGCACATCCTCTACCATAACGACTCGAGGTCCATGTCGCGCAACTCGCTGCTGCGAGACTTTGCCAGCTGGAAAGATCTCGTGCAACGTGTGGAGGCAGAGGGGGGAGGTGAGAGCAAGCTGAGTCTGGCTGTAGCCCTAGGCGGCCTCCTGGCAAGTTCTGACTTTCTCGACCAGGTTTCCACGCTGGAGACGCGCTTCGCCGACACAGAGGAAGAAGCGACCGTGATTTTGACCACGGTCCATCAAGCCAAAGGTCTGGAGTGGGACTGCGTCTATGTAGAAGACGACTTTCGACCGGTCTTTGGCAGCGATAGGACGCAAAGGGTCGAAGTGTCGAGTTACTGGCATCAGGACGAGCTCAACCATCTCTACGTAGCATTGACGCGAGCCAAGCGCCAGCTGGTGGTGTCCAAGGTGGTGCTCCAGTGGATCGCTGCGATGCGCGGGCTGTACCGGTACAGACTGCTGACGAGCAACAGCAACACCAGCCTGGGCAAGACAGGGCTGTGTCCTCATTGCAAAGCGTCCAAACACCCTCTCGTGGTCAAGGAGTATCGGCTGGCATGCTTCGACTTTTTGAACCCACGATGCAACGAGCGCGCCAATTTATCACAGAACGGGCAGCCCCACACCGAGAACGCCGCCGCCAGCGCATCTGCGACCAAAGCAACTTCGTCTGCCACATCGAAGGACGCTCCACCGCTCACACAAGTCATCGGCTGCACCGGCTGCCTCTCGGACCCCACCTCGGCCGTCCACATGGACTCGCTCGTCGATCCCGATCTGGCACTCTTCGTCGCCACGGCTCCCAAGATCACGCGTCAGCGGCCACACGGTCCCAAGCAGCCGGACGGCGACACCACGACAAGTGAGAAGTCGAAGCCGACAGCCATGGCGCCACCAGCAGCGTTCAAGATGGACGTTGCGAAGCATGCATTCCTCAAAGCTGACCATCGGTCGATGAAGTGGGCCATCATGCATCACGAGTACAAGCGGGCGGTCAATAGCTGGTTCAACGATGAGTGAGGGGGAGATATCAGTCGAGATGGAGAGCTGCACAATCCTGGCTCACAGCTTCACAACTCGCAGTGGCACGACGTTATGCGCCGTTCAAAGGGACACATCTCCCACGCACATCAAACCGAATCCATGAAATCGCTCCATTGCTACACGACATCCGGTCTGTCGCGCGCACTTACACGCCGGCCATACCAAACATGCCCGTAGCGTCGCGGATCTTGGCAACGTCGCTTGCGGTGAGATGATGTTTCTGGCTGAGGAAGAAGTCTTCGAAGATCCTCTCGATCTCTGCGTCACCTGGGCTCCTTCCTGCGACTCCTGGGCTAGCGTTGCCACCGTCGGGTTGATGACCGGAGAATTGGAGTTCGATAAAGCCTCTGAGACCGGTCCAGAACTCGATGGAGCGGATGCGGTTTTCGTGCAATCTTGAGATGCTTGGGCTCAGCGGTGGGGGGACTGCTGTGCCGGGGTATTGGGTGCTCGATCCGCCTGGTTGGGAGAGTGGGCCGAGGGGGCGGGCGGCATTGCGCGCAGAGAGCCCCGAAAGCGTCTCGTCGTCGGTGGTGAGTGTCAGTTCCGGGATCGACACGCCGGAGGCGGTGCGATTGTGCGACGGTCGAGTAGAGATCGGTGCTGGCGCCTGGAGATCGCTTGCACTCGGCTTGGTCGACGACGGCGCCGGCGCATCCGACGTCGACGACATCGATTCGTACTGTGCAACTGTGTAGGTCTTTTGGCTAAAAGCGTGAAGTTGGGCAATCTCGTCTTTGAGCAGCTCGTTGACCATACGGTGCCGCTTGAGCGTGTTTAGGCCGTCAAAGGCGTCCGAGACGATGACTACGTCGTACGCTTGCCCACATCCGCCTGATACATCCGACACCACCTGAAAGTGCCACAGCAAGAGAAGGAAGTCAGCACGGCGCAATCACGACCAACAGAGGATGAGGAGGGAGAGACTTACCAAAGTTGACACGTTCTGCACCTTGGACCGGATGGCCGACTCGAGCTCCTGTGATGAGACCATGCTTGTACGCTATATAGCCACGAGTTACTTTTCGATGATGATCCAGACGATGGTGATAGCTGCAGTCGAGGGTATGTCGAGGGAGAGGATGGTATGATGAATGCAGCTTGTCAAGTGCACGCAGTGTGAGAGTGTGACACAGCTCTATCAGATAGATTTGGGCCAGAGCGCGGGATTCCAACTTTTCTTAAGAAGCATTGCGCCCTCTCGCTTGGCTCGGGGCGCGCCACGGCCCTTTTTGCTCAACCGGAATGGCTGGTGCGCGGTCGATCTGACATCCTTAAAGCAGAAACTGGAGAGCTGTTAGACCTTGGAAAGTGAGGTTCAGTGGCCACTTTCAGCTGGAAGGACGCCGTTGGACCCTGAACGCACAGCTTCCTCTTGACCGTTCCTCGACATCAACCGCGAGCTGTGCTGGACGACGGCGAGGAGTCAAGGTCAAGATTCGCTGCAACCTGCGCAATATCGCAGCTGGAGGGCTGGCTGCGTTGGACTTTCGCCTCTGCCGGCCCTTCGTACCTTCCGCCCTGCGAGCTAGCCGTCAACGGCCTGCTCTCACGTGGCCGAGCTCGAAGTCTCATCTCAACTTTGCAAGGATGCAAACCACGCTCCCATCACGGCCAAAACGCATCGCCTGCATCCAGCTCGACCCAAAGCACGCCGATGTTGAGCAAAACACCGACAATGTTCTCGGACTTGTCAACAGGCTCATCGCAGAAAGAAAGACAAACCCGGTCGACCTCCTTGTCCTCCCGGAACTCGCGCTCACCGGGTACGTCTTTGAGAGCAGGCAAGAGATCGAGCCGCTTCTCGAGGATGCGCGCATCTTCAAGGGCCCCACAGCCGCTCTGGAAGAGCACGAGTCTCAGACGGCATCGGCGTTGATCGCTTCCTGCAAGTCCTCCTGCCGGTCGTCCAAGCAGCCGAGTCTCACGCTAGCATCTCACCTGGCGCGGTACCTTGCGTGTCATGTCGTCATTGGCTTTCCAGAGCTTGGTTCGCATCAAAGCTCGACATCCGAAGCTGTAAGCGCGCCCTTTGATGCGAGGCCAGTCGACGTTCGATCTGCACCGTCGTTGGGTCACAACGCTGCGGAGACCGAGGACCTCGCCTTCAACTCAGCTGCGCTCTTCTCCCCCACCGGCGCCCTCATCCATGTCTTTCGCAAGCACTTCCTCTTCGAAACGGACGAGATCTGGGCAACGCCCGGACCTGGCTTCGAATCCATCCGCCTGCCTGGCCTGGGCACCGTCTGCGTGGGCATATGCATGGACCTCAACCCGTATCTTTTCGCCACACCCTTCGACGCCTGCGAGCTAGCCTCCTTCTGCGTACAGAGGAATGTCGATCTGCTCATCATGCCCATGGCATGGCTGCTGCCCAAGGACGAACAGGACAAGGAGCAGACGAGTTTGTCCACTGTCAACTACTGGGCTTTGCGCTGCAGGCCGTTTTTTGATCGAGAGCAGAAGGGAGAGGATCGGACGAGATATCTCGTGGCTACGAATCGGGCGGGGATCGAGGGAGAGTCTGTGTTTGCGGGATCGTCGAGCGTGCTTCAGATGAAAGGCGGAGAGCGACCGGTCCTGCTTGATAGTCTTGGAGCGAGAGAGGAGGCGTGTCTATTGGTCACGCTGCCGGAGTGAGCCGTCGCTGATCCTCGACGTAGAAAGGTTTCGAGCTGATGCTCGCTACCAGACCGAGATCGACATGTATCGCTTCATTGTTAATCTCATGATGACAGTCGAGCAACGTTTGCCCACCTACCTCGCCAACGGAGCTCCTGTTGATCCTGGTAAGCATCGCCATCGACACATGCTTGCCTTGGACTGACAGTATCGATTCGCCATTTGCTGGCTTCTCGAAGCCTTCAACGGATAGTAGAGCTCTTGGCACAGCACATTATGCGGCGAAGTGGGGCACACCCTCTAAAGCGCCCCTGATCTGCCTCTGGATCCGCCCATCAGGTCGGGCTCTGACGCCCAACGACATCCCTCCGTCGGAGGTAAACCTCAGAAAGCGATGCTTCTTGAGCTTTATGCGCAGGTCCTGCCAATTGGTGGTCCTAGTCACCCTCACTGGTTCTGCCGCATGAATTCGATCCCACGCCACCGCTTCTGGCGCTTTGGCCTTTCGCAAACCGAACCATCTGCGTTTGCCCTTCACGTCGAGGGGTGGCACGTCGTATCCGTACGCCACCTGTGCCACAGCACTCGAACCGAAAGTTCGGTGCGTCTGATCGATCCCCTTCACCCAGTCAACAAGATCCTGGCTAGGTGGATCTATGACGACCTCGTTGAGACGCGAAGGATGGCGAGTGACGCTAATCAGATCCGGCGAGCGATACGCACGAGCGTGGAAACCACCGAAGTCGGCCAAGGCCCGATCCAACTCCCCTGCCCATACGGGGGGTGGTTGACCCAAACCAAAGATTGGTCGACCGTCCGAGTGGAATGGGCGAGACATCCAGAAGTTGTACATGCTCCCGGGGCGTGTTGGGGCCGCGGAGGTGGAGTGTTGGTAGCGACCCGAAAGGAGGTCCGGGAAGGTGATGCGTGGGTCGGCGCCGGTAGCGCTGATCGGGGCAGGTGCCCTGCGAGGTGGCGAGGCGCCGCGAGTAAGAGAAACGATCGTAGTCAGGAGGAGGACGAGCCTCATCATGACAAGAATCCGCATGTTGAGATGTTGGTCTTTGCAAGTGAGGTCGGAAGGCGAGGGATTGGGACGATCTCCTGGAGCGAAGGCTGAACCACAAGCCACCATTCAGCTATATACGACGCATCGTCGTGGCTGATCGATGAGCGTCACAAGACAACGCTTGTTGATGAAGGCGCATTCCCATATCTCATCACAGCTTTCCCATCTCATCGGCGCCCATGATGGGCTTTGAGATCAAGCAAAGCGAACCAAGAGCGTACCCACATCACGTGTGGGGAAGTGGGTAAGCTCGAGCATCATCTACCAAGCATCTCTCCCACCAATCCGCATTTGTGTGGGAAGACGATTGATCCATTCATTCAAAGAGTCGCTTCGTCGACTTCATTCTGTGGGACGAAGGTGCCAAGACGAGCTCGAATGGATGACCGGCGACGATGCCCGTTCGCGCCGACCAACTGAAGTGAAGGCGGGAAATAGAGTGCGACGCTCGACGACCACACCATTGTGTACCAGTCGGGTGTATCGATGCCCGCTTCGGTCTCAAAATGTGCCGAGATCTCTTAGGACGCATGAGATGGGTCGACCACTTACGTCGCTGAACATCTCTCCACCACCTTGGTGGAGCCCAACACGGGGTCAGCGAGCGAGTCACCGGTAGTCGATCGTTCGACGCTTTCTGAAATGTTTTGTGCAATGTCCCATCGAGCTGCGCAGTGGTTCCGCTTTGCATCGTGCGCAGCGAGCAGGTTACCGGACGCTCGATCTTTCGGTGCCTTCTAACAACTCGTACCACAACGCTTTGTGCGCAAAGGTGTTGTGCGCCAGTGTCCCGCGAGCGCAAGGTATATAAGCACGGAGTCATCCTCGCCGCAAATGCCGTAGCCTTTTGCACCACCTTCCTCACCGCAGACCGTCACCATGGGTCGCATCACCAACATCTACGCCCTCACGGCGCTGGCAAGCATCGGCGGTCTGCTCTTCGGCTTCGACGTCTCGTCGATGTCTGCGATCATCACCACTCCCAACTACCTCGTCTTCTTCGGCTCGCCCTCCGCGACGGTTCCCTGCGCCACCCGTCCTGGAGCACTGTGCAATCCAGGTCCGAGCGCTGGCCTGCAGGGGATCATCACGGCGTCCATGTCCGCTGGAGCGCTCGTCTCCTCCCTCCTCTCCGGTCTTGTTGCCGACCACTTTGGTCGTCGACCCGCGATCTTCCTGGGGTGCATCCTCTGGATCATTGGCTCGTTGTTGCTCTGCACGGTGCAGAACGTCGTCATTCTCATCATCGGTCGTGTGCTGGGCGGGGCGTGTGTCGGATTGTGCTCCGCCCAGGTGCCCGTCTACCTATCCGAGCTGGCACCTCCTCGGCTGAGGGGCCGACTGATCGGATGTGTGCAGTGGGGCATCGCATGGGGCATCTGTGGCTTCTGGTGCATCTCCGTCGCCGCGGGCTTCATCGGCAACCGAATCGACGGCGAACAGGACGGAAGGAGCACCATGTCCTTTCGTCTGCCATGGGGATTGCGTCTCGTCCCAGCGACAGTACTCATGGTGTTGGTACCGATGATGCCAGAGTCGCCGAGGTACCTTATTGCAAAGGGTAGGAATGACGAGGCGCTTGGGATCTTGGCGAAGGTGCATGCAAAGGGCGACACCTCCTCGGCGTCCGTCCAGAAAGAGTATCACGAGATCGTACGCGACATCGAGGAGAGTCAAGCCGACGGCTCGGGGTATGTGGATTTGTTTCGAGGTGGCAATCTCTGGCGGACGCATATTGCGCTTTTTGTGCAGATCTGGTCCTCACTCACGGGTGTAAGTTCTTCGTGTCTTTCTGCTTCTACCGGAAGTTAAGCTGACGACCGTCTCTCGTATCGTATGCAGTTGAACATCATGACCTTCTACATGACGTACGTGTGTCAGATGGCGGGTCTGTTGGGCACTTCTGCGCTCGTCCTGACAGGTTTCCAATACGTCGTGCTGGTGATCATGACGATCCCAGCCATGTTATGGGTGGATCGACTCGGTCGTCGACCGCTCCTCCTCATCGGCTCGACCATCATGGCCATCTGTCTGTTCTCCATTGCCGCCCTCATGTCGACCCGTGGTCATCCATGGCCCGACTCACCCAACGCCGTGGTCTCCTGGAAAGTCGACGGCCTCGCATCGCACATCATCCTCTTCTTCTCCTACCTCTTCGTCGCCGCCTTCGCCCCGACCTGGGGCCCCGTTTCCTGGATCTACGTCCCCGAACTCATCGGCAATCGTCTTCGCTCCAAAGCTGGATCGCTCGCCACCGCCGCAGGTTGGATGTTCAACTTCGCCCTCGGCTACGCGGTTCCTCCTGCTTTCCACAATGTGCGTTGGAAGACGTATGTCATCTTCGGATGCTTTTGCGTGGCTATGACGGTGCATGTGGCATTGGTGTTCCCCGAGACCGCAGGGAGGAGCTTAGAGGAGGTCGAGGAGATCTTTGCGTCTGGTGTACCGGCGTGGAGGACACGGGCCCGTTCCACACGCATCGTCGACGTGGGTGGCGACGCGACGAGGGGCAGCGACGAGGACAAGTTGGACAGCTCAGTGATATAGAGTCACTTGGTGACACTGTAGAATGAATCAAAGACTGCTTGGGCGCCTTGCAAAAAGTCATCACAGCTGGGTGTTGCTCGTCGGATGGTGTGTGGTTGAGGCTGACGAGTCGGCATGGCGCAGCTGTCCACTTTGGGCGTCGCCCGGCAGCGTGAGTGTCTGTCCTCGATGACACTCTTGTCCAAGCTGCCTCAGCATCTGACTTCAAGCGTTGGCATCACATTCTCCTAGAGCCATCTCAAGTCATCTCGGCGATCCCGTGCCATCATCGGAACAATGCTACACATGCTTTGAAAGAGATACTGTACATTCGGCCCATCGAACCTACTCCTCCTCGCTCAACTCGCTGCTCTCATCACCCCCATCCTCCTCCTGCTCCTCTTGCTCACTCAACTCGCTACTCTGCCCATCCTCATCGTCGCTGCTCTTCCTCTTCTTGCCCTTGCCCTTCTTGCCCTTTGCCGTGGCCTTCCTCTTCTTCGTACTGATATTGGCCATGCTCCATTTGGGCCCCGCACCACTCGCTTTGCCGGCTTTCACCTTGACCTCGCTCAACACCCGGACAAGGTCGGCGGGCAGATAGGACCTATCATAGATCTCGCGTTGCACCTCTCTGCTGGGCAGGGGTTTGAAGATGTCGCCTGGCAGCGTGACCTTGCCGGGGTAGGATTCGATGGACCATCCCTTCTCGGCAGCGCGCTTCTTGATCACCAGCTGAGCGAGCTCGGACAGCGCATAGATGTTTTCGCTCGCGCCCTGACTCTCGGCATCGCGGACGCCCTTGACGCGCGTGGCGAGGTAGAAGAAAAGCGACACGTTGGACGGTGTCGCCAGGGCGTCGAGGAAGAAGTCGAGGTAGCGGATGAACTGCATGAGATCTTCACGGGTGTCCCGGCTGAAATCGGGATGGTGGGCGAGCAGATGCAGCAAGCGCGGGAAGGACACGTCGAGCTGCTTGAGCCGCTGCTCGGGTTGCAGACCGCGCGCGTTGGACTGACAGTACCGCACCACCATGTTGCGGTTCTCGTCCTCCGGGTCGTACGCCGCGAGGAACGACATGGCCAGAAAGCGGCTGTCGATGCGTCGCGCTTGCAGGTAGGTCAGCAGCTTGTACAGGATCCGCGAGCGGACGTTGAACGATTCGTCCTGGATCGTGAAGGCAAGATCCAAGTACTCGCGTCCGATGAAGGCATCGTACGAAGGGTGACGCGCCAGCTTGAGCACGCAGACTGCGGCCTGGAGGCGCATGCGCGACTTGGCCGGCGCGGGCGTGTTGAGCGCCTTGGCCTCTCCCGCTCCCACCACGGCCCACAGCAGCCGGAAGACCGGCTTGGCCATCTCCCCGGCGCTGTCCGTCTCGCCAAACGCCTCACATCGCCTCGTCAGCACCTGCAGCGACAACAGCTTGGCCTGCAACTCGTGGTCGACCGCCGCATCCTCGATCCAGTCCTCGCTGCCGTTCGCGTACGCCTTGGCCTTGCTCGCCGGCAAGGGTTTGAGCAGGATGTCGGACAGAATGGTGCGCACAACGGTATTGCTGACGTTCTCCGACGCATCGGGCGCATGCTTGAAGAGCTGCGCCAAGCTGTTCAGGATCGCCACCTGTCGCTCCGCTTTTGCAGTGGCCAGATGCTTGGCGAGCGAGTCGAGCACTTCTTCCAACACACCAAAGGCCACGCTGCTCGAGACCGACGTTCCCGGCGTGCCCGCCTTCTGCCCGACCGCCTTGCGTCCGCCACGAGCCCCACCGGTAGCAACAATCGCCAGCAGCTTGGAAGCAAATTTGGCCTGCAACGGCGTCCCCTTGAGCACCAGCTTGGCCAGACGCTCCACCGCCTTCTTGTCGAGCTGCACCTTGGCCGCGTTCCACTGCGCCACCGAGGCGAGCGCCTGCAAGCACGTCTGGGTGAGCATCGCATTCGACTCGTCGAAGAGCGCCTTGCACAGCTCGGGCACGTGCATCGCCAGCATAGCAGGGCATCGCTTTGCAATGAACTCGAGCAGCTCGTTGGACGACGCGCGGTGCGTCTCTGTGTCCGACAGCTCGCTCCCCTCCTGGGACTGGCTCTGACTCGATCCCGTTTTGGATCGCGGCGACGCTGCAGAGAGCTTGCGTATGAGCGTAGGCACCGAAGACCGATTCAGGATAAAGTAGGATCCGCCGCGGAGGAATACGGTGAGCGTGTCGAGGATGCTCGCATTGGCATTCTCTACCCGTCGCAGAGCATCGTTGCGGCTCTTGACAGCCGTCTTGAGGTCGGTCTGCGGGTCAAAGCAGGTGCGGATGAGACGGTAGATGCGTGCGTCGTTGAGCTTGGCAAACGCGTGCAGGTCCGTCTTTGCGCGTTCGGGATCGGCAAACATGGTGGCGCATCGTCGAATGCGATCGGCCATCTTGGTCTTGACCACGTTCGAGTCGAGGTTGGGCGCCACGTCGCCTCCGTTGTACTGCTCGCAGCACTCGAGAAATGTGTCGTAGAGAGACGGGCGCGAGTAGATGAGGTTGCTGAGGCGAAGCAGTCCCTTGGTCGCCTCGGGCTCGAGGTACTTCATCACAAGCAAGAGACGACTCGTCCATGCCGCTTCGTCCTCGTCGAGGTTGGTGGGCATCGGCAAGATATACTTCTCCACTGCGGCGGCCACCAGCACTTGCATATCGCTGTTGCCAGTGTAGAGGCACTTCAACACCTCTTGTGGGATCCACGCGAATTGCTGGATTGCAGCAGCATCGTTGTTGTCGATCTCCGAGTAAGCCATGTCGAAGAGCTTGCCGACGGCTTCGAGCGACTCTTTGCGCACCAGCATCTTTTTGTCCTTGCATCGATCTGCAAGTTTGAGCAACACCGATTTTTCGACGTGGTGCAGCGCCGTCTCGTAGTCGAGCGAGCCGAGCATCTTGGCAGTGGCTGCTCGCACGCGTTCGTCAGGCTCCAAGAGCTTGGCCTCGAGAATGGGAGTGAGGTCGTGGCGCAGTTCTGGGTGGTGCACGAGGATTGCCTTTGTCGACTCGGCCCACACCACACGCAGACTGGACGACTTGTCGTTGGACCTGCCCAGCCATGCTCGCCATGTACCGGCATATCTTCGCGCCAGATCACTGGTCTCGGCAGCAGCAGAAGATGGCTTCTCGGCAAACATCTGGCCCAGCACCTTGGTTGCAAGCACGCGAAGCTGCACATCTTCCGCTCGAAGCTCCTCCTCCAGCTGGGGAATGACGTTGAGCAGAAGCGAAGGCACGACGCGGTTGATCTGGACGATGAGCGAGTGTGCGGTCTGAAGGCTTCCCAGGCGCTCGTCCTGATCGTCTTCGGAAGTGGCAGAGAGGATGACTTCGTTAAAATACTGAGCGACGTTCTTCTGCAGACGATCCTTGGTGTTGGAGCAGACTTCGACAGCGATGCGATGCGCCGAGGGGTTGTGCTTGATCGCTTTCGGTGTGAAGTTGGCCAGGAGAAGATCGAGCACCTCGGAGGGCAGCGTCACACACTCGTCGATGAGCTGGACGAGCACGTCGGCCATGCAGATCTCTACGTTCTTGGACATGTCTGGCCGTGCGAGATCGAGGAAGCCCTTGAAATAGTCGGTCATGAGCTCGTCTGCGTTAGCAAGGTCGCAGATGAGCACGACCGACTTGACATTGCTGAGGTTCTCGAGTAGGTAAAAGTACTCTGCATATTGGGGACCATTTGGTTTCGAAAGTCCGCCTTGAGACATGGTGAGCTGGTGCAGGAAGAACTGGAAGATGTCGCGCAGCTCTGAAGGAGTGAAAGGCGCATTGGGAGCGAAGAGCCGAAGCATGTCGGCGAGACAGCAGGCGACATTGGCCTTGACGGCTTTGTCCTTGTGAAGCATGAGGGCCGGGGTGACGAGCTCCTTGCAGATGTCCTTGAGCGAGTTGACGTCGACGGCATCCTGGTCCATCTCGCTGAGCTCTGTGCGTACTTGACGAACGCGCTTGAGAAGCGCATCTGTGGATGTGCCTTTCTGATAGAGCTTGCCCTTGAGTGTGAGACGAGCGAGCGCTTGCCTTCGCGTTGCTGGCGCGGAGGAGCTCGAGGCTGAGCTGACTGTGGATGTTGCGGTCACCATGATGGGCCGTGTGGTATGAAAGCGAGGCTATGGGCCTCTCTGTGTGTTGCGCGGGGTATGATCAAGTGCTGGTCGTCGGCGGTTGGATCGCGTGACCTGGTCAGGGCGGTTTCGAGTGCTGAAGGAAGTGACTGTGCCCGAGTACGGGACGAGGTGAACGCTGATGATCCAGTCTATCGGACGATGCTGAGAAGCGGGTGGGATCAGAAAGACTGAGTGGCCGCTGCTGTTGCTTGGGTGAAGAGGCAAGGGAAAGATAGCGAAGGAGGTCCAGCCAAGATGCAGCCTTGTCGAGTGAGAAGGGCGCGTCGAGTGGAGCTGCGCATTCCACTCGCGCATAGAGGCTCTCGAGCCAAGGGAGGCTCAGCAGCGCGGTCTCGTCTGGACCCGCTTCCTCTGCCTGCCTGCCAAAAAAACCGGGCGCGAGAAGTGTTGCACTCTTCTGCAGAGCGCGTCTCTCAGCCGGCCCAAATCCCTTTATGCCTCTCAGCTTCTTCAGTCGCGTTTAGCACAGACGCGTCGCCTGCCAGGAAAAGGGTTCATTCCGTCTCACTCCGCACAGGCTTGTCTTTTATAAGCACATGGTCTCTGGCGCTCAAGATGCCAACCATGTCTTTGCATTGCCTTTGAACGCTACGACACTGACAGCGAGTTGGTCCTGGCAAGCAAGGCCATCTCCTCTTCCATCTCGGTGAGCGCTGTCCGCATTTCACGGCCCGAGCGCCCACCCTGGTTCGACCTTCCAAATCCAATGTCGAGCTCCTCGATGGCCTGTGTGAGCAACTGCTTTGCCAGATCGATGCGCATCTCGTCCGGCACGCTCGGTGGGTCTCTGAGGATCGAGAGCGTCTGGCCGTCCTGTGCGGAAGTCTGCTCCATGGCCGCTCGGCATACCGCAGCGGTAGGCGCGGCGCTGTTCTGCATCGCGGCTCCGTTGAACCCGTGCGATGCCATGCGCTGCGCATTGTCGAACTGGGCAAGCACCAGCTTGGCAAGCGTAGCGATGGCGATGGCTCTGGCCGGATGACCCTTGGCATAGACGGGCGTGTTGGACGCTTGTGTGCCCGCGACCACCAGCATCTGCATCCGCACCGCTTCGTCAAAGCAGTACACCGCTGCCTGGGTATTCGAAGCGTCTGGCAGCTGCGCCAACAGCGACGAGCCTGCCTCGATCAAACATGTCGTGGCCAATCTCAGCAGCTGGAAGAGCGGTTGCCACGAAGGCGGGTATCGTTCGACGAGCTGCGGCAACACCGAGGCGCATCGGTTCCACGCCGCTTCAGCCTGTCCTCGGTCCAGCCATTGCGAGGCTTGATGAAGAACATCCTTGGCATGTTGCGTGTCCTCTGCAATGCCCGAGGCTGTCACGTTGGACGCCGCATGGCACTTGTTGCACTTGGCAACACCAGCGGCAGCGTTGGCCTGCGCCTCGAGCGAGGACCCATCGATCCAGCCTCCGCACCGCTGCGGGCACCACACCGCGCGTCGTGGGTCAATCCAGCTGTTGGACGACGGCGGCCGCGCACCAAAACCATGCTGGGACGAGGACGATGCCGACATTGGCGACGCAAATGGTTGCGAGTTGGCAGACGACGATTTGGCGTGGCTCTGGCGGCACAGCTCGCATCGGCAGTCGAAGCAGTAGCGCTTCTGTAGGTACTTGCGTCGGTCCGCGTACGTGTCGGCAACGTCGACGTACGAGATGAGCAGCTCCTCTCCTGGCTCAATGGCGCGCAGAGCAACAAGCTGCATGATCCTGTCTTCGCCGTCGTTCCACTTTTGCTGCCCTCCTTTGGCAGCTCCGCCGAAGGGAAACACCACGGCTGAGTTGGGTGTGCATGCGTGATTGATCATGGCCATGCTCGGATGCATACACACTCCCATTGAGTTGAGATCGCTGTCGGTGAGCGTGAACGAGTTGCACGAGAATTGGCAGACGAGGTCGAGCAGCTCGGTCGCCGAGTCGATGCCTAGTGCTCGCAGTGCGTCGCCTTGCGAAAAGGTCGTCTCGGGCTGCATCATTTCGTCCAGGTTGGCCTCGCCTCTCGAGACTGGCGCAAAAAGCGCTGCTGCACGAGCCGCGGCGGTGAGGTACTGCGCAAGGTGAATGGCAAGCTGTGCCTGCTGCTGCAGCTGTTCAGGTGCAAACCTTTCGCGGTGGGAGCACAGCTCGAGCAAGTCGCCGCCATCGCCCCGAGCCTTGTCCTTGCCGCCGGTGCCGATGCGACTGCGAGCCCAGATCCATCGAGCGAGCGCGCGCATCATCGAACTGGGCAGTCGGATGCGATCTTTGGTGGTTCCGGTATAACTCTTTGCACCTTCCGCGTCTTCATCCTCTCCATCACTTTCCTGAAGATGACCAGCTGCAGCCGCGGCGGCGACCACTTGGTCGTTGTCCTGGAAAGAGCCGACTCCAAATGGTGCGGCGGCGGCTTGGTTCTGTGCATGTCTGCTTGCGAGGCGCTGATCCAATTGCTGTTGCTGACGCAGGGCGGATCGGTAGGTATGAAGCTGATGCATTGCCTTGAGCGCCTTGCACTCGTCACGGTGCGCGGGCCAGTCCTTCCTTTGGCAGGCATTGGAGCAGTAGCGAATGACCTTGCAAGCCGAGCAGCGTTGAAGCTTGGAGTCGGCCATGGGAGGCGAATAGCATGCGGAACATCGCTGTTCCAGCAAGGCAGTCGAGAGCACCGCGACCTCCGGGCGAACTCGAAGGAGGACATCGCCAGGTCGACAGCTCGAGATGCCGGCCGCTGCCCATCCTCCCGGCGCTGAGTACGAGCTGGACAAAAGCTGCGAGTAGGAGTACGACATCGATCCTGACAGAGACCGGGATGGGTTGGGCGGCGAAAAGGCAGACGAGGAGCTGGAAGTGGAAAAGTCGGCAGGTCTAGGACCATTCTTTGGGAGAGGGGCGTAGAAGAGTGCACGTTCGCTCGAGTAGGCATCGAAGCGCAGCTCGAGGTCTTGGATGTCAGGCAGCCTCACACGGCTACCGGCAGCGCCTGGTTCGAGTCTGGCTCTGTGCGGCTGCTGCTGCTGCGAAGGCCGAGATGCTTGCTGGTGCATGCCCTCTTGTTCGCCGAGGTGTGAACGCGATCCGCCGGCTATTGGTACAGCTTGGGTCGCTCGACCGGCAGCGATGGGGACAGCGCTGGGTTGCGACGGCGATTGCGAGTGTGCTGCGGAAGGTGGGGCTGGCGGACTCATGTCAAAAGCCATGGGGGCGTCCTGAGCCTGACTCGCGCCGGCGTTACCCGGCTGAGAAGCAGTAGGAGCACCGAAAGGATTGCGGCGTGCATCCCTCTGTGCTTTGAGCGCGGCGAAGGAGGATGCTGAAGACATGCTGCTCAGTCTGCGGCTGTTGGGTCGCGATGCGTGATGTTCGTGTCGAAGCGGAGACGATGGTGGAATGGGGGAGGGTCGCTAGATGATAGCGAGCTTCAAACGCCCGGAGGACAATGGGACACAGATAGAGAAGGAAATCAATTTGGACGGCGACCTGCTTCGGATTAAGCTTAGCTTTCCGTGCTCCCGGATAAGAAGGCAGAGGCGAGGCTTTCTATGCGACACGCCCTGCAAGGACGCTCAGTCCACAAGATCTGAGTTGAGCCGGGTCGATAACCGACAGACGACATCGCTCTCTTCTTCTTCTTGGCTTGGTTTGGCCTGGCTGAGCCTTGAGAAGCTTGCCGAATTTCTCCTTCGTCTCTCGTCTTCTTTCCGTTGGTTGTTTCAGCGACTCTTCCGATCTGACATTCGACGAGGACCAAAATAAATATTTCAGTCATTTACGCGACACGTCTCGAGCTCACGCAGCGACGCGTCCGCCGGATCAATTTACGCCAAAGAATTGTGATTTTATGAAAGAAAGAGCGTGATGAGCAGGCTGACAGGCGGGCGAAAGCCCTGTTTGATGAATTTCCACACAGGCAGGCACAGACCCTTTCTCTTTGAAATCACATTTTGCATGCACGTCGCGTTTGGTTCGAGAAAGGGACATCTCCGAGATGATGCTGCTGAGCAAGCGAATGAGCCACAATTGGACAGTCCTGTGATACCGTATGTGGGGCGTTGTGATGAGGTGCGGACGGAGTCGAGCGTCGTCAATGACGAATCGGCTGCGTACGAGGCAATCAGAGTAAGAAGATCGCACCCGTTTCATAATTTGCGATCCAAGCGTGCCTTCAATAAGTCACTCCGATTCGTGGCGGAAGTCGCATGCTTTGACCTCCTCCATCCATCCATCCATCTTCGCATCCTTTCGTTACGCCGTCGTCCATAACTATTGCATCATACCCTCAACATTGCTTCATCTCTCCAGCATCGCCGCTCAACCTCGTACGCTTATCAATCCTCCAGCATCCATCCAGCTTTAGCATCCAGTCATCGCCTCTATCAGACTCGATCAAGTCGTCCACGTTCGCACGGAATCGTCACCTGCTACTTTGCTTCCCTCTGCATCTTTGCCATCCAGTACCTCAGTCGTCCCTCCATCCTTCATCAGGCACCACAAACTGCTGTTCATGACCGCCTGAACATCCAGTCAGCTAGCCAACTTTTAGGCGACCAGACCACCGCAGCTGGGTCTCGCGTCTCTCTCGCTCACCTTTGCGACGACAATCCGCCAACGAACGACCCTGTCGAGCCTCAAAGCTTTGTGACGCACCAAAATGTCGATTCGGCAAGGCCTCATTTCGCCGCCACTGTCCGGCAGGACGGACAAGGCGGATCAGCCCCGCATTCAGGACGCACACAAGTTCGTCAACGCGGTCGATGTCTTCAGCCGCACATCATCAGCTCAGCAACCACAAGCGAGTCATTTCCAGCATCACAACCATCTCCCGCACAACATCCGCAGTCCCGTCAAGAAGCACGACGACCATCTCTCGGATGCGGAACGAGCTTCGCGTCCCCTCACACCACCTATGAGCAAGGACGTGCGCCATGATCAAGAAGTCAACGATGGCAACGACTACGCTATGCGTCACCGGACCGATTCGGAGGGCGACGTCGTCCATGCTTCGGTTGCGGTTCAGCAAGCACATGTGGAAGCGATGGCTGACCAGCCAATCTACCCTCAGCCGCCAGTGCCCATAGCAGGGCTGATGCCGGCTGTGTCCATCCATGAACGCTTCCACACTCTCAACCAGGGCATTCCGTTCGAGTCGGACGACGAGCACAATCCATTCCTCGACCGTCGCCCGTCCGCGGCATCCACCTCGACATGTCGAGCTGCCGCTTCAGCTTCTCGTCCGCATCACTCGCACCCCTACTACGACGAGTTCGACAGCGATCAGGACGCTGAAGGCTCTGTTCACGAAGACGACATGGATCGTGATTTCGACGGCGAGACCACACCCCGAGCGTCGTCTTCGCAGGCCACCACGCCACCTCCTCTCCGTGCTCGGGCCGGCACGCTGCGACCTGCTCGACCTTTCTCGGAACGCGTGAGCGTGGTCAACGAGCCAGTGGTTTCGACCATGCCCATTCGCGATACGCCCAAGAACCCGTTCCTCGCAGGCGGACCAGCCGACAACGGCTTCCATGGTCCCAACGGCCATGTCGCCTATCGGCGCGCCAAGCAGATTCCCGGCAAGGAGCGTGGCAAGATCGCGTACGTCTTCCGTGGCCAGAGGGTCACATACGCCGATCCAGAGTACGATTCGGAGGAGGATGATTCGGAGGAGGATCAACGTGCCAGGTCGAACGAGTTCAATCCGTACTACAAAGCAGAGCGACCTCCGCGACTTCAGCCCAGGCTCCTCTTCCCGCCGACAGCGTCGACCAGCTCTTCCCTTCCGACGCAAGGGGACACACGGCGGGGTGCATCGCTGCAAGCAAGGTCCAGTCAGAGCAGCAGCGCACGCAGCAACAGTCACGAGGGGCGGGACACGCAAGCGCCCCGCGTTGGGGGCGGGCTGTTTGCCGCGCAGATTGTGGCGCAGAAACAGCACCACACGTCGGCGCCATCCAGCTCGGCTAGACTACAGAGCGTCACACGCGACAGCGATACCGCGGCGGCAGCGTTTGAGGGTCGTCAAGCCGCTAGAGATGCGCTGCTGGCTCGTCTCGATCACACAAACTGGAGCGACGATGATGAGGACCAAGACGCAGATGAGCGCCATCACAGCCACAGTCGTGCGCGAGGAGACAGCGTGGCCACAGTGGTGGAAGAAGAGCACCAAGTGGAGCGACATGCGCTGTCACGCTCGCAAAGCCAGTGCAAGCGTCTGTCGGACGAGCTGCAACGAGGCCATGCCGAGGAAGCGGATGCGCTGGGTCGACCCATGAAGCGCTCGCGTGCCTCGTACGCCTACTAGACGGTCTTGTCGCTGCAAACGTGTCCCTTTTTCTCGTCTCACGATGCGACTCCCTCAGACAAAAGACATGGCCTGCTCCATACACAAAACATTCCCAAGGATCCGGACCGGTTTTCATAGCATTGTTCCACATACACACAGCATACATTCCCAAGTCAGCAGCATTTCAGTCTCTTCGTTCCCACATCGTTGTCGTCATCGTGAACGGCATTTCGTGACTGCGATCGTGAATGACCGCATTAAACTTTATGAAGAGCAATGTGACCACGATAAGAAGAGAAGACTGATAAGAGAGCGTGTCGCTGATGATCGCTTTTTCAGGTCTGCATTGTGAGATCGATGTGTGTTGCGATGAAATTGCGCCTGCATCGTGGAACGCGCGTCACAAGGCCATGGCTGCGGTCTTCCTGTGACTCGCTCGCCCTTTCTCCTCTCGTCCTGACTCGGAGCGCACGGCAAATTGGACGGCAACAAGAGCGAAGTCGGATTCTTCTTCGGTCAATTTCAAGCGCCCTACGCCCTGCAGCTGCAGCCAGCGAGCACCCTTTCGCCCCTTCTCCGACGTCGGATCGCAGCTTTGCTTTGCGAAGGCAAAGGGAGAAAGCGATCAAAATTTTCGCCTGAGAGCAGAGCAAGGATGAAGGCTATATTTGTGACCCGGTTAGAAGGCCGCTTCATTCGTCCCCTTCAGTCGTCATAATCTCTCTTAGAGCACAGCTGCGTCACTGCCGGCAGCCCTCTTGTTAGTCCGGTTCAGCCCGGCCTACCCTTCCTCCTCGCTTTCACCTCCCCTGCCCTTTCCTCTCTCGGCCTCTTTCCCTTCCGCCGCTTCCGGTCTTGTTGCTCTCCCCACCTCGAGGCTTGCTTGGCACCGCTGCAGCTCAATCAGCTCCACTTGCCCCGCGTTCCTCCAGCCCTGCATCCAAGCTCCGCTCGCTCGCTCCTAGTCATACCTTTGCCCTCCCCGCCCACAGAGGCCCGCGCGTGTGTTTCGCTTATCATGTCTCTCCTCCGTGTCGCCCTCTCCCGGGCCTCCTCCTCGTCATCGCTAGCCGCCCTTCCTTCCGTGACTGCCGCAGCTGCCGCCTCGCTCCCTTCCACCACCGTCTCACCTGCATCCCGTCGAGCTCTGTCCACCTTTGCCTCGCCCTTTGCAAGCATGACCTCAACGTCACAGTCTAGGAACCGCTCCCTCTCCCGATCCTCCTCCTCCTCTGGCTCCTCCTCCAGCATGGCCGTCGACTCGGCATACGGCTCGTCGTACACAACGCAGGCCTCGTCCTCGCGCAACTTTGCCTCCTCCTCCAAGTCCGACGCTGGTTATAAGCCTGTGCTCACCACCAAGACCATCAACCCGCACGTGCTCGAGGCCGAGTATGCTGTCCGTGGCGAGATTTCGAATCGTGCCAACAAGTACGCCGCCCAGATCGCAGAGGGCAATGCGGACCTCCCCTTCTCTTCGGTCGTCACTGCCAATATCGGCAACCCGCAGCAGCAGCCTTACCTCGCACAGAAGCCCTTGACCTTCTGGCGTCAGGTGGCTGCCTTGACCGAATACCCAGAGCTCATGGACCAGCCTGGCGTCGACAAGATGTTCCCCAAGGACACGCAGGAGCGCGCCAAGCTCTTGCTCCAAGACATTGGCAGCGTCGGCGCCTACTCGCACTCCAAGGGCGCCTCGATCGTCCGCAAGCACGTCGCCGAGTTCATCGAGCAGCGTGATGGCTACCCATCGGATCCCGAGCTCATCTACCTCACCGCTGGTGCCAGTGGCGGAGTCCAGCTGTTGCTGCAGGTGCTCATCGCCGGTCCCGATTCGGGCGTTATGATCCCCATCCCGCAGTATCCGCTCTACAGTGCCGCCCTTGCGCTGTACAACGCCCAACCTGTGCGATACGACCTCAACCCATTCGACGACTGGTCGCTCGACGTCGACTCCATGTCGCGCTCCATCGACGAGGCCCGTTCCAACGGCGTCGACGTTCGTGCCTGTGCGGTCATTAACCCGGGCAACCCCACCGGCCAGTGTCTCTCCTACGAAAACATCCAGGACCTCATCCGCATGGCCTACACCAAACGCGTCGTTCTCCTCGCAGACGAGGTCTACCAGGCCAACATCTACCAACCCGACACTCGACCCTTCCACTCGTTTAAAAAGGTGCTGATGGACTTTTCCAAGTCGAACGATGCTGCGGAGCGGGAGATCGCGTCGAGCGTCGAGCTGGTTTCGTACCACAGCATCTCCAAGGGTGTTTCTGGCGAGTGCGGGCGTCGTGGTGGCTACTTCGAGTTGACCAACATGGACCCGGATGTCGAGGCGCAGATCTACAAGCTCGCCTCGATCTCCCTTTGCCCCTCGTTGCAAGGGCAGATTGGAGTGGACATGCTGGTCAAGCCGCCTACGGAAGGATCGCCCTCGTACGAGCTGTACAAGCAGGAGACCGAGGCGATTCACGAGACGCTCCAGACGCGATCGGAACGCATGGCGAGCAAGTTCGCCGAGCTCCCCGGTGTCGAAGTCGAACCTGCTCAGGGAGCTCTGTATCTGTTCCCCCGTGTGACACTGCCCAAGAAGGCCCACGAGGCGGCCAAGGAGAAGGGCAAGAAGGTCGACGAGTTTTACTGTTTGGAGATGCTCGATGCGACCGGAATCTGCGTCGTCCCCGGAAGCGGGTTCGGTAAAATGCCAGAGAAGGACACGGGTGCGTGTTTCTTCCGAACCACAGTGCTCGCCAAGGAGACCGACGAGTTCATCGAGAGGTATGGCAAGTTCCACAACGAGTTCCTCAAAAAGTACGAGTAGCCAGCTCTCGAATGTACGATATGCCTTTTCATAGAACGGTTGGATGCGTAGATAGAATCAAGTCATTGTAGATCAGAAGAAGGCGAGGAGTGTGTGCGTGATTGGGAATGAATCTGAGCTGTTTTTGCATGTCGTTCCTCAACGTATTGCGTCCCGGACTCTCAGCAGACGGTAATCATCACACATAGGCACGCTGCATCGACAGACCAGGCATGCATTCGTGCGTGAATGCGACTATACGAGTCGACCGGCACCTCCGCGACCCGAGCTGTCGCCGGCATAGCTTCCCGCCTGCTTACTCGCCGCTCCCTTGGCATTGAACTCTCCTGCGCCCGCACCTCGATTCCTCTCGTCGGCCGGACTGCCGCTGCCTGCCTTGGCACTAGTCGTGTACCCATCAGCGCCATGAGTATCACCAGCATAGCTTGGCGTGCCACCGCTATGCGCGCTTCTGCCTTGGCTCTTGGCCCGGTCCGCAGCGGCATTGCCCGTCCCCGTGGTCGGCGGCTCGATATCGCCAAAGCCCAAGTTGCCCATGTCGTCCTGCTCCATCAACCCTTTGTCCATCCGACACTGCAGATAGGCGCGCGAAAGATGACGACACTTGCCATTGTCGTTGCCGTTGTACTTGATGCAGTTCATGTATTCTTGCATGACCGATTTGCATTCGCCTGCGATAACGGAGGGAAAGGGTTAGTGAAGATCGGAGGTCAGGTCGTGGTGTTGGGAGTCTTACCTTCGTGGTCCAGCGGGAAAGATCCCCGCTCTGGAGGCGACACTTTGAAGTCGGAGAATGTGGGGGGACGACCGAACGACATGTTGCTACGTGATAGTGTCGGTGTGGTTGGTGGTGGTGATGAGGGCACCGCGACGGCTCGACTCGACGGGAAGCTACCACCGGAGAGGAAGCAAGGGTCCAGTGACGAAGCGGTACAGCTGTTCGGTCAAGCTTGAGTAAGTCAATGGACACAGCACCGGGGTCCGGGAAGATTGGCCTCGTTTCCGGTGTGGAACGTTGTCGCCTACCGAGAAGCAGCTGCTTTGTCGTCTTCGCGAAGAAGTCGCCGAGGGGTGCCAAGGTGGAGGATTCAGGGTCGCAATCGACGCTCAGCTCAGCAGGCAGGCGAGGTTTTTTTCGAGCTGTGTTTGATCGGCAATCTCGTCGTGGAATAGGTTGGCCAAAATCTAGGTTAAGGGTCCAAGAAGCTTTCGAAACAGAAAGTCGTTGCTATCGTTGCTTCTTCTTGACCATCCCCATCACACCACAACAAGGTCGGTCGAGCAGGCGACGACCACCGAGCACGATGCCGACATCCACAGCTGATGCATTCGCGCACGACACTTCAGACCCGCTCGACGGCGTCGACCACATCATCGTCATCGACAATGGAGCGCACAACATCCGCATCGCCTCCATCCCCTACCCTTTCCCCTCCGACCTGCTCTCTTCGACTATCGATCCGACCGTGCTCGCCTCTACGATACCCATCGATGTCTTTCCGAACGCCATAGCGCGCACCCGCTCGCCGCACACTATTCCTTCATCCACCTCGCCCACCGCTCCTCCTCCAGGAGGCAAGACCTCCCTCTTCGTCTCCTCCCACATCCACACGCTGCTCGACGACTATGCCGCCCTCCACCTCCGCCTACCCCACCAGAGCGGCGTCATCGTCGACTGGGCAGCGCAGAAGCAGATCTGGGACCACGTCTTCGCCAACCACCTAGCAAAGCTGCCCGGGGCGACGGGCAAGAAGGGCAAGTTGCTGCAGGGCAAAGCGGTGATCCTGACCGAGACGTATTGCAATGTCGAACCGGTGCAGTATGCGATGGATCTGCTGCTGTACGAACAGTATGGGGCGCATGCTGTGTGGAGGACGAGTGCGGCAGGGCTGGTTGGATTGGGGACCGATGTCTTTCGCACCCCACAACCGTCGGTGTCAGAGGACGACACGCATAACGAACAAGACGCTGCGATGGAGCACAATGAGCCGTCCACATCAAAGCGACCAGCACGCGCACCTCGAACCGCAACAACAACCACCAGCACGACCGCGACAATCCCTCGCATACTCCCCCCGCCACTCCCCCAATCGCTTCTAGTCCTCGACCTCGGCTACTCGTACTGCCACGCCATCCCCATCCTCCACGGCCAACCGCACCTACCCTCGATACGCCGCCTCGACCTCGGCGGCAAGATGCTCATCAACCTCCTCAAGGAGACTCTATCATTCGGTCAGCTCGACATGATGGACGAGAGCTGGTTGACGTCCCACATTTTCGCGCGGGTGAGCTTTGTCGCTGCCAGCGTGGGCCGACGATCTTCGGCCGGGTTAGGGCAGAGAAAGGCGGCGGAGTGGAGCTATGAAGACCTCCTAGCGCTGGAGCGAGAGGGGAGAGGTGGGATCGGGGTGACGTGGAGTCTGCCGGACTATGGAGGTGGCGATAAAGGTGGGGAGGAGAGGGATCGTGCCAGGTATGGATACATTCTTGACGGTCCGAATCCGCCACGCTTCGATGGTGACGAGCGACGCAAGCGATCGGTCGACTGGGACTCGGCCTTCATCGCCACCTCCTCCCCTACCACCTCTCGTCGTCTGCCCCCCTCAGACGAAGACGAGGAAACCCAAACCCTCAAGCTCGCCACAGAACGCTTCTCGATCATGGAAAACCTGTTCAACCCAACGGCCCTATCGCTCGATCAACAGCCTCTACCGCTGCTCGTCCGGGACGCCATCGCCTCCTTCGCCCACTCTGGGCTTCCGCACGCCCGCGCCGCCGCCGACATGATGTGGTCCAACATCATCCTCACCGGCGGTCTCGCCAATTGTGTAGGTCTCAAGCGGCGATTGGAGCACGAGCTGCGCAGTTTGGCGCCCGAGGATGTGGGGGTGAAGATCTGGACCGACGAGGGCGATGCGAGTCTCACGGCGGTGCGGTCGGGAGTGGGGGTGGCGTGCGAGGTGGCTGCGAAGGAGGCGGTGAGACGGGAGAGCTCGAGGGGTGAGGATGTGAAAGCGGGCAAGAAGAGGGGGAGGAAGAGCCGAGCAAGTGTGACGGTGGAAGAGGCGGAGGAAGAGGTGGGCGGGAGGTGGTTGACGTATGCACAGTGGATGAACGCCGGATCAGGAAGCGAGGCGGACATTGTTCGAGCTGCCAATGCCGTGTTCTACCCTTCCTTTGAAGGATAGCTGCAATTGCTACGCTTTTGGGACGATGACAGGGTTTGGAGCGAACTTGGTACATCTCTACTATCGATCCCAAGCGCAAGTGACTCAACGACGAAAGCGAACATCCTCCAAACTGGTCTCCAGTGCCGAGGCGACCTGCTTTCCTCCAACTTCGTTGCTGCTGGCAGCAACGGCCTCGTGAGCTCCTTCGTTGAGCGTCTGCCCCGTTCGGGCCGCCTGGCCAGTCGCTTTGTTCGTCTTCGAAGACTTGCCCCGAATGACGGTCCACAACTTGCTCCACCTTCCTTCCGTCTTTCTGCCTGCGGATTGCTTGAGACGCTGAAATTCGGGCCAGTCACTATCGTCCTCCCAGCGTCGGTGGAGGTGCGTCGAGGTTGACGAACGGCTCCTGATCGTGCTTGCGGGTTGTCCTCGGCGAAGGGGTTGGAGTTGAGCCTGCGCGCCGAGTGCGATGACGCTGAGGAGTAGAAGGAGAAGCAGTGGTGTCGACCAGCGACTCTTGTGGCTGAACCAAAGCATCTTGGTTTGACTTTGCAGAAGCGTGGCTTGACAGGATGGGTGATATGTGAGGCGCAGTGGCCGGGCCTTTTATGCGCAGTCGACTTCTCTCCCTGCGGGCCGAACCAACGAGGGGTATTATGCTCAGATGAAACGGGGTAGCCCGTCGTCAGAAGACCAGCTCTATGCCTATCGACGACAGGAACACCTTCGGTCACGGGAACAGCTACCTCGATGAGATGCGTCACAGACATGGGATGATATCGGTCAAACTCGGCGCCGAGATGAACGAGAGGACGACTGCTGGCGACAACCTCTGCGAGCACGTCATCGGGTTGACACGCGACGACACACATTGGCGAGGGTCAGGCGATACAAGGGGTTGCAACTCATGCGCCATCAGTGCGTTGTCCAAACACCTGGTAGTGACGCAACCGTCTCGTTGCACAGACTTTGCGAGCAACACACTTTGACGGTCATGTTGTACTTGCGACAGAATGACGACACTCGTGGAAGCAAAGAGACGATGGGGCCAGCCCATCCTCACGGCACCCTCACCCTCCCCCAGCCCGCCCGAATCCCGCTCCTGACCTTACCCAACACACCGCCACCACCCTCAACAATCCCATCCCACCACCCTCTCCTCTGCGCTGCAGTCACCACCTCACTCGGCAGCGTCAGCATCCGCCCCTCCCCGCTGGACTGGGACCGTTTCAGGGCACCAAGCACCACCTCGCTCTCAGCGCCTTTTCGCAGTCGGATCGTCCCTCCGTTGGACCGGATGAAGGTCACCTTGCCCCGTGGGTGGATGACGAAGAATGGGGCGCCGCGTTGCTTCATTGCCTCCAGGATGGGGGTGTCCATCCGGGTACCGGGGAGCGAAACGCCATCGTACAAGGGGGAGACGCGGAAGAGGGGGATGCTCACCGGTTCTGCCGGCTGAGGTTTCTTGCGTTGGAACAGTCGCGACCATCGACTGGAGCTGCGTGAGGGTGAGGAAGAGGGCGAGGGTTGGAGTAGCGGATGGATTGTTTCGATGGATGGATTGAACGGGATGAACTTGGCATCTGCGAGCGGCGCTTTCTCTTGCACTGTTGGCAGCGATAAGGCGGGCTGCAAGGGGTGGGCGTGACCAGAGAGCACCAGCAGCGCCAACGGGAGGATGGCGAAGGAGGTGAGAAGCATGTTGTTGATTGTCGCTGGTGATTGTCTTGCATGGAAGGAGACATAATGCCGTTCGTTCGGACGAAAAGGCCTTTAAGTAGCCCAAGTGATAGCTCGACCGAGCTCGAGCTCGGCTCTCTTTCGTCGAGAGGCCGGGCACAAGGTGGGGTGTACCTATCAATCGGACGATGAAACGCTCTAATCGAAGACAACGGTCACCTACTTCTGGTCAGACCGCAGCAACGACCCACATGAAGGAGATGAGCTCGGCGCAGCTTTCTGTCCCTTCTCGGTCTCTTCAGACCCCGGCGGTTCGGCTCAGATGCTTGGTCTGTCCGGCTTCTCAGACGTTGAGTGTTCGATGCAGCCTCAGAGGCGAACCCGGAGCGCGCGGTACGAAACGGTGCGGAGCTGGAAAACCCCGAGCTGTCAAGTAGGGCGAATTTGCGAGGGTGGCATGGCACGGCTTTGATTCATCGATGGTCGGACGAAGAGTCGTGATGATCGCCTGAACCGTGCCGCAGGATGACGAAAACGCTGTTCGAGCACATGTGAGCTGACTTTGAACGCAGCTGAACTTCATGAAGGCGGCTGCGAAGCGACTCAACGACCAAATGGGCGGTTGCCGCGGCACCGCTGCTGCGCCCAGTGCTCATTGAGGCTGCGCAACAAGAAGCCACGCTTTCTGGTGGGTCAAATTGTACGACTCAGCTTCATTCCGTCGCCACCGACCGTTTTTGAAAGCCCAGAGGAGAACGTGCTGGCTTCTCAATTCAAGTGTAGTGCAACAGTGAAGCGAAGCGCAGCGCTCCGAATGCGCCCACTTGAAGCGTCAAAATTCTGCGCAGTGGGCCCACAAGGCTTGACCCACACTGATGGTCGAATCACACTTCGTTTCTAGTCCTGCTGTTTCCTCGCATGAAGGCAAAAACGCAACATCAGTCAAGACTTCATTCAGATCCACCGTCAACGAAAGCCTATGCCGCAAGCGCAACGTGAGTCGCCGACGATAGCTCCGATCCACGAACCCTTCGCTGATCGAAACTGCATGTCCTCGAAAAGATTCGTCAATCAAGACCCGAAGCGAATAGGCCTCATTTGCTTCTTTGAACACGAAGATGAAGATAGGCAATGCCAGGCAGGATGGGGGCGTTCCTATGATCCAGACTACGCCAGACACTGTCGTAGAAGAAACAGTCGAAGCGCACGAGGGTAAAGCCATGCTGCCGATTGTGGCTGCACCGCCGCTAGCAGCCCCCGCGTACAAAGTTGACGACTTCTGGTGGGTGATCCTTGAAAAAGGGACCATAACGAGCCACAATTACATCTGGGACGCCAGGGACTATTCTTCTCATAAGATGATCCACATGCTGAAGGCGAGTAGCCACGACGGCAAACATTACAGCCTCAACCAGTACCAGAAGGAACTTTTCATCTCAACCCTGTACCGCAGGATGGACGAGAAGGGCTTGCTTCGAAGTGAGACCCAGCCCGGAATCTCATTCCACGGCTCTACAATCTGCGTGTACTGCCCAAACGTCGTGACGCTTGAGGCAACTTTCGGCCTACTAAGTCCGGTTGATCCCATGATCCAATTCTACTCGTTCACCCTGGATTTCGTCTCCAAAGGCTTCCCATTTCTGCCTCGCTTTTGGGCGCTCGATGGCATGCTGGCTGATCCCGACAAGGAAAGACTGGTAGACGACCTCAAAACCTATCTTTTCGAGAATGCCGGCACACTTGGAAAGGCCTGTGCTGTCTATGCAAGCTTTTACGAAGTCAGCGGCTTTGATCCTGTCTTTAACGGAGAGCTCTTCATCCTAACGGAGGCCTCGACAATCCAAGGTGACGATGCACCTCCACCGTTTCGCGGCAGCAAGCCAGAGAGATGTACCAGCACGTCTACGATATGCAGTGATTTTTGGACATCCAAGCCAATGCCAGCCACTTCTGTCGTCACATCGCCCTCATCTTCGTCATGACATCCACATGCAGATGTCAAAACTTCTGTCGTCGAGACGCCCTGACGCACGGAACTAGTACTCGACAACATGCCAGGGCACAGACCCCGTATCTTTCAGACACACCAAGTAATGAATCGTTCATATGTACAATCAGAAATGAAAGCGAATTGAGCCGAATAGGGAGTGTGGAAACAAATGAGCGCCAGCGCTCTGCAGAAAAACACCGATGTATTTGCGCTCGGCTCAACCAGCCTAGGCGCCGCGGACGTACTTCACGGGCGACAAGAGTCTACCCCAAAAGCCCCTCGACCCCTCGGCGAGACGAGATATCCAGGAGCCATTCGATCGAGCGGCGCTAGTGGCGGTGCGGGCCACCTGTCCAGCCGTACCTGCCACCTCTCCCGGGCTCGTCTTGAGCGCCTTCAGCACGCCCTCTCGCCTAGCTGCACCGAGGTTGTCCGTCCAAGTGAAGCGATTGCCGTCCACGTCAGCGGGTCTAAACGACCAGATCTTGCCTTGCCCGTTCTCGACATAAAATTGCTTGCGCCGCTTGATCATGGCCGAGATGGCCGCGTCGTCGTAGATGCCTCCCTTGAGGCGGACGATCTCGCGGTCGTCGACGCGCGGCAGACCCGTCGTCATGTCGCGGACGCCTTGAACGTCGAGGAAGTTCTGCGCGCGATAGCGCAGGAGGTCCGACATGCCCTTGTTGGTCGACACCGTTGGCTTGCCCCAGCCACGCATCCGGTCTAGCCACGTGTCTGACCGGAGACTGGACGCAGGAACAACGTGCTGCACGCTCGAGCGCGTTCCTACCTTGAGCCGAATGCGAGGCGGCGGCACCGGTAGTTCTTGCAGCCTCGGGATTTTGGCAACCAGCGCTCTGTCTGCAACGGGAGGGTTGACTCCTTGTCCCGCTACCTCACCTGTCAGCTCCTGAGCAGGACTGGTCGGCGATACAGGAGCAGCAGCCACCAGCGAGACCGACCCCAGGACGGCCAGTATGCGAAGCCACATCAAAAGCATCGTGCAAGTCAAAGCGCCTGGCTTTGTCGGGAAGGCTTGCCGGAAGCCGGGAGTAAATGAGAGTGAGTAAACGAGAGTATATAACGGAGTACGGACAGGGGATAGACCGAGAAGTTGAGCGGACCACTTGACGATGCTGAACTGGGAAAGGTATGGCGGGCAAGACGGAAGGAGTGCCCGGAGGACCACGTCTTTGTACCTGCGACAGTTCCGCCGACTCCTTTCAGCGTTTGTCTGTGGTCGTGGTCTCGGCTTCGTTGTCTATTCCCTACTTGACTCGGAGCACTCGATCCCGCTGACTACCAATCGACAACGTCCCTCTATCGCTGTACTCATTGAGTGGGTGGCGACCTGAGCGGGTCTGCACTATGTCGATAAGCAACAAGCCCACAAAGTTGCCAAATTGGCCAGCGTCGCCGATGTTCCCGTATCTGCTAAAGATGAAGACGCGCCACTCTTTTTCGCAACCTTGCCCGTAACACCACACCGATCATGATATCGTTCTTCATTTGCACCACCCAAGGTGGTTTCGGACAGAGCTCGCTCTTGCGCCAATTCAGTCTCAGTACCTGCCCACAAGGCGTCATTGAAGGGACTGAAGTGGCAATCGCATTCGTGGGCTGAGGCTCGGGCCGTTACATGAGCTCGCTCATCCCACCGATGAAAGGTGCGAAACCCTACACTACAAAGTGCGGTACGTCTCCGAGCGTGTTCACGAGCTGCCTCTCGATCCGACCGTCTGGCAAAGCCCTGACGCCGAACGAGGAGGTCCCCGCCGAATTAGTGAATCTCAAGTAACGCTCTTCGTCGAGTTGCTCCCTGAGATGTTGCCAGTCGGTATTTGGCGCCACAGCCACCGGTGTCGATGCATGAACGCTTTCCCAGCTGGGCGGAGCGTGTTTTGGTTTCTTCCAGAACTTGAGACCTCTTCCACGCGTCGGAGGCGGCAGAGGGGATGCAGGATATCCATGAGCAACTCGGGCGACGTTAGGTCCGAACTGGCGTGACGTGGCGTCGATCTGGCCGATATACTCCGGCAATCCCGCCTGGTTGTGTCTCACCACGTAAGGGTCTGCCAACCGAGCACCTGGCGTGACGCTGACTGCATCGGGCTGCTGACGAACGCGAGCATGGAAGCCGCCAAAGTCGGCTGCGGCACGCTGAAATTCCACCGCTGGGACTCGTTGATTTGTGTGCTGGAACTCGAAAATAGGCCTGCCGTCGAGATGGAAGAGCATATCACCGTACAATGCGGGGACGCTGCGGGGGTGAGTGCCCACAGTCTGAGCCGGTGGACGCAAACGACCCTCCTGGAGCTCTTGGAAGGTCACGGTGTCGATCCTACCGAGTGCTGAGAGCGTGCGTTCGTCGAGATGCAAAGCAGATGTTGAACCGAGGAGGAACAGGCTGGTCAGCAGGAGAGCGATGCTCGTCGAGCTCAGATGCCAGACACGCATAGCTGAAGCTGTTACTTGTTGGTTGTTGTCGTCTCGGTTGAAGAGATCGCTGTGGTGCACAAGCTTCGAGACATTGAGTGCAAACAAGCGAGGCCTGGATTCGTGTCACACCAGACTGCTGTTGCCAGCAACACACGAACTTGTTGGTGGGGCAAGCCCATCTCATCCGATTTCCCTTCAACATTGCTTTCATGTTCAGCTCCTAAGCTGCTAAATGTGGGCTAGAAAGAAGCAACCCGACCGCCGGTGGGAATCGACGGCATTGCGCAAGCAGCTTGCTCTCGTCACATAGGCGGGCGAGAGAAGCCTTTGAAGCATGGGAGAGGATCGCCTTCTCCCATCCTTTTGTCACACCTTCAGAGCATTTCGATCGACGTTGCCGCGATAGAACGCCTGTCACCTCTCCATCATGAGACTGCACCGCCTCATCTGCATCAGCCTTGCCGCGCTGTCTGCGAGCATCCTGGTTCTGTCGTCTCGCTGTGTAGCTGCTGACATCGAGGAAGAGGCCAGCGCCTCAACTCCTTCGCCCGCCTCACTTGCATCGCCCCTCCGCTCTCTTGCTTTGACTGGCCAAGGAAACAGCCGCTTCGACCGCTACATCAACCGTCTCGATCACACGCGCATTCGCCGACTGACTCCCAGCTACACGCGCAACTTTGACCTCACTGCCGATCCCCGGACGCCCTTCTTCGGCCGCGTGCCGCTCTACTCGATCCGCACGCCGCCGCCGATCGTCGAGCAGGCGCTTCGCGATCATGGCAGTGTGGGCCTTGTCGACTCCCTTCGGCGCCAGGCGATGCAGATCTTTCTCGGTGGAGATCACCTTTCCCAGCATCCTTTTCCGGACATGGCGACAGTGCTGGGCGTGTATGAGCTGGATCCACGCATCCATCGTGCCAAAAAAGCCTTCTTGGGTCAGCTACACGTGGCGTCGGTGCCGGAGAATGTGGATGCTCTACCGCACGCGTTTGGCCTACCTGTGCTGCTTCCCGGGTCGGACAGTGTAGGGCATATCTTGGGTGCGACTCGTCAAGACGCGCGGGCGTTTTGGTACCCCACCGACCCGCGCAGGTTCGTGCATGTCGATCTGAGGACCGACCCACTCTATGCCAAACCTGGGCGTCAGACCCTAGCCGACGTGCTCCGGACGGTCGACAAGTACAGAGCGGACACAGACACCTACGGGCGCGCCACGGCAGGCGTGCTCAATGGAAGAGCCCTCCACCACCGACCAGGCATGCAACACGCCCACGTCGGCAAGATCAAGCTCCGCGAAACGCCCCGCTTCGCTGCAGTACAGGCTTCGAGAGAACAACTCGTAGATGCTCTCCAGATGTTTGGCAGGTATCATGTGTACGTGCAAGAGCCGACGCAGGTGAGGACGTACAAGGTCAAATTGATGAGGGATGGCAGACAGGGGGTGTTCAAAACCAAGGTGCAGCCGCTGAGCAGGTTTAAGCGGTGGCAGGAGGAGATGCTCGAGAAAGCCGGGGTGATTCATCTGCCTGTGTAGAGGTAAGGTGCGACGACCAGGTCGTATTGGTATCGCTCGGTCGTTTCTGAAGACGCACTCGTCGACCTGTTTTCTGTCCGCGAGACCAAGATGTTGAGATGTCGAACAAATACATTCCATGACAGACATATCCTCATACAATTCCGATTCCACGACTTGAACGAATGACCGTCTCATCCGCTTACCTCTTGCCGCCCTGCCCTTGTAAGAGCCACCATGCCCAAGCCTGAGTGGTGTTCTGTCTAGCGCATCCATCCGCGTCCTCTCCCACCGCGCGGTCTACCCCTGCCACCCCATCCGCCGCCCCGGTACCCGCCCCTGGGGGCACCCTCGTCGTACTCCCTATACTCTCTCGCTGGTGGTTGTGCTGTCCCTGCTGCGGGTGGCGCCGCGCCACCACCACCGATAAGGCTGCGACCGCGCACGACAATTCCGCGATTGTATGGGTCCGCGGGCCGATCGTATGCCGGTCCTCCTGCATCATCGTATTCCGTCGCAGACGGTCGGCGGTACGGATAGGCCGCTTCGTCCCTCGCATACCCTGCGCCTGCGGGAGGAGCATCGCGATACGTGGGATCTCGGCGACCCCATCCCGCAGCAGGCTCGCGCGGTCTCTCGCCCCAACCCATGTCGCGGCCTGCCCCGGCGCTGTCGTGGTGGCGCGGCGGGGCGCCGTAGTAGTCGCCGCCTCGCGCCTCGCGTGCCTCGCGCGCTTCCGCCCAGGCGTCGGCGCGCGGGTCGGCATCTCGCATGCTCGAGGGGCCCTTGGGCACTCCGGCGTAGTCGCGAGGTGGGTAGCCGCCTGCGCTTCGAGGCAGTGCCGTGGTCGCCGGCGTGGGCGAGGTGAGGCTGGGGGGAGCGTAGCGTGTGGATGCTGTGGAACTCGCCGAGCTGGCTGAGGAGGGCGTGTTGGCCATCCCAGCTGCGACGCCGGCGATGCCGATGCGGGCTGGAGTCGATGTGACTGCTGGTGAGGTGACCGGTGCTGCGGCTGATGATAACGCGGGTGCTGCCGCGCTGCTGACGCTGCCAGCGGTGACGCTCGATGTCGGAGCCATCGACGAAGGGGCCAACGAAGCGCTGGGAGGACTCATGAACGCACGAGGACCTCTCGGGGGGTTGAAGGTGGCTGAGCCCGATGGAGAGTGCGGGGGTTGCACCCTAATAGGCCCAAGCGAAGGCGATCGCATCGGAGTCGAGGATGTAGCACCCAATCCGGGCGTTGTCGGCGCCGTTGTCGGCGCTGTGCTGTGAGACTGAGGCTTGGCGAATCCATCTACGTCTGCTGCTGCGACATTGCCGGCCGTGCCTTGTTGCTGCGGGTCCTTGTCACCACCACCTGGCTGCTGCGAGACGGATGCGGCTCGGCCACGGATCGTCTCTAGACGCATCAGCAAGGCTGGCGTGTCAGAACCTGCGCCTGCGCTGGGCAGAGTGCTCGTGTTGGAAGCCGGTGACGACGCAGGGCCGGCTGTGCTGCTGACAGTACCTGCCTCGATGGATGAAGCAACGGGCGCGAGGACCTCTTGAGAGGGCATTACAGCCGATGCTGCTCCCAAAGAAGCCCCGCCCGCCGGGACCTGAGCAGGTGCCGGCTCCGGCGAAGGTGACTTCGGGATCTCAACAGAGCGAATCGCTGTTGGCGCCGAGATGGACGTGAAGAGCACGCTCCGCGGCGCTGCTGCTGAGACTGATGCTGTCGGAGGCTTAGCGGGCTCGGTGATGACCGGCACGCTTGAGATGGCCGGCGGGATCACGCCAGTGGGTGTCGAAATGGTCTCCGCCCCGGCAGCCATAACGGACGGAGGTTCCGAAGATCGAAGCGATGAGGACGGCAGAGGATTGCTCCCTTCGACGGCTGGCGAAGGCGATGGTGTGACCTCGGACGTCGGCGTGGCAAGAGAAGGCGTGAGCGGACCGGACGACGAAGTGGGGACTTGTTGCGCCGAGACACGGCGTTCGGCGAGTCGACGCTTGTATTCGGCCAAGGACAGCTTGACTCTGGGCTCCTCCTTCTTGACTTCCGGCACAGGCGCAGGTGCGGGTGCGGATGTCGCCGCGGCTTTTGACGTTAGACTGGCTGCAGCAGCGTCAAGCTTGGCTGTGTCGGTCTCGATCTTGAGGTTGGCCTCAGCAGGCTTGCTATCGACCGCTTCCGGCTTCGATGCGGCGACGGCAGGCTCCTGCTTCGATCCGATCTCTTCCTCCTCTAAAGGTGCAGGAGCGGCTTCTTCCCCATCACTGCTCGCCTCTGAGTCGGACACGATGCGTCGCACCTTCTTGGTCTTCGTCGGCGTGTCTTCCTTGGCAAGCGTCTGATCCTCTGCCACGATGGGTGATGACGGGAGGAGATCCCTCTTGGCCTTCTTGGGCCCAGTCGCGTCGCCGACGTTCTTCGCTTGCTTGGCGGCTGCACGCGGCGTGGATGCGCGGCTATCGGCATTTGCCACAGCGTTATCTTCCTCTTCGGCTGACTCCTGCTCCGACAGATCATCCTGGCTGGACTCCGAATCGCCTAGATCGAGGATAGCATTGCGATGAATGCGCGCCTCTTCCCTCTTGCGACGCTTCGACGCCGATTCCTTGGGTCGAGGCTCCGAAGTCTTGCCCTTGCGGTCACCGCCGCGCTTGGCGGCACGCTTCTTCTTGGACAGCTCCACATCCGACATACGCTTCTCGGTCTCGAGACGATTCTTCTTCGATAGACGTGGCACAGGCGTTGGCGGGCTGGCGTTGGAGTCGTCCGTGTGGGGCGATGGAACCGAAGAGAGGGGCGAGCTGGGATCCACAATGTTGCCTGCCTTTCGGCGCTTCTTGATCGGGGTCGTTGTCGAATCGTAGCCGCCGTCGTCTTTGTCTTCGTCCGACGAGAAGTCAGGCGCTGCGCGACCAGGATCTGCCTTTCCTTTGCGCTTCGCACCTGCTTTGACCTTGGTCGTGCCCTTGACTCCCTTACTTCGCTGGACTTCCTCGTCCCTGTCAGCGACTTGCTCGTCCATGGCCTCGTCATCGTCGGACGGCGCGAGGATCGCCTTGATGCGAGTGCGCATCGAGCGCTTCTTGGGAGGCAGCAGAAACAAACCAGAGAGCTCTGTGTCCACCGCGTCCGCATCACCGCTATTGCCGGGTCTTCGACGAGAGGGCAAGTCGTCGGCGGCACGCAGCGCATCCATAAGATCGTGGTCCTCCTCTTCGCTGAGTGTGTCATCATCGCTAAGGCCAGATAGAGGGTCCGTAAGCGAGGAGGCGATAGACCGCGTGTCGTCGCCATCGTCCGCGTCCGATGCGGCCAGATCGCCGTCGACCTGCATGCGGTCCTGCTTTGCTCTGTCTCCTTTGCGACGCTTACCGCGCCTGGCATTCTTCTCGTTGCTGCCGCATCCCATCTCGTCGTCCACGTCCATACCGTTCAGCGTGCCAGCTTCGGGTGCTAATGCGTCGAGCACGGCATGGTCAACAGGTGACGCGCTGTCCTTCGCCGAGGTCTCGGGCGTAGGCGGCAAGCTGTACGGCCTCCAGTACCTCCGAACGCCGACCAACGGCGAGAAGTCGGGCAGCTTTGCTCTCCGGTTGGCCTTACCGGGCATGTTAACGTTCAGAAGCGACATGCCGTTGCCCACTCTGAGCATCTGTGCTACGGCGCAGTCCTGCTTGCGTCCATTGTTGGCGCTCGCACCACCTCCGCCACCGGGCGGAGCCGCCGAGCCGATGCAGGCGCATAGGACAGAGCCCAGAAGCGCGGCGGCCACTGTGCTCATCTTAGCCGAGAACTCGGTCTCGGCATATGGGAATTCGCCCTTTTCGGCCAGTGCCACCATGTTGGCGGTGTGCTGATTGGCATCGACGTCGAGGTGGCGTGATTCGAGGAACGGGTTCTGCACCAACTCGGGCAGGAAGTGCACAATATGAGCGTCGTCCCATTCCCAGCCCAATGTGATCTCGTGCGTTCTCGGAATGTCGGTGAGGGCAAAGAGTCCAAAGACCAGCTGCGGCTCGTCGGAGCGGATCTCGACGGGCGGGGTATCGGCATGCCTGCTGTGTCTTGAGGACAATGCGAGGGTCGCAGCGGGCGACTGTGCCCTCGAGCTGGTGCGGGAACGGGCGGAAGACTGACCGTTTGGACGGAAGAGGATCGGGCGGAGGACTGCATTGGGATGACAGCTGAAGCGAGCAAAACGGGCTTCGTTTCCGTATCTGCGAGCGTCGATGGCGAGGTTGAGCGGTGGCGGGAGCAGATGAACATGCGGCTTGGTGGCACCCAGCGCAGCGTACTGATTGATCGGATTGTTGCGGTAGGCGTCGGCGCTGTAGAGCTCGCCGCGGAGCTCAGTGATGAAGGCACCAGCGGGGATCGAGCCGTCGGCAAAGAGACCATGCATGACCGGTCGTGAGAACGCCCGCGAAGCACACCAGCTGCGCTGAGGCTCGTCCGCCGAGTTGTTGACGTACAGGAGGTTGCTGAAGACGCCGGCCGATGCCGACTCGGAGATGTGCTTGACATACGTTCGGCAAGCAAGGTCGGCAAGCGAAGGCCCTGACATCTCGACAGGAATGCACTCCTGACCAACAGCGGAGATGCCGATCAAGGCAGCCTCGGGAATGGGCGAGCCGAGTGCGCGCGGCGATGGGGACGACGGTGACGATGTCGATGAGGAAGACGGATAGATTTCCGAGTGCGCGAGCTTGCTGCTGTGGGAAAGCCGGTACGCAGTGGGAGCAATAGCACGACCTGCTGGACCCTGGACGGCTTTGAGGGGGCTGCCCTCCTCCCAATCGAGCATGGCCATGGCGAGATTCTCGACGATCGACGGCTCAGCCACCGTGTTTTTGGTGACGGGAGTGAACTCGACGTGCCAAGCCTCGAGCTGATCGGCGAGGTCGAAGGGGTCATCTGCGCGTTCGTGCGAGCTGCCGGGAGTGAAGACGCCTCGGACCGGAGTGGAAACAGACGAGGGGGTGTCGAAGCCTCTACGGGACCCTTTCTGGCCTTTGCGCTGTTTGGCACTGCCGCCTCTCTGGGCAGTCCCTACGCTAGCAGGAAGTTCTGGTACGACGAACTGCGTGTTGGTGAGGTCAAGTGCCTGACTCGGCTTTCGCGAGCGAGCAGCTGCTGCTGATGTCGATATTGACGCGGGATGGGCCGGCTGCTGGGTCGCTGACGTGGCTTCTTGAGCGGCTGTGGAGGCAGAAGGGGCATGTGTGCTGGAAGTTGGGGAAGGAACGGCGTCCTGGGCAAGATAGGTCTGGGTGTAGTTGTTGGAAGCGAGTGCCTGTGCCTGTCGTTTGAGGTTGCGATCCATGAGGGCCTTTCGTGCTTCGTTGTTCTTGCGCTTCTGCTGATGTGCCTGGGCAAAAGCGACGTCGACAGGACGAGGATCGCATTGCTCGCAAAGGTATTCATCGGGAACCGAGGCTTGCGACATGCCAAAGCAAGCGCAATGTTGCCAGACCAGACATCTGTCGCACTGGATGGTGAAACCATCGTCGTCATCGCATCCACAAATACAACGAATGACGCCGGCCTCTTCGTCGACTGTGCCCTGGTCATCGTCATCTTGCGCTGGCTCCTCCTCCGGATTGATTGGGTCTGATGGTGGCTCGTCGGCAGGTAGAAGTCGACTGGAAGATGAAGAGGGATCGGCGGACGGTTGCGGCAAGTGAGTGGCGGAGGACGCAGGCGATGCACCCCCTCTGGCTGTTGTAGGCGGGTCGCGGGCAAAGACGCCCATCGCTGGCGGCTTGATCATGGTCGGAGATGAGAATTCCGCCCGCGGACGGAGCGGGGTAGCAGGCTGTGAAGTGCGATGTTGGTGCGTTTAGACGAAGATGGCACCAGGTAGTGCGGGCCTCATCGTGCTCTTGCGATTCGGTATACCAAAAGAAGGGTGACAAAAAGAAATGGTCGGTCTTAGATGCTGGTGTGTTAGCTATATGATCTGCATGGCGAGCAGCTTGTGCGAGATGGGAACGAAACGAATGTGATGCTGGAGTCGAATGAAGACGAGAGCGCGATGCAAGGATGATGGCTGTATGAGCCTTGTGGTTGATCGAGAGAGGACGAATGGTAGACGAGAAGGAAAGCGAAGGGCTCCAAGGCGATGAGCCTTGAGCGGGCGATGGGAGGAATTGAATGAGAGAGACGAGGGTGAGTCGACACACCTCGAACTGCTCTGCTCTGCTCTCTCAGCCGCCAATTCGTCGGCCCCGCAAGCCTGACAGACAAGCCCGACGCAAAGCTGCAAGCGCGTCTCGCTTTCATCGAAAATTTTCGACTGTTGCGCTGCTTTGCCTCGTCGACTCAGCCAAATTTGGCAGAACATCCTGGCTAAATCTTGGGCGCCCGATGCAATTGTTAGGTCGGGACTGGCGCTGAGCAGCGCGTCGACTTTTCTTGAGAAGATTCCAAAAAACTGACGCTGACTGCACAGATCAAATTGGCTGAGCATCCTTCTCTTCTTCGTCACGATCCATCTGCATCTCTGCTCGCACCTCGACTGCCGTTCAAGGAAGTACATCACTGGAGAAGGCGCAACGGTGCTTCTCGGACTCAGCGCTTGGCTCGACGGACCACTGCCTTCCACTCTGCTGTCCCATAAGGCAACAGCTCGTCCACAACTCCGTTCTCACCAAAGCGGCAACCTCTCTCTTACAGAATTCGCATAACCTCAGCCCTGCTCCGTATGACGACGACACCCTCATAGTATACAGCTAGCTTCACTTCAGCCGCTGTCCTGGCTCGTGCGGACTCACGACACCATGCCGCCCAAAAAGCCAGACCTTTCTGGCTACCAGTATTCGGCCCTCTCGTCGCTGGTCATCAACGCAGATCGTTCGCAGCGTCGTCCAGATGAGCCGTCCGGCGAGGCCGAGTCGTTGGCCGGTCGCATCAACTTTCGCGACATGGGTTCCGCGGTCAAGTCAGAGGGCGTCAAGGACCTAGACAAGAAGCGCAAGAAGGCTGAAGCAGGCGACGAGCTCAAACAGCCTCAACCAAAACGACAAGCTGTCTCTAGCTCCTTTTCACAACAGAACACCTACGCCAACGTCCTTCAGGCCACAGCAGAGCTCGAAGGTCTTCGCTATCATCCCAAGACGGCAGAGACCAGAGATATCTACGAGCTCATCCTCAGCATTGTCCACACAGCACTAGGCGATCAGGCACAGGATGTGGTTCGCTCAGCCGCAGACACGACACTCGAAATCCTCAAAGATGACGACCTCAAAGATCTCGACAAAAAGAAAGAGATCGAAGAGATCCTGGGTGTACTCAGCACTGAAACTTTTGGTCAGCTCACCAATCTCAGCAAAAAGATCACCGACTATGACGAGCCAAATCCTCAGGACGGTGCTGCCAACGGGAATGCAAAGATGGCAGAGATCGATCAGGAGGCAGGCGTCGCTGTTCTCTTCAACGACGAGGAAGAGGAGAGCGATCAGGACGGAGTCGGCTACGTCGTACGCGATGGCAGTGACGACTCGGACGCTTCTGATGACGAAGCACGCCCTCGCCAAGGAGCTGAGGATGCGGATGCCTCGGACGCCGAAGCCGACAATGACGACGGAGAGGATGCGCTCATGATCGGAACAAGCGCATCAGCAGCAAACGGCGCTTCGAAGCAGAATGACCCAAATCATGTCAGCCCGCGCGACGTCGACGCTTTCTGGATTCAACGGCAGATCTCGCAGCACTACTCCGACGCACACGAGGCCAGCGAAAAGGCAGACAGCGCCTTCGACATCCTCTCCGCCGAGTCTGACGTCCGCGACTGCGAGAATGGCCTCATGGAGCTCTTTGACTACGACAAGTTCGAGCTGGTTCAGGTGCTCACCAAGAATCGAGACTTGGTCGTTTGGTGCACACGACTGTCACGCGCAGACGACGATGAGAGGGTCAACGTGCAGGTGGCAATGCGCGAGAAGGGCGTTGCCTGGATTCTCAAGGCGCTACAAGGCGATGCAGCCCTCAATGGCACTTCAACGAAGGGCAAGGCAGGGAACGGGCTGGCAGCTGCCGATCTCGAGAATGCTCAGCGGAAAGCTCAAAGACTCACCAGCCGGGCCACCATCGCACCAGGCTCTACAGCACAGCCACGACGCGGCGTGGACCTCGAAGCAATGGTCTTCACGCAGGGCGGACATCTCAACACCAATGCAAAGGTACGTCTGCCCGAGGGGAGCTTCAAACGCACCAAGAAGGGGTACGAGGAGATCCACATCCCTGCGCCTGTCAAGAGAACCGTAGGAGAAGGCGAGCTCGTGCCAATAGCCAACCTACCCGAATGGGCGCAAGGTGCCTTTCCAGGTGCGACATCGCTCAATCCAGTGCAATCACGCTGCTATCCAGTCGCATTTGGTTCCGACGAGCCTATGTTGCTGTGCGCTCCCACGGGCGCCGGCAAGACCAACGTCGCCATGCTGACCATCCTCCACGAGATCGGCAAGTGGCGCGATCAGGAGACCGGCGAGATCGACCTCAATGCGTTCAAGATTGTCTACGTCGCACCGATGAAGGCGCTTGTATCGGAGCAAGCGGGCAACTTCCGCGACCGTCTGCAGTTCTACGGCATTGTCGTCAACGAGCTGACAGGAGACAGCCAGCTGACCAAGGCACAGATTGCCGAGACGCAGATCATCGTCACAACACCCGAGAAGTGGGACGTCATCAGCCGCAAGAGCACCGACACGTCGTACACCAACCTCGTCCGCCTTCTCATCGTCGATGAGATCCATCTGCTGCACGATGACCGAGGGCCGGTTCTCGAAGCCATCATCTCGCGGACCATCCGCCGCATGGAGCAGATGAGCGACCCGGTCCGTCTCGTCGGTCTTTCAGCCACGCTACCTAACTACCAGGATGTGGCCACCTTCCTCCGCGTCAACCCCAAGACGGGTCTCTTCTACTTCGAGAGCAACTACCGACCATGTCCGCTCAAGCAGGAATACGTCGGCATCACCGAGAAGAAGGCCATCAAGCGCCTGCTCGTCATGAACGAGGTCACCTACGAAAAGACGCTCGATCAAGCTGGAAAGAATCAGGTGCTTATCTTTGTCCACTCGCGAAAGGAGACTGCCAAGACGGCCAAGTTCATTCGGGACAAGGCGATGGAGCAGGAGACTCTCAACCGCTTTTTGCCGCCTTCGCCCGCCAGTCAGGAGGTGCTGCGCTCCGAGCTGGACAATGTGACCGACGGCGACCTCAAAGACGTGATGCCGTACGGGTTCGGCATCCACCATGCTGGCATGTCGAGACTCGATCGTGAGCTGGTGGAAGCGCTATTCGCCGACGGACATCTCCAGGTGCTCGTCTCCACCGCCACCCTCGCTTGGGGTGTCAACCTCCCAGCACACACCGTCATCATCAAAGGCACGCAGATCTACAACCCGGAAAAGGGCCGTTGGTGCGAGATCACGCCGCAGGACATGCTCCAGATGCTCGGTCGTGCCGGTCGACCGCAGTTCGACACCTTTGGCGAAGGCATCATCATCACCAACCACTCCGAGCTGCAGTACTACCTTAGCTTGCTCAACCAGCAGCTGCCGATCGAGTCGCAGCTCGTGTCCAAACTCGCCGATAACCTCAACGCCGAGATCGTGCTCGGCACCATCCGCAATCGCGACGAAGCTGTGGCATGGCTAGGCTATACGTATCTCTACGTGCGCATGCTGCACTCGCCAACGCTCTACAGCGTCACCGCCGACTACGCCGAAGACGACCCGTTCCTCGAGCAGAAGCGTGCCGACATCGTCCACACTGCCGCAGCCCTGCTGGAAAAGTGCGGTCTGCTGCGATACGAGCGCCGAACGGGCAACTTCACCTCGAACGAGCTCGGACGCATCGCGTCGCACTACTACATCACCCACGACAGCATGTCCACCTACCACCAGCAGATCAAGCCGCAGCTCGGACTCATCGAACTCTTCCGCATCTTTGCGCTCTCCAACGAGTTTCGCCACCAGGTGGTACGACAAGACGAGAAGCTCGAGGTCGCCAAGCTGCTCGAACGCGTGCCTGTCCCTGTCAAGGAAGCGGCAGACGATCCGATCGCCAAGGTCAACGTGCTCTTGCAGTCATGGATCTCGCAGCTCAAGCTCGATGGCTACGTGCTTGCTGCTGACATGGTCTACGTGACGCAGTCGGCCGGCCGCATCCTACGAGCCATCTTCGAGATCTGCCTCAAGCGCGGCTATGCCCGCCTCAGCAGGATGGCGCTGGACCTGTGCAAGATGGTCGAATCGCGGCAGTGGGGCTCGATGACACCGCTGCGTCAGTTCCGCGGTGTACCGGCCGACTTGATCCGACGCTTGGAACGCAAAGAGTATCCTTGGAATCGACTGCGCGATCTCGAGCCAAATGAAATCGGCGAGCTTATTGGTATTCCCAAAGCGGGTCGTCTCGTGCACAGACTCGTGCACCAATTTCCGCGTTTGGAACTGCAAGCTTTCTTCCAACCACTCACCCGCTCGCTGCTTCACGTCCAGCTCACCATCACACCGGACTTCCAGTGGGACGAAAAGGTGCACAGCGGTGCGCAATCGTTCTGGATCATGGTCGAGGACGTCGATGCCGAGATCTTGCACTATCACGACCAGTTTCTGCTGCTCCGCAAGTATGCGGAACAGGAGCACACAGTGACGTTCACGATCCCGATGACGGAACCGATCCCGCCCAACTACTACATCAGCGTCGTCAGCGACCGATGGCTGCACAGCGAGGTGCGACTTCCGATCTCGTTTAAGAACCTCATCCTGCCGGAAAAGTTCCCGCCGCACACGCCTTTGCTCGAACTTCAGCCGCAACCTCTTTCCGCACTGAACGATGCCGATGCGGAAGAGCTGTACGCCAGATCATTCTCGCATTTCAACAAGGTCCAGACGCAAACCTTCCACGCGCTCTACGGCAGCGACGACACGGTCTTCATCGGCGCACCCACGGGCAGCGGCAAGACGGTATGTGCGGAGCTCGCTCTCTTGCGGCTCTGGAAGGACCCAGAAGCGGGTCGAGCCGTCTGCGTCGTGCCGTACGACTCTATGGTCGCCCCACGCGTCGCGGAATGGAAGACCAAGTTTGGCTCCTACCAGGACGGCAAGGAGATCGTAGGCCTCACAGGCGAGACCAGCGCCGATTTGCGACTGCTGGAGATGGCCGACGTCGTCATCTGCACTCCCGAGCACTGGGATGTCCTCTCCCGCCGCTGGCGCCAGCGCAAGAACGTTCAGACCATCTCGCTCTACATCTTTGACGAGATCCACCTCATCGGCGATTACCGCGTCGGCCCCACATACGAGATTGTCGCCTCGCGTGCTCGTTTCGTCGCCGCGCAGACGCAGACCCCGACCCGCATGATCGCGCTCAGCGTCCCCCTGGCCAACGCACGCGATCTCGGCGACTGGCTCGGCGCACCAAGCGGAAGCGTGTTCAACTTTGCCCCTGCCGCACGCCAGGTTCCGATGGAGGTGCACATCCAGACGTTCAACATCCCGCACTTCCCGAGCATGATGATCGCCATGGCCAAGCCTGCGTACCTGTCGATCATCGAGCATGCGCCCGACCAGCCGGTGATTGCGTTTGTGCCGAGCAGGAAGCAGGCCAAGCTGACGGCGGAAGATCTGCTCGCCTATGTCATCGCCGACAGCGACCGCGCCGATGGTGAGAGCGACGATGGCGAATCCCGCTTCCTCAACATCGAGATGGAGGATCTAGAACCCCATCTGGCGCGAGTTCAAGACCGAGAGCTGCGCGAGCTGCTCGCTAGCGGTATCGCATACTACCACGAGGGACTCACCAAGAACGATCGCCGCATCGTCGAGCGTCTCTTCTCCGCCGATGCCATCCGTGTCGTCGTCGCATCCAAAGAAACCGCATGGAGCATCCCGCTCACCGCCCACCTGGTACTGCTCATGTCCGTTCAAACGTATGAAGGGCGAGAGCACCGCTATGTCGACTATGCGCTGCCCGACGTGCTCCAGATGGTCGGCCGCTGCGTCGTCCCAAACGAAGCCGGAACCTCTCGTCTCGTCCTCCTCTGTCAATCGACGCGCAAAGACTACTTCAAGAAGTTCCTCGCCGAGGGTCTACCCATCGAATCACGCCTCACGTCGTACGCACAGGACTTTTTCAACGCCGAAATCGTCGCGCGTACGATCGACGACAAGCAAGCCGCGGTCGACATCCTCACCTGGACGCTCATGTATCGACGGCTGCAGCAGAACCCCCAAGCGTACAACTGTCAGGGCAAATCCATGGCGCATATCGGCGAATACCTCTCGGAGCTGGTCGAGACGACACTGGCCGATTTGGAGAACAGCAAGTGCATAGCGATCGAGGACGAGATGGATGTCTCGCCCTTAAATCTGGGTATGATCGCGTCGTACTACAACGTGAGCTACGTCACGATTGATGTGTTCAACATGTCGCTCAGTGCGCGGACGAAGTTGCGCGGGTTGCTGGAGATCGTGTCGAGTGCGGCGGAGTTCGAGGATCTACCGATCAGGGCGCATGAGGATGTGGTGTTGGGGCGCATCTACGATCGATTGCCGCTCAAGCTCGAGAGGTTGGACACGCTCAGTCCGTACCACAAGGCGTTTGTGCTGCTCCAGGCGCATTTTGCACGGTTGACGCTGCCGGTGGATCTGGAGGCGGATTTGCGGGTGGTGTTGGGCAAGGTGTTGGTGCTGTTGAGTGCGTGTGTGGATGTTATGTCGAGCAATGCGTATTTGGGAGCGGTGGTGGCGATGGAGGTGAGTCAGATGGTGGTTCAAGCGGTAGGGCAGGGAGGGTCGGTGTTGCGCCAGGTGCCGTTCTTCACGGATGCCGTGGTGGCGAGATGCAAGGAGAGGGGGGTGGAAGATGTGTATGCCTTGTCGGATCGCCTGGCGGATCTGGGCGAGGGGGAGAGGGACGAACTACTCCAGATGGACAAACGACAGATTGCGCAGGTGGCAGCCTTCGTCAACGCTTTCCCCTACATCGAGCTCAGCTACACCATCGACACCCCGCGCGAGGAGCGCAATGCGAGCGAACCGCTCAGCGTCACCGTCCACCTCGAGACGGATGCCGACGAAGAGGAGAGTCTGGTGGCCCAGTCGACGTTCTATCCGACCAAAAAGCTGGTTCAGTGGTGGATCGTCATCGGTGACCCGGGCACGCGGAACTTGTTGGCGATCAAGAAGGTCACGATTCGCAAGACGACGGATGTTACGCTCGAGGTGCAGTTGCCTAAGGGAAGGCACGAGAGGTTGAAGATCTGGTTGGTGTGCGATAGCTATGTCGGCGCGGATCGGGAGGTCGAGGTGGAGGCGGTGGAGGTGGCCGAGGGTGTGGAGAGCGATGAGGAGGAGAGTGATGAGGACGATGAAGAGGAGGATGGGGAGTGATTGGAGCACACACTTTCATCAACGAGAATCGATACATTTGAACATTCACCGAGCCTGTCGATGGTCTGTAGCGGCAAGAGCGAGGATGATGATGGCCCAAGGACGTTGCGAAGATTGAGAAGAGCGAAACAGAACGCAAACGCCAAGAGGAGCGAGAACAGTGTGGGCGAGCATGAGGCCGAGAGTGAGGCGAGTCAAGGATGAGAGGGTGGACGAGGAGGGCAAGAATGTGACATTAGGCCTAGAGAGCGATAAGGAGAAGAGGGTTGAAGAGGCGGAGTGAACACCAAATGTACTTTCATCATCAGAATCAGCAGGATCACGACCTTTTACCGCCAGCCTGTTGACTTTCCAACTCGAGATTGAAACGCACGGCGACAGACGAAGACAAGGGCCCAGGATGATGGCGGGAAGGAGAAGAGTCGTCACAGTGGGGCTCGTTCTCACTTGTTCAACCTTGACTGTGGCCACGCACACCTCGAGACACACACATTGCAAACTCGTCGAGCAAAAAGAGACAGTTCGATGCTGAAAGAAAAGGAACAGAGGTATCTCCCACCGTAAGACTAGGTGGTTCATATCGGAACGATTCGAGCTGGAAACGAAAGTCGAGGTATCGGAAACGTATGGACCGGATCGAGCATCTACATGTACACCTTCTTGATGTCGTCCTCGTACTTTTTCTGGATGTCCTTCCTGGAGAGCTTCTGGGCGGCGGTCATGGCGAGCTCCTCGGGCACGAGCAGCACGCACTGGAGCATCTCGAGGCTCTTGAAGCCGGCCTTCTTGCCTGCCGCGTTGACGTCGTCCATGACGAGTTTGGCCACCTTCTTGTTCTTGCACAGCTCGTCCAGCTCGGCCTCCTGGATGCCCGCCTTCTTGATCGCCGCCTTGAGGTTGTCCTCGCGCGGGAAGATGATGCCCATGGGCTGCTTGGCGTCGCTGTTGGCATGCACGCAAATGTTGGACACCAGGTTGCACGACTTGTAGACACTCTCGAGACGCTCAATGGCAATGTATTCACCGCCAGAGAGCTTGACGAGGTTCTTCTTTCGGTCAATGATCTGGAGGGTACCGTCCTTGTTCCACTGTCCGACATCACCGGTGAGGAACCAGCCATCCTCGAAGGCCTCCTTGTTGGCATCGTCGCGCTTGAAGTAGCCCTTGGTGATGGAAGAACCGCGAATGAGCACCTCACCCTGAGGCGGGTTGTTGGTGGAGAAGTAGCCGGCATCGGGCACGTCACGCAGCTTGCACTCGATGGTAGGCACGATACCACCGGAAGGACCGTACGAGTAGAATTCGGGATGCAGAATGGCAGTCATACCACACGACTCGGTGAGACCGTAGCCCTGCAGAACTGTGACGAGAGCGTTGGAGAGGAACTCCTGCGTCTCCTTGGACAGCGCAGCACCACCCGAGAGCGCAAGACGCATACGGCCACCGGTCTGCTCCTTGACCTGCTTGAAGACCACTGCATCGACGACCGAGGTCAGAAGGGGGAGCTTGTTCTTCTTGATGGTCAGAGCTCCGTTGAAGACGGACTTCTTGACGGCTCCTCCAGCCTCGACCTTGGCCAAGATACCCTTTCGGATGAGCTCCCAGACGGCGGGAACACCGACCATGACACTGGGCTTGAAGGCCTTGATGTCACCGTCGCAGTTCTTGACCGAGTTCTGGGTGAGCGTTTTAACCTTACCGTAGCCCATAGTGACACCGACGTAGATCAAAGAGCATTCGACGATGAACTCGAGAATGTGGGCGAGGGGGAGGTAGGCCAGGAACGTGTCATCGGGCTTGAGCAGGTCTCCGATATGGACCTCGACACCGGCAATCGAGGCAACGAGGTTCTCGTGGGTGAGAATGACACCCTTGGGGGCGCCAGTGGAACCGGAGGTGTACATGATGCAGGCGACGTTGTCCTTGGTGGGAAGGTTGGGCTTGGCGGGGTTGGCCTTGCCTTCCTTCCAGAGCTCCTCGATGGTGAGCGCCTTGCCGTCGCGCTTGCTGAGGACGTCACGCACCTTGCTGATGTGCTTTTCGTCGGGCTTGCCATCGTAGATGACATACTTGACGGTCTCCGCCTTGTCAATGACGTTTGCGAGCGTGGGGAGGAGCTCTGCGTTGGTGAAGATACCGACGACATCGGGCTCGACGAGCGAGTGCTGCAGACCCTCCTCGCCGAGGGTCTCGTAAGCTGTACAGAAGGGGATGCTCTGACGGAAACAAGCGTGAGCCATGTTCTGCCAGTTGATGGCGGTAGCGGCGTAAATGTTGAAACGGGTGTCTTTGGAGAGACCAAGGTTGACCAGACCGCTGGAAGCGTGCGAAACGCGCTCGTCAAACTCCTTGTAGGTGAGGTACTTGTAGTCGGACATCTCGTAGTACTGCCATGTCTTCTTCTCCTTGACGTCCTTGCCGTCGACCTTCTTGGTGATCTCTTTTTCTTCGTCATGCATGCGCACGAGGTCTCGCCAGCCCATGATGGGTCGGTTGGGGAAGCCTGTTTGATAGGGGATTCATTTGAGCAAGGAGCCGAGGGCGCGTGGGACGCAGATGTATGCGAAGAGAAGCAGATGTCAGTACGCGGTTGTCGATTTGCATCCAGAGACGACACTTGGTGCCGGCGCCAGAAGGCTATGAAGGAGCAAAGCACTTACGTTCGAGGGCGCTCGCGAAAACATCGGCCATGGTGTTGATGCCCTCTTTGGGACGCTCGAGCATGCGATCAGGCGCCCGGTAGGAGCGCCTGATCTTGGTCTCGCCCTTCTTGGCGGGGGTGTCGATTTCGACACTGGCGATCTTGGGCATGACGGCGAGCGGGTGGTTGCGGGTGCTGGTATAGAGGTGAGGGTATCAAGTTGGTGCGGGCTGTGATGAGGTGTACCGCAGTGAGATTTGGGGATGAGGTGATGGTCGGGGAGGCAAGATGTAGAGTGATATGCGTCGCCACCTCGATGATGATGATGGAGAAAGGGGAAACGTGGAGGTAGCTGCTGCTATGTTGGCCGAGGATATAGGCTTGCTCGATGATCCACGTTGAAGCGCTTGCTCAGCCCGAAACACAGTCAAGCTTTGGCTGCAGAGCGTGACGAAGTGCCTCGTCTGTCTTGTCTCAAGAGGGCAGGCAGCGGTCCAAGCCAAGAGACTGGGCCAAACGAGAATTGAGTTTTGGCTGGCGTCACACTCTTTCGTGGCTGGCTGGTCAGCTGGCTGAGGCTAAAAGCTGAGAAGGGTGACCTGTGCGTGCTTGGCTGCGCCCTCTGTGGAGAAAGAGCGAGGAACCAAAATTCAAACTCCACTCCGCAAATCTGTTTCTATTAAAATGTGAAAATGGAGAGAGAGTGGGGCTGCTGCCGCGTTTCTCGCTATCTCACACGCGAGAATTTGAGCTTGCTGCTGCTTTCCGTCCAGGCAGGCGTTGTATGACGTTGACCGCGAGAGGTCTCATGTCTCGCGGAAACCTTAGCTTGTCGCTTTTCCAGGAGAGCGGCAAGAACAGCTTGGTTCACCGCCTTCTCTCGGCGCCACTGCTTGCCCTTGCATGCATGCATGCAATTCGAGCTCCTTCTTGGCTGAGCAAGACCGTCTTGGCTGCGCCCACAACGGCAGCAGAAGATCATCAGACCTTCAAGCTTTGATGACCTCGCTAACTCAGTCATATCGAGCATTGTCGAGAGGCAGGAACAGGCCGCCGACACACTAAATACAGCCGAGAAATTTGCGTGGAGAACGTCGGCTTTGCTCTTCGTTGCATCAGATGCGCTGGTGATCATCGTCGAGCAGCGGCCCCCGCACGACGACTTCCTCTTGACCTTTTCGCGTCTCTGACTCCGCCTGATGCAAGCTCTCCCCGAGGACCCGACAGCCTGCTCAGCCGGCAACAAAGCTCATCACTTGACTTGCCACCATCTTGAATGCTCGTCCTGACCAGCCCTTTGAGGCGAGAGCAGTTCGAAAGATTGACCCGCACCTTCAATCCCGACTCCGCTGACGTCCATTTACGCGAGCTTTTGGCGGTCTTTCACAGCGGTGTGATTGAACTAGCAACCGGATCTTCTGGAAGCGGGGCTCGTGTGCATGGTCCGGCCCGTGGTGCGAGATCCCTGCTGCTACCTCATAAGCTCTGCCGACCGACGCTACATGACCGCTAGGTCAACAGATCGACGTCAATCGATTCGGTGCGGGACAACCCCGGACGTGAGTCCAAGCGAGCCGTCATGGTGATGTCGATGACGATGCGGGACCCTTGACGGTATGCGGGTCATCCTTTCTTGCTGCCTTTCACACGAGCTGGCGCCGTCTCCGTGGGGCCAATTTTGGGCGCGAGTGAAAGCGACGATCAAACAGAGGCTGAGAAAATTCGAATTCGCACGATATCTGCGGGGACGCTCAAGGCGGTCGTGTCGCGATGCTTCCATTCTTCCAAAAGGGTCCATGAGCTCGCACTTTTGGGGAGAGCGCAGCCACGATATCGACACAACACCACGCATCACCCCCACTCGACACGTCGCCAATCCCTCATCAACGACGCGGCAAACGGTTACTTCAGCTCGACAATCGGATCGCACAGGGCAGTCGCGCGCAACGATGCTGTACACGGACAACGAAAAGGTGCTCTGCTTCCACGGTCCGCTCATCTACTCGGCCAAGATCCTCAAGGCTGAGAAGTGGACTGGCGACGACAATGTGACGCAGCAAGTGGGACCGCACTACCTCGTTCACTACGATGGATGGAAGAAGACATGGGATGAATGGGTGCCCGAGACGCGCTTGCTCAAGTACAACGACGAGAATCTCGCCCGCAAGGCGTTGCTGCAGGAGCAGGCCAAGTCGGGCTCTCTCACATCGTCCGCTTCAGGGTCGACGGCTAGCAAAGAGGTGACCACAAGTGGAAAGCGCGGCAGGGACTCGGATGCGCATGCGGGTGGAGACAGGAAGGGTGGTCGCGGAAGCAAGCGCAGCAGGGACACGGTAGAGGCCGAGGAGGACTTTCTCAAGCGACCCGAGGTCAAGATCTCGCTTCCAGACGAACTCAAGTTGCAACTCGTCGATGATTGGGAGAACATCACCAAGAAGGGAGAGCTCGTTCCTTTGCCACGGAAGCCTTGCGTCAAGGACATACTCGAAGATTACAAAAAGCAATACCTCGCCTCGGCCGCAAAACGTGGCGCGGAAGGTGGTAAGCAGAGAAGTCCGCAGGTGGTGGAGGAGGTCTTGAAGGGATTGAAGCTATACTTTGACCGCAGCCTGGGGCAGAATCTGCTGTACAGATTCGAAAGGGCGCAGTACGTCGAATATAGGAAGAAGAACGGACCCAAGATGGGAGACGGCGACGTGGGCAACGCGCGGACGGGCAACGGAAGCATGGGCGGCGATATGGAGCCGAGCGACGTGTACGGCGCAGAGCATCTGTTGAGGCTCTTCGTCAACCTGCCTATGATCATCGTTCACACCTCGATGGATGCCGAGTCCATCAGCCTCCTCAAGGAGCATCTCGCGGAGTTTCTTTCTTACATCGCAAGGGAGAAGCACCGCCTCTTTGTACGAGAGTACGAAGCCGCATCTCCGGCGTATCATCGCATCAGCTCTACATGATGCTCGGTCTTTACTCACATTCTCCTCATGCTCGCAGCATCTGTAACACTAGATCGTTCTGATACAAATCACGCAGCGAACTGACCACCTTCTCCATCATTCTCCCGAGAAAGCTTGCGCCATTGAAATAGTTCAAAAAGCACAGGAGCTCTGAATGCGCGAGCGACGGGAGAGTAGCGGATTGCGCTGTGCCAAAGACATACGCACTTCGTGAGGAGTGCCGCAGCGAGAAGGGATTGTATATCGACGCGAAGATGTCGGCAGAAGACACCACGAGTCGTCCATTTGTGGTTCTTCCTTGACGTGAATCTTGGTCGGTTGAGTCGATGCGTCCACCCCGCCCGAGTCCTGGGCACGCGTGCTCGAATCTGTCGAGTCGACTCTGCGTCTCGGCTGAGTCAGGCAAACAGGTCCCTAGGTCAGTGTTCGAGTTACGTCGACAGTCAAAACGTTGTGCGTATGCTCACTGCGATGCGGCTGCGAAAGGGATGCAGAATGCGACCGTAGACAGGCTGAATCAAGCTCTTGACGAGCATGGCCAACAGCACGAGTGCAGCTGTCACGGGCTGCAGGATACTTGCAGCGTACATCACCGTCGCTTTGATCTTGAGCGCCGCGGGCCACGTGAGAAGCAGCCACCGAAGGCATCTCCAAGCCGCTAGAGTCACAGATCGGAGAGGATTATCAGCATAGCTAGCACCTTGCAGCAAGAAGCGAAACCGTGACAGTACCTACTGTTGCCAACGTCAACACCGGACTTACGTTCGAATTCGCCCAGCGACCAAAAGAACAAGCGCTCGATCGCAAAGACGGCGCTACTAAGCAGCCTGAAAGAGGTCGAGTATCGCTGCGAGTTCAGGATAGTGTCAAGGCTGCCATGGCTGGCATTGAGACCCCTCTCGATGGTTTTGAACTCGATCTGCAACCTTCGAAGCGCTTCGAGCTCGCGGATGATGTGCTTCTCGTGTAGTTGCTGACGAGACATCAAGTCGGCTGAAGTTGAAGACAAGTCTGTGACAAGACCATGCTGATTTTGAAGAACCAGCTCGAGCGCCTCGATGTGTGAGCCGAGTGTGACGGTGGCTTGATGGACCGCCTCCGCAGGTCTCGCCAGACCTCGCTCCATCGATGCAATGGCTTTACTGAAGTGCTGCTGCATAGCTTTCTCCAGATGGCCTTCATGTCGCTCGACAAGTTGGTGCAGCTGATTTGCAGCCTGGGCTGAAAGGCCTTCCGAATACTGCTGCATCGTGGTCTCGAAGTCGAGGACCAAGGCGGACGTCATTTGCTCAAAGCAGGGCTCAATTCGTTGAACAACATGCGCCATGCCGTCTTTGCTCTCTGCTTGCGCAGCCAGAATGGTCTTGAACCCCGAGAGGATGCTCTGCGAGAGGAAGGTCAAAAGAGCTGTGTCAGCCTAGCGGACCGATGCTAGTGCTGCTTCAAGAATTTCTGATACTGACCTGCAGGTCGTCCTGTAGCTTCTCTTTGAGCAGATTCAGACTTTGCAGCCATTCTGTGCACTCCTTCCGATCCTGGTCGGTCATCTCAGCAGATTCTCGAGTCTTTTGATGCCAGAAGCGGATGAGAGCAAGCTTCTCTTGGGTGGCTGCCTTGTAGATTTCCCTTGCGCGATCTGCAGATGAGAGGATGACTTCGGTTAGCGCACGCCTTACCATTGTGAGGCGGACGTCGACCTGCGGTGGCCGTTGAGGACGTACCCGAATCCTTCCAACGTTGCAAAGCGAAGCACATCCGGGGTATCTCTCGCAGGTAGCCGGCGTAGCTGGACCAGTAGCGAGTACTTCTCGACAGGGCTCTGTAGGTCAGAGGCAAGGTCGCTTCAATGTCTGTAGTGCATGTCGACTGTTGGGAAGGGAAGCATCTCTTACTCGACGCAAGGACCAAGGTGCTCCGTTTTCTCCATCTTCGGCGCTCCACTGCATTCGGTTGGAATACTCTGACCAGAAACCTGCAGGTCGCAAAGTGTTAGGAGGACCGAGGCTGCGATCGCGACGTCGTGTTAGCATAAGATCCAGATGCGCGGACTGCGTCATGGGACAGATTCTCACCCAGCAATCTTTCGTCGGGACTCATGTCTGACCCACGAGCACATTCAGCCTTGACTTGATCGTAGATCTGAGCGTAGCACTCTTGTCCTCGGTGCTGGTGAGAGAGTGAGCTGTCTGATCCATCGAGCGCAAATGCGTAATGATCAGCTTCGAGTAAGTTCAATGTGCTCTTGCCATTGCACTACCCTTCGACTTGCCTTGGTCGCCAAAGATAGCCAGCTGTTCCACAGGATCCAGGTCGAGCTTAGTGAGATCGGGTGCAGTTGGTGCGCGCATCGGTGCCGTTGATGCATGCCGACGAAACAAGCTCGGCACGGCGAGCACCTGCCAGAAGCAGCATGTGATGGCGAGCCCGATGATCCAGAGCGGTGATCTCGAGAACCCCATTATGCCATGTCCGAAACACTCAGAGGAGTCCGCGTTTCAGAGGTCGGAAAGGAGCTTTGGAAGGAAGGGAATGGGGGGCACGCATCTGCGTTCTACCAAGACAAGAGGGCTTTTATGTCCGGAATCCGTAGAGCTGAGCACATCAGAAGCATCACGATTTGTGACTTGCCTTATCACACTGAGTGGCGTAACGAGGCAAGCCGTGCATGCGTGAGGCGAAAAGCCTGAGGCTTTAGTGTAGTCACCCTCGGTCGGCTGAGCCGATCGACTCTCTAGACCCCCTTTGCGCTCGCATCCTACCGCATTGGCTTTCCGACAGACACTCAGGAACGAGACTGTGGGGCGTCGACGGAGCTCAGCAAGGAAGGCAGTTTTACATGCTTACGCTCAAGGTTCAGTATCAAGAAACTCGCTGCTGTTGCAAGTGAAGGAAAACCTGTGACTTCGTAAAGATGGCTAAATGGAACAGACGCGCTTGGAAGGCTGATGCAGCTTTTGAGTTACGGATCCCGCGAAGGTCTCATGATGAGCCTTCTGACACGTCTGCAAGAAGGAAGAGCCTTGAGGTATGATGAGCCCCTTGATCGTGGGCCGTCGAGTGCTCTGGCGCCTAGACTTGGAATGACGCAGCCCGTCGAGCTTAGTTTCGCAACGAGAAGCCCTTTTTCTTGGTTGCCTGCGACACCTTTTCGGGTGTGAGCGGACGGCCGCTTTCCAGTCGGCGGCGCTTCTCTTCCAGCTCTTGTCTCTGCTTCTCCAACGCATCTCGCATTTCGCGGTGGCGCGCATAGAGCTCCTCTTCGCTCTGCTTGAGCTTGGCTTCCTTCTCGGCCACTTTCTGCTGGAAGACGAGCTTCATCTCGTTCTCCATCTTCCTCAACCTTGCCTCGTGAATTGCGCGCTCCTCAGCCATCTTGGCGGCTGGGTTCACCTCCTTGAACACCGAGGCGTCTTGTGTGACGCCCATAGCCACCAGCTTTTCGCTTCGGTACTTTTCGTAGAGGACGTTGTTGGTGTTCTCCTTGAGTTCCTCCATGTGCGTGTGGATGAGCATCTGACGCAGCTTGACAAAGTCGCAGTGCTCCTCGTTGTCTACCTCGATCACTCCCCATGGGTATGCTCGCCCGCGCACGCGTCGTCCGTCGGGAGTGTCAATCTCGGTGTTGGAGCCTACGACCGCGAACGGCACCTTGCTCGAGATCTCCTGGATCTCCTGAAGCGTCTCCTCGTCCTCCATCTCGTAGATGGGCGCGTGGAAGATCTGAATTTGGTGATGCGCAATGTCGTTGAGGATTCTCTGCTTGAACGAGACAATCTCCTCATCGGTGAGCGTGTCGGACTTGGCAATGACGGGGATGAGGTTGACTTTCTGGTGGAGTCGTCGCATGAACTCAATGTCGATGGGTCGAAGGCTGTGACCTGTAGGCTGGACAAAGTAGATGCAAGCGTGAACGCGGTTGTCCTGCAGCTTGTTGCGGTTGACGCGGTTCTCCTGCTCGAGGTAGTTATCGAAGCGCGACTCGATGTTCTCGACAATGGGCTTCCAGCTTTCGTCGTTGTTGATGTAGTCACCGAATCCGGGAGTATCAACGACGTTGAGCCTCAAACGAACGCCGTTCTCCTCGATGTCAGAGCTGATCGACTCGATGGCGACCGTCTTTGGTCGCTCCTGCTGCGGAGGCGGTACCTCTTTGCGAGGGTAGAGGGTGGTGTTGAAGAGCGTGTTGATCAACGTCGACTTGCCCAGACCCGACTCGCCAACGACCATAGCAGTGAAGTTGAAGCCCTTGCGCACGCTCTTTCGGTGCACCTGATTAGGCAAGTTGGCGAAACCGACGTAGCCCATCAGCTTCTTGCGTCCAGCTGCGACAGCGGCAGCCGCACCGCCGTTGGACGCTGGCGCTGCCGCGTCAACCTCAATAGAGCCGCCGTTCATGGTGACAGTATGCTTGTAGTGACTGAAAGTGTGGCCGACTGGTGATATGCTGAGAAGCCGTGATCAAAACAGCCTTGCTTGGGAAGCGATTGACCTCGTGACTATCAGCGAAAGATTTGGCGCGGAAACGGCCGGAGAAGATGCTTAGGATGGATGCAAGCAGCGGTACAAGCTGCTTCGTACGACCACGGGGTTGTCGTGAGGGTCGACAGGGTGGTGACGATTGGTGGAAGAGGTGGATCGAGTAGAACGTAAAGGATGTGATCTCGAGGATCCTTGGAAGGTCCAAGCGAGCGGAGCAGCTGTGCACAGAGCCTTCTTGGCTGTAGCTAGCTGGCTTGCCGCCATGTCACACACGCACGACTGCGCTCCAGCCAGCCAGCCAGGTGCGCTCACACGCGCTCGACCTGGAAGCGCAGCTCAACAGGGCAACAGGCGTGTGTGTGTCTCATCCTTGTATTCAAAGGCGACGCGCCATTACAAAATTCAAACCGCTGCCTACTAGATTGAATTGGACTCGCTGCTCGGAAGCTGCTTGTCTCTTTGCTGCTCCCCTTTGACAGCTCTAGGAAGGCCGTCGCTCTTACGAGGCTGCTCAAAGCTGATGTATAGATCAGAGGTGCTGTGCTGGCTCTTGGGCAGCTTCCGTGGGAGGAGGATGAAGATGTCTCGGCTGGGTTTGCTGGGTCCGAGCATTCAAAGTGTCAAAATTGAGCCTACAGATGTTAGACCTAAATAATGTCCTGGTTATGGACTCCAAAATCAAGCGGCGGCTCAGACACGGCCGACAGTCGCGCAGATCTTCTTGGTCCGGGCGCGAGGTCAAAGGCAGAACGTGGTGGCCTCTGCAGCAGCCGGCTGAAAAGCTAAGCAGAAAATCAACGCGAAGAAAGTTTTGGGCGACAAGAATTTTCTCACATGCAGTCTGGTCAGGGCCTTTTGGAAGAACTTGGGACCCTAGATCTGCAGTCAACGCCTCGCTGGTGGCGTGGCGGCTCTTCGCATGCTCTGAGCAGCGGCGGCAAACGTGTGCCTTCACCTTCCAAAAGTGGTCTGTTCGAGAGAGCGTGCACGGGGGCGGCAGCAGCAGCACAACATCTGATTCCTTCTTGAAGAGCCTTACGCATCTCGCTTCTTCCTTCCCCACCACATCCAACCTCCTTTCCCCTTCCCGTTTCTCATACACATCCATCATTCACAATGCCTAACTACAAGGTATGTTGCTTCGACCCCGTTTGATACGTCGTGGAGCTGCTTTCAGAAGACTGACCTTGGCATCCTCGCTATTGTGCTTTATCACAGGTCGCCGATATCTCGCTCGCCGCTTTCGGCCGCAAGGAGATCGAGATCGCCGAGGGCGAGATGCCCGGTCTCATGGCCCTTCGTACCAAGTACGGCTCCGAGCAGCCCCTCAAGGGCGCCCGCATCGCCGGTTCGCTCCACATGACCATCCAGACCGCCGTCCTCATCGAGACCCTCACCGCTCTCGGTGCTCAAGTCACCTGGGCCTCGTGCAACATCTTCTCCACCCAGGACCACGCCGCCGCTGCTATTGCCGCCACCGGTGTCCCCGTTTTCGCCTGGAAGGGTGAGACCGAGGAGGAGTACGACTGGTGCCTCGAGCAGACCATCACCGCTCACCCCGAGGGCCCCAACATGATCCTCGACGACGGTGGAGACCTCACCTGGCTCGTCCACGACAAGCACCCCGAGCTTCTCGAGAAGATCAAGGGTGTTTCCGAGGAGACCACCACCGGTGTCCACATCCTCTACTCGGCCATGAAGAAGGGTACCCTCAAGCTCCCTGCCATCAACGTCAACGACTCGGTCACCAAGTCCAAGTTCGACAACTACTACGGATGCCGCGAGTCGCTCGTCGACGGTATCAAGCGTGCCACCGACGTCATGCTCGGCGGCAAGGTCGCCATCGTCGCCGGTTTCGGTGATGTCGGCAAGGGTTGCGCCGAGTCGCTCCGTGGCTACGGCTGCCGTGTCATCGTCACCGAGATTGACCCCATCAACGCCCTCCAGGCTTCGATGGCCGGTTACCAGGTCGACATCATGGACGACGTTGCCTCGCAGGCCGACATCTTTGTCACCACCACCGGTTGCCGTGACATCATCACTGGTGCTCACTTTGAGGCCATGAAGGACGACGCCATCGTCTGCAACATTGGCCACTTCGACATCGAGATTGACGTTGCCTGGCTCAAGGCCAACGCTGCCAGCGTCAGCAACATCAAGCCCCAGGTGGACCGATACACGCTCAAGAACGGCAAGCGCATCATCCTCCTCGCCGAGGGCCGTCTCGTCAACCTTGGCTGTGCCACTGGCCACCCCTCTTTCATCATGTCGGCCTCGTTCTGCAACCAGACGCTCGCCCAGATCGCCCTCTGGAACGACAACCAGGGCCAGTACAAGCGCGGTGAGGTCTACATGCTGCCCAAGGAGCTCGACGAGGAGGTCGCCCTCGCCCACCTTGGCCGTCTTAACGTCAAGCTCACCAAGCTCAGCAAGGTGCAGGCCGACTACCTCGACCTCCCCGTCAACGGTCCTTACAAGCGTGACACCTACCGATACTAAGCGCGCTTGCGTCATGCTCGGGATGTCGGTACCTTTTCATTTGATTACTGCTCTTCGTTCCGTCTTCGTTTCAGCTTCGAGGTTCTCCGTGCCATCTCTTCTTCACGCAAGAGTCGCCTAGACTCACTGTACCAGTACTCAACGGGCTAATTCCATCCTACACTCGCACATCCCCCCCATTACCCTTAGTTCCTCTAGACTCTAGCATCCAAAACTCAGCTTCTCGGCTCGCAGCTGCTTTGCAGCAGGTGCGCAGTCTCTAGCAAAAAAGGACCATCATCCCGGGCTCTCATCTTCATTCATAGTCGTCTCTAGCAATGCATCATATTCCCCCGGCCTTCTCAACAAGGTCACACAATAACACGCTACGTCTGTGCTGCATGTGCGAGGACAAGGGGAGCAATAGGTGTGGCCAATCAAGTGAGCTTCGTGCCGCAGGTACATCGGAAGTCTCTGCGCCGACCAAATCACATCCGTCGGTCAGTCCGAAAATCGACTGAGCCGCGTGACTTGTTGCCGGAAAATGCACCGACCAAGCCGAAAAAAATGATCCGTCTGTGCACGCACTCCCTTCGCTTGCGTCCTTCATCCACCTTCCCTCCCAATCTCTCACTCCCTCTTACCCACTCACAATAGATGAGAACGGCGCACGCTACGTCTCTCGCTTCCACTTACAGAGCTTCTCCTTGTATCTCGATTGTCAAGGCTGCGAGACTATCAGTCGTAGTACCCCCGCGATCGGTCTGCCTCCACACAACCAGCAAGCTGTCGCCCCCGCCCTTCACCTCGCGAGGCAACCTCCTCCAGCCCTCTGGTCACGGCATCGCCCTTCGCTTCACTGGGCCCTCGCAACACTCATTCGGTCTTCAACACCTCCAATCCCGCTCCGCGTCATCTTCCGTCGATATGGGAGCTATCGCCACTGGTCGGGTGGACACCACCCAACGGGTCGCTGCTCTTCGCCAGTTGATGTCCAAGCACAACGTCGATGCGTACGTCGTCCCGTCTGGTGACGAGCACGCCTCGGAGTATCCTGCCGAGTCCGATCTGCGTCGTGGCTACATTACGGGGTTCACGGGCTCCGCTGGGAGTGCGATCGTCACCGCTAACAAGGCGCTGCTGTTCACGGATGGACGATACTTCTTGCAGGCGGGGCAGCAGCTCGAGCCGTCCGTGTGGACGTTGATGAAGCAGGGCGAGCCGAACGTCCCTACTTGGCAGGAGTATCTCAGCAAAAACTTGCCGGGGAAGAGCAAGATCGGCATGGACGCGGCTTTGATCAGCGCCGACGATGCGAGGGATATCAACGCTGAGCTGGGCAAGATCGGGTCCCAGCTGGTGAGCATCAGGGAGAACCTGGTGGATGCCGTTTGGGAGGATCGACCAGCCAGACCGGGCAAAGAGATCTTTGTGCTGCCAGACGAGACCGCAGGCAGGTCGAGCAAGGACAAGATCAAAGAGCTGCGCGAGGAGATCAAGAAGAAGTCCGCCCACGGCTTCGTCGCCAACATGCTCGACGAGACGGCTTGGCTGTTCAACCTGCGTGGCACGGACGTGCCGTACAATCCGGTGTTCTTCTCGTTTGCCCTGGTGTTGTTGGACAAGGTGCTGCTGTATGTCAACGAGGCGCAGCTGAGCGAGGAGGTCAAGTCGGCGCTTGGGTCGGAGGTGACGTTGCGACCGTATGGCGAGTTCTATGACGATCTGCACAAGGTGGGTGGCGAGCTCGGGGAGGGGCACAAGATTCTGATTGGCAAAAGCGCCTCGTTGGCCGTGCAGGAGGCCCTTGGGGGTGCGGCGAAGGTCGAAATCGTCCGATCCATCGTCGTCGACCAGAAGAGCATCAAGAACGAGATCGAGCTCGAAGGGTTCCGCGCTAGTCACATCCGGGACGGTGCAGCGCTGTGCCAGTACTTTGCTTGGCTCGAGGAGCAGCTTCACTCGGGTGCCAAGGTCACCGAGTCGGAAGGTGCCGATAAGCTCAGCAGCTATCGTCAGAAGCTGGATCATTTCCGCGGCGAGTCGTTCACGACCATCTCCTCGACGGGTCCGAACGGTGCGATCATCCACTACAGCCCCGACCCGGCTAGCTGCCCTGCGATCGATGTCAACGAGATCTACCTGTGCGATTCGGGTGCGCAATTCACGGATGGTACGACGGACGTTACGCGAACGTGGCACTTTGGCACGCCCGCAACGGAGCACGTACGAGCCTTCACCCGCGTTCTGCAGGGTCACATCGCCATCGACCGTGCCGTGTTCCCTAAGGGCACCACGGGCTATCTGCTCGACGTGCTCGCTCGTCGTGCGCTCTGGGAGGACGGTCTCGACTACCGCCACGGAACAGGTCACGGCGTCGGCCACTTCCTCAACGTCCACGAAGGACCACAAGGCATCGGCACCCGCGCCGTTTTCAACGAGACCAGCCTCAAGGAGAACATGGTCGTCTCCAACGAACCGGGCTACTACGAGGACGGCAAGTGGGGCATCCGCATTGAGAACCTCGTCATCGTCCGTCCTGCAAAGACGCCTAACAACTTCGGCAGCAAGGGTTACCTCACTTTCGAACATCTGACAATGTGCCCTATCCAGGTGTCACTGGTTGATGCGGATCTGCTGACGAGGGAGGACAAGAAGTGGCTGAACGAGTACCACGACGAGGTGCTGGCCAAGGTCGGGCCCCTGCTGAAGGGCGATGCGCGCGCTGAGGCTTGGCTGAAGAAGCAGTGTGAGGCGCGCGTTTAGATGTCGATAGGAGATCGTTTGCACACACAATTGTTCACAATGCAATCACACATCCACAACTTGATGTCGGTATGTCGTATGTGAGCGTCTTCCCGACGTGCAAGCGGTACATGTGAAGCTGAGAGAAGAAGGAACGAGAAGAGTGGGTTGGAGAATGGCAAAAAAGAGAGTCCTACGGGGATTGAACCCGCGACCTGCAGAATACAACCGTGAAAGTTTCTTCAGAATTCCTACCGAAGTCTGCCGCTCTACTGCTGAGCTAAAGACCCTTCGAAACGGCAGACGTCAGATGTAATATATGTATAGCAGCTCAATTGGAAACATTCGGACCGGTCAGAGAGCTAGGAAGCGACAAGGGAGCAGCGACGACATGTTGGCGAGCTCCTGGCACAGGACCATCAGCCGACAGGGTTCGACCATAGCGAGGAGTCCCATTCCACTCATCTTCGGCTGCCAGTCAGCCGTGTTGCACAAAAAGATGATAAGCATTTCACAAACCGATCTCTGATGCTTTGCTTTGCGTAAACAAGGGGTCACGAGTTGAATACCGGAGCGCACGGTCGATATCCTCTTCGCGACAGCGGCACTTGCGATGGCATTCGCTAGGAGCTGCTGGCGCTCCGATAGTTGGCCTGCTTGTACCGCGATGGCAGCCCCCTGCCCTTGCACGTGTCGGCGGTGTGGCCTAGCTTGCCGCACCTCTGGCACTCGCCCAGCTGGGCGCACTCGTCTTGAAGGTGATATTCGAAATGTTGAAGATCTGGAATGTGTGAACACCAGTCGCAAGGGGCTTTTCGACCATGCACTGCAAGCGGTACCACACCCTTCGGCGCCCGGATCCAGCCGGGCAGATCGAGCTCGCCATACCCCAGGTCTTTCCCGTCGGCGTCGACTTTGTATTCAGCGAATGCCAGCACCGAAGTGCCTGTGCGGAGTTCCGCCTGATTCCCAAGAGGATTGATCCCATCAATCCGCCAAGCGCTCTTCAGGGTCAGATACTCCCCGAGTGTCTTTTTGAACTTAGGAAGCAACGTGCATGGGTCTTCACCCTCGGCGAGCACGTGATCCAGCCTCAACACCGTCGTGTTCGCCGGTAGAGGTGCCGACCTGAAGATCAGCTCGAAGGGATGGGCGCCCCAGCTGAGTTCGATATCTCGACACACCAGGTATCTGCGCCGAGAGGGGTATGAGACTTGCAGATAGGCTCGATTCGCGGCGTCGATGCCAAATGTGATTGTACCGCACTCCAGACGAAGCCCGTGCCTGGACAACACTCTGTAAATATGATCCCGGCACTCAGACTCTTCCGAAGGAGCCAGCGAGTGCGACAGTCGCCATCGTAGGATCCCCTTTTGGAGGTGATGTCTTTGCTGTCCGGTCGTGGAAGCTCTTCGGGTGGAAAAGGGATGGCGCTGGTTCCCTCTCGTTCATAGATCAGCGTGTATTTGATGAAGGAGTCAGGCTCTGGGTGCTTGGCGCAAATGAAGTGCTTCTGATATTGGGCGATTTCTTCGGCCAAGCCAGCTTCCTCTCGAGCACGATCAAGCGCTAGCATGCATAGGTAAGCATGATCGGTCGCCTTCTCATACTCCCGATCTTTTTGTTGCTCGAAGCCCTGATGTCCCTCGGTGAGATCCTGCGGGCTCGGCTCCATGCCGACCAGCTGTTTTCGCAGCTTGTCGATATCATCCCGTTGAGTGAGGGCCTTCCGAACCATCCCTTCCAGACGCCCGACTCGTCGTCTCGCAACTAAAGCTCTCGTATCTGCAAGCGAAGAGGCTGAGGATAACGGCAGGTCTGACTGTGAGACTCCATCGCCGCTGCCCTCATCTGAGTCGAGCTCGAGTGCCGATTTGGTATCTGCTACCTTGGTCTGCTGCTCTGACCAAAGGGTCTTTGTTACGAGAACGAATGGGATGTCCAGAGGAGACGATATGTAAGGGATTGGTTGGAAGAAATCGTTTGCGTCCTCGATCACCCTACGGAGGCTGACGGGTTTGCCACGTCTGGCTTCAAGGAAAGAGTCGAAGGTATCCAGATGGGCAACGCCTCCTCTGAGATTAACAAACTCCAGGGCTCGCTGCATCACTCCCCGCCTGGTCACAGCGATGCAGATAGAGTAGAAACTCCTGCGCCGCTCCTGGTAGTAATTGGCGAATACATCTGAGCATGGCTGGTCATCCGAAGGAAGCAGAGCGAGATCTTCCACAGGAACGGAGTCAGGAATGCGACTGATGCAGACGGCTAGACGACTGTCCGCGATCTTGTCAGGCATTTGGCGTAGGTGAAGGTGACCCCGAGGGTTTCGAGGAGACGGAGTTGGAGTAGACTCATACCGAAGCAATGAGAGAGGCGGAGGAGGACGAGAAGAAGGAGAGAAAAACTGAGCACGAAAAGCCTGCGGTGGGGCCAATGTGACAGTAGAAAATGAGTGGCGCCACAAACACGAAATTCGCCGAGCGCGATGTGACCGTAACGACGCGGCGACGCCAACAGCAGCTCCAAGACTAACTCAGCACCTCGTGACTTCGTCGACGTAGACGACACCTTCGAGGCTCAAAGTCGCAGAGACGACCGCTCGCTCAGCAAGCTTAGTTGAGCCGCATGTAAAGTCATTGCATTGATCATGTCACCTTGAAGCTGATGTCAGTCGAGGAGAGGATGGCGATTTCGATGCTGCAGACGAGTGTGAGGATCAGATCTGGTCCTGATCTTGGCAACCGGATACGACACCGAGGTTCACCTACGCTGTCATGGAATGGATGTGGCCCTCCCCGGCCGAGGTAGCCTGTTGTCGCTGCTCAACCGGAGACTCGACAGCGTCCGGCCCCGTCTCTGTCGGTTTGCCAATGTCGCGATTCTGCGCATCATGGCCGGCGTCCGTGGACGCATCTGCCTGGTGGGGCGCTTCGGACGGATTGGCGTCGGCTGACTGGTCTTTCTGCCTCTCAGTCTCCATCGTGTCGAGCTCGTCGATCGTTGCCTCGTGGCTTTGAAAGGGCCTTGAAGGCGGTGGCTGCAGAAGTGGTGCTGAGCTGATGGAGAAGGAACCAAACGGAAAACGTGCAGGGTCTGCGACCCATACTCCGTCGAGAGTGGACGCAGTGGGTGGGAAGGAAGGGACGCCACCCCGCTGATCGTCCGGGATGGTCCTCATAGGAAGTGTGCCGGGTCTTGAAGACGGAGCCGTGGTGCTTTGATCATCGCGGCCAAGGTGAAGAGCTGTTCCGGTCGTCCAGGGGCGATTGTTATGAACCAGGGCCGGATGCGGCAGTCCCGTTTGCGACTCGTCTTCGTAAGCGAAGCGAGCCAGGCGCTGCACTTCGATGTAGCTGCTGTTGAAAGTGACTGGGATCGCCGCGAGCACTTGCGCTGATGATGACGACGGCGACGGCATCGTAAACGGGAAATGCTGTAATGCATGATGCGCCAATGGAGCTCGCAAGTCTTGCAGCGTGTCCGGCAGCATCGGCTGGAGGTTCGACGCAAAAGGCCTTGCTGGCGAATCCAAGGAAGACGACCACTCCCTCGGTAGCCTGGATATCGGACGAGGTTGGTCGATGGATGCAACGTATGGTCGGGGTAGATACGAGACCGTGTTCCTGCGAAGCACGTACGGCTCTGTTGAGTATGCCGACCTCGAATCGCGGCCCTTCTCTGCGCGCATGGGACCAATGATCGACGTGGCTTGTGGGAGCGTTTGCTCTAAGCTTTGCGAAGGGGAAGCCCGCACCTGGACATGATGAGGACTGTGCATCAATCCAAACATCCTCTCTGTGCGTTCAGACTTCGTATATAAGCAGAGAATCCCCTGCTTTGAGCATCGCTGGCAAGGTTGCTGCCCAGAGCACTGCAAATGAGTGGCGTCGCCATCTGCTGGTCAGAAACGGTCTTGAAGCCCACGAGGGGATAACGGCGAGGAAAGGAGCACTCACCTTTGCTTTTCGTGATCTGCAATGCTCGCAAGCATGGGAGGCCCGGAACCCTCTGCTGTCGTGCATCTTTTCAAAGTGCTGCTGGGTCAATCTCCGAGTCTCCTCCATGTCCCTGCATGCTTCCCTCTCCAACACTTCGGCGTGTGCTTGGAGTACGTGCAAATCGAGGAACGCCCGAGGCGGGGATGGATCGCATATCGGGCGAGCATCTCGTCGGATAGCTGAAGAAGGCGAAGATGAATGGCTGGCATGATGTAGGTCGCTTGTCGATATGCATGGCGGCTCAACAGCGGAGTGGTGGAAGGGAATGTCGTCGAGAGAGCGTACTCTAGACGAAAGAGTGGGCGACCAAGTCGCTTGCGCAGAGCTCGCTTCACCAGTGGAGCGGCTCTCAATGTCGCCCATACTAAAATCTGCAGCTGCGCCGGGCACGTTCTGGCGGAACATGCCTATCCACTGACCGCTTACCGAGGTGGCAGCAAATTGTCGAAGTGAGAGCGACTAGTGATGAGTTGGCGGAGCGGGCACCCGCGAGAAAGGCCGCTTTAAAAAGCAACTCTGTTTCCGCTTAGAGGTGAGGATCGTATCTGTAAAGCTGCAGACCTCTTTCTGCGGAAGAGCAGCGGGTAAAAGAACCCACTGCGCTGATTCGCCTAGATATCCGAGCCTGCGGGGCCGTCGGCTGCCATCCTGGAGCCGCAGGAAGCCAGCCAAGAACTCGTCTATTGTGCTCGGTCTCATCTGGTTCGCGATCCCACATGGTGCAAAGTGAGATGGAATCGTCGTTCGACTTGGTCGGCTTTACGACTCACAAGGTCGAAGTTCCTGGAGACCACAGCGTCTTCGTATGCCAAGGCTGGGTCGATAGCGTGACATCGTGGACGCCCAGCGCATGAACTCCTGAGACTCCGTGTGGATCGCTCGAGCCCGTCCCTTTCACCGCATGACATTGCCATCTTGGCGAGTTTCGCATCGCAACCTCAGGCCTCTAAGTTGCTCAAAAGACATTCCATGTAGTGCTCTCTCCTCGAGACTATGAGCCCTTCTTTGACGAAGCGCCTCGGCGGCAAAGCCTATGAAAAGGAACTGGGACAATTTTCAAGAAATGGGCAGGGGCGGATGACCCTGCGCAGCAAAGCGAATGTTGCGATCTCTCCCTTTGTGCGAGCAGAAGGCTCAGCTCGGGAAGGTGGGCTGAGTTCAAGCAAGCTTCGCATTGTCTGAGCCGGAGCATTTCGCCAGGTACGAGTCTTCTTTCTTTCCCGCAGGAAACTCTGATGAAGTACTGGTTTAGGCTGCGAGGCATGCGGTAGGGGTAGGGGGAGCAACCCGAACCCGATCCTGCGCCAAGAATGCAACGCAATTCCGCAGCACGCCATCTCGTTCCAATTATCAAACAAGGAACGGTGGGACGCTGCGTGAGGGCTGAAGGGTCTTCCATTGTCAGAATGAGATGAAGGATGGCGCTTCGACATGGTCGAGATGAGAAGGAGCTCTCGGATGCAGACTGCTCGGGACAACAGTGAAGCGACTGCTTCGAAGTCGGCATTGTGCCAAAAGCCGATGGGTGGTTGAAGTCGTGCGTGGGGGAAGCGCATGTCGACATGTACAGAAGGTAGCGTGCAACTCTTATCGATCTTGCACATCAGGTTCCAAAGGCGAGCATCCCCGACCGATTTGTGAGAAGCTGCAACCGTCAGCTCTTCTCTGCTGTGGCTGAAGTCAGGTCAAGGCTCCCAAGAGGATCTGCGTCGTCACGCGAGGCAACGAAGGTCGGCACGCCACGTGTCCGAGGACGATAGTTTGGGTTTGAGCAGCTTCACGTGGCTCGACAGCTGGCAAGGCGCGAAGAGACGACTGCGCAAGAGGCCGAGGTGCGTGAACACGGCAATCGTCTTTCAAGGTGGACATATGAAGACGTGCAGGCTGAGCTGGTGGGAACAAAAGAGATCTCTCCCTGGTATCGAGTAGCGACCGTCGTCAAGACAATTGTCTCGGAGGTTGCGCCGAGACCAGGACCTGAGAGGTTGTCCAGATCCGGACAGGTCCTTCATCAAGCCGGGTTTCGCCGAACAAAGCGCAACTGCGGTGCACTCATCAATCAACGTCGTCAACTGGGTGTCTAAGAGATTGAATCGCAACAAAGGCATATAGGTGATGCAAAGAATCGCATGAGAGGTGAAGGCGGACTCCGGATTATCCGACGAAGGCGTTCGTCGCGGTGCGCTGCGTGGCTGCGTTCGATAGCGTCTGCAGCTGCTTCAAGAAGTCGTCGTTGAGCCCGAGCACCGACTTGCTGCGCTGCAAGAGACGGTCGAGCTCATTTCGCCACTGACGCGGCTCGGCCAAGTCCGCGAGAAGCAGCAAGCGTGCCTTTTCTACGAGTGTATCGGGATCGCTGTGACGCATATGAAGCTGATAGACATGCAGACCCGATTCGAGATCGCCACACAAGCGACTGGCATCCATGGCGGCCGCAACGACTGCTGCGTGGACTTCAACGGGTCGGGTGCCTCGTGCTTTCATACTTGGTGCGAGGTCGTGAGCCTCGGGCTCCGTTGCCTGCAGATCGCCATCCGTCCTGAAGGTCTGTCCGTATGTGCGCTCGAGCATCTCGGTCGCTGTCTGCAGCCGGCTAGCTCGCTGTGCTTGCGATGGCGCGGCGAGGCACGCGTGTAAGTGTGCTGTCAGTCGCAGATTCCAAGAATCGCTGTCGGGTTCGGCGACCAAGTCCTTGAGCTCTCCGAAGAGCTCCTCGACATGCACACAGGTCGACCGCACAAGCTCGCAGTCTGCTTCCGAAGCGTCGGCATTTGTAGTAGTGCTGACGCCAGAAGGAGACGGCAGGACCGACAAAGAAGCCCTCATAGACGCGTTGTAGGCCATTCGAACGTCTCTCAACGTCAGTCCGCTAGAAGAGGACCCAGTCTGCGCACTTTCAGCTCGTTGGGACATGTTCATGCAGAGATGGTGGGTCAAGCCTAGCCGAAACTCTTCGAAGAGACGGAGCACCCTGCGATCTAGGTCGCCAAAGTCCGGGGCAGCGACCCTGCTTGACCGATCAAGGGCGATGCTCATGAGCTTGAGGGATGAGACGAGGCGCCACGCTTCGCCTGAATCATCTGACCCGCCCACGTCGGCAGTGGCGTTTTGGAAGAAGTGCGTTGAAGCCGTGGCTTGAGAGACGTTGACGACCAGCTCCATGGCTAAATCGGGGAAACCGGCGTCCGCAAACGAAAGGACGAGACTGCGGGCTAGACCAGCCGTTAGCAGAGCGCGATCGCCTTCCCATTGCTGCAGTACTCGCTGTACGACGGAAAGGAGGCCAGCACGCAAGAGACCTTTGACGAAGATCGCATTGAGGCTCGACGGGAGCGTGTGGCCGCTCGCAAGCCAGTCGAAGTAGAGCTGCACCGCAAAGACGGTCCTCGCAGGCGATCGGAGGCTCTCTGCGAAGAGCCACATGAAGGTGTCTTGGTCCGGACCAGCCAGAGGATCAAGCGCGGCTGATTGCAGAGAGTCTCCTTTGGTGTCTGACGACCAAAGCTGCCGAGTCGGTTCGCGAATACGGATAAGCTGATACAGCCGCTTGGTGAAGGCGTAGTCACGGGTGCGCATGTGGAGACCGAGGAGGGTTGCCTGAGCAGGGTAGCTGAGGGAGCCCTTGCTCAGATCAGGATCGCTCGTGAGCAGCATGTCCGCAAACTGGCGGAGGTAGACTCTCAAAGCCTGCTTGCTGCCACGTTGCTCGTTACGTTGCGTTATGTGAGTCTTGATCTTGGTGAAGCGGGATCGTCTGGGCCCCAAATCGGCGACAGCCGTGGGCAAGCAGCTGGCGAGAGCCTTGATGATGGCTTGGTTGAGTCGAGAATCCAGGTCAACGCTTGCCGAATGCGCAGCGGTATACACTTTCATGGCAAGATGAAGATCGAGCGAGAGCCCTCGATGCGTGTCCAACGAGGTGCGCGCATCTTGGCCGCTGTCAGAGGCCATTCGTTCCGCGAGCTTCTCCAACAAGACGGTGAAGAGGTCGTGATCCGGCGTCTTGGTCATGGACAGCGTCTCGTGCTGAGCATGCGCGTCGGAATGCGATAGCTGTAGGCCCTCTACGATGTGAAGGGCAGGTTGGAGAATGCCCCGCTGAGCGAGCACGAGGGCGACGCGTTCGGCGAAGGAGTCGAGCGAGTCTTGCGAGATCATACTTGCGCCATTTGTTGAAGACTGCCAAGGGTGCCACTTTGGCTTGAGAGAAAAGCGATCGTCAAACAGCCGAGGAGAGCGGCCGTCTTCCGTTGTCTTGCCATCAAGCTCGAAGGGTAGCAGCCACCAGAGCGTAGCTGAGTCGAGGGCTTGCAGACATTTGTGGATGATGGCTTTAGAAGCTGGGACTTCAGACGACAAGGTGAGCCGCAAAGCTCGGATGATGGGATCATGCTCGTCCACCTGAGAGTACGCCATGTCGACGGGCGATGGAAGGAGACTGGCGTGATGCGGAAAAGCCTCTGCTTTCCTAGCTAGCGCAGAGAGAAGCTGATCGAAGGGACGCGGATCGATGAAGAGGTCGTCATCCGTCAGGGCAGCCTGCTCGACCACGTATTTCAGCTGATCGTAAGCAGCATCTGTGGCACCTACTCGCGAAAGCGTGGCTGCTAGACGCCCTCGCAGCGGACCATCGAACTTTTCTGTGGGCTCTTCCTGCGCTTGTACGTTGGCCAAGAGTATGGCAAGGGTGCTCGAGAGGTTGTTGCGCCGTCTAGCGGCTGAAGATCTCTTGGATGCGGCGATCTGCTCTTCTTCGACAACGAGCAGGTACAGCAACCTCAGCGAAACAGCAGCGGAAAGTGTAGAGATTCCGTCCTTGTCGGGTAAGGATGGGGCGGCTTTGGAAGAGCTGGCAGCTTGATGAGAGCGCGTTCGATCAGAGCAGAGTACCAAGACCCCGTCGCAGACTTGCCGCACAGCAAGTCGGCTATCGATGACATTGTCTGGGGAGCTCCTGACGGGTTTGCGACATTGCAGAGTGATGAGGAGGTCGATGACGGATGTTGGCAGGCTGCGACGAGCTTTGCCAAGCTGTTTGTAGAGGTGCCAAGCGAGGTCGGCGTCTAGATGTTGGAGAGCCGCGATCAGAGGCCGATGAGCGTCTCTAATGGCGATGAGGTCGAGGTCGACGAGCGGAGGCAAAAAGCGCTCCAGCTGCGAGGCCGAAGGATGGCGAGCTGGGGAAGGATGGTCTGGCTGCGATGCGCTAAAGTAGGAGTCTGAAGGAAAGTCTGCCGTCGAGAAGTGCGCAGCAAAGCGAGCTGAAGGTCGACGAATGGTGGAACGTCGATTGAGCTGCAGGGATGCTGAGCTATAGAGCAGCTGTCGATACCAACAGGCTGCGATGCTCGCATTTTCCGAAGGGAACGGATTCGCTGCTGTGGCTACGCCCCTGCTCAGACGGCGCGCGCCCGAGCGCAGCATCAGGGAAGGGCGTCGCCAGCTGCGAGGCGGATGACGGCCTCTTCGCCTGCGCCCAAGCAGTTACTCCCGTCCACGCTGATGCACTTGATGTGCGCTATGAAAGGTCGATGAGCTGGTGATTGATGGAACACATCGTAAGATCGTTCGGAGGCTGCGAAAGCTGAATGGGCTGAATCGGTTGCAGATGAGTAAGAGTGTGGAGAGGGATAGAGACGACTGCGGTCCATCCGCTCTGAGCCGTGGCGTCGAAGCGTGAGAATGTGATGGTCGAGAGACAGTGGCCTCGTTGAATGAAGATGTCGACGCCAATCACAAATCCATGGTGACCCGCCCTCGTGACGCCGTCTGGTACCGCACTTTTTTTTTTGGATCGGCGAAATATGACGGAAGCTGCACAGCGCTCAGGGTTCAACCTCCTCGCCTTTCTTCCAACCGCACGAAAAAGGTCCAAGCCGAGATTTTGGCCGCTGTTAACCGTACAACCTTAATCAGAAGGAACTTCTTTGTCCTACGCCTATTCCTCGACCACCGAACCTTCTTGGCCTCTACAATCACGACCGTCGTCTTCCCAATCGCAGTTGATCTCTGCAGAGAGAATTTGTTCGAACAGCAGCTCGACCGTCCTCATGTCGTTGATAACACCATCACCATAGACGGCTTTCATAGCTCAGCCACAGCCATGACGTCGTTTCAACTGCCCCGGATCCTCGTTGTGGACCACTTCGACTCGTACACCCTCAACCTGCTCTCCTTGCTTCATCCTGTTGCAATCTCAGACGGCCACATCTCGTCAGAGCATCGAGATGAGCTCACGCGTAGGATCTCGGATCGCGTCATCGTCCTGCCGCACACACATCCGCTCCTGGCTCCCGCCGCTTTTCACGAGCTGGTCAGGCCACACATAGATGCTATCATCCTTTCGCCCGGCCCCGGCAGTCCAGATAAGGCCGCCGACTTCGGCGCAGCGGAGACGCTGCTCAAAGATCAATCGCTCAATCTGCCTGTCTTGGGCGTCTGTCTTGGTCATCAGGGATTGGCAGTCGCCTTTGGGGGTCAGATCACCCGCGCCATCAGTGTCCGACATGGTCTTCAGAGCAAGCTCAAGATCTCGCAACCTTCATCGTCGTCGAAGTCGCCGCGTTCCCACGTCATCTCCTCCATTCTCGATAGCGTGCCCCAAGATGCCCTCGTCGTTCGATATAACAGCTTGGTGGTCGACCCGGAAACGCTCCCCGACTGCCTCAAAGTGACCGCGTGGAGCTACGATCAAGTGTCGTCAGCTCCGCCTCCTCGACCTGGCAACACGAAGAAAGCCGCGACTTCGCCGGTTCCGCTGAGACCGACGTCGGATCCCATAGCCCAGCTCAAGCATCGCGAAATGACTTCTCTCAGCCGCACTCCTTCCACGCTGCCAGTCTCTTCCCGCAACGGATCGGAGCGACTTTCCGAGGTGGGAGATATGCCCCTGTCCGAAGCCACAAGCATGGACGATGACGCCGATCCGGCAACACTTGTCGCCTTGGAGCAAGCACCGACTCCGGCCATCATGGCGCTTCAGCATAAGACCCTGCCTTTTCACGGCGTTCAGTTCCATCCCGAAAGCATTGAATCCCACTGGGGTCATGCGATCATGTCCAACTTTCTCAGCATCGTCCGCCAATACTGGAACGATCAGACATCGGGAACAGACGCCGAGACGTCTTCGGATGCTTTCAAGAGGGTTCAAGGGTGGGACAGTCCCGAACTCAAGCTTCCTGGTCACTTGACGCTCGCCAGCGAGCGTTGCTTAGCAAGCGATACGACTTCATCAGCAGAAGTTGGCACAGGCGCGCCTGACGTCAAAGATAGTGCCTTCACCTTGCTCGCTCAGCGCTTGCCTTCCCTTCCAACTGATCATGACGTGGACATGGTTCGCGTGTTTGACCAGCTCTTTCGTCATTCTAGCCCAGCTGGAGCCGTTTGGCTTGACAGTGCCCGTCTCAAGGATCCGCACAGCCGGTACTCGTTCATGGCGCTGCCATCCTTCATCATGTCTTACACGGATGGCGCCGACAAAGTCGTTGTCTCAGGAGACGAGAAGTTAAGCGTCGATGTCCCGTTCAGCGGCGCGAAGAACGACACCTTTTGGTCGTTCATGAATGAGCTGCAAGCCCAGCTGCAGTCATCCATTGACTTTACCGCCGCTGATAACATCCTTGATGACGATCAACGTGGTCACCTTTTCCGCACAGGCTTCTGCGGTTATTGGGGCTACGAGATGAAGAACGAAAGCCTGCAGCTCGAGACACGGGCGCCAACCGGCGACAGCAGGAACGCATTCGACGCCGAGTTCTTGCACTGCCCCAGAGCCCTTGCCTTCGATCATCACCTGCACCAGTGGACTGCGTTCGCCTTGGTCGCCTCCTCTTCGTCAGCGGATGTGCCAGGGCCCTTGGGTCAGATCAATAGCGCCCTTCACGATCTGCAGGACGACGGCAAGCAATGGTGCACTTGGGCCCTCGCCAAGTCAGACGCTGAGTGCTGGATGCAAGAGACGCTCGCGAACGTCCTAGCCCTCTGCAAGCTGCCCAAGTCTCCTCCTGCAGACGCAGCTCAGAGCGCCGCCGCTTTCCGCGCGGCAATGCCGCTGCTCCGACCTCGGATGTTGGCCGAAGACTACATGGACCAGATCGAAACAGCGCGCGAGCTCATCGCTGCCGGCGAGAGCTACGAGCTCTGCATGACCAACCAGTTCCAAGGTCAGCTTGCGCCCCTCGCTTCCCTGCGCGACGCTGCCGATACCGACCACTTTGACCTCTACTGCAAGCTGCGGGCTCGCAACCCTGCCCCCTACTCGGCGTTCATCCGACTGCCATCGTTACAAACGAACGAGACAGAGTCATCCTCACGAAAGCGTGGACGTGCCATCCTCAGCACGAGCCCGGAGCGCTTCATGCGCATCACGGCCGACGGTCAAGTCGAGATGAAGCCCATCAAGGGCACGCTGGCCCGTGCTGGCTTCGGACCAGGCGAACACAACATGCGCGCTTGTGCCAACGGCACACCTGCCGAAGAATTTGTCAAGCAAAAGTGGCGTGAGAGCGAGGACGAAGCGCGTCGAGCTCGGCTCTCCGCCGACGTCAAGGAACGTGCGGAAAACCTGATGATCGTGGACCTGATCCGCGCGGACCTCTTCTCGTTCTGCAGGTCCGACAGTGTGGCCGTGCCCAAGCTCATGCAGGTCGAGTCGTACGAGACGGTGCATCAGCTGGTGACAACTGTCACGGGACAGCTGAAAGCGTCTGTCGGAACCACCGAGGCGATTCGGCGGTGCTTCCCACCTGGCAGCATGACGGGGGCGCCCAAGCGCCGGAGTGTACAGCTGCTGGAGAGGCTCGAGCTCAACCTGGCCGATGCGGAGAGGGACGATGCGCTGCGTGCACGCAGAGGCATCTACTCGGGCGCACTCGGCTGGCTCGGTTGCGACGGTGCTGCCGACTTTGCGGTTGTTATACGGACCCTCGTTGCTGACGGCGACGATGTCTCGATCGGTGCTGGCGGTGCTATCACGTACCTTTCTGACGCAGAGAAAGAGTGGCAGGAGGTGCTCGATAAGGTCACTGCTCTTGCCAATATCGAAGCTTAGACGCGGGCTTAAGAGTCTGCAAAGACGTTTCACCCCATTCAAAGACCGTCCTTCCCTCCCTCAGTCCACCCCCTCCCCTCCCTCATCCTTTCCCACTAGAATCCCCTTTACATTTCAACAGCAACCCCGCATCGCAACCATAGATACCCTTCAACAGACCCTGTCATCACTTTCATCTCGCATCTTTTCCTCTACATGTCACCATCTGTACCTACACATACTCTGTAGGACCACCTCAACGTGGTCCTCATCCATCGTCGCGGCTAATTGAACAATGCATACCAGTCTTGAGAAGCGACACGTTTTTTTGATTGACGAGACGAAACGACGAAACAGGGGGGACGCTGGTTGAGCAGCGGGAGAAACGAGCCGAGACGGGGGGGCAGACCGTGTTGGACGGTCGAGAGGAGGGAGTGGGGGGGCTGGACATTTTTTGTGGTGCTTTTGTGTGTGCTTCTTTGCTTGAGGTTGGCGAGGGGAGGGGGAGGGGAACGGAAAACCGGGATCGAAGGAGGAAGTGCGATGCATCTGGTGTTCTGCAATCACCGTCGTCTTCCTCGTTTGTCCTCCACTTCAACCGACACCGTCGCAACCAACCGCACCCCTCTTCATACCCCGCTGCTCACCCAACATCCCCCTTCCCTTCTCGGCATCACCCAATACGCGCACCCTCTCCTCCTTCTCCCTCACCAACTCGGCCACCTCCCTCTCCAGCACCCTTCGCTGCACCTTGGCCCGCTTGCCCGCAGCCAACACCTCCTCCAGCAGCTCCGCATCTCCAATCCTCGCCTGCTTGTTCTTTCCATCGCCCAGAGCCCGGGCATCCTCGCCGGTAAACTCTCCACAGCTCTCCTCGAGCACCTTCAACACCGTCCCCAAGTTGCTCGGCAGGTACTGCAGAATCGGACTGCCTCCCGTGGCAATATCGTAGGTGGAGCGTTGGATGATGTAGCTCTTGGTAAACATCCAGTGTCGGTTTCTGAACTCTCGCACCTGATCCACCAGCAGAACATACAACGCTTTCGACCTGGCACTGCTGCCCATGGCGAAGTTCCTCACGCCAGCGAGGGTGGCCCTTGCCTCGAGCTGCGCTAGGAACTCCCGCTGGTTGCGCGGGCGGTACGAACGGAAGTCGCGCAGCGTCTTGGTCAGATCGTTGTTCGGCATATGCGCCGTGATCTCCAACAAATTATCCAGCGTGGGGATGATGCTATCATTCGCACCACTTTCACCACGGTAGAACTGAGGTTCATCGGACACCCCCTCGTAGGTGACACCGTTGGGGAACATGGCATTCATCTTCTTGGGACCCGTACCGAAGATGAAGCTGCGATACTTGAGATAGTCCGCGGGCAAGGAACGGGACCACATGGTTTCCATCGAAGCATTGATTTTTCGGTAGACGACGAGCAGCCGTTCCAGCGCATCCTCGAATGCGACTGAGTCTGCCGCGTTGACTGCTCGAAGGGCGTCTTCAGTAGCAGAAACCAGCTGACCGGTGTACGAAACCATCTCGACATGGACGAGGATGAATCCGCGTTCGGAACCCGAAGCGTCTTCGAAGGAACGGATCAGGTCCATGTTGTCGAAGCTGTATCGACCGGCGGGACCCTGGTGGTGGAGGTCCTTGAAGCGATAGTTGACGAGTGCGTAGGAGGAGGCGTACTCCATGTAGGGGAAGTGACCGAGTTTGTCGGCGAGTTTTTTGAGCGGTACTGCCAGTTGAGCGGGCAACACATCACGGCCTTGGGTGTACAGTCCCGTTTGACGGAAGGAGCGATCCACGGGCTCGAGGAGGTAGGCGGAAGTGGCGAAGCAGTAGTCTCTGAAGAGCGCGGCTAGGAGGTGAGAGTTACCCGCCTCGATGGCTGCGTCCACCGCCTTGGCTTCCGGACCAGTAGGGGAGAGCTCGTCGAGAACGGCATCACCGAACTCGCCCTTGCCGAGCAGACCCGTTGCGCGGTGGCCAGAGGCGTCGGCGGGCTGGTGGATCGTCATGCGCTTGAGCAGCGAATCGAGCCCGGAGAACGCGGGTGGCAGATCGACCAACGGGTCCTCGCGAGGGAGGAATCCGCGCTCGCGAGAGATGACAAAGGGAGGGAGCTTCGAGATGGCCTCCTTGTCATTGGCGAGGTAGGAGGGGTGCTCCTCCAGCAGATAAGGCTCGACTTCGACAGCAGACTTGACCGGGGTGGCGTCCGAGACCTGGGCGAAGGTGCGACGCGAGGCGGGGCCGGCGTGCAGCCGAGCGGCGGCTGAGAGCACACTTCGGTTTCGCAGAGCGGGCAGCATGTTTTTGTGATGCGTGCCAGCTCGATGGTGACCAAGGTGAGTGAGGGAGTGTGTATGCTAGCCTCGAATGTCAACAAGGATGCTTGGACAGGCGAGGAATGGTGTGAGGGAAGAAGGAAGATGATGGCCCAGATAGCACAGTTGGCGTTTATGAGACGGCACAAGCAGGAACTCTTCGAGCACACTCTGATTGCAAATAGCCAGAACACGACTGATAGGAAGACTGCGCAGGAACCTTCCCTTCACCTATCTGTCGCAGAGATCCGACTCTCCCAGCGGACCTGAACCGACGTGCCGGGCCCAGGACTGTCACGCGATCCACAACACCACCATCCGCAGGAAAAGGCCCAGGAAAAGGCCCGGCGCAGGCAAGCGGCGAAAGGCCCAGCCTATCAGCTGTCAGCCTCGCGCTATCTCAACCCCGCACGCGTTCGTTGTGTGACAGCTCGCTTGCAGATCTGCTTTCTCCCGCGGCAGTTCTGTACCGAAAAGGCCCGTCTTTTGGCCCGTTTGAATTTGAACAAGCAGGCCCGGTCAGATACCCGGCTTGATTTGCCGCGTTTAGCCCCTCATCTCTCTGCCGAAAGGGCGGATGCGAGCGAGATTGGCTCGCGGGAGCTCAAAAAGGAGACGGAGAACCTTGTCGGTTCTGCCTTTCGGTATGGTCGATTGCTGCACAGACTCAAGCGAAGAGGCTCGGGATGGGAAGGGAATCACAGACAGTCGCATATAGAAAGCGCTGAAGGGTGGAGCGATAGCATTACATGAAGGTCGACCGATCTTCGGCAGGCCGAGGAGTGGACGGACTAGAATCGCGACGTGCGCCACCGGTCGGATCGTGCATGCTCCTGCCTGACCTCTCATCCGACGGCAGTTGACTCGCGTTGATGCCTCTTTCGTCATCGCCAACGTGAGCTTGCCCGGGTAGCGTCGCTACAGGCGCCAACAGTGGTGGCCCACCGTGATCACTCGCGGTCGACATCGACTCACTTCTCCCGTCCCTACCCGGCGTCGGAGATCTGGCTCCACCTTTACCCGCCCTGCTACCCACCAGAAAGGGGCTCTCGCTGCGAAATGCGATCGGCGGTGTATCGATCCGCCCTGGCACGTTCGCCTGCGGCGTCGCGCTGCGGAACAACGACATGGCCGCTGCATCCTGCATCCTCACCTTGTCGGCAGATGCGGCGGCGTGGCCCGGACTGGGCGAGCGGCGGATGTTGGGCGACAGAGAGCGTTTGATCTCGCCACCCGCCTGCTGTTGGGTCGCGTCCTCGTCTGGCGGACGCGTTGCAGGTCGGGGCTGAGGCGATCCGGTGCGATCGTACGAGATGACGGGAGCGGCGTTCGCGGGTGCCCGGGGCGACTGTTGGATCATTTCAGCGTACAGATCGATCGATGGCCGACTCGGTGTAGCATAGCTCACTGAGCCATCCCCCGGCTGCTGCCCCGACGGGGACGAGAACAGCGATCGCTTCGGCTGCAGGTCCTGACCTGGCTGAGCGAACGTCTTCTCTGGATCCCAGTCGTCGTACAAATCGGCTGTGTCGTCTGCGAACGTCGATCGCACGGGTGTAGTGGTGGCGGCAATGCTGCCTCTCGGCGCACCACTGTGCCCGCCACCCCGACCGAGAAAGGACGGGAAAGGGCGTGAGCGCGATTGCTTTTCGGACGCAAACGAGTCGTCTGCGAGCGACATGGAGGGCCGCGAGGGTGTAGGCATCACAGCGGCCACAGGCACGCGGCGTGTCTTTTTGCGACTCTCGTAGCGTACCCGCCCGAGCGTCTCGAGCGCTTCTTTGACGATATGAGAGTAGGCGTAGTCGGCAGCCGTCGAGCCTTCGACGTTCTTGACCGCCAGCGAGCAGCCTCGCTCGATAAGCAGCTGTACAAGTGATAGGTGTCCCCATGCGGATGCGAAATGAAGCGCCGTATTGCCGGCACGATCCTGCAGATCAACATCCGCGCCCAAGTCCAATAGCTGACGTGCTACGTCATCGAATCCGCGAATGCAGGCCAGGTGCAACGCTGTTCGCCGGTCATGAGACTGCTCAGCGTCGATCAGCTCCGCAAGAGAGGACGCAAGGTGGCTATTGTTGTACGTGGAGTATGCGTAGATGATGTCGGACCGGTCGTAAAGCGTTGCGAGGTGGAGCACTGTATTGCCGTCCTCGTCGACGCTGGATACTTCCTGCTCATGACCCATCTCGATGAGCCAGCGAACAAGCTCGACATCTGCATTGCTTCGAATGGCGATCACCAGACTCGGGTCGGCGCTGCTCGGCCCGTCCCCAAGCACTTCCTCGTGAATTGCGAGAGAGTACTTGCGATGGTGATGATGCTTCGGAAGGCCGATGCGTTCTGGTACCGACTCGACGTTGCGAATGTCAAAAGGCTGTTCTGATGACGAACGCTGCGCCTGTGCCGCACGTTGAGCTGCCCTGAGCGCGTGCGGGCTGTTCTGGTCGATATGCGGGCCATGTGTGTCGTGAGAAGATGGCGGCGGGGGCAAGAGTTGCAGCTCGAACGCTCTTGCTGCGATGCGCTGAGCCGCGGCCAGATCGCCTTGCTGGATGGTGCGTCGGAACCGCTGGCTGAGCGTGGTACGAGAGATCGAAGACGGACCTGGCACAGATGGCGACATGGAACTGGAGCTGGTGATACGTTCTTGCCTTCTGACTCGCGTCGGCGTCGTTAAACCTGGTTGTTTAGCGCTTCGCAGCAGCACATTGGTTGGTATGGACTGAAGTACGGGCGGCATCATCTTGATACTGTGCGCTGAGCGGTGGCTTGACCGCGTTTCACGGAAGTAGAAAGATCGAGGGCCGTTCGTGTTCGGACGGTCGCAGCGCCGAATGCTCTATGCAGCGGTGAGCACGTTTTCGAGAGCGGGCCGTGCTTGGGCGGTCGAGCCCATGATCTGATGACTGTCGCGCTTAGGGTCGCAGAGGTGCCAGTAGCGATAATGAGCTTCTGCCACAGCCCTTCGGTGCAGTTGACCCTTGTCGGCGACAAGGACGACGTGGAGCCACCCGGATGGCTTGGTGGAAGGAGGCGAGATGCGAAACAGTTGGAACCTTCCAATGTCTAAGCGCCCTCCACAAGCGCTCGGCCTTTCCAGGGTCCAGACCGGCATCTGCTCGACAAGAAGTCCATCGTCGATCGGCCGATCTTTTTATTGAAGGCTGTTACGTCGCGTCTTTGTGCGCGATCTATCTTTCTACACAAATTCTCTGCGGCAGAAGACGACGATCACTGGCTCGTGCGCATGCTTTCTTCTCAACGTTGCCCGCCACGATCCAGCGTTTTGCTGAGGTGCGGCCCATGATTCGCATTCGAGCAGTGGCTCGAGGCAGCATGCAGATACAAATGAGGCAGCTATAGACGTCACGACCAAGTTGACTGGCCAGTTCGAGACTGCCTGACCTATGCAGGTCAGTAGGGTGGCAACGTGTCATGCCTTGCCGTGTGACGTGCATCTCGAGCAGAGCAGATACACTGTGGTCTTTGCTGACTCTGAGCGAGGCTGTAAGCTTGCTTGCGGCACTTCGACGTCCAGAAAGGGGGGATTTGAAACTCAATTGACGCACAAGCGGCTGTGTTGTGAGCGCAAAGGTGCTTCAGCCACCCTGCGACGATCTGCCTCTCGAATTTTGCCCAGGTTGAGAAGTTCTTCTTCCGCCTTCGGTGCGCTGCGCTGTCCAGACTTTCTTCCTGGCACAGTGCATTTTTTCGGACTGTCGAGTTTGGCCGTCGCAGCGCGAGGCTCGCCGCATGGACCAGCTCGAACAACACTATATATACCTGATGCGTCTATGCATCTTGCCTTCACATTGTAGATATCTTTCTCTCAAATCATATCCACATAGCGTAAGTTTCCATACGTCGTCTCCATGAAGGCAGTCCAGCCCTGTCTACGCCTGTCCGGCCACAATGTCGCCGTTGACGACATGTCGATCCGGGTTGCCTTCATTAGCTGTGTCGTTCGATTCCAGGCGGACACACTCTTCTAGAAGACACCTGGATCTCCATGTCGTTGGTGGTTGTTCGACTCGGCGTCCTTTCATTTCAACAAACCATCGCCTAACCTGCTCACTCACACACAGTTCTTCCCCTTCTTTTACGATGCACGCCACTTTCGCCCGTCAATTCACGTCATCTGCCAGAATCATGTCCAACGTTTTCTTCGACATTACCAAGAACGGCAGCCCTATGGGCCGCATTACGTTCAAGCTGTACGACGATGTTGTGCCCAAGACGGCCAAGAACTTCCGCGAGCTGTGCACTGGTGCTCCTGGTTTCGGTTACGAGGGTTCCTCGTTCCACCGTGTCATCCCCCAGTTCATGCTGCAGGGTGGTGACTTCACCGCTGGCAACGGCACCGGTGGCAAGTCGATCTACGGCGCCAAGTTTGCCGACGAGAACTTCAAGCTGAGCCACACCAAGCCCGGTCTGCTCTCGATGGCCAACGCCGGCCCCAACACCAACGGCTCCCAGTTCTTCATCACCACCGTCGTCACCAGCTGGCTCGACGGCAAGCACGTCGTCTTCGGCGAAGTTGTCGACGGCCTCGACATTGTCAAGGCCATCGAGAACGAGGGCACCAACTCCGGCAAGACCAAGTCTAAGATCACCATCGCCAAGTCCGGTGAGCTCTAAATGCGCTGAGGCAAAAGCGCACAACGCAAGACATTACTCTCCCCATTTAGTTCTTTCAAACTGCAATCGAGAGATGCTGTAAAATGTTCATTTCCGTGCAGACTGTGATATCCCAAGCTTCGTGTAATGGTTCCTGTTGATGAGGTGTACGTGTCCGCTGTAAATTCGAGGCGGATACGGAAGGGCAACATGCGCTTTCATGAAAGAGTCGAACGAGCACAACCTCATTACACCTCACATCTACACATGCTCTCTAGTGGAGATCCTTGGACAAAAGCTTCTTATTGAGTAACACGGCTGATCCTGAGCGCACGTCAATCCTGCTGGGTAGGCTCAAGCCCGGCCGCGGCCGCCGCCTGCACGGGGTCCACCGTCACAGGGGGCGCAATCGATCCCTCCACGCTATCCGGCTCGACACCGATCCAAGACGAGCTCATATTCGACCCCGACCCATCCTCGCTCCTCTTTCCCTCCCGCTGGTGGGCCCGTTCGCCATTCGACGAGCTGGGCGAATCGCTGCTGAGGCTGCGCACGCTTGCGTGTTCCGACTCTGCCTGGTGGGGTAGGGGTGCGTCTGGATCCGTGTCTGCTGCGGTCGCGGTATGCGTTGGGTCTGTGGTCGCTGTCTCGAGCGGTACCGGTTTCTCCGGGTTGGGGCTGACGGGTGTAAAGTTGAGACCGCCAGAGAGACCTCTTCTGCGCCGAACGACGGGACTATCGCGCCCACTCTCGGTGCCGCTATCGACGTCGGTGTCTGCGAGACCGAGCGGGCCATCGACGCCAACGCGGGGGGCACGACCAAAGTAATCCCCATCCTGCCCCTCCGCGTCGCTATCGGCATTGGTGGCATCACCTCCTTCCTTAGCAATCGCGCTCAGTCTCGCCTGTTGACCGCCACTGGCGACCCACGCAGCGTGCTCTTCCGCAGACGCAATGCTCAAACTCCGCGCGCGTTGGCGAAGCAGCGTCTCGGCATCGTACGTCCCGGGACTCAACAACGGCGCCTGCACGATCGACGGAATGTTGCTTCGATCCGTCGGTCGATGTTTGTCGTTCTGATAGACACGTGGTTTGCGACGCGAGCCAGTGCGACCCAGCGGCACAACGGCTCCCGCTGCCGTTTGACGTTGAATGCGAACCCGCCGGCGGTGCAGACCGAGCGTTCGGAAGACGGCATACCCCGCAAAGTCCAACATGCCAATGATGAGGACGGGAAGCAGGATGAGGAGAGAGATGAGGCGACAGGTTTGAGAGAAGGCGGTGACCCAGTAGGGCATCGGCGGATCGAGGATGAGTCGCCAGGTCGAGACCGGCTGCGGTTCGGGTGAGCGGAAGAAGACCGATTCGAGCAGGTTGCGCAGCGTCAGTAGCGGGCCGCTGTCCAGCCAGGAAGGATTGGTTTGCGCGAAGAGCGTCATGATGGTTCGTCGATGCAGCGTCGTTGCGCGGCTGGTTGGTGTGGTAGCCCTGGCCGAGCGATGAGCGATGATGCTTCTTGTTGACCTGTCTATCGGAATGAAAGGGTTGCCTGAGTTTACGCCGATCCTTGAGGTCGGGATCAAAGCATTCCGCGGGTTCTAGCTTGATGCGATGGCTCTGTTAGGCTTGCACCTGGTAGCTTGATGCTCAATGTGTGGATCACAAGAGCTCGAGTGTGCTATCGTCGTTTTGCTTCACGATCGACGGTTGAGGAGGCATCGAGGGTCGAGTGCGAGTGAATGCTTAATCCTGGTTGAAAGCCATAGATTCCCCTTTGCCGCTTGACCTGCATGAGCCAAAAAGTGGCTTTCAACCAGGCTCGTGCACTCAAACCCAAGGCGAGAAATATCAACAGCTGTTAGACTACATGCTCAACTTTGGTGGATGATGACAAAGAATCACGTACAGCCCAGCTCTAAATTTTCGAGCGTCCAACAGACTCAGCGAGACCAAGAAGAAAGTTCAAAAAGGCATGCAGGGGAGAAAGAAAAAAAAGTGGAATTTCTCAAGGGAAAAAAGGCAACAATTTTGGCCAGAGGTTGCCCTGCAGTGGGCGGCAAAGCAACCATTGCTCCTTCTCATCCTGGCCAACGTCCCCACCTTCTCTCTCCCATCAGCTCTACAGACCGTACAGAGAGCTGCGCACATACCCTACAACCATGTCGGACGAACAGACCAAGCAGGAAGTCAAGCAGCAGGAGGTCAACTTCGAGGCTTCTGCTTCAGCCGCCGAGGCCTCCACCACCGCCGCCACCAACTCCACCATGACGGTCGACGAGGCTAAGGAGGAGGCCCTTCGTCAGGTCGAGTTCTACTTCCACGACTCCAACCTGCCCTTTGACAAGTTCCTGTTCACATTGACGCGCAAGGACCCGGAAGGCTGGGTGCCCATTGCTACGATTGCCTCGTTCAAGCGCATGCGCGAGATCAAGGAGCTTCTCGGGCTCGAGGGCATTGCCGAGGCATTGCGAGGATCCAAGGAGCTTCTCAACGTCAGCGAGGATGGTGCCAACGTTCGTCGAACCAAGGAGCTCGTTCCGGTGCGTGATGCCTTCGACCGCTCCGTCTACGCCAAGGGCTTCGGCGACGAGACCGAAACCCTCCAACGCGAGCTCGAGGCCTTCTTCGCAACTTTCGGCAAGATTAACAGCGTCCGCATGCGTCGAGACATGGAATCCTCCGCCAAACCCAAGCCCTTCAAGGGTTCCGTTTTCGTCGAGTTTGCCGAGATGGATGATCGCAACCAGTTCCTCGCCCAAGCCGCCAAGGTGGAGCCGGAGCAGGATGGAGGCAAAGGCGTGCTCTTCCAGGAAAAGACGCTCGTCGCCATGTCCAAGGACGCCTACGTCAAGATGAAGATGGAGGAGAAGGGAATAGACCCGTCCAACCACAAGATCAACCGCGGTGGTGATCAGCAGCAGCACAAAAAGTTCAACGCGTTCAAGGAGATGAACAAGCCGGAGCGTCGTGGCGGGGCTGGGAAGAAGGAGGACGAGAACAAGCCGAAGCGTTCGGACCCCTTGGAGTTCGAGTACAATGGCAAGCAGTTGACGACGCAGCCTGACGGCACGGTGGATGCGGATGCAGTGGTCTTCCCGCCCAACTCGGTGCTCAAGTTCACCGGTGCTGGCGAAGGTGGCAACTGGAAGGATCTCAAGGATACACTGATTACAGTGCACCCGACTTCATTCGTCGAATTCCCCACCGGCGCCGTCGAGGGCGCCGTGGGTTTCAAAGAGACCCTGTCGGACGAAAAACTCGCCGAGATCAAGAGCAAGAACATCACCGTCGGCGGCAACGTCGTCGACTTTGCACGGGTGGACGAGGAGACCGCCAAGAAGTTCTACATCGAGCGCGCCAACTTCCGTGCGTCGTTCATGCTCGATAGGCGGGAACAGGATGCCCAGCGTGGGGGCGGACAGCGCGGTAATGGGAGCTACAGCAGGGGTGGTGGCGGCAGGGGTGGACGCGGTGGGCGGGGCGGTAGGGGCGGTAGGGGCGGTGGAGGACACAGACCTAGCCGCGGCGGATTCGGTAGGTCCGGTGGCGATAAGAGGAAGCGCGAGGGTGATTCGAACGGGCGAGAGGACGGTGCACCACCTGCCATTGGTAAGAAGGTCAAGACGGACGAGTAAGGGTTGTAACCCACAGCAGGGTTTCGCCAAAACTTGTATATATCAGCACCAGCATCTGTGCATCCCCCATGGCAAAGCCTTTCATTCATATTCTTTGCCTCACACAGGTTTTCGTACGTGAGACTGTGGTGGATGTCCATTGCTATGTCCATGACTGTGACGAGGTGAGAATCTAGTTTGAAACAGGTGCAGCGAGGCGCTGGCTCTTCATTTGGGTTGCTGAGCAAGTGACTGGGCATGTTCTTTGCGATGCTTTTTGATCATTCGGTCTGCGATGAAGGTGCGCCAGACGGGGATGGCGATCCATGCGATGAGTGCGGTAGCTCGATCGACCAGGCCGCGGTTGGCTGGAGCTGCGCCTAGGGCTGCGACGCGGAAGAGCTCGGTACCGAAGTCGGTCGTGATGAAGAAGTGGCCCCGTTCGATGCCTGCATGATATCAAAAGCTCAGGGTCAGCTTAGCTTTCGAGCTTCGATCGAGGCTGAGTCGAGGCTCGAAACAGTCAGGTCGACATGGCAAACTTACCTTTGATGAGACCCTTTGCGCATTGTGCCGGTGTCGAGCCGTCCTCGGTGCCTTCAATTTCGACTGTGATCTTTGGCTTGGTCTTGTTCTCCTCCTCCAGCCCGGGTGAGAAGATGGTTCCGGGAAAGTATGCGTGGACCGAGATACCATAGAGGATGAGTTCCGATCGCAGTGATTCCGCGAGGCCTGCGAAATGGGGCAATAGCATGAGGCACAAGGTTATGGTGAGCCACGCTGTGTAAGAGAGAGCGATTTCTTAAAGCAAGCCTGGCGTTGGACGACTTACCTCTGATAGCGTGCTTCATGGGTCCGTACTGCGAGTAGCCGATCAGACCGATAAGCCCAACGGTCGAGCTGACGAGCACAATCTTGCCGTCCACTACCTTGTTCCGCGCCATGGCGTTGGCTGCCGCCTGCATTGTGAGCAGCAAGAAGAGGAAGTGTCAGTGGATCATCGATCAGCAGGCAAGCGGCCGAAGCGTCGCAAGGAGAGCTTACATGCGCGGTTCCGAGGGACGTCCAATAGTCGGTTCTCATGCCGTGCTCGAAGTCGCTCTCGGTCTGGTCGATAAAGAAGCCTGGCTTGGCGCCGCCGGCACAGCAGAACACGGTATCCGGAACGGAGCTGCACGATGCGATCGCCTTCTTGGCGCCCTCGAAGGTCGACACATCTGCCGCGACGTACTCGATGGTTTGCTGGTCGGATTTGGCTGCTGCCTATGTGCAGTGAAGATGGCGGCAGTCGGCGTGTCAGGGGGCAGTCGAGGTGCGATGGTGAGACCGTAGACCGGCGGCAAGTCGGATCCGATGTCAGAAGTACCAAGTCAGCCGTCTTTCCAATGTGTGTTTGGGGCGCAAGAACATGGTTCGATGGCGCAACTAGCTCGAGACTTACCTTGACTCTCCCCACTGCCTCGCGCAGCTTGGATTCGGTCCTGCTGCAGATGGTGACGTTTGCACCCTTGGAAGCGAGCAGCTCGGCGACTGCCAGACCGAGACCCTGAGAACCACCGGTGACGAACACGTGCTTGCCTTGCGCTTTCCACTTTTTCCCGCCAAGGAAGCCCATCGTGGAGGAGAGGACGATCGAGATGACAACGGCACCGAGCGCGGCGAGCGCAACACTTGAAGCGGAGGCGGAGGACAGTCCGTGAATTCCGGTCATTGCCGGAGCGACAGCGTATCGCAACAGCACCGGACTGGTACGCTTGAGGAGGAGAGCGGGGCCGAGAGACGAACACTCGAGCTCGAGCTTCGGTCGCTTTGATCGGATGTGGTAGATGGAAGAAGGTGTCTCGAAAAGTGTTGGTCTCAGCGAAAGCTTAACTTAGTCGATTCGCATCACGCATGACAGCCGCCTGCAACCGAGGCTGAGCCTTAACACGCTTGACATTTTCTCGCCAGTCACGGTGGGCATAGCCGCTCGAGCCATTTCTTCTCAGCTTGTTTCTTCTTCACTCAGCTTATCATCATCTCATGACACATACGCACCTCTGACCATCAGCATCGCCGATCGCGCGCAGAAGAGAGCGTCCGACTGTCGACCAACATGGCCGCCGCGACGTCGGACTCGCATCACGCGTCGTCCAGCCTTAACGGTGACGCCGCGCCGTTTTCATATGACGATCCCCAAGGGTCGCACGCCTTTCCATCGCTGGCACCGCTATCCCACGATCTGGAGCTGCTCTCGCCGGCAAAGGTCTCCGACTTCTCCGTCGACGACTTCCTCCTTTCGCGCACAAAGGCCTCGGATCTCAACTTCATCCTCAGCGACCTTCGAAGCTACAGCGAGAAGCTCAAGGACGAGCTCTACTCCATCATCAATGAGGACTACAAGGACTTCGTGTCCCTCGGCAGCAGCCTCAAGGCCGAGGCGCACCGCATCGCACGGCTTGGCTGGAATGTTCGCTCGATAGATGCCGGCGCCCACAGTCATGTTCCACCAGAGGGCTTGTTGGCTCCCGTGCGCGACACGCTGCTCGCTTCGAGGAGCATGCTCAAGAGCGTCCAGGACGATATCGAGGGCTGCATCAAACGCAAGGAGGACGCGACGAGTCAGAAGGCGAGACTCGAGCTGATGCTGCAGCTTCACGACTCAATAACGAGGCTGGAGGATTTGCTCCTCATCCAGACCGACAAAACACAGAAGGGTCGAACAAGGTCGTTGCACGCGACAAGGAGGCCGTCTACGCTCGGCGTCACTCCTCTGAGAGAGCGAAGGCAGAGCATCATGTCGACAACGTCCGATTCGGAGCAAGACCTCTCCGACTACGCCATGTCGTCGGGCTACGAGGACGGCTTAGAGACCGAAGATAACATCTCGTCCGACGAGCCAACAACAAGCAAGGCAAACGGCGATGGTCAGCCAAGACGCGCAAGACGAAGGATCCTGCGTCGGTTCTCGTCGAGTGCACAGAATGCGCGATCGCCGATCCAGCAAAGGACTTCCTCAGACGCAGCGGCCTCCTCTTCTCGCGCACCGTCGGATACTTTGAAGGCCGCCGGTGCAGGCTCCTCCTCGTTGCTAGGCTTGCCGCAACGCATCGCGCGCACTTCTGCCGAGTACTCTCGTCTGCGATTTCTCCACCGACGCATCGACGAAGAGGATCTCACGCACGCCGCCGACGCGCTGCGCGATCGCATCGAGACCGTCCGCTCAGTACTTCGTCAAGACCTCCGCAAGCTGCTTGGTGCTCTCGTGTCGCCCAACTCGCTCCTCGTGCACGGCCAGAGCAACACAAAGGCTCCGGCTTCTCCAGAGATGCGGAGATCGATGCGACCCTCACCGAGCGCAGCACGCCGGACAAGCTTCCTTCAGGGTCACTCGATCCAAGCTGAATCAGTACGGGAGCTGTCAGTATCCGAGCTGGAAGCGTGGAGTCAGGTCGCAGAACCGATCGAGGGTGGCAGCGCCGTGGAGGAAGGGTATTGGGAGGCGAGACTGGAAGAGCAAAGATCGTGGCTCGAGATGGCCTTGACGACTCTGAACACGCTCACACTGGTCCAAAATTCGAGCGTTAGTGAAGACACCCAGGCAAAGCTAAGGAATGAGGCGGAAGAGGCGGTCCGCGATCTCTTGGTGAGCGCATGGGCGGCCAAGGCCATTGTCAATGACAAGCAGCTCACGGATGACGACATGTCAGCCACGCTGGAGAAGTTGCCGCCAGCAGTACAAGCCCAGTTCGACGAGCATCACAACAAGCTTCAGTCGCTGCTTCTTCCAACTTCGACGTCCAGCCCCCTGGTCGAGACGTACAACGCCATCCTGTCCTTCGTCGCATCGACTGCATGGCACGTCTGCGATGCTTCACGCGAGATCTCCGACCAGACAAGATCCGCAGCCGCCACCGAAGCGCTCGATACCGCAGAAAGAGCCCGCGATGCACGCTGCGACGTCTTCACCAACGTCGTCTGGGACGAGCTATCCTCTCGGCTGCTCGATACGATGGGCAGCACCATCTTCTTCGTCGGCCAGACGGACACGTTCTACTCGAACTTTACGTTGACCAACGACTTCCTGCAACGCTTCCTCTCGCTCGCCCCTACGGACGCAGCAAAGCTGGCGATGCAGGAGCATCCCAATTGGCTAGTCTTCAAACGTCGATGGCAGCTACCCGTCTACTTCCAGATGCGGTTCCGCGAAGTAGTTCTCCAGCTTGAATCGCAGCTCGTCGATGGGAGATCGGCACACGAGACCGCGCAGGGCAAATGCATGCTCGCAACACACGCGACGCTGCAGGCGATCTCGAAGCTGTGGTCCGAAGGCGTGCACATCCACGAGCTCTCGGCCCGAGAATGGAGGGTAACGCTCCAGCTGCTGAGCCGATACAAGACATGGGTGGAGGAGCAGTCGCCTGCGGAACTCACTACGGTCAACGGAGCAGCCAATCGACCGCTGGACGTAGTCCGCACCTCCTCCGCAGCCGGCGCCTCGGACGGGTCACGCAACAGCAACGACATCTCGCGCGTCTCGACGCCGCAACCGCCACCCGACCTCACATCGCAGCAGCACGACGACGAGACGCTGCACTTCGCCACCGCCCTTCTGGCCGACTGCTTCTTCCTGCAAACGCAGATGGGCGTCCTGCTTGACTCGACGATCTTCGCGCGCATCGCGGCGCACATGAATCTGGACAATGCATCCGGGCTGGACGAGTTGCGCGTCGACCTGCAGCGCGTGCTCGAGACCGAATCGCTAGACTTCATTCCCGGTCTGTCCGCTTCGGTGGGTCGGTTGGCGTACAGCATCATCTTGCCGCGCGCCACGTCGCCTCTTCGGCTACTGCGATCCTTCTCCACCCCTGCCTATCGGTCCACCTCCACCCCCGCTGCAGGGGAAGGCGGCCCAAGCGTACAAGTGATCCACCAGATCCTTGCTCCCCTCTCCAAATTCCTTTCCACCGAAACGCCCGGCCTACCGCCTACGATCGTGCGCGAATGGATCAAGACTATTTTGGGCGACATTCTCAAACGCTACACATCGACGATTGAGACGGTCAACAAGAACCAGCAGAGCCTGATCCGACTCAAAAAATCCCAGAACCCAGGCTTGCTCGGTGGGCTGTTCAAAAGCACCGCAAACCCCGGGGGTGCAGCCGAGGCGGGCGAGTTGGAGAGGCAGTTTGCAGAGACCAACAGGTTGGCGCTCAAAACGTGGAGAGAGGCGCTGGACGGGTTGGGGTTGGAGTTGCAGCTGGACGAGTGGGAGGCATGGGTGGGACTGAGGAGCTTCCTCGAGTCCGAGCTGGACGCTTTGTAACCCACAGACCTCTCGAAATCTACCTCGACCACTTCACACAAGGACAGGCATCACACACGCAAACGAGGTTTCGAGCAGAAAGAGCCATGCATGAAAGTTGAGACAGTGAAAGAGACGAGCGGGTATGACTCTCGTCTCGAGTGAAAATGAGGCCTGCGAGGCGTGGTGGACCTGGAGCGTGTTTCGAGAACGGGAACCTAGCCCTCCCACTCATCGCCCTCCTCTCTATCCCCCTCGACCTCCGCCATGGTATGAAACAGCTCCACGGCAAACGCATTCATGATGCCCGGAGTGACCATCTCGGCCTCCTCCAAACAGGCCCTCAGATTCGTCAGTGTCCTCACCGCATCTCTTCTGGAGGCCACCGCCATGTTGAGCTGCTCGATCACCGGCAGAAACACCGTATCGAGCGCGGTGAGGCGTGCGACCTGTTGCTGCTGGTATGCTGCGTCGCCTGCCCCGTTGCCCCTGCCACCTGCGGCGGGCGCAGGGGCGGACTTGAGCTGCACATCCTCCATCCGTCTCCGTTCTGTTTCCACGGGATCGTAGTACGTGTGGCCATTGGAGCCGCCCGCGATGGCCTTGTCGTACGCGTCGGCGGCCGAGAAGCTCTGCGTTTGCTGACGCGGGCTCGACCCGCCGCTGGTTGGAATGCCCGGTCGCGAGGGTGCAGCCGCGAGACGCACTGTGCCTCCCGCGGAACCGCCCGAGCCCGAGGAGCCGGAGCTGCCGAATCTGCGATCCGGCTGCGGCTGTTGCTGGGGCTGCTGCTGGTATCGCTTCTGTTGCTGTTGTTGTTGCGGCTGTTGCTGGGACTGTTGCGGTTGCTGTCGGTGCTGTTGCTGCTGTTGCTGCTGTTGCTGCTGTTGCTGCTGTTGATGCTGTTGTTGTTGTGGCAGGGGTGGCGGCGCATGACGTGGTGACGGAGGCGGCACTTCCTGTGCATAGACTGGCGATCGCGGAGGCTGCGGTTGCGGTGATCGAGGCGGCTGCTGCTGCTGGTGCTGGGGTACTTGGGGCAGCTCCTTGGCTGGTGGTCGACCGTTGGCCACATCTTGGCCTCCATTGACAGCCGCGGCAGCCGCAGTCATGGCGCTCGCTGGCATTCGCATCGCTACGGTGCCACCTCTTCCACGTCGCATCGTGTTGCGAACCGTGCCGAAGTCCCACATGTCCTCTTCGCCCTCGGGGAACTCTTCGTCAGTGTCCTCGCTATCCTCGGCCTCGTGACGCTCGCCGCCCTCGGCGCGCCATGCCTCAAGTCGCTCGATGAGCTCAGTGAGGTAGGCCGTCTTCTTGGCTTTGCGGATGAAGGGATGCTTGAGGAGTTCGCGAGCAGATGGACGGTTGGCTGGGTCGCGCTGCAAGCAGAGGTTGACGAACTCCTTGAAAGGTCGGGAGAAGGGTCCTTCGAGCTGTGGCGGCGGGTTCTTGGGGATGAGGAAGAGCACCTTCATGGGATGGAGATCGGCGTAGGGCGGCTCGCCCATAGCCATCTCGATGGCGGTGATGCCCAAACTCCAGATGTCGGCCTTGAAGTCGTATCCGCTCTGCTTGATGACCTCTGGACTCATCCAGTAGGGGGTGCCAACGAACGTGTTTTTCTTGGTCATGGTGGCTGTGAGCTGGCCCGAGACACCGAAGTCTGCAAGCTTGACGTCGCCCGTGGCTGACAGCAGGATGTTGGCTGCCTTGATATCTCGATGCAGCTTGCCTTCGCCGTGGAGGTATTCGAGGCCCTTGAGGAGCTCGCGCACCACGATGGCGATGTAGTCCTCGCGGAACCGACCGGGTTTCATCTGTAAAGAGCGAGGGCAGAAGAGAAGATGACCAAGATGTCAGCTGCTTTCACGATGGTGTTGAGGAGTCTTTGATATATGCGAGCAGCAGCTCGCTGGTATCAGTGTTTACTTACGAGATCAGAGCAACTGCCGCCGGAGCAGTATTCCATGACGATCCACAAGTTGGTGCCCTTGAGCCAAGAGCCATGGTATCTGTCGCAGGCAAAGAAAGGGATCTCGTTGTCAGCGTCCTCTCTGTGATGCTTGAGACGGGGAGAGGCCACTTACTTTGTAACGTGAGGACTATCGAGCTGACTCAAGATGGCGATCTCTTGCTGGATGTCGTCGATCTCATCTTCGGCATTTTCGAGGTCGATGATTTTGATGGCGACAGGCTGTCTTGATCGCTTGTCGAAGCCTTTGTATACTTCACCAAAGGAACCCTTGCCGACGCGATCCTGCTTGACGTAGTAGTCCTCGGGGTCCGCGCCGTGAGGTGGTTCCATCATGATTTCGAAAGTGTGAGGTTAAATACGTCGGGTGATGCAATGAGCTCAGTGATAGTTCGCTGAGCGGTGCGCTGCTGAGTCAAGAGAACGCAGGGCCGTCGGCTGTGATCCGGGTGTAAGTGTGACTTGAGTTCGGATGGGCCGATGATTGAGATACGGCTGAGCTCGAGGTGGAACTTGACTGTGTATGCTCGGGTATCGAAGAGGTGATGACGACGCTGGATGCTGGACTCAGGCCAGACAGTCGCTGCCGGTTCGAACAGGGCGAATGGGAATGCCGAGGTCTTGAGGATGGATGCAACGAGAGACGATGATGCTGGTGGTGATGAGGAATGCGATGCTCTCTCTCAAGTGAGCGTGGCTTTCGCAATGGCAAGGACAATAAGAGAGAGAGAGACTGTGTGTGCGTTGGGCCGTGGTCAGAGCTGAGGTATGTGCGTTGGCGGAGGAAGGTGTCCGTATGAATGAACGAAAGTGCGGATCAAGAAAAGGGGCAAAGAAGCGGCGCAGGGGCTCAGTCTGTAAGGATCACAGCCAGCCAGCCTGGGCGCTTGTCAAAAAGGCAGCTGCTGCGTGTTGTTCCAATCGCTCAGCCGAGCTCCCAACCCAGCCCAGCACAGCCAGCCAGCGCCCAGCGCAGCCCGTGTTGGTCTGGTGTAATTTCAGAAGGCGCGTCTTTTGTTTCACCCTGGCGCGCCTGTCATCTGCTGCTGTCTGCTGCTGTTGCCTCTGTCACTCCTGCAGACATCCGCTCCGTCTTGCCGCCCTCCTTGTGTCCTTTGCAGCAAGCATGCCTCAATGAAGCGCTTCCAAACATGCTCAAGCCTCGGCACCTGACGCTCTAGATACGCTGAACCTCCTTTGAGCTAGGCTCACGAGTCAGAATTCTGGCCTTCTGCTCTAACCAAATCGAACGTGTCTTCCGAGTTCGATGAGGCAGGCCAGACATATGAAACACACACTTTGCCAAACCGATTCATGCAATATGGCTCTGGACGCCGAATTTTAGCCCCTGAAGCGCGTTCCATCAAGGTATGATGTCGTCAGCACCGGCCAGATTGGCGCACGCCGCTCCCGCCCACACCTCCTGGCAAAGCTTGCTCGAACTTCGTCCCTCAAGACCTCCAGTTCACTGCTCGTGTGCTTGCTCTCTGGTGACCCGGATAGAGGAGGTCGAAGCAGAGAGATCCTGCCAAAGCCGGTGCAGATGCGGATCTTCACGCCCAAACAAATAGCCGACCATCCTTGACACCTTTTGCTTGCGACAGGAACAGGACGATCGTCGCCCAGCTTCTCCTTCTCGAATGTGGTAGGCCTTGCCCTCGAGAATAAGGGGCCCATCCGGATCGCCTCCTATGCCCTGAGACGACATGACATCGTGGTAGCCGGATCTCAGACAAGCTGCGATGTAAAATGCCGCAGAATCACAGCATCGCAGCGATCCATGCACCTGCATGCCGCGCCATTACCAGACCGTGGACCCAAAACGAGCATGAGGACCGCTCCGATAGAAAAGCCAGCCGCTCTTCGTTGAACAGCGGTGTTGCACCGTGAATCGGGCCGATCTGCTGTCCGAAAAGGTCGAGTTCAAAAAAGGTAGTTCGTTGAGAAGAAAGCCCTTGCGGAAATCGGATTTAGGCAAGGTGCCGCTTCGCTGCTGTCGCGCTCTTTTTGCGCCGCACCCACAGCAGCCGGTCCAAACGGCTTCATTGTTTCGTCCGACCGAACGCAAGGGCCTTCTTCCACCCAACACAAGTGGGCTCAACCTTGCCACTCTTGACACATCCACCACCTTGCGCCTTGAGGACCGACACTCCCCTCAAAAAGACCTTCAAAGACCTTCAAAGCGTGTTACAAGCATCTCGTAGGCATCGGAATAGACGGAAGGGGAGCGGAACAGCAAGAACGTACAGCGGTAACAAGAACCATCTTCAGCACAGCCATGACGTCGAGCTCACCAACTGCCGGCACGACGGCTGCGCCCGTCAAGATCTCCACAGCGGAAGGCTTCGTCACCGGCGCTTTGGCGGCCATGACAGCTGTCACAGTAACAAATCCAATGGAAGTGTGCAAGACTCGTATGCAGCTTCAAGGCGAGCTCATGTCCTCAGCGCCTCGTGTGCTCAGCGGTCAAGCCGGCTCCGCAGCACCACAGGCTGGCGCGCAAGCTGCCGTCGGTGCACGATTGTACAAGTCCTCGCTCGACTGCTTCACAAAGACGCTCAAGTCCGAAGGCATCAAGGGTGTGCAAAGAGGTATCGGCGCGGCATACGTGTATCAGGTACTGCTCAACGGCAGTCGTCTCGGCTTTTACGAGCCATTCCGCAAGGCCATCAACCGTGCAGCAGGGAGGAGACCGGAAGAGCAGTGGGCAGCAGGTGCCTTTGCCGCAGGCGCCTCGAGTGGTTGTGTCGGTGCGATTCTCGGCAACCCGCTGTTCCTCATCAAGGCGCGAATTCAAGCCTACAGCCCCCATTTCGTCATCGGCAGAGCATCGCATAACTACACGAGCACCATCGACGGTCTCTCCAAGATCATCAAGAGCGAAGGCGTTCGAGGTCTCGTTCGCGGTATGGACGCTGCTGTGCTGCGAACGGCCATGGGAAGCACCGTCCAGCTGCCAGCGTACACATGGTTCAAAGGCTACCTCACCAACATGGACGTCGAAGCGAATCCATACAACCCGCTCAAGTTCATCGCCAACAAGCCCAACTCGTTTTTCACCTACTTTGCCTCATCCATCTTCAGCGGTCTCTGCGTATGCGCTGTGATGCAGCCAGCGGATACGGCGCTGACACGCATGTACAACCAGCCAGTGCGGGTCGATGAGCGCGGCCGAAGTGTCGGCACGCTATACCGCAACCCTTTCCACTGCTTGTATCTCACGGCCAAAGCCGAAGGTGTTCTAGGCTGGTACAAGGGCACCACGGCCCATCTCTTCCGCATCGCACCGCACACGGTATTGACTTTGGTGGTCAACGAAGCGTACTTGCGGTGGTACACCAACTTCAAGGCAGGTCGCTCGCTGCTGGATGCCCCTGCCGTCAAGAAGATGTAGAATCGCGCCGCAGCGTTTCGATACGTCTAGATCTTTACCATACCTGCATAGTCGATCGCGAGCGCAAAAGCTCGGCAGCATAGTCCACGTACGGCATTTACAATATAGAAGAGGAAGCAGCAATGACCAGTGGCCGACTCTAGCGCAGCGATGCAATGTCACCGTGACTGTGCTGAGCATCCCACCTCCAAATCGTCCGCCAGGCTGGTCGGCGGAAGTCATGGTGGCTCACGATTCATCCTTGTTAGATTTGTTGGGCGATGTTGTTCTCGAGAAGCTTTTCGATCGTGCCGCTGGCTTGGTCGGCAGGTGATCACTCTGAACATTCGAGGAATGCAGTCGACATCGCCCATATCTTTCGCTGTCATCGTTGCTGCGATCGATGTCATACAAACAAGCTTTCTGTTGCCTTGCAGGTTGATGTCCACAACATGAAGCTGCGAGCTCTGCTGTCTCTTGTATGAAGCTCGCAGCAGCCGCGTATGGTTGACCTGTCAGCGCGAGCATTGTTCAATTGAAAGTGTCGCTTAGGTCCAATACAAAATTTGGATTTCAAACGAGCCCGGGCGGAACAAGGTTGAATTCAAAGTGGTGCTTCCGTGCAGCTCTTGAATGAGGGCCCCACACCGAACCTTGACGCTCGTATCTCGCAGGACGGGTTGAGCAGAAGACGACAGCTTGTACACAGACAGCTCTGAACTGTCCTGCAGACGCAGCTGCAAAGCTTGTCCAGAGTCGAAAGCGTTGTTGGTCCATGCTTAAGCAACAGAGAGCAGCATGCTTCAGCAGCGGGACTGCTAATTTGAACCAGACGTGAGGTCAAAAACAGAGCTCGCTCGGGGCACTGACCACGACCGACGTGGCGATTCTGGTAAAAATAAGCAGCAGCACACTGAGAATGATGTGGAAGAGCAACAACAACAGAGGTCAGCTGCCAGCTGTGATGTTTCATTTGAAAAGCCGACGCGCCTGCTGCACGGTTCTTCTCACCATTCTTCTTTCTCTCACCATCCTTCCATCATCAACGCCATTGTTCCTGCGACCATAAGACAAGTCAACGTCGCACACGGTCCAAGCATATCCCGCATTTCGTGATCCTTCCCATCTGCACACTGCTGTCATTGCATCCGCAGTTCACATCACCGGGCGATTCGCTTCACTAGGTCCACATTTCCAGCTTGAGATCGCACCCAGCTTCTCTTCTCGACAAGCTCCTCTTTCGGCGTTTGCTTCTAGTACAAAGGTATGTTCCACAGGGCTTGGAAGCCCTCGGAAGCCCCCGCTTCTACATCGCAACTTCGCAGCTCGTCGTCGCACCACACTTGCCAGGAGGGATCTCGAGACAGCCTTGCGGTGGCAGATAGCACGTCGCGACGCTGCTCCTAGCCATTTGATAGCTACACACGCTCATCACTCGGCCTCCTCGATCCGTCACTCCTCGCTGCAATGTTGCCCTCAGACACTTTCGCTGACACTTGCATCATCTCTCCAATCATGGCGGCACGTCTCGCATTCAATACCTACGCTCCTCTCTCGTCTCCGGCGCCGTCTGCCTCTTCTGCACATCACACTGGAATCACAGCCATGGCTTCCTACGGTTCCAATTCCTTCGCTTCTTCGAGCTCCGGCTCGCCAACCGAGTCTCCACTCGACAAGGTGCGCGAGTACACGTCCAAGGTGGAGGACTTGATCGACCAGTACACCCAGCCGCTCAAGCCGCATCTCCCCGCCCTGGGTCGCTTCCTGATCGTGGTGACCTTCCTCGAAGATGCGCTTCGAATTGTGACGCAGTGGTCGGATCAGAAGTACTACCTCCAACGTCATCGTCATTTCCCTTGGGGCATCAGCCACATTTTCCTGTTGACCAACGTCATTGTGAGTATACCAGTGGACCACTTCGGCGGTAAAGCTGCTACTGACTCGCCTCCGCGCTCTCTCTGCTGTAACAGGTCATGACCGCTGCTTCTACGGCCGTCATCATGCGCAAATACCCCGAGATCTCGGTCGGCGCATTGTTCAGCGTGGTCGTGATCCAAGGGTTCGGCTACGGTCTCATTTTCGACATCAACTTTTTCCTGCGCAACCTGTCGGTGGTGGGCGGTCTTCTCATGGTGCTCTCGGACAGCCTGTCTGCCAAGAAGAACATCTTTGCGGGACTGCCGAGTCTGAGCGAGACGGACCGCAAGATCTACTTCCAGCTGGCGGGTCGGGTGCTGCTCATCTTCCTGTTCATCGGCTTCATCATCCAGGGTGCGTGGTCGGTAGCCCGCGTGCTGGTGTCGGTGCTCGGTCTGGGCGCGTGCGTCATGGTGGTGGTCGGCTTCAAGGCTCGCTGGAGTGCCAGTTTCCTCGTGTTGATCCTGAGCGTGTTCAACATCTTTGTCAACAACTTCTGGACGGTGCACTCGGCACACCCTTCGCGCGATTTCTTGCGCTACGACTTCTTCCAGACCCTCTCGATCGTCGGCGGTCTGCTGCTGCTCGTCAACATGGGTCCCGGTGGCATCTCGGTCGACGAGCGCAAGAAGGCCTAAAGTCGGCGCTCGAACGCGAGCTTGCGGAGGCAACAGCGCCATTGTCTCGTCACCTCGCAGGATCCTACACGCTTTCTAGCAGCACGGTTTCAGGCTACTGCACCAAAGCAATGCAGAAAATCCCTTTCTCCCTCCTGTTCACTCTCTGACCGAATATACTTCGACAACAACTAGGCGAGACAGCGTGACAGGCTTTTGGCTGTGTGGTCTGACTGAGGATGGCCGTTCTCTGATAGGTGTGTGTGTGCTTGACGTCGAACCGTGTCGTGGTCGTAGAGGGCTGCTGGATCGGTGGTCCATGAAGCCTTGGTTCACCGCTCAGCTGGGCAAGCTGACACGTTGAAGAGGGTTGAATCGGGGTGATGAGATTATAAGTAACCCGATCTCGTCGCTTGCTGGACCGTCATTTTCGAGCCTTAATTTTAACGTTTCCTTTGCTCGGAAGTGACTACTGTAGTTTTGGCAAAGGGACCGAAGATAGCTGTGCCTCTGCCGCTGTTTTCGACCCTTGACATCATGTTGCGGCACACGCCATCTAGCTTGCATTCCGATCGAGAAACGAAGATAGTGGAGCTGGTGAGCGAGGGGCAGCCCGTCGGGAGAGGCGTGAGAGTTGAGTCCAAGCTGAGCTTCACGCATCGGTTGCTGAGTTTTCGAACCTCGTCGTCAAGATGCATTTGAGTCACAGGGTCCACATACCCTAGTTCTGGCCGTTCAAGAAGGCGCTCTGACTGAGAAGTGTGGCTTGATCTTTGTGGAAAGGTGGCTGCCCAAGGGAAGGCGTATCTCACAAAGCAGGTCTTGCTCTGTCGAGAGCCTGTGTTCGGAAACCTCGCCGAGTTTCAGCGCTGACTGAGACGCGTTGTGGGGAGGCGGTGCCGCGTATGACGCCCAGCTGCTGCACAGAGTGTGTGTGTGGATTTTAAAGCGCGCCTCCCCTCACCATGTGCCTCACAGCTTAAAAACAGCATTTCGCTGCAGTTCTATGCGAGGGTGAATAAGGGTCCTCTCCTCCGATGCCTTGGCCAGGAAGAAGAGCGGCGGTCTTTTTTACGGGGGCTGCCCCGTTGTGCACCGCCATCCACTCGCGTGTAGCTCCCTTGTCAACAGCGTGGTACTGTCAAGCATGGACAATGGCCATGCGGAGAGCAAGAGGGATCAGCTGGCCGGTGTACGACGGCATAGCGCAGGTGCGAGCCGGAAATAAAGCTCGTCATGGTCAGGTCTTGGACGTGACAGGCTGTGAACCGAGAACCTTCGATGAAGAGAGCAAATGAAGGCGTTGTGGCTTGCGCGCTTCCTCCCTCCGTCCTGCGCACAAGCTTTCGGTGCAAGCCTCATGCGATCGCGCACAGAGCGCTTGCAGCGCACATTCGGATCGAGCTTCGGGAGGCAGAAGTGCTTATAATCGGACTGCCTTGCCGAGACTCTTTCCTGCGCTGCTCCCTTTCTTCATCTGCGCAGACAGCAAACCCTCACTCAGCTTGGCGCTTCCTCACATCATTGCGCACATCTCTCGAGATCCAATCAGCTCCACTCTTCCCGAGCCTTCCAACAGTCACGGCGCAGCATTCTCAACAGCAGTCGACGTTTGTCCCACACGCAGAGTCCAGCACGCAGCCAAGCGTATCCACCAGCTCGGGTCAGTCATCCGATCCGGTGGTAAACTTTAGCTTTTCAGCGTACATCACGCCTCATCCCCTTTCGATAGTTGCTCAAGCTCAGTCAACCTCGACTTGCGTGCGCTCGAGCAGAGATCCTCACCGAGCTCGTCCCATCGAATCTTCGAGAGCTTCCTCACACTCAAAAGGGGATCCGACTCCATAAGCTCAGGCCTCCCTCCGTCCTCGAGTTGTGCAGCCTCCCTGCATACAGCCCACAGCCGCTAGCCATCCCCTTCTTTCTTCTCCACCATCATCACAATCACTTCCGTGAGGCCAGCACCGCACGCTCACAGCCGCCAAACGTCACTGACTCGCAAAGCACCGCTCCATCGCCAGTGCTGAGCAGTTCTCCTGCCATGGCAGCTCCATTGCCTGTTCCGAGCCATCGTTACACAGCTTGGCCCACCATGGATGGCCGCTCTCCTTCATCCTCCGACCACTTTGGTCTTCTCTCGCCTTTCCCCTCCTCGTCGATCGCCATGTCGCCTCAGTACGGCCACAGCTGTGCGCTCACCATCCTCAAGGGCGACGCCGATCACCCCATCACCGCGCACGAGCCCATCCACAAGAAGCACGAATCCTCCAGAGGTCCACTCTCTCCTTCGCAGCCTTCGCGCTTTGCCGCTTCTTTCTCCAATCTGCGATCCGCCTCTCACGCCGCTTCCTCTGGTTTCGACTCGAGTGTTCACGTCCACGCAGTCTCGGATCACGGCATCCTGCTTCCCTTTCTCGAGCGACCTGCTGAGGTCAAGGAGCTGCTCTTTGAGACCAAGGCCAACGAAACACTGATGCACCGACTCTGCAGCGTGTTCGGCGGCGACGCGGACCATCCCCTTCTGCGTGGCAAGGATGAGCGATGGGACGAGATGCTCGAGCTGCTAATCGAGCTCGATCGCCCGCTGCTCGACGACGAAGACTGGCTTGCACGTCTCGAATCGCTCGTCATGGAGCGCTCTCCGTCATTGTGGGCTCAACTCGCACGTTGCCTAGGTGCAGACGGCTTGCCGAATCGTCCTACCGCTCAACCCAGATCTTCCCGCTTCGACAGCTGGGCCCTGCCCTCGCGCTATATGGACGCTAGCCACGACGACAACGATAGCCCCCTTCCAACGCCATCCGCCGTGTCTAGCGAAGACGACCACGATGCTCACATTGAGCACTCCCTGTTTGTCAACGTCGAACCACTTGCCGCGCTGCCTCAATCGTATTCGGAGCAGCCAGCCGGCAAGATGCAGCAATCGACCTTGCACGAAGAGGCTTCCCCCGCAGTACCATCTTCGCAACTTCAACCTCTCCCCGCAGAACGTCACGTCCACCAGACCTCGCCCGGCGAGCTGTTTGCCATGTCGGCTGACAGACAAGACGCAAACACGACCACCTCCCTGCACGATATCATGGAGGAGTCCCACCCGTCTTCGCTGGTAGGCGAGAACGTCCGCAGCAGGGCTCGATCGCACTCTGGCAAGTTTGCAGGCCTTCGCATTTCCGCTCTCAGCTCGTCCAGTCCCCCTGCTTCTCGACGTGCTTCGGATGCTTCGGTGTTTCACAGAGACGTCTCTTCTCCTCTGCCGACCGGCGTCATGTCTCCAGCCGGGCTAGCTCCTCACAGCCCCGGCGTCTCTGCCTCGCAACACACCTCGACGTCGTTCTCAAAGCACCGCAGACTCAGCGTGATGATGATGCACAACCAGCCTACGCAGCAGCATCAATCGTACGCGCACGACCATGACAACCTCAAAGATCTTGACAGTGCCCTGTCACCAACGTCGACATCTCCACGTCGCCGACGCGGTGTCAGCGAGGCACAGCATCGCCTTCCTAGCCCAGCTCTTCATCCGCATACACGTCGTCGAGCTCGAAGCTTCGCCCGCTCCTTTGCCGAGCTTACTTCTCCTACGCAACATGTCGAGCAGTTGCGTGCTGATCACGCCAAGGCTGAAGCAGATCGCCTCGCTGACAGCACACGACGCATCAGCCTTCAAGATACTCACGAGCCATCGACTGCATCTGCGCCCGCCGCACCCACCGGCGCTCTGGGACTGCATGCTAGCCCGGACCCGCTCGAGTCAGCCTCCGCCTCTGTGGCGGGCGACAAGATTCGACGAGCTTCCCGGCCTCGTAACCACATTCTAAGTGTCGATCGCATGAGCGCTGCTAGCGACGCCGGGTCCGACTCTCCACCCATCCCGGGCCTGCTCCCCGATGGTCGCACACGTCATCCATCCGGAAGCTGCGGCTCGCGCGACCTCTCCGAATCCATCGCCGCCTTTCGCGCCAACATGGGCCTTTCCATTTCGCCCTCTCCGAGCGTGCCTGGCTCGCCTAAAGCTGACGATGCCAAGTCGGACGCAGACAAGTCGACCGACTCGACCACTCGCAAGCGCAAAGGTACCAGCCCCACCGACTTGCCCGCACCCACCTCGAGGACCGCCGACACGGTCGAACCCAAGATCTCGCGCAGGTCTTCACCGGATCAGGCGCAGTTCTCCAAGCCCAAACATATGGAGGACGTCGAGGCGCGGGTGCAGACCACCGCTGGAAGCGGTCTCGCTCTCGGTGGTGGATTTTCGCTCGCCAAGTCAGGCGCCAACTTCCGGCGTCAGAGCCACGATGCTGCGACAATCCCGCAAGGTGGTTGGCGGGCCAGTTTTGCCCGACGCGACGGCGGGCGTGGGAGAGGTGGGGAGCCGTACTCGCTTCGCTCGCCGCCGGCGGTGCAACGTCGCCCAGGAGGATTCGTCTCGCTGGCGCAGGAGTACGAGCGCGCGAGGCAGGGACGGCGATCGAGCGAGGTGGGGTATTCGATGCATAGCGTCGCGGTTGCGAGTTCGTCGGCGAGCAGTCTGCCTGATGTAGGTGAGGATCGACGTCGAGGTGAAGAAGAGGAGGCCAGCGAAAAGGATGCGACCAGTCCCGACGTCGTCAGGGGTGAGCCCACGCCTATAGCCGTTCCTGGGGGCGGGGTCACGCCCAGAGCCTCCTTCGCCGGGTCACGATTGACGGGACGTCAGCCGGGCTACCCATTCCCCGCCGTCACACGCACGCATGACGATGCTCCTACAACCCGCACCTTGGCTCCAGCGACACCGCTCAGCCCTTTGCACGCATGCCCGTCCTCCAACACCAGCGCCCACCCGTCCCCGCGCTCACCCAGCATCGTCTTCCCCATCTCCCCCAACCCCTCCATCTCCCGAGCCCGCGAATTGTCGAAAGCCCTCACCTCGCCTCGCTGCACCCACGCCTTTTCGCGTATCACCCATCTCTGCGGCCGTACCACATCCGAGTCGATCCGCGAGCTGCTCATCAACACCGAGCGGAGCAGCATGCACGACGAGCAGCTGCTCGAGGAGGTCGCGCGCCGGCTCGGGCTGGTCGACCATGAACAGGCGCATAAGGTGGGCGGAACGGAGGCGGAGGAGGCGGATGTAAGGCTGGCCGAGGAAGGGTACGAGGAGCGATGGGAGGCGTTTTGCGAGTTGTGCGGTGGGTTGGGCGTGGGGAATGTCGAGTTGGGGGCCGCGAGGAGGCGGTGCGGGCCTGCGATCGATACGTGTAGCTGAGGAAGGAGGAGCCTATGATGGGGATGGGGAAACACACGGCCCGCCGAAGACCCAGACAGCTCGATGGAGAGGAAGGTTGGAGAAACCAGGAAAGGGGCAGCAGGAAGGAAGCGAGGGTTGGGAACAGATGAAGGGGG